TCATATCGTACAAATTTTCATACCTTCGTTTCCAGTCCTTCTTCCACCGCAAACCTGACCTGGACAAGCCAGTGTTCGCCAAACTTGATGCCCTTTCCACCACTTATACCAGCCTCGCGCCATGGCTTATTAACGCCAATGTCAACTACCCAGATGAGCCACTGGGGATCTCGACCCGCGCCGTTCTGTAGAGCTTTGAGAAGTCCCGTGCGAGGTGCGCCGAGGCAGACGATGTACTTGGCGCGAACTTCCAACGGCTCGCCTTCGAGGATAGCGACTTCGCCTGTGGATCCACCGACGCCAGAGGGTGTTTCGACTGCAAGGCAAGCAGCGCGAGACTTATTCGCCCAGCCCACGATGCTAAGAACGGTACGGCGGTCCTGATCGCCAAGGGCTTCGAACTCCTTGTGGCGGCCGAGGAGTGCATCGATGATGAGCTCCGGGGGTGCTTGAAGACGCTTGAGCGCTTCTTCGGTCTCCTTCCATGCGCGTACAGAGCCACCAAACTTTCGGAACAGGTCTACTTGTCGGCGTACGTCCTTGTCCCAATCGGCAGCACGCTCGAAGCCGAGGAGAGCAACCATGACTTTTGGACCGCGGGCTTGCAGATGCCTGGCTGCTGCGACTGCGCGAGCACCACCGAGATGATTGCCAGCTAGCACGACAATGACAGGGCGGGCGTTCGGGTTTTCACGAGCCAGTCGGCGTCCGCCAGGGTTGATGGCTGTTAAGGCGACTTCAGCGATGCCACGACCAGAGTTTTCAGCAATCATGTCCTCGGTAAGACCAAACTCGACTTCAGCCGTCTCTTCCACCGCAAGCATACCACCGGGACTGATAGTGTGGCACCGACGCTCGTTAGACGTTAGACGTAAGCAACCTCGCGTAGTGCTTTCGAGAGGCGAATCCGGCGGAGTTGCGATACGACCTGGTCTGGGACTGCCAGTTGCATGCGACGAAGCATACGGCCGATTGATCAACGAGCGGGTAGCACGCGACAGTAGTCCAGATCCTATCATGTCCATATCTGCCTGCACACCACTGCCCTGTCGTACTGGGGCCCTCTTGACAGAGGCGCGTGACATAGCTCGCCGAGAGTTGCGACTGCTGCCGAATTCCGAGTCATCTTCAGAGCTGGTGTTGGTCGTGCTTCTCAACTTGCGTTCCAGCACGTTCTCCGTAGGATGCAGATTCTTGCCTCCATGTGTACCTGGTCTTGCTAAGCGATTGAAGCTGACCAAGCGATCCTCGTCTGCGGTTGTGTCCTCATTCCTAATTTGATTGAACACAGTACGCTTGTCGAATTTGGAGAGGTTGCTCTGGAAGTCAAACTCGGGCAGGTCCTGGATGTCGGTCGCGTCTTCGGTAGCCCAGCCGTTGGTTGCATCGAGTGCTTTCTGACGCCGCGTCTTTGTCTTGGAGGCGTGTGCCGCTACCATACCGACTCTGCCTCCAATGACTCCCGGTGTACGTGTCAAGGGCTGCTCAGCATCCTGAAGTATGGGGGTATTGCGCCAGCCATTGCCTTTGCTACTAGAGGTTAGCCCGCATCTGTAGGTGGAATCAAGATGCAATATGCATGAAAAGAGAAAGAAAAGCACACGTACCCTTTCCGCGCACTATCAGGACCCGACTGCAGGTCTCCGTTCTTTCTCTCCTGCGCAGCAAGTTCCTTCTTACGAGACTTGCCTCCTCTGCGCGTCTTCTTGCCGCCATCGTCGAGCTTCTGCGGACTCATGTCCTCCATCGGCTTGCCATTTCTGGTCTTATTGATGCTTGCCCTACGCACGCTGGTAATCTTCTTTGTCTCACTGTCGGCCTCCTCGGCGTCTGCGATGTCCAGCGACGAGAAAGGGCCTTCCAACGTGGCTGCGCTTGGCTTCCTTGTATTTCGTCCCTTGGATTGACCAATGAAGGTGGGAGCATGCTTTGGCAGGGTGGCGGCGCGGGCTGGGGCGACGGGCTTGATCGGAGTGGCAGGAGCTTCTTGGGGAGGTGCAGCTGAGAGCTGGTTCGAGGAAGGAGCGGTGGAGGTGCGCTTGCCCATGCTCAGAATAGCAGGGTCTACGAAGGCAGCTGGCTGAGGAGGCTGGACAGGTTGTCGCACCGGCTGGCTCATATGCTGGATCGATTGCCGGGGAGCATGGTGCTGAACAGGCGGGCCCTGGTTCGGCACATGCTGCTGCGCGTGGTTTGACGGATACTGCGGGTATGCAGGTAGGTTGGATGGCTGCGGGACAGGCTGTGCAGGCTGCGGCGCAACATTGACCTTGATATCAGCGATCGCGTGTCCTTCGACATGGTACGAATTGAGGCGATGGCCCGAAGCAGGGAAGAAAACTTCTACGCATTAGTAAAAACCTTCTATGCAAGGCCAAAAAGGTTACCCACCGTTCTGCAGTGTCAGTGTAGCCGTCTGCGAGTTGACAGCAGCCACGGTGCCTTGTACGACCGTGTTTGGCGGATTCTGCAGCGTCACCGCGACAGAGATGCCGATGAGGCTGGACGCCATGCTTGCGGGACGGCAACCGGCGGTAATGTAAGGTATGTTGGTTTGACGAGCTACCCCCACTAGCTAAGAGGGTGGAGGTGAGGGTGCAGTCGCGCCTTTGCATCGGGCGTCTCGAAAGTTCACAAGCTGATCGTCTGCCAAGCCCGCTAAGGCGACGCCTCAACGGCCGCTGATCGCCCGCCCCTGTTACACATGCATCACTGGAGCTAAAAATGGTGCAGTGGCCTGGATATCTTCATCATGCAGAGAAGGCTCTGCTGTATCACGAAAGAGTTGCGTATAGCTTCAGGACATGAAATTAGAGATCCGGGTCCGATGTGACATTCGATATTATCGTCTGGAGTCCACCCAAAACCTCAGTATTGACTGCGTAACAAGCATTACTGGAGCCAAATGTGGTAGAGGAGCCTGGATATCTTCAAAGTTCAGACGGTGTTAAGATGTATCACGAAAGAGCTGTGAATTAGCTTCAGGACATGTAATCAGACACGCAGTTTATATGTAACATTCGACATTATCCTCTAGAGTCCACCCAAGCCCCAGGCATCGACTGCGCGACATGCATTCTCGCATGCACCTTGACACCAACTCGTCCCACAGGCTCACTCTGCGCCTTCCCAGTGCCCAAGGGGAGAACCGGGATTAGTGGTGATAAGGAAGAGGTGTGTTGGTGAAGGCATGATGACAATTTGTGCTCAAATGTAATGTGATATAGTGTGAAAGTGTTATTATCAAAGTGCCTTGTGATGATAGATGGATGGAGACAAAGAGCAGGAAAAGTGCCTTTTATATGTATTCCATACAGACTTTGCATTCACTTTACTCTTTTGTGCTGAAGCAAATTGTCTGGTAGCGAGCTGATTATTCACGAAATTTGTGTTGAAAAATTAAACACCCAAACTATACTTCACAACACCTCAGCATTTCCACGTGTAATCTCAGACACACAACCAGTATCACTCATCCAGACTGGCCAATTCACGAATTCACAGACTATGCGTCACTGTACCCTGAATATCTTCACCACAGTCCGAGGTTCTTATTACCTCATCAGACCACATTGAAGATATTCAACACAGCCCAACCACGCTTGCAGCAAAGATTCAATAGTGTGTTCATAGGACATGTCATACATTAAGGAGGGTATCAATATAGGAAACCACCATCGCGCCCGCCCCATACCAGCACCTCGCCCGGCATCGTAGCCCGTCTACCCTCACATTACTAGCCCGCCCTCAAACCAATTCCCACATACACAGCACCCCAAACTGGCAACTATACGCCTTCTTATCCCTCCACGCCTGGTAACTCAATCCCCGTCCACTCTTCCCGCAAAACTCCGTCACCGCATTAACGCTAATCTTCTGCCCGGGCGCTCCGAGTTCCACCCTCTCAACATCAAGCCACCACGTCCTACCATCCGTGTTAAACGGCAAGTACTTCGTATTCCTCCCATCCCTCCCAGCAACACTAAGTAGCATGACATACGGCAGACCCTGCCCGTGGCGCTGGTGGTCCCAGTGTGCGCAGAGCGTGGAGAACTGGAAGCGGATGACGGGCGGGCCAGCGGGATCGCGGATCTTGATGGTCAGTTGCTGGGGTTGGATGGTGCGTTCGCCGACGCCGTGGTCCGTGTCGCAGCCCGACATGACTTGCACGCGGCCGCCCATGTCGTCGCGCTTGAATTCTTCGTAGGTGAGGATGCGGCCGTCGTTGCGGAATTGGTGCGAGTTGTCAGAGGGGAAATGTTTGGTGCCGAAGTCGTCGTTGGACATTGTAAACTGCGAAGGCGTGAATTTCCGGACGTAGCTGGAAAATAGTTAGTTTGGGTCTTGGGGAAAGTTTGGGTACACGTACCCTTCGTTTTTGTTAGGACATCCGATGTGTCCTGCGCCCCAACATGGGTCGATCAATTTCCATTCGCCATTATCAATGCATACCGCGTTCCACGCGTGGTTCGATGAGAAAGCCGGTACTGGTTGGCCGGGTTCCAGTGGTGTATGTCCGAAGCCCTTGCCGTCTCCGGAAACCACCAAGGCTTGCAAACCTGCCTTGAGCGCTAAAGCAGCGAACAAGCCCGCATAGCCCTCACAAACAGCGAGACCGTTTGTGATGGTCTTTTCGGGAGTAGTTGGTGAAATAGTGCCATTGAAGAAAGAATGTACATCGTAGTCAACGTTATGATGAAGCCAAACAAAGATGGCTCGTGCCTTGTCTGTTGGCGAAGAGAAAGGAGAGCAAAGTTGGTGGGCTAGATAGCCGACGTCGGAGGAAGGTAGGTGCTCTCGAGGGTAGCGCGCAGCATGTTGATCGGGACCGGAAAAGTCTCGACATATCAGACACGATCCAACAGCACCAGGTTTCGGTTTCGAGGCCATAATAGCGTCGAGGTTGGGTCTTGAAGATAGAGGCACGGGCGGAGGAGCACCCGCAGAAGTATCAGGGGCTGAATTGAATGAGGGCCGGTTCTGTGGAACAGGCGGCGGTTCGGTTGCCTTGTTATTGAAGCCCATGTCCAGCGCAGACTTCCGTGGCGGTGGTGCAATCACCCTGGTCGTTCTCGCTGGGGCTGCAGAGTTCGTTGGAGGTCGTCCTGGCAGGGGCGGTCGTTCAGGTGAACGGTCTTGGACGGTCGACTGTCTGGGTGGTAGTGATGGCCTCGCAGGCAGTTCTGGCGTCCTGGAGAGATTGGGCGGTAACGTGTGGCTAGGCACGTAGTCCCTCTTGCTCTTCATGGCATTCCTTGTCGCGCTCTTCTCTTCTGTTGGTCTCTTTGGCGGCAGTGGCGGCAGCTTGGAGGGATCATACGCCGGAGCGCGAACCTGGTAGAGCGTCCCATTGCCATTGCCATTGCCATTGCTTGTCCCAGTCTTATTGGAACCCAGCGAAAGTGTTGATATGCCCGATGCGACTGTAGCTATAGACTCGGTCGACTCCCGGCGGTTCAAGCTGCGATTGTCCGAGGGTCGTCGCGGGGGCAGCGTAGGCGTCTGCCGTGGGGTCGCATTGCTGGTCGTGTTGCTGCGCGGAGGCGGGCGAGGAGGTAAAGTCGGGGATGGCCGGGGACTCTGACTCTCTACGGCTATGGGCTGGTTGCCCAGCTGCCTCGCAGTTGTGGGCGCATTGCTCAAGAGGGGCGGGTTATTGGTGCTCTTGTTGCGCTCATAGGCCGGCGGGCGCTGGTTTGGTGGAGGTGGAGGTGGAGGAGCCTTCTTCTTCCCCGCGACTGGCTCGTAGGTATACGCAGGCTTCGCACTAGGCGCCGGGGCGTGGACTTCTTCAAGATTGAGGGCGGCGATGCGCGCCTTGATGCTGCCCTCGGCCATGGCGGGCGCGACGTGTGGGGGCGATCTGCGTTTGAGGCTGCAGACGCGTTCAAGATTGTGGCGGTCAGGGCAGGAGGCAACGAGCGACGACAGCGAACGGAGAGACACAAAGTCGCATCCTGCGCTGTTTCGCACGGGGGAACAAGGCACGATGACTTGAGCGTCCTAGAGGCGCCGCCGCATCTGGCGCGAAGGATGCGCGCCTTATGAGCAAACCGTTGATCCTCAGCTAGCCAGCACAGCCATGATTCGCCCATGCGGTAGGCATCCTGCCGCAGCCACACGTTGCTCCACCTTTTGCACCACTCGTTCCTGGCCGCTCGGGATCCGAAAATAGCCTGCGCTCAGCAGCCCGCATCAGACTGGCAGCAAACATGCAGCTGCTGGACTGCTACGATACCGAACTTGCATTCTGAAGCAGAAGAGATAAAAGCCCATGTCAATCAATTGTCAGTGTTGGTATTGACCGTCATCCCCTGTCTCGGGCCTCCAATGCCGTGTAACCTAGACTAGTCTTCCTCACCGGTGCTCGTGCAGCCATCCAGAACAGGACAACCTTGGAACGACATTGAGTCTAGAAGTGCCCGAGACAGCGCCGTTGAGAACTTCGAGTCAATAATATTTGCAAAACATCACAGACTTTAGACATCAATGTTACACGCACTGTTATACAGTAGTGATTGTCATTCAATATCGTCAGCTAAATGTCGCTACAGTGCAAGAACCAGTTCGTAATGCGAAACAAATGAAAGCCACCTTCCGCGCCAGAGCACACATGCCGAGTACAGACAGCCAGACCTCTGCCATATACCTTCCCATAGTCTATTCACCAACCGTGTGCCCACCAACCATCTAGCCCCCTGCGGCGCGCCAATGATATCAGACCAGTAACTCCAAGCCAATTTCAGACATCCACTCATGTAATCGTCACGACGCTGAGAAGCAGTCGCGTGCCGCGAGTTTTTGAAGCTGATAGAAAAATGCGGAAAGGGAGACGGAACGCTGCTTGCTATCCAGAATCAAGGTGAAGATGAGCAGAGCGAAACAATCCGTGAAGTGTGATGCGAAATAATAGAAGAGAGTTGGGTGGGGTTGTAAAGTACAACAGATTGCGAAGCGCTATACGAAGCTGAGCGCATCATGTTGTTACCTCTTGCGCTTCTTGCTCTTGTCCATGGAGCTGGCGGTGAGACCAGGGTGAGCGGCATCAATAGGCATGCTGAAGTCGTGCATCGGTGGTGGTGCCATCGAGTTCGACGATGGCTTCTTGACAGAGACGCCCATATGGCGTCCATAGCGTCCCTTCCTGCCGTTACCCTCGTCTTCGCTCACGCAGCCATCAGCACCGATACCGGCGTCCTTGCATCGCTGGCAAGGTCGCTGACGGTCACAGCCCTTCTTGCTCTTGCGGCATCGCTGACAGCGAGGCTTGCTTGATAAGTCCTCCTCATCAACCCCGAGCTGGTGCTGGAAGTTGATAGAGGCACTCGACGTCTTGCGGGACTGTGTTGGCAATGAGGTTGGAGACATTGGTGGCTTGCTGGTGCCATTGACCTTTGTCTTGCTCTTCGAGTGTGCTCGATGTTTGGGCTTGCTGGACTTGCTGGAAACCGATGAGCGAGCTTTGACGACACCAGTCTGGATGCGGTGGCTGTGCTCGTCTGGCACCATCTCGTCACTCTCACCCTTGAACGATCCGTCTCTGTTGTCTTCATAATCATCACTGCTCTCTCCAGAATACTCAACAGGCGCGACGTGGTCCATGCGTCCCATGTTGTATTGAAGAGGAGGAAGCTCCCCACCATCATCGCTCCCGTCATCCGAGTCCTCGCTGGAGGATGCAGCATCAGCCTTGCCACTGAAGGCGTCATCAAGGGTAGAGGTGGAAGTTCGCCCATGTGTAGAGAAGTTGGACGCATCACCTAGGCGCATGAGCTGGCGTGCAACATCCTCGTCAGATATTACGCTGATGCTTGCAAGGTGCGTGTGCTCAGGAGTCGGCAGGACTCCATTGCTGCCAGAGTACCGATACTGGCCAAATTGTCCAGAACCACGGTTGCGCGACTTTTGACCTTGCGCGGAAACGCTCGACGCAGAGTATGGTGTGGCCAGTCCATGCATATACGAGCTGTCCATCTGCCCATAGCTTTGAGGCGAGGGTAGAGGATGCTGGTAGGAGAATGTCTGCTGGTTGCTCATGGAGTAGGGCGATCCTGCCATGTTTCCGCTGACGCGACGTTGAGGAGAGACGGACGATTGCGAGGCGGTCATCGGAACCTGAGGAGGTACGAACAAAGGCAGCTCCTGAAAAAGGCGCCACTGTTAGATCTACTGTGCACAGCGTCGTCGTCAAAGTTACTTACCGAGCTGTCAAACTTCGCTCTCTTGCGGCGGCCACCCTCGACAATGTTGTCGACGCTGATATCAGCGCTCGCTAGAGGCTCCTTCTTTGAGCGACGAGAGCTGGTGACAGAGCCATCCCCACCGTCACTATCGCTGTAGACATCACCGTTCTCCTCGGCGAAACTGCCATGCATGCTGTTACCCCGACTCTTCGCACTTGGTCGGTTGCGCCTGGCATGAGTGCTGGCAGAAGCGCTTCTCCTTCCTCGAGGCTGAGGAGAGTGAGTTCGGCGCTCGTTGCGGAGGTCAGCCCGAGCACCACCTTGGTTGTATATAACAGGTGGAAGCATTTGAAACGCCTCATCTAGGTGCGGGCGAGGACGACGTGGGGACACTGTTGGCTGGCGAGGATCGGGAGAGTAGTCTTCCACATCGGGATCTTCGGCTGAGACTCGCACGTAGACTACCATGCCATGTTCGAAGTTCTCAAACCTGGCAATGAGAATGGTGCCATGGCGATCCTCGAATATGACGCCTCTTCGCTCATAGAGGCCGTAGAAGTTCTTGACAGTAGTAATGATCGAGTCTGTCGTATCATGAGGGTAGATGTTCACCCGCATGGGCAGACGGGCCCTGTGCTGTGGAGACTGGGGAAGCAACAGCTCGAAGCTAACGTGCTTGGGCTGGACCTGCTTTGTGGGCGACAGCGAATCGTGCGCCGAGGACGTCTCCGTGCTAGGGTAGACATCCATCATGCTCGAATCGTGTCCCTGTGGAATCATTTCATACTCGGATGTTGGCTCTCTGGCTGTATGCTGCTGGCCCGCAATGAGCTCCTCGACGGACTCAGGGTAGCGCTGTGCGCTGGAAGCCCGGGGCTCCAGCATCATGTCGGAAGCTTGCATATTCAAGTATCCAGGTGTTCACCGAGTATCTTGACGCTTTTGCGCTGCGTAGTGGTGTGCGTGGTCTGAGTTCGGGGCACACCGTTCCCGCCGGTGTCGCAAGGGTTCGAGCGAATGGCGGTCGGAGAAGGATATTCGATTGTTGAGTCTAGGACTGCGTATGTCAGCAGATGAAGCTTGATGGTGATTGAGGATGTCCTCAATGCCTCTGAGTGCGGTCCGAAAGTGGCTCAGCGAAAGGGAGGCTGTCGGGACGTCGTCACCGCTGTCGGGTGGATGGCTTGCAGGGAGCCAGCAACGACAGCACCGAAGCAGGCAAAGGCTGCCATCAAAGACGTCTGGATGCGTCGATCCGGTCGCATAAGCCCAAGGAGAGATATACATACCGACTGTAGTGTTCAGGAGGCCAAACGGGCTCTAATGAGGCGCTTCGATCCGATTCCGTATACCGCCGCTGGCTGCCAACGTCAGGTTAGCGGGCCGGTGCGAACAGCAGTTATGGGACAAGACGGATGCCAGATTGCGAATGCAGGAGGGTTGGATGATGGATGAGGAGGCGGAGGACTTACAGGGAAGTTGTGCTGTGGGTTAGTACAGAGATGTGCGTGGTGGAGGAAGAGAGGAGGGCGCATCATATTAGCGAAACTACATGAACGACTACCGGCGACTTGGAACCGCTTCACGGCAGCCACGCACCCTCACAATGCGCCAAACTCTACAAATTGCTGGTCGCCTATGCATTCAAAACACTTTCTAGCTATATTTATATTGGCCATGTTGTATAGACAGCTCAGCGCATTCTCCTGCTCTGCGATGCGAAAGCGCTGCACAGCTGGCGGATATCTAGAGCACCTCGACATGGGCCAGCAATCCCCAAGTTGCACAGACTGAGACATATGATTGCAGATAAATGAGCTCCCAATAGTCGTCGCCATGTTCGTTGCATGCCAATCATGATCGAAACATGGGCAGACTCCGGGCGCCAGCTATGCGCCCAATGGTTGAGCCAGTCTAGAATGCATGGCACAGGACAGGACAACACTTGCTTAACATGAGAACATTATGTCTGCGCAAGAGGGCCTGAAGGCGACTGCCACAGCGCTCAACATGTCATAGAACCTGGCCAATGAGCTCATCCGTTGCTCTGTAGGCCGAAAGCATGCGCACGTTACTATTCCATGTGAACAGAACGAGCACCCTGATGCGCATGTCGCAGAGCATCCCAAAGCACCCAGAAACGTTCAGATTCGAGTCGCCCTGCTGTTTAGACATATCTCGAAGCCTCAGATCGCTCCTAACTCCTCAAAGTGGGAGAAGCGCCTGGGATTCGTTGGCAGTAGGCGCTCGGCGTCTAGTGGAGAGATCTCCGTGCGACAACGATTGCTAAACATGCGCTCACGAACATGCGTCTTCGAACAGCTGCTCGCTACATGGTATATGAAATTCAACGGTTGCTCACCGGGTATTGAAAGCGGCGCGATTCGGTGAAACATATGAGGTCGGCTCTGCAGTCACATTCTCTTTTCGACTGGAGGATCGCCACTCCGCAGTACTCAATTCGCATCATCAGTCGCATTGTTCTTGCGGAACCTACTAGATGCGCCACCAGTCTCTCAAGAATTCACGCTTTGTGACTGTTATTTGCGCAGCTAGCAGTTCCGACCCTGCATCTGCGCGAACGTGCTGTCCAAGACTTAAATACGTAGCGCTGCATGTGGCTCATACGTTTCCACGGATAACCGGTCTAGAGTGATGACCCCTCCGATCTTCAATCCACTCTGCCACGCATGTCGCGCAAGCGATCTAAGAGCTGCAATGCGGTCGCAAACCTATTAGCAACTCATTTTTCGCAGACATGTGTGTTGTGCATTCGCGTAGCGGAGCTGGCGGCCCCATAGAAGAGTCGGTGAAGCTGTGGGCTCGGCATCAAAGAAAGCGAACGAGCTCTCCACACATGCCGAAAAGAGTTTCTAGGTTGTTTCAACGTACAGCATGTTTGCTAAGTAACCTGAAGCAACGGCTCGCTCGGTAAGGGAGGTGTAGGCCGCAGTCTGAGAATGAGTGGCAGTGCGCCGAATGATAGGCTGTGGACAGCGGGGAGCGGAGCTGTTATGCGATGTCAACAACACCACCGTGGTCGCGACCGAATATGAGGCCATGCGCGAGGTCGGCACATGCGTTCGAGAGGTTGTTATGGCGATATTGACTGTTGACAGTGTGTTTCAGTGAGGTCGTCAGTTGGGTCTGAGACACGTGATCTCGTGGCGCGAACGTATCATTTCGAAGCGGCTGACTAGGCCCACGACGCGTCGGAGAGCAGGTGGGCAGAACTTTCTTTTGGTAGGGTGACATTGGCTGAAAAGTCTCGGTATATCTTCAGAATACTGTATCAGACGCCAGAGAAATTTATTGAGAGCTCAGATCTTTGGTGCGGTGCAGCGCATTGCGGAACAGCTTTTTGGCGTTCTTCTCGACACCGCGATTGAAGATGACGTTGATATTATAGCGTCTTGGCGGTCCTGGCCTGGCAACGCGACCAGGGTCTGGAAGTGTTTTCGGCTAGTAGCAGCGGTGCTCCGTGCAGCGATCTTCCGCATAAGCTCGCGTTTGTGATGGTGTAAACACGACTCTCGAGCTTCTATATAGCTTCTTACATCCAGCCAGGACGTCGCTGCCAGCACCACCTCTCGTGTCCGCCGACGGTATCTGCCTGTGTATCTCATTGTCGCCAACGTTAGATGGAGAGTTTTCTTATACCAGCCACTGCATTGTAGCGCTTCGACACCAGCGCCCCTATCGACCACTTCGCCAACAATTGTTTTGCAACGGTCGCTCTCCGTCAACAGCTGTACTAACCTAGCTACCGGCTTCATTTGACCAACCAGGCCCATCATGGATGCAAAGGTAAGAGCGTTGCTGCCTCTTTAACCTCACCTCGTCGCTGCAAACCTTGGTTTGGCTTTGGCTAGCCCAGCTTCAACCTGCAGCTTCACCAAAGCTTTACCTCAACAGATCGCTAACAGAATTTTCTTGCAGCCACAGCGCCCTGCGCGTACCTTGCGCATACACGACGAGAACGCGCCGCGCCAGCTTCCCGCAGGAAAGGCTCTCCACCAGCGCAATAAGTCAACACCAGTGCTATCGACGCTGATGCAGGTCGGGGGCATCAAGGCCGCTGCGGCCAAGCGCACCGTCTTTGCAGATGTCAGCAACACGACGCGGCAGCCAGCTGCGAAGGACGACATCCAAGTCCTTGGCAAGAAGGGCGCCGTCGCATTGAAAGACTCGACCTCCGCCGCAGCCAAAGAGCTTGCAAAGTCTGGCGCATTGCTGCGACCCGCCCAGCGACCATTGGCAAACATCACCACGAAGAACAACGCGAGTGCTGCTAGTGATCCCGTCGCGTCTGTGATCCCCAGCCACCTCTCTCAAGATGCCAACCAACAGCCAGCCAACATCAGGAAGATTGCCCCGAAAAAGTCAACCACTGTCTTCAAGGAATTGCTATCCGAGCCAGTTTCTGACGTTGCTATCGCTCCTGTACCTGCGCGCCAGCCCCTTGCCTCCCAGCCTGCCTCATTTCTCAACGAGGACCGTGCATCAGCACCGACCCACGAGCCTGTAGCTACCATTCCAGAAGTAGTTGCCGAGAAGGGAGAAAAGAGCTACTTCGACACAGAGCACGTCACCCGCCAGTCCGAGCCTGAAGATAAGTTTGAGTACATTGATGCCCTTGAGGAACAGGCGCGCGTTACTGAACAAGTACGCGACGAAGAGATTGCCAAGTCCCTTGACCGTGAGGAGTACTGGGAAGAGGATGATGAAGAAGAGTACTATGACTTTGAGGGACAGACCACCGTTCGATCTTTCCGCTCACGAGGTGACAACACCACCGGAGGCGTTACCCAGGTCCTTGCCCCCCGGATTACCGCCAAGACCCAGCGTGAACTCGACGCTGCCCGTCAATTCGTTGAAGAGAACCGCTCTCCCGAGGATGTTGAAGATGAGCAGTGGGACACTTCCATGGTTGCGGAGTATGGCGACGAGATCTTCGCATACATGCACGAACTTGAAGAGCGGATGAAGCCCAACGCGCTCTACATGGACCACCAAGCAGAAATTCAGTGGTCGATGCGATCTGTTCTCATGGACTGGCTTGTTCAAGTCCACAACCGCTTCACCCTTCTGCCGGAGACCCTCTTCCTCGCTGTCAACTACGTCGACCGTTTCCTCTCGTGCAAGGTCGTTTCCTTAGGCAAGCTCCAGCTTGTCGGCGCCACCGCGCTGTTTGTCGCCGCCCAAGTACGAGGAAATCAACTGCCCTTCCGTCCAAGAGATCGTCTACATGGTTGATGGTGCATACACTGCCGATGAGGTGCTCAAAGCTGAGCGCTTCATGCTCAGTATGCTTCAGTTCGAGCTAGGCTGGCCAGGCCCAATGAGCTTTCTCCGTCGCATCAGCAAGGCTGACGACTACGATCTTGAGACCCGCACCTTGGCCAAGTACTTCCTTGAGATCACGGTCATGGATGAGCGCTTCGTGGGCTGTGCTCCTAGCTTCCTTTCCGCAGGCGCTCACTGCTTGGCCCGCATGATGCTGAAGAAGGGTGACTGGGTATGTTGATGTTCATGCCATCTCACGTGTTCTATGCTAACATACAATAGTCCCAACCTCATGTCCACTACTCTGGCTACACCCTGAGTCAGCTTCGCCAGCTTCTCTGCACGATCCTCGAGTGCTGCGACAACCCTCAGAAGCATCATGCTGCAGTTTACGAGAAGTACACCGACAAGCGCTATAAGCGCGCATCGATCTTCGTGGAATCAGAGGTCTCGAAGGGCTTCTCGTTGCCTTTCATGTCTAGGGACAGTCTTGCTAGTCAGACGTGGAGGCGAAAGTGAATAAGCCACTTGTCTCTGCATGATCCTGGCCTGACTGTTTCTGACAAGAGAATAGGGACCGTCTGACACCGCACGTCGCCCAACCTGCTCATCAGCGCCGGCCTGTCAATAGTCCTACAATCCAGAACCTCCACTCAATTTCAAATCAGAACCACCACCAACATGGACACCACCGAAATCTTCTCCATTCTTGCTTATTGTTCTCCGACAGCACACGGCGTTTCAGCGGCTTCTTGGAACAGGTTCAGCATCAGCAAGCTGCAGCTCCACCGTCGTTCACACAGGCGCATGGTGTTTATGGTTTCCATGTCTAATTCTCAACACTTTCCGGCTTACCTTCGCCGTTCGTTAACACCTCAATCGTCGCTTCTACGATCGCGTGTCGGCTGAGGTGCACTTTACCTTCCCCTTCACTTGTATTTTCTTGCATCAGCAGCGTGGCTCTTGGGACCTTATCACGAAGACACACGAAGTCACGAACATCAGCACACCACCCTAGTTTAATCCATCGTCGGACAACGCGACGCGCACGGAGCCTCGACCTCACACATCCCCTTTGTTTCTCTTTTTGGCTTTCTCGTCTTGGCGGGCTTCGGAGCATGGAGTATAGACCGGTTACTGCACGACATGTGCATGCTTTATAAACAGGCGCAGTGGAGTCCATACCCCTTGATAGCGGTACTTCTAGTCGAGAAAAGCGCTTAATGCTTGCATCTTATTTCAAACACACTGCCCATTGATCTGGCTTCCGTGACTGGTGATTTATGACATCTCTCTAATCAGGATATAACAAAAGTAACCATCAGACGCGTGGAATCAAGTGTGTTGACGAATTGGTGAGAGGTGAAAGTCAGATCTGATTTATTGTGCTGATCTTGTCCCAACAAATGTTAGGGCGCACCGCGAGTGCTTTACTGACTCTCGAGTGCTCATATAGCGTGTCTTGGGTCACCTATGCGGTCCTTATGCTTTTGCCTGCGCGATCCACTACACTCCATGCCGAAGCTTCGCTTGGGTATCTCAGCCACGACTGAAGTTGCCGGCCAACGACCTTTTGATGCCAACCGTGAATTGCCAGAAACCTCCCGTCCTAAAGGCCATAGTTTCGTTCCAAGAGCCCAATATCGTCAATCGTGGAATATCATCGTAGCGAGGCTCATTGCGTAGCTCCTTCAGCCGGTGCGATCAGAACGACGGAGTCTCCTAAGCGATGATTAGCTCTGCTTTCGCCCTCTGATCTCGCGGATACCGCCTACCTCGCACAAACAGCATTTCGCTTTGCTTCTTGACTGTCCTTACGCGTGGTTCCTGGTCTTCCTCTTCCTCCTCGGCCACGAAGATGGTCTCTTCGACATCTCCGAGTACGAGATTACAATGCGAGTCGTATGCCTACCATTCGCCGTCAGCCAAAATCCTCGCGCGATCCGATTGGCAAGCTCCAGCTATTATGCGAACGTACGTGTAGTCTACCCTTCAGTTCGCGATCACCGCGCAACTTCACAATGACAACTTCGTCGATGCACAGGCGCACAAGATCGAGCGGCTCGTTGGTCTCTTCTTTTTCTTCCATGGTTGAAGCGATCGTGTGGTTGTTCGAGATTTGGTTGGCGGGCCGTCACTGTTTTGGCGGAGTGAACTTTGGCAGCTACGATCGTCTTGGCGGAAGCGGGGAGCTAGCGGATAAGCGATACGGAGTCGACGCTAGTGGGGGTCAAGGCTGTGCGATGGCGTCAATCACGAGTACTCACCCCAGGCCCGGTTTGCTGCGCATCAACAACTTTACAGACTGCTCGAGTCTCACCTGAAACACCCCACGGTTCGAACAACTCACCTAGGCATACTAATTCCGCCACCTCCTGTAAAAATTGAGAACGTCCAAACATGGCCGAAGTTCAGGGACAGGCTCGTGCTGCAGAGGAGAACCCGCTTCTGGCGGCGCGACCACCCGCTACAGATGCCATCACCTACCTTACCATTGTCGAGTACAACCTTTCCGAGGAGAATCTACCAGTACTACACGAAGTCCTGCAAGATGCCGAGCTCACTTCGACTATCGGCTGGGACTTGATCCACCTACTGCTCCCGCTGCTGCCGGCATCTGAGGAATGCTTGCAAGATATCGCTACCAAGGGCAATCCCCGCGAATGTGTCTTGAAGGTCACTGAAGCTCTGAGATTACTGGAATTTGAGGAACGACAATATTCGGAAGACGAGGAGGGAGAGGGCGCAGAAGGAAGCGGACAGAAGCTCAAAGCTCCCGAGATTGAGGTTGGACAGTCAAGCACGAGTCCGGGATTACCGCGCACCATACTGCCACCACTTCCAGTACTCAAATTTGAGATCCTTCTGGATCTTCTGGCGACACTTCATCGGAGAGTGAAGACCAAATACCCTAGCCGCTTTCTGTCGACAAGCTTGCAGGCTGCCCTGGTGGCTTTCAATAGAGCGACCACCAACATCGATGAGCTCACACTATCTGCGATCAAATTCGTGAAGACTCTGTCTGGTACTAAGAGACCCCATTTGCCTTCACGAAGGAGTAGTGGCCAGCTGCTGCGTACCAGGACAAATCAATCGGAACCAGATCCGGAGGCGCAGAGCGAAGCACCGAATGCTGATGAGACAACATTGGTAAACCGACTGCTGCAGTCATTCATCACACATATTATGGAAGACTATGTACTCTCTTTGACTTCAGACGACGATGTCCCAGGCTTATCATGGTCAAGTCGGCTGATGGAGAAGTACGAGCCGCAGCGGATACCGAAGAAGCCCAACTACCGCAAGTATGCGGACAGATTTGCGGATGATGAGGATCTGACTGGAAGGACTGCTATTCTTGGGCAGATAGTTGCTCTAACTCAGGATCTTGGTCTCAAAACCGAGGATCTGGTAAAAACGGTCATGGACGCAGAGCTTGAGAAACGCGGCGTCCCTGGAACCGAGGACGAACCGCCAGCATCTGCTGAAGATATTCCACTGTCTAGGACAGGAGCGTTGCTCCTTTTGACAGCACGCAACGTGAAGCAAGAGCTATTCGCCGCAGCTAAAGACGATGAGCCATCATCCCTCAGCATCTTCCCAGAACATGCGGCGATCCTCAGCAATTTCGTCGGTGCACTGGGCCCACAGACTGTCGGTCTGGAGCCGGAGGCACTTCTCGACACCATTCTGGCTCTGGGCCTCGTTGCGCTCGAGCAGAACAACATTGGCGAGCCAAAAGATGACGAAGCATTCGCGCAATACCTTCAGACCATCTCCCTCATCTCAGCAAACACACCGTCGCCAAGTCTCCGCGGCCACGCACACTACCTCACGACCACTGTGCTGCGCTCACACCCACATGATCTCGTCCGCCTCACTTTCATCCGTGACACGCTCGAGCACTGTCCATACGAAAACCTGAAGGCCAGCGCAGTGTCCTGGCTCAAAGGCGAAACACTAGAAGCAAACTCCCCGCAAGCGCAGTCACAGGAAGAAGAAGGCGAGACAAATATCTTTGCCACGCCAGTCGCTCTCTCAACCGTCGCGCCTTTCCTCTGGCCCGACCTGACCACCCACTACACCTCTCTCGAAACCGACATTGCAGAAGCATGGATACAGTTCCGCCAAGAACTAGGCTTCTATGTCGCTGCGCTGAACTTTTACTATATGTTGCTTCAGGCGCCGCAACTCCATGATACGTTGGGTATCAAGCAGCTGCAGCTGGGACAGTATATCGACCCGCTGAAGAAGGTGGCGAAGAGGTTTCAACAGGAGTTGGAGGCGGGTGGGGAGAACTTGGATCTTGAGGGTGAGGGGCTCGAGCAGGCGAAGGCGGATGTTGGACTTTTGGAGAAGGTGGTGGAGTGGGTTGAGGGCGCAGGGAAGAGGGTTTAGATGGTCAAATGGGAGTGCTGAAGGATAGTCCAATTATACTCTCAGCTTGTAGAAAGTCCATAGGATGGGCACGGAGCTTCGGCTGAATGAACCACAATCATGTCATCAATCAGTATGCAAAATCTGCACTCCTCTCTAGACTTGCTTGTTCTACATGTAATACGATTTCCAGATATGAGGACTTTTAAATCTGCTATATTTTCTGGAGTCTCGGAGACTGAGGCTCCCAAGATTCACTACGCCGCTGTCATGCGCCAATAACAGTTGGCTCAAGAGCCATGGCCTGTGCTTCGCCTCTGCCCTCACCTTGACACACCTGCGCTCAAGTTCGACACAGACAATCAACAGCTCCAAAGACGAACCAGAATAATGAGAAAGATACTCTCAGGTATAGCTCATCACGATCGAAATCCTCCCAAGTCAGATGACAGCATCCGCCCACCTTACAATGTATGGTCTCCTGCAACTGGTCTCCTTGAGCTTCCAACTGAGCTGCTTATTTCCACCCTCAGCCTTTGTTCTTTACCGGATCTGGTACATGTGTCTAGAACGTGTTGGCTGCTCAATTTTGTCAGCATAAGTGATCATGACGAGCAGTCTGATGTATATAAAGGCTCAAAATTGTCTAGATATCGTTGCTGTATCACACGGTTGACTTAAGTTCACACAACCTCAAAATCGACTGCCAATCAGAGACCTCTAGTGATGCTCGAGTGCCTCCGGATTTCGTACGCTGGAAGTGGATTGGGTATGACTACAAGATTCATCGCAGACTGGACTGCCTTCTACGGACATTGGGAGAGACGCCACAACTGGGAAAGCATGTACGCGAGTCGAATTGGACGAGTCTGGATATGTCCTGGATATGTGAAGACGACTGGGAAGACCAAGACCTCGCACTCAAATATAAGGAGGAGGAAGATCCGGGAGGCGTGCTAGAGCAAGTTCGCAACGAAGCAATGGATGATGGGACTTATTGGTCTTTGCAAAAGGAGGCGTACAAGACTAGAAGGGAGGCAATCTTACGGATGTTCCGGAGTTTTGTCAACGCCACATGTATTGATATCTGCTGGCTCGAGTAAGTTCACTCTACTAAGAAAAATGGTATCGCTAAATCGTGCAGTGAATTCCGCGAACCAAATCTTTCTATTCCACTATTTCCGTCAGCAAGATCGATACGACTGAGCGGATTGACGACGGAATAAAGTGAACAACATCCTGGCACCATCACGCGGAAATCTCAAGCACCTCGAGCTGAACAATCATTTCCAATGGTCTGAAGCTTCGCCTCCATTGCCACAAAGTTTCTCTTCTGAACAGCTCGAAGCACACTGGAGACTCCATAGTACCGACCACAAGGCCGTATCAAACACCCGCCTCATGTCCGGTGCTTTGGACTGTCTGCTCGACCATTGCACCACACTTACGTCTCTTTGTATTACAACAGCCAGCAACAGCGGTGACTGGATCGACAGCAAATCATGGGACGATCAACGCTACTCTTCTTGGGCATGTTTTCTTACCTCAGTGCGCGGTCAGCTACATAATCTGTCTTTCAAGCAAGGCACATCTAAAGCCACAATCGCACACCTCTGGTCATGTCGTCTTCCTCGAAGAGACAATCCCCACGTGATCCTCCACATGAGATTCGGCGAGTATATCATGCCCGTCCTTCTCGAAGCGTCGTGGCCGCGGATTAAGCGTATGGAGGTCAAGGGCGCAGCTTTTGGTGTTGCGGTTAAGTACATGCCTGAGCGGCCTTCACATATGGGAGAGGATGGACAGTTCGACTTTGAGCAGAGTCTGAGAATCTTGCTTCCTGATGATGCGGAATTGGTTGTGGAAGGACAAGAGCGAGATTATAAAGTCATATCCTTTGATGACCTAGGACTCAGTATGTTTGAGGTAGATTCGGAATTCAAATGACCGCCGAGAAGATACCAAAGACCACCGTGAGAGCTCCTACCACATTTGCTCGCGGTCGTAATACCTCTCTTGAGCTTATCACCTGAGCTGCTTTTAGCTCCTGGCTTTTCGATCACCGTCTTACCATTAATCGCCTAAATAGGTAGATACTTGGGTGGTATTGTGCTTGAAGAGCATATTACCATTGCTTTGAACATTAGTACCGTATCATGCCGGATAGCTATGGTCCTGACAGGGTAGCTCCAGCTTGTTTGCACTTACTTCGAAACTTGAGAGTGCCCGTTCGTTTGTTAGTCGTGAACAACACTCCAAAGCCCTGACTCCTGCACTTCATCCGCCCAGAAAATATCCATGCTCTTGTGACGACACATCATACCTGCCTAGAAATCGGATCGTGAAGCTGTCCTAATCTAGTAACCCGCGCCACCGGCTTCCTATTTCGGACCAACAGCTTTCCCCACTGGAGCTACCCCTCACGGTACCTCGAACGACCCCACCCCAAGCCATGCGATGTGCCGTGTCGTTGGAAATGATGGCGGACGCGTTTCCGTGTGGCCGGCCGCGTGATTGGGATGCGGAAGTTGAAATTCCTTTAATGGGTTTTGGGCTCTGGCGTTTTTGGCACTTTTCCTTCTCGTGAACTACGCTTTGAAATCCCCACATTCCTAGTGATTTGAGCACAGAATATAAAAATGTCATGTATGTATGATGTATTAATATGTGAGATTTGAGACTGACTGAGAAACTACAGCAAAACACTTCATCCACGATCCCACACACCTCGTCAACACCGCGCTCCTGAGCATCCCGCAGACCAACCCCTCAGTTCAATGCGACATCGCCAACAAGATCATATATCGCAAAAACGGCGCGTCGCAAGTCTCCATCGTCTCGGGCGGCGGCTCAGGCCATGAACCCAGTTTCGCGTCGTTCGTAGGCGCCGGTCTTCTTTCCGGCGCTGTTGCAGGCACAATATTTGCGTCGCCGAGTGCCGAGCAAGTGCGGCGATGTATATTGCACCGCGTGCAGAAAGACAAGGGCGTCTTGGTCGTGGTTATGAACTATACGGGTGATGTTCTGAATTTTGGTATGGCGGTTGAAAAGGCGCGAGCTGCGGGGATCGAGGTGGATATGGTTGTTGTTGGGGACGATGCTGGTGTCGGGAGAGCGAAAGGAGGAAAGGTGGGAAGGAGAGGTATTGCGGGGACGGTTTTGGTGCATAAGATTGCTGGAGCGCTGGCTGCAAAAGGGTATGCGATATCTTCTTCGAGTTTCAAAACGGATGGAAGAAGGGTGTCGGAGGCTAATATGTGCGCAGGGCAAACCTTAAGGAAGTAACGCGCATTGCACAACTCGTTGCGGACAACACCGTCTCAATCGGATCTTCGCTTTCGCACGTGCACGTCCCCGGACGTCGGGAGCCCGAAGATGATGAACTGAAAGAGGGTGAGGTCGAGATCGGAATGGGTATCCACAACGAAGCAGGTTCTGAGCGTAAGAAGACAGACCTACCTGGACTCGTTAAAACGATGTTGTCGCACTCCCTCAACACCGCAGATCAGGATCGCAGCTTTTCCAAGATCACCGAAAAAGATGAAGTGATACTGCTCGTGAACAACCTCGGTGGAGTCAGTCCTCTCGAACTGGGTGGTATCACCAACGAGGTCGTGGAGCAGCTGGCAAGCGAGTTCAAGATCAAGCCTGTCAGAATACTGGCTGGTACATTCATGACAAGCTTGAACGGTCTAGGTTTCAGCATCAGTCTCCTAAGAGTAGCGGACACTGGATCTGCAGGAGCTTCGATGTTGGAACTGCTGGATGCGCCGACAGAAGCGTGTGGTTGGTCTGCAGCCATCAGCACGAGCACGTGGGCGAAACGAGGAGAGGTGAAGCAACAAGAAGATCAGATGGCTGCAGACGAGGTTCAGCCAAGTAACCTTAGAGGTAAGGCACCCGTGGATCACGGGTATTCGCACACTGACAGCGTGTAGTCGAGCCTGGCCTAGCCAAGAAGACCCTAACGAATGCGCTCAATAGGCTTATTACAGTAGAGCCTGACGTCACGAGGTACGATACGATCGTCGGGGATGGCGATTGCGGCATAGGACTGAAGCGCGGCGCGGAATGTAAGTGGTGATCACGTGTCTGGTTGCCTGATGTTGACCATTCGCCCAGCAATTCTGAAGATGCTTGAGACGGCAAAGGAGACGGATGATCTTCTGATTCTGGTGAACAACATCATTCAGGTCGTCGAAGTTTCCATGGATGGTACATCTGGTGCCATTTATGCTATTTTTCTGAACGCACTGGCCCATGGTTTGCGACAAAATGCGCCTAGTTCGCCCCAACCGGTCACGCCTCAAATTTGGGCGAAAGCCCTTGAGTCATCGCTGCAGTCGCTGGGAAAGTACACGCCAGCTCAACCCGGAGATCGGACCTTGATAGACGCGCTGTACCCATTCGTTCAGACGCTGTCCAAAACAGGCAGTATCGATGAGGCAGCGAAAGCGGCACAACAGGGATCGAAGGGTACCAAAGGAATGAAAGCCAGTCTCGGAAGAACTGTCTACGTTGGTGGTGTAGGTTTCCAAGAGGTGCCAGATCCCGGTGCACATGGGCTCGCAGAACTGTTGCTGGGTTTGAGCGAAGGTCTGAAGAAGTGAAAAGGCTCTGGGTATCGTTTGATTGTTCGTATTCGGGGGAACCGCCCGGTCCTCGATGTTATGTAACTTTTATCTCCATCTCCCCCGCGTCGCCGAGACCGCGCCCGCCTTAGTAGCGTAGGGTATTCGTAAATCATGATAGCAAAACAAGAATGACAGAGTCACCGCGCAAGAAACTGCTGGCTGTTAGCATGGCGTACGTCTTGAACGCAGACGATACGTACAGCTTCGAAATGAAACGGTCCTTGTTGACCTTCCTGCCGTACTGCCCATTGGCCAAGCGTGGTGTCTCAGTCCACATCTCCTTCGCGTTCTCGAGGACCATGTTACAGTGACGATCGAAGGCTTTGACACGCGCGAGGATCTTGCGGTTGTTGCGGCATGAGATCAGAACTTGGGTGCGGGAGCGAACGGCAGTCTGGAGGATCGAGAGGGGGCCGGTAGTGAGCTCATGCTCCTCGACTTGAGCGACTTCATATTCGCTATGCAACAGTCAGTATCAGATAAACATATAGAAGGGGAACTTCATGCACTTACGTCAACTCAGAGCGCGGCTTCGCGAGGAGCTCTCTGCAACACGTTAGCAACTCTGCATGTCTATGTTAAGGTTGATTAAATGTACTGGACTTTGGCATCGACCATATTTGCGATCGGCGAGAGTATGAAATGCGAATGGAAGCGTACGACGGTCTGGTGTTGCTGTTAGCTTTCCGTGTACCAGCTTCTGCCTGCGAATATTCTCTGCGCACGTGCTGTCCGCGATTGGGAGCCTGCGCAGATAGATGCACAGACCAAGAGTGGGTGTACGTACCTGGTATAGGCTTATAAAACCACGGCAACGCGCTTGGATGATTGATGTGGAGCGATCGGAGATGGATATCAAGAAAGAAGTTGAGGTGAGCGTGCTTGGCGGAAATCGAGCTAGACCGTGGGTTTATCCGGTGCCGAGCCAATAGAAAGACGCGCAAGATTGGCGTCGAGTGCGTCACGCGTAGTAGCGTAGACCGCGGGAACTCTAGCTTCAAACCTCCCCAAGCTCGTGCCTTTGCACCTCACGACACGGCTGTCTTCGCCATTTCTACGCCTCTACACGCCCTTTTTTTTTCCTTTCTTCGACGCGTGTTGCTGCCTGCTGTAGCACTTCGTGGATCTCGCCTACTTATAGACCCCGAAATCCCGTCTTTTACCCGTTTTGACGTTCTCATTCTCGTTCCGTGGTTCTTTGGCACGCGCTCCGCTATGATACGCCAGCCACCGATCGCGACTTAGAAACACTGACCACGTCCCTCCCTTTTCACCACGCGACTCCACTCACCTCCACGACGCGGCCTGTCTACCTCGATAACTTAACCCATGGGCAGCCATGTCGACGCCCATCAGTACACCGGCGGAGAGTGGTGCCATGCAGCAAACGCCCGCGTCTGCTACCGCAGATGACAACAGCATGAGCGACATTCCGCGTCGATCAATGCGAGGCAAGCTTGTCAAATCTTCGTGATAGTCTGTATCTAACCTCGGTGCCTATAGTCAAGGTACTGTACACGTTCGACGATCAGAACAAGTCAAACTGCCTGGCCCGACTGCCGAACGCGTTCGACGTCCCCGTTGTCTCACTCGACGAGAACACGCAAGTAGGAGTCATTGAGCTTAAGACATGCATCCAGGCAATAGTCTCTTCAAGGTGGGTGGATAATCACGCTCATTGGTGCGCCATCGCTCATCACTCGCTGCTTTAGTCCCGAGCTCGTTGCGAAACTGGGCCATGACTACACCGTCTACGCCTACGACTTTTCCGAATACGAGACGCCTCTAGTCGGGCAAGGAATGCTGTCATGGATCCTTGCCTCCGCCTCCTCGACACCCAATGCTCCTGCCGACGAGTCCCAGACCATGGTCACCGGTCGTGTGTGTCAAAATATGCAAGGACTTTTCGGGAAAGGCTTGAAGGAGACTTTGGAGGTTAAGCTGAAGCTGGTGCCTGTCCCAACAAGCATGCAACATGAATATGTCGAGAACATGGAGAGATACCACAGCCTGAGTCAGCTGATGCCAGAAGGTTTCGACTACAATGCCTGGTCCGACTTCCTGAAAGAGAACCCCGCCTTGAGCCAACTTGCCCAGCCAATGCCCACAATGCCCGGCCACACTTCTCAGCGCTCGTCTGTCGGAGGGTTTGAGCCATTCCATCAGATGCTCACCCGCAACAGCCCGTCACAGGATCCTATGCGGACCGACTCTTTCTACGACCAATCGAATTTGTCATTCAACACACAGCCGACCCGTGCCTCTAGTCCAGCCATGAGCACCCTTTCCTTCCACCACTACCAGTACAACCCAGACTCCCGACCAGCATCCCGCGCATCTGTGCGAAGCGACGTCATCCCGCCGCAGCACTATCAAAGTCAAGATCAGTACATGTTTGAGCAGCAAGAGGAGGGCCCTCCAAAAAAGCGCGCCCGTATCATTCAGACGAAGAGGCCCAAGAAGACGCCATTGACGGCACACAACGATTCGCTTCGTGTGACGGCTAGCACAGCGGCATCTGTACGTCTTCATAGACCTCTTGCCGCCAACCCTGCTGCAGCCTTGGCGTCTGCCGATTCGATACCCCGGGCACCCACACCACGGCCGGGCGATGCAGCATTTGGGCAGCGCGGAAGTCGTCGCCTGCCAGCTCCCAGTGCGTTACGACATGCATCCATGGACCAAAGCCAACCGTACATGTCGCCATATGATCCAAGCATGTTTTCCGATACCGCCGTAGATTCGACAGATGACGAGAGAGGAGAGAGTCCGGGAGACACACCCATGGACATGCCTTCCTCTCCTCCACTCGCACCTCAACGTACGGCGTCCCCTGATCCATCCAGCCCACCTTTACCTACCCTACCGCTGCCCAATGACTCTGGTTTCGTTAGTGACATGCCACTAGGTCTGGAAGAGGACGGCATGGACTTCGGAAGTAACATCTGGGACGGCAGTGACTTGCCCGTTGCCACTGAAACCCGCATACGCAGACGCCAGGACCGATCAGGTAACCCTTGGCAACAGGTCAATCCAGGCCCTGTCGACCGATTACCGCAATCATATGTACCGAAGCCGAAGCAACACTACCGTAAACCTTTACCGCAGCAGATTGCACAAAGTATCGAGCAGCAGCCGAATGGTGTGTCCATCAATGGACGGGAGCACATACAACCCACGAACCAGGACTCGGCTGCCAGCCATTCGGGGCCTATGGAGTCACATTCCCAAGAATCGACACAGCAAAAAGGTGACCGGCGACAGTTTCCAAATAATACAGCTCATGGAAACTCACCAGACGCGACTGCTTCACATGTTTCGCCTGTCAGTGAGGTTGATGCACATGTCTATAGCCGCTCTGCAACTCCGAACCTGCCTCCGCAGAAGGCTAAAGCGTCCAGGGGCAAGGGACTCTCGAGGTCTCAAACATGGTCGGGAACAGGCGAGCCCATGTCAGATGCTCCTATGCCATCGGACTCTGCCAATCCTCGAAGTGGATCCGGTGCCAGACGAAAGAAGTATATCAAAGAGAAGATGGAGCAAGCCATTGCTGCGGGCGAACTACCACCACACTGCAAGAACTGCGGAGAGATCGACACACCAACTTGGAGGAAGGCTTTCACCCGCGTTGAAGAAGGCACGCCAAATGATATTGAAATTTCCAAGGATGCAACAGGGACGGGTATCATTGCTTACGAAGTCATTGAACCTTCTGAAGAGAATGGTGGGCTCCTATCCTATCGAGTCTTCAAGAACAAGGTCACGCGCGAGGAACTAGACGGCAAGAAGTTTGAGGATCTTAATTTGTGCAACCCATGTGGGCTGTGGCTTATCAAGAAGGGCTCAATGCGGCCACGGAAGCTCTGGGACAAGTCAGATCGTGGAACGAAGCGCAAACGCCAGACAACAGCTGCACGTACCAAATCAATCAGCATGGATGACGGCCCAGCGTCGGACGCCCCTGTACCGCACTCTGAGCCGATCATGCCAGAAGAGAGTGCGGGAGCCATCCCGACAGTTGATGGTAGTGCGGATCCTACTATGCCCCCTCCGCCACCTTCTCTCGGACGGGCAACCAGCTGCATGTCATCGATAAATGCCTCTGAGTTGGACAAGGAAGCTGCAGAAGAAGCATTGAGGCGAGCTATTCAGTCAAGCCCTGCAGGCGTTCGAGGGAGCAGACATTCTCCCATTGATGTTGACCCTGACTTGACGCCAAAGCCAACGCGCCGACTACTCTTTCCTTCGCCACGTAAGGACGGCCAAGCGAAGTCTCTGTCACCACATCCACCACATCCTCGAACGGTTTCAGATGATGGCAACAGGGACGTCGTACCAGACAGGCCACGGTGCCAAAGATGTAAAAAGTTGCATCGGGCCTGTGATCGAGAACGGCCGTGCAACACCTGTGATAACGCGGGGATTGGGTTTGACGGTTGCGTTCCCTCAGCGATGCCGAGAACTAACTGGTTCGAGACGCCTGTTGTACAAATGGCCAATGTTGAACAGGAGAACCCAGATAAGGAGAACTGCCCACCGCCACTAGCTCAAGAAGAGGATGACCTTGCGCACCTTTTTGAGGATTCAGCATCTCCCAAGACTACGCCACAGAAGGATATGACGTTTCAAGACTTACTGAAGACTCCGACTCCTGGCTCGCGCCGTAGGAACGCTCTTACTCCTAGAAGAGGTGCGGAGAATGGCGATCTTCTTATGACCCCATCACGTATAACGCCTTCACGAAACATTCTCACTCCACGAGGCACCCGAGCTGTAACTATTGCCCCAGAGACGCCCTTCACTCGACAGCTCAACGCCATGCTTTCAGACGGTGGCAACTTCTCATCTCCATCTCAAGCTCTTGACTTCAACAACTTCCCAACCTTCAACACTCCAGGACGCCAATATGCTGACTTCATGAACGACGAATTCCTGTCTAGCGACATGGGCATGCAAAGTTCGCCACCCAAAAACGGCACACTAGGTCTCGGCTTCGAACTCTACGAAGACCCCATCACCTCGACGACTGGCCTGTGGAACGGCGCAAGCATGTTCGGCAGCGACTCCATGTTGCACAGCTTCGACAACGATGTAAAGATGGAATTGAACAATGGCCAGGAAACCGCTGCGTTGCTTAAGATGAACGTGGGCGGTATCACCATGGACTTTGCCGCCATCATCGAGGAAGTGGTGGCTAATAACAACGGCGAACAACAAGACACCGAGACGGCGATAAGTCCTGAGGATCAGAGTCAGGGGCTCGGACAAACGCCTGAGATGCAACTTGCTGAGTAGCAAGCATCGCTTGGGAATGGCGGCATGATGAGAGGATGGGATGATTGTGCTTTTTTGACACTTTAGCGATTTACGGTCTTGCATATCACGGCGCAATGTAGCTATGACGGAATGGGAACAAGCACTTTTTAGTGCAAGTGCTGCGTAAGAGATTTAGAGACGGTCGATGGCTTTGACACTTGCATCGCAGAGCATGAAGGAATACAATCAATCAATCAATTTTTAGAGAACTTACAAGTCTATCACGTTCGCGCCTTGAGTGTTGTGCCACAGTATGATGAAATCTGATTATGTATGATAATTCTGCTTGGTAACGCGAAATGGAGAATTTGAAGCACACACTGCTCTCAGGGGTATAGAAATTCCACGAATCCGATAAAACGCCGAGGCATGAAGCCAAAGAAGAGTACTCATAAGACCTATTCGAAATTGAAGAACGCGTCGTCAAAAGACGATTGCTCCGGATTCGCATACTCGTCCATGTTGAACAAATCATCGAGGTTCTCCGTCATCATGCCGCCCATGAGATCGTCGTTATTAGCCTCGTTGTTCGCAGTATCGTTGTTGGCAGCCTCAGCCTCAGCCTCAGCAGCAGGAGCAGGAGCAGGAGCAGGAGCAGGTTCAGCAGGTGGCTGTGGCGGCGGAGGCGTCGGCTCTTTCGGCGGCGCTGGTTGTTCGACGGGCGCGGGCGGTTCAGCGCTCGTGTTCAGGTCTGGCAGGTCGGGCATAGTCATGTCAATATCGACGTCCATGGTTCCAGTATTCTGCGCAGTCGAACTATCAACACTATCCTTTGCAAAGTCCTCGAGGCCGCGCAGCAGAGAAGGGCTCTCGTCGAAGTTGAAGTCCATATCTCCCGACGTGTCCATCATATTGTCCTGGTTATTATTGTCGCCAGATGTATCCATTGCGTCGCCGAACATGGCGTCGAAGTCGAATTCGTTTTCCTGCGGGTTTGCGGTCGTGGGCGTGCCGTCGAAGAGGGGGTCGCGTTCTGTTTCCTGGGTGACAGATGTGTCGATTGGCGGGGGCACGTTTTCTTCTTCGCGCTTCAAGGGCTTTTCGGGTGAGGGTTCCTGCTCGAGTTTGGTTTCTGTGGGCGCTTCGGATTGCACTGGGGTAGAGACCTTCTCCACCACGGGGTCTGGCAGCTTGATGGAGGTTCCGACGTTGCGGGATTCAGCTGCTAGTCTCGCTTTCTCTGCTTCTTTCTCTTTCGCGGCTATTTCGCGCTTCTTGCGGTCCTGCTTCAGCAACGCAAGGTCTCTGCGCAGCACTACTTGCGCAAGGCGCACTTCGTTCTCCAGCTCGTCGAGCGCATCGTGCCAGCGTTCTGTTGCGATTGGTACCGCGCGCTGAAACGCCAGTTTCTGGCGACCAGTGCCGCCGCCTGATTGGTGTTCTTTGATGAAGCGCCCGGATTGCAGGAAGACCAGGTTCAGCATGCTCTGTAGGGTGTCGAGGTTCTGGGTGCCAATAAGCGGCTGCGCGCCGGGTGGCTGCTGGTCTGGTTGTGCTGGCTGTGTGGCGGCCATGTTGGCGGCTGTGGGACGGGGTGGTGTGGTGTGATGGAGAGTCGTCGAGGTGCAGCAGATGTGTCGGAGACGCGCAGACGGACGCGAGGGATGATCGGCGGTCGGCGTGTTCACTACCTTTGCCTTTGACACATGCGGGTTGGCTTTCCGCTGGTAGCGTTGAGCCTAAACTGGCGTGGCACCAAGCTTTCCACAGCCGAAGCGCACCTGCCGTTCATTACACGCCAAGCCTGAAATTTTCCAGCGCACCTTCCCATTGAGCGTCGCGGGGAAGGGGCGATGTCGAGGGGCGGATAGCATCAATTGTATTCAGTGCCATCATGTCTAGGCAGCAGAGATCGAGGCAGCCATCCGCTAGCACATGGTAACGTGTATTACTAGGAGGACCCTTTTGCACTTTTGCAGACGTTTCTTTTCGTGAGCCAACCTTGGAACTCCACTCACACAATCCCGATCACGCCTTCCACAGCGATTCGCAGTGCAGCACACAAGACGCTGCCAGCACACCCTCCCCGAAGCCCGCAGTAGTTCGCCAGTGGCAGCCGTGAGCCCCTCCAGACCAGCGGTGCCGGGACTGATATAGGTGTACCAAACCGCTGTCGCTGGTAGAGTAAGCGGCACGGTAAGGCTACGGTGGTCCAGCTAACGCCCGGCCCGCCGTGCATTCGGGGCGCTTGGGCTAATTCTTGCTGCGCTCACCCTTCGCACCTCTCCCTCCTCACCCCACACAGAACCCAGGCTATCAGCTTTCCGTTGTCCGGCGTCGGTTCTTTGCGTGTCTTCGCATCTCCTTACCCTCTCTCTTCCTCTGTTTCCTCTGCTTCTTTCTTTGCGCATCTGGTCTTGCTCGCGCCTAACGACTTTCCTTGCCGCCTGCCTCGCGCTCGACCACCTGCTCCCCTCGTGGCCGTGTCGACGTCGCTTCCCTGCATCGCTCGCCTGGTTGCCCAAGACTTCATTTCTCCAATCCCCCATTAACGAGCCACGTGCGCCCTCTGCGCACCTTTTCCTAGCAGCAATGGCCGACCAGCAACAGTCTGGAGGTAACCTCCCACCTCCACCCGGAGCCCCTGGCTATGACGGACAACACGGCGCTCCCCAGCAGCATATGCCTCCCCCGCCGCTCGCACCTGTGGTCATCCCCCAGAACACGAACCCCATCCCCACCGCCATGGGCTCGCCCTTGCCTGGCAACCCGGGCCTGGACGCCATGTCTCCCGGCAGTGGTGGACCAGGCTACGTCCCGCGTCGCGCCGCGCCCGAACCGAACAAGCGAGCTCTGTATGTGGGAGGACTGGACCCCCGAGTAACTGAAGATGTGCTGCGTCAGATCTTCGAGACGACTGGCCACGTCCAGAGCGTCAAGATTATTCCAGACAAGACCGTCAGTTCTCCGTCTGTAAGATAAAACTCCAGCGCTGCATTGCTTTTTCCATGTCGTGTGGCACAGTCTGGGTCTATCTTGCATTATTTGCGAAATACACGCGGGCTGACGGCTAACAGGTGAATTCAAAGGGCTTCAACTATGGGTTCGTCGAGTACGATGACCCGGGGGCGGCCGAGAGAGGCATGGCGACTCTCAACGGCCGTCGTATCCACAACAACGTAAGCGCGCATCCCCAGATCTGTGTGGGAGTACACGTCTGACCCAGACAGGAAATTCGTGTCAACTGGGCTTATCAGTCAAACAACACCGCGAAGGAGGACACTTCCAACCACTTCCACATCTTTGTCGGTGACTTGTCCAACGAGGTCAACGACGAGGTCCTTCTCCAGGCGTTTTCTACTTTCGGTCCCGTCTCAGAAGCTCGCGTTATGTGGGACATGAAGACGGGCAGATCGCGTGGATACGGATTCGTCGCTTTCCGGGATCGTGCTGATGCTGAGCGCGCGCTCAGCTCCATGGACGGAGAGTGGCTTGGGTCTCGTGCCATTCGCTGCAACTGGGCCAACCAGAAGGGTCAGCCCTCCATTTCCCAGCAGCAAGCCATGGCATCCATGGGCATGACACCCACAACTCCTTTCGGACACCACCACTTCCCAACTCAGGGTGTCCAAAGCTATGATATGGTTGTTGCGCAGACTCCCCAATGGCAGACTACGTGCTACGTCGGCAACTTGACTCCATACACTTCGCAGTCTGACTTGGTCCCGCTATTCCAGAACTTTGGATATGTCACCGAAACACGTTTCCAGTCTGACCGTGGATTTGCTTTCATCAAGATGGATACTCACGAGAACGCCGCCATGGCAATTTGTCAACTTAACGGGTACAATGTCAACGGCCGTCCACTAAAGTGTAGCGTAGGTTGATGTGTTTCCTTTTCAATCTCTTTCCTTGCTTACAATTTCTCTTAGTGGGGCAAAGACCGTCCTCCGACGGGCCAATTCGAAGGCTACTCGCCCGCAGGTCCCAACTCAGCTTACCCTCAAACCCCAAGCGCGTACTTCCCTCAGTACGGAGGTGGTGGCCCGGGTGGTCCCATGTCAGGTGGTCCTATGTCGGGTGGTCCCATGTCGGGCGGTCCCATGTCGGGTGGCCCCATGTCACCCTCAGGTGAGCGGCACCGGAGGAAGCTGCAATATCGCAAAACACAATCTAATGCGCGGGCAGGACCCAGCCCCGGTGGACAACCATTTGCCCAGCAGCAGCAGGGCTTCGGCGGTCCTGGTATGAACTACCCTCCACAGATGCAGACGCCCCAGAGTGCCGGTGGCTACGGCCGCGGTGCTCCCCAGCAGCAGTGGGGCCAGCCCCAGCAAGGCAACTTCAACCAGAACGGCTTTGGCGGATACCAAGGTTGAGCATGACGTTTCATATCAGTCCTTCTCTGCTCTTGCATTGCTCGACTCATTATTACGAAATGTCTGGTTGTTTACACGAGGTGTCCGTTGGATAGACGCCATCTTCTTGGATCCATCTCATCAGCTATCTGCCCATATCTATTCGACGGGGACTCTTCTGTTATTCAAAATTGGTGTACGAGCAGTGTCGATCGTTGCACAGGGTTATTTTCTCCAAGCTGCGCACAATCTTCTTAGCGTACATCCTGCTTTCTAGGGTTTGCGCTAGAGTATGTGTGCCTTTTTAACGGTCGGAATCACGGAAAGAGCTTTTGAATGAATTTCCTTGCTCCCCTCCATATGTCGTTGTCTGCTTGGCTGTTTTTTGGGCACATACAATCTTGCCGTCTGCCCATCTTCATGTTGCTTGTTTGATACCTTATTCTTACACCTCTTAAAAGCATTTTGCCTTATTCCCTTGTGTAGCATGAAAACACCTGGCCTGTGGTATGGGCATAAGTGGTGATATGAGCTTTCGTCTAGCGTTTAGCGTTACCCGATTTTGCACTTTTAGTATGGGCTCGGTTGCTCAATGGTATTGGAGTACATGCAGATTTGGACTGGAAGCAAAAATAATGAAATGCGAAGAGCATGTAATAGGCAGCATTGATACATAGCTGACGAAATCGACGTTCGAAGGTGATAGCAATGCATGAGGCTTCCATGGCATTAATCAGAACATATTGATCTACTGGCGGATACCGACGTCACATTTGTAGTGACACTGATAGCCTAGCATTTGTGTGCTAAAATATTTCCCATCACATGTGACGGTAAATATTGGTACTTACGCAAGAAAGGGAACGATTCATTTGTTTACCAGAAGCTACATGCAGTGTTGCTCGGCTTTAACTAAGCGCCCGAGGCCCTGTGGATAGCTTCAGGTCATATTATGAGCTACATGTCGCAATTTGATCGCTTTCATCGTGGTTGCCCAGGTGTGGCAGTGGGACCGGGCTAAGAAAGCTCGCCTCGCGAAGTCACGTGTTTAGTCCCACTTTGCCCGCGAGAAAGCGCGTTCCATCGCGTTGTGGGTCAGTGCATCTCACCAAGCATCACTCCCCGCCGTTTGGGCATGCACTTTCTCGACACTCTGTCGCTAGTTTTTTCCTTTCTCATTGCGCTCCTCGTGTGCTGTATGCTTCTCGCACTGACTAGGCTGGGTGCGTCGCTGAAATTGTTTTCTCCAAAACAATCGCCTTCGTACCCTGCATCCACACACCTCCGAACGCGCCTCTCAACCGCACGTCCCAACCGGGTTTCGACCTCACCGCGCCCATACTACGGCTACCTTTCTACCAGGCCACAGTCCACAGTGACTATGTTCAAGCAAGCTGTGAACAACCACAATGCTGCTATTCCTCAACCCGCGCCCACCGCCGCCTCGAAGCAGCAATCACTAGGAAGCTCATTCGCACGGACCGGATCAACACAGAGCAACACGAATCCGCTGGCGAGTAGCACAAAGCAGAACGGTGCTGGGAAACCTGGGCTATCGGGACCTCTGGCTCGAGGGTCGTACAACCAAGGGACGAAGAGAACGTCAACTGGCCTAGCGAAGACGTTGGACTTCCACGAAGATATCATCGACTACCCTACGCTCAATATAGTAGACTTGGAGAAGGAGAACGATCTCCCAATGGCATATAGCGCGTCAGCACGAACCAAAAGTGCCGGACTGGCGACTGCTCTGTTCGATGAGGACGACTTCGACAGCGATATCGACCTGGATGTAGAGGATCCCGCGACCAAAGGGTCCGTATCATATCCCAAGCTACCCCACACAACATCGAGTGAATCGCGGGACTCTGGTTACCAGTCGCATCCTCAAACAGCTGCTCAAAAGTTGGAATTGGACAGCAGCCAGCCAATACCGTGGTCATCGTCCCCGCTAGAGCATTTCAAAACACCACGGAAAGTGGAGCCAGCTAAGCCTAGGGCCAGGCGTGCGTTCCTGCCTTGGTCACAGAACCAAAAGGCGGCCAATACGCAAGAGGCGAAAGATGAGATAGACTCGGAAGAAGAAATCATACGGCCAAAGAAGAGGCAAACTACCGAAGTCAAGGCAGAAGTCGCCGCGACGCCTAAGCCAAAGTCACAGTATCTCTGGAATGCGACAGCAAGCGCCCTGAAAGAACAACAGAAAAACTTGCGAGAACAGAATAAGAAGCAGACCAAGGAAGCTGATACCTCCGTGGACGATCTCCAAGCAGCCGTGAAGAAGAGGAAGAAGAACGCTGTGGCTCGCATATTTCTAAGTGAAGAGCAACAGAATGTGCTCAACCTGGTCACAGAGTACAAGAAGAGCGTGTTCTTTACTGGTTCGGCCGGTATGTTGCAAGTCACCCCACACAATTCTCATTGCTGATTGTTCTAGGTACCGGAAAGTCTGTTCTTCTACGAGAGATTATCGCAGCTCTACGGAGAAAATACGTTCGCGAGCCAGACCGAGTCGCAGTCACGGCATCCACGGGGCTAGCAGCGTGTAATGTGGGTGGCGTCACGCTGCACAGCTTTTCAGGCATCGGACTCGGCAAAGAGCCTGCTGAAGACCTGATCAAGAAGATCCGAAGAAATGCCAAAGCCAAGCAAAGGTGGATGCGCACGAAGGTTCTCATCATGGATGAAGTCTCTATGGTGGACGGAGATCTATTCGACAAGCTCGAGCAGATTGCGCGGACGATTCGCAACAATGGCAGGCCGTTTGGCGGCATCCAGCTCGTCATCACCGGCGACTTTTTCCAATTACCGCCCGTACCAGAATATGGCAAAGCCTCAAAGTTTGCCTTCGATGCTGGCACCTGGACGACTTCGATCGAACACACTATCGGCCTCACCCACGTCTTCCGTCAAAAGGATCCCGTATTCGCAAATATGCTGAACGAGATGCGTGAGGGAAGGCTAACACCAGACTCGATTGCGCGGTTCCGGAAACTGGATCGGGCACTCCCCGCGTCAGACGAGAACATTGAAGCTACTGAGCTGTTCCCTACCCGACAAGAGGTGGACCGTGCGAATAACCTTCGCATGCAGCAACTGCATGGCACCGTTTTCAGTTTCGAGGCAAGAGACGGAGGCACAATCACAAACAAGGAACAGCGCGACCGGTTACTGCAGAGCTGTATGGTCCCGGAGGTTGTGCATCTCAAGAAGGGCGCCCAAGTTATGCTGGTCAAGAACATGGACGACACATTGGTGAACGGCTCGTTAGGCAAGGTGACGGGCTTCATGACAGAACAGATGTTCGTGCTCTACAAGGAAGACGAAGAAGCCTTCCTTGAGGGTGGAGCATCGGAACAGGCCATGAAGAACGAAATGGCAAAGTCGACCTTGGGTCTCAACACAGCACAAGTCTTCCCTGTTGTACGATTTGCTATCGCTGACGGCACAACACGTGACCTGCTCTGCAAACGAGAAGACTGGAAGATCGAACTTCCCAACGGCGAAGTGCAAGCATCTCGGAGTCAGATCCCGCTCATTCTTGCGTGGGCGTTGTCTATTCACAAAGCCCAGGGTCAAACACTGGAGCGTGTCCGTGTCGACCTTGGCCGAGTCTTCGAGAAGGGTCAAGCATACGTAGCGCTCTCACGTGCAACGAGTATGGCTGGTCTGCAAATCTTGCGCTTCGATCCGCGAAAGGTCATTGCACACGAAAAGGTGCGCTCGTTCTACAGCAGCTTGAGCCGTGCGGAGCAAGTAGAAGGCAAGGCGAAGAGCAAGACAATCCTCGGCAAGATGCAAACCGCAACTGCGAAGAAGAAGGGGGTGGATAATGAGGAGTGATCAATGTTCTATCTTGGGTATATGGCGTTTCTACAATCGGTCCTCGCGGACATGTATGACACTAGCATTGGCGGAGTTACTGCGGCTTCAAATAATGGTGTAAAGTACGAACGGTGTACGAGGAGTTGCATGTAGCGTGGTCACGATATCCGCAATCGAGCAGTATTTCTTTACAGAATCCAACAGAATCCAACAGAATCCAACAGAATCCAAACGTTCCTTGGGACATGTATATGAATGCACTAGGCAACATCAAAAGAGTGGATCTAAAGATGGTACCTGACTGGAGCCACGCGATGTCTATTTCCGACTTATCGATAGCGATCTCGGATCTACGCAGCACGTCACGCTCAATGTCTGCCCCTCTACGCGCTTCTCGACAACTTCTAACGCTACCTTACACAAGTACTTCCTCAATCATATCCTCGTAGTCAGAATGCATATTCTCGTAAGTCGACATAATCCAATGGCCCGATTTCAGCTCTTAACACTACATAGATCACCAACGACGATGGCCCGCCCTCGGACGAGTCCTCGCCCTATGTGCACTCTCTCGTGTCCACGTTACAAAAGCATGGGCATACCGTCTCCGTAGTGTTACCGCATACCCAGCGGTCATGGATAGGCAAAGCGCATCTTGTCGGCAAATCGGTACGTTTACCTCAACCATGCTGCAATGTGCTGCGCAGCGTTTACTAGTAGACATGAGGACTTGCGCTCACAACCATCTGCTACAGATCAAACCAACTTATTATCGCCCTACACCTCTGCAAACTACCACCGACGGTCGCCTTACGAACCACGGTTCTACACATAACACACCTCTCCCAACCAACAGCACCGAAGAGGAATGGGTCCTGGTCGACTCCACACCCGCCTCATGTGTGCAAATCGGTCTCTACCACTACTTTTCTGCCCGTGGCCCCATCGACCTCGTCGTCTCGGGCCCCAACTACGGGCGCAACAGCACGGCTGTCTTCTCCCTCAGCTCCGGCACAGTTGGCGGCGCAATGGAAGCCGCCGTCTGCGGCGTCAAGTCGATCGCCCTATCTTACGCTTTCTTCGACCGCAACCACGACGCAGGCATAATATCAGACGCCTCTGAACTGAGCGCGAAACTCATACAACACCTCTACGACAACTGGGACTCGAACACTCACCTGTACACCGTCAACGTCCCGCTTGTGGAGAAAGTCGGCGACCGCAAAATCCTTTGGACAAACATGCTCCAGAACAAGTGGAAATCCGGCTCGTGTTTCCAGGTCGTCGAAGTCCCCTCTGAAGCCGACGATTCGCCGTCCGAGATCGAGTCGCAGATCCGCAAACAAGAGGAGAAGCTGGGCAAGAAGGAGCTGCGATCTAACAGTCAGGGTGTGCTGCAAGAGGGCACGAATTCTGGCGCGGAGACGCCGACGGGCAAGGAGCATATGCGGTATACGCACAAGCACTTCAAGTGGGCGCCGAGCTTCAAGGATGTGTATGAGAGTGTGGAGGAGAGTGAGCCTGGGAATGATGGGTGGGCGGTTGCGCAGGGGTTCACAAGTGTGACGCCGTTGAGGGCGAATTTCATGCATGTTGGTGGATTTGAGGGGGAGATTAAGCTGTAAAAGCTTCTGAACACATCAAGAATTACAAGAAAGCATGCTCTTGATACTCAAATACCATGACGGCTTGACAAAAACGCCTACGTTTTCGCCTCAGAAATGTGTAGTATTGACACTACCTCATGCCGCTCGCTCAAGGAAAGTTTAGCCGAGGCGCATCCGCGGTCTTTGCATCATTGAACTTTTGCCAAAAGTTGCATCACCACAATTCCACAAACCCGTAACGTACCACAACACAAATCCCCAAGACCCAACCAACACTTTAAACTCTACCAAACAAGTCGCACGCTCTATTCTCCTACACCAGCAAAAATGTCCAACCCAACACTGACCCCACCAATCCCGCCCGAAGAGCGCCTCGCCCTCGAACAACGCGACCGCTACAACCGCATCGTCCGCAACCTCGCCATCGGCGGCGCAATCGCATGCCCCATAATAATCCTCCTGCCCCCTCGAAAACTCGACCTCTACACATTCTCCCTCGGCGTCGGCTTCTACCTCTCCGCAGACCACCTTTTCACCCTGCGCACCGGGCGCGGACTCGTGCAGCAATTCGCGCCCAAGACAGACGCAATGCCGACGGAGAAGGCAAGGGAAATGCAGCGGGTGATTAGAGAGGAGAGGGAGAAGGGTCGGCGGGGGTTGTGGGAGGACGAGAAGGGGCTGTTGGGGAAGATTTGGATGGGGGAGGAGAAGGAAGGGTGGAAGGAGAGGCGGTTGGAGGAGGAGAGGAGGGCGCTGGAGGAGGGGAAGGGATATTGGGATATGATTTTCGAGCAGATTTGGGAGGTGTGGAATTGGGATAAGAAAGGTGGGGATGGGGGGAAGAAAGAGTAGGGAGGGCATGTGTTTTGCGTTATGATGTCTGTACAATATGGGGGTCTTGACCGTGTTGCGGGGTGTGGCTGGGGTGCGCTTACGCAGCGGTCTCGACTGGTAATGACTTTATGATTTGTACAAAAGATGCTGGACGACGAGTCCTCGGATCACACGAACTCCGTTCTGATTTTAGACGCGAAGCAGGAGGAAATCTGAATCGATATGTGCGAACTGTCTGACGGTTTGTCTCGTCCTACATGGACTTACTCTCCTGTCTCTCGATGCAACAGATTTCAGCTGTGTGGGTGCAGTTTAGTGTTGACACAAGCACAGGCTTTAATGTCAGTGCTTCAGAGACACGCAAATGTCTTCAGTACTGAGTCAAATCTTGGCTGCCAAACATACACAGTTCAGCAGACAATCACTGTATGGCATCTAATGACCGTAGGACTATTCTGAAGACAAGCTATCGTCATCACCCGCAATGTTTGTTTGGCTTCCAACCTCAATGCAAGTATCCGTCCATTCGCCCGCTCTGACGCCACCATGCTGCCGCGACAAACAACCACGTCCATTTGTCTCAGCACAGCTGCATAGGAAAACGAATCATGGACTATTATATCTGGACAACCGATCCGTATCTTTCCAGCCCCATGTAACCGTCTTCCCGAAATCCGTACTCCTTCGAACAGACATCGATCACACGCTCCTAGGATATCGAAATCTTGAACCGATGTCTCAGTCTAATGTCCCATGGACGAACGCTGCTATTGATCCCTGCCTCCCCTCTATCGAACAAGAGACGTACTCTCAAGAGCAGCTTGAGGAAGCTTTCGCGCAAGCTACCTCCCCAGAGCCTGTCTTCACTCCAGTGTTCAGCGACGATCTCGATAATTTCGACTTCTCCATCGACAATACCACACACTCCCATGCCACATCAGCAGATCCATCTGCCAGCTCAACACCAGACTTCTCCAGCTACACCTTCAACCAGACGCCCTCCGCCTACCCAACCGTCCCAAACACCCCTCAACCCTACCCCATCATCCATCAGGGGACCCAACCCACCTTCCACCACCGCCCCCTCCCCTTCCGCGCACAAACAAACTCGCCCCTCGCCCTCCCCTCCCACTCCCGGCAAGGCTACGACCGCCGCCGCTCCCTCAGCCACGGCGACATCGACCGCATCACCGCTCCACCCCACCCAACATTCATCCGCCTGCAAGGCGCCCAAGCCCCACGCATAGTCTCCTACGCCTCCGGCGACAACACACGACCAGACGCGTACATACGCCATGGCAGGAGCGCCAGCCAGGGCCCCAGCCACCACGGGCGCCCCCTGAAAAACGCCATTCCTTACTCCCTACCGGGAAGTCCGCTCGTCGGCGCAACGCATATCGGCACGCCGCTCGAGCAGATGCATGAGGGATATGGGAGTCGGAAGAGAGTCCGGCCGGTGTGGAATGGCACGAATCCTACCCATGACGTGCCGTATCTCACGCGCGTGACTGATCCAGCGAGATTGCGGCGCAGCAGACATATCATCGAGGTTGGAGCGATGGCGGTGCGGAAATATGCGGGTGGTGATGCGAAGCTGGAGCGGTGGACGGCGCTTGAGCGCGTTGTGAAGGAAGTGGGGGATGTGGAGGAGTATTTGAAGCGGGAAGGGGGGGATAATGCGGATGCGTTGAAGGGGTGTGAGATTATTCGCCAGGCGTTGGAGAGGATGGATAGGGAGGAAAGCACTGCTAGCGGTGATGCAGTGGTGGATGCAGATGTGCCGAGTAAGATGATGGACACGGAAGATGGGGATATCTTTGGTGGATGTCTCGGTGAAGATGGCATTATGGGCTTGTTGATGAGGGAGGACGAGGTGCTTGGTGGGGATCAGGAAGATGTCTGATTTGTGAAGTCGGTAGAGGCATGGCGATGGTGTTGGATGTTTGCATGCATATCTAGCGACAGCGCATAAACAGGCTGGAGGACTTGGTCTTGAGGCGTTCTGGTTTTACTGTACATATTATAGACTTATTGCTCTTTCATCATGGTCTTCTGTTCACCGTACCGTGGGCACTCGTACACCTGATAATCTTACCTCAAAAGCTTTCTTCCAAGATTTCAACCTCAGTTCCAGCAAAACAAAACTACTCAGAATTCGTTAATTTGCGTCCTCGCGTGTCCTCTTCATCCTCATCACCAAGCCGGGTTCGGCATACACTACAACAACCATCAACGTGGTCGAGGGAGAGTGTCCTCCAACACCACCAACCATCATGCGACTCTTGTCACATCTCAAAAAAACAGCATTCTTGCTGCCGAAGATCTCCCTAGCCGACTCACCCCCCTCGATAACCACAATAGCAGAAGGCTACAATCTGATTGCCAAGATGCCCTTGGATAGTCCCTGGCTGCTGTATCCCGGTGATCCGAGATTTAATGGATTTGAAAATGGTAGTTCGGCATTGGTAAGCGTCCCCTACAAGTCCTCCATCTTTTTGCTCTACTACAGTGTCAACTCAAGAAAGAAAAGCAAATACATACTCACCTCTCCAAAGCTCCTAACCATCTCCCCCGAGGAGTTTGAGTATAGGAAGGCGGATTATGGGAAGAATTGAGGTACGAGGGACGAAGTGGAGGAGGCGAAGGGGGTGGGGTTAAGTTGGGAGGATATGAGAGCGCAGAGTGAGGTAAGACTTTCGGGCATTGGGAAGAAGGACTGATGTTAGATGAGTTCCTTATGTGGACATGATGATGACCATTCATGTGACAGTGTACCATTGAGGAGCTCCAGGACTATCCCTAAGTCCACTTTCCTCCAGTGCCATCGTATCGTGAACCTTCTCAGAGAATCATGCGAAGTGGGTCGAGGACCTCGTTGCAAGCCTATAACATTAAGCCAAGTCTCGAAGAGCTTGATCAGAGTATCCTTACCTCCTGGAGAGATGCCTTATCCTTGTCTTTGTAGCAAGTACGATCTCCATGGCAGTGATAGTGACAGTACTTCTTATCCACGAAGCCCGGACGGACAACCTTGCCTGATCGAATGCGCTCAGTCAGACACGTTACCACTGCGGTGAGGAAGTCGGATGGGAACTGATAGTCGTTCATAGAGACTGGGAAGTTGTTGATGATGCGCCACGTAGTGAAGTCAAGCACAATCCTGCGGAGCGGAGACGTCTTTCCAGTCTGCTGATAGACCTCGATGGATGAGTGAGGTGGCGCGTCGCTGCACTCGCGCGCAGCTTCGTTGCCCCAGTCAATCATCGCGTCCATGACAGAATCTTTAAAGTCAATATCTTGTAGGTAGTCGCCAAGCAAATATCCCTTGACCAGATTGGCCCATTCCCACTGACCATCGTTGAGCGAGACGTGGTTGAACTGAAGCTTGGAGCACAGCTGGGAGGTATACAACCAGTGTACGTAGATGCGAAATGCATGCGCGTTGCCCTCGGGTAGCTTTACGATTCTCTCCTGGGACTCCTTCCATTCGCGGCTGAGAGCGGCTTCGAAGAACGGTGATGAGAGACGGATCAGGCTCTCATGAACGCTGAAGTCTGTGTGTTTGGGCTCTGCTCCAACACGGACTGCGATGATTTTGGTGCCCATTCTGGTTATTTCAGTAATGTTATGGGGAAGTGATGCTACTCTTTGTGCTTACTGTAGCAAGTTCCGATCAGAGAAGCGAGGCATGTCAGATTGGAGCGTTTGGTGCAGGTATGCAGATGTGAAGTTGCCGTGCAGCCGTGGTTTGCTTATATAGAAACACAAGACATGCTTCGCGCTGGGTGAGAGAAAGACGGGAAGTGAGAGAAGGAATGTTTTCCGTCTGTTCACGCGTGAGAGAAACGACCCAAGCACCTCATGCGCTAGTGAGCGAGGAAGGCACGACCAACAACACTCATTCGCTCCCCTCAAAGCTTCGCCTGGAGGCATTCGCCATGTCATACTTACACACCTAATCTTGAAAACAGCAGTGCATACTTCCAGGAAGCATTTTCAACGTCCAATCAATCAAGCCAAAATCACCACACACATGCAAGACAAACAAAGCCCACACGATTCTTCGCACACAAAACTGCCATGCATTGCTTCCATCTCTCGTCCCCATCAACTAAAGGAAAAAAAGATGTGATATCTATAAGACTGTTTAAACCGCAAAAGAAAAAGCTGCATGCAAATACAGCATCGCTCAGAAACGCCAGCGCTGGGTATCGTATCGTACAGAATCTCAAATCCCATATGCAAAGAGTAGGAAATACGCATCTTTTCCCGATTGCACCCAGACAAGATCAATCAATGCTGGTCAATCAAGCATACCCCCTCCCATCCTGGCCGAAAAATCCACTGCCACTGAACCCCTCTTCTTTGGGCGTCGCCCAGACATCGTGCGGGCTCTCTTTCCAATCGTCTTCTTCACCCCGTCGCATACTATCCTTGCTATTCATGCGCACGAAATTCTCTTTTCCGCGATACTCGGCTTTTGGCGTGACGAGCCTGTCTTCCCTCGATACGATGAGGGTATCCGGACTGGGTGTCGGATACGATGGTGACGTCGCCGTAGCCGAGGCGATGAGTTTGTTGACGAGTGCGTGCAGGTCTGCAATGTCTTGTTGGAGATTGTGGACTTGTTGCTCGAGTGCTTTGCGCGCAGTGCGCTCGTATTTGAGCGCTTCGTAGAGCTTCTCGACGACTTGTTCTTTGCTGCCTTCGTTGGTGTTGGGCCGCACTAATGTTGGTGATGCGGGGTTGGATTTCAGCGTGTCGTTGCTGGACTGGTAGTTTGGCAGGCTGTCGAAATTGGTGTGGGATGTAGAGCTTGACCGCTGCCGTGACCGTAGGTTGCGCGGTGCGTCGGAGAGAATGATGGTTTGCCGATTATTGCGTGAAGACATGCGCTTCAGCGAAGACTCAATAGACTGGAATGTCCCTTCGAGGTGGGCTACACGGTCTTCAATGGAGAGGCGGTTCTTACTTCGCTCGGGTGGCGAGACAGGCGCAGGTGCCTCTGAAGTAGTTGTGGCATCGTCAGAGAATCCGCTCTTCAGACCAAAATTGAACGCTGACACGGGAGGCTCGACTTCTCGCACTTGGTCGGCCTCGATCGGTAACGGTGATGGCTCATCCACGTGTGATATGGTCGCGCTCATCTCGGCAATGCCGTCTCCAGACTGCGTGATTCTAGTCTCCTGCCTCTGAATGCTCCGGATGGTCTCCACCGTCCGTGCAGTCTGTGGTCGACTGTAAATACTGCCTGAAGCATGGCTTTGCCTCCAGTACCTGATCTCCGCGCTTCTCCTTCTGTCCATAGAGGCACTCTCTCTAACCAGGTCACGTAACGCATCTGCACTTCTCGATCTGCGCTTATTCGCCATTGAAGTCGCTTGGGTCGGACTCGATAATGCAATGCCAATACCAATACCCGGTGATGGTAACGTCTCTTCATCTGGTCTTTCGTCCCATGCTGATAACCTTCCACGTGGTTCGTCCAGACTATGCCGTTGAATGCCAGCACTTGGCACACTAGGAAGAGTCGCTCTCCGGCGACCAATGTCCGGTCGTTCCACATCGAAAGTCAGATACTCCTTTGGTGGGCTCACTGGTGGCGCATTGACATTCATTGGATATGGAAGATGCTGGCCTAATGGGTGAAGAGGCTTCAACTCCTTGACCGGAAGATCTGATATGCGAGTTCCACCTGGTGTCTTAGTTTCCCGTGGTGGCGACTGCTGTAGCATACCCGGATCCTGTATACTGTTAATTGACGTTCTGTTCGAAATGCGAAGCGACATACACTGTGGTGATAGCTGTGCCCTCTGTGCATGGTTTCTTCCTCCTCGGGCTCGTCTCTGTCCTTGCGCCCAAACATCTTGCGGAAAACACTACGAAGCCCACTCTTGCGCTTCTTCTTCTGCGCAGATTTGGTCGTACTATCAGGCGTCGCACGAAAGGTATTCCGAGAGGGCGTAGTCGGCTCAATGACACTTTCACGTGCCATTTCAGTCACTTGCCGTGGCCTGGGCGGAGATCTGGACTGGCGAGCTTGCAACACCTCTTGTACCTCCTCATCGACGGGGTGGGATGTGAGGGATCCTCGGTCTATTGGCACACTTGGTGGTGCATGTCCAGGCTGCGGTGGTGTTTGCGGTCTAATATCGGGCTGGCCATCCTGATCCTGGGGGTGGCTAGGGCTCAGCGCACCCGTCTCCGCAAATTCCTTCTCCTCATCCTCGTTGAGCGGCGTGTCCTCCATAATGGGAATTGGTCCGCTGATTTTCAAGTTTCCTTTCCGGATAGCCTCGGCCTTCCAGCTCGAGCGCTGCAAACTGTTCGGGCCATTCATGTCTGCGGCCACGAAACCCTCCCGTGTAAGCATGTGGCGTGGACGTGTTGCTTTAAGCAAAGTCGATGGCCACAATGGCGAACGTTGAGCGCAGGAAAGATGCAGTAATGTTATGCAGATGAGATTGCGCTCACAAGTTGCCGCAGGGAGGTCCCGGAAAGATGATTCGCACCACCACCAGAGCGAATCAAACAATCACAAAGTCATGCCCGAGAGATGCAGCGAATCCGAAATTGCGGAACACTATAATTCCAAGCTCCTAGTGTATATCGTTTGTGCAATGCGCCAACGTTCGGAGTGTATTAGTATAGTGCGCTAGTAGTGACGTGGAAGCCAATTGCGCAATAGAAGAGCCGGCACAGCGGGCGGGGATATAGCAAGAAGAAGATTTGAGAATGAGCGACGAGGTTAAACGACAGACGTAGTTCGCGCTGAGGGAGGCGACAACGATGGAATAAGTATCAAACAGGCCAGAGCGTCATGTACCAGTTCGACGCGTCTGCAGGGGGTGTAGCGGGGCGCGGGAAGGGTTGCCAGGCCTATTGATGGCGCACTTGCCAATGGAGAAGATGACCCGGATGCTTTGAGGTACTCCGTGTCCATCTGCTAATTATAAGCAGAAGGTGCAGCAAGACACAAAGCAAGCGGACGAGAACGGCGGCTGGAAAAAGGCCCACGACCGAGGCGGGCTGCTTGATGCATGCAAGTGGCCAAAACGGCTAAGGTAATCGATAACCACATCGTCGGCCTGCACGCGCGCTCGCTACGGCGGTCCATAGAGCAGCTTGGGGGGAACTCTGAAACCCAGTAGCGCAGCGCCATGCAGCTCAAATTGGAGGCCAGCGAGGATGCCGCGCTCCCAATGGCGTCTGACGACCCACGCGTTTCCTCTCAGAGACCTCATCGGAGCGCGAGACTGGACAAGGCCAACATGTCATGGACCCTGACGTGCCTAGGTTCATATGCAGTGGTGTGTTTGAAGTCGATGCATTCAGTGCCGCCGTGCTGACTCGCATTGGTGGGATTGCGGGTAGGGGCCAGCCGTGCTCGATGACAGACGACGAGCGGCAACTCCAGTGCGTGCAGCTCAACAGCCTTGGGATGCGACGAATTAGTTGGTCGTGGAACGATGAGTGGTGAAGGTTTGTGGGCTTGCTGGCGGGGCACACGTGAGGACGGTGAGGTGGCACGCACGGACGCTGGACGCTACGGATACTGAGGCCATTGATTGGGAACGACCTCCATGGCCAGCACACCATCTTTTGCTAGCAGCATCAATTCGCAAGCTATCGTCTGGAAACTGCAAAGGCCCGAGGGAGGCGTGCATCTATGTAACCGGCACTCAGCTCACTGTGTCTACTGCAAACCTGCCGTTTGATCTGCTGTTGGCCTGCTGTACTGCGCCAGCTGCAGCATCGAGACGGTCTCGCTTAAGTAGCTGAGCCGCCTCTAATTCCCTCCACTCTCGAGGTCGCCGCGGAGGATGCCACGCAGGCCCCACATGCACGTTACAGCTCTCCGTCCTTTAATCGTTCTCATGCATTCTGTTCGTCCACGTAGACATCCGCCAAATTCGGGTACCTCAAATCAGCATTCTCTTCGAGAAACTCCATCCACGACTTGAGGAACCTGCTGCCCCTGAGATGCACGTTAGCATGCATGGCGTCTTGTGCGACGGTACCCAATGGCGTGGTACGTGAGGGGTACCAAGTCTGTCGTGTCTCGTGTAACAGCCTGCCTGTGTGGGGTTTCGTGTGCCACAAAAAAACAACTTGGGTCCCGGCTGCCCACGTTTTTGAGGCCCGTGATGTGTGACAGCAAAGGAAAAAGTGCACGTACTTGCTTATGGTGTCTGAATCTCCGATCACACACAAATGTCGTTTTGGGCGCGTCATGGCAACTGGAGGGGCGTGTCAGTGTGGCCTCACGCTGTGTTGCAGCTTGTATGCATACCATTGAGGCGTCTTCTCTCGCCCAGGAATCCTACCTCGCGGTCTGGATTGCTGCGGACCGTGCTTACGATGACAGCTTCCTTTTCGCGACCCTGGAAGCCATCGACAGATCCGAGTTCTATCCCGGGATATGCTTCTTTAAGCATCCCCGCCAACAATGCCAACTGTACAGGAGAAACATTAGTCCGAATCACGGCAAGGAAACCCCCAGTTTCGCGCCGAAAGTTTGTAAGATGAGCAGGGGTCTCCAAGATGCGTACGTACCTGCGCATTGTATGGCGTAACTACGGCAATGTCTTCTGCTTTGACGCCGGCTTCGATTAGATGATTGACGTGCAGCTTCACCAATGCAGCTTCGGCTTCATTTGACTTGCTGTCGCCGAGACTCATGCCTTTACTGCCTTTAGTCACGGCATCGTCTTCCGTCTTCTCTGGGAAATCACCGCCTTGCGTGTCCCAAAACACCAAAGGCTCTTGTGTATCCTCGGTATCCTTGACATCGTACGGCAGGCCGTTGAGTAACCGGTCCTTGACGAAATCTGCAGCCACAAGTTTCGACTCGTATAGCTCGTCAGAGGGGAACCGCATAATCTTCTCATGCATCCGATATTGCGTTGTTAGCATGCGCTTGATAGACGGCCCGTGTAGTGCAAGTAAACGGTCAAATAGCGTCGTCTCCAATGTCATGCCATTCACCGGTTTCGCCGGAGCTTCGGCATTCTTTGCGCCTTCTTCCGTTTTCTTACTCTTCGCTGCCTTAGACTCCTTCGAGTTCAAGGACTTTATAGTGGGTGGCAGTTGTAGGTGGTCGCCAGCAAGCACTAGCTTATTCGCCTTGACCCATAGCAGCGGGACCCAACATTGTGCTTCCAATGCCTGGCTAGCCTCATCTACAATGACAACGTCAAACTCTTGACCTTTGAGATGGAAACCACCAGCGCCATGCAGTGTGGCTAGAACGACTTTGCTTCCACTGACAAGGTTATTCACGCAGCCTCTCTCTCGCTCTCTGTACTCTTTTCGGAGCTCTTTCAGCTCAGTGTAGACCTGGCGACGCTCTTTGGCATTGCGAGTCTTGCGAATAGAATTTTGCTTGTCGTCCATCTCTTTCCGGACATCTTGTACAAGTGCTGCAGCTTCCGATGTTCGTGTAAGGACATCTAGCGAATGGTTGAGCACGGAGGGGAGTAGCCGCGCGGGATGTCCCAAGCGCACCATGGGCACCTTGTGCGAAGCTAAGCGCTCGACAATGTTGTCGACTGATATGTTTGACGGGCCACAGACGAGAAGGCGCAACTTTTGCTTCAGCAATTGTAGGATAAGCTCAATGAGGGTGTGCGTCTTTCCTGTCCCTGGTGGGCCATGTATTAGGGCAACTTCTCGAGACGCAAGTGCAAATCTGATGGCCTCTTGTTGGCTATCATTTAGGCTTGGATCGTTCCATTCGAGCTTGTGGAGAGGGTTTGAAGGGTCGTTGAGGTCTGGTGGCAAAGGCGTGGGCGAAGCTTGACCAAACAGCACGCGCATGAACGGCGTGTACTCCTGATCGCTGAACTTCTGGAGCCTGGTCATAGTCTGGTTCATCCTATCACATATGAGCGCCGAAGAAACAAAAGATTACATTTCGGCTCAGACGTACCTCTTGTAAGTAACGTCGTTCGCCAGCTTGACTCTAACGCACACATCAGCTCCCCTGGACCATGAAGCATGCCCATCGATCTCACTAACATCCAAAGCTTGCCTGCACTCGGCACCTCCCCATCCTCCTTGTCCAACACAACCTCGACATTCTCCCTCCTCACCTTCAACACCACGCCCTCGGCACCCTTCTTTGCCCCTTCTCTCTTCTCCGCCTTCTTCGCACTCCCACTCGGCTGCTCCTGCACCCCCACGATATCACCCACGCGTATACCGTGCTCGGGGATATCCGGTTTATCGCCTTTAGCGACGACAGCCGAGTCTAGTCCAAGCTCGACGACGGTCTTGCCGCCCAGCCCTGTCCGTATAGAAGACACATTAAGGTTCAGGATTGCGAGACCGGCACGTGAGAGCGCGGACGGAGTGTGGGACGAGAGCAGGGCATTGGTTTCCGAGAGTTCGGCTTGGAGTTCGGCGTCGAGGAGGAGAAGCTGCAAGGAGGCAAAGGTGGGGATGTCGGTTGGATCGGGCATATTTCGTAGGTTACACAGTACCACTGGTGGGTTGCGCCGCGTGCGAAGGGATGTTGGAGCTGCGAGGAGGAGCTACGGAGAGCTTGGTTGGTGGGCTGGTGGGGTTTGCGCCTGCGCGTCGCAGATGGCAGCCTCGTATCACCAACTCTAATTGCCAGTGTTTCTGAGCTTGTTAGCAGACATTGCAGGGATCGGTACGTGCCCAAGCGAAGTGAGGGAGGGTGACGATCTTGCAGTTGTGACATTATCACGCGGATTAAGCTCTCGGACCCTGTCGTCATTTTGGTTCCTGACGATCACGCGCTAGGCCACATTCGACGTAGCTCCGAGGGTGATTGACTTCATCTTAGCCCTGGAAGCGTGATAATATCAAGATTTGACTTTGACACTACTCTGTCGCATTTTAGGTTTGTGATCGAGTGGATGAGGCTACATTCTATTCACCAAGAGAAAGCCTCGACGTCGAGCTCCCACGACGCAACACCGGAGCGAGCCCTCTTCGCAACGAGGCTTCTCACATCATCACAAAGCGTACCAGGTCCACATACAACAACGCCGATCCTCTGCCAATCCTCGGCTTCTTCGCGTTCCAGCAGATCTTGGATGTTGAACCTGCTTCCTACCCGGACTTCCTTCTCGCTTAGATCCTGCAACACGTCACTGAGGCTATCGACCAAACCCTGACTGCTGGCTTTGACACTCCAGAATAGCTTGACGTTGGTATGGTGGGCGATGAAGGGCAAAACAGCTGTGACGCCAATGCCGCCAGCGATCAAGATCAATCTGTCTGTCTTAAGGACGCCGGAAGTCGAGTTGTTACGATAGGGCCCGTCGATGAGCGTGACGAGATCTTTGTGGAGCTGAAGTGCTTTGGTAAGGCCAGTCGATCTGCGCACGTAGAGCGAGATGCCCGCTGTACTTCCACGAGGTATCCTCCTCGGCCCAGTAACCGACGTGATAGCAACGCTCTTTCCAGCCGCACCACATTTCTCAATGTCGTCCCGTGAATGCCCTGATACCGACACTGAGCTTGATGTGGCGACCTCGTGTCTTCTCGACTGAAGCAGCGCAGTAGGGAACAACGCTAAACGGATGGTTCTCCCATGGCCTTAACGCATTCAACGTTGGGAAATAAACATAAGCATGTCTTCCAGGATTTGCATCCCATCGAACATCCTTGATGTCAATTCTTACAATATTGTCGGTGATTTGCGTAACCTCCGCCCTCTTGACACCATTCTTCGCCAACCTGGCGACCCTCATTAAGCGATCGAAGAACCACACTGCGCACGTCGCGTAAAGCCAGAACTCATATCCCCACTTCCTTTCGTATCTGAACTCAACGTGATACCACGAGCCCGCGATGACGAAAATCGCCAGCAGGATGTGCAAGATGAGAAAGATCTCGTAGCTCTTGCGGCGGAAATACAGCGTCGATATGACGACCATGATGCAACATGCTACCGTAGCAACAGCGCCCCAGATCCAGTATGGTTCTTTCTGCTCGGCATCGACTTCGCCCTTGCGGTGGTACAGAATGAATTCCAAGATCGAGTGCAGGATGACTTGAAGCGTAAAGATGCGCGCAACCCACCGATGCAGCAGCATGTACGTCGAATGACTCCAATTAGTCAACCACAGGAGAATATTATTTCGACCGGAGAACAAGATCGTCAGTGGTGCGAGCGCGAATGCTAGCACGCCTGTGCGATTCGAAACATAGGCCATCACTTCTTGCCAGCGATCGGGGAACCACGCGTTGTACGGAACTTGGGAATGATCGATACTCCGATGCAGTTGCGATGATGTTGAGTACGATGAAGAGAACAATGTACCCGGTTTGACCAAGCGTCGGGGCATTGCCGAGAGAAAATGGAAGACCGCGGACGTGATACGTTCCAATCAAAGATGGCCAAACGAGACGAGGCTTGAGTCTGTCGAGAACGCCAGACATGTATGGGAGATATGATAGACCCGTGATGAAGATCGGCGTGGCGAAACCAACGACTAGAAGAATAATTCTGGTTTAATAAAATCAGCTTCTACCTCTTGACAATATGCCACACTCCTTACCCGTATTTCGAATGCATTGTCTCCGAGTATTCAAAATACTCCAGCGCCCCTCTTCCCGCTTCCCAAGCCACCGGATCAAACAGCGCGGTAAAATTTAATTCCTCATCTTCCTCCAATTCTTTCACAGGCGCTGGCATATCCGCCATCCTGAACAGCGTTTCTTGATACGTCCACTTTGGCGCTACTTTATTCCATCTCTCACTCTTCGTCACGCGTTCGGCCCAAAACGCCTCGAGTTTGTATTTTGGCACATCGCTGCATGTCGCGTTGATGCAGTATGCCAGTGTAGTGAGCCAGGGCGTGTTAGAGGCGTAGCATTCCTTCGACGTTGGACCGCTACCGTGATGGCCGCCGCTGGCATGGTTCATAGATGTGCAGGATAAGTGTGCGCTGGAGAATTGGTCGCGGCATGCGAATGCGCAGTTCGGTTTGTACACTGATTCCTGTTAGAGTGGTTGCGCTAAGCTATACTCATGCTTACTTGGTATGCCATAGCCGACGAATGCTGACGCTGCATCTGGCAGCGACAGAGCGAGGAAACTGGCAAAATTTATTGTCCTCATCTTGACATTGATGCCGATGCTGACGATCTCAAGAACAAAAGGCAAGCATATTCCGACGGTGGTCTTATAGTTTGCTTCGCTTATCGAGGCTCACACCTTACATCCTCAAAGCACAATCTTTACTTCAGCCACATGGCATTCCCTGCGTGAACGTGCTCACACACCCCCTCCCTTGTCGCAAACATGCTCATTCACCCGCCGATCACGCTTGGCGAAAAGCTTGTTACTCAAACTCGCTCACTCGGCTAATAGTTCCCCACAGTAGCATATATGGCTGACAGGTGAGGCAGATTAAATCGCTCCGTGCGGTCAAATGGAAGCTTTCGTAATTACAGGAAACTAGCTCACCTGCATATGTCCTGTCTTGGCTTCTTTGGCTCGCGACGTGAGATTCGAGATAAAGTCTGTGCGCGAAAATTATCAGAGGGCAAAGATTGCATGGCAAGAGTTTTGTGTGAGATGTCTGTGGGCTGGGCAGTACAGCAATTTCGTGTCCTGGGAGATTTATAGGCGGCTAACAATGGGCCGAAGACGGCGAATCATGTCTCATTTAATGAGTAGTACATGATTCTTTAAAAGATGTCCCATACGTTTCCATCTGTACACTGGGTACTGAGACTCTGTTGCACTATGTGTGATGCTATGAAGCTGCTGTGTATGTGGGTTGACTTGAAACCTGGTGAAATGTGCGCATATGCCCAGGTGTAATAGGCAGTGGAGATATACGATGAACAGGGATTCCATGTTTTGCGAACACCGAGTTTAGCAAGAATCCGCAATCGACCTAGGATACGTCTATGACGATGCGACGAACTGGCATTTTTTGATTTGTTATAAATTGCGAATTGTAACGGTATTGCACGATCAGCTTTAACGCTTTGTAACTCTACGCTACCGACATCGAGATTCTGCGAATTCCTAAAGGTCGACCGCTCACCAATTAGGGCTGTGCGAAGGACTTCGAAGATGACGTACCATGCGAAGAAGGGAAGTGTTCTGGTGCGGGGAAATCTTCCCCAGCCTTACTCAACGTGTATTGCAACATAAGCCTCGTCATAGAGAATCAAAAGAGCCGGGACCCAACATACATGGTTGCATCGACTCGAAGCTTTTAGTTGCATATATGCGTAGTCTGGAATTTGTCGTCAGCTTTGGCTCGCCAAAATCTCATCCTCTGGCACCCCACCGATCATGATTAAGAGCCACCGACTATCCTCCCGTCCACGTGCTACTCTACCGGTAGGGAGAGCTGCACTATGCACATCGATCAGACACCTTTCCAAACGAATGTCTCACATCATGCGATCAGCAAGCCTAGCCATGAAGTCCGCTTTTCTGCTCGCAAAGAACAACTGCATCTGTAATATCAACCTCCAGAAAGCTTCTTATCGCCTATCGCTTGTGTGCTCCTCATACGGAATGCATGTAGAGTACACCTATTGGCTGAACTGTTCCGCTCTGCAATTGTGTGGGGGCGAATATTTCAGCCTTGTGGTATCAACAGCAACGCCACGCATACATGGCTTGCACTTGGACGCTCCAGACCAGCTGAGCCGGAAATTCTGGAATTCAATCCAATGATCCCGATGGATTTTGTGTAAGAGTCGAAGATCATTAGGAATGCAGCTGCGATCTCTACTCCGAGCAGAAGGTATACATACCGCGTGCGCTGCCAGCCCACGAAGAGGATGCCTCTGCTACCTGATTGTTCTCGCACCGAGACTAGTTCGCCTAGAAATCACCAGATAATCCAGAATGCCCATTTGTGATTCGCAGCAAACGAGGTTCTGGGACCCTATAACTGGATTCTCGCCCTTCTCATTGAGCCTATCATGTCTAGGAGCAGGTGGATCATGGTGTCCTGGAATAATTTGGACAGACGCGACACCAAAGTGAACTAGAGTTTCCAGATTTGGATCAGGCCACACAAAACTGACATTACGCGCAGGTGTTGTGGACCAAATTCGAATATGATGTTGTGTCCTGGTGGAACCTGTCAGGACAGTGGAGGGGACAGTTCCGCTTACAGCTGTCCGCCAGTGATGCTCTCTTCAGAGGCTCCTGCACCGATACTAACACCTGTTCCGACTGTGACGGAGGTGTCAGCTTTCCTTACTTCCGCTGCACCGAGCTTTGTCTCTCCGTCTCTAGCTCCAGCCCCACAGTCCGCCACAGCAAGAACCTGCCCCGGAGGTCTGTTGTGCGGCAACGACACCTTTTGTTCCATCGACAATAAGAAGTATATATCTTGCATCCAATTAGAGACGCTGTGATCAGCTAACATCGCTCAAGTTGCTGCCCACAGTTTGAGGGCCAAACGTACTGCCCAGGCGCGGGTATATGTTTCAGACCCTCAGTCGGAGATCAATGCTGTAGCGATAAAATCTGCTACTCTCCGCAGATCTGTGCACCGGGAGGGTATGTGTAACCTCTAGTAATCGATACCCCGATCTCACAAACTTGTAGCAGCTCTTGTGTCAATACCGCTCTTTCGTCTGGGCTAGCTACGGTTGCTAGAGCATCATCCACAGCAGACTCGACGTCAGAGTTGTCTTCCGTGCTAGGCCAAGCAACCTCCTCCGCAATTGCCGGAATTCTCATCGTCCCCACGATCACCGCAAGCAACAATGTAGATGCCGCCGCACTATCTGTACTACAAACAGCCGTGCCGCAAAGTGCCCAAAGTGACCGAGCCGGTGCCTGCTTCCTGAACACAGCGTTTAGCTCGTACACGACTCCTAGCTGGTACGCTGCAATGACTGCTCCAGCACAGAGCTACTTTGCTTCTGTCAACGCTCAAAACACTGCCGCATGTAAGGCTGTCAGCACGCCTGTATCGAGTGGCTTATCAGACGGCGCGAAGGCTGGTATTGGTGTTGGTATACCCGTGGCTCTCGCTGTGATTGGCGGGATTGTATACCTTCTGATCAAGGCGGGCATAATCGGGGGCGCAACTGCAGCATCTACCTCTGCCCCAGCATGGTCAGGTGTCGTTGGAGCTGGTGCAGCAGGGGGTGCTTCCGCCGCGGGCAACACTGCTCCAGCATGGTCAGGCGTCACTGGAACAGGCGGTGGAGGAAGTTCAGCGCCAGCATGGTCGGGCGTCACTGGCGGAGAGAGTTCATGGAATGGTGTAGCAGGATCCGCTCACGCTCCCCCACCAGCGCATCCTATGAGCAACATTCCCCCCGTCTTAATTGCAGGAGCCTTAAGGCGGAGCAGCAGCAGTGAGAGGGTGAACACCACTTACCATCAATCTTCACCCGTTCACTTGCCCACACCCGGCTATCAGTGCCAGCCACCACTTAGAAGTGTATCACCGCCCGAGTCTTACCAAAACCGCCAGCAACCGGTTAGACACGCGAGCGAGCTGTCAGCAGATGGGGCGAGCAGTCCCCGAACCGAGCTTTCTGCTATCAGTGCCTATTATGGACATGAAATGTATAGCGCACAGAGGCATGAGGCACCGACTAGAGATGAGGAGCATCCGCGGGAGCTTCCAGCTTACAGGCATTATTAAGCGATAGTCGCACGAGTTCATGGAGTAGCACACAAGGTTGACATTTTCTTTGGCTATCAACAACCCCTTTGGTACCCAGGCGCCACTGACGGTGTGTTCATTGGTATACATATTCACTCTCTTCACCTGCCAAACCCGCTAGTCCCTTTAGCCTGTGCCATTACTGTTGGTAGTACCTCCATTAGTGGCATTGTGCCCATTTGTCGAGGTGGTTGCGGTCGTGGTGCCAGCGTTGGCCCCTATCGTTGCCTGAGCTGCTTGATCCGATCTTCCCTGCGCAATACCACCACGAACACTTTCTTCTTGATTGTTATTGGACCTGTTTTGAATATTGTCTCTGACTCTGTGAATCAATCGCAAGGTCGTAGGGCTGAGTCCCCCGGTGCCACTTCCTGTCGTGGCTGTTCCGCTGGCACTGTCGTTGCCGTTGGACCCGGCGCCATTGCCATTGCCGTTCTGCGCATTGTTGTTGGACATGTTTTGTGGTTGCTTAACGATGATTGGGAGTTTTCGAGTCTGAATGTCTTGAGTGTTATCGTGCGTTCGAAGCTTTAGGTAACTTTGCAATATACGAGAAAGAGAGCGGACATAGCAACAAGCTTATATACAGTCTGTCTAGTCATAGCATATGGCGCATCATGTATTCATGCTCGGTGACAGCTTTGCGTTCAGGCCCAGGAGCGAAAGATGCTCACCGCAATGGTCGCTTTCGTACCCGAATGGCGTCATGCGATCGTGCAACGTTGCGATCACTGGACACAAAACACAACATAAGTCATCCTGCGGTATGAATTGCTCATCGAATTTGAATGACGCCTTACTGTGACCAGTGTGTCGCTTTGACTCTCGACAGGTTGCGTCCGCCGACAATACCATACGATGATGCGCTATCACCAATGTTATCCACGAGAATGAATGTATAGACTAGGAATTGGCTGCGATGATCGGAACGCCGAACGATATTGAAACACTTCCATGATTAGGTGGGGGTCATAGAGCTAGATCACTGAGACCAAACACCGACTAGGACACCTCAACTGATTTACAAAATTCAGTTACTATTAACAAAAGAATCTAATTATGACACTATAGGAGAATCCCACCAATTGCACCAAGCAGAAACCCAACATGCTCGCCAAATAACCAACACCCAGTCGTTCTACTTCCGAGCCTTTCCTTTACCCTTACCCTTCGCCTTCCCTTCCACCTCACCCTCCCCCTCGCCCCCTTCAAGCTCAACCCCGCCATCTGACGAATCATCCTCTTCAAGCTCCACTCCACCGTCTGACGAATTGCCTCCCCCAAGTTCAACCCCACCATCCGAAGACGCACTAACAGCGCTCCTACTCGGGCTTGCAGCTTGACTCACAAAAGCCTCACTCGCATCATCAGAATCAACCCCAGGAGCCTCTCTCCTCGGATAATCCTTTTCGCTAGCTGAGTACGAATCATCCATGCTAGAACCGAGGGAGAAAGGCGAGCTCGGAGGTGGAGAAGCTACGCAACCTGCGACTTCTTTGGTAAGCTGCAGCGTGGCCGCTTCCTGAGCCTCGCGCACCTGCAGTGCAGCCGCTTTCTGAGCCTCGAGCACCTTCGTGCTCTCATTTGCAAGGTTTTCGTAGTATGATTCTACGGCCTGTGCATGTATCATCCGGGGATGGAATTGACCTAGGGCCATGGTTACTGTTATGTAGTAATTCTTCTTGTGTTTGATTGTAGAAAAATTGTAGAAGCACGGGAGCAGGTGTTGGAGCTTGGTATTGTCGTGTGGATGAACTTAGTGGAAACATGGCGAAGCAGAGAGATTTATAGTACTTCTATAGTCATGTACAGTCAAACGCTAAGGCTCTTTGCATGTCTGGAGGTCAGAGAAATGCGCTGACATGAATCTGCCACATCATGAAGACTGCACCGTGCGGATCACAACTTCACATTCACATGTACGAGTCGTACATCCTTTTCGATGACATGGCCGTCCTTGGTGAATCACAGTAATATCACTTTAGCTAGCAAATTTGCTCCAGATATCTGCCTGAAAGACGCTTGCTATAAGGCCAGCATGCATGAGATGAGAAGAAGGGCTTCGAATTAGCCCCAAACCTTGCCAACCATTTCCATAAAGGTGACAAAAGTCACTGCTCATCGTCTGCGCCACATTTCGCCCATCTTCTCCCCTGGCCACGTCCTCACCAATCTCTCTTCCAAACCTCCCTATCACACGCAAATACTGATAATCTGCATAGCACCATCATCACAAGCAGAATGCTTTGCTTGATGTAGCGAAAACCCTCAATCCTGATCACCGATCAATTCGCAATAGGCATGCAACGAGCGCACGCAAATCCGGCATTTACAATTATCACTTATCTCAGCCAAAGTTCAACATGTTAATCTGCCGATTCATGCTCTCTTAAAAACTACGACCCTGCCTTCCGGTTCCTTCCCGCGCCATTACCCACCAAACCCTTACCGCACAGGATACCAAATCCTCTGGCGCATCTTCTCCTCCTCCTCCTCCTTCAACTCCTCCTCTGAGGAGAAAGCTACATCTTCAGGAGTGACTATGATCGTCGTATAACCCTCCCATGCCACACTCGCCTTGTGAGTCGCCGTCACACAAGGTCCCAACGTTTGACGCACTGTAGAACTCTGGCCCCGGAGATAAAAATCCATCATTGTCTCTTTGGAGACCTCTTCGGGGCCGCCTGATTTGGCGGCGTCGGCGAGTGTCAGTTCTGCGCGGGCTGATTGTGGAGACATGTGAGGGATGGTTCGATTGAATCGATTGGTGTGTGAGGAGAAAGATGCGGCTGCGTGTGGGGTTTATATGATGGTTTTGTGTGAGAGTCATAAAGCGGTGAATGTGATGGGTTCACAAGACTTTGCACGATGATGACTACCCCTGATAGAAGTATGACGGTTCTGCTATCAATATTCCCCCCAAAGTATCGCTATACACCACGCGGGCTCTCAGTCAACCCCATGTCACGAACGCGACTCGGTAATTAGCCAAGGCGGAGCGGCAAACCTTGGAATCGTCAGTTACATATTTTCTGCGCATGAGGAATAGCCGTAGGCTGGTAGATAGATACCATGAAGAAAAATACAGGAATGTGGCAATACTTTCAGGAATCACACAATATTTAGATCTTGTGACATACTCTGAATACATGTGTACTAGATGAAAATCAACGCTATTAATCAACATGAACTAAAACAGATCCCATATACATTATCGTCTGCTAATCTGATTCTGGCCTCCCATTCTTGCGCAGGAACTCCTCATAACTCCCATGCCCATGCACACTCTCCACCAACATCTTCTCGCCCTCGGCAAACTTTGCCTGATCTATAGCATCCTGGCCTGGAGTTGGAGCGAAGGTTTTGGTTTGAGAGCTGTCGATTCCCTTTGTGGTGTCGTTTGCCAATGGCTTAGGATTGCAAGTTTCTCCACGAGTTGCGTTTGAAGACATTGCCGGAGTAAGTGAGCAGTAGATCGAGTACCGGTGTATGATGTTGATAGGAAGGCCCGAGAACATAGCCAGGTGAGGCTTATATAGAGCTGTGGCGTGTTGGAGTCATGCATGGTCAAGTCATCGATCATGACTGCGAGGCAACATGACAGTATTTGCTTGGATGACTTTTACATTTACCCTAACTACAAAAGCCCAGACCTTTTGGTCCAAACACATATACACACGACGAAAAAACACGCTCTTCATCATCATCAACGCCTCCATATGCGTCCCTCAACTCCACACCAATGCCAAGCTCAACGTGCATCTACAAGCGCGCTTTCAAACCTTGATCTTGGGGGCCCGAGCGTACTCATTCTCGCATGTTAACAACGCAGCGAATGCAGTCGCCAGCCTTCATATCCGAGAAGGCCTGGTTGATCTTGTCCAGTGGCTGTCGGTGAGTAATGAACTCGTCGACCTTGAGGTCGCCATTCATGTAGTCTGCGACCAGACCGGGGAGCTGTGTGCGGCCCTTGACACCGCCGAATGCGCAACCCTTCCACACGCGACCGGTGACGAGCTGGAATGGGCGGGTGGAGATTTCCTGGCCGGCGGCGGCGACGCCGATGATGATGGACTCACCCCAGCCCTTGTGGCATGCCTCGAGAGCGGCGCGCATAACGTTGACGTTGCCCGTGCAGTCGAAGGTGTAGTCGCAGCCACCGTCGGTCATCTCGATGAGCTTGTCTTGGATGCTCTGGCTGCCGAGCTTGGTGGGGTTGACAAAGTGTGTTGCGCCGAACTTCTTGGACCACTCCTCCTTGGCGTCGTTGACGTCTACGACAATGATCTTGCCGGCCTTGTTCTTGGCTGCTCCCTGGATGACAGACAGACCGACACAGCCGGCACCGAAGACAGCGATGTTGGAGCCCTCCTCGACTCCGCCCTTGCCAGCAGTGATGACGGCGGCTCCGTAACCGGTGGTAATACCGCAGCCGAGCAGGCAGGTGCGGTCCATGGGCGCCTCCTCGGTGATGGCGACGACGGAGATGTCTGCTACGACGGTGTATTGCGAGAATGTGGATGTGCCCATGAAGTGGAGGAGGTCCTTGCCCTTGCACTTGAAGCGCGAGGTGCCGTCGGGCATGACACCCTTACCCTGGGTTGCTCGGATCTTTCCGCATAGGTTGGTCTTGCCAGACTTGCAGAACTTGCACTCCTTGCATTCTGGTGTGCTGCAGGCTGTTAGCCAAATGCATTGAGGGAGTAAAGATTAGACTTACTATAGCGCAACAACGTGGTCGCCGGGCTTTACGTTTGTGACTCCCTCGCCGACGGACTCGACGATACCAGCACCCTCGTGACCAAGGACAATGGGGAAGGCACCCTCGGGATCCTTTCCGGATAGTGTGTAGGCATCTAATGTATGTTAGTCTGCCGTTTTATGAATTGAGATAATGTCTCCGGGTGAAGTTTGGTAGACTGGAGATGCTAGACGTACCGGTATGGCAGACACCAGTGTAGTAGATCTGGATGCGGACCTCGTGGGCCCTGGGTGGTGCAACCTCGACATCCTCAATGGAGAGATCCTTGCCGGCCTCCCAGGCGACTGCGGCCTAATGCGTGTCAGTTCGAGCTTCGTTTGAATTACTTTGTGTGTCGTCATGATCATCCGCGAGTCGAATCGCGTCCGCGAGCTCCGCTACCCCTGTAATCTCGCGAAGTGCTTGCAGCTGCACATCTTTGCGGTTCCGCACGCCAAGGCGGCATTCGGTGATGAAGACTGCGGAGGGAGCTGGCAGGATGACGCGAATCCAACATGATGCGAATATTGAGGTGTGAGCGTACCTTGCAAGTGATGGTCTGGTGGTACACATGTTAGCTATAGCTCCATTATGACGTCGCATGGTGTTTAGAGCTTGACGTACCTTTCCTACTGTGTCGGCGGACATGATTGCTGCGCGGTAATATCAATGGGTATCAAAGTGTATGAAGAGAGATGATGGAGAGGTTTAAGAGGAGGAAAGAAGACTAAAGAACGATCCCAAAGGCGAGTGCGGCTCCGTCAGTATTTATTCGGACGTGTGGGGTTGGCTCGACCACGACCGTCATTGCCCCTCCAATGCCCCTCATTCGCGGATTACGCTCGGTGTATCTGCGCTTCAGGCTCGCGCTTGAGGCTCAAGTTCGCCCTCAGCTCGGACAAGGCATTATTTGGGCCGTCTGGACGCGAGTGGCTTACAATTGGCTCTTCGCTGGCGCGTTGGCCGGGGCATCTTAGCCAAATGTGGGGAGTCGGACAGTGGACGCGTTCTCTTGGCAATGACGCGGAACAAGTTGCCGCATGTGGCAGACCTGTGCGAATGTTACTAGAAGAGATAAAGGTGGGAAGAGATGCATCCCGATGATATGCGATTTCAGAGACAGTTGACTGGAATCTTCTTTTGAAGCAACTGTTGTGAGGAAACGCTTCATAAATTGAACAATGAGGTATCTCACGCGCAACTGCCGGGAGGGCTCCCGGAGCCTACTAGAATATTCCAACGCCGGCAATGCAACCAGTAACTCCATGCTTGCTTAACTTCCCCCGCACACCTTGTACAGATGCTCGAATTTCGCCGTTTGCTCGTCATATTGTCGGACTGCCGACCATCTTCTTCGGGTCTTCCTCTTCCACTTTCCTGTTCGTATCCTTCTCGAGCTCTTTCGTGCCTCGACTCTTACTCCGCAACCTGCCCCAGCTCATGCTGCGTCGATCCGGCTTGTTTTGCTTGACGTTGTGGCTCCAGCGCTTCCTCATAGGAGGTCTCGTGCCGTCCAGACCCAGCAGATTCCTCAAGTCACCGACTTCCGCATGGTCCCGCGTGTTCTTCATGCGATGCACCCAGGTACACGCGCCGTTCTCGAAGATGAACTCTCCTCCCACCTGCTTCATGTCGCCGCCCTTGGTTGCATTCTTGCCTGCACTGAGACCCTGAAATATGGATTGCACCGAGTTGATGAGCATGTTCGTATGCATGTAGGAGGGCTTTGCGCCCAGCTGGAATGTCCGTGTCATGCCAAGGAGGTCGTAGAGCTTGCGTGTTGGGTCGGCATAGATTGGGAAGGGACACTTCGTCGTCTCGGCATACATGGGAATGAGCGCGGGCTTTCCGCATCCAATTACGGTTATGGAGGTAGGTGTGGGAAGGGCGAGGAGAGCTTCGGCGTTGATCGAGGAAGAAAGCGTGCGCAGGTATTCCTGGCAGTTCTAGTCAAGTCAGCAAACACTCCACAGTCCGATCGTGACACTCACTCCACAGAAAAAGTGCCGGATGAAGATGATCAGCTGCCGTGGCGCAACATGAGGCGCATTGTACAGCTCCTTGAAAGGTCGACTTTTGCCCTCCGCATCCAGCACCAGCAGATCGCCTACTTTCTGGAGATCTTCTTGACTTGGAATGTCGTTGTTGACATCCACGTTCCCTTCAAACTCTTCTTGTTCATTTTGCAGTATTGGCGTCTGACTGGAGGGTGAGAAGGGTGGCGTGGAGAGGCCTGGCGCGTCTTGAGAAGTTGATATCTTTGGTTCAGTTTTGGAAGCTGACTCGGACGTTGGGGGTGAGAGAGGCCTTGCGACTGCTTGTGGTTGCGCAGATGTAGTGCCAGCTGGCGGTGCAGAAGCGGTCGACTTGCTATCTGAACTCTCCATGCTGACTACAGGTGTGATGTGCTTCGCAGTAGAGTTGATAGGACGGCGCGTAGATATTGCGGCGCGCAGATTCACGGAAAGCGACTGTGCCGGAGCTAGAGGATGTTGGTGGTATGCCGATCGTTTAATGGAGGCTGAGCAACGCCCTCTCGTATATGAGCTGGAATGTGAATGGTTCTGACTCTGTGCCGTAAGCAGGAATATATTGTCTGTCAGTGAAGTGGCTGTCTCTAAGAGAGGTATTTTCAGGTACGCTCGCGATATGCGCAGCAAGTTTCAGGTCACGTCCAGCGCTTGCACAGACCGACGTCACCTCTCAAACCTCGGCGTTACTTCCCGCCACGTTAGTCCGGAGCTTTGATTGGGTGTGAGTAGAGCAGGTTCCATGTTTGATGGTCCTTGATTCTTTGACATCCGTCTTTGCGACGCGCGCACCTTTGTTGCAGCATTTCGCGAGGCGGTGAGGCGTGGTTGATGCTGACGACGATGCTTCAGTTGTGTCTCAGTCAGGGTCCAGCACGGTTCTGCCGCTAACCCATCTCGTTCACGTCACACTGCAGATGAATCCTCAACACCATCATTGACATCGTGAGATTCTATGTTCTACGTCAATGTTGTGGCAATATAATTACTTTTTTTTTTTTACCGCCACCAGAACTCCAACGCCGAATGCCGTGACGCCCGATCACTCTCCGTCTACGCCTTCTGCTTGCTCTGGCCCCGCAGCATGATCGCGCGCTGCAACACCACCACATACTTCTCATAATCTGTGAAGTCTTCTCCTTGGCAGTCCTTCTTGATCTCCACCGCCCTCTTTGCCGCATCCACTGCAGACTTGAAGTCTCCCTTGATCTCGCACACAAGTGCGATGTCCAGGAAGCTAGCCTAAATTAGCATCACCAGCACACCTTGACTGGCAGCAAACTCACATATTGGCCAGTCTGACACCATGTTCTTCCTCCTGCATGTGCAGCCCAGCCATCTCGACCAGCTTGCCCACGAAATCAGGCTGCTGTGCGCCCTGCTCGAGACGTTTGCCTGTTTTTCATCAGTTTCCAACTTTCTACTCTTCCTCACACTGCATCTTACCACGCAAGAACCTCGTTTCCCTCTCCAACTCCCCCAACCTAAACCTCCTCTGCGCACTCTGATACGCCCATGTACCCTCCACCTCATCCCCCTCCTGACCCCTGCAGCTCCGGCAATCACACGCAAATCCATAGTGCTTCAACTCCCACGTCCGCAACTGTCGCTCGTGGATCATATCACAGTAAGAAATTGTGATCTCTTCACCAACCTCGATGTCTCTCATAGCATGGATGATCTCCTTGCCAATCGCCGCGTTCCAGCTGAAGGTCGCATTCGGATTGCAAGCATGGTTGAAGCGCGCGGCGTGCGGGAAGATCGCGGCGCCGTTGTCCAGCTCCATGCAGTTGATCTGGAAGATGGAGATCAGACTGGCTTCCTTGCCGACGCGTGCGTCGTGTTGTTCGCGGATGCGCTGGCGCTCGCGCGGCTCGACGCTCTCGTGGATGCGCGAGGGCCAGATCTTGGGGTCTTGGCCGTGGCCGGAGTGCAGGGTGAAGTACTGCGCTTGCTGCTCCGGGGAGAGTTTGTCGAAGGCGGCTTGGATATCGGACGCGAGGTAGCTGGCGATGGGGACGATGAGGAGCGGGCTGTCAGCGAGGATGCGGGTCCCAAGCTCGATGGGGGCTGTGGCGACGCAGCCGTAGCCTTTGTTCGGGAGGGCGCTGATGGTATAGTATGGGTTGGCTGGGTGTGTCAGTGTGCTGTTGCAGAAGTAGTGTTACGGATCCGCAACGCACGAGGAGCCGAGGGCACAGTCTTGGTAGTTGCCATGTTGTAATTCTTGTAGGAAAGATCGTGGTTGACTATTCGAGTCTACAGGTCAATTGTCAAGTCTTATATCTCAGCAAACTATGTTTTACCTTAAGCGTCTCTCACCGCAAACTCCCCTCAGCAGCCCGCAAAGACCGCAAACTAGGTGAGAGCACCGCGATATACTGCTTTACTTTCTCACATGCGAATCTGAAGACATACACTCATGCGGCCGTAATTGCCGTCCTTTCGCTGCTTGCCAACGTAGCCATCCGGTTCGACACGAAAACTTTCGTTTAAGCGACCGCCTTCCTACATTCACGTGCTTGTATCAGTAGAGATACATGGATAATACGATTATATCGGGATGATGAATAGTTTGCTACATCTCGTCGCATAGTCAAAGGTGCGACGCATACTTCAAAGCACTTCGACTGACTTCGCCTTGTACTTCGAAATATGCTCTGGACTGCTACATACGCATCAATACGTCTAGATTCGACATCAATCACCCTTCCAGGAGACATTCAGATCTATGTCGTCAACGAAGCGAGTGTGTTTGAACAATCCAATGTGTTCCACGAACTCTCGTGTTACTGTGCATTGTTACCGCAGAATTCAAAGTCGACCTTCACGCTCGCACGTTCACGAGCGAACATCTGACGTTCTGTGCCATAAAAAAATGTCGCGATGGCCATGTGTTTGCCCAATTAGACCTCAGACATAGTATACAACATCCAAATCCATACTTAAAACATAAACATAGTGCCTATTCTTGACTTATACACACTTGCCACATGTGCAGAGTATACAGCTCACTCGAAGACTTCTAAATTTATCATGCCTTTCTGGATTAACTGTCAACGTAATGCTCCGACTGGTTCGACGCATACGCCAACGCCAGGCCCAGCTCCCAAGAGGACTCAGGGTCCAGTGAGGAAGCCTAAGGTTGTTTCCAAGTCATCTTCCAAGTTACACACGCCATCGCCAAGACCTGTACCTCAACGAGGTCTAGTCCACCCCGAATTTCTACGACACAAGCAGTGCCAACCAGGGAACCAACTCAAACTGCGATGGAGCAAGATTCCGTAACGCAAAAGTTAGAGAAAACAACGCCACAATCAGCAATCGCAGAACATACAGCAAGCTCACGGGTGCTGCCGATCGACACGTCATCGACATGAACAGGCACATCCTGAAGCGCCAGGGAGACTGGACAAGGCACTTGAGACGCAGTCAAGGCTACAGACACCTGTACCAGGGCAAGATGCTGGGGCAGGATGATCAGAAGCTTTCTTTTCGATCGGGTTAAACAGGCGTAGGGCATGTCGGTGGAGAGGCTGTTTGAAGGTGGGAGGATTTGGGAGGGTGGGCCGATTCTAGAGGGGAAAAAGGACTTCAAGTGAGGTCGGGGAGAAATATAGAGGGCCGGATAGATGGGATTTGAGACTAAGTGGGGGAAATAGAGGTTTGTAAACAAACTTGAGAAATCACGTTCTTTTTGCTAGAAGGACTATATCAATGTCCAAAGTCTTGTGCTCGTAACAGTAGAACCTGAAATTGAACATTGCTTGATCGACCGCATCCATCACACAAGCTTCCTTCCATCGGATCGCCTGTCCTTCCTCTTCGCCACCTAGGCTGGTGTCCTGAATTCCTCATTTCGGCAAGGATGACCTTTGCGTCCGCACGGTGTACCGAACCTGGTTGTTTTATTCGTGGGAATGTGTCCACGACAACGTATTTTCTTCTTGAAAGACAGACCACGTGAGCAGAACTTGAACTCTGGCACAAGGCAGCCGCAGGTGTAGTACTTGTCGTGGTAGTAACACATCGTGAGCGATTGGGCGACGTTGATAGTGGTTTGAGGTTGAGGTAGTATGATTAGAGCGGGATTTTTGGACTGTATTCCGGGTATTGGTGGCGCTGTGATAGTAGGGTATATGTTGATTATTTGAGGTTGTTAATGATGCGAGCTGATGTCTTGTTGCGCTGATGGGCATATGGTACGACCAACACTCAAAAAGTGATATTGGCATGGAAGAGCTGGCTTCAATGCATGTACGTGAATTAGATTTCAAGATTCTTCACTATGGTGACGTGACAGGTGCAGCATTTCAAAAGGGAAACACTTGAACAACATGCATTATTCACGCACAGAAAGAAGTGTGAGTTGTAAACATCCTGAGTGCGGCAAAAGGAACGCTCACTTCGAGAAGCCTTCATGGTTGAGGGTCTAGAAAATACGTTGAAGAGGATGAATGGTTATCACAGGGAAAGGGGTGCCATGTCATTATATTATGGGCATGTTCATATTATTTTGGCTACATCAACCTCCATTCAGCAGTGCCAACAAGCTCTAGCATCCTCTTTATCCTAGACAGATGAGGCTTTTGGCTGCATGTGACGATAACCTTGATTAAACCTTCGCATCAAGTGTCTACGATGGCCGAGGACTTCCGTAATTCCGCCCATTCTTCAAGCATCGCATCTGCTTCGTTGAAATCTTCAGTCGACCTCATCTCATCCATGGCGAATCGTAGAAGCCGCCGGGCTAGTCTATATGCAGAGGGATACGCGTAACCAGCGAATTCCGGTCCCGCGGCTTGTTCAAAAGTCCGCTTCAAAACCCTTCCTTCTTCGTTGGGCGGTTCGTCATTAGCTGTCCGTTCGTCCTCGTCCTCATCGTCTGCCCAGGCCCAAATCCAAAGCGGTGGCTTGCACGACATAAAGCTCGGGGCCAGGGCAGCACTGTCCCAGTCCAAGATGCCACTGATGATCGGCTGTGGAGCATCCTTAGTGATGTCGATGAGAATGTTTCGAGGTTCAAAGTCCAGGTGGCACACAGATATGTCGTTGTTTGCAAACCATCCTTCCGCATGAAGCTCAATTGCCATGGCGGAAAAGCGGTTCATGTATCCCGCCTCGAAATTGTTGCCCATGTCCTCGAACCCTTCTTTACGTTCCTCGAATATCTCAGTAAGCAAATCCTTCGTGGCAAGGTTGTGCTTCACTTGGCCTCTGGTTGGCAGCTCAGATTGGAAGAGTGGTTCTACACAGATTTGATCCCCATCGTCCTTAGAGCTACTAACAGTGTGAGGTAGTATGAGCTTCCCAGCTACTGGGCACTTTCTAGACAACATGGCGTGGAACACTCGACCCAACTCTTCTGCTACACGACATTTCTGGTCGTGATCCAATCTATGGAATGTATGTAGAAGATCAGTTCCGGATAATCGATTCTGCAGCATGTAAGGGCTGCCCAGCTTGTTGTTTGGGGTTTCGTCGAACGCCACTACATCAGGAACCGGGATGCTCCTAAGCTTCTGTACGTAGCGTAACGCAGCGACATCTCGATCCAGCTGTGCTGCATCGAAACGCGGAATCCGTAAGATATAGTCGAGGCAACGAGGCTGACACGTGTCATGGCGCATTTTGGTGGATCTATCTGCGATGAAGGTCCAGAGTCGTTTGAAGCTGCAGGCGAGCATGCTCTTCTGCTGCCTGGGGATAGTCCTTGTGATACTGATGACGCGATTGAAGCCACCCCCGGACATTCTGGTGACTTCAATGTCGCTTGCCTTCGCCCCGTCCCAGAGTGTAAGAACGAACTCTGCAACCCGATGGCGAAACGTATCAAATGCTTCATGATCGTATACCAGTGTGGAGGAGTCCGACACTGTATCAGGTTGATCAAACTCATCATCGTCCTCTGGCTTAACTTCGTTTAGAGTCGCGATCGATTCGTGGGGGACATGGGGCGCTTGATCCGATGTTACACCGGGTTGAGGTTGTTTGAGCTCGTTTTCATCCTCGAGATTGACATCGTGTTGGGATGGTACTGAGTTGGTAGAGACATCGAACGCTTGATCTGCGGGCGCCATGGCTTACTGGAAAATGGTTGAGGTTGTCCAATAATGGTGGGGGAGAAGAGTGGGTGGGAAAGAGGCGTAAACAATATGTAATAGCCAATGACACTAGGACAGATTGAGTGATTAGCGCCTTCCCAGCACGATCAATCACTCAAGTGCTGCCTTCCGAGGTTTGGTCGGGGTCACATGAGCCATTGTTCACCAAAATCATTGTATATCAACCGTGATAATTATCGCAATACTGAGTGAATGCACCTTTGCGCGCTTTGTCTCCTAGCGGTAGCAACTATACTTTTGACATCGACAGCGTATGAGGCGCTCCCTTTTGTATCAAGAGAAAGGCAAATACTGTGTTTCACCCGCATATGTGTTACTGGCTCAAGATATCGGTTGCTCAATCCCGTCACTTCAGCAAATAATATTGGAATTACGTTCAGAGAACCTTTGAAGGCAGCACAGTTGGGAACAACCAATTCACGCCTTCACTTCCGGCTACCACGTTTACTAACCTATCGTGGTAGGAGTTAGACCCAAATGGATGACTGTAAGGTCTGAAGATGTGAATACTCAATTCACGCCTTCCAAGACCCAATTGATCCGTTCTTGCCAATTGTGGAAGGCTGCGGTGAACCCCCAACAGCTCCCCAGGTAATATAAACCAGTAAGTTTCTAGCATCGTTCTTGCACCCACGCTCATACAGGCTCTTCTCGACAGTTGATATTTCGTACTTCTCGACCCTAAATCAACTTCAAGCCAAGCCAACTTCGAGATGCCAAGGGTAGGAGGAACAACAACTCACCATTGTCCAATGCGCAGGCATGGTAATTGTCGGTATAATCCCAAAAAGCGCATTTGTACCGCCCATCAAATTATATGCCCTGAGCATCCCAAGATCTTTCACTTGAAGACTGAAGAGTGTCCTACTTGTAAGGTAAGTTTGCGGTCCCATCCAGCAGACTGGTAACAACAATAACTGACTCCAAAAGGGTAAAAATGAAACTAAGTGATTATCGTGCGCCGGGACGAGTCAAGCTCCAAAGTAAGCTGTGTGAAGGGCATCGAAGATGTGTCCACCGCAACTCTTTCCGCGTCTCACTGCCTTTGCTTTTCGCCTTGTAAATCCACCAACATTCACCATATAGATTGTCTGAAGAGGCAAGATCTTGACAACCGTCAATAAACTTCTAATATGTACCATGAATGTATCTCTAGTTCATTGAAAATGATATATTGAACAAAGTTTTGACATAGACCTTGATCATTGAAAAGAATACATTAGAGGTCGTCAAAAGTACAACTGTAGCAACCGGTGCTCTTCGGTTTCTTGCCATAACGCCCAAGCCATCCTTGCTATTGTCCCTTTATTTATCTCAGGGTTTGCTCGAGGCACTTTGTTCCCGCTTCCAGACTGCGTTACCCTTGTGATAACTGCATGGTCCCGCTACCTCTTCTGCGAGTTTCTCATCTGCTTCTACAGGGAGGCCAGGACACACTTTGTCAGGACCTTCAAGCTTTGCTGTAAGGCACCTTCTGATTAAGGCGCCTGTGCAATGGCACTGTGTCCATGTCACTGGAATATGCATACACATGATGGCCTTCCAGTTGGGAGATCTTTTGAGAGTTGGGGAACGCTTCGAGCTAAGTCTTTGTCAGTCACTGAAACCTGAAATTTCAACAACGTACTGAATCGTTATGATTTATGTGCTTGCGTGCTGGGTTCTGGGTGAATTGTTCAATGTTGTTGTGGGCAAAGGAAGAACTCTAACCTGCTGCAATTTATAGGTGATAAATGTCACATTCTATGACACTAACAATTCCTCGAACTCATGAGTGGTGAGTAACAATACAGTCGAAGGGTTCGCTGTGCTATGATTCAACAGCTGACGGTGCATAGATATCATTGTGGCAAGAATGTCAGTGTTGATTGGCGGCACCAATACTGTGAGTATTATTTCCAACACATGGTTCTTACGTCGATGACTGGATTGATGTCGCGCTGAGTGAAACCTGTCCATGACTGTGTCTACTTACTATGGCTGCTCGCATACTTGCAGCATCTCTTGATTGATTAACTAGCCTTTCTGTCAAACGTCCTGTTCACCTTTGATTTGTGACTTGTGCTCGTCAATCCAACCAGTGCCTTTCCTACTCAAGTTAATCTATGCCATATACCCTCAGCTTTCCAACTCTTCGCTGTCTGACCAAAGGCTTCGTCAGCCCTCGTATTGCCTTGTCTAAAGGTGTAATGTTGTTCCCGACAAGTGCTGACAGACCAGGCGTCCGGATTCTCTAACTGAAAGTTTCTACATAATGATTTACTTTGCTCGCCAGAGTTCTGGGGAGCTTTGCAACCATACCATCTACCTTATGGCGGCCTTCTTGCGTCATGAGCCAGGCTTTGCTGGAGCGCACGACTGAAATGTCGTGGACTTCCTCCGATGGCCCTGCCTATAGACAGTAAGCTACGCGACTAATGTAAAATGCCAAAGCAAGGAGATCGACAATCTGAATATCTGCCCAGCTGTATTCAACTCAGCAGGACTCCAACGATGGTGGCAGTGTCAATTGTACGTATCTCGTCTGCTACTGGGACCATACGTCTGGCACAATCGCTTTACGTGCTCTCTTACTGCGCCGAGGAACAGAACTACCGTTTCGGCGGCATTTCCCCGCATTGGTAGAAGGATCTGCATCGAGCTTCTGGAAAGCGCATCTTGCATCGTCTTGCATCATCTTCATGAGGAGTCGATCAAGCTACGAGGATCGCGCAATCGGGATCTTGGTCTGGCTGGTTACTGAGGTGCACGTATTTGTTGCTTGATTCGAGTTGCTCGTAGACCAACAATCGGACATGCTTTGGTAGACTGAAGAACGGCAAAGCTGGGTGCGACATGGTCACGCAAACAATTGGTAGCAAAATTGGGCGCCAATTAGGAAAATCGTGCAGCAAGTTGACCAAGGAAAGAACGCCTGTGGTAACACACGGCGGTATCGGGTGGCGCTGAAGTCTATTTGGAGCTTGTGCTCTGTTCACGAGTCATGACTTGCTCGAGTACAACATTCACACTGCCAAGCTCTTGAACTACAGATTGCTCGTATACTTACAAGCAGCATCTATATTTATGGTATACAACGTTGTGATCAAGATGACGAGGCCACAACGGTAGCAAGCAGTCCGACTATCCGATTTTATGCAGCACGGTAATCGCATCTCGGGATCTATGTGGCACTCGGTCCGACCCGGCAGCCACGAATGGTCAAAAGTCGAGTGACGTTCATCCCCGCTCGTCCGTCGGATGGCCTCAACATCCGCTTCCGTGCCTCAGCTATCAAAACAGGATGGCACGCCCCTGCTAGTCTCTCTACGCTTTCCTTCGAAACTGGGTACGTGACGCGCCTGCGACCTGGGCAAATGCAGCCGCTGGGGCAATGCCGTGCCATCCCCACCTGGATGATTTATGGCGACGACGCCAGTGGACGGAAGAAACGACTATACTTCTCCATGTGGATATGAAGTACACAAGACGCACAGGGGCTCAGCGCTTTCCACACATCGGGGGGAACTATAGCCATATACGAGACCCCTGACCACAACGTTGAGATGCAACAGCTCCACACTTGATCGTTTGGACGGCGAATAACCTTGCAGGACAAGTCTCGGGCAGTGGTGTTCCTTGGCCACAACGTTATTCGCAAGCCATCAGACGGACGAATTTGAAGGACTAGACGCTGCGATCACTGCGATACAAATATCGCGCAACGTCGCTGCTCTGTCTCTCCACACAGCCATCATCTTGCGTTCCGTTCGAAAAGATGGCGATCACATTGTTGAGCCTGGCTATACTCGTGAGTAGACAAATTGAATATCATGTCTAACAGAGTGACTGACTGAAAAAAACGCCAGCCTGTACTTTATTATACAACTGTCATCGTCTACCGACTATTCTTCCATCCACTCGCAAAAGTCCCGGGACCCAAGCTCCTTGCGATATCCAGCCTACCAAGGGGGATTCGTCACAATCTCTATGGGCTGTGGTTCAAGGATGTTGCTGTGCTGCACGAGAAGTATGGGCGCGTAGTTAGAGTAGGTCCCGACGAGATCGCTGTCGACGGCGATCCAGGTTGGGAAGACGTGTTCGCGTTCAGAAAACAAGGCAAAAATGATTTTGCGCGAGATCCTGCATTCTTCAACTCAGCCACCGACGGAACAGTAGAGAGCAGCATCTTTCTTACAGATCGTGCGGGCCACAGCCGACAACGCCGCATTCTTTCCCATGCTTTCTCGCAAAACGCAATGTATGAGCAAGAGCCTCTCATCAAGCACTACGTGGACCTGTTCATCTCTCGGATTAGCGACTTTGCAGCATCAGGCACTGCAACCGACATTGTCAAGTGGTTTAGGTAAGCAGTAGCCACGATTCTCGCTCGTAGTGATGTTTTGCTGACTTCAGTATAGTAAGTACGCCCTGCTTGCGCTTCTGTTTCATTTGGGAAATCTTCGAAAGCTACCGCCGTTGTCCGGACACGCTATCCGGTCTTCTCTCTCATAAGGCAGTTGCTAACCGTGGCTTCTTATCTAGATTATACAACGTTTGACATTATCGGTGATCTCATGTACGGCGAGCCATTCGAATGTCTAGAAAAGAGCGAGATGCATCCTTGGGTGGCACTGATCTTCGACGCTATGCGTACTGGCGAGATGATAGTGTTTTTCAAACGGTACTCTATAACGCGTGTACTTCTCAATATACTGATCGGAAAGAAAATGGCTGCTGCGCGAGCTGATCATAAGGCCTTGACGAAAGAGAGAACCGATCGCCGTGTTGCCCTAGGAGCCGAGGGTAATGGCAAAAAGGACTTCATGTGGTCAGAAGCCTCCAAAGTATGTTCTTGTGACAAACGCTGACCTCAATCAGGTACATTTTGAAGAACAATACGGATAAGGGGGGAATGTCTGACATGGAGATCAAAATGAACTCCGAGGCTCTGATAGTAGCTGGGAGTGAGACAACGGCGACTTGCCTCTCAGCAACCGCACACCTCCTCGGCAAGAATCCTGAGATCATGAAAACGGTGCTTGAGGAAGTACGCCCAAGGTACACCTCTGAGGATCAAATCACAATCAAGACGACGACGGATTTGATATACATGCAAGCATGTATTGAAGAGAGCCTACGCATGTTTCCTCCTGCAGTCGTCTCACCAACTAGATTGTCTCCGGGAGACTTCGTTGGCGGCTACTATATACCTAAGAATGTAAGCAAAGCTTTATGCAACGCTCTTGCTCTAATCACCCAGCTGACCAACGCCAAAAATAGACCAAGGTTCATCTTCATCAGCACGCTAGCTACCGCAGCCCAGGAAATTGGCATCGTCCTGACGATTACCGCCCCGAGCGATTCTTGCCAAAAGACCACCCACTTTATGACGCATCGTTTGCAAAAGACAACAAGAAGTCTTTCAACCCATTTTCTTTTGGTCCAGCCAACTGCATCGGGAAAAATCTCGCCTACGCAGAGTTGCGTCTTATCATGGCAAGACTGCTGTGGAGGTTCGATCTGTTACCTCAACCCGGAAGTGAAGCGTGGATGGATGGCATGAGAGCATACACACTGTGGGACAAGCCACCACTGATGATGAAGTTCGCAAACGCGGAACACTAATTGATCTGGTGGCAACGCGCACAGTGGGAAAGAGTCTAGTATGTGTTCTTGGGGCGGAAGGTGAGGAGGCATTCGGAGTTATGGGACCAAATTGCATGCTCATGGTGTATTACAATTTTCAAAATACAAGGACTACGGCAATCACAACAGGCAAAGAGTGGGGTGTGCAGGTGTTTAGACTTGCTGGCATGGAATATTTTTGTGGGCGTGGCTTTCTCACGACGGATGGAGACATTTGGCAACCGTCTAGAAAGTTACTGAAGCCGACGTTTGCGAAGAACAATTTGCAAGATTTGAGCTATCTATCGCAACAAGTCGACGACATGTTCGGCCAGTTGCTAGAGGACGGTACGACTGTAGATCTGCAACCGCTATTTTACACAATGGTATGGCCCTGACTTCTCTTCACGTGAGTATACATTAGTCTGATCAGCATAGTTTCTCAACACTTCGATCAAGTTCCTGCTTGGCGTAGACCCAACGAAGAGCCTCAAAGATGCGCCACACACTTCCGAAGAGTTCATACACTCATTCCACGACGCTTTATCCCTCACCATGTTCCGTCTGCTTCTTGGTCGACTGTGGTCTTTGCTTCCTCAAAAGAGGTACTTTAGAGTTTGCAAGACAGCACACGACTATCTGGATTACTCGATAGATCAGGCACTAAGCGCTAGTGCTGAGATGCAGCCAAAAAGCTACCGGGAAGGGCCACCTAGTCTCCTCACAGGCCTTTCGACCCAGACGGATGATAGGCTCTTCATTCGCAGTCAAATACTCCAGGGTATGATGGCTTCGCAGGAGACCACGTCTGCACTTCTTGGAAATTCATGCTTCCTACTGTCGCGGCATCCCAAGTACTGGGAACAAATACGAATAGCTTTGAAGTCGTACGAAGTGAGCGACTTTAGCTTTGACGTCCTCTTGAACCTTACCGTAGTCCAGAACATCCTCATGGAATCCCTCCGGTTATATCCAGTCTTTCCCATCATGGGCCGTTCTGCGACACAAGACACTAGACTGCCAGTGGGTGGCGGCCCCAACCAGGATGAACCAATCTTCATACCCAAAGGAACAGTTGCCAATATGAGCTGGTACGCACTTCATCGTGATCCCGTCGTGTACGGTAAAGACGTCGAGACCTTCCGACCTGAACGCTGGGAGACAATTCAGCCTACGCATTGGGAGTTCATGGGCTTTGGCGGCGGTAACAGGGAGTGTTTGGGGAAGCAGAAAGTGCTGGTCGAGGCAGCGTATGTGCTTGTAAGACTTGCAAAGAAATTTGAGGTGCTTGAGAGTCGCGACAAGGAAGACTGGGTGGGTGAGATGAAGCTGACGTGTAAGAGCAAGAATGGCTGCAAGGTTGCACTATACGGCAACTCCATTTGAGCTTGGGTGGATCTATGAACATTACGACGAAACTATACTGCTTTCTCTTGCCGATAGATGGTTTGTAGTTCGCTAGCCCTGATCCTTATACCGACTCGATCCACTTGAGAATACGTTCTGCAATCTCTATGTTATTTTTCTCCATGAACAAGAAATGCCCGTTTCCATGAATGCCCTCTTTAGGTAAATCAGCAAATTCTACCTGCACGCCTGCCTGCTTCAAGAATGCAACAGTGCAGTAGTCGTACGGCGCATGGTAGCTTGCTTCGCTAGTGACCACTAGCACTGGGATGTCCATTAGATTCTTGAGCTTCCTCGCTGGGTCTCGCTGCAAGATACAGTCATTGTGATCCGCGTCTGGTGCTGGTACGCGCACCGTGTCTAGAAGAGATGAGTCATTTCCGATCGGAGGTTCGTATTCCACCTTCTCGTACGTGATGCCCCACGTCTTGTTTCCGGTGAAAGGGGCCCTTCCGTCGAACGGCGGTCCAGCTGGCTCGAGCGCGATAATGCTTTTGACTAAGCTGGGCCTCGCATCTCCTATGCGCCATCCATAGGAACCAGCTTGGCTGTGAGTGAAAACGTGTGCCGCACCAATTTTGTCGAGCAATGCTGAGTAAGCGGCGGTGTTTTCATCTTCATAGATGTTGCTGTCAGGCATGTATTGGACTTGCGAAGCATAAAACGCATCAAAGGTCGGATCGCCGACTAATCCAGTCCCAGGCCATTGTGTGTGCAGCTTCGATTGGGGCCAAAGATTGTGCTTTGAAAGCGCTGTAAAGATCTCTTCCACTTTTTCTGTACCACTCGCTATCATCGAGCCGACCGAAGGTTGCCAACGAGAGCGACCACGAGATGCCTGGTCACTAAGGTATACGATGTATCCCTTGTCAAGGAAGAAGGAAGCCCATCCTGGTCGACCGTCAGGTGTCTCCAAAAAGTTCGTACCAGTCTGGCCAGCTCCAGCGATGAAAACAAGAGGGTTTGCCTGGGTGACGTTTGGCGGAGTCAATCTTTCGACGTATATTTGACCGGTCATGATCTGGGAGGTGGTATTTCCAGTCTTATGAGTCAGCTCCTATGCTCGTAGTCTATTCATTCGCTTACCGTAACCTTGTTGTACCTTCCACCAACGAAGAAGACATCTCGGCGTGGTTGCGCCGCTTGTTCTGCGAGTGTAAACCCAAAGGTTGCTATCAAGAGTACACGGGATAAGCGAGCGAGTGCAAACATCTTCATTGTAGTTATTTGCGCCTGGTGGGAAGAATAACGATGGTTGTACAAATGGTGGGGGAAGCTGACCGCTTCAACTTCGGAGATGAGCTTTGTAGTGCATCTGCATGCAATCCCACAATTCGATTAGTTTCGGCCCGTAGCCCATCAGCGTAACCCATGCAAGCCCTTTCAGTACGTTCCAGGCAGAATGCTCAAACGTCCGCCATCTGTCAGCAGCACATTTCCATTCACATATCCTCCTGCTCGACTTGCAAGAAACAGTATCGTTCCTGCCATGTCTTTGATGTCACCAACTCTTTCCGCTGGTATGTAATCTCTAGGATAGACTCCACTCGGGTTTTGCGACAACAAGCTGGTGGTCATATCGCTGGGATAGACTGTAAGGGTGTCAGTAGGTAGAAGATTGCTGAAGTTTATTCGACGCAAGAAAGCTGTTTATGCAACTTACGTCCTGGTGCTATAGTGTTGCATCGGATCCCATAAGGCACAAGTTTTGTTGCGAATTGCTTCATGGTGTGCACAACTGCTGCTTTGGAGCCTGCGTATGCAAAGCCCGCCATTGGAACCCGGTTAAATGCGCCAGCACTTGCGATACCGATAAACTGGCTTTGCTGCTCGACGTTGCCAGCTTTGTTGCCCTTGTCCAGGAGCTCAAGAAACGCAACTAGTGTCGAGAAGACTGCCGTAGTGTTGACAGCATATGTACGGTTGTACTCTTCGACATCCCAATTCTGCAGGTAGTCTCGGAATTCGATGAGCGACGCATCCAGGGAGAGGCCTCCAAGCGTCGGGCCCTGTATACCTGAGTTGGCAATTACCAAGTTGACGTAGCCGGACTTCTGGCTTATGTGCTCTGCTGCAGCTGCGAGGTCAGACTTAGAAGTCACGTCAGTCTTGAAGGTATGAATGTTTCCATGCTTCTATGCGATGCGTCAGCACAAGCTTCGGGCATGTGGCAAATTACACGCACTGCAGTGCTTGCAGCTTCCTCAAGTACTTCCAGTCTTCTTCCAAGGATATACACGATCGCGCCGTTGGCTTCGAGAGTCTGCGCCAGCATCAATCCGATGCCTGATGACGGTGTCAGTCACGTGTCTTTAGCGAGACCGGGTTATGTACCTGTTCCTCCTCCAGTGATAACGGCAACAAGGCCTTTGACACTGAAGATGTTGCTTGGATCTAATTCAGCCATGGCTAGGGGTGCGAAGACAAGTCTGATGTTGATTGAAGGTACAGGTGCTGCAGCCGAGTGAACGCTTTTGGGTGAGCTGAATCAGCTGATAGCGTCGCGAGGAACGATTTGTAATCCCTCTCAATTAGCTGTACAGCTGCCGGTGATGCCGTACATATGTTAGTGGCTGAGCTGTGAGTGCAAAAGCAGATTATTGGCCTCCTGTCCGTAGAAGTTGGTGAGAGACTGAGTACATGAATACCTAGCACGTTCACCCTGTGAAGCAACGTTAGGCTGGAACTAGCTGCCGATCAAAAATGATTGTGGCACGTTAAAGGCCCGAGAAGAGCAATCATGCAGGGAAGCCGCCGCAAGGTGAAAAGCTGAAGTTGTCCCTCGGGATTTCCTGTTCCGGAATGATGACGCGGGGCGAGGAGCTGCGAACCTCCACGCGTGTCGGCTACAGCTCCACGATGAACCTCGGCTTTGCTAGTCTAATATTGATATGTAGCCTCAAGTTTAATCTTTGGTAGTACTTGGGGTTCCTTTCATGAACAACCGATCAGGCCAGGCGCCATTTGAGACTGCTACTCTGGACCAGGTGTCCACTACAGTCTAGTTAGGCACCAGCCGGCTGACCTCAACTTGCAACCCTTTTGATTACAACGTCCACTTAAATCATCCAGCATGTCTCTATCAGGTATTGAAGGTCTTCCCGTCGAATTACTCCAGCCGATATTCTTCACGTCCGGTTACAATGTTGCTCTGCTACAGGCCTCACCACGCCTTGCAGCGAGGCTTTCCAGCAACTATGTCTACGACGCAACATGTAGGTATTACCTCATGACAACAATGCTAGACCGTACTGTTCAAACGTCTGCACAAACCTACATCTTCGCCAGCAAATGGATGACTTGGGCATTCTTCCAATCATGGATCACGAAAACGTATGCTCTCACAGGTTGTTTGTGTGGAAGAACAGAAGGTTGCTTCGATGCGCAATGGCCCCCAGATTTCGAAAATGCAACCAGCATGGTGTTCTCTAGAAGCCATCTCCCACAGTTTGCCTTCATCAAGGCGCGACTTCCTAGGAAACTTCTCTGTGGACCTTGGACACCGGATAAAATACAGTTCTTGCGATTTCTGCTATGGATCACGAGCATGACTGTCGACTGGAGCGACACAAAGACCTTGCAGGTTGCTGTCGAAGGACGGCGTCAAGCCATGCGAGAGTACAATCTTGACGCAGTTGAGCTTTTCAACCACAACCGCCGCCTGGGTAGAGGTGCTGACTTGTCCACGATCCGATTTGCCGTAATGGAATGCGGATGCGATCGATCGGTTGTGTACGACACGATAAGCATGGCAAATCATTGGGGAAAAGTCCGTTCTTGGGAATGTGCAGAGCTGGATAGGTGGTGTGAAGAACGCATCTCGATGGGCGATCCGAAAGGATTATGGTTACAGATCGAGCTGAGCCTTTTGCGGTCAAATGACTGGCCTGTTGAGCAGGAAGAAGTTGATCCAGCGAGCAAAACTATCACAAAATCCTGGGAATCCAACGATGAGCCTCAAGATAGGCTCATAAAAACGCCTCACAAGTGGAATGAAGTGAGTAAAATCTCTTTTTTTATTCAAATCCTTCATGCACCATCGAATGCCCAGGTAAAATATAGCAAGCCGGAGAAAAGCTGAACCTGTCGTAGCCAGTACTCCAGCGCGGATGGCTCATGGTAAGTCCACGCCTGTCGATGCATCTCCGCGTTACGCACGACATCCAATGGCCGGAGATCATGCGAATGCCAGGACCGCGAATGTACTGCGGCCCGAGTCGACCGCTCCGAATTGGCTGTCATCCAACAAGCAACACAATATCTACATCGCCCCTGCTTTGGCTCGCTCCACCTACGTCCTGCTGAACCTCGAAGACCGAGAACAGATGTATGCGGAGAGGAAACATTAGCGCAGTGGGGCTACCGAACTGACCAAAAGGCCCTGACTTTGAAGAAGACCAAGGTTCCATGTTGCTAATTCTGCGACCAGGAAAGACGCCAGTTTGGCTGGTTTTACCAGGAGCACGGGGAATCAAAGACGGGACTTCACTACCTCAAGCGAGCAGATCTTGGTGACTACTGGAATTACTCAACGCATTCGGCTCACCACGTAATCAGAGGACTGTACTCACGAGGATGGCCTAGTCAATCGTTCAGCATGTGGATGGAGATGTGGATACCAGATACTAAATGCCAGGGTGCGAGTGTATGTAGTTGTGCTGAAGAGGGGGTTGATTCTTAGCATTACAATTTGCTTCTATCCTCACGACCCAGAAAGCCAGCAATGGGACGAATCTTGGTAGCGTTTTCGGCGCCCTTCACGGCATCGCTCATCTCGAATGCTTCATAGCGACTCCAACTATCGAAAATCAATTCCAACCGGGACTCCTTTAGTCTCGTCGTCTTCCACGACTGCACTGAAACTCAATTCGTTGATGTCCTCAACCGCTTTTGCCCAAGCGTCGGCTCCGGTAGATGTCGAATGTAAAAGAACGATTCCGGGATTAGACGACACCAAAAGCGGCTGCCCAAGGCTTTTTTTGTGCTGAACGGGGCAGTTGTGAACTTCGGGAGGTCCAGCAAGTACATCTCCTGTAGTGAATAGTTGTATCAAATCTTGCACAGGCTTTGTTGCCAAGTGTGCATCGCTTGCTGCTTGGTTGGCATATCTATATAGGCATGAGTTGTTTGCTTATCTCGGTTCATACTTCTGACATACTCTTCGATCATGTATATATCCGTCCCCGACTTATCTTCAACGGGCAACGCACAGACATATTGCAGTACTTCCGGTTCGTTGGACGTTGTGAAGGCGATGATCTTCCGAAATGCTTCGATGGCTTTCTCGCGAGCTGAAGTATCTTTGAACACGAGGCGCGCGGTTGTGAGTATTCCTGTCATCTTGAACATTAATTTGACTTGCTATCAATTTCTTTACAGCTCATGTTGCTGCTTTTCTGGGCTCCCTTTCACAGCGCCCCGCATGGTCGGAAATGCTCATTCGGAACTCGGAACACGGTATCCGTGTCTTCAAGAAAGAAAGTATCGCGCAGCAAATTTCATCTACTCTTACCATCTAAATCTTTAAGTGGTATTAAGCGATATATAAACTGGTACTAACGACAGCGTGTCCGACGGTCCGGAAGTATCTGCATGGATTTCAACACGTGCGCACGTGAAGTCGTGGTCATGACATCACGACCTCGACGCGACGTCTTGATGGCGACTTCACACTTGCACAGTTTGGCCTGAACCACACCAATGTCCTTGCCACGATGGTCGCAATTTCTCCGGCCAGTCTTCCAGACTTCACCTCGTGTCCGCGCCTATTCATCTAAGCTCCCGTTCAATTATTTCTCCATCTTCGGCATGGCGAGCGCAGCATCTTTTGGGACAGGGCCGTTCCCGGCGACACCGTACAAGCCGACATACGACACCTGGCCATACGAAGAGTCTGATTTTGTGCGCTATGATGAGAATGATGACGGTGTTTTCTATCGCCAACCAAGACTCGTTACACATATCGACGACCCGAGCATAGCGCGGCTGTCAGAGTACTACAGCACGGTACTACCTACCAAAGGTCGTATCATGGACATGTGCACTTCTTGGAAATCGTTCTACCCTTTCGAATTCAAAGAAGCCGTGCAGCGCAAAGAGCTCGAGGTGTATGGTGTGGGCTTGAACGCAGAAGAGATGAAACTCAACGGCGCACTCAAGGAATGGAGAGTACTAGACCTGAACAAGGCACCACATGATGTACGTGCAGGATGGGACGAAGGGGAAAAGATGAAGTTTGATGCTACTACATGTGTCGTCAGCATCGATTATCTCAACAAACCGCTCGAGATATGTCGCAATTTGCTGGATGCCACGAACGAAGGCGGAAGCGTGCACTTAGTCATCAGCAACCGATGTTTTCCGAACAAGGTCGTGCGAAGGTGGATGATGTTGTCAGAACAGCAGCGCTTAGAGTTTGTTGGAGGTGAGTAGCAAAACACTGCATTGCAAATAAGTTCAAGAACTAACTACTCAAATAGACTACCTCCACTTTGCGGGCTGGAAAGACGTCGAGATTGTCGACCTTTGCGCTCGAGATGAAAGCGGCATGCGTGTGACAGACGATCATGGTACGGTAACGATCCGCTCGCCGCATTTGCCAGATCACCTCGATCCACTGTGGGTTGTGAGAGGAATGAAACGAACGGGACTGTAAGAAAGCAAGGCCGAAAATAACGAAATAAAAACAAAACAAGATCGATAAACCTGCCGGCCCTAATGCTGATCGCATGAGGTGAAACGCAAAACCGACATAGACAACTCGCGCAAACCTAACCTAGACACATGTCTGGGCTCCGGTCACCCACATTCCCGTGTCGCTTGCAGTGTTGTTCCAAGGACCAAATTGGTTCAATTGGGCATTCAGGAACTTTTCCACCTCTTCCAGCTGTTTGCCTCCAAGAACGCCTTCCTGAATTTTTGTGTTCGTGGCGTTATTTCGATCCGTGAGCATCCTGCCGGAGCTACCCAGGACATATCGCAGCCACTCTTCTAACAAAACCTGGCGCGAATCATCATGGCGCTTTCCCTGCAAGAATTCTAGCTCTTGCCCAGACACGCAGTGTTCCGCCTTTTCAAAGTTTCCCAATTTGACCTCTATGATATACACCAAGGGCATTTGCACGACGTAACTGAGGTACACGTTTTTTGCCATGACCTGCCGATGCACAACATTCTTCTTGTGTAGAGCTTTAATTCCTTCTCTAATACCTGTCGTGATTCGATCGAAATGCACGGGTTGCAGCAGCTCGTAAACCTTGACAAACTCCCACAACGTGGTGGTGTGCTTGTCGTACACGATGCATGTGACTCGTGGACCACCGTGCATGTCCTTGACAACGACGCCCTTGTACAGTGCAAGGTAAGGCTGCGGACACACAGCCAAGTGCACGTTGACGGCGAGTTCTTTGGCAAATGTATCGCGGCATGTGTGATCTCGCCTCTCTGCGCGCAGTGCGCCGAACACATCGGGCCACTTGAGTCGCAGCTTGTCGGTGTTTTGGACAGGCGGCCCTCCAATGCCTGGGACATATTCCTTCATCTTAGTCGGGTCGAACAGTGGGAACATAACGTCAGAACACGTCGGAAACATCCCCCTGTTCCCGACCTTGAATCCATGGATTGGGAAACTGTCTTGGTTATTGCGCATGTAGAAGTAGGCCTTGGGGCCGTCGAAGTGGCCGTGCCACAGGCCGCCGTTCTCATTATCACAAACGAGATAATCTACGCCGCCGGTAGATACCTCGAGGACGCGGATCAGGGTGTAAACGCGTTCTGGACCCGGGCCTTTGTCTATTGTTGTTAGAATTCCCTGTCCCTGTGGAACGGGAACGGGATGCTGAGTGGGCATGTTGATGCCAGGCGGCGGTCGGATCGGCCCTGTCTGACCATGATATTGGACCGGCGGAAGGGGCTCGGATGCGAATCCATGCGGAGGCCGAATTGGTATTGTTTGTCTAGAATTATGGGCTGGCTGAGAAAATCCAGATGGCCGCAGAGAAAACGGGACTTGCGTAGAGGAAGGTGCTGGCGTAGATTCACGTATGTCTGGAAAGAGTTCACGTGCGAGGGATGGAAGACGACTGGCCGACAAGTGATCCGAATCTCGTTCCCTTGGAGGCAAGGAATAAAGCGGACGGGAAACAGAAGAGGAGGAGGATGATGATGCGAATGCGGTCGAAGAGGTACCCGAACTCTGCCATCCTACAGGCTGGGGTAAAATCGGAGAAGCAACAGCTGTAGCCGAACTGGGAACCACTATTGACGAAAGTCTACGCGAGGTTTGTTGGCTTGATGGCCTAGAAGAACTCTGGGCACTGGTAGACGCCGAACCAGGCCCGTCATTATGGCGCCAATTCCGCTGGTATATCTGCGCTTGTCGCTGTGCCCGTGAATTCGAGCGCCAAGGACATGACATGTTGCTTGCGGAATTAGGGGAGTGGAGGCGAAGTGGTTCTGGTATCAATATAAGCTTCTGATCACAAGCTTCTGAAAGTACATGACTTAACATACTATGGGGATGCTTGAACGTTAATATACTGTTGCTGAAATCCTAGTATAAGGAAGCCGAATTTGCTTCAACTCTTCATAGAATGTGAGAACGACTTTTATACTCCTCAGAAATATCCTCCAACAAAAATTCCGCACAATTACATGGCTGTAGTGACTCGCTAGTGCACCGAGAGCCATGGTAACTACCGTATGCAGACTATTCCATTTACTCATTAGGCTTCGGGAATCAGAGCAGTAGCAGTGCAAGTGTGCATCACGTACGGTCATCGCATAAGGTAGCCTGAATAGATACACGTCACTACCTCAACTTTCTCGCAGCCGGCAACTCATGTCCATCCACAATCTGAGACTGAAACATTTTGACCTAGCTACATCTGGCTACATCCAACATAGGTTAGGATGCTCTGGGCAGCAGAATAGTGAGTATCAATCTCTAGCTTTCAGAAACGTACCCAGGTACACTGTGCTCCGCACGACTGGTAATGTCGACAACGCGCAGGAGAACATTTGCACCAGCTTGCCGCATATTTGAACTCATGCTCTCTAAGCCGCAACATAGTCCTGATCGCAGAAGCTATTGTACCGCGCAGGGACAATGATAAACCCCCCACTTCCCGAACATGATGGAATCACATAGCCGAAGCACTCAGACGTTGCACACTTTATTGCCTTTCATGAAAGCCTTGAGAGGCGCGCTACTTGGTAGAGAACCTTGGATTTGGCGCTTGTCGAAGACCTTGGACCCAGTCTGTCTCCACGCTCCAGACCCGACCACGTCGATGAATTACTCTTCCACACGGCTCACATTCACTCACTAGAAACTCTTCAGTCCTCCATCACCCAATAATCTGCCTTTGGAAAAATATCCTGCGTTAAGAACTCGAGTTTATGCGAACATTTTGGTATGGATCCATGGTACTCCATCCACACTAGCTTCGCTCCAGCCTTCCTCACAAACCCCCAACCTGCGCAAACCCGACGAGCCGAAAGCTACGATTCTATATTTACAGCTATTTTACTTTCCAAGAACACACATGGCCCCTTTAAGGTTTTCGGGAGGTCGCTAGACAGCATACCCGCACTGAACTGTGTACAGCCCGAGCTGAATAACATATTAACTCATATCCTAGGTTGTGCAACAGTCTGCTTGCGAGATGAGGGGAAATGTGAAGAAGAGGTCATATGATGAATTAGACATGAAGCAACCATGCGCTGACCGCTGCAAATGATCGCGCTTGAAATTAACGTTCCCTTCGCTAGATAAAAGAAAATTACTCATACAGATACAAATGCGCCGAGACAATGCACCACCAACCCATCGTAAACAAAAAAAAAAAACCCCCCCCCGTAGATAGAACCCCATCCACTCCCAAGACCCTATCATACAACAAGTACTACGCAAAAGAGAAAAGGCATCAAACCTCTCGCAACCCTCACCCCAGAACTCCTTCGGATGCACACTATAATTCCTCCCAAACCCCGCTCTCCCTTCCTGCTCCCCACACTGCCCGCGAGCCTGTACATCTCGCCCCACGCCTGCTCCACGTCCACATCGACGGGCATAAGCTGCGCCATCTGCTGATAATGCGAGATATTCTGGCTGATTTCCATTTCCTCGTCCTCGACCTCCTTGACCACTTTCTTCGTCTTCTTCGCAGCAGCGGGGCGCAAAGGCTTCATCGTGTCCCAGAGTTCTTTGTCCGAGGAGGATATTTGCGCTTTGATGTATGCAATGGACGCTGGGGAGGTGGGGTTTGCGTCGCCGAGCGAGGACATGACTGGTGTGCGTGGCGTGTACGAGGCTGCGTATTTCTGCGGCTGTGGGGGGTTCTTAGGCTTGACCGAGGGTTTGAGAAGGGCCCTGTTTCCCTTTTCGAGGAGGGACAAGATATCGAGGCTTTCGCCGTGCGGGATCGGGGTTTTGTGCGAGGGCGTGATGCAGTCCATGTCGACTTCCTTGCGCAGGACGTGGATCGATGTCGATGGCGGAGAAATATGCGCATGATTGGGGCAGTTCGTTGATGCCCATTTGTTGGCTGAACATGGCGCGCGTCCAGAGGTTGGCGACTTGGAGCGCCATGGCGGCGCGGTATTTGTCCGCGCTTTTGACTAGGTAGCGGATTTCGTCGTGCACGGTGATGGCGAGGCGGGCGTCGAGATTGTAGCGGCGCGTGAGGTAGTCCATGGACACGGTCAGGAGGTGGAGGTAGTCAACGCCAGACGACTGAATGGCCCAGTTGATGCGAGATGTCATGAAGCCACCCTTGGAAAGATATCGACGCTGCAGAGCTTCAGTAATGGCGGCGCCGAGGACTGGTGTTCGCGGGCGTTCTTGTTCGGCAAAGTCTTCAAGTTTGTTGAAGACGAAGGATTCCGTACCGCCGCGCCAGAACGGACGCTCGTGCAACATTTTCCTATTGGTCTTCTTGCCTTTTGTGTCTTGGTAAAGGTCGTTGGCGGTTTTTGAAGTTTGAGACTCGGTCAAGCTAGGGTTAAATTGCCGTAGCAGAGTCGAAGCAAATTTCAGACCAGCACCGTAGATGCGACCATAGTTGAAGACCTTGGCATCGTTGCGCGAGATGCCTAGAATGCCAGCTGTTCGAGAGTGCAAGTCGGTACCTGCAGCTTTTGTACCTTCAAGTGTCATGAAGCCAATAGCGTTACCGCCATGCAGTTTGAAAGTGGCGTCGCCGACCAGACTGGCAATCCAGAGCTCTTCCGAATCGACATCTGCTCCGACGAAGCAATAACCCTTTGGTGCTCGGACCATGGATTTCAGCTCTGAACCAACTCGGTTCTTCTTGGCGTTGCTTGCCGTTAACCACGTATTCTCGACACTTCTCCGAGTGACAGTGCCCATTGGTATAATCTGCGGGAGTATGAAGCCCACTTTGTTCTCGGGACCTTCGGGAGACGATGATGTCAAGTCGGATGCACCCGGAACCTCGTTGTTGTAGACAACCATTTGCGACGTGATCCTGTCTCGGGCGCTGATCCAATACGAACACGAGGCGTTCATCTCGAGAGCCTCTTTGGCATATGCATACTCTGACGTCAGCTTGCCCTTTTCAAAGTATTGCAGGTAGCCCTTCGCTAATGGGTTTGCGCATCGAGCTTGTGGGCCATCTTTGTGTGGTATCTTGTAATATACGTATTGGGTAGCGTCGCGCAACTTCAGATTCTCCTCTTCTGACATGTCTAGCTCTTTCATGCCCCTCTCATTGTAGGCAAATACCTCATCCATTGGGACTTGGTACGTCCAGCCATGCTTGTCTGACCAGACAAGTGGATAGCCGTCCCAGGAGAGCTTCAGCAAGATGGGCGCGATGCGTGTGCGAACGGTCAAATTCATCGGTCCGTCACTCTTGGTGAAAAGATCCTTGTACCACTTGGGCATGCCTGGCATTTTTTGTCTTGCTGCTGGCCGCGGCGGGTCGTTCTTCTTCTTCCCTTTGACCATCTTAATCTCCTGACCAGACCAGTCCAACTGGCTTAGCCATGGGTCATTTTCGTATACCTCTGGCTGGTCCTTGACCTCAAGCGCTTTGTCGGTCAGGGCCACGAGGCGTTCTCGGACGGCAGTATTGAGGTGGTTATATGTTGCTTCCGCATTGTGAATGTAAGCGTCCCACGTTTCATTGACAGGGAGGATCTCGGCAGCCAATAGACGGAGAGCAGCAAAACTGACAGGATGGGGACATGTCTCGATGAACAAGGGAAACACTTTTTGGTAGACTCGATGTGTAATTTCGACGTCTGCTGCACAGTAATCCAAGAGCTCGTCCAACTTTTCACAAATGCCGGTCCTGTCCAGTTCTCCAAAGTACTCCCGCCGTTGTTTGTCGATTGTGATGTTGCAGTGGAACTTGGCCACCTCTCGGAGCGAGTTGACAGCACTTCGTCCAATCCACAGCTCCTCCTCTTCGTCTGGTATCGCTCCGGAGTCTAGTAGATGCGATAGCTCAGCATTTTCTTCGTTGGTGGCGATCTTGTCTCGCAGCTCGCGGCTCTTCTTGTGCTTCATCCACGACGGCCGCTGCCGTGAGCACATGCCGTTGGAGGCAACGTGTAGTGACATGGTGTCAACGAAGCAGTTGTTTGATTGTGCAATGCTGTACTCTTCCGCTATTCGTGCTCGGTCGTATCCAACATTGTGTCCGACTATGATCCGGTGCTGCGATGTGTCGCCGAGGGGAATAAGGTGGCGATCCGAGTCGGACTCTCCCAGCAGCCACGGTGACAGCCATGCATACCATGTCGTTGGACTGACGGCGCATGCCATGCACGCAAAAGACGTCTCTTTCCACATGACCTCGGTGTCAAAGGTGAGCAGCGTCTCGTCCGGTGCGTCTACTGCTTCGGTGGTGCCGTCGCTGTTGTACTTGGTCCAGCCACTCCGCCGCACCCACTTGCGGGGTTTCGGTGGGGGGTTCGCCCATGCCAGCTTCTTCGTCATGGTGAGATATGGCTCCGCAGCGTCCATGCCGAGCTTGTAGAAGTGCTCGTCCAGCGTGGCGCCCTGCAGTTCGGGCACGTCGAAGCCCACGGGCGGGGTCGAGTCCTGGTTCTTGCCGAGCAGGTCATGGCGGGTGAGGTGGTCCCGCGAAAGGGCGACGAGTTCGGGCGGCGGTGAAGTGCTTGCGCCGGGGAAGACTTGGGAGTGGACATGGCTGGAGAGTTGCTGCACGCCGATTTCGTTGAAGCGGGCTTCCGAGGGGACTATCCGATATTAACGGCTGCAGAGGAGGGGTGGGTTTGGCGGCGCATACTGTTGAGGCCCGTCGCATCCTTCTTGCTAGCTTTCTTCTTCTTCGCTGGCTGCACTGTGGCAAGACATCGTCGCGATGCGCTGGTGAAAGGTGTGGTGGGCCGTGAGCGATGGGCTACATTCGTTGCAAACGTGCGGCAGGAGCTGCAGCGCATGATCGGGCAGAGGGACGGCGCGCTATCGCATGTGCATGACGGGGGGAGGTTCGACTATCGACTATCGCCTGTCGCGAGTTTCTTCGCATGTCGCGCTGCTGGCGTCATGAAGGCCATCTAGCTCAGGATAATTAAACTCTTGGCATCTGCACCTCCACCTGCGCCTCCTCACAAGCGCGATGCAGCCCTACCGGCGGCAGTGGGCCGGGCGGGCTTCTGGGTGGCAGAGGCGCCTTGGATCCCGCCGTCGCACGTCGTCCCATGGCGATCCCTGCGCTCCGTCATGGCGCCTCGACGTCGCAGCAGGCCATTCGTGCTCCTCGTGCTGTTGTCGTGATGTCTGCAGCGCCCGTCTGCGCTTGATCTGCTGCTGCTGCCTGCCGTCTCTGCGCTGCTTGCCTCGATGCCGGACAATGACGACGCCACCGGCCACGCTCGGCCCCAGCATCAGCACCAGCACCAGCCCGAATACACGTACACGGCGAGTGACGCCTCGCCCTCTCAGTCACCCCTCACCGGCCGCGACCCCAACTTCCTCGACGGCCTGCTGCCCCCCTACAATCCGCCGCCGGGCTCGCCAGACCGCATCGACTACGACAGCTTCTACGACGCCTACCGCGCCGTCACCCCGCCGCCGCCAAACTTCCTCGACAACATCCTGAACCCTGCCGGCCTCGCCCACAACCGCTTCTCGCCCTTTGGCTATCGCCCGACGCCGCCGTCAGTGCCGTCACCCAGCAACTTCTACGAAATGCCGCCCACCACACGCGCAAATCCCCAGGGCTCCCGTCCAGCCAGGCTGCCCAATGGCTACGTCGACCTGACTTCGGACCCGGTTTCGCCGCCCCGGACACGCAAGAGGAACTCACCAGAGCCGGGGCCATCGTCGAAGCGGCAGAAACGTGATGACGGCACTACCTCGAGACGCGGGAGTGGGGCAATGAAGATGGAAGAGGTGGATCTGACGGAAGAGGCACCCGTCCAAGACGTTCTCCAGAAGCAGCGCGAGGATGCCGTCAAGGCCCAGACGAAGCCCGAAGAGAAGCCCACCACGTTCAACACCTTCAATTGCGTCATTTGCATGGACATGCCTACGGATCTTACCGCGACAGCCTGTGGTGTGTACTCAGATTGAATATCATATCGATAAAGGCTAATTACGCAGGTCATCTATTCTGTCACACCTGTCTGATGGAGGCATTGATCGCCGGCGAGAACCGCGCAGGCCCCGGCGAACCGAAGCGGTCCCAGTGTCCTGTCTGCCGAAAGTTCATCAACCGCAACAAGATCACCGATGTCATACCTCTGATGCTGAAGAAAGGCCTGGCAACACAGCCGAGAAAGAAGAGAGCCACGGCATCCCCTGCTGCGGTAGCACCCAAGGTACATTGAGCTGTACTTGGATTTGTTGTTTTACTGGGTTTTTGTTTGCCATGTTCCTTGAAGCCGTGCTAAAAGACCATCAGAAAGCCAGTAAGCGGTCGCAGCCAGTCGCACGCAGGTCGGACAGAAGCGCACTGCGGACCTTCTACGAAGAGATTTGAGTCTTCATCGAGCGGAGGCTATCCTGAGACCGAGGTGGCAGATGTGTGATACCCAACGATTTACGACACAGCATGGGAAGGGCGTTTGCTCGAGGCCTCTAGGAATCTGTACATCACATTCCGAATGGATGCAGCAGGCAGCTTTTTTCGTTTTGCACTTGCATTAGCGTCATCATGATGACGTCTTTCAATTTTCTTGCGAGATAAGAGAGACTAGAAAGGGCTATCAGAACTCTACTTCCGTTTGTGTTCTTCCTTCCGCCTCCAAAGTACTCCCAGCCCACACACCCGTGCAGATCACTTCCCATCATGTCTCCGGACCCCAAGCTCACATCTCAGATAGCCATTGTCGGCGCCGGCGATGTTGGCGCTACCATTGCCTACTCGCTCATCATGGACCCTGTCGCCAGCGAGATCCTCATGATCGATCCCAAAAAGGAAGTCCGCGACGCCCAAATCCAAGATCTCTCCGACGCAACTTTTCACGGCAACACCAGCACCCGCATCCGCGCTGGCACGCACAAAGACGCCGGCCAATCCGACATCATCGTCATGACCGCCGGCGCCAAGCAGAAGAAAGGTACATCATCTCATACAAGGCCAACTATCCTCAATTAACTCCTCAAGGCGAATCCCGCGCCGACCTAATCGGCCGCAACAAATCCATCCTCCAATCCGCCATAAACGACATGTCCCCCCTCCGCCCAGACACCATCCTCCTCCTCGTCGCCAACCCCGTCGACGCACTAACCTTCTTCGCCCAAAAGTTCTCCTCCCTCCCGAAAAACCAGGTCATCGGCTCCGGCACCTTCCTCGACTCGGCGCGCTTGCGCGGCATCCTGGCGGCCCGCGCCGACGTCGCAGCTAGCTCCGTGGACGCATACGTCCTCGGCGAACACGGCGAGAGTCAATTCGTTGCATGGAGTTTGGCGAGGATTGGGGGCATGCCGTTGGACTCGGCACTTCCCAAAGACGTAAAGTTAGACAGAGAGGCCATTGCAGAAGAAACGAAAAACAAAGCCACGGAGATCATCAACAACAAGGGCGTTACGAATTACGGGATTGGCGCGGTGGTCGCGAGTCTTTGCAAGAGTATCTTGTTCGATAAGAGGGACGTTGTGCCTGTCAGCCACTGGCAGGAAGAGTTGGGTATTTGCTTGAGTATGCCGGCGGTTTTGGGCAGGGCTGGGGCGGTGAGGAGTGTGGAGGTGCGGTTGGATAAGGACGAGGAGGGGAAGTTGAAGGATAGCGCTGGGGAGTTGAAGGAGATGGTCAATGAGTGAAGCCTCTAAACGGGAAGGGCGATGTCTTGCCAGCTTTTGAAGTTACAGGATACATTCACTGGAGCTCACATTTCATTACATGACGAGCGGCACGTGAGCTTCAAAGTGTGACATGGAGCTATGGTCGTGACTTCCTCTCTGCCCAACATGCCAAGCAACTAGCCTCGTCCGACGAATGGGGCGCCTTCTCACTGTTGGAACCTTCGACTTCACTTCACACTTCTCAATCTCGACCTTTTTTAATGGCTATGTGATTCAGCCTTGTACCTACACACGTTGCTGGCTTGCTCCGCTCACGAGGTTGCCCTCGGCCTTGTGCGTCACTCAGCCTGGTCTGCTATGTCGAAGTTTCGGCCTCGCATGAATGCCGATGATGGATTCAGCCTTGCGCGATAACGTCTCACCGGTTGGGCTATGCATGCTCCAATTGTCAAAGCTGAAGCCCATCACCGATGGACTACCAGTGGATTTACGACATGCAGCTTTCGTTCAATCTGAAGCAGATCTCGACCAGCCAGCATCCCGCGTTATGGAGTGGCTTGCTATAAGCGATAGGCTACTCTGGTGGCGAACTTCAGCTCAAAGGTGCTGCCTCCCCTTGACCACCGAAGATCTCAGCTTGCTTCCTGGTTTCCTCAACAGACGTTGTTTCTCGAACACCTGAGCTCGTCTACCTCCACAACAATCGTACCTGATACCAGACATGGATGACGACGCACCAGTTGACCAGGAAGCGAGTGTCCATGCAGAGGCAAGCGCACCCACTGGTCACCACGTGATCGAGATGGAACCACCGAATCGAGCAACGAGACAAACGATCAGATCTGAAGGGTCCGTTTCCCCTCCAGCCAGATCAATACACGCTAACGCTTACAACAGTCCGAATTATCCCTATCATAAGGAGACAAAGAGGCTTTTGTCGCGCTCACATAGTCACGATGATTTAAAAAGCCTAGTGAAATGGACAAAGAGGCTGATAAAGCCCGATTGCCCATCTTCAGGTACGAATCTGAGAAATCGAAACAAGACAAATATCACAATTGTTGAGCACATGATAAATGCGAAGCCAACGTTTACTTCGGTTGACAGTGTGGGGAAGCTGAGATCAGCTCTAGCTGCTGAAAGCACGGCTTCACAAAGCCACCTTGTAAGCGCTCAACCAAAGCTGAGACTTTACATCGTGGAAGATCTCTCAGTAGATGTTGTAGAACTACTTGGCTCACAGTTCAACGTGGATCCGATGTTTTTCAGTACACAATACGACCGTCCGGGAAGGATCGCGGAAAAGCACAAATTCACGAGACATCTGGAATCCTCCGAGGGCCTGAGACTCCAAATCTCGAAGAAGCATCGCAAATGGTTCAACATGGACAACGTCAGGGTATCTTGGGAAGACGGTGATGAGATGGAGTGGAAATCTATCAATGAGCAACAAAATACTTTCAATGTACACAGGACTATGGATCACTACATTGCGCCGCAGAGATTTGGCGGCACTGTCCTAACTTTGACCACTCGAACGACGTTTTGGCTGGACAAAGATGGTCAAGGGGACTCATTGGTGGGCATCGTGCTCGTGGATCCAACAACTCCGAATTTCGGCAGCGTTTATCGAGACAAAGCCATACCGAGGCCTGAAAGCAAGTCTGATCAGGCACCAATCCATGAAACCTGGTATAGCGACATTGTTGAGATCTCCTCAAGGTATCTCGAAATTTCACCACTTTCTCCTGACACTGCCATTAACTATATGGTGGTAGTATATCCGGTCACAATCGCAGTATGTGCAGAATGGCTCAAAATGCGTCAGGCTTTCAACATAATCCTAGACGATGTTGAGTCTGTATTTAATTACAGTGTCGACCAAGCGGAGATGCGCACTGTGATTGATATGAATCTCACAAGTTTAGCCAGGCTGAACCTCCATCTTCCAAGGTGGAAGAACATGATTGTTGCTACCCTGGAGGACGCATTTCCAGCAGCTGCGCATCTGATATCATCGACTTCTCACAAGGGTCAGCATGAGGAGAATGACCTACTGCTTGGCCAAGTTGTCCCCGACCTAAAACGCATTTTGCATCATCTTGGGGAACTAGAGGCTCGAGCCACTCGATTGACTGACCGGTGCGTGGCTGAGATGCAGTTACAAGCCGCTCGCCAGAGCCTTGCTGAGAGTCATAACCTAGCTCGACTTTCTTGGCTTGCAACAATTTTCGTTCCGCTCACTTTTCTCTCCGGTCTGTTTAGCATGAGCCAAGATATTGGCTCGTTACAAGTGAGCTTTAAGTACTACTTCAGTATTGGCACACCGCTCGTCAGCGTTGCATTGGTGGTGGCCAGATGGGGACCGAGTATCGCCTATAAAATGGAGAGGTGGTTCTGGCTCGTTGTTGGTTTTTCTATCGAGTTCTGTTTTCGCTGGAGCTATCTTAAGATGGCTGTACATCGCCACTGGATATTGAGGTCGACATGGAGATGGACAATAAAGAGAAGAGAGAAGTTTTCATAGCAAGACTGCAAGTCTCTTGACCAAATGAGTAGGCTCTAAAGCCATAACCATCCCTTGGCTGAATTGTAGCTGCTACCAATAACCGTGTGATTCCTGCAGTCCAAATTCAACTGTGCAGGCCAAATACAGCACTGGACCGGAGCTATACACTGCCCTGCATTACCAGCCTGAACACCTCTCCTCCCACTTTCCATGCAACATAAACGCATTTCAGAGAGGCGTTTATCTTTTCATCACGTTAATAGACACAACACGTCCCAAACTACATTCACTTCCGAAGAGTCTACTTCCACCCCCGCCACCAAGATCTCTGATGGGATTTTAGGCACACGAGTTAATTTCCACAAGATCTTCGCACTAACAATGTCTTCTTTGGCAATAGTCGCGTACGAATAGACAAACGCAGGGAAAATGGAAAGTGCCGCGGGCGGTTCGCTTGCGCGCCATCGATCGGCCGCGTGCGGGATGGACTAGATAAAGCGTTCTAGACTCGGCTGCAGGGTCTAGAACGCTTATAGTGCATATCAACAAGCTCTGCCGCCCTGATATATGCGAAGAGTGAAGAAAATTTCTTGCACAAGACCTGTAGCTTACGGATAGGAGTACATTGGGCTTTGACTGACGTATCACTCAGCGGACGAGTGTGAAGAAGAGACATACAAAAAGCGTAGACTAATTTGTTATACCGTGGCCTGTCTAGTGTGTAAGTCAGGCTTCAGCGTTTGGAAATGAGAATGTGGTAGTCGAAAATCGAACTAATGCCAACGTCTTATGGATTCCTTGTTTAGGTGAGGTAGTCAAGTCAAGCTCACGAATCTGACGGCATTTAGAACAAAGTAACGTAATCAAGCGATGTTTCACACACGTCTGGACTTTGGCACATCATTTTTCATTTCATGTGTGTAAGCTGAGACTGACCTGAACTCCATCCAATACCCTCCACTCCTTCGGTCCGCCCAGGCTATGGATATATAGGCCGGTGCATATATTACCCTGGGCTCCAACCTGTTGTCTTTGCCGCCACCGTCGAATAGAAGTCATCTTCGTCCGTCATGTTGTCTGGGAGTATGTCAGGGCAAACTCCAAGTTTGCAGTGTCGAGCTTGGGGTGAGTGTGCCGGGCATCAACGATCACCTAAAACAATTTGCCCAAGGCTCTCGTCGAATAACCCATCGATCCAACCAGGCAACCTCGCTTGCTTAGGACCACCCAAGTTTTGTGGTGAGGCAGCGGTGGTAATTGCTTCGTATGCAGTAGTGATCATGTCGTTGGTAACCAACTCGCGGTAGTCGCCTGGGAAGCCTTCCTTGGTACATTGCAGCCAACTTTCCGAGCTTGGAATGGTCTTTAGTGGGATTTCCGTCGTCCAGGGCCATATGCATCTGCCATCTGGCGAGTCGAGAGGGCATCGTGTGGTCGCGATCGTCTCTCTCTATTTCAATGAAGCCTCGCCGGCGAGCGTCGTCAACCTCAGCGTCGTTAACCCCAGCGTCGTTGACCTCTGGTGGGTTTACACGTAACGGATCATTTGCCTATCGTAGTGTCATTAGCGGAGCACGGTAAGTAGTTCGACAAACTTACTGCGACTTCGAAGGCCTCCCGCGTAATAGATGTACTGTCGCTGCCCGTACTCATGGTGTCGTCGATGTCCTCCCTGGGTCCATCCACGTCTATCGCGTTGTCCGCGTCGCCTGTATTCTCTGCCGTGGCCAACTCATGTTTCTTAATCTTCTCCCCCTCTTTCGCCTTCTCCATGCCTTCATTTCCCTTCTTCTCATCCTTGTCCTCCTCTCCCGTCACCTGAGCCACGGCTCCCAGTTCAGCGTTGTCTTGGTCGTTGGCTCGCTGAACAAAGAGCCAGCATACTGTGCTCGTCTACGCATAAAGGTCAGTACAATCATTCCAGCCTCGCTTTGAACAAACACTCACGTTGATTATCCCAGCTGGTACGCCAGTCTCTCTCACACTGTCGTTGTATGACGTGAAGACAGTGTTGTCGGGCGTTTCTCGGACGTAGGTCACCCAATGCCCGCTATTCCCGGTCGGACTCATACCACGATGGCAGAGTATTGCCTTGATTTGAAAGAGCGAGTTCACCTTTCCTCTGACTGGATAGGGCCAAGAAAACTCACCCCATGGGAGTACGATAGGACCGCGATGGAGCACTGGTTTGCCAGCCTTGAATGTCTGGCGGTTGATATGGATTTTAAAGACAGGTGGTAGGCTTGTGATCTGCTCGAAATGCGTTGAATCTTCGCGGCAGGTTCCGCATCTATTCGTCTGAACCGTTGCATGCAAATAGTCACTTAATGCGCGTGAGTCGCTGGACGTGCAATGAAGTCGAAGAAAGTCGACTGTGTCTTCAACACGTTTCGATGCAGCACCAGCGCAACCCCGATTGCTACATGTGACTGCAGTGACAGTGCCCAGGCTTGGGAAAGCAGCGTCTGTCGGCGGCCAGATGTACTGCCTCAGGAACGTAGAAAACTCCGTGGAGCCCTGTTGGTCCTGACCCAAAAATCGTTCAGCTATTGCCCTTTGGGCCTCTGGCAAGTTTGGGATCGACTGGATCTCTTTGAACAACTGATCCATGAGAGGCACACTTTTTTCAGTATGACCATGGTGTAAAGCGCGAAGAAGTCGAGGAAAGGTTGCCGGGTCCGGCCCATCCAGGGCTGTCTGGACCAAGGGTGTTATAGTATCCGTGGCCGCCAACGCTTGAAACACAGCGTTAGCGTAGCAGCTGTTTCCAACATTGACAAGCCCGCTGCTAGTCTGACCGTCCGTCTTCGGCTTTCTAGTGCCTGCATCTTTGCCCTTCGTCGACTTTCAAGCGCCCGTACCGTTACTAGTGCCACTGCTCGATGTGCCAACAGCGCCGGATCCCTTCCCTTTCGACTCTTTGATTGCGGTCTTCAGGTCTTTCCAGTGTGGGTCGCCCTCGTCGGCAGACGCGCCTGGAGGCGCCCAGCGCTCCTTTTCCTCTTTCAAGGCTTCTTTCATTTCTCCATGGTACCGGAAAAGGTGGGCTATGATGAACTCCCTGTACGACATTGGAACGTCAGTCGCACAAGACTGCGACTTATCAGCCCACTTTTGCTCAAGCCACAGCATGAAGTTCTCGTCGGCTTGTATGGTCGAGTAAATTGCTTCGTCCCCGTCCGAAGTGATCTTTCCGTCTGTATACTCAGCTTGCACTATCAACAGCACCTCGGAAAAGATGGGACAGGCGATGCAGGCCTGGAAGATCTTATGATGAAGCACCTCGATGCGGTCGTTGATTTTGATCGATGGCGGCTGCTGTTGCAGATGGTTGTATGCCACATCGAGATCGTCGAGGATATGGTACGGTAGTTTTATGATCTTGGCTGTCGTTAGGCAGATCCCCAGGTACTTGAGCGGCGTTGAATCCATGATGGCGGTTTACCGTGGGTGAGTTTGTGTGCCGACTAATACTCCATTATCAAAAGAGGCACAAAAGCGTAGCGCTTGCGCTAGCGTAACGGAGTAGAGCCTAGTGAGTGCCCAGGTGAGTGCCCACGGGGGCGGAGATCGCCACTCACCTCGGGTTGCTGGAATAGCTCACGCGATGTGTATACTCTAACACATTGAATCCTTCACGCTATCCGTACACCCTTCCGCTATCCTCGAAAAGCCATGTCATCCACACCAATAGCAGGGATATCACGGATCGATACCACTCACTTGATAGCTCTCATCCTGTGCTTGCAAGCTTCTGCTGCATGCCCTGACGCGTGTCGTTTCAGACGTTGAAGTGGTCCGACTGGACTCTGGTCTGTATTCATGTCAGCTGAGATCTGGTTGTTTTGATAACCTGTGGTACTGACCACAGTGGGCCTGAGCCAGCTCAAGCAGCTGCATTCTATCCCATCATTCGTCTATCACAGCCATGTCAAATATTTCAGCTGAAGTAGTCCTAGTATGCCATCATAGGGCGCCTTTTGCTCATACATTGAATAATGCCTCAAAGTTCGGCATGCAATTGTTCAGTGGCGGCCCGTCTGTATGCCAGTGGTCAGTGAGCAATTAGTCTCAAGTTATCGGAACTTGAGCATACGTAGCTTCACATGAAGCACCATGATCTCGAGCTTTCGCAAATGCTTCGCCCTCGGGAACGTTTGGATCATGCACCCATATAGATGCAGTCACACAGTCCTGGTCATCCGTATCAAAGCCAAACTTATAGGTCAAGATCTGGCCAACGCCCAGGCTTCCGCGATCGAGCCTCAGTTAGGGGCCATGTGAAACCGTCCTTTCCGCCGCTGAACAGCCGATGCTTCTAACCGGCTAGTCCCTGGAAGCTGAAATACAATGCCTCTTGATCAAACGTGACCTCGATGAACCAGTTCATGGGTTTGTTGTAGTACCTGCCCACGTACTGGTTTAGTGGAAGTTTATGTTCGCATGGGCGCTTGTCCTTGGTCATCTCGTCTTCCAGCTGTTTGCACATATCATTGTAAGCCTTGGCGCTGTCCTTCGCGAGTGTAATGTCGTCGTTCTTATCCGGACAGTCCAGTATTGTCTCAACCAAGAGCTGCCCTATCCAGTCTGGCGCGTCATTCTTGTGTATCGAATTGACGAGTATCACAACAATCGTGTCTGTATCAGGTACGACGTGAACCGAGCTGAAAAATCCTACCAAGCTTCCGTTGTGGTACCACAGTTTCTTCTTTGTCGTGCCTTTCCCAAGTACTGGCATCTCATCAAAAAACATGCCATTTGTGCCAATCGCCCCAACAGGCGCAGGAGATCAACGATAGCCCATCCAGCACCATAGGACAGATGGTATACAGAATCAGGATCCATAGAAACGTGCTCTGTTACGAACTCTTTCGTGTTCTTGAGTGGCGTCTTCGTATGCGATGGAGTCGAGGAAACCCTGACTTCCAGGAAAAGAGAACCGCTTTATAGTACTGTAAAACATTGCCCACAGATGTCTTTATACCGTCGGCGCCTTGTTTTACAGTACCATTGGCTATCGTCGGTCTTCCGACGTCGGTCAGAGTTTCATCGGGCGCTGGCATATACCTATGGGCGTAGTTCTCCTCGGGTACAGCCACCCCAACGAACGTACGATCGAGCTCAAGTGGCTTGAGTATACTGTCGGTAACAAACGAGCCCCAGCTCTGCCCAGATACCTCTTCTATCAAACTGGTCGCAACATTGTAACCCCCATTGTTGTAGTTGTACTATGTGCCCACCGGTTTTATGACTTCGAGATATGATATGATGGTAAGACTATACTCTTTCCGGAGGAAAAGTTCTTGTCCATCATACGCCTATACTGATTGTTTCGTTGCAAAACCCGTGCAGTGAGACAGAAATTCGAGTACAGTGGCTCTATCATGAACGGCAGGGTCGGGATTCGTGAAGGTTTTGAGGATGGAAAAGACCGGCTGGTCGAAGCCCAGCTTCTGATCATGGACAAGGATACCCAATACAGCAGCTGTAAAGCTCTTGCTAAGCGAAGCTACGTGATGTTGAGTATTCTCATCTGGGGCGAGCCTGGTTGTGATATCTCTGTGCCCGAAATTGGGAAGGTGTACAGTTTCGTTTTGATGAACAATTCCAATAGAGGCGCCCGCAGCTCCTGCAATCTCCAGAATTTTCGCGATAGATGGACTGAGATCCTGTAGACAAGTCTTCAGGCTGCCCATTTTTGTTGATAGTGACACTGGGCGTTGAGATGCAATAGTTCCTCTTAACGACGACGATCAACGATAGGTCGCCGGATGTGGACCATGTACTGGTTTGCGAACAACTCAGGACTTTTGTAAGCTTGCCAGTTATATACTCAGGCTACAGCTTTAGCTGCGAAAAGGCTAGGCGGTAGCGCATGCGGGAGGAAGGCAGTATGTCACATCTGTTGACGGCACGCTGAGCCAACGAACAAACGACGGTTTACTAATGCAAGCACAAGAACAACCATTGAGAAATGCCTGGCAAGAAGGCACCGAGCATCCTGGACCGAAGAAGGCCACACACGAGCTCAGTACGGGTACTCTCAAATCCTCGAAGCCCTTGGAGAGGTAGATGCTGCAGGAGTAGAACTTGTATTGTTTGTCCTATCGAGTTATGTCAACTGGGCAGGATGAGATAAATATGAAATAGCAGACGCTTGTGTTTAATTGAATTATGATTCCAAAAAACTGATCTATCTTCCGAAGCTTTGAATGCTGTCCGCAGTATAAGAACGCCAGTTCCATACCCAAGGCCGTAGCCATTATTCCCATCCCGATGCCCAAACCCAAAGAACCAAAGTCTATACAACGAAACCACACAAGCCGCATGCTATGCCGCATCCATGTCTATCATCAAACTCTCAAACGATAATCAACTTCTCCACATTTCCCCCCGCAGTCCTCTCATCCATGCGGTTCCACGCAGTGTACGTGAGCGCGCCGCAAACGGCCCACATGACGGGTACGGCGGCTTCGGTGGCATCTATCGTATTTATTAGCATATGCCCACTTGGTATGGGGATGAGGAATGGACGTACTTGGTCGCTCAGCCTGAGCAGCCATTTGCATGACGCGCGCGGCGCTGCTCGAGGAGCTGGACGAGTTGAAGCGCACGGAGCGCGCGGAGCGGGTTATCAAGCGTGCGAACATGTTTGTAGTTGGTATGGGGTTGTGAGAAACGGAGTTCGTCGAGGGCTTTAAGTCGACAGGTGGCGGTCAGAGGTAAACAAGTGATCGAGCCACGTGTGTGTGTATGTCCGCGACGTGTGATGCGATGCAGCGAATGTGTGTGTGAGTGAACGTGGAGAGTGAATGTCAGAATCTGGGGAAGCGATGGCGCACGGAGTGGGTGGATACTCTGTTAAATATAAGTCGAAACAGTGGAGTCTTTGCCGCAAGGAGGCGAAACCGGTGGATAAATTTCTGTTCAGGGGCGGTGAGCGATCCGTGCAAGGGTGTGTGGTACTAGGATCCACGCGGTGCGGCTGGACTTGGCGGGATCGGTACGTACCCCGGATTTTTTGGGACGCTTGGACAGTTTGTAGTCGATGTCGGTGAATTGACGACTTACTCACTGGCTAGACTCGAATTCATCGCTTTTTCGAAGCAGCAAACTTCCACTGCAGCGTTGTGATGTCCTTGAGAGTCTTACCCTGAGGCTCTTCGGCACCCGGGCCCTGCATATTCCCGGGCCCAGCAGAGCGATCTGCGGGCCTTCTAGACGCAGCGCGCCACTCAACAAGTGCCGCCACCTGTCACTCCACAACGATGGGCGGGTGATTGTCGTTCGTAGCTCGGAAGTCCGATTCCGACAAAACGCTGCCTCTTTCTTCCTCGAATGGATATGAGAAACCTGCGCGTACTTCAACGTCCACCACCCCGCCAGCGTCACCAACACGCGCGCAAAATGTCGAAGAACAGTTGTCTTCGAGATGCGACACGCTGGTAGATTCTCTGGCACCACAAGACGCACTCCTCCCATTCGTCATAAAGTCCCGCATCAACACGCCCATGCACGTCTTCCACAACTTCATCCTCTCCCTAGACAACGGCGCAGCCAATTCTACCTGACACACCTCACAGCCGCGCAAGACGAAGGGCTTGAAGACAAATACACGTTTGCACCGATGGCGTATGCGAATATACGTACGCCGGGGAACGTCGAGAGACTTGTGCTTTTTAGGGAGGAGTGGTAAGTTGGTGATGTTGGTGTGTGTTCCGTGCTTATATTTGAAGATGTGAGTGAGGAGAATATTCTTGTCATCATTATTAAGTGTGTTATTATGTATGTATGATTTCGTTGCTTTCTTTCATCGTCAGAAGCGACCGTCATGTCCTATCTATGCACATCCCACCCTACCCTACCAGCTCTGCTGGAGTAGCAAGCCATGCCCACCAAGTCTACTGGAGTAGCAAGCCATGTTCCTTCAATAAAAATCCCTAAGCATATATGACCAGAAATAGCGAGTAGCTCCTTTATCCAATGCAGCCATTCCGACGTTACGACTTCGCAGCGCCGTTCCTCTTCTTCAATTCCGTCTTCTCCGTACCCGTAGCCTCCGCCAAGACACCCTGCGCCGCATTCGCCGTATCGTTGAGTTCCTCCTTCAACTCCCTCTCCCGTGCCTCCGTCTCCTCCTCACTCGGCTCGTACTCACTGCGATCGTCGTCCGCCGTCTTGTACAGAATAAAACGCACCGCGATGCGGCAGATCAAGAAGAACCAGAAAAGGTTGATAGCTTGCAAACTAGCCATGAGGGTGAGAGTAATGATTTGTGACAGCCAGCACTTGTATTGCTGCGTTTCCCAGTTGAGTTCGTACGGGCCAACGGTTTTGAAGGTGGTGAGGATCGACCAGATGATTTTGAGATTGAGGTAGTGGCGCAGATACGCCCAGACGCACATGAAGACGAAGAAGTAGGGGCCGACAAAGGGGGCGTCGATGTAGTTTAGGCATTTGGAAGTCTAATAATCTGTCAGCACGTATTGCGAGGAGTTGAGTAACAGCCAAACTCACAGCCAAGAAAAAGTCAGAAATGTCGTGTGTGATATACACGGCGATTCCCATGTAGGTGAAGTGAAACCGATAGCTCAGCCAAATCAAGCTGATTGTAATGAAGTGATGCGCAACAAGCTGGCTAAAGTCCTTGCGCGGCTTCTCCAGCATCAGCAGCAAGACGATGAGCTGCTGCGCCCAGTAGCTAGCTTGGAGCAGGTAGTACGCCTTGACGACGCCCTCGTTGGTGCGGTGCGGGAAGCCCTCGTACATGCCGATGGGGTTGAAGTACCACACGGGCGTGCGCGACATGATCCACAGCCCAAAGGGCCCGTAGAGACCAAAGTACAGCGCGGTATATGCCTGCTCCATGAAACGCGACTGCTTCGCGCGGCTCTTGATGCCGTAGTATATCGCAATCGGCCGGATGAGTCGCTGCATGCAGTACTCGCGCGTGAAGCTCAAGACGATGATGTAAAACCCGACAAACGCAAAGTCGCGTGCTCCCTTGCCATAGTGGACTGGTCCGTTCGGGTCGGCGCGGACGTCTGCTGGAATAAGAGGGTCCTGGCTATCGAGCGGGTATGAGAGGAACAGACATGCGGCGATTGGGTTCGAGGGATACGGGTATACGAGATATAGCGAGATGACGAAGACGCTGAGGATCAGCGGGCCGAGCCATGTGTGCCGTATGCATTGGCGGCGGAGTTTGGAGAGGGCGCGGCGGACAGAGCGGCGTTTCGAACGGCGGCCTGTCTTCTCTGACTTCTGCGAGGTTTGTTAGGACGCGGTGCGGAGGTGCGCGGGGGTGCTTTATGGCTGCATACCGATATGTCGAAGCTTGTCGGGCTGTTCAGCGGGGGCGTGTCTTTCTTCGTCGTCGCGAAAGACGGCACGTTCGACGTCGCCGCGAATGTCTCCTCCAAGCCCACTCGACTGCCTCCTCCGTACGCGGATGTTCGTCGCTGGGGTTGGTGCTCGTCTTGCCCAGCGTGTCGCTGAGCGGCGGAAACGGCTCCGTTCATGGTGAAAGAGGTATTACAAAAACAATTACACTGCTTAAGATGAAAGAGAAAGTGAAGCATGCGCACAAACGTAGTGTCGTGGATCGGCAGCAGAAGATGTCTGAACGAAGAAATACAGACTTTGACAGCTCCTTTGAAAAGTCCGCAATTTGCGATCGAGCATGCCAAGCTTGCCGAGGAAAGCGCCGATCACCACAAGGGGGTTTAGGTCAGCAACTCTGCGAGACAATTTCGCTAACTTGCATACACGCGAGCTCAAGCTATAGGGCACAGAATATTGAGTTTCTACCCTTTTCGTCCGTCTGACGGACATGACATGGGCGGTACTGTGCATACTTGGACATCACATGCAAAAGATGTTGGACTAAGCGGGAGCTAGGCTCATCATTGGACGGCCGACTACAGTTTCTTTCCTATCAACAACTATATGGCGCGTGCATCCTAATCTCGAGCATCCTTTGGAAGACCAAGCAGTCCGAGAGCTTCCGACCATCTTCAATCTACCGGTCTCAATCTACTGCCTGTGTGTATGCTGGCATTGTGCTTCAAGCTCCCAACGGCAGCCACAGGCGCGCCATTGGATTTTGGCTGCACACCCTTTCTCATACCAGCCCCATCCAGGTTCCTCTTGAACTCGGCAATCGGGGTACCGGCACTGCTTGTAGTACCTATACTATCCATACTGCCCTTTCTTGAAGACATGCCGTCTTGTCGCAGCAGCCCCTTTATTCCTCCAGCCTTCCGGGCCGGAAGCTCGCCCTTTCCGGCTGTCGCAACGTAGAGCAGGTACTTCAGATTCGGCAATGTCTGACGAATATCGATTGGCCGCAATCCGAGCGCATTGGATAGAATCTCGATGTTCTTGTTGAGTAGGAACACTCCGTACTCGAATCGGTATCGCACCACCCCCTTCATGTATAGAGGATAAGTGCGCAGATTGTTCTGGTTGCTCTGACTCACTGCAAGTGGGTCGTCGATGGTCGAGGTCGATCCATGTAGGGTGATCGGGTAGGGTAGGATGACGGACAGATATGGTGAGAGCTGGCTCACCACCTGCGCCACGTAGCTCAGAGCTGCCGCCGTGACATCCTCCCTGACATCGTCGAACGCGGAGTTTGGAAGGAGAAGCCCTCGAATCGTGAATGCGAAAGACTTGCCAGGCGCGGGCTCGATGGGGTAGAGCCGCAGAAGATCTTCGCACACTCTCCTGCGCTGGCCTGTGATTTCTTCTTGTGTCTTCTCAATCAGCTCGCGCATCTCCTTGCACTTCGCCTGCTGTTCAGGGAGATCGGCTTCAACCTGGTTTTGCAGATCTCGCCCAGCTTGCATCTTCTCTCTGCGCTGCTGCAAGTTGGCCTGAAGCTCGTCGCGCCTCCTCCGCGTGGCATTCACCCGGCGCTTCTCCGCGTTCACAGCAGCCTCCATGGTGCGCAGAGTTTCCTCGGTCTCGGGCACCTGGGCAATTGCCGACATGGACTCCTTGTTTGCTTCCAATATGGTCCCGATTTCGTCTGCAATGCGGTCGCGTGTCACCAATGCATCCTGGATGCAGTCGTCCAGGGTTGAAAGACGCATCAAAGCGTCGTATGAAGACGAAGTGAGTACTTGGGCCTCCCGAGCTTTGTTTGGGTGGCGCAAGGACTTCATGGCGTACTCGCTCTTGCGATGGGAGGTCTGTGAAACTGGTATATATACCGTCCGTCATGTGGAAGAGTATGCAGTTCTGCGGCAGGGGGTGTCTGAATTTGCCTAGTGTCTTCCCAATGAACTGCAACGACCTAAGATGTACGGTGTAGTCCATGAGGTATTGCCATTTGTCCATGCTCTCAGTCTTCGCCCATATCCTTACGGTGAGTCTGTCGAGGCGCGTGACGCCCGGCCCACAAGATGCGAGATCAAAGAATCGGAAGTTTGGGTTCATGGCTTTCTCGGCGATCTCCGAGATGTACACTGGCTCGTCGTGCTGCTCTACATGCAGGGTGAAGAAGGTGTCGGCCATGCGATCCGCGGCAATGTCTTCGAGCTTCTTCTGGCGTGTCAACGGGCTCGCGTTAGTCCACTCCAACGTGGATCTTCTCCGCAGCCCTCTCCCAAAAGCAGGCCTTGGAGACTTGGTGGGGGTGGTCGGCTCGTGTAGTGCGCCATTGGGCAACTTCAGGTCGCTCGAAGATCGCGAATGCGCCAGACCTTTACTCTCCCGCAACGCCAGCGCCTTGGTGGGCGACTTTAGTGTGCTCGGAAGCGCGTCGTCGTCAATTGTTTTTCCGCGCGATCGCAAGGGGCTCGAGGTAAGCGTGAGGTTGCGGATGGTGATGCCTTGGAGGTGCCTGAGCTTGCGGTTCTGTCCCAGTCAGCTTCAGGCCAGCTCTCCATTGCACCTTTCCAAACATACATATGGCAGCAGCCACGGCCGCTCTCTAAGAGGAGGCGGCTCGGACTGTGCCGGAGCCTGCGACGATGTAGCCATGTTACGTAGCTTGCCTTGCTGTTCCGGCGCTGTCTCTACGCGCCTGCGATTCGGGTGTGCAGCTTCTCATGGGCGCATCTTCTGGGTCTTTCGCAGTCGCTTCAGCAGGCAAGCTCCAACACGGCATGATAGATACGAGGACCCGTCGAGAGTGAATCGCCGTGGAGCTGTCGTATTGGAACACGCGGAGGAGCTGGCGTTGCCGCGGGAGAGCTAGGCCCGAAGCGTGCAGCCAACATTGAATCTTTTGGCATGCATCACGAGTCTCGCTCGACAGCATCGGCATCGGCATCGCCCAGGCACCCACGGCCATGCCTCGCACACTCTCCCGGCTGCAGTACCGGAAGCCGCCTGTGCCAATTGCCTTCCACGGTCGCAATGGCCGCCCCCTCGCTGGCCAGTATCTGGAGAAACGAGTGACGGCTTTCGTCAACCGCCAGTCGAATCCCCGCCATGTCAGGCTTCAGGTCGTCGCAAACCCAAAAGCGCGGCTGCCGGCGACCAAGCAGACCGTTATCCATCCCATCAAGCCTTTTACGTTGAAAGACATCGTGGACCCCGACGGCAAGGCGCGGCATGGCGAAATCATCTACATCTTCCGGAACGTCAAGACCAACCAGATCATATATTCTCTCCAGGAGCTGCTCAACGTATGCATGAACCCACCGCACCGTATCCATGACCTGATTACTCACCACAACAGGACCATCACCTCGCACAACTGCCCTTCATCGGCAAGCACTCGAAACCGCCCGTTCTGCGACCAGACGAATGGACGCCACACTGCGTCGTCACCTTTCCCAGTGCCGAGCAAGGCCACAGCGCCTTCAGGAGACTGCGCGAGTTCCGCAAAGTTCATGAAGTAGCGTGGGATAAGACAAACCCCGAGTGGAAGAGGATACCCGTCAAGTCTCGCATGAAGAAGATCATGGACCAACGTGCCAACATGGCTGTGGATCTTGCCAGGGTCTTGGCGCAACAAGAAGTCCGCGCCGAAGAAATGGAAGAGGCTCTCCGCAAGCGGCAAGAGTGGGAAGCTAAAGTCTTGGACGAAAAGTGGGCAGAGGTGGACGCTCTTGTCAATGCTGCAGCAGCCAAGGAGAAGCTCGCGGACAATGTCAAGTGGCTCGAGCATCAGATCAGGTCCTTGACCATGAAGCTTAACATGAAGCACAACCAGAACGAGAAGGACCAGCAGCGCTTGAAGAACGCCAAGATCCAACAGGAAAAACGTCTACGGAAGATCCAATGGGCACAGCGAAAGGCAGAGCAGCTCAAGACGATGCAAGAAGATTTGGAAAAGAAGGCCGCGCCCGCGAACGAGTTGGGTGCAGACGGCAAGTTGGATGAGCTCAAGACCCAGGCCTCTGTTCTTAGAGAAACCGTCACCAACGCTGACCCTACACGGTCCCCGGAGGATCAGGCATTAGACCGAGATCTACTTAAGAACCATGAAGCCGAGATCGCGGCTTTGGAAGAAGCATTCGAGGCTAAGGCGCAATTGGAGAACCGCAGTCACTACATCCATCGCTCCGTTTTACCACAAGCCGCGAAGAAGCTGCTACCCACGCCTTTTACGCTTGAAGACGTACGGGTACAGTGGGCCGACATTCGCGATGCGCTGTCTGCAGCCAACCAGTGGCCAGAACCAATCGAGCACGAAGATTTGCCCCTCAGAAAATCCCTCGAAAATGTTGCCTTCCTTTCGGTAGAGGACTACCAGCTAGAGCGGGCGGAGGAAGTTGGCCGCATTCTTGAAACTCTTGACGCACAAAGAAAGGACGCGGCAGAGAAGGAGGTGGAGGCGGTAGCCTAGAGCGTTCTGTAGGATTATGTATTGCAATGAAGTGTACAACACACTGTTACGGATCTCTGAAAACAGACCCTTGATATGTGAACATCAATGTGCTTGAAAGCAAAATCTGATCACGTGTAAGCATAAGCACGTGCCTACACACAATGTAAGCCAAATGTAGTTCACCCCGCACAACGTCATACCTTACAGATCATCCACTGCACATTCTCGAGCTGCACAACATTACGCTAGGCCCTGTAATTCGGACCGATCGACACTACTGTAAGCAACCAGGTACTCTAAGATGTCTACCGGATCTGCGGATGCGTCTACATCGACGCGGGCACCTCCAACAACAACATCAGCCCCAACAGCAGAGGACAAATCAAAAAGCATCCCAACCCCCCAAAATGCCAAATCCAAAGTCCCCCCAAACCCCAAACCCTTCCCCAGCATAACTGGCGGTTGCCTTTGCAACACCGTGCGCTACCGCCTCCTCACTTCCCCCCTCTTCTCCTACGCCTGCCACTGCGCGGACTGCCAACGCACCAGCGGCACCGTCTTCGGGCACTTTGTCAACATCGAAGTCTCCGCGATCCGCATCATCTCCGCCACCCCACCCATCGCCGCCACAGTCACCAAGCGGCCCGGCCTGATCTCGCGACACGTCGAGTGTCCGTCGTGCAAAACGGAACTATGGAGCACGAACTCCGTGGGCCCGGCGGTTGCGGATGTGCGCGCTGGGACCTTGGATTATCCGAGTTTGATGGAGCCGGATGTGCATGCGTGTGTGGAGAGTAAGGTGGAGTGGGTGCGGTTGCCTGAGGGGGCGAGGGTTGTGCAGGGCATGCATGATTTGAGGAAGATGTGGCCTGGGAGGAGTTTGAGGAGGTTGGAGGTTTGTTTGGAGAGGTGGGCGAGGGAGCATCCGGAGGAGGGGAGGGAGGATGGCGAGAAGACGCCCACGGCGACGGAGGTGGAAGGGGAGGAGATTGAGGATGATGAGGCGTTTGAGAAGAGGTTTAGGGAGACGGAGAGGGCGTTGAGGGAGAGGTTGGAGAGGTTGGAGAGGAAGTTGGAGGAGGAGGATACGCGTGGGGATGGGGGGTTAGAGGAGATGACTGAGAAGCTGAGTTTGGGAGAGACGGGTGAGGTCAAAGATGGTATTGTTTCGGAGCCTGTTGACTAGAATTGATGCGTGGAATGCCCAACAACCCTGGTGTAAACTTGGAGAAACCAGTAATCATAATACTAGAAGTCTCATCTACAGTCACACTGAAAAGACTTTGACTGGCTTGGTTTTCGACGAAGATGATGGACTGATGAAATGTGCTCGGATTGAAATTGCCTCTTGACGCAGTGCCGCATGATCAAAAGTACTCTTTCACTTCCACCATGATCCAAATTCGCACTCGGCGCACAAAGACAAACACAAATCCTCCATACAACCCAAATAAACTCCCACTTCCCCATCGAACAAACATCACACACCCATTAGCTTAGGTTCACGGCTTACCGTGGATCTACCCTCTTACCCACAGTGGTATTGAGGTTCAGCTTGGCCGGGGGTTCGAATACTTCCCAAAGCGCTCAGTTTGCAACAAACGAGCAGCTTTAAGATATCTTCTCAGGCTGCAGAGGCCTAGGAGGGGAAGTAGTAAGAGGTTGGATTAATTAAGTAATTAAGAAAAAAAGTTTCTTCTCCTAGCTCTCCCCAATTGGGGAGTGAGGGTTTTCTTTTGCTATTTTTTGCGACTCTTTTTAATATTCCTTTTTGCTCTAAGGGATTTTCCTCTCTTTTCTTCCTTGTGATATTCACTAGTGTATTCTTACTTTCTAGTTTCTTTACGAAGTAGACTAGCGCTAGTAAGAGAACAGTATCAGCAGAATATTCGAAATCATAGTAGATTATGCTGAGGGTTCGTCGGACCTTTGCTGCATGGAAAGCTTGCTACATCATGTCGAAGAACACTTCAATCAGGTCGCGAAGCCGTGTGCGCCAAGGCCCTGAAGTGGCCTAAACACAAATTCAATCTCTCCGTTATTGCGCAGTGTCCGGTATGCTGTAGTATAGATTTCAAGAGGCAGAAGCATGAATATAGAGGGCCGTGGTGGGAGAAGTCCGGCTGCAATCCCTGATCGCCAAAGCCATAGCCACGTAGGGCATTCACGGCTTCTCGACGCGCATAAATGTAGGACAGGGCACATAAGAGCTGATGCTGTTCTTTATGGGCCAATTGAACGTCACAAGCCATAAATTAGCAGCTTCATGCGGTCGAAACTTTGTAGCTAATCACTCGAATTATTCGACTCAAAGGTACGAAGCTCCATCTTTCAGTAACTTTCCAATGGACGCAACTACAAATTACTGCTTTCCATGCACGATAACTTGCTTCTCCTTTTTCAGCCCCAGCACAACACTAATCGGGATCTTCAGCACATCAGCCACGATGTCCGCAGGCGTGAGCGCAAGCCATTGCGTGAGCGAAACATCAGCCACGCGCTCCGACTTGTAGATCTCGATGAACGTCAGATTCTGCGTGTCGGATGTGTTTTCGATGTAATGACCTTGTAACACATAAGCCTTTCTGCTCGTATACTGCATGATATGATGCGAGCCAAACTTACCAGAGTTGTCAGGAAACACGGCTGTATCTCCGCTCTTGAAGTCAAAAGTCCGTGAGTTGGCGTTTCCGGTGAATACTGTGGCGCGCGCAGTGCCCGAGTGGAAGTAAAGCCACTCCTCAGACTACGTTCCGGTCAGTCAAGTCACATTTCCTGCTCGCAAGTGCCTTACAGTAGGATGCCAGTGCAACTCCCTAACGCCCTTGGGCTCAATGACAACATAGGTGCTCGCAATCGTCTTCGCAATTGGGAAATTCGTCGAGTCGATCTTCCACCACTGTCCACCGCCGCCCGGTGCGGGCTCTGGTGCGTGCTTGAATGTGCGGTATACATAGCTTGCGTCGCCAGTCAGTTCACCGTTACCACCAGTGACGGTGTAATTCGATCCCTTCTTCGCCGTAGAATTCAAAATATACGGGTTCGGGCTCGGAATACTGGCAAAAACTGATTCCGGTAGACCAAACGACTTGGCCAGGATAGATTTGGGAGTCTTTGCCAGCCAGTCGTCGAGATTGAACGTTGTACTGTCGGCATTTGTCAGTCCAGAAGAAGAGGAACTCCGAATGATTCCAATTACCCAGCTCTGTCGAAATCCGCATCGTCAAACGCGAGCAGATATTCATTCTCGTCATCGAGACCTTGCACGGTATGTGCCTGGCCCTTGGGAAAGTACCAGATGTCGCCGAAGCCGAGCTCGGTAACTTGGTGGCGCCCGTTCTCATCAACGGCGGAGACGAGGACGCGGCCGAAGAGGACCTGGCCCCACTCTGCCTGATTGCATGTTAAGATTTGCTTTTTCGTTGGTGTTTCACGGAGATGAAGGACATACTACGCGGTGCCAGTGCAATTCACGAATTGCGCCCTTTTTCAAATGCTGCTGAGCAGCGGCGATGTCGTGGCTGACAGGCAAGTCGTTATCGACTTGTTCGCGGACCCATCCACCTGGATAGATTTTGGTTTTGGAATCACCAAAGCGCCACTTGAGATTGGGTACGGTGCCGGAGTCGGTGCTCTGCTGGCCCAAGTTTGAAGGATTGGCGAGGTCGATTTGACGGTCAGTGCCACCTATTGGCGATGTCAGCGTAATTCTCGCTCGTGTGTCTAGACATGTATACCCAAGATTGGAGCTCCTTTGCCCTTGTCGTCAATCGGTTGGCCTTGCGAAAACTGTTCGCGCTTGACGACCGCCCCCAAACTAACGGATGCGCACAAAGCACTTGCAACAAAAGATTGAAACCTCATCGTGTAAAGACTGACTTCGCAATAGCAAGCTACGAGTCGCGCTACCTCAGTTTATATACATGCATGAATACCAGCCTTTCGTGCCCATGTCCATCCAACCCGCTCTTGCAGCCCACGTGAAGGCGACATCCAAACAAGAATCACACAAGGCGATCATCCCGCCGCCAAGCTCCCCGATTTGAAATGATGATGACCGACTCGCAAACATTGGATGAAATGTCGCTATCCTTGGCATGCACGCCAAATCGTGGTGTTGAGATCGCAGATCTGACCCGCAACGGGAGCGCTAGTGCGATGGTGCCATTCGCACATCGAATTGCTCAACTCCACCAGTTCATGGAGAGGCTTGGCGGCGCGGAGAGGGGCCCGGCCGGGGGGTTGTTTAAGCATTACTGGGAAGGCTGGAGAGTGGTCTTTGCATGTGTGGGTGGTGGTTGAATTATTATAGGTTCATCCCGGGCTGCATCGTCGAAGAGGGCATGGAAGACTTCGTAGACAAGCGTGGTCGATTTCGCTGTGAACGTAGCTGAAGTTCAGTATCCGCACCGTTATAGGAATTAATGGTCTCGGCGTGATCACGGATGTTTGATCCTCGGCGATTTCGATCATTTGTGTTGGAGGACAGTTGAATCATGTTCTGCTCAGCGAGCCAAACTACCCCTAGACTTAGCAAGGTTATCTCGTGCAAATAGGACGGCATCTGCCTTCTTTCATCTTACAACCTTCTCATCATTTCCTCATTTGGCCAGGCACCAACAAGCTCTCGACCTAATCGAGCCACCTTGCTGCAGGATCCCAAAAGAAATGAAGAGACGGTACCAGATTTGGCTTTTGAAAAGCACATCAGACGGCTCTCGTGCTCTATGTTGTGATCACGGAATGCTACTCCGCCGACTCCATGCTCTTGGAAAGTGTTTACCGCTTGTTGTTTGTTGAAGTGCTCGTTTGCTAGCGTCGGGTGGTTCATTCTCCTGTCGATCCTATCGTGAATTGAGGTTGCTTTCGATAATCGTCGTCAAAGTCGGGCTGAATGATACCATCCAAGTCGGCGATGAGAGCTACCAGACTGAGCGTTACAGTTCGACGGCGAGTTGCGGTGGTGTAGCTGGTGAGAAGAGGAACAGAGCTAGGATGCAGTCGATGAAGTATAAGTACCAGGATCGGAGCCCGGGTGGAAGAATCAGCTCACAACTTGCTCAAAGCCTCTCAACAGCTCCACATCTTTGTATCATCATGCTCTCCAACACTCTTCTGGGTGCGCTGCTTGCTGGCACAGCAAGTGCGCTTTCCCTTCCTCCACTGATTCCAAGCATTCCTGGCGTCACTGAGCCTCTTTCGAACAATGCTCCACCGCTGCCCATTCTCCAGATTCCTACCCCTCCCTTGGAGAGTCCGCCGCACGAGGTAAACTCGCAGATCCGGCCCAAGAAGATTGGGTACTTCTGGACCGCCGCTGGCGACAACAAGCACAAGGACTTCCTTGCCACGTACTCTCTCGATGATGACACATTCGGAACTCTGATTGCTATCACCGATGTTCCGAGTAGTGGAAACTCACCGCATCATCTCGGCCCGTCTCTTGATGGCAAGACACTTGTTGGTGGCGGTCTGCTGTCCTTGCTAAAGACTCAGGTAAGCATTTCATCCCATGTCGGCCATCCATGACAAGTTACTCACCCCTTGCAGGACACTGCTTTCTACTTCGACACCACCAATCCTTACCAGCCCAAGTTCAAGAAGTCAAACCGCGCATTGCTCTCTTCCATCACGGATGAGATCCGCGCTAAGCCTGATGGTGGCTTCTTCATCACTTACATGGGTTCTGCGGTCGGCACCTCCCCAGGCCGTCTCGTCGAGACTGATGCAGACTTCAACATCATCCACGAGTGGCCTGAAGATGTTCCCTCGGTGCTGAACATCCTTGGCGAGCAGTTCAGTCCCCACGGCCTGTCCATCGACTACAAGAACAACATCATCCTGACCTCCGACTTCGTCGTCCCAGTCACCATCTTGAAGCCCGCTAGCATTGCTGGTATCCAAAAAGCCAGCACCCTCCGCCTGTGGGAACTCAGCTCCCGCAAGATCATCAGCACCATCACCATCCCTAACGGCGCAGGCATCCAGGACGTCAAATTCATCCCTGGTAACAAAGAGTCTGCAGCCCTTGCCACCGCCGTTGGACCTGGTCAGGTCTGGATCATTTACCCGTTCCGCAAGAACGCGCAAGGCCAACAAGGTGTTGCAGAGCTCCTCTTCGACCTCGGTCCCAAGGCGCGTGACAACCTCGCCATTTACTCCGACATCACCGACGACGGAAAATTCGCATACTTCACCCTCACGCTGGGCAACCACGTCGCCGCCCTCGACATCAGCGACCTGAACAACGTCAAGCGCCTCGACGATCCAAACTTCAACCAAGGCATTGTCGGACCTCACTACATTAAAATCTCGCCAGATCGCAAAAATCTTTTGGTCACTGATTACTTCGTGCAGACGGGCCAAATTGGCATCGTCAACACGCCAGCAGACTTCAAGGCACAGTGGATCGACATTCTGCCTGATGGTAGTCTGAGCTTTAACCGCAGCATCGATTTCTTGAGCCAATTTCCGGAGAGGGGTGGAGCGTGGCCGCATAGTGCTGTCATCTTCGATCTCACAGATCCGAACAAGCCATACTACTACTAGATGCAGGTAGCAGTTTATTGTATGGAAGAAGTGTGATTATGAAGTTGGATGAGGTGGCTTTAGTCGGTCTATTTGCTCTGCTTCGGGACGTTGCTGGTGCGGTGTTTGGCAAGATCGCAGTCACGGTCGCTACGAATTTCGGTTTTAATAATTGCACTTTAATTCATGTTTCCTTTCAAGCTCTGAAATATTCATATGCCCTTCATCTGGAGCCTTTGACGCGTGTGAAACTGAGGAGAATTAGATTGATCTTTCGGTAATGCAGAAAAGATGAAGTGATGATGCGTCAATGTATGGCATTCAACTACGCTCTATTAGCCCTATGTCGCCTCGAACATGTTCTGTTTCTATTAAGCCTGATGGTTGTACACATTTGCGGGAAAGATATTGGCTACAGGATGAATGATAACAGAGAAGCTTCAGGTTGACCTAGATGGAGATGATAGCACGCTGAACTTCTGGTATCTTTAGCTAATACGAGTACTGATCTCTCCCAGCGTGGACCAGATTTGTTAGGTATTCCACGCCCCATTTGCCAGGAACACTGAACATACATGTACAACGAAAAGCACATTTTCATTCATGGTTCATCCATTACAACGGATTATTGCAAGGTGCCCCAGGTTCATGCGAAATGCGCGAGGACGCCAATGTGTGGTAAGTGAGCCATCAACGTCACACAGGTACACGTACAATCCGCAAATTGAACCATAGCTATAGCTCCCTTGGATTTGCATCTGCGAATTGACGCCGTCTATGCCTGATTGGAAATTAAGACGCACAGTCTGATCCTATCATCGCAGCTCATCCATGTTCTACAGGAACCCACTGTGACTGTGGCTGAGTCTAGTTCGCTGCAAGACATTCAGAATCGATCTCCTCATTTCGGCTCATCGCAGCCCTTGGGCTCTTTCCATGGCTTCCCGTCCCAGTAGCCGTCGCGCACGTCGAAGCATGCCTCTTCCTGACAAGTGTTGTAGAAGTAGACGTTGCTCGAATCGTAGCTCATGACTTTCTCGAGCTCGGGTTGGATTTTCTTCTGGTAATGCTCGTTGATATACGGACGCATTCCCAGGCAGTAGTATTGCTTGGATGTTGTTTCACCGTTGAATGCGACATTGACGTTGAGACGGGCCTCAACAGACTTGTCGTTGCGAGCTGGCCAGACGACGAGAACGTTGGTCGGGACATTGCAAAACCTCATCCTTCTGGTACCCTCCAAATCGACATCGTAGCAGTTCTCTCCGCGCTCGGTGACCAACTTGTAGACATCTGCAACGAACTTGAACTGTTTTCACATCAGTGCTGGCTATCATTGCATCTGTCATCATCTTACCGCCTGATCTCGGATCCCAGCATGATGTGATTCGTACAATTCGGACCACCATGCTGTGACGGTCAGCCAACCACCGCTACCATACCCGTGTGAATTTTTGTCCTGGTAAACAATGTTGTCGATTGTACACCAGGGTGCGCAGACATCTTTCTTTGTAGACGAGCATCTCTCTGGTTGGTCAAGGTCAATCTTGTCGCCTCCCTGCTTTTTACCGTGACCTTGGACACCGACGAACTGAAGGCAGTCGTACATCTTCTGCCAAAACCGTTGCTTGCTCAAGCTACCAATATGGGTATGGGTCTCGCTCACCCGCAGGTCGACAACATAGTCGTCTTTATCGTGATTGCCAGTGCTGGAAGTCGAGGCAGTGGTGGCATTGGAGAGTTCGCTCGTATCATTAACAGTGGCGCGCACCTCGAAGCCATGTTCCGGATAGTCCTTGGCTTCCTCATCTTCATCTTCAGGGTTGGTGTCGTCGACGTTTGGCATAACGAGTGTATTACCGTCCCAGTATGCACCATGTGGCAGTTCTAGCTGAAGATCAGCATGTATTTCAGCACGCCGTGCCATGTTCAAACTTACCCATGTCGCGTTGATCATAGTATGGGACTGCAGCCAACACGTTGACTGACAGCGCCGCCCACAGAACGAAGCAGACAAGCTTCATGTTTAGTTTTTGCCGCGGTCGCTGTTCTTGAGGCGACGTGGGTATGCGGATTTGCTCAGTCGCAGTTTTGGGGAGGGGTGAGGCAAGGGTACATGATCAAGAAGGATTCACTATGCACGGAAAGCAAGAGACTAGTGCTAGTCGTTTGCGTTAGTGGGAGTTCCAAGGTTAGGTGAGAGCGTACCTAGATAGCTAAAGCTGGTCACGTGTGGTCAACACTCGCAAGATGAGTTCCTAAAGCGAATGCCAAGTGAAGGTTGCGCGAAGAAAGAGAAATCACGTCAACGCGTCAACCGGCGCGCACGCCAGTCCAACAAAGGCGTCGACGTCAGGATAAATACACGGATCGCTGCGCGCATCGCGTAATAATGCCAAAGGCGAGGTGCACATATGAAGCTTACAAAAGCAGCCTAGCCCTGACTAGAGCGGTAAGCCCTTGCTGTCGTGTAATGCGGCACGTACTTTAATTACAACCTCTAGATCCGCGCACATCCGACACTACGTTTCTACTCATCGATCGTATATCAGTACTGGTACATGTACTCTTTATGGTCGTCCATGCCGCCGACCTGACTCCTCTTTCTCGCCAGCTTCTGATTGTGTCGCCACAGAAGCCCAACATAAGCTAAGCAAAATACCGCGCCGGCGATGGTGAGGCCCATACCTGTCCTGAATGCTGTCGGATAGTACGGAGCTTCGTGCTTGATGAAGACGTTACTGGAGACGAAGTTCGCGCAGTTGCCAATGCCCAGGATTATTGCCGTGCCGACCGCGAGGCTCGCGCGTCCGCGAAGATTGTTAGCGAGCCAGGAGGTAGTCATGGTCATCTGAATAAATGTTCCGGAGCTCATGGCGAACAAGCTGAAGTAGCGTACGGCGGCAGAAACGCCCTCACGCTCGGAATACGCAATGTTGATGGACCAGCCGACCAAGACAGACATGATGCCGCACAGGATGAATGGGAAGCGCAACCCTGTTCTCCCCGCAATCCAGGCCCCAAGAATTTGACAAACCATACCGGCAACCCAGACTGGAATAGACATAGCCTGCGCGGTCTTTGCTGTCCAACCGAGCTCCGTCAAAATAGTAGGGATAAAAGCCGACATACTCGCAGCTGTCATGTCACAGCAGAAGAACATAAGCGTGCTGGCCACATGATCAGCTTTCGAAGCCAGGGCATACGGAATTCACTTACGGGAAAAGAATTTTGTAGTCACAAATCACCTTGAGCCAGTTTGTTCCCTTAATGTCGATTTTCTGGTCACCCTTGTCCTGGCGCAGCACCTCCAGCAGGTGCTCTCTTTCCACGGAAGTGAGAATTTTGGTATTCTCAGGAAAGTCTGGAACGAGCAGGAAAACAAGGAAAGAGATTACGATGGTGATAATCCCCTCCAAAATGAAGATCCACCGCCAACTTGCAAAATCGTCAGCTTATCTTCGAGGTACTAACTACACACGACTACTCACCCCTCTTTGCCCTGGATGCCATCCATGTTGCGGATACCGTATGCTAGGAGACCGCTTACGCAAGGGCCCAAGACACCAAAGGTGAAGAACATAGCATAGCGCAGAGACGCCTGTTTGCGGGTGTAGTATTCTGCAACAAGCAAGGCAGCACCTATTTCGGTTAGCGCTCACCGGAAAGGAGTAACAAGAAGAGCTATTCACCTGCGGGCAGGGTCGCTTCGAAAATACCCATCAGAAAGCGGCATACGAGAAGTCCAGCATAAGAAGCCGTCAAACCTTGACATGTCGATACCACGCCAAGCACGAGCATGTTGATTCCAAGGAAGATGTTTGGCCTCACGCGTGGCATGCTCATTATCATGTTACTTGGCACTTCGACTAGGACGAATGGAATGTAAAAAATCCATAATGCGGTGTTGTAGCCATTCGCTGGCATACTCAAACCCTTCTCCATACCCTCAATCCTGGCGTTGGCAACTACGACACGTGAGTGGTGGCTCGCAAAGGAAAAGTGGAGCTGGATACTTACTATTGGTACGATCAAGAAACAGAATTGTGTAGGTGCAGCCAAGGATGGGAATTAATCGCCAGTCCATCTTCGTCGTGTAGCTCTGTTTAGAGCAGAATGGAATTTCGACATTGCCATTGTCGCTGCTTCGGCTGCTCTTCGCCACTGACTCTGCAATGGCTTTTTCGTCGAGCGACATTCTGCCGTGTTGCGCGGCGACCGACTCCATGGTAAAGTTTCACAACCACGTGGAGAACGTGCGATCTCAACGGCACGATCCTGAGGCTTCACCAGGCGAGTCAAATGGGCCGTATGGTGGTTCGTGGGGGATGCTGAGTGGGGGAGGTGGAGTTTGTGGGACTGCGGAGAAAAAGTGCGGAAAAAGATGATTTAAGGTTTTACTTAGGGAGGTGGAAGCGTGATCGCGCCGTCTCTCGCTACGCCCTGGGTACCAAATCGCGCGTGGCCAAGCTCATATACTTACTATCCAATTCCTAGCACACCCAAACTTCTCGATAATGCGCCTTCTATCAATTATGGGCTGATCGGCGCTGTCCATGCGACAAAGTGCTTTCAGATACGAGTGGGCTGCCTGTAACCGACAACGCAACCCGGCTGCCGAGATGCATAGAACAGGTGACTATCTGTGGACAAAACCTAGAATGGACTCGCATCGCTGAGTTGGCAACAGGTCGCTTGGCATGAAGGGAACATGGAGGACAGGCCTTTGATCAAACGCCTGTCTTCCGCGTAGAAACATAGTGTTGTCAGCTGGATCTTAGGGAGGCGGATTTTCTGCCGACGATTCCCCTAGGCCAATGCACTAGAGCAACGGTCCCATCCTCATCAAAGGACCCCAAGCTGCCAAATGTCACACAGAACGTGTTGCAGCGCACGCAGGATATCGAGCGGGCCACAGTCGCCCGCGATGTTGCGTGCATTGCACAAAATGTGATTTCTCGTCCCGCATAGGAGTAGGTAGGCTGGCAAGACGGCCTCGCGCAGCTACGCGGATCACAATCTCGATCGTCGACCATCTGGCCACATCTGGCGGCTGGACCCGCTATTGTTCCCGTCATGTTGTCAACAAACGCATGGGCTGGCGGGCTGTCTTCCTGGTGCCGCGCAGGGGTTGTGCATGATGCGCCGTGATCAGACCGTTCAACCTTTCTCGAGACCTGCCTTTAGGACGGCATTCCCCAGATCAATACACCAAGGAAAACCTCAGGCCTCCGAGACTTTATCGCGGCTGTATCTATCGGCTGCATGCGAGGCGATGCGGGAGATGACTGCCGAGAAAGTAGAAGCAGAAGTTCGCCGACTTATGATATGCCTATCTTTCGCGCAGCAAGGATAGACATGGGCTTAAGGCGGAAGAGGTAGGTACCCCGCTATGACTTGCAGATGGACGCTACCAATGAACGGATACCCCTCAGGACAAAGGCCAACTACATTAGTGCTACTAACCACTTTGCATGTGAATTTCATAGTTACACTCTCAATACGCGTTCGACATTGGATTCTTTGGAGGTGACCGTTCTTATACTCGGCTGATCTGGCTGACGAGCTGCACGATGGCATCTTTGAGCCTCCCGTCGTCTGCCTCTGCCGTGCGACTCCGCGCGATCGACGCGAAGACGCAGATGTGCGTTTCTGCGAAGGGTTTCATTCAACCAATCCTTCCTGGATTCGAAATCTTGAACTTGACGTCGATTACGTTTCTCGTTGAGCATCCGACCCTGCACAAGAAAGTCCTGTTTGATTGCGGGATGCGCAAAGACTTTGAGAACTTCTCTCCTCGCGTAAAAGAAAGGCTGAACTTGAATGTGAAAGGCTTGGAGATAGAGAAGGACGTGCATGAAATCGTGCAGGAAGCGGGAATTGACCTAGAAGAGCTCGATGCGACTATCTGGAGTCATTGGCACTTCGATCACCATGGGGCGCCAGAGAAGTATGCTTCAAAGACAGAGATTATAGTCGGACCTGGCTTCAAGGAGAACTTCATGCCTGGCTACCCGACAATTCGCGATGCCATTTTCCTGGATGCAAACTTTGAGGGCCGCTCAGTCCGCGAGATCAGCTTCTCAGACGAGTTCCTCATAGGCAATTTTAGAGCACACGATTACTTCGGCGATGGCTCTTTCTACCTCCTAGACACTCCTGGTCATGCCATAGGACACATGTGCGGTTTGGCGCGCACAACACCGAGCACATTCGTCTTTCTCGGTGGCGATATCTGTCACTTTGGTGGAAGCTTCAGACCAACGTCCACCACCCCGCTTCCTGATCCGGTTCCAAACTCACATCTGGACCAGCAATTGCCTCACCCATGTCCATGCTCCCTGTTCACGGAATCACATCCCGCCGGCCCGAAATCCTCAGCATCGCAAACGACTCCGTTCTTTGAAGTTACATCCTTTGCGCAATCAGCATATCTCGATCGCGAGCAAGCAGCCAGGAGTATTAAAGAACTCCAACGTTTCGATGAGCATCCTGATATTCTTGTATGCATCGCGCATGATCCAACGCTGATCAAAGTACTGCCTTTTCTAAACGATCGGCCGGACAAGGATCTCAACGATTGGCAACAAGAAGGGCTGAAGGAGAAAGCGCAATGGGGCTGGTTGAATGAGCTACCACGAGATGGCAAGCCGGGACGCGAGATGTGTGTAAAAGGTGTGTGGAAGGAGGGCAAATTGATAGAGGATTTCACGAAGCTGAAGGCTACGTTGTATTGAGACTCTGGAATGCGATGATCTTTGATAAAGACAGAAGTTGCGAAGCGAAAAGGGCGATATTGGGTCTGTGTCGCCTCCTCCTCACGAGAAGGGCTAATGCCGCATCTCCTGCAGAACAAATTTTGTTCAAGATCAAGGGATTGGGACGAGATGTCAGGCAATGAGGGACATGCCGTTAGGTATGAGTCAAATGGAGACGCGGAGCTTTATAAGATGGTGATTTGGGTATGAAGGAGGAGATTAAACTACAATACAAAGCTATTCGCTGATAAGGCCCCGTCACGACGCGTCTTACAAGAGTGCCAAGATACTCGAAGATCTCGCTAAGCCTGCATGGATTGCTCCGAGCCTCCATACAGGAACCAAACCAGGAGTGCGATCAATTAGACGACACAGACTTGTTTCCGCATCGCCCGACAGTTCTTCGAATCATAGCGTATCAGATTCTAGCGATTCCGAGGACGATAGTGAGTCTAGCGACGAACTATCGGAGACGGATGAAGGGGATGAAGACAGCGATGGCAGCGATGAAGAGCAGCTTTGCTGCTGGTATGGGGCGCAGGAACTCAGATTTGACAATCAAAGGAAAGATGACTACGGCAACTTGATAGCATCAAATAGGTCTAATCATCATCGGGTTACCTACTGTGCATGTTTGACAAAGTCTGGCCCGTTGGATTGGAAAGATCTGCGTCGGCTGATTCAACACCTGACAGTGTTCATCGACCATAGTTTCCCCTTGTTGGCTGCGCCAGAAGTCGATGACTTTGTCAGTATCGCGACGGATATCCATCAGGCCGAAACCTGCACGTCACTCATGGCGCATTCTTGGCCGGTCTGGCTATCCACAACGATATCGATTCTCAACTGAAGATGGCGATGTATGCTAAGGTTTTCGAGCCTTATCCATTGTATGATGGAGCCGTCGCCTTGATTCTCTGCATGGCGACAAACATTGCATTCCTCGACAGCGACCTATACTCCTGCGACAGTCTCGCAATGACACGACGCATGCTCCGTCCTTGCATGTGGTAGCCCACGGATCGCATCAAACACAACCGTCCAGTCCAAGCTTTGACTAAACTCATGGTCCGATATACCAACCCCAGTGTGGGATACGTTGGCGCATTGCATGAGATCAAGGTACCCTCGACTGTAGAGACTCTGGAGCTGGAAAGCAACATTCTCGTGATCGAGGTTGGCAAGAAAATTTTGCCACTGGCAAGATCGCCGCTATAAGAAGCCTCACTCCAAATAACTGCAATTTCCATCCGGGTTTTTTGGAGACTGTATTGCAAGAACCTTGTCTCAAAAACCTAGACACTCTCGTTGTGGCAAGTGTAGGACGAAACGGTACTCTTTGGCAATACGACGCCGAGTGGCATGTCTACGATTATAGCCACTTGAAGCAATTCATGCTAAAGCACTTGCCCAACCTCCAACATTTTAGCTGGACAGATATTTGGAACCCCGAAAGCATGGAGTCTATCGGATCTTTCATAAAGTTCAATAACCTGAGAACTTTGATCTTGGATGTACATCTTTTTCGCGATAAAGCTACCGACGACGACGATGACGATGAAGATGACGATGACTACTTCTGGAACGAGTGCTTGATGACCGGGAACTACCCTCAAACTCTTCACCTGCTCGACCTTCGAGGCTGGTCATGGCAGGGGATTTGCCATAGAATCAGCATATACGAAGAGGGTACACCGCGCGATACACGGGAATTTATAATGATGAAAATGGTCTGGACCGTTGACCTGCGCGACTCAGAAGATAAGCCTGGTTGTGTGGAGGTGGATGACAACCTAATTTTGCAAGATAGCGCCGTCAACACACTCAGAGTGACGGCGGGCAACCTGGCGTTGGCCGGTGTGAAGTTCTCGTACGATACCACCTTGGGCGCGAAGGAAAGGACTCCAAACTGCTTGCAGACGAGGGTTCAATGGCGACAACACTTATCGGCCAGTACGGTGGAGAATTTCGCGACGTCTACATGACAAATCCAGGCGACGCAAAGACCGCATTGCGCATTGCAAGTGGTAAGTATAGAGAAGCCAACACCGATGGTGAGGATGATGAGTCGGATCCTACTAGCGAGGCAGACGAAGATGCAGAAGATTCGGAAGAGGACTCCGAGGACCCGGAAGGCGATTCAGAAGAGTATGTAGAAGAGGATTCAGAGGAAGATTCAGATGACGAATTTGAGTATGATTGAGTACTGGTAAGTAGTGCGTTAAGAGTGCTGAGAACATGGGAGCGGGAAAGTACATGAGAATACCTAATCTGGAGAACATTCCTCAAATCAGTTCTACCTTATCTCACGAGGCTGCCGGTGCCACCACTACCAGCAAGTACTACAATGAATTTGTGCGCGCACAAGATTACTTCACCCGCTTTCGATACTGCTTTCGCCAGTAATTATCTCGACCATTGGTTGTTCACGTTGCTATTATTGCAAAGCATGGATCGGGAGACTGGACGAGTAATCGTTGTAGGCGGCATGATCCACGAGTGAGTCGTCCAGTGCCTACACAGAAACCGAGTGTGCTGGTCACACAACCTACTACCGCAACAGTGCTCGAGACAGGGGCAATGAAATCAACCAAGCTTTTGAAGAAGAGCTGCAGAAGCGCATCCAAGCAAACAACAGTAGCGATGCCGTCGAATCTATTGCCAGAGGCACCCGGGCTGCGAGCCCTGACGGTCCGGCCCAAGGTCCGCGCCATCTGTATGGCATTCAATGGTACGGAGCTTCAAAGCTGTTCCGGGTCCTTCTGATGTGAGCATCCCTGAGATCAAGTACGCTCACACTTGGAGACTCTGACAAAGTGTTGCGCTACAGTCCCGAGCTTCAGTGTCGACTCAATTCAGTCCCAAACCTGAACAAGGTCTCGATCCTTGATGTAGATACCGGTGTGATGCCAATCACCATCACGGTTGGCACTCTCAATTGGCTTGTGAGATTCGTTTTTTATATCGTGGCTCGCGTTGCCAGTGTGGTATCGCCGAACGGCCTTTTACGATCGACGCAGAAGTCGGCGGGTGACATCCTCGTTGCTGCATTGGACACTACCTCACCTACGGGTCAGCGCCCAAAGAGCTTGTATCTGAATGGGAGCGCGTTGAGAGAGATGAGCAGCGGGGCCATGGACGCGAAGAAGAGAGCGAGTGTGTGGAGGGCAAGCCTGTAGTACGTTAAGCTTGCGGAGGGGGAGAGTTGCCTTTCTGACTGGTAGCTATGGTTTTTCGATGCATGGTTCTTCCATGGGTGGCTACTCTTGTAACAGTTATGCCAATTTCGCCTTTCCAGTCTGATGTGCCGTCATTGAAATGGTAGCCCTAAGTACGGCATCCCAATATTTCCAGAGTTTGCAGTGGACATTTTGGCTGATGCATGCTTAAGAAGAAGTTTAACATGAATACAGCTTATGTAAATCATCGCGCATTGCGCGAGGTCAGCGATCGGACTTTCGGCTTCGAGTTAACAACGACGGCATGCGTAGCATGAGTCGGACCGCAGGAGAGTTTCATAATGCCGGCCGAGTTGCCACAGTCCTGGGTAAATCGATGACCAACCGTAGAGAATGGTTCCCCTCACATTTCCTAGCCATGCTGCTCGCGTGCTCTCTTTCCTGATGCGCGCAAGCATGCCTTGGGCTCGAGATCAGGCCATAAAGTCTTGGATGTTTGATGCCAGGATGCAAGACGTTTCTTGTCGCACATAACAAGCCTTTCCATGTGCAATGACGATTGCGTCGTCATGTCAAGACGATGGACAGGGCAACACGTGTAGGTGCAAAGGTTATAGCTACCATGATAGTTAGCAACCGCATTGCACTGTTATCTACATCACTCAGGAAAGGGGTCTTTGTTTGCCATCGCTCCGAAAGCCTACACTTGGGCCAGTCGCTTCAAGGCTTTGCGTTGCGGACCGCACGTGCCATCCGCGTCGGCAGGCACCCGTTGTTTCATGCTCCGCGATCATCCCTGCTGCTCGCCAAGAATATCAAGACGTCGCTGAGACTTCAGTTGGACTTGGCTGAGGCTTGTCAATTACTTCAATACTGACTGTGGATCCGCTGTGAAATACTGATATGGGTACAATCAGAGCACAAACTTTGGGGCAAGGAGTTTAGATCGCGAAGAGATTAGAGTTGCATTCAGACAAGGACATCAACAGTAATCAAAAGATACGCGGCTTGTTCACATGGCTTCTTCATTGGAATATCTTACTTCAACACACCCTTTAATTCGTGTACCCACTTCACTTCGTCCCAAAACAACCCTTCTTGACTCGGGACAGCTACCCGCACTTCTTGGCCCGAAGCAGTGATGGAAAGCGTTCGGACGCAGACCACACATCTTCGTTGGAGCAGCGGTGTTGGATGTCCTCACAGGTGCTGATCGCACCAAAGAAATACAATAGCGTCTAGTTTTTTTCACTCCCAAATGCTCCACGCGCGCCCGAAATTGTTGACAATCATGACAAAAGGAAACAGCCATCTCTTGCTTCGTGTTGTTTAGACCTCGGTGATGGCGACAAGGGTCATCTTTGGGGTCTCGGCCTCGTCAGAGACCTCATCCGAGACCTCGTCACGCTTGACCTTGTGCTCGGCTGAAGGGGTGCCAGCAGCAGCAGAGCCAGCAGGGACGTTGACACCGGGGTTGACGACGATACCGATGCCAGCGTTGGGCGAACCAAGCTCGACCTTGGGAGAATCCTTCATGGCCTCACGGGCGTAGGCCAGGGAAGCCTGGAAACCCTGAAGATCACGCTTGATCCATGCAGTGGCGGCCTCGATAGCAGCGATCTTATCATCCTGAACAGGGGCGGGAGCACGCTTGCTGATGAAGTCGCTGATGGCTCGGCGGAGGAGATTGGGTGCACGTTTGGCTGCTTCTGCCTCAAGCGGGTTGTTCTTGAGTTTGTTCGGCAGCGGCTTCGGCCCAGGCTGTCCTTGTTCTTGCTGAACCTTGTCGTGCCCGCGCCACCCTCTACCGGCAGCTGCGCCGGCGGCAGCCTCGTTCGAGCCCGAGGCCAACGTGGCCATCAGCTCGGATGCTGATTTCGCTTCTCCGATCGCAATTTCACCATCACCGACTACCAGGGCAGGGGAGTATGCGCCCAAGTTGATGTTAAGCGGGACAGCGGCGACGGTGGCGACGAGCGCAAGAAGTACGGATTGAGGAAGCATCTTGATTGTTGTGGGTGGGTAGACGAACTTAGAAGTTTCGAATAGGTGTTATGATAGTAAGTTGATGTAGAATTAGATTCCAAGAATGAAGGGAGATTGAATTAAGTGAACGTTGAAAGAGTCACCGGGACTAGAAGTGATGAACTTAGGTATCGAAGTGAAGTGAGTGACCGGACTGGAGAATAGAAGAAGTGGGTTCGTGCCATACTTATACACAAAGCAACATACAATAAGGGCTTTGATATTGCATGCCGAGTATCGTGAACAGCCAAGAGTGGCCCACTGTTTTGAGTGAAGTTGAAACTTCTGTGAAGCCATGCCAAGAGCACGCAAGCATAGCATGGCAGCCCTGGCACCTCTTTGGGCAAGATGCCAAGCAAGTCCCGCGATTTGAGGCTTGCTCGAAACTTTTGTGACGCGGAGCCAAGAAGAGATAAGCCTGCTCCAAGTCCTGGCGCGGAGGGGGCCTGGCGGGCTGCGACGTGAAGTGGAGCCGTGATCGTGGTCTGGCGCGCTGTGCATGGCCAGTGCTTTGCTCTTGTGCGGCGAGAAGGTGGGGGAGGGCATAGTTCATTGAAGATCTTGCATCCACCATGAAAGACTGGCCTGAGGTTGCAAAGAAAGTCATACCAGGTCTCCACTGTAGCAAAAGCATTCAACAGCAGCTTTCCAGCACTCGTGCTAACCTATGGGCTCGAAATGAGTGAATCTTGTTGCTAAGTCATGTAGTCGCAATACCAAGCTCAAGTGACGTGCCACTACTTCTGCAAGCAAGCAGTCATAATGCTTGAACTCCCAAGGCTGTCATCGTGCTTGGTATGCAGTTGCCAAGTGGACGAGGCCCGTTGACGGATCGGTTCGATTAAGCTCCTCCTACAACCAGACTCGATCCCGTTGCCTCAGGCGCGTACAGCAGGCGAGACTCCTGATCTTGGCGACGTTTCTCCACAGTGTTCGTCCGGAGGTCAGTGTTCCATGATGGCAGTCCTGGGCACGCATGGAGCTTCGGGCAAAGAAGCTTTTCCGAGACAATTCAATGTAGACTAAGTGGGGCTTCCCGACTCTTTTTCTGGTAGTTCTAGTAGATCGCGGCGTAACGAACGGTTTTGGGGGTTTGAGAGGATGGATACTTCAGGCATTCAGGCTCGAACCAACACTAGCGTAACAGAGGTGCGACATTTCAATTCTTGGCACACCCGGAGATCGCTAGTTCTTTGCGCAAGATTCCTTATTTGCTCCACTATGACCCTAACCTTAAGGATGAATGCTTGTCGAGGGTGGGAAGCGCACGCGAGAGGCTGACGCAGGCCTGTCTCATCATGGCAAGAATGGTTGCAAACGTAGCGCAAAAGTGATGAAATCATTGCCAAATTACACCCGCAGCGAGCGGTATTAGCGGAGCGCAAGACGCAGGAATAGATTGAGGCGTTCTGCTGAAGCTGCAAATGTCGCGATGGATGTGCGATGTTGAAGAGCGAAAGCGGTACAGGGAAAGCCACGCTCTCATGGGCATCTCGAAGTCGGCCCTTCTCCACTAGCTCGAATTTGCATCCCTCCAGAGAGAACGACTCGTCTCCCCTGAACTACGAGACGACATGCGATACGATCTTTCGTCGACGATATTTGCCTTAGCACCCTTCTATCTTGATCCTAAGTACTCAATCGATGTTCTCGCTGCCGCGTTGTGTTCCACAACCTTGAGATTATACGATATCGATCGCCCAGCTGTACCAAGCATTTCTCCCGACCGTTTTCCGTTAAAGTGGATCGAGTCCACTGCCCAGCTGTCTCCCCGCAAAATGAACTTTCGGGTCGCTCCCAAGGTGTCAATCGATCTTGGAAGTACCGATGCTGCTCAGCTGAAGGCTTGGTATAGCAACAAGGTTTGCGCGCAAAAATGCTAAATCGCGCAAACACGAACTGAAGACACTGCGACACATCTTTGCTACTATCATCTCCGCACCAGTTCAGAATCGCAACTTTAATGCTGCAGTCCGCATTTCTCTCAAGTCTAGACCAGATGCCTCCTGCGCTAGCTCAACATGATTTCCTGCCCCCTTCTCCAGTCTCTAGCCTTCCCCTGACTCCACTCCATCCCGCAGGTCCGCTGTGCAGCATTGTCCGAGTCTAATCCCACAACGATCTTTCACTGGCGAATAATCGCGATTTTGTTTTATTGGAAAATGTCTCCTGCTGGGGCGGTTCGGGCTGGGCCTATCTAGTTTTCAAATGGATTCGGAGGCGGTAGGTTACCGAAGGTGTCCGCGCTGCACAATCGTCCGCCCGCAGAGTCGCGGCGAGACCTGTTTACTCAGGGGAAGAACTCCTTAATGTCTACGCTTCGCATTCACGATCAGATTAAAAGCGCACATTTGCGGCGTGTTCGCACCAGGATGAAAAGTCGAGTTGCATTTGAACCTACCTAGGTAAGTGGCTTGTTTGTAATCGCAAGGCTCAGATTTGCAGTGCACCCAAACGCGGGGCTGATCGAAGTATCAACACGTCTTAGAACGCAAAGTGTACTCCAACAAATACCAATACCATCAGTCCAGGATAGCTTACGATTCAAATTGCTCTTCGGCTCTCAAAAGGACTGCGTGATGAGAACAGCTATTGGCGACTCTAGCGATTCGAGTACTGAAGTGCATCCCGTGCTTTCTTCTCTCATAACCTCTCAACCTGATACGTTTACTGAGTCAACTACATACCACATACTACACGCTATCAAACACGTCATAATGCGATAGGGAGCACTAGGCAGCAGTAAAATCCGTGTCCGCTCTGCACCTACACAATGTGATCTAATAGTCTTCAGAAGCGCATCTATAAGTTTATAAGAGAGCCTAAAGATATGCATTACTCTGAGACATCCTTGTCTAGTGTTGCGAAAGTTTTCAAGAATATAAAGGCCACCTCGACGTCTTCTCGTTGGGTAAGGGCGGACAAGAATTTCGCCGGCGCTTGGTGGGAGCAGCTGATCCATATTCTGAAGCTATACCTAGGGTATCGCTGTTGCAATCGAAGCCCAGCTAGGTAATAAAGCTATACACAGCTTCAGGTTGATGATAAACATGTAGTACTGGAGCAATTCCTCTTGGGAACTACGTGCACATTGTGCGCAGATGCAATGGTTCTGCCAAGATGAACCCCGCACAGCGTTCGCGAAATTTTTGCATCACGAAGTGGACCACCACACTTTTACAATGCCATTAGTCAACTTGACCTGGAAGCTATCGTGGACGGTCACTGGTTGCTGGCATTTTTAAAGGTATATTAAATATATAATTAACTTGCTCTTCATCAAATCACAGATCTGGCTCGGTGGTGTAGTTGGTTATCACGTCAGTCTAACAAGGCACTCGCCCTCGGACACTGAAGGTCCCGAGTTCAAACCTCGGCTGAGTCACACAGGCGCGGCGACGCGTTTTTTTTTGCTCTTTTTGGCGTTGTGGTGGTGGTTCTGGAGCTCTAGGTAGGTGGGTGTGGTTGAGCTCTGGGGCGCACATGGACGGAACACGACCGAACGTTGATTTTTACCTGTGTGGTGGGGTACCAGCATCATTCTACGTTTCCGAGAACATCAAAACCATTTTGCTCATGAAGCAAGAAGCGTAGGTCATGTATCGTCGGACAATCAGAATTAGGTACTTGAATACCATGTATGTGTGAATTTGCATGGTGTGACACGCTAACCGCTACTTTTGCATTGTAGCCAAAGTTCCAAAGCGCCTAGTATGACAGGAGATGAACCTTGTACTACTTCGCTTGAGTCTTGCTGTCTGGAGTGGAGTACATAGTCTCGCAAAGTATGCCAGAGGCACGAACGTTAATCTTAAAATGCATGTCAACTTTGGATAACAACAAGTGTCAATTAAGACAGAAGAGGCTGGCCAATGCAAGCATATGTCCTCTAGTCGTCTAGATGTTGTTAACATTTTTCGCAGTTTGTGGTCACGAGACTAAGTTGCATTTTCGACCAAATAAAAAAATACGAAGTCGCCCAAAAATTCGTCCAACCACATCACCATATTCAATTGCCATGAAAGTCGGAAATTCTCTGATACGGATAGCCATGCAGCTTCCTTAGCAAGGAGAACGTTATTTGATCACTGCGTACCTTCGATGTGTCTGTCGCGCATATCGCCGCATGATGAAAACTAGTCATCAACAATGAAAGTAATGTATAGAGACGGAAATGGTGGCTACTATTGCTCGGAACATTAGAGAAATGATCATTTGGTTCATTTTATCATGCAACACGTTTGCTTATCTATGAAGCACAGAAATTGCGGGACACGCATCTCCACGGTGGTTCTGAGAATAACGTCCGACGGCCAGAATATGCCGCAACAAATATCACGGTGATTGAACAATCTCCATTGTTCACCAGTTGCTCATTGAATGTCATCTTAGGCCACCCAGCTTCTCTTGCTCGTGCTGGAGCCGCATGATGAAATACCTAGGTGCGTGGCTCGTCCGCATTGTCGCGCCCGGGACGCACACAGCTTGGTTTTACCACCTCTAGAACGATTTCGAACACAAGTATAGCTTCGCAATGACCATCTGATAAGAAGCGTAGAAATTCCCGCGGCCAAAGGTTCTCTACACAAGGACCTAGGTGGGGTACGTGCAAATGAACCTCGAGAAATTTGGACGATGCCCGGAGATAAAGCCACAGCAAAGGGCAAATTTCGATATCCTGACGGATGCCTGGTCATCACTTCTGCACACGGCTGCTGTCTATCGCTCGAAGTTATAGTTTTGCAGTCCTGAGCGAGATTGTTGATGGAAGGGGAGTAACAGCCAATCGGCTCTGAGTGGTGGGAATCGTGACCATCGGAGAAAGTGTGTCCGAAGTTTGCGCTCTGGTGCGTGTTGAGCTCCGCTACCACAACAATGCGCTGAATTGCGCACACCCGTATATGCAGCATCAGTTTTCTATATCATCTCAAGATACTCATTCGTGATCGAAAAGACATTTTGCATCTGCGCAGAGTGCGGGGCGACTTTAACTTCTCACATCTACAGCGACAAGAACAGCCACCACGTGTATTCGCAAGCTTGTCGCGTACCAATTCGAGGTACACTTTTGCAAAGAGGAAGCCAAAAGATATGGATGATATTGGTGCCGACACGAACGTTGCACGGCTGCGCCACAATCCCTTGCCAGGCATCACTTCAGTCAGAGTCATAGGTTTGTAGGCTTAGGCGCCTGGCATCAATACTTCCCTTATGACAAGCTTCGACATTTTGTTTGCCAAAGTCCACTCAGTTTCTGTATCCTTCAATCTAAGGATTAAATTCGCACGTCCTCACGTTCGCGCGACAGCGGCCAATGCTACCTTCGCATTCGAGGACACACGCAATACGCTCTCCTGTCCCAAATTTGCATCATATCAAACCCGAAGCAATCATTATATCTCGATCAGTATCACCCCAGCCAACCATGGCCACTCCGACGGGATCAACGTTGTATCCTAAAATCACGACTCACGTTAGTGAGATCGTCAAAACGCTCAGAGAATTGAACCGTGATTTCCGCAACCCGGAAAATGAGCCGATCTTAGATCCGATACCGATTATCGGCACAGTCAAGTTACATGGTACACACGCTGATATACTCGTCTATGATGACGGCCGCATCATTTTTCAGTCAAAAAACGTCGTCGGTATACATACAGCAAAAGACAATGCTGGCTTCGCCACGACAATGTCTCAAAGGACGAAAGCCATCTTGAGGCTGCGTGACCTCATTATCCTGCGTTTCTTGGAACTCAATCCAGACGCAGCTGTCGAATCTGCGCACCCGGTTCTGATAGCTGGCGAATGGATTGGCCAATCCGTCCAAAAAGGTGTGGCGATATCCGGGTTGTCGAAACGTTTCGTCATTATCTCCGTGAACATTAACGGCCAATGGCAACAAGACAGCGATTACGGTGGCATCGCTTTACCAAACCACGACATTTACAACATATCGAGAGCTGGTGTCTTCCACCGTACACTGTATCCTGAGGACCCGCAACGCACGACTGATGAGCTCGAGCCCCTGGCTGAAAAAGTCGCTGCACAATGTCCGTTTGCTGCAACTTTCAATCTAGAGGGCGAAGGTGAAGGCATTGTCTGGAAGCCTTTATCCACACCTCACAATGGTAATCCGGCGCTATGGTTCAAAACCAAAGGCGGGCGCTTCAAGCCCACTTTTGCGACTGCGCCGCGCCAATCCGCGGAGAATATAGAACAAAGTCGCGAAGCAGCAGCTGCTGTGGCACAGATGTGGACATCTGAGCAGAGGCTCGAGCAGGGTATAGACTATTTGCGAGAACATGGCATTCAGAGGACTATTAAAGGCTTGAATGCTTTTTTGAAGTGGGTGCAGAACGATATCGTGGTTGAAGAGAAAGCATACGTGGATGAGTACGGCATCGATAAGGCAACGCTTAGAATTGAGGTTGCGAAGATTGCGAAGCCATGGTATTTGGAGCGACTGAATGGCTGATCGACGCTTGATCGCCGAATTCATTCTACAGAGCTTTCTACCACACAAGTGCTCTCTTTATCGAGAGCGAATATTTGCGAGCTTTCGAAGCAGTCATCAGCCCAAGATCGTATGTTTAGCAAAGCAGGTGGATATCTATCCACGAGCATTGTGCGACCGTAGACACAAGTCGGGCGAGAGCCTCAGTGCGCGATACCCCTTCTAGCGATATTCTGCGAGCGTTCAGCCATGGGATTTATCGCAGCTATGTTATGATCTTTCATCAAAGTATATAGAGAGGTTACAGAGCTCAATGAGCCGCTCGGTACGACGACTCTAGACAACAATAGAAGCACATGTGGTCATTCAACGGCTTTCCCCGCCCTTGCATATCGCAACGGAGCTTGATCCGAACAAGCATCAACGCCGCAAGCCCCGCGCCGAATTGGCTGACCCGCGGCTCAACTGCATAAGAATACCAAGCATCCCACCAGGTCGCGGCGTCATCATCATCATCGTTGATCCAACTTTGTCTTGCTTTAGTCAGCGAAGAGAAAGATACGACCAATGCATCTCTTACGACAGTAGCCATCATGAAGTCCAAACTCCTTACTTTCCTCCCTGGCGTGCGTTGGGTTCCATCCGACATACCGTCGCAAGACGCGTCCAAGCCAAAGAAGTCGCGTAACCCGTTCTCCATCAAGTCGCACTCAACGCCATCAGATCTCTCGATTCGTCCGCGCAAATCTACGATCAGTTTATCGTCCGAGCATGATGCGGAGATCGATGCGCGCACGCTTGTGCAAGGCCAAAGTATGTTCTTCGCAAGATTGCCGATTGAGATCAGGAAGATGGTCTATGAATATGTCATGGGTGCGCAAGCCGTACATTTGACCATGGGGTCGAAGAGGCGTTATAAACACTTTGTCTGCGAAGACGGAGATTCAAGGCGAAGAGATTGTAATTGTCGCGTGCTTGTCGGTGGTAAGGACAGTGGGAGGCTGGAAGGGGCGAGCGTAAGTCTTTTGAGGACATGTAGGCGTGTGTAAGTAAACGAGTTGAATCTTTCAGATATACTTGAAAGCGAGGTCTGCTGACGCGGTGTAAATAGATATTCAGAAGCTGTATCGCACCTTTATCGACCGCACACGTTCTCCCTTCTACACATAACGCACCTCCTCTACCTGCCTACACGCCTCCCACAGCAACGCATGAATTCGATCCGTACGCTTCGCTTGCGCTGGGCTATTCGCGCCATGCCATACCTCTGTCGCGGCCCCTCACGATGCGTCGCATACCGCGAAGATACATTGAATTGGGAGTGCGGGTGGTCAATAATAGCCAGTATGAAAGGGCTACGGGACTTGTATGTGGTGATAACAGATCCGAGCCCGCAAGGCATATGGGAACGAAATTGGGTGGAGTTGGAAGAGCAATTGTTGCGACCGGTCACAGACGTCACGCGACCAAGTAAATTTGAGCTCATGTTGCCTTTCGCAAGCTGCAGTACAGATTGGGATATGGGTCACAGCAAGGTCGTCTTGAAGAAACCGGAAAACCGTTTGGTCGAGGACGAAAACCACAACGGCTGAGCGTTTAGGTGGTACCAAGTGGCACAATGTCGCTCGGATCATAAAATGCCGAGCTTCAAGATCTACTCGAGCACCTAAAGCGTTGGTGTACCAAGCCAGCAGAAGAACTGCCCGCAGAGGAGAATAAGTGCTTCAACTGTTGGCGCAAGTACGATACAGTCGAAGACGAACTCGACCCTGACGAACGGCCTTGCTGGCCATTGTGGTTGCCACCCTGTAACCATCTCATCGGTAGTCGTTGCCTTCCCGAGCTACTGAAGCGCAAGATGCTCAATTGCCCGTATTGCAACACTAAGATTGCTACGAGAAACATTGTCCCGTCCTAGATCGTATGGTTGCTGAAACACGATCGCTGTTCTCTCTCGCCCGCCGCGTGGCTGCCCGCTGCCCGCGACATTGCAAATGGCGGTCCTGGATGTCCTGTCCGCAAGCGTTCTGATCGTCTCCATAAACGTCTGTTTAGGGGAGAACTGTGTCTGTCCGAAGGCTTGTGGCTGTGCGCACTATGCATGGTCTATCCAGTTTACGAGACTGTTCTGGCTATCACGTGCTTCTCCATTGCCAATGTCATATTCCACTGCATCATCGGACCTCTTCTGAGCATCGCAACCGCGGTCTTACACCTACCTCAACTATTGCTCAGCGTAAATGGTGTAGACGACTCAATGTTCTTGTCTGCCTAGTTGGTGGATCGCGCTTGTGCGCGCATCACATTCAGCGTGGTGGGATTGCATCTATGCCTGCTCTGCTTGTACTTGCGCTCGGCGCAAGGAAGTCGACGGAGTTGTCTAATTTGAAGGTCATGTTCGCTTTGATGACATGCAACCTTGCGTAGTATGGTATCATGGTGGGATGGTTGGTCTGGCTGGGCATGAGGAAACGGAAAGTATAGCTTTGCTTTGGTCATGGCTGGAGGGATACATCACAGATCGAGTTGCAAATCAAAGATGATGGGAATAGGTCATGATCGCCTCTGTTCGAATTCGGAAACGATCCGCTCGTAAGTGAAGTCCTGCGGCTTGTCATCTTACCCGGAGATATGGTCTTCTTTCAGTCATGCTGACAGCAGCTCGGCAGTTTCGTATCAAATTTCAATATAACACATGCTTCGCCAAGTCATGCTTAAAAGTTGGTCATACAGGCGAAGTTCTACACTATTTGGGCGTCACAATCCACATTGTGCATCTGATGTACCACACCTCTAACATCGTACAGTTGCATTGTAACCGCACACTGCCTCTCATTGTATGAACCACAAATCGAATATATATAAATGTCGCGGTTGCGCTCATATGCTTCCATAGACTAGCACAGTAGGATTCTCCCATCCACAACTCTCATCATTTCCAGCACCATCAAAGACCCATCTCTCGCGTGAGGATTTACTTGATAGAATTCATGATGAACACTCGACCATATCGTCCTCGCTATGCATGGATTTCACGTTCGAACTTTGCTGACAATAAAAGTGTTCCAGGATGATCCCGTTCCCAACAATCTGGACAATTGGGGGATAACACTGCTGTCACAGTTGATGCGAGAACTCAATGAAGGCTCAATCAACCATATGCTCGACGTGGCTAAATTCCTCCTACTCTGGCAGCGTTCTGAGGAGAAGTTCACCCGTACTGCTATCGAGCAAGCCATCACCAAATGCGTCGACGAAGTATGCCTGAACATTCAAGAGTACATTCAGGACAAACTCCGTCTTCCTGATTATCCAGATCATACCACGAGTGGCACTGCTATCTACAATTTCGTCCGACATGGCATGCCTATTGTCCAACTACATGTTACTGATTGTATACAGGAGTTTTTTTGATGATGTCGGTACCAATCTGGAAGCTATTCTTGCTTATGGAAGCGACCAGATTGGGGCTTATGACAGGCTTTTGCTTGTTAATGAAGTCAATGTAATTAGGTCTACATATAGACCGCTTATATTCCAACCTTGCGAATATCGTCTCGTACACGTCCCCGCTCATAGACACAGAGTACATTCCCGGGGAGAACGTGGTCGATCACGTAGCGAGCCGCAATTTCGAGCTCTATGAGGATGAAGATTGGTTCACGCGAGAACTGCGTTTGCAGGGCGACCTTGAAGATGTGCTGCACGGTCCAGAGCATACCACGAAGGATGAGCTGAGCGATCCCCTAGCAGCATCCGACCCATCGCCACCTCCGTGTGACATTTGCGGTGACACAAACACCACAACGCGTAAGCTCAAAGCGTGTCAACACCATATGTGTGAAGACTGCTTGACTGCGCAGCTAGACTCGCAGCATGCGTGCAGATACAAGTGTCCGTTTTGTCGTGCCAATTTCTTCTCTTCAGAATGAGTTTATCGCCGGTACAGTCTGTACTGGCGATGACCTCTCAGCGTAGCATCCAATAGAGCAAATTCAGACCAACTTTTGACTGAATTAGTTGACGTCTGCATGTGCCAATAATTTCGTGATCCGGAAACCGCCGTAAGATAATCTCGATGATGCGTGAATAATAACCACAGGATAAAATGAAAGACGGAAGGAGACGAATAAAAAAGTCAAACGAGGCCTCCAAGCGTGTCGACTGTCTTTGCTGCTTGTGATGCATCTTGGATGGCCGCCGGGCTTTTATAGAGGATAATCCTCCGTCAGATCAACAACCTCCACCTTCTTCTTCACCCCTGCAACGGCTCTAGGCGGCGCACTGTCCTGCGCAGACGAAGAAGTTGGCTGGAGCGGACGAACCAGATTTACATTCATACCATCAGCAGCACCGTTAGCAAGACATGATCCATCGAGTCCAAACACCGCCACAACGTCTCCGCCAAGCGGATCAAACAAGAATTCACTTCTCAGCTTAGCTATCTCCACCCTGAACCTTGCAACCTCGGTTTTCCAATGCTCCAGATTGCGCATGTACTCGTTGGTCGTCCTGTTTAAAATAAGGGTATATGGTAAACCTCTTCGTTCCGTTTCGAACCAGAAGTTGCTGTTGTTTAGGCCGGTCTGGATGTGTTTGCATATGCTCTTAGGGCAAGAGAAGCTAGTTAGCTGGATGTACGGGGTTGATCAGGAATTTCTTGACCTCCTGGCAAGGGCTACATCGGCACCTGCCATAGTTATTTGTTTGCGCGTTTGGTCGAGACTAATCTCGAGGTTCCTTGGGCCTCGAACTTGCAAAATGCCTCGCTACACTTCTGAAAGCCTCCTTGTCCATAGTAAAGACGCAAACGAGTGGAGTTGTCCTGATGGTTGCAGGTAGCGACGCGACAGACTTCAAATGACAGGCGGGACAAACCGCGCTATCGAAACCACTAAAACGCGGATCAGTCGCGCTCCCCTGACATCTACAACCTTCACTTTCACACCTTGGACTAGACGAATAGCAAGTGCAATTTTCGAGCAATTCCAATTGCCCTTTTATGAAGACGTCTTACAGCGTCTCCCGTTGCCATAGCTCAAATATCACCCATGATTAACTTTGCTGTACAAGCATTGCCTAAGAGAACCTTGATGCCATGGACATGCTATACACCCTGAACAACTTGTAAAAAATCTCTTCAACAAAAATCGCACCACGGAAAACATCCACGACACAGCTTCTCGCTCCATCCTCTGGAGTGGGAGACCAAGATCCAGACCTATGGCTCAGCACCGCACCATATGAACCAGAACATAATGGATTAATCTAATCTATCCTTCCCAAATCCTCACCTCCACCATAGTAAGAATAAAACCCGCCGCAAACCGTAGGCAGTACCCCTAGAACACCAGAGTGCATGCCAACCGGCGTACGAAATCCCAAGTACACAATGAAAACAGCCTCCCAGCGAACGACGATATCTACAAACAACCACCCACCTTTCCTCCCGCGGGAGAAAGTAGAAAGAGAGAAACGCCATGCAATGCCGCAATATTACAAAGCAAAGAAACTTTTTCCACGCGTGCGGGCAAGCGTTAGCTACTCCTGCCCAATAATTTTTTTCCAAAAGCCCTCGCTTTTTTCTTCGGTCTATCGTATCAGAAGTTAGCCACCATGCCACTCCATTCGACGAATAGGAAAAACTTACCCATCACTCTCCCCAGCATCCTCCCCCTCCACAAAACTCCCACCCGTACCCCCATTAAGACTCGTCCCCACGCTCGCCGCGCGACTCCTCATGTGCCCACCAAAAGGCGCGACCTGCGTGAGATGCTTGCTCAGACTATGAATAAGATTCGCATGCACAGGCTCCGTGTTATCCACTCGAGAAAGTTCGTCGGCAAAGGTGCGACCGTCTTCCATTTCGTCGAGACCGAGTGCGTTGTGGTTGCCCGTGTGGAAGCCGCCCATGATGCTGCCGTGGGTGGACTGGGCGCGGGTGGCTAGGGGGCGACTGGAGGAGTGTGTAGAGGATTCTTCGGATACGGTGCTGATGAAGGAGCCTTGGCGGCCGGATGTGAAGGAGCGGCGGGGCATATCGGAGCTGGAGTCGTGCGAGCCGTTGGGGGAGTGGTCGCGGATGCTGTTTGAGTCGGTGCCGGAGAGGTCGGGGGAGGCGTTGAGGCGCGCGCTGCTGTTGGCGATCATGCGGAGGCGGCTTTGCTCTTTGCGGCCTGGCCGACTGCCACGGGAGAATTTGTTGCCGACGATGGCGCCGGCGTGGGAGATGAGGGCGCGGATTACGTCTTTCTTGAGTTGTAGCGCTAGGTCGAGGTTAGACCAGGTCTTGTTCCGGTATTCCAACGTAGGCATCTTGAAAACCAGGTCGTGCACGTCTTCGAAGTTGCGTTGCCCTTTGCCCTTATAGCTTAAACATAACACCATAGACGGTATTTTGACATATGCGAGCGTCATGTAATTGGAAGCGCGAGTCATCATCTCCGTGAGGTCGTCAGATCGTTCCTTCTTAGTTGGCTTGCGTTCGCTAGTACCGGGTCGGTTTGTGCCAGTGCGGTACAAGGCGAAGCGTTTGGCAGTGCGATCTGACTCGGCTGTTGTCATCATTCCTGACGCAGTTGAGCTTGAACGAACAGAAGCTGGTCGCGACGGTGAATTTGAGCTGACGCTCGAAGCAGCCATCATGGCAGCGCTAGGGTGTAGTGTTCTTCGCAACTCTGAGCCGCTGCGTGATGGATTGTCTCGGAAAAACCGGAAATAGTGAGCACTTGGACGCTTTTCTGTAGTAGCCTTCTTCTTAAGATCAGACTTCTGCGAAGGATCCGGAAGCTGCAGTGTCGGTGTGAGTCGTTCCTTGAGAGCATCGACGGCGCCTTCATCTTGTGATATCGACTTGTTCACGCTGCTGGCCATGCTGGAGACTATGCTGCTTGAGCCATCTTCGTCCTCATCTTGGGTGGGGAGCGTATGTTTGACCAAGAAAGGCGAGGAGGTGCTATCTTTGTCCTTCATAGCTGGGAAGACATATTCGAACAGCTTCTTGCCAATCTCCCATTCCAGCTGCACCTTGAGTGGGTACAGGTTGACCTCAAAATGCTCCATGACAGGAATACCCGCTATAGCTTCGAGCATGACGAATTGTACCTTGAGGCACTTGGAGTTTTCAGGAAGAGGCTGGTTGTTCTCGAGATATGGCGAGATCATCTCGGTATACAGCGCATATGGCAGGAGATTCAGACCGCGCACTCTCTCAATCTCCAGAGAGTTGAAGTTGGAGCCATCGTTGTTGTCAGTGCGGTCAAATAGGACATTTTGGAGCTGAAACTCAGCCAACGACTCTTGACCCTCTCGCAGCAAATGCCAGACAATCTCTGAAGCCGTGATGTACCAGCGCAGTAAGCCAGTCGATTGTTTTGCCTGGGCGCGATCGTCTTGTTTGCGTTGCGCCGTGGTGATTGCTTTCATGACGAAAAACAATTCGTCCTCATACACCGCCAAATCCTTCTCAACTTCCACACGATCTTCCCAACCTTGCTTGTCAAGATACTTCTCATTGATTTGGAAGACGGTCTTGATTTCCTCCAATTGGCGAATGCGCTCTTGGAGACCCATGACCAACGCCGGAGCTCCGGCAAGGTCGCTGAAGTCAGATGCGAGCATGATCTTTTCGAGACGTTCGTTGCGCGTCTTTTCTAAAGGCTCGCGATAGAGCAGGAGATCGAGAACGATGACGTACATTGCGTAGTATTGCCTAGAGTCGCAAAGAGCTCGCACGTGAGGGAAGTCGACCCAGAGATGGTCAATGCGGCTCTCCATGTTCTGTGTGCTTGAGGCAGCGTCTGCCTTGGACACGTCGTCATTATACTTTAATCGAAGCGTGTTGTGCTTGTCGTATCGCATACTGGCCGACGTTCTCTGTACGACTCTTTGGAACCCGAACGGATTGGTGTTGAACTCGAACATGACCTCAAAAGGCACCCATGGCGGCCAAGCTGACCCAGCCGGAGTTCCATAGGTGCTGCCAGAGTACATGTGTATGTCGGCCATGTTGCTGAAAGTCTTCGAGTTGGTAACGAAGATTTGTAGACTGTCCATAGCAGCAGTAAATCGTCTTTGCACCAAACCAGATACCTCGTCCATGACACGATCCTTGTCCATAATCTGGAGAACTTTGAGCTGCATGCCTTTTGCGGTCACCAGAATTGCGGCTTTCGTGTTTCTTTCGCTCTGTAACTGAATTTGTGGCGCGATCAGTCGCACGAGATAGGCATTCTGAGCCACGTAATCCTCCGCAACGTCCTCTTCAGCCTTGGTCTGGTGAGCTTTCTCAGGATTGCTGCCGGCTCTTCGTTCCGCGTCGTCAGCCTCGACGAACTTTCGCCCATCCTGAAGGAGTTGTTCCACGGCCTCGTCCATGGCAAGACCCACTTCTCCATTAAGGCCCATTGGTGTAGTCGCATCAATGTCATCAGGGCTGGATGTCGACGGCCCGCGCGATTTGTTCTGCTCATCAACGACATCGAGGATGAACTTGACGGCGCGTCGCGACATGTAGTACACAAACCCACGACGCTGGCTTACTTGATGGATGTAGCGGAGTATGATGTTCCGCAATGAATTGCTCCATTTCAAGTGCACATTGTGGATGATGAAGCGGTTGTTGAAATCACTGATGTAATCGGCGTTGGGGTGTGGATCAGCGCCTTTTGTGCCTGACTCTGATGGATTGTGGTCTTCGTTTGCTTCGAAATATTCGTCTTCCCCATCCGTCTCAGCGCCGTCAGATTTGGGGCTGCGCTCATTCGTCTCACATCGCTCCAAGAGACTCTCATGCATCGCGGTCAGGAATTCGAGCTTCCGTTGCAGAAATCCAGCGTGGCTTTTAAGTGTTTCAAGGCGTTTCTGATGCTCGGTTGTCCTATCAACCTCGCGGATGACCTGGAGTTCAGCATCGCCGATTGCATGGCGATTGTACTCCACTTGTTCTTTGACGCGCTCTATACGTTGTTCGATAAGCCTGCACTGTACTCTTCGTGGATCATTCCGTTGTGACATAACACAGTGGTGCGTAGGCTCGTTGCCGAAAGGACTCCTCCGATTGACGTCTCCGGAGATGTTGTCTGCGTGATCGGTCTGACGGAAGTAGGTGAAACGTGGGGCGAATGCAAGCGGCAGTATTTGGGTCTCAGGATGTTGGTTTGATGGCAGAATCCAGCCTAGTTCGATGAAGTCGTCCATGTCCACCCAGCCCCAATCGTTATCCGGAATGGTGAACTTTGATAGATCCGCAGTCAGATACTCCTGGTTATAACTGGCCATGTCGTCTTCGGTAGCATTGTCCACATCTTCAGGATCGGTCCCGGCAATACTGGCTGATACCGCACGGACATCTGTGTTGATGAGGTCTAATTGGACCTGGTTGATTCGCATTCCAGTGGTGTGATTTTGCTTGCTGTCTTCCTGGCCTTCGGGTGCTTGTACGAGAGTCCTAAAGTCTTCACGCCTCATATGAAGATCGAACATGAAGCTGTCAAGACGGGCTTTGAGCCCAGTTGCTGACACCACACCAGCACCATAGTCTTCAGCATCCTTATGCTTGTAGATGTGGCTCATATACAGCGGTGAAAGCAACAAGTTGTACTTGATTGTCGCTAAGTGCCGTCCAAACTTCTTGCTTGATTTTTCCACACCCGGCCACAGCTTGCCTTGGCGAATGGGCAGGGACATGGCACCGGAGAACATGCCCCACCAACTGTAGAAATGCGTGAAGAAGCGCGGCGATAGATGGACGCTGTTGTATGTCTTTGAGCGCTCTATATTAGCCACATTCCAATCCCTGTCGTAAGGAGCAGCGATAGCAATCGACATATGTATGTGGTTGCTGCGGAACCCCCGGAAAGCATCATAGGCCTGATCACTGTTAGTACTTAATTCATCTGTTAGTTGCGAGACATCATTACCTTTCCACCAGCAGGTCTGGCATATTTCGGGTTTCTGAGCGTGACCTTGTAATGAGGGATGAAATCGAAAGAGCGTTGGTCATTGTCGAGATTTCGCTCAAAGACCAATCCTGCTACCCATTTCACGTTCCCATTGAGCTTCATAATGGTCTTCTTGAACACTGCGAGCTGTCTGCGGCTAGAGACACTCGAGGCTGTTTCTGGTCGGTTGGCTGCCTCGGCATCGGTTTCATGACGAGCATAATGACTGAGGTCTGGAATGGCGAGAACGTAACTTCCACTCTTGACGACCATGAAATTCCTGGGGTCCTCATCTTCAGCGAGGCTCAATTGAACATCATTCTGCCAACACATCACAAAACCGGCGCCGTGTCCAGTCACCATGTAAGGATCACGCGAGCCTAGCAGTCATCAGTAAAGCTTCGAAAACGCAGAAGAGAAAACTTACCCTTGAGAATGAGGTGCACATCGCCGTCACCTCTCCAAGATACATTGATGCGAGAGTGGAAAGTCAGCCGTATCTTGTCCCAGAAGCCGACTCTCTCGGAAGGATCGATGGCAGGTTTTGTGAAGTTCTCAATGATTTGCATCATATCTTGAATGGCTGGTTGATAAGAAGTTCCCCAGGTGATCCTAGTCGGATATGCAGAGTTGATGTCGATCGCCATATCTGAGTACGTTTTGACAGGCGCAACAGTCCGGCGGACATCGACTGCAAAGCCGCCTGTAGGCTCACCTAAGGGCGTTTCATCCTGAGGAACTACAACGACCCTGCTCACACGAGAAGACTCAATATCCCTGAACTCTTCGGCGATGACGAAGTCGGTCCTCATGGAAACACTGGGAAGGCGTGATGACTGTATGCTGCCAATAGCTGGGAAGTGCAGTAATGGTAAAGGATAGTCTCGAAGCTGGATCTTGGCCTCACCCATATTAATCTGGACATGCATCGGGATGAGAAGCGCGTATTGTGTATCGAGCGGCATGCCTTTACCAATGCGATGAAGATACCTCGGATATTCAGATAGCGGGAAGGAAGGCTTGTCAATAGTGATATCGAGATCACTGACAGCAAGGGCCATAAGTGCAGGTCGTTGCGGGATGGCGAGTATGATCTCTTTCTGTTCGATGTCATCCGGAAGTTCGTCCAAGCCCCAGAACATTGAGCGAATGTCGTTCATCGAACGGTTCTGGGTTGCCAACGCATGGTCTATGCGCTTCCTCCACGTCTGAGCATTTAGGCGGTTCAGCTTTTCGCGGGCTTCCCCAATGGAGGTATGGGATGTGCCACTGAGCCCACTGAACCCGTCTTTGTTGTAACGCATAGGATGATCAGACCTGCCTCGAGCCGGTGATTCTTGATCGCTTGAATCAGCGCTCTTGCTGCGCCGATGAAAACGGAGCTCCTTGTCTCGTTTCTTGGATTTGCCACGTCCGCGAGAGTCATGCGCGGATCTCGCTCTGGAGCGGTAGTTGCCACGTTGTTCGTCCAGTTGCTGCAGTCTTCTCACTTTCAAGGCAAATGCTTGCTCTCGTGCCAGCCTTTGCTTTTGCTCCATGAGCCCTATGCGATAGATTGTTCCAAGCTTCCACTCGAATGAACTGTCTTCTAGCTCGAAAAGCAAAGCTCGACTGCGTAGCGAAATTTTTGGCACACGTTTCGGACCTTCTGGCTCTTTGTCCAAGATGTAGTGATCCGTACCTGTCTCAAAGTGGTAGTTCATTTGCTTGACCGTCTTGATGACATTGGCAATATTGTCGAATATCTTGTGCATGACCAGCTGGTGAGGAACCGCTATGCGGATTGCATCAGTAGCGATATCGAAGGATCGTTCGTCAGTAACGATGTGGCCATATCTGCGTTTCGATTGCCGGTAGTCTAAGCGAAGAGACTTCACGCTCACGATGCGGCTCCAAGTTGCTTTCACGTTCGGACTTTCTGCATAAAGTCGTACTAAGCGCGAGCGGAGGAAGGGGCTTGCCCATCGATGCCGGCCTGATTCTAAGCCATAGATCTGAAGCATGAGAGGCGGTTCCGCAGGCATATCAGCCTTGATCTGCACAAACTGGGCCTTGAAGTCTATCGTGACAATCTCTGGCTTTAGTCCAATGGGTAGATCGATGCCATCGGCGTCAAAGGATGGCAACGCAAGATGACGAGGCGAGCCTGGCGGCGCTGGTTCGGTAGGTTTTTGTGGACCGGAAGACCAATCAAAAGACTGCCTCAAGACCTGCAAAGCCATACATGCAGCAAAATGTCTGTAAAGCGAATAGTGTGCATAGAAGCTTTGCGCAAAGGCGTGCACATGAAAGATTGGTCCTTGTTTGTCGGACAGTGTGCTTACTGCTACCTCCATACGAGGAAGCGATAGGCAAGCTTCTGATTCCGCCGAATCCGAAGCCTCAATGACAACTCCTTCCAGGCCATGGAAATGCATAGCAAGACGCCTTCCATCCGTGGGGTTCGCCAAGTGTTTTCTAGGTGACACTGGTGATGACGGGCTTGATGAACGAAGAAGATGCTCGTCACGATTTATTGTTCGGCTTGGCGCACGGCGTCTGATCGGCTTCAACTCGATGTCGTTCTCGCGGTTAAGCTTATACTCGGCTGTCCATGTCTCCAGATGCAGCGCGATCCCACGGCTGTGCTTTGAGACGGCGGGGTCGACACCAGCTACTTCGAGATTGAAGTCTGAGCCCTGTAAATGGACATATGCAAGCCAAGGTGGCAATCTGCGGATGAAGTTCAGGTCCTTCTTCTTTGACACATTAGGCCTACGTTGCACGTCCTTTTGAACCTGAGCAACGATTTGTCGTAAGCCTTCGCTGATCTCAGGTCGAACGAGATAGCATGAAAATGTCTGCGCAGTTCCGCGCAACTCCACTATAGGGTCCGGTGCGGCACTCATTTGGGCCCTCAGCTCAACGTAGTCAGTGACTAGAAGGTTGTGTCTCTCGATAGCTGCGGTCTGATAATAAAGCTGCTGTGCGTTGATGCGAAAGGTCGAGATGAGAGCATAATGAAGCTCGCCATCTGCAGCATGAGATGATTCCAGGTCTAGCGATACCGAAGACGACGACGAGATCAGCAAATCAAACTCATCCAGCTTCTTCCGGTCTGGGTCCATGGGCGGGAGGGTCACGCGAATCACAGGCTCGTGTATCGAGATCTTGACATTTGCTTTGGGCAAGAGGCGCCGGAGCAGGTATCGCTTGCTATTGCGCGTTTTCGGCGGCTTTCGACGCGTCTCATAGTCCCTGAACAAAGCAAGGAGCAAGGGTAGATGTTTCGGGTCAAGGTCTAAGGACGGTGAAGTAACGACCAAATTAGCAAAGAAGATGTTGGTGTTGCGTTCAGCACTCTTTTGATCGCTGGTGAACTGAATTGTCTTCGACGGAAGTGTGGTGTTCAAGGTTGTCGTGGCCATGGGTATGTAGAGAAGACGTTCAGGATGGCCGTGGCCGTCATCGATGCCGACTGAGATGCTGATGGCTGCAAGAAGAGCTTGATGCGCAATGTCGTTGGGCGAGAAGTACATGAGATGCGCTGGGCTCCGAGGGTCCAACCGTAGTAAGTCCATGCCGACCTCTTTCATGGAGACATTGAGATAGACGGTTGGGTCCGTGTCGTGGCCAGAGTGAATCTGTTTAGTTAAGCCCAGGAAGCCAACAGCAAATTGAAACTCGTGGATGCCGCGCAGAATCGAGCTCGCAAAGTCTCTCGAGTCAGACACAGTGCGAACTATGTCGTTCTCGCGACTCTTTGGGTGGTCCAAGTCATCGATCATGTCAGTAAGTGATATGCTCGAATGATTGCGGTGCCCTGGCTTGCGTGCACCACTAGCGCGGCACTTCTCCGCTCGTTCCATGCACAACTGAACGTCATCATAGGGGATGCTCAGACGGCCGAGCTTCAGCGATATCGATGCATCACGCAGACCTTCCAGCTCCTTTTTGAGGAAGCCATGGACATTGAGGGTGCAGTGGTCCAGTATCTCGGTTGACTCTTTGCCCTCGAGGGTAAAGAGGATGCTGCGTGCGGTGAAGAGCCATTCAGCGGGATGCTGTTGCTGCTCTGGCTTGGGCTTGTGGTGATTGAAGAGGCGACTGCGGTCTACCGTCTTACGTCTGGTGTCCACTGCGAGGGAGAGCCCCCCGACTTGGAGAGACCCGACGTCGGTGATGACAACTGTTGTGCCGTGTGCGACCAAATCGACCTGCCTTATCCAGTTTATTTTGCTGTGTACGCGCTTGATCTTCTCTTTCGCATCCGTCAGCCGCTTCCATGTCAGACTGCGCTCGACCTCTTCGTCGCCCGTCTCGTCGTCGTCCTCCTTGGCCTGCTCCGGTGTAGTGTGTCCGCTCCTGTCCTTCTGTGTCGACCCATTCGTCCAAGACGTCCAACTCGACTTCTTCTGTGGTTTTGCGCCCAGGGCCTTGAGGTCCAACGTGACCTTGAGTTCGGTGAGGACGATGCTGACCCATGTTGGCTGGGCGAACGTGGGGCGATGGAGGGAGAAGCCGAGACCTCTAATCTCGATGCGCAGGCCGTCCTTGGGTGTGAAGGCGATGCGTCGCAGGCCCGAGTAGCCCAGTCTTTGTATGGAGACGCCCGTGACGACCCGTATGAAGGCAAATAAGACGAACGAGAGCAGATATAGCAGCAGCAGAAGCCCTGCCAGGAATTGGAGTGTGGGCAAGGCCATGACAGCTCAACCAGGGTCCATTGACTGCACAGAGCGCTACCGTATCAACTGCGCGTGTGCGCACGCGACGTGCTGTGGGATCGCGAGATTCGGCCTGCAGAACATAGTCGTGGGCAGGGCTAGCAGCGATGGGGCATCGAGGGCGGCCGAGTGAGAGTGCGGATATATCGGTTCAAGGAATGCGGCGAGCGGCGGGAGTCCCGGAACCGGCGAGCAGTGGCGTCGTCCAGGGGCGTTGAGGAGATTTGAGGAGGCGTAGCAATAGCGATGAAGCCCGCAAGTGATCGTGTATCCACGATGCGCTTTTGTGGGGTGCGGAAGGCCTTCGGTGGTTTACAGGTGAGATCCCAGCCCTATTGCCATGCACGCCATGTTTCTCGGCTGCTGCCAGCTGCCAGCGGCCGTTCTTCCCAGATCCCGGTCGTGCCAAGGGCGCTAGTATGCGCCCCGGACTGATCTCTAACTCAACCTCACCTTCTCGCTACCATCCGAAGTGACTGTAGATGTTGAATGTTACAATTGAATAGTCTTCATCTTGGGTGACGAATAATCTCCGACTCCATGCATCACTCACATCGCATGTACTTACTGACTCGCATCAGGAGGAAACCTACCCTCAGTCCTTCATTTGCTCACGATAATCTTTCAACTTTGGTCCGTTGCGAACCTTGTCAGCAGGAAGGGTTCTACGTGGAATTTGGTATTTTGTATATTCCTTGGTAAACAGACTGTGTCCTACCCGAGCTCATGGTATTATCAATACATAGCGCTATCCATCTCCAACTTTCCTATCGGTGCTCGATAGTTACTATGCCCATATTGGCAAACCACAGCGAGAGATTCCAGCTATTCAACTAGAAAACGCTTTCACACCTTTTTACCTTCCTTGATGGCAAGACAACACTCATCCACGACGTTTGATGCGAGACACGGGCTCCCGAGGGGTCGTAGCAGTAAGTCCATTCTTGTCTGACTTGGTTGTAGACATGGCGTCCGACTCCCAGATATCTTCTGAATTGCTACAAGCGCTTGCGATCCGTGGTCGGGGCGGTGCCATGGCGCTGTGATCCTGAGAACCCTCGATGAGTGAAGGGCGTGAAGGCTCACCGTTTTGTATGCGCGCTGCGAACTTTTTCCGGGTATACTCCTCCCATTGTCTTGATTTTGACGCTTTCGCAAGCATTATTTGGCGGAAAATAGCTATGCCAGTCATTCCTTGGCCGAACAAAGACATTTCATCGGGCTTCTTGAAGTTGACGTAGGGCGACTCATCGACCAGCTTACGAAGAGCATTAACCTGTTCGAGCAACGCGTCCGTCGCTTGTTCCCGTGCAGCGACCTCGTAGTCGGAGGTTGGCACTGTGCCAGGAAAAAAGTAAAGTTCTGATAGTACCTCCTGCTGGACTTCATTGGGATCCAGGAGTCGATGAATGAGCTTTGCCCAGTGTGATTCGTCTCCTCGGGCAATCATCGGGTGCATCATAACGTCGGCTGTCAGAGATCGGGTAGTTATGTAGGGCGCTTTTTCAGGAGGAGAGAGAAGCTTAGATGGCGTGTCGGCCTGGTCTGCATGGGGATCCGAGAGTCCATGTGAGAGCTCGTTCCAGTGCGAACCATCATCTTGGAAAACCTTTGGGTGTGCCTGAATATCAGCTATGGATTCGGCAGCTGTTGCGTCCGACGACTGTTCCCATGCTGCCACAACATTTCCGAGCTTCCCTGACCTGGGAACAGGCATTGCGATAGGTGTCATGGGTGCTTCTGCCTCTTTCTGCTTGCGTTGGTAAGCTTTCTTCTTGGACCTCTGATTTGGTTCTGAGGTAACGACGCAAGGATATTCAGCAATCGATTCCAATTGCGGGACTCTCCCGCACTCATGACTTGAGGCCGTGGTAAAAGCTGTAGCAGGATTCTTCCTCTGGTCGGCCGTCGGGGTCTGTTGTGACAGCCTGGCAAGAGTCATCGCACCGGCGAGCGAACCTGAAGGTTTTATAGAGTGCATGTCTCCGCCTGGCAGTTGCATACCCACAGCCTCTGAATTGCTGTTGTCGCGTTGGAAGAGGCTCAGTAATCTCGTCTGATGTGTCAAATTTCCAGTTGCGTCGCCGGCCGCGAGGTTCGGCGCCGGTCGTTCTTCACGCTCAATCCGATTCATCTCCTGGAAAACAAAGCGAAACAGCTAATTCCGCCTGCCTTGTTCGTCTCTGTCAGTCACCAGATTTCGATCGAATGCGTCACCGTAGCGGTTGGCCAGCACGAGGCCTTCATAGTAAAGTTGCAAGTCGCGCTCGAAAAGAGTGAGGTCAAGGAGAATTGCGAGCGTATGGTATGAGTACTTGTTGACGCCGAAGGCCCGGGCTGTGTCGTCGAAGTGCTGGAAGGCAAAGGCAACCTCGTAAAAGAATGAAGCTTGGGCCATGGTAATAGATAATGAGATTGTATGATGTGGGAAGAATGTGCAATGGGGTGTTGGTGTAAAAAGATGCATTAACGTCTGCGAGCGCACTTGCGTTTGGTAGCGTAGCGTGTTTGCCAACAGGCGGCCCGCCACTTCCATTGGAGGCCAGACCCTGCAAGTGTGTCCCACCAAGAAGAGGCGAAGAGTGTATATGCTCAAGGACTATAAAACTGCGTGGAATATATTATAGTCACCAATGACTCCCGGCTTATCTAAATATTTGTATTGAAATTACAATAGATATCCCTCTGAAGACCATCAGCTTACACTAGGTAGGTACAGAGCGATCATGGATGTTGCTGCTGCCTGGTGGTCCGCCCTTCCGCATTCGGAATACTGGTCCAGCGAATATAGCGCTTTGTACCAGCGTCTTTTCATATCATCTCGCATGGGGCTCACACCAGTCTGTTATGCGCCAAATGACACACGTGTTCTCATGAGAATGTGAGACATGTGCATCACTGATAGTTGCTGATATGTACGTCAGCACGGCGACGCCCAACTCTATTTTTCCCGTCACAGCGTCTGTATTGATGACTGTACTGTCTGCATGCTGTCGCTCGTGTCCAAATTCTCCTAGATAACATCCTCGGTATTCAAAATTGCTATGGATGTTACAAGGTTTCTTTCGTGGTTTATGCTCCGGTTGAGCCCCTTTGCCTTTCTCCTTTGTTTGACATCATTGAATCCACACGTCATGCTATGCTTTTCTGGCGAAGTTGGCGTTCTCAACGTGCGCTCAACTTTCGATAGTTCTAAAGTGTTACTAGTGAGTGCGGCCCCGCAGACTCCGGCTCCGGCTCTGCTCCACCCTTCGCATCAGTGAGTGCAGATTAATCTAGAGCAATGTCTTATGCTTACAAAATTTGAATCGGGCAGCTGGGCAAAGAATCTTTAGTTCTCATCGTTATCATAATCTTCGACGTCGTCGCCATTGCCCTATGCATCATCGCTACTGGTGGGTCAGCACGCTCATAGAGATGACATTACCTCAGGCCACTTCTTAGACAAGACTGTTTTGCTCCCATCTTCGAGCTCACATCGCTCGCTCCCTAGTATGCCTTAAAACGTCAAGTGCTGTGTCTACCTACTGATTTTGGCAGCGGAACAACGATACTTTGATCTTACAAACAGTATGATCTACGTTTTCAACTTATCTGATGCACCTCCTGATGCATAATACAACGAGTAGTTGCATGTTCAACTTTACTTCTCCACTCCATGTCTTCTATATGCTTGATGTAATGTGATGACCGCAAAAATAATCTACCTCTCCTTTGTGAACATTCATATAATCATGTCTAAAACTTCCCACCTGGGCGTCCCGAATTCAAGTATCGACGCCTAATTAACCGCACTGAAATCACGCTCGAAAGTCTTGGATAAATCCCGAGTGGATGGGTCGGCGGATGGCTGGGGAGCCGAGTAAAGAATAGGTAGGGCGCAAACTGAATGTAGGCGTACCTCGGCACTGGCCTCGGTAGTTAACAGCGCAGACCCTGTCGCAAATTCGCTGGCCTGCACTTCCGCATGAGTTCAATGTGACGAGCTTAGATGTAACCGTGTCAAGAAGAGATTGATACTCAAACTTAATCGAGCTATGATCGGCCATACACGCACGGTCGAATCGACTTTTTACCCCACCTACGCCCTTAGCTGTTGCCCTTCACAGTGGAATGACTCTTCGCATACACGAAACTATGGTCAAAACAGAATGGGCCCAATTTAGGCCGACCATAGAATAGGGGTTAGACGCGAAAAGACAGGTAGCGACAGTATAAAGCTCAAACCGTATCCATGGGAAGCTTTTGTGTATTGCTTATCCTCACCATCACTTCTGAGTTTAAACACTACTTTGGGAGTGCAACTACGATGATCAGCGAACCCCTCCTATTTCGACTCCCAGGAGAGCTTCGTAACAGAATCTACGAATATTACCTTTCAGAGGAGTGCGGTTAGTATATGTCAAAGCAAGTACCTGTGGTAGCTTCCTTGAATTTCAGCTAATATGATGAGTCGAAAATTAAGATATGTCTACGACGCAGAGCAGAGAAGGCTACGGGACATATTCGGCAAGAAAATTGATAACTCGCTAGGATACACATGCAAGAAGGTCGCACAAGAGATAGAAGCGATGGCATTCAGGTGCAACAAGGTCACGTTTCATCCTCGAATGAGCTCTTATAAAGCCATAGATATCCCCTCAGATGCCAGCTTGTTCGAGGAGTTGCTTTGGCGCAAACATCGAGCCCTACAATTTATGTTACGGTTCTTGTTTCGACACACAACGGCAGAAGTCCTAGACGATCTTTGCACCAAGTGGCCTGGAGTCCAGGTAGTCGAGGGTCTAAGACACAAAATTCAAGATGTGGGATCTGACTATTTTCGTGACGGCACGCTGGATCTATACAGCTTTGATTACGGGGTAGATCGGCATATGGTGGTTGAGGTTTTGGAGGTTCTCATAGACCTCCTTGCGACCCGTTCAGACTTTGAAGCCCTGACAGCCATCGGCTACACGACATCAGCAGGATTTCGTTTCCAGATGCGCACGATGCTGAGCGATGAGGAGATGGAAGATATATACGAGGACACAGACTTCTATGTTGAAGAAGGTGACGACTTTGTCGACGATGAAACAGGTAAAGCGATCTACACCCGCGAAACTCAACCCCAGATCTTGAAGTGGCGACCAAAACTCTGGCACATGCCAAATCGCCAGGAGCTTTTGTCAATCGAGTCTTTTCTACCCGGTCCCTGTCCAAAGGCTAGAATCTCCTCATCTGGATGCGAGTACGTTGGGAAGCTACATTTCTCTGCGACAGCGGTTGCCATTGACTTTCTTGAACGGCTCAGTCTAAAGCAACGCTCAAATTTACGAGAGCTTCATATCCAAGAGGATCGAACCAGTATCAATCAGCCTTACAGACATTCTCAAGGCTTGATACCCCTCTGCCAAGGAAACCCTCAGCTTCACATTACCCAAAGAGTGGACATCTGGCAAACCGATCTCATTCCGAACAGCGATTCTGAGGACTGGATACATCATGCGATATGGTGGTCAATCTTCAGGTGGATGCAGGAGGTCAAAAACCTCCATGCGAAAGGCATGCCGGATGGATCGTTCTCCCTGGTCTTACATGGTCCCTCGGCTGATGCCAGTCAAAATCTGGCTGACACGATCATCAAAGTGGCAGCATGGCAGGACGCGAATGCAGAGTATTTTCGGCGACATCAAGCGGAATTCCACCCCTACCGTAATGGCGTTATCAGTGGGTTTCCAGAAATTGTCAAAGAAGTCTTGCAGGGAACAATTCCTGTCTCTCTAGAGTCCGAGATCAGTCATGAGATATGGGATACTGCGAAAATCCTGAGAGAGCATGAAGGTCCTTGGCCAACAGATTTCGCAGAGGCGGTACCAGAGCATCCCTTCAACGAGCCTGCGGGAGGCTGGGAAGCTGCGAGAAACGAACACCGCATTGAGGTCGACTATTTGGAACGGTTTGAAGGGTGGGATAGGCTGCTAGAAGGCGAGTGACGGTGCTACTGCAAACGCGGTCCAATCGCACCGTCCATGTGCGGACACTGTCAAACCTTCTTCTGAAAGTCGAAAACTTCATACTTGATATGGTCCATAATTTAACCAGAATGAACTCTGAGTCCTTGAATGCAGCACTCAGTTCGCCCATTCATCACCCGATGTTTTAATTTGTTGAAGTTGTACTGGGACTGATTGTGCCACTTGGGTACAAGTCCGGTCAGGTTCAAAAACGGACCGCCGCCCTTCATCGCTCACCACGCCGTTCTTCTAAACACACTGTACATCGCCTTTCGCAGTCGCGCATTTGCTACTGTATGTTCTACCATGGATTTCATTCACGTTAGTCATACGCGAATTTAATGAGTCTTCGAGAAGAATAGCCATGGGGGAGCCGATGGATCGTCAACCGTGGAATTGATTAGCGGCATCGTTCCACTCGTAGCATTAGGGTATATATGAAAGCTTCCATCGACTGGGAAACCCTTCTCACAACAAAAATCATTCATTTCAGCTTCCTATAATGGCAATAATGTCTAGTCAGATCTTGGGCCAGCATAAGTCTCTCTTCTTTCGCCTACCACGAGAACTCCGCGACAAGATATACATCTACTGTGTTTCGGAGGACCATGGTGAGTTCATCGACTCTAACACTATTGGCCATCCGCGCTAATGAATTGGTTTTCGCCAGGCTATCTCCACGATTCTTCAACCGGAAAGCTCCGCCTGCACGACGGAAGGCCCATAGACAACGCGCTCATGTTCACGTGCAAGCGCGTCACTCGAGAGACACAGGGTCTTGCACTGCGCACTAACACGATCACATTCCGGACCCAAGTTAGCTTGCCTGAAGCTATTGACATGCCGTCAGATGCTGCATTGTTTGAGTATCTTCGCAAGAAGCGGATTGATGCTCTTGGAGAAATGCTCTGCTTCGCGCATTCTCTGGTCACTTCAAGCGTCCTGCAATCGCTCCGTGAGAAGTGGCCAAATAGCAAGGCCGTGGCAGGTCTGATGGCAAGCATCGAACGATATGGCACACAGATTATGGGCAGGGATACACTGAGCCTCTACCTTTATGATATGCATTGTGATAATGCCGAGCAAGAAGACATCCTAGACGATATTATCGAACTAATCCGAAGTCATGCCGACTTTGACGCACTGACTTCTATCGGATACACAAAATCGAAGTGGTATCGATGGCAACTACGCCATTGCGTTACCGACGAGCATATGAAACACTTATGGGAAGGAAAAAATTTCGATGAGAGTGCTGGTGACTTCTTCATCGATGAACTTACGGGTTCACCATGGTACACCGAAGCCACTCGGCGCAGCATTCTTGACTGGAAGCCTGAACGTTGGCAAATACCCACAAGAGAAGAACTGAGAAAGACTGGAAAAATCTTGGTGGGCTGGCCGAAAGCCTCCATCTGGTACGAGAATGTGCCCGGTCGCGTGCGTCCTCAATATTACTCTGCAATAGCTGTCACTGTGCGGTTCCTTCAACAACTCCCACTTGACATTCGTGTCCACATTCGTCAAATCGTTATTGAGGAAGACAATCCGGCAGTGAATGAGTCCTATGCTCATATCCGTGGGATGGAACGCTTCTGGCAGGAGAATCCAAGTCTAAAAGTGGAGCAAAGAGTGGATATTTGGAAAACGATTCTCATTCCCCAAAGCTCGCCAATAACGTTGTTCGATACGGAAGTGCAGGTTCGGGACTGGATAATCCAAGGAAGAGCGTTGTGTCACCAGAAAACATCGATTGGATCCTACTCTTTGGTCCTACATGGCCCTTCTACGAACGCCAGCCAGAATCTCAGCGATGTTATGATAAAGCTAGCGAAGTGGCAACTTGGGAATGTTGAATTTCTCAATCGCGTCGAGCAAAAGTTTGACAGAGGAACGCATTGTGTGACTGAAGATTACTCGAGCATTATCAAGGAAATCGTGGATGGTGCTATTTCAGTCCGCTTCGAAGCGGAGTGCATCCCAGGGCCTTGGGATCCGGCTACGATATTACAAGAGCATCAGGGAGATTGGCCTATGGATCGCGAGGAGGCTACAGAGGCGTATGTATTTGAGGAGCCAGATGAAGGTTGGGAAGCGGCTAGACACGCATCTTGGGCTGAGATCGATATATACGATCGTCTAGCATGGTGGAACACGCTGGTGGAGCAACTATAAGGGCATTCTGTAGGTCGACGAGTTCATATTGCTCAGTGTAGCTGAAATCGGGAAGCATCGCTATCTCAGAGCCTTGCGAGGTTTATTCTGTCAGATCTGGTGTTATGGCTTTAGTGTGGCACAAAATGGCTTAGCTCGTTCCTTATCTAAAACCGTTTGCGCGTTATGCGCACGCGCCAACTACGTCATCGTTATTTACAGATGCACACGAGCATCCCAAATACCCGGTTCTGGAGCACCTATTGCCACTCGCGTTGACAAGATGGCTAGGATCCATCATGGCAGGCAATCTGCGACGTCGAAATACAGATTAACCGCGAATAGAGCGTTGTGCCGCGAGCAAGCATTGGACCCTGCTACAAAAGGTGTCGATAGGGTTATGAGCTTGTTTTTTGGGCTACACGGGGTGACTGCGCCCCGCTGTGACGCTTCGCTGTATATTGTGCCGCGGGCGGTAGCGCGCTGTGTCCGCTAGGGAGAGCGTGGCTTGTTGTCGGAACAAGGACCGACGTCATCGCTAGGAGCTCCCATAACTTCGTAAATTCGCGCGCGCGCCCACTGCGACTAGCAACTCTACTACTGCCTCCACTTGACCCTCAATTGAAAATCCTACATCAGCTAACAACAATCCAACTACTTCAAAATGGAGACCATCACCAACGCTGCCTCCACGGTTACGTCAACTGTCTCAAGCCTCATCTACGGCCAGCCCGCCAAGGAAAACGAGACTGGCGGTAAGGAGCCTGTCTCGGGCGAGCAAGGAAAAGGCACTATCAACGAGCCATTCGACCAGGGCAACTCAGGTACGTGGATCTGGCGAATGCGACATTCGGGATTGTGCTAATTATGACGTGTAGAAAACCCCGTGAACACGGCCTCAAGTACGAACACAGCAGCTGGTATTTAGATTTCCACTCCACAATCGAATGTTGCTAACTAGACTTCCAGCAACGTCCAGCGATTCGTCAAACAAGAACGATGACTTCCTCAAGCTCAACCCTACCCTGGGCCAGCCTACCACCAGCGACTCTTCTTCAGACATAAAGACCAGCACTACTGGCGACACTTCCATCCCCATAGTCCCTCTGAACCCAGACGTAGCAACCTCCAGCACTGGCCAGGGAAACACAACCACCTCAACAGGCATCACGGACAAGGCAGGCGTCTCTGACAAGGTCTGGAAGCCCACGGACATCGATGAGGTCAAGCCTTCCGGCGCTCCTGGAGCTGGGCCCGATGCTCCCGACTACAAGGTCGCCACCCCTGATCTATCTTCGACCACGTCCAGCAAACCTACCGAGCACAGTGACAGCGTCATTGCGGCCAAGGACAGCAACGCACCCAAGAAGCAGTCCGGTGTGGAGACGTCGCACTCCGATAGTGCTCACGTGCAGCCACCTGTTGGCGGTCCCATTGAAGAGATTCTCAACAAGGGCACTTCTTCTAAGGATGAGCACACCGTGCCAGAGAGTGAGGTCAACGATCCTCACTCCAAGATGAACGACAAGACTACGCGCTCCACCCACCCCCACAAAACCGATGTTGGCGAGATTGAGAGTATGTAATGCCTTTGCAAGATATCAAGACAGTATCGCTAACAATATCGCAGGCCATCCCGCCGAGACTTCCAGCCGCGCCTCCGAGTCCAGCAAGCCAACCGAACCCGCATCGCCGAAAGCCGGTGACGAGAAGAGCGAGAAGAAGATATCGCAGCTCAAGGACAAGCTCAAGAACAAGCTCCACATCGGCAGCAAGGACAAATAGGCGGCTCTCGTGAGCACCATGGAGAGCATAAGACGATGGTGATGCAGATATGATACCACGGCGTAGTCGGACCAAGCGTTTGACAATGTAATTATGTAGTTCGGAATCTACAATTTGATGTCCCAAACACTGCTTACATAGGGCGCTCTTCTGCCCAATCATCATCATGTGTTAGCCTCGTGGCACCGATCTTGCTTAGCGCCAATTTACTAAACCATCTCAGGGTACCACGCCTCACTTCTTATCACAAAGTCACCACGTGCATCTTGGTGCAACACAGCCGCAGCAATCATACACTATTATAATTACGCGTTCGTCATCACACGAGCCGATCCGCCGACGGGTGGGACAGGTCAGCATTGCCCCGCATTGAGGGACTTTAGGTGTGTAGTCTCCATCCCATCATCGGTACACTATATCAGCCTTGTCGGCCTCGAGCGTCGACCAAGATTTCATTGCTCTTGTGCAGTTCAACGACATGCATAAGTCTTTCTGAACACTTTGCATGTTGGAGCTAGACTATTTCCTCTCGTGCTTCACTTAGCCATCATTTTTGCGCGATTTTATCACACTATATCATCCTCGATCTTAGTCGTAGAATCTGTCGATTTCTGCCTTTTATTTCCAGCCTTATTATCATACCCGTGTCTCGAATTTGAATCTCGCATCATTGTCATGGGCAATATCGGCCATCTAAATTGCGAACCAGGCACCCACTCTTCCAAGAGCAAACCAGACCCGAACCACTCAGAAGCATCTCGCATCGAGCGCGATCTCTCCAGCGCTCCTCACCAAGTAGGCTACATGGACGACGCAGATCCCCCGATGATCCGAAGAGCAGCGGGAAGGATACCGCACGTCTGCATCGTTGGCGCCGGCGTCGCTGGCATGCGATGTGCGGACATATTGCTTCATCATGGCGCCAAAGTCACCATTATTGAAGGGCGCAATCGCGTTGGCGGTCGATTGTGCCAAAGTAATGCCTTAGGCCATGTGGTCGATCTTGGCCCGAACTGGATACACGGCACGGAGCACAATCCCATACTAGATCTTGCGCGGCAAACAGGCACGCTGACGATGAATTGGGACGGTCGGCAGGCTATTTTTGATAGTGTGGGAAAGCAGATGGAAGAGGGAGAGACAGCAAAGAATGAAGAAGTCGTGTGGGAAATCATCGAGCAGGCGATGAAATACTCAAATGCTGAGAGCGCGACGATACCCGCTCAGAAGAGCCTGTTTAATTTCTTCGAAGAAAAGGTGCAAGGCATGTTTCCAGATGACAAAGCAAAGCAAGAAACGATACTACAGATGGCGGAAATGTGGGGCGCTTTCGTCGGCTCGCCAATACAAACCCAGAGTCTCAAGTACTTCTGGCTTGAGGAATGTATTGACGGAGAGAATTTGTTTGTCGCAGGTACGTATGAGAAGATCTTGAAGAAGATTGCGGAATCGGCGCGAAAGGCAGATCTGCGTTTGGAGCACAAGGTTACGAAGATTGTGTCACGTGAGGAGGATCGACGTCCGAGGGTGTCTGTGGAGCTAGAGGGTCGACGAAGTGAGACGTTTGACGAGGTAGTCATGACTGCACCGTTGGGCTGGCTGAAGAGAAACTTGGGCGCTTTTGAACCTGAGTTACCAGGTAGACTGAAAGAGGCGATCGGTGCAATTGGTTATGGACACTTGGACAAGGTAACATTAACTATCCTGCAAGGCATGATCTATAGACTGACAATAGAAGGTTTACATAACATTTCCGACAGCCTTCTGGAACGCTTCTACTCCCCCAAGATCCTCGCCATCTAAATCCCGCGATCCAAACGTGCCAAATGTCACCGCAACGACCGCGCCCATCCATCAACCCTCGTCTGATTCTCTTGTGAATCCATCCCATTATCCAGGCTTCACGCACTGGCTCAGACCTGCTTATGCAACTTCTCCCAATCCAAACCGATGGGCTCAAGAAGCTATGAATCTCGCTGCACTTCCTGGCGGCTCCGCACATCCGACACTACTCTTCTACATTCACGGCCCAACATCTCTGCACATATCATCTCTCCTCCAATCATCCCCCGCATCTAGTCACACAGAGATACTGACACAATTCTTCGAACCTTACTACTCTCGCCTGCCGAACTACAACCCTAAAAGCCCTGACCACCAACCCAAAGCTGTACTAGCGACCGACTGGGCAAGTGACGAGCTAGCGGGATATGGAAGCTATAGTAATTTCCAAACTGGCTTAGAACAGGGCGACAAGGATATTGAAGAGATGCGGAAAGGACTGCCAGAGAAGGGCATTTGGCTGGCTGGAGAGCATACAGCGCCGTTTGTAGCATTAGGTACAGTCACGGGAGCTTGGTGGGCCGGTGAAGGCGTGGCGAAGAGGATTTCAAAAGCTTGGAGCTTGAAAGAGCCAGAGTAAAGTGCAGCCGGATGTCCATAACTATATCAGAACGTACTCCCCCTCGTCAATCTTCTTTTCCACCCCCTATTCCGCATCCCTTCATCCCCAGTATCCACCCTCCGCACCCTCATCTCGCCCTCCGGTACCCTAAGCTTCGCACTGCTCTCCCTTAATCGCTTCCTTAACTCCTCATCCTCCATGTCTCCCGCCTGTTCCCCGATTTCTTCTCTTAATACCGCAGCGAACTCTACAATACTCCTCAACAGGCCCGGTCGTCTTCCATGTCGGTAGAGGCGCGAATTGTGTCGTGTCTCGAGCCACATACCGACCATGATGCATGCCCAGATGAAGTTGAAGATGGACATGATGAAGAGGAATATGTAAGAAAAGCCCCATTGGTAGTTCTCGCCGGGCTTACAAGAACCGTGGGCAAGCAAATAGGTGGCGTTGTAGGGAGAGCTTTGGCGGCCGGAAGTGGAGTAGAGAGACGACGAGGCAGGTGATATGCCGTTTTCTTCTACGGGAAGTGCCGGATACCCGGTGATGTTGAGGGTAGGGCTGTCGAGGGAAATCGATGTGGTGTTGAAGGACCATTTGGTTGCAGTGGTGAACTGTGGGTAGATGTGAGGGTCGGAGTCTGATGGGATGGAATCGTTGGAAGTGATGGCGGATATGTCTGAGGTTTGATTAGTCTCATTGAATGTGCGACCAAAGTATCGGAATGACTTACAGCTTTCCACCGCCTCGGTCATATCCACATCCTTCAGCCCAACCACAAGCGGCTTTTCATACCCAATTCTGGCCGCATCGTTCACCACATAGATAACCGGATCAATCTTCTCAAAGGCAATCAAATTCCCTTCCAAATCCTCCAAATACGGCTCGCTCGTCGCAATATACCCCGTCATAGCCGCCATCAACGTCGGAAAACTCAGCACATAAAACGTCGACAGGAACATGCTTACCATCGCCAACCACCTCTTCCACCATCTCTTCCGCTCTACCCCTTTCCCAGAAGCTAACATCTCCTTCCCCCAGATCCCCAACGCACCCAATCCCGTCGTCTCAAACGCAACGCCCGCATACATCCTCCACCCCACGCCCTGCCCCTCCATCCACCCCACCAACCACTCGTTAAACACGCGATAATTCACCCACGCTAGCCCAAGCTGCCCTCCCCTGCCCACTACCAGATCCCATGCAATGTCAATAACTTTGACTTGCGTGAACGTCATGTTGCCGAAACTCAAGTTCGGCGTGAAGAAGTATGACGAATCCATAATCTCCCACGTCGCGGTGGGTGAGAATTTCCACAGGCCGTTGGGGTAGCAGGATAGGTGCCGGATGTAGGATTGAGACGCGATTTCGGCGGCGGAAGAGAGGGTTACGATGGGGAGGAGGGCGAGGGGAAGGAGGAGGATGGTGAGGAATGTGCGGTAGGGGAAGGGGGACCATTTTTCGCGGAATTTTGAGGAATTTGGGATCTCTTGTTTGTAGGAGTTTGGTGAGTTCATGGTGTTGCGGCGAATTGAGTTGTGGTTTTGCATGGGCAGCATTTCGTGGCTGGAGCGCGTGTCGTCACCAGGGACTGCGGAGAATTGCGAGTAAAGCGGCATCTTCGACGGTGGATATGCATCACAACATCACACGTGTGGGAGTTGAGGGCATCAATTGAGAAATCGTGAGCTGCTTCGTATGATGCCGTAAGGCGTCCTACTTGTTGCACGATACGAGGTGTGCCGCTAGCCAAGCGTGGCGGAGCACTAGACTAAATTTAGATCTTCTTTCTCACACATTGTGGAATCGGATTCTTCGGCTCATGTATTTTATTGTGTCCACTAATGAAAGACTATAAGGAGAGTGACCATTTATATCCCATATCTACCATCTTGTTGTCTAGCAGTTGAGGTTGATCGCTGCATTATGAATAAGCACAATTGTTCTGCCTAATGGAACTGCAGATGACTTACCGTTGGCATACAGAGCGTATGAGTCTGCGTTGTTCAAAGCCTGGTTTGCGGACAGTGCAGTAGCGGCAGCGTATCCATATCCATTATCCTGAGTGCCAGGAGAATATACTCCAGGGGCGTGAGTCTCCTCATGAAGCGCAGTAGTGGCCTGATCCTGGCCATGGCAAGTGGAAGCAAGCGCTGGGAGCGCACTGAAGAAGATGGGGCAGTATGTGATGAAGTTGGCCGAAGGAACGGTGTACGCCAGCACGTTGGAGGAGCAGCCGGAGTAGGGGTCGTTGCAATTAGTTGTGGTACGGCTGGAGGTGCTACCGCAGTCGGATGCAACTGCTCTCAGACGTGCTGCGACGGTACTAGCGGAAGAAGTGGTCTTGAAGTATGTTGTGAGCTTGGTTCCAGAAGTGGCAGCAGAGGCTGCAGCGTTTGCAAGCCTAGCACAGTTGGATAGCGCGGTGCGAACAGTGCTCAACTTGGTGCCAGTACAGCTGGATCCGATAGCAGTACGCTTGTTGAGTGCTTTAGCAACAGAAGCAGCCTGAGCGCCATCAATGGTCATGCTGAGCTTGTTGGACTCGTAGTCGAGAGCACCAGCGAGCTCAGTGGAAGCTCCCTCAGCGAAGGGAAGAGCACCCTTAGCAAAAACATCGAAGTCACCGCCCTCGTGGAGCGAGTGGAGAGCTGCTGTCTCGACTGTGATCTCCTTAGTCTCGCCTGCAGCAAGGGTGACGAAGTCATCTGCCTTGAGTCCACTAGTCAATAAGCGAACTTTCATTCCTTCGAAAGCCACCTTGTCGCCTGGAAATCGGTTAGATAGGTGAATCTCGAGCTAGTGAAGATGAAGGATTTTGGTATGATATACTCTATGTGTTTCGAGATCGGTAAAAAAGAGATGAGAGGGAAACTTACTGCCTCCGGCAGCATACATCTGGACCTTCTCGACGGGGAGCTGCTCATCCAGGAATGTGCCCTTGCTGAGCAGGTTCAAGGTCTTCTCACCGTTGTTGGTGAGAGTGACCTTGACCTCCGAGTTGCCACTGGCTGCGAGCTTGACGCTCAGAGGTGTCTCGCGTTTGTGAACATCGACTGAGGCGGCAGTGGCAAAAGAGGCCAGCGCAGCAACAGCGAGTTGGCTAGAAACCTTCATTTTGAATGATTGACAAATGGAAGCTTGTGTTCAACGAGTGAGATAACCTGGTGTGCAAGCTTAGAAGGCAGCGAAGGAGGCGATGATCAGTGCTGATGGAGAAACTTCTGGTGATGAAGGCACATCTCTTTATACCTTGACCTACTGCGATTTTCCAAGACGAAAATCCAAGACGCCATCACTTTCTTGGTAGGTGTGAGTGTCGATAAGCTCTACGACGGAGCTTGACTGACCTAGGCAACAAGTAGCAGTATCTCGGCATGGATCTGGGGTATTGAGCGTGAATACGGGCAGCCCTGGTCATTCGATGCTGCATGAAATTTCCAGCAGTGAGGGAACGAAACAAGACTCTTGCTCTGATTTGCTATATGCGCAAAACATGACGAGCTGACGAAACTCGGGAGGCGCCGCGAACGGGAAACAAGGTAGATGCGGAAGGTAGTGAAGCGTGTGCCTGGATGGGAAATGATAAGGACGACGAGAGACATGGGGCTGCAGCACGGAAAAGCCATCGTACTCTGTCCAGTGCCCTGTCGCATGCAGCGGTCGTTCGAGTCTTAATTAAGGCAAGGTAACTGGGTCTTAGCGCGGTATGTTGCAGTGCTGTTGGATAGCTACCGAGTGTTCATACATCTGTATGACTCGTCCACCGTTGTTCAACATAGCTATTTCCCGTGGGAGTGTGGAGACAGAGTCATTCAATCTCGACCAGCACCAACTGCAACGGCTCTACCAGTCTGCTGTTCATCCACGTAGTTAAAGTCCATGTAGATCGACGTTGGCTCCAGCCTCGAGTAAGCGATCTCATGCTGTGTGTGTCTAACAAGGCTTTTTGGCTTCACTACCAAGGTGGCGAAGTATTGAAGTCGAGGCCCCAAGTGCACATCTCAGGATAAGCATCGCCAAGCAGCTCAAAGTTTGCTTGATATCACCTGCCAATTGTCTTGATCTAAGAACCGGCATATAGCTCTATCAAGAGCGACGCTTGGTCAATTGAAGAAGGTTATCGGAGGATTTTCTGCACAGGACTTCGTCGCGGGAAGAGCGTGCACGCCAAGACCGAATCAAGTCAAGCGGCGCGGGGAGCACACGGGTGAACATCCATCTCCATCCTCCTCGATTCTGGACGCCTATCTCCAGACTACGACTGGAAAAGATCACCATGGCTTTGTTTCATTCCATGTTTTGTTGGACAAATGGTGCAGCACGCATTGTGATTCGAGCCCTGTAATTAATCTAATTTAGCGCCGGGCCACATGATTCACCCCGCCTTCCTCTTTGGGTCGAGACGACATGGCCAATACGACGGCCGGTAGAGACACCAATTATCTAAATTCATTATTTTACGGTAAACATAAGCTGATCTGGCGTTGTAAGTAAGCGATATTGCTTTGATTGCGGCGATACCAGTCGTCTACGGACGTAGGTACGAGACAGTTGTCTTTAGCCAAGAGCATGCTCAATCGCGTTCATTGTGAACACCCGAAGCGATAGAATAAGCACACGGTAAATTTCTTATGCTGAGACCAATACTGTCGCTTTCCAAAACATTCGTCGAGCATTAACGTCAGAACTCCTTCCAATACCGGCCTGGCGCTCCCCGCCGCCCAGCATAAACCCAGCTGGGCGCCCCGCGATAGCTAAAGCACGTGCGATAGGTCCTGTTACATCATCCCGCCTCTCCACAATTCACTTCCAGGCAGCCAGCAATTACTAGCCAGTATCATGGCGTCGTTCTGGAACAAGCGTACAACCATCACCACAGGTGTTGCCATTACTCTACTCGGAGCTTACTACATCTACCAATCACCAACTTCCATCACATACACCATGTCGAATTCAAGCTCAAGCAATGGTATTCCAGGCCTCGAGTTCAAGCTCACACAGACTTCGCGAAACCCGCCAGCGCTGCTGGTTACACTCAAGAACAACAGTCCGGATACTCCCTATACGCTGTTGAAATGGGGCACTCCACTCGACTCCGCTGCACTCAACACTGGAGTGTTCAAGATCGTCAATGAAGAAAGCGGCGACGAGGTCGAGCAGATGGTTCTCCAAATCAACAGAAAGATGCCGCCGCCGCAAGAAGAGCTTGTCACCATTGCGCCGGGTACGGAGGAAGAGCTTACCGTAACATTCGACAAGCCGTGGATGCCGGAACAGAAGCCTGCTAAGTACAAGGTCAAGGCTGAAGGCGAGTTTAAGGGTGTTTGGGACAAGTACGGCACGGACATTAGCGAGGACGATTTGAATGCGTATATCCAGAGTCCGTTTAGCGGAAAGAGATTTGCGACGAACGAGGTTATTATGGAAGTTCACTAAGATGCGAGAAAAAGATGATGTCAAGATGAGTTTCTCATTCCATGGTTCCAAAATCCAGGCTCAATGCTGTGGATAATGAAACGAGCGTGTTGGGAATATATACAGGTCGAAAAGAAAATGTATGTACAAATAAACCAAAACCTATTCCACCTCACAGGGCAAGCGCCCCAAACAACACACCCCCAGCCCCAACCGCCATAGCCACCATCCCCGTTGGCATCGGCATAAACACACCCCCACCAGTACTCCCAGCACCATCATTACCCTGCACCGCTGCAGCAGTCTGACTCGGCGCCAGCGCGGTTCCCGTCCACCTCGTCGTAGTCGCCTGCGCACCTTCAGTTCCCACCAGCCGTAACCTCCACGACATCCCTGCCCCAATACCTCTGCACATCGTCCTTATTGAAAGTCCTCGTCCTCACCCCATCCCCATTTCCCCACACCCCCGGATCCAACCTACCACTCGCTGTGCACGTCGCCGGCCCCTCTACCACGCCGCCCGGCCCGAACGAGCATTCCTGATCGAGCGCGACGATGTTGGTGAGGGTGTAGTGAACAGCCCAGATCGACGGGCCCTGTGTGATTTCCCAGGGTATGCAGGCGGACCACGAACCGCCCCATCCACCGTTCCAATTGTAGCAGTCGTCTCGCTTGTCGTGTGGGAAGCGCGTGTGTATGCCGGCGGAAGCTAGAGCGGCGCTGGCTTTGCTGCGACCGGCATCTGCGGCGGCGGAGGCGGATGAGGCGGCGGAACTGTCGACGCTGCAGGAGTAGGAGTAGGTAGTGAGGTCGCTTGCGGCGTTGATGACGGTGATGGTGGGGTGCGTGGCGGTTATACACCAATTTGGAGTGAGGATTGTGGCTGTGGTGGTTGTTTGGGCGAGGATTGGGGTGGCGAAGAGGGAGAGGATTGAGATGAGGCTTGAGGTGAGCATGATTGCGATGATGTGGTGGATGGAGTGGTCGTGGTTCGGATACGAGGGAAGTAGGGATGGAAGTTTGGCATTTTGCTGAGGAAATGGATTTACGTGGAAGGCCTTTAAAAAGAAAAAAGGCAGGGTGATGGACTTCGGTATTGTAGCTCGTGGATTAGCTCGGAAATGCTGATGTTTTGAAGTAGCTGTGCTTTGTAGGCTACGAAGTCCGCAGTGTGTAAGCAGATGGTTGTACATGTGCGCATGTAGTAAGACTAGCCACGCAGTTGGACCAGTCATCCCAACTCTCATCGAAAGATAACCTATGTAGCCGAGTAGCTTTGACACCATCGGTATGATTGCGAAACCCCAGGTGGTTCATTAAGCCCCGATCGGGCTTATTATAACTTTTGCCCAATGCGGTTAGCTTCGGGTAACTTCACGTGGACTTGTAAGCCACACCCGTCAACGCGACACGTTATTGGTGCTTCTCATATACCGCTATACCAGGAATCGCACTGCGCTCCAAAGTCTTGTGCAGAAACGAAAGACCAGGCTGTTTCAGATCTGTTCAAGTAGACTTGGAGACGACGAAGAGAAAGAAGTTCAGCCCCACTGATACCTCTCTTCGTCCAGCCTGGTGCTCTCGTCCCAGCACTTTTGCACCCATCCTACGCCAACGACTCTCGAAAGATCTGCAACACGTGAAACAGAAGCGGTTTGCCCATCTGGGACGACCGTGTGCGTAACACCTTCTTCGTCCTCATCCTCTGTGATTTGGCCTCCGCCAAAGCGGATGTAATTTCCCGCTAGCTGTGCCCGCAGTGTCCAGACAGGGTCGTCGCTGGTTCGAAAAGCGACTTTGGTGCTTGAGAACATGTAGGTTTTGAGATGGGAGAGAGAGTCGCCATGATCTTCGAGCTGATCCAAGAACGACTCGCGATCGAATTTGGTTCGCTTCTGGGGCGGGTCAGTGGCTCCGAGTATCTTCCTCATCTCTTCAACATCGGCAATGTCACGAGCATATGAGTCACCATAGTCGTCCGCGTTGGCCTCGTAGTCCAGCTGATTGTCACCCAGCAGGTAGAACATGTGGCGATTTGGCTCGAAAGGAAGCAGATACGGGAGGGCGCCGTTGTCTACCTCGTTTTGCTGTATGGTGTCCTGAATCCACACAGGCTTAACGATATTGTTCGTGTCGCGCTTTTCCAGAGAAGCTACTTTTATCAGACGTTTATCAGCAACGATGACGAGATTGGGCTCCATCGAGTCGCGCTGCACGACCCTACCGCCGTTGGCCTTGACAAGCGCTTCCAGGTCGACTTTGGACTTTTTGGTCGGATGCAACTGTTCGGTCATAATGTAGAAACTGAGTCCATCGAAAATTTTCGACTGAGGACCAGCATACGGAGTTGTGATCGTCTCGCTGCCGGCAACCACAATTGGCTTCTTGGTCGTCCTCGTCCTTTTCCGGCGCGACTTCTCGATCTCAAACTCTTTCTCTTTCTCTTCGCGCTTGTATTCCACGTTCGCCTTGATCTCATAGAACTCTTCCCTCGATAATGCTTGATCCCATCGCTTGTCCGTGCGAAGCATTCTGAAGCGAGGGAAGCGAAGCGTAAGATTGAACCGGAATTTATCGCTTCCCTCCACGCTTGCTGCTTTGCATTCCAGTACTACAGAATCACTGGGATGTATCCATTGGTCAGGTCTCTCATGTTGGCGATTCTGTTCGTGACCGCCGAGCTCAATGATGGGCGGGGGTCGTCTGGGATCCCAGTCTTTCCACTTGCCCTCTGTCCTGCCGCGGATGGCTGCGTAGTCTTCACGACTGAAACCGCCGCCAACCTTAAAGAATGACCAGCACTTTTCATAGTCTGCATCTCCCGGCTTGGCATCTTTGTTAAGCAATAATGCACAAAGGAAAGAAGAGTGGGCACCACCACGGTGGCCGGATCCAAAGTAGCCACCAACAACAATGCAGTCGAGAGATTCGCCAAATTCAGACATATATTCAGGTTTGACTTTCATCCAGTCTGCATTCCTGTCATTGAGTCGATACATTGAACGCGGGTTCTTGAGTACGAGTCCTTCGGAAGACTCAGCGACCACTTTACGAAGCGCAGGCTCGATCTCAGTGTGCGAGTGCGCTTCGATGTATGGATGGATTTCCAATCGCCGCTTCACATCCTTCACGGCGCTTTCGAGAGCCCGCCGGCGGTCGCGCAAGGTGTAAGGTGTGAGGAGCTTGTCGTTGAGATATACACAATCAAAGACACGGAAGAGTGGCCGCTGTCCGGTACTTTTGTCGGTTTTGTTTTCCTTCTCTGATATAGCCGCAGTTTTGAGGGTACCAAATCCAACAATATGATCTACATCCATGTCCCATGTAATCATTTCGCCGTCCAGTATTATGTTCCTTACGTTCTTGCCGAATGCATCTGTGATGAACCTTGTCAAGGCACCAGCTTCGTCTCCCTGTAGATGCTTGCCGTACAGATATGCATAGTCTTTGGCTTTTCGTGACCAGAAGCCGAAAAGCTTTCCGCCTGGCGCTTCCGGGTCTTCAATCATGTGAAGCTGCATACGCTCTCCATCCAGCTTCTCCTCGATCCAGAATGAGTCGTCATCAGAGTTGGCCTGCAATCGCGCCACGATCTTCTCGAACGACCCACCTTTATCCTGGAAGGCAGCGAGCTGAGGCTGGAAACACTGCATCAAGCTGAGCCCGGTATCCTCGCCTTCTAAGCGGACCTTTGGGTCGTAAAGCTCCCAACATACGCGACGTAGGTTGGAGGAAATGTTGAACAGCGTTTCGGCATCTGGATGCCAGATGTCGAGGAACGTCTTCTCAGTCGCACCGATTTTCATCTGGCGGAGGATTATACGGATGAGCCATGTCATCTCCTCAGCATTCATCCTTCTGTTGAACCTCTGGAAGATCTTGACTTGCTCGTCCTCCGATCCAAGCTGGGACAGCTTGTCCAAGGCATTGTTGACCTCTGCGATGCTCATGTCACCAAGCTTGGTGTTTAGCTGCCTTGATGACAACACCTGGTAGCATCGGCCGGCAAAGTCTCCAGCTGTTGAGGCTGAAGCTTTGTGCAACTGACCGGGAAGCTTCCAGTTCAGCATTTGCTTGGCATCATCCGAATCCTTACTGATCTTGGTGAGTTTGATCAAGACTTTTGCGATGGCCTTCTCTTTCAGGCCATACATAGCACGATCTCGGTCCTTGTCAGGTATAATGAGACGCATTGCTGGGTAGAAGTCATTGCCGACAGTCTTGCGCCAGCTTGCAATGAATCTCTCGATGATGTTCCGCTTAGCTTCGTGGGGCGAGAGGTTCGAGTGACCATGTGGGCCGGCTTTTCGGCGAGGCCCAGGCGGTTGCCTACCCTTCTTTTGTGTTTCCATGAGCGGATCAAACAAATCAGTGAATAACGTGTGAAAAGGTGGCGACTTGTGGAGGTTCATGGGACGTGTGGGGAACTTCTCATCGAGCTCGTCGTCGTGGCCGTACATGAGAGTGTTCTCACGTACAGCCTCTGCGTCTGGCATCTCCGTATCTTCTGCCATGTTGAGGGCATCGGGGTGCGAGAGAAAGGACGCAGCTGCATTATGTAGATGGACGCCGCAGCAGGCAACCACCAAGTTCGCGACTACCAATTCGCGGTGTCACGTGAAGACTAGAGCCGATATAGACTAGCGCATTCTATTTACGGCCTCCGGCCCTGGAGTATTCGTGCTTCACTTTGACATTAACGGCTCCACAGCAACTCTTTCTTTCTAGTCTTTCGCTCAAATACCTTTCAATGTGTCGTCTTTAACCCTTCCATATATGATCCTTTTCGACCACGAATTCCTTCCATACGTCATACCGATGGACACTCCTCCATGACTTACGCAACCAACCAAAGCACCGGCGACACCCAACACAACGTACGGGACGCTGCCTTGCATGGCGCCACCCTAGCGTTCTCTAAACCCGCCGCGAAACCGAAGCCTCTAGTGAACACATACACTGGGGAGGGAAACGGTGCGTTGCTAGCTGCAACCAAAGTTGGCAGCCCACGGAACAATGCAGGAGCTGCGGGTAGCTCGGCGCCTCTGACGCGCGATTGGACGGGCTCGCGGAGCGTCACCAGTCAGTCTGCGGTACAACCAGGAAGCAAGTCTACCAATTCCCACAAGCTGGGAGTGCCTGAGGAACATCCCGTCCGCAACTCTTCTCCCTCGAACATTGCGGCCCGGCTGGCTGCGGCCCGTCACTCTCCCCTACGACCGACACCTGCACCTACACCTCAGGCTGCCACCATTACGCCCATCATGAGTGAGCGGCATACACATGACAGGGACGTCTTGCCTCCATCAGGGAGCGTAGGCAGCGTATTGGCAAGGCTGGACACAAAGAAGCCAAGCCCACAGCCCCGAAAGAGGCGGGACAGCTTCGACTCGCGCTCAGTTACAGCATCGAAGCAAGACAGGCCCACCGATGACACCCCGATCCCCCCTACAAATTCACTTGTGAAGATGTTCGAGCAGACTCGATCCGATACCCCTACCAAATCTGACGCCGCGGTGCCCTTGAGCTATTCCCAGCACTCTCCGCCGCCGGTCCGATCACCCAAGCCCCAGCGAACATTCAAGCTTCCTCCAGAACCTATCGAACACGGAGCGTTATCGAGGCAGCGAACACGGACACCCCCGCCTGTCAAGCCGAAGCCAAAGCATCAAATTGAGCTGCCGCCCCCGCAATACACTGATGGCGCTCCTTACTTTCAGACGCCACAGAAGGACCCGATGAAGTCACCGCCAATCAAACAGAAGCCAGCGAAATTGACCACATCGAGGACGACCACTCCGCCGCCGCCAAAGCCACCGCCGCAACGAGGCTCGCGCCAGGCACGACCACAATCAGAGGACATGAAGCGCTCTGCCGTCACACGCCGAAGGCCTTCGACCTCAATGGGTAGTGAGCAGACCCCGGGACTCACCATCGTCCTTCAAGTCAGCGAAAGAGATGCTGGAAGAGGACGAGAAGCTGAAGCCTACCCTGCCTCCGCCTCGCCGGTCCCAGACCCGGAAGCCTGACGGTGCAGCAGGTGGCAGCAGGCCGCGATCGGCAGCCCCGGTGCCGACAGCACGGAGACAAGACCAAAAACAGAATCCCATGCATTCGCCGACTCGATTCTCGCCTCCTCGACGGCCAACGTCTGTCTCGGGAACATAGCCCGGCTCGGTCTACCATAACAACTACCAACGCGACTCGGTAAAGCAGATCACCCAGCACATGACTGGAGAATCGCTCTCCAGCGCCATCATGGGTGCTGCTTTGGCATCTTCGCGGAACGCCTCGCCCGCTCCCTCGCAGCCAATGACCATCGAACCGCTCTTCCCGCCTCGAAAACACCACCATCACCACTCTCCTTTCCACCACCGCTCGCCCTCTCCTCAGAAGCAATCTCCGCCAAAAGTTGCTGGTAAATTGCGCACCACCATGCGCAAAGAGCCCTCGTCATCCGAAGACGAAGACGAAGTCCGCCGGTACAAGAAGAAGGGCACACGCATCATGGGCATTAAGTCGCGCAAACACCCTAATAAGCACCACGAAGGCACACGCAATCGCTGGCGTGATGAGATAACCGAACGCGAAAGGAAGCGGTACGAGGGTGTCTGGGCGGCGAACAAAGGGCTGCACATCCCACCATTGTCTTCTCAAACCGAGGACGACCCGTCGCAAGATGTGCTGAATTACGCTGTGCAGGACATATGGACTCGAAGCAGATTGCCGGTACATGTGCTTGAGGAAGTATGGGATCTTGTAGACAGCAGGGCGATTGGGAGATTGAAGAGAGAAGAATTTGTGGTAGGGTTGTGGCTGATTGATCAGAGGCTCAAAGGGAGGAAGCTCCCGATCAGAGTTAGTGACAGTCTGTGGGCCAGTGCCAGGGGCATGGGACTCAACGTCAAGGTCAGAAGGTAACTCTTTGCATTCGGATGGTATTCGTGTTGTTCTTGGCTTTTCAGGCGTTCGAGATACCCATAAACGTAATTCAATAGACTTCAGATTATTCTCTGGCTTCCTTACCTCCGCCTCTCCCTCCCACCGCCGCCACCTCTTGCACAAACCTCGTCGCAACCTGAAACTGGCCCGCAAAATCCATATCGTACCAGTAATTCACCGAGCAGCACATCCCCTCCTCGCCCGCTATCTGCTTCACCTTGTGATACCACAGCGCTGGCAGATACAACAAATCGCCCGCATTCACCGTGACCCTCATCGGCCGCGCGAATTCTGAATACGGCGTGGTATTCTCCCCCGGCCGGTCGGGATCCCACGTCGGCAGCGGTACGTATTCCTCGGGCTCGTCGATACTAATGCGCAAACCATCTTTCCTTAGATCCTCAGTTCTAAGCTCCGGATCTAGCGGAGCATACGTTGCCGACAAAACCGAGCGCTCAGCCACACACGGCGCAGATATAGGCGGTAAGATGACAAACTCCTTCTTCCCCGCCACCTGCACGAAGACATTCTCATAATGGTCTTTATGCAGCACGCTCGTGCTGTGTGAATTCCCGACCCAAAGATTCACGGCGTCGGGGTCTTGCTCGAGGGCAGCACTTGCGAAGGGGATGGAAGGGGGGAGTTCGCCGAATAGCGCGGTGTATTCGGAGCGTAGGTTGTCGTTTTGGGATTGGATGTAGCGTGTTGCGGAGTCATGGGTTTCGGTTTTCTCCTGGGCGATTATTTGGGATAGAGCGGAAGAGAAGGATTCAGTGACTTCGTAGGGTTTGCAAAATACACTGCCGCCTGAGGGGAGATGGACCACGGCGTCGGCGTTTCCCTTGGGGGTGAGGGCGACGGTGACGGGCGTGTCTGCAAGTTTTTGGGAGAGGTAGGATGGGGTCCAGGTTTTGCTGATGTGGCGGAATGTTGGGTCGGGGGTGCTGCGAACTACGAAGGGTTGGTTGCGGGAGACGAAGCGCATGAATTCTAGTGGTGTAGGCTCCTTGCGAAGTTCGATGATGTGTTGAGAATTTATGTCGTGGTAGTTGTCGAGCAATTCTTCACACTCAGTCAGAATGGGAATGCCTACTTCGTATACACATCACATTCTATGCGTAAAGAGAAGCGCACCTATAATTGCATCATGTACAGTTGCTCCATCTGGGAGTTCAGTTGGAACAGGCCTTCAAGCAATTAGTCTCTGATCTGTAATCATAGAGCAGGATAGGGGTACCTCGTTTTGGCCTGGTCTTGATCTCTTAATCCTACTACTGCGGTTTCCATCATCGTTGTAGTACTTTGATGCCGCATGTGGTTAGAGCAATGAACGTTACGATGATCACTGCGTATTTGTAGGAAAACACTAGCGTCGGGTTTACTAGTTTAGCCTCGGAGATACCATGAGAAGCTTGAAGCTCGCGCTACTCCACCTTCCACACTTCAGTCCCAGACTCAATTGACACGCGCAATTCGCCATGCGCTAAAAAGTCAGATAAATATGCCCAAGCGATAACAGCAGCACGTGTTCCCTACCATGGCATCCGTCCAGAAATGGAGCCGTACGTCTTCCCCCAACCTCTCAGCACTAACTAACACCACGCCAGGAATCGCTCTCCGATACGCCCAAGCCGCACTCACCATCCACATCTTCCAGAAATACATCGGCGGCGTCGGCAGTACAGTGGGAATCTCGATGATACCCACGATACCCCCAGAGTACTTCGGATATCCATACATACTCTACTCGTCTCTGCATCGTCGCGGCCGGGGCGTCAAAGTCGGCGACGTAATCACATACACACACCCACTCTTCCCTAAACAGTCGGGATGTAAGCGCATCATCGGCATGCCGGGCGATTTTGTGTCCGTAATCACGCCGTGTCGGCTGGATGACGATGTTGAGGCGGAAGATGTGGATGGGAAATGGGCGCGAGTGACAGAGCAGGTTATACAAGTACCCGAGGGGCATTGCTGGGTTGCGGGAGATAATCTGGAGTGGAGTAGGGATAGCAGGCTGTATGGGCCGTTGCCGTTGGGATTGGTACGATCGAAGGTGTTGGCTGTGGTTAAGCCGTTTAAGGATGCGAAGTGGTTGGGCGCAGAGCACAATGTCAAGGATGCACAAGAGAAGGAACATGATTGGGTGATTAGTTGATGGAGAGCGAAGTGCATATTTTGCGTATGCGCATTCCGCTTTCATGATGTATTGATGTAAGATACCCTGTATATATGTTAGGCGACTGATACGCTTGATAGAAGATCATGCAAACCAACTCGTCGTTTACCCACAAATGAGCGGTCCAAACGCTACACATGGCAAGCTGGCAACATATGGCAAAACCAATGGGCTATCTAGCAGGATCCAAGCCGCTCTGCTGCTGCATTCTCCTCCTGACTGAGGCGATGGTAGAAGCACAGAATGGCTCGCCATCTAGTCAGCGCTGCTCATACGCTGGATCTCTTCGTTTTCGTCTCTCTGTCATCATGATTTTTTATTAGAACTTTCGCAGTATCATCATCGCGAGTCACTCCATGAGGTCTCAGGAACGCGGCTCGGGGATATGCAAATAGCCATAACCCCGACCATACTTCGGGATCCGATTTTGAGCGAAATCCGACGCATGACCAGCAAGTTCTTCAGGCTCAGAAAGCAGCTCGTCATCCATCTCCCAATTATTGCCGTTTGATCGTTGTCGCGCAGCATCTTCATCAGCCTCCTCTTCATCAGTCGGCTCGCGGATGCACCAATTCTCATTGTGGTCACGGCGATATATCAAGCCGTAGCGCACTGCTGTACGAGCGTTCGGGTCGTCCCATGCATCATACGCCGAAGGTTCGTTGGTACGGCGCCCAGCTTCGGCTCTTTCGAGCTCTTCTTGCAAGGGATCGTCACTGTAGTCGATTAAGTACTCTTCCTCTGCTTCTTCTGCTCCCGGAAAGCTCGGTTGCTGATCCTCTACTCTGGACAGAGACGATGTGTCGGTGTTACTATTCTCGTTAGCACGAGGTGATACTTGAGGTGTCGATGTGTTTGTCGAAGCTGAGCTCGACTCTGTGCCCTGATTTGCATCTATCAGCGCCGCCTCATCCAATCCTACGAGCTCAGAGGTGTCCCGCGAAGGAGATTCTGGCGTCTCACTGGAACTATCGCTCCAATAGTAGCTCGCAACCGGGCTTGTCGTATCATCTTCATCCGAATCCGAATGACCAGGGCTGTGGTACCCTTCTGGCTCTCGCTGCAGGTCCCTACGGGCTTGCGCTGTCCTCCGAGCTGTGCGCGCTCGCTGTCCGTTCATGTATACCTGATACAGTGGATGGCCCTCGAGAAGCGTCCTCCTACCTTCTCGATCCTGATCATTCCCACCGAATCCAATCAGTGGATAGCTAGGCCCACCGGTCGTCGCAGGGACATTCTCGCCCAAAGTCGCATATAAGGCGTGTTCCTCAACAGCATCCATAAACCCACGCAGCCGGGCCTGACCATCCTGCGTATTCGTGTAGGCCCGCACAGCTCCCAAACTCGTGTACCGATCACGAGGTTGGAACGGAATACCATGCAGTGAAGGCACATGTGCCGCCGGCGGATCAGGCTCGAACAGCTCTTCTCGGCAAAGCGGACATGAGCCGCGACGGGCAGCGCTCGACTTCCACCAAGTCAGGATGCAAGTTAGATGATGGCAATGCCGACATGCGGTTATCTGAACGACGTCGGTAGCGAGGGAATCTGTGCAAATACAGCAGTTGTCGGGCTGTGCGCCTACGGGTATTACCCCACCGAGGAAGAATTCAGATTGCGAACGGAGGCCAGACACGTCGTTGTCGAACAAGTCATCTGTCTCTGGTTCTGGGCCGTTCTGCCGGTGAACATGATGAGGAGGCATTGCAGTTGTTGGGTTGGGTCAGTGGAGCTATTATTTTAGATCAGTGCAGCTGTTGGACTGGATCGGTGGAGATGTTGGCTTGGAGAGCTGCGCGGGAAGGGTTTTGATGTCGAGAACGGGTGGTCCAAGTGCGCACCGGCGCGCTAACGCTAGGCGAGGGAGTGAAAGGCTCATGGCTGCCAAAACAAATCGAACATAGCAGCCTCGCAGCCTTGCACTCTGACCGATCTGCTCCTAAAATGAAAAATGAGCAGACTCGCGAGAGTGACGTAAGAATGAATAATGCGTGGTGAGATTAGTACAATTTCAAAGTGTCTAACGAGTTGGAAACCAACAGTTGTGTATTTGAGGATCAAAAGAAACTACAATCACGTGCATCCATGGGACTCGCAACGGCTGCCGTGCCGCAAATCTTAAGAAGTACTTTAACTTTAGTAACCTATACTTATACGCACGCGTTAGTATCTTACCTAACTACACAAGAGTCAATTCCTATAACCTTCTCTATAGATATGGCGCCTTCTCAATACGAAAATTACGCAGTTAACATCCTTTGCGCTCTTGTCTAAGAAGGGTCTTTCTAAGAGCGCAAGATACAACATTGCTATTACATCGTCTATTTCAAGTCTATGCGTAATTACTACCTGCTAAGTACTTCTTTAGAGAGCGCCTTGTGCATGTAGCTAGCTTGTTATTATCTAACGTAGTTTTTGTATCGTTATTAGCTACGCTAAGCTTAAAACTTAAGAGAGAATGTAGCTGATAGTGCTAGCTAAAACTTAAATCACGTAATAAGTGAGTAAGAGTCTTATCGCTTGTGAATACGAGGGTCTTGGCCATCCTATGTATTTTAAGTCAGGAAAGGTACGCAGGATCGCAGCAGAATCATAGCGAAGCTGACATCTAACAGTTGGGCCTCCGAGCCATCTCGAGCTTGGTAGCTAAACGAAGAAGTTATAGGATAAATTTCTGAAAGTACGTATTCGTTAAATCAACGCCGAAACCTAAGCCAAGCAATTCCAGATCAGATTTCCAAGTACAGTCCCATATGATCAGTCAAACCAGTCAGAACGGGAATCAAGATTCGGACTCGGAGTCCTCACCCGTCGAGGAACTGTTCGATTCGTCCTCGCCGCATTACGTGGTACTATCGGCCGTATCGCAGCTTGACATCTCGGGCACGCCTTCATCATACAGCTAGGGCATTGCAGCAGGTAAGTCCAACTTTCATAGCACCTCGGACATGCTGTACGACCTTGTACTTTAGGCCACCAGCCGTCGTGGTGACAAGCTGGTGTATAAGCCTGGCCAGTGCTTCCCCCTGATAGATTTGGATGTGCATGTTGCTCCCGGAATTTTCTGGTTTCCTTTCGTTTTTGTTCTACCGCTCGCTTCTCCTGCTGTTTTCTTGAAGCTTCTTTCGCTTCCTGCTCCCGCTTCAGCCACTGCTCCTGCTGCTGTTTCCAAATCTTTGCTGTTCTCTCCCTTTCTTGCCTCTCCCTCTCTTGCATCTCCTTCTCTCGCCTCTCTCTCTCACGTTTCTCTCTCTCTCGCCTCTCATGATCTTCTCTGGCACGTATCCTAGCCTGAATCACCCGTATCTTCTCGTCATCGCTCCGAATTGCGGCGTCGACCTCCTCCTTCGCTGTTCTCAACAGGATTTCCTGTGTCTTCAAGTCCGCCTTATTCGAATCTAGTCGCCGCTTCTTCATATCTTTCTCAATCCTTCTCTCCTGCCTAGCTCTATCCTTGCGTTCCTTCTCCTCCTCACTATCTTCTGCCTTCTTGTAAATGGGTGACAACAACCATGCTCCCCAACTATTCTTCTGTGCCTCTACCGCCGCCTCAGCGGCTAAAATAGTGTCCAAATTTTTAATCTCTTGCTCTAACCGCCTGATTAGTCTCTGCAGCTCGAAGATCGACGAACCGAAGCTATTGCTCTTGATATGCCATCGCGCACTTCGTTCTTGTTTCGACTTTTGTATCGCGACGATTTGCGCTGCTTCGCATAGTGTTTCTGATCGGGATGCTGAAGTAGGAGGCTGATGCGGTGTTTGTGTGTTTCGAGGAAACGACCGTCTTCGTATTATGGATGGGTAGATAAGGTTGTAGGCTCTGCGTTTGCTTTCGTCCTTCAATGTCTCGTAGGCTCGTCCAAGCTTCAATGTCTAATTTCAGTATGTATAATGTGATGATCGACAACACTAGCTTAGCCCTAGGAAGTGGACATACCCTCTGAAATGCTTCAGTAGCGTCGTGCTTGGGGTTCCTGTCCGGATGGAGCTCCAGTGCCAGCCGTCTGTAAGAGCTAATAATTAGCCGGAGTGCAGCAGTTTGCTCCACTCCAAGGATCATGTAATAATCCTCCATGGTCGATGACTGCGCCATGCTTCCGCAACTATTTTTCTCTAATTGTAGGTTCTATCGGCAAAAGTAACTCTGATGGCGCGTAGAGAGCCTTGAGCGGGGTACGATGACTTAGCAGCGCATAACTGGACTAAGGAATGCGTTTGTGCTACAGTTAGTATGCACATAAATGACAAATCGAGAAGCTTGCGCTACACCTTAAGTCTGTTAAGTTGGCTTACGAGATAACGCTCTATACGATACAGTATGCGAAGATACGATATAAGTACGCTAAAATTAGCAGCTAAGGTACGAGACCAAGCTTTAACTATACATAAATTTAGAATGTACTTCTTTAAATTTAAGCATCCTTACAACTCTTAGGATACATTATCCTATTATTAGGCTATCTAGCTGTTCTTTTGATATATCTAACACTTAGGTATAAAGGTAATATAGCTTCTAGTTGGTAAGAAAGCATAAGCGGCAGCACAGCTTAACACTTTGTAACTCTTGCTATAAGCTCTCACCTAATTAGAAAAAAGCCTATAGAATAAGTGTATAGTATTATAGAGCAATAGAACCAATATAGAAATATTGAAGATGTCGAATTTATATCATACTTGCAGTACGGGGTTGTTTACGTGACCCATGGACGCACGCCACATCACGATTGATCCAGGTCTTCATAGACTTCTGAATGTGCGGAAGAATCACCTTGGGGTGGCAGAAGCTGCCATGGTTCTTCAATGTCGTCGTAAAGACACTTGATAGCGTCTTCATCCGAATTTGATTCTACCCGTTCTCCCTTTCCCTCTCTAGCTTGTGGTCCATCCTGACTTCCTCTACGACTTCCCGCACTGATGGGTACCACCTCGTTATCGACAGACTCGTCAGCATCATTGCGGAGCACATCAAATCGACGCGTGTGCGTTGCCCTCCACAAGGCTTCAGTTTGGTTGAGCTCTTTAGCAGAAGCGAGTAATCCCGCCACTCCCGCGTCTGTCTCATCCCTGAACGCCTGGGTATCGTATAGCACTCGCCACGGGCGAGGATCCAGCATTGCCCGAGGTGGCGGCTGCACGGGGTGCTGATCAACAGGCTCGGCTACAGGTTCAGTATTGGTCCTGCGACGTCGGACGCGTCGCGGAACTGGTGGTGCGTCGGAATCGTCGATGAACTCTGACATGGGCGGATCGTAGTGCGGCCCGTATGGCTCGTCTACATATGGCTCCTGCTCGTCCAAATCGGACAGCTCGTACCGCTCATCATCATCTGCCTCCTGGTCGTCCGGATCCATCATCTCCTCGTCAAGCGCGTCTATCTGAGCTTGAGTGAGCGGTGCAGGCTCGAATAGCTCGCAGCGGCAATTCGGACAGGAGCCTCTACGGGCGTTATCTGATTCAAACCACGCTATGGCACATTCCAGGTGGAACATATGACGACAGGCTATCAGCTTGATAACTTCGGTTTCCAGAGGCTCTGCACAGATGTTACAGTTGCCTGGCCGTGCCGAGATGCGAATTGCTCCGCTGTGAAAGAAATCGGTTTGAGTAGGAAGCTGGTTGGAGGTATTGAGAGTATTAGAAGCCATCTTTAGGGTGAAGATGTCTTGTAGAAGTAAATTTTTTGTGGCCGGAGAATCTGTTATGGAGACGTTATTTCGAATTCTCAAACAGTTGTTGTGGCAAATGATTTGATGATCTGGGGAGAACGACGCGATCTTTTCAACGGCAGAGGCAGCATCGCGACAGGGCGCTATGCAGTGTCAATGTAACGAGAGCAGGTCAAAAGATCGGTCAATACATGCTAGGGATTCAAACATGCAGTTTTGATGAACAATGCCAGCTCTCGCTAAGTTGTGATACACAGTGTTGATGTAGAAAGTGAATGGGAATGAGAGTTCGTCATTATGACGGTATGCTCGTGTTCAAAAGGAGGCGAACTGAACCAAGCCTGACAAGTGAATTTCAAACTCATGAAGCCGGAGCCCATAGCCTCATGCACTAGGCCTATACTCATCAGATGTGCGCATATAAGCTTCTCACATGACCACAGGCAGGGGTTTGCTGATACCTCTTGTGACAGCAACTTGAGATAATGACATCGCGCGAGACTTTCACAGTTTGAGCGCTTCTGCAGCTGAGAGACGCAAATAAAGCTGTAGCGATGCACTTCAAATGTGACCGTACCTCGCAGCCACATTGATTTCACTGTATTGCAATCACCAACGTGTTATCAGAACTGTGCATCGAGTCTACCTCCATTCCACGGGCTAGCAAGATGAAAGTCTTATAGCAAGCCGTTCTAAGCGTTCACATACTACACAATGCCCCGCGATCTACACAAAACTCCTGAGAATCTTTCATTTCAAAACTCCTTCCTTGCCAATTCTCTCACGCCGGATCGAATACGACATCTAATCATTCGGCAGTGGTGCGAAGATTCGCCAATACTCAATTAGCTCCTCCGCAGTCCATCCCGTCCGGTAAAGAGTCAAACGAACCCCGTGAAGAGCCTCCAGATCGTCGCCAATCATCGCAGGCCCTTCTCCTGTGCGACGTTGAGGATGCACGAGAGGCGATGTAGAAGGGCGAATTGGCGCATATTCAGCATATCTGCGCACTGTCCGATCTGGTTCAGTCGAGTAACCATGTACTTCCACTGGCCTTGCAGGGAGTATAGCATCGTTCCTTGTATCTGGATTTGTTGGTTGATCACCGTGGTTATTCCCATAACGTCGTGTCTCTGGAGTCGTACCTCGCAGTAAGTCATACTGTAAGACGTTTCCCTGTGTTTGCTGAGGAATGGTCGATGCATATAGCTGTCTGAGCTGCTCTTCAGCTGTGGCCACGGCAGACTGATGCGGCACATTAATCATAGGAGTTGCGTACGCAGGTCGCAAATGCTGGCCGAATCGACCCCAATCCGCGGCGAGCCGCTGCAATTGTTCGCTATCTTGCCCTGATCGATAGTTTGCCGGCTCCAACATCTCCGCTGTCTCTCCAGACTCACTCCCAGTGCCCTGAATGCTCAGCGCTGAAGGTCTCTTAACAGCTTCGTACAACACTGTTCGGCACAATGGACAATCCATGTGACAAGCTGGTGCTCTCGGCGTTCCCTGGAACCACATGCGTATGCAAGTTGCGTGGAAGACATGGCCGCATCTTCGTAGTAGGACATATTCACCAATCAGTGTTTCTATGCATATGGAGCATCTATAGCCATCTGGAGGTGGAGGTGGAGGTGTGATGCGTGTGATTCCGGTCATGTAGAATTCGTCTCTGGTAGGTAGAGGAGATAGTGCAGGTGTCGGGTGAAGTGTTCGATGCATTTGCTCAGGCGCAATGTCAGGATCCGAGGATAAGAAGCTTTGCATGTCGCTGAAATTCTGATCCGATTCTCTACCAGAAGGAGGTAGTGCTGATGTGTTAGCGCGGCGAGGCATTGAGGTTGACGCTGTGTGTTGGAAAGAAATCTGGGACCGGAAGTGCGTCTTAATATACGCAATACGCATGCGCTGATTAGGGTAGCAATCAAGCAATCTTTCCGAATCTTCTCCCATAATCCACAACATTGCAGAAAGTATAAAAGATGTAAGGTTCAGTACATGGAGCTGAACTTCATATGGCTGATTAGCAGGTCTTATACCTCACCGACGCTGGCCGCTAGCAACAATGCTCATTAAGGGTATTCTCCCTTACCACAGTTCGTGGAACCAGGGCTCTCCTCTCAGGGCCATATCATCTTCATACAGCTTGAAATATTTATGTGAGCCAGAGGTGAATGTGCACTCAGCCCCACTTATCCACCAACCCATAACCCACAACAAAACAAACACACCCAACACACCACTACCCGTATATTTATCAACTAAATTAAAAACCTCCCATCAGAACACCAATACAAGAACAAGTCCGTTAAACCCTTGGTGTGACACTGGGGTCTAGGCCTCGGAGTAACACCTTGTGTTGTGAGATAAGTTCTTCGGCGATTCGACTCCGCTAGCAGCCTGCGAACGGCAGGGTGTTCTGATTTTTGCGTCTTTTTTGTACAATTTGAAAAAGAATGGAGATGGAGCGAGTGACATGTCATCTTTACGCGTGTGTAAGAAGATTTTTAACATAACGCTGCGCTAACCATCGCTAACTGCTGTCTCTTTAGCAATTAGAAATACAATTGCATTGCACTATTATGTTTACGTATCCTGTGACTACAAAAGACATGTATCTTCGAGTTAGGACCCCATGTCTCAAGCCCCTCGTCCATCCACTCTAGTCAGACTTGTATCTTCCTGACCTCCCGTCTCACGGCTCTATACCTTCCATCATTGCGCGCCTCAGCCTCCACCTAATCCGTCTCGGTCTGCTCACTAGGTTCCGCTACCAGAAGATTCGCTTGCTCGCCGCCCTGAGCATCCGTCACCGAGTCAGTCGGCGCTTCGAGGCGAAGACGATGTTCAGTACGTGACACCTCAAGCGCCGCCCTGTTCACACGATCCATATGATCTATAGCTTGCCGTGTGGCGGCTGAAGTATTGTCAAGACTTGCTGCCGCTGCCGCCAATTCGGCCACAAGACTGACTGAAGTTTGTGCTACTGTTTCGAGAGGGACGACTTGGGCGACTTCAGCATCATCACGATGTGCTGCCGTCGCCGTTGATATTGCCGTCAGACCAGCCATAGCTCGGTCTTGCGCGACTTGGATACGGTCGTGAATGGTACTAAGCCTGTCCAAGTGATCCGTGTTATTCAAAGACCGACGGGTGGCGAGTTCAGTAGCGTCGTGACGTGCTATCGCCACCTCAAGCTCAGCCTCAAGACGAGCCATCGCCTGCCCGTGATCTGCTAGGCGCTGGATGCCGCGGTCACGCGCCGCAGCCCAGGCCGCTCCAGCGGCGTCCACGTCATCCTCATCCCAAAGAAGTCTCGAGAGGAGACTATCAGACCTGGAATTTCCCGAAGGTCTGGAGTCTTCCGGAGAGCTGGAGTCTTCTGAATCAGTGTGGAGGCTGTGCTGGGCAGCATCGAAGTGTAGTGTGCCAAACAACACAGCCCGACACATGGGACACCTCCTATTTCCCATCCCATAACCCTGAAGCCAGCGAAGTATGCACGCGCAATGGAACACATGGCCGCACTTGATGAACTTAACGACGTCGGTGGTGAGTGCCTCTGTACAGATGGCACAGTCGGTGTCTGAATTGGATGGAACGGGGATGATGCCAGTCATCAGGAACTCTGGCTGAGAGCGGAGAGTGGCCATGGAGGGCGGTGGAGGCTGCACTAAGGAAAGGGCCTGTGCTGAGGGCGAAGAATGCGCTAGGGGGAGAGCAGGATGTGCTGAAAGAAGAGTAGTCTGAGTGTCATTCACTTGGGTCTCATCGTCTTGATCTCCGATAGAATCTGGGCGGATCACAATTGGCGGATGAGCGCTGGACATGTATGCTTGCCGTGGATTTGAGTGCTTGTATGCGAGTTGTGTTGAGTTGAGTGCAAGCTGGACTGGAAGTGAACTGCGCAGGTAACAGAGCAGAGAAGTAAGGTGTAGAAGAAATGTTTAAATCAAGCCAAAAGGAACAAAAGTAGGCTAAATATACTCCGAGCTCACACAATGTCCCACAGCATCGAGCGGTGAGTGGTCTACGCAGAGGACGCCTCCGCTCATGCACATTTCCGTTCGCAAGGGATGTTGCATGTTGCCTCAGCGAAATAACAAGAATCAAAACCGAGCGGTGAGATGTCGACGCGGAGGGCTGTAGATACCCGTCCGCTAGGGGATCTGTACACCCGTCAACTTGAGCGTGAAGACAACCATCAAAAGCATTTCATCTTAAACAAAATCCTGCCATACCATCTGAGCTTCGATACTCTGAAAAGCCAACATCTTCTAACCCTCTTCAGAAATGCTTACACAAGCAAATCCACACTTCGTATGCATCAAGCAGTGAGAGGTCGATACCAGAACTTGATGCCAAGAGACGTGTCCACTCATGTACGTTCCCGCTCCCGTCCGCTAGAGGATGATCTGTACTCATGTCAACGGTGCTGGACCATGCGCAATAACCCATAGCAAATCACACCAAATTAGAGCGTTTTCTTTCACCACATCTCAAATCTCCCATACCATTCACGCAAACGCCTCATCACCCCATCAAAAAGCGTATGCATGCAATTCCCGACTCCTTGTCTATAATCTAGCAAGCGGTGAGAGGTAGACACGTAAGGCTGTACGTTCCCGTGTATCTGTACACATGTCAACAGTGCCGAAAATCGTACAACAGCCTATACCAAATCCCATCACCCCGAATACGAATACATTCCTTTCGTTCCATCTTATGTCTCACATACCTTTGAACGCAACCGTCTCTTGATCCCCCAAGAAACGCATATCCATCACTCTTCACTATCAAGCGGTGAAGAGTCGGTGTGCCCGCTCATGTACGTTCCCGTTGTGTAACACAGGTTAACTCAGCGTGAAGATGCAAATCTTGTAGTGCCTAACTGTATCGGCTTGGATGAACTTCTTTTATCTTATCTCATCTCCGATACCTTCAGAAGCAAATTTCCCGCCTCACTCCCAAGAAACGCCTGTGCATGTAAATCGCCACACCCCACAGCATCGACCGGCGAGAGATTGACGCAGAGAGCCGCGTTCGCTCATGTAGCTTCCCGTCCGCGGGGACTTCGGATGAGCTTGCCCGTATGTGGCATGAGGGAGACAGGATAAACCTGGTACGAAACGGTAGCAGCAGAGCGAGGATTTCCCGCCTTGACGCTGAGGTGTGGGGTTCCAGAGAACAGCACATGCGAACTACGCCTCACTGAGCGTCTCGACTCCTGCATGCATGTCAACATTGCGCGGAAATGTAGCACATCTCACACCGAACCGTGTCAACTTGAATAGATTTCTTTGATTCCATCTCATCAGAATAAAACGCCTCTTATCTTAAACCCTGCACAAAAAACGCCCAAACATGCAACCCCGCACATTTCTCATCTAATCCCAGCTTTTCTTCTCATTTCCAAAGAAACTCGAATCTTCCCGCGCGGGCGTGCCCAACATACCCATCTCGCCACCCTTTCTGCGCCCCTTCTTTCCCCAAACTTCCAGTCCCCAGTCGTACATCTGCCAAGCCCAGCCGCCCGCTACCATGACGCCAGACACAACGTTGACGATGCGCACAAGGAGGCGCCAAAAGCCTCCCCACTCTTCCACAACCGCCAGCATAATCGGCTCAATGTCGAACTTGACGAACACGCCAGGGACGTAGTTTTCGGGCACGGTGTGGGACTGGGACGTCACGGCGTACTGATTCGTCTTGATGGCGTGGGTGCTGAAGATGGATTTGGCGGGGTGGGCGCTGGGGTCGCGGTTTACTGACTCGAGGAGGGGGAGGAGGCCCGGATTGTCGGTGTAGATGGTGGGCACGATGGAGAGGTAGTATTGGAATTTGTAGAAGTGGTCTTGGTCGGTGGGGGTTGTTGCGATGGTGTTGTCGAGGGGGTTGGTAAGGGAGGGGTAGTAGGGGCCGAAGGACATTTCGCGGATGATGTGCGAGAAGTTGAATGCTGGGTGGTGTTAGCAGTTACTACTTTACGGTATGAAATACGGGTGATTGAGACTTACTCTTGTGGTCCAGATGCTGTTCGCCAAACTCCTGATATCCGTGCCCTCTCGCTGTGATGTGGAAGTCTCCCTGGACTTTGTTTCCATCCAGACTGCCAAAGATCCTACACGCATCCGGCGCGCCTCTGACCCTCGGCGTCTTGCTGAACTTCCTCTTCTTCGCCTTGCCCAATTGCTCATGCACATCCCACAGCTCTTCCCAGCCAGGATTCACGCCGTCGTCCTTGCCCAGCTCGTGCATGCCCTTCTCCATCTTCCGGCCCGTCCACTGCGACCAGTTGGTTGGATCGTTGCGTAGCAGGTCACCCGCGAGTGTTCGGTCGCCGGCCGCGTCTTGCATGTTGACGCGTAGGTCGTGGCAGTTCATGGCGACTATTATATCGAGGTTTATTTGCATGTCGTGTGACACGCCCTTCTCGACGGAGAAGGATTGTGTGGTCGAGCCGGCATACCATCGCGTTATCTCGGACCAGGAGAGGTATATGCATGTGAGGATGAGCGTTACGGTCCATGCTGAGGAGTTGCGACCTTGGACGAGGTATGTCTTCTTGGTTTTGGCTGTGCATTACTTGTTAGTCAAGACTCACGAGAGAGTGTACTGGAGACTTGGTCGCACAAGCTCTGATAGTCGCAATGAAGCTTGACACGCCTCAACACCGCAATCGCGTCCCCTCGACTCCCCACCCAAAGACAATATACTTACGAAAAGCATCAAAACTCGACACAATGCCACCCTTTGAAGCTCCAAACGCATCCTCGTCGAGGCTGTGATCATTGAAGCCGTTCATCATGGGCGCAAATCGCTCTTCCGGGGCGCAGCAGGCCCAAATGCGACTCGAACTGCCGTAGGGAAAGAAGCAAACCAGAGGTTGCGTGGGGTAAAAGAGCGACGTGGATAGTTCGGGGCCGTGATGCTGTCGCGAAAGGCCACCTTCAAGTTACAGATGGGGGTCTGTGCGCGCGGAAGAGGCCCGATTGGGAAACACCGCCACGTGCTCAATTAGGGCTGCGCAGTGACGGAGCATGGGAAGTTTGGCAAAGTTCCAGCAACTATTCGCCAGTAGTCGGATGGAGTGACATTGTATACATTAGTCGGAGTAGAGGGTTATATGTAGTGCGCATTTCAATTGCCTGCGCAACTCAGTTACCGCTTACGTTACTGGTACTTATAGACATTCTCCTATGTCCTTGATCCACTCCTGAATCCGAGGTTTCATCCACCCACTCATCCAGCGATCAGATTCTGGGTAGCCTTTCCTTGCTCTACCCAGTTTAAACGCTGTGCTAATGCTACAGGTTCCATCATGAAAGCGAAATTGGAAACACTTTGTATTTGCTTCGCATGTTATCTTGCAGTTCTCAAAGCTCTGGTGAGCTGTTTTTTCGATATCCGAAAGATATGAATCGTGTTTTGCCGTCGTAGTCTTGGAGTAGTGGATATCATCGCTCAAATTGTCCCAATCCTCGCGGGCATCTAGTAGCTTTGGAGCTACAAAATAGTTGTAGATATCTCTGAACGATAATTTCCGCGGCAGCTCTCGCAAGGTTGACTGTGATCTGTAGAAGTCTCCTTCAAACTCCCAGAATGATGATATTTCCTCGGGACTCATGTGATGCATCGTTACAGCTGGTCCACACCAGTGCGTAGGACCAAAAGGTAAGGTATATGGTTTTTCGGTATTCAGTTTAGGCCACTGTAATCTGTTAGCAGTGTAAACTATAAGGGGGATGCAGACAAGGCATACTATGTCTTTAACAGATAAGCCAAGAGTTTCGTTGAGAGCGACAGAAAAAATATAGTCACCACAACAGTGTGATTTTGCTTCGTAGTCGTACTTCCCAGATAAAGTAGGGAAAATTCTCGAAAACTCTTTTAGAACTGGTTGCGACAGAATATAACCGCTTCCTCCATAGGCAAAACCAACGTCTCCTATTAACATTAAGGAGCCAAGGAAGTGCTCTTCTGACGAATTCAGGCTCCCTAGCCATTGGACCAAGTTAGGCCATAGGACATAGGTGTCTGCCTCGATGAAGATATACCATTTGTAGTTTGGGCGCATGTAGAACGTCTTCCCTGCAATATGGGTAGTCTTGTACTTATCAAGGACCCATGCTTCATGAGACCTATTTGCACCTTCACTGCAACTTTCTTGGTCCGCAATACAATCCTGTTGCTCATGGTAAATATTGAACTCTGGATTCCTACTCTTCACGTCTTGGAGAACATTATCTAGGCTATCGTAGATCTGTACGCCAGCAACAGTATGTTCCATATCAGAAAAGATGAGGTAGTCGTGTAAACATCCCAAGGTAGTTATAAGCTGGGTAGGGATTTTGCTAAATAGTTCGCTTGTTCCAGTTTTCATTATAACAAGAGTGTCTGAAGTATCTGGCATCCAATCACAGGCGCTGTGTGTCTTAGGAGCCATGTACATAGGACTCCCTATTGGGCTATACCCAGCTCGAACATGATAAAAGTGGCGCAGAAGACTGTACCCAGCCAAGAATATACACAACAAGACGAACGTATGGACTCCCTTGGGGGGTATAGAACAGGTAGGCCGTAAGACCATTATTGAAGGACGGGTTATAGTGTAGTAACGTATACAGTCTTGAGAGAGACGAAATGAGAACAAGAAGTATGTGGTTAGATAATATTCGTCAGGAATGACTTCATAACAACAAACTGGGATATATTCCCTGTCCAAGTCCTGTAATAGTCAACCCAAGACTACCATGGATTAATTGAAATAGGGCCGCTGCGGATTGGAATAGGACCGATGATGATGTGCCAACACGTTGAACGCAACGAAAGGGAAGTATCCAAGCTATTAACGAAACCAGACTGCATCCGACTGGTCACCCATTCAGCCCACCAAGCCGCAAATAAATAGCACAAAACGCAGCAGATTGATTTTACGAGCAAACGCCGAGACACACCTTGGCTTACAAGACAGGATCTGAAGACACCGTAGCACCCCATGCAGGACTCCTGAAATCACTGCATGAGGCGTATATGATCATCGCAATTGTTGATATATCTCAAGAGCTGATACTTTTACATCTCTGTGACAAGGGCGATTCGCGACAGAGCTATGTCAGACCTTGATATGATGTCTCATGTCAACCTTTAACGATAAGGGGCAAGCACGAAGGCGCAAGGCCGGCATGTCTCAGGGCGATTAGGCCGACTGGAGCTGCAAGCCATCGAAATACCTCCCCCAACATTCTCGACTGAAAAAGGGACGTGACAGTGGCCAGTAACTCCGCAAGGATGAATAATAGAGCCGATGGGGCCGAAGCAGCGGTGGTTCTGCAGCTCAAATATAATGAAAGGATCGTTCACAATGCGCATTCGGCATCCAGACAACAGGCAGCATTCCAGAACCTCATGGCGAGCGATTACAGATTCCACCCAGGACGAGCGTAGTATCAAGAGTCGTAAAGACTGCCCGGCAACATCCAAACCACATAACCGTTAACGTCCGTAGTCAGAGGCAATGCAGAAAGAAACCGATAGATCCTCACTCGGCCTCCCATAAACGGAGTGCTAGCGCACATGGCGTGCAAGAGCTAAATCCGGGGTGTTCGGAATATCGGATTAGACGAAATCTCCGGCATTGTTTGTTGCACGCAGATCACGCTAGCAGTCCATTCGTAGGAGAGGAGTGTAGCTAGCTCCGAGGCCCCCCTGAATCTCTAGTAGCGGAACGAGCCAATATTCGCTATAGAGGCTACTTAGCGTGCAAAGACCAAAACAAGGCTTCTTACAATGTTACATTGGCTAAAACTCCCTGTACTGGGCCTTGCACGCAAACTACGCTAGCACTCTGTTGATGCGAGGGCAGTGTACGACCGCGGTTCAAAATAGGACCGCAGCGGATCGAAATAGGACCGCAGTGGATCGAAATAGAACTACATATGTACTAGTCATTGACATAGAACCGCTAATAATCGTAATAGAACTACTCAGCATTGAATTAGGACTGCTGGGCAGTGAATTAGAACTGCATCGGTTCGAGATAGGACCGCATCGGATCATGATAGGACGCAGCGGATTGAAGGACGACTGCTAACCTTAGATCCTAGCTAGCACACTCTGCTAGTATCCACGTTGGTATAAGATGCACTCTGTAACTCTCACTTTTGTGCTCATCCACATTCCACGTACTTTGATCAACGCTACTTATATACCTCGTTACTCGAAACAACAACAACTATGAAGCACTTTCTTGCTCTTTTTTTTCTTGCTGGCCTCGCAGTAGCTGAGGCTCAGTTTTCAAGGCCGCCTAAGGACAGGGTAAGCTCTCTATTCTAAGAGTCGCTATATATAAATTTTCTAAAGCAAAGGCTAATGTTCGAAAATAGCGTGACGCTGAGCCTCAAATTGCTACAAAGCCACCTCAGGGAAGGGTAAGCTATATTTGATAAGAGTCTTTGCATAGAGCTTTTCTAAAACAAGAGCTAATGTTCGAAAACAGCGTAATGCCGAGCCTCAAATTACTACAAGGCTACTTTAATTTAAGGGTAAACTATCTTCTTACAACAGAGTTGTGGCCTAAAATCTTTCTTGAACAAAGGCTAATTCTTTTAAAAGGAGAGACGCTAAGCCTCTGTAACCGTACTGCCGGTTACACCTCTTGCCAGCCCTTCACGATCCTTGTTCCAACTATCTACCTTCACTTATCTTTTCGCGCTGCTGCGTTCACACCTTGATTACTTAGCTATCCTTGTGTACTACACCTTAGTACTATGCGTAGAATATCAATCAAACTTCTTTGCGAGTCTTGACATCTCTGCTCATAGCCTCTTGTGACTCCCAGACAACACGGCCTCCACCAGAATGATCGACGACAACTTTATCTGCGACCAGTGGTCAGGAAACCAAGGCTGTGAGTTGATGAAAGAGTGTCTTGTATTTAAAAATGGCGGTTAGGTTATATGCACGCACAACCCTGACTCTACTTCTTGTACTTCTTGTTATGCGCAGGGCTTTCTATGTACTCGAATTGAGCTTCTGTGCCTCTGGTGGGCGACTCACTGAACTTTTCAAGGAGCTGCAACTACTTGGTATACTTCAAATGGAAATGTTTTTGATTTTCTCGCGTGCTCGAATGCATGCTGCTATCCCATTGCTTTTGTCCACACATTCCCGCTCGGCTTCAGCAGGTACATCTACCAATTGTCCTTTCACGTCAGGTGACGCTATTCTGAAATGATCCTCCCGTTAAGACTGGGCTTCCCCCGGCCTCCGTCAAAGTTCGTGCCTCGTTGTTTGAGGGTGAGACCTGTCACTGAATTCGGCGCTGCGCTCCGCTTTGGATGTGTGCTGATATACTATCTCCTGCTACATCACAAGGGCTCATAACCTCGCGCACCGTCGTGATGGCGCTATATTCATGCCCCTTGATTGAAGTACGCTACGCTTATTAAGACTTAAATGGCTCAGCGAGGCCTTCGCTTCTTTGAATAGCTCGGCAAGGCCTTTAGAATGGTCGGCGTATTGAATTATGCTTAATTCGTTTTGGAAGTGTTGAGGGACGCAACAGAGGGTTTCGCGATTTTGATGCTCCTCGAGTGGGGCGGTAGGGGGCGACGCCTCAAAGGAACACCTCTGTAGCAACCCTGGAGAGCAAATTACAATATTGCGCGTGGGCATAGGAGATTGTGCATCATGCAGGGAGTAAGGATAGGTAGAAGGAGCGACAAAGCACACAGCTCCAAGAACTACGACTTTGCAGCATATTCAGAGCTTAGCTTTGGGTAGACAGGATGTCTATAGCTTACTATACTTTAGCTAACGCGCGCATCAAGAGCCGCCAAACGCAGCCACAACACAACCGTGTTACCTACGCTACGATTGCTCCGCTCTTTCGATTTCGCAAAACAGCGTTCAAGCCCTACACCTAAGCACTCCTCTCCTCCCTATCCAAACTACTGAACTTCGAATCCCCACCCTGCGCCAAATCTCCCCTATCCCCGCCTCCACTCTGTGCTGCCGCCCTCTTCGCAAACTCCTGCTCGGCGACCCTTCCGGGATCATTCTTCGTGCCAATCTTGCCAAATACCGTCTTGCCATGCAAATTCGGGTCTTCGGTTAGATTCGCGCCCTTGGGACCTCCAAGCTGGTGCGGGTGCGAGTACGCTGCTTCAGGCGCGACGTTGCCTTGAACACCATCGAAGCCGACTTGGGCGCCGGTCGACACGCCAATGTGGTCGCCAGCGCTGTTGACGGACGAGCCGATGGTGTTGTAGGTGGGGCCTACGCCAGATTCCTTGCCGAGGCCTTTGCCGGCTTTGAGGGATTGTTCTTCGCTCCAGCCGTCTTGGGCTTCGCGGGCGTGTGCATCGACGGCGGGGTCAAGCCTCGTAGCATTAGATGTGTCGGTATTGTTGGTGTTAGAGGAGGCGGAGGGCTGCTTGGAGGCGCCGGCTTTGGGGTTGCCGGCGCCGAAGTCGCCTGAGCCTTTGAGGGACTCGGCGGCGAGGGAGTCGGAGGTGACTGTGCCTACGCCCTCGTAGATGGGGTTGCGGGTTGATTCGGGGTCGGTGGTGACCTGTGGGATTGTTAGATACCCTGGGAGATGTGGATGCATATGCTGGATTGGGGTATGCAGATGTACTGCTGACTCGTGTGAACAGGGTTGAGTAGATGCGTACCTTTTGTCCGTGATGCGACATCGTGAAGTCTGGATTGTTGATTATGGTTTGTATGGTTTGGAAAGACAGCAATCGATTCTGCGTGCAGGTGATGTGGTAGCTTGGGAGAGTATCACCACTGTGCTTGACACCTTATATTCGTTCTACGTTGCGTCATGCTACATTACTCCCGGTGACGTCAAGCCAGGCACCGCTAGAGGCTCTCCAAGCCAGCTGCGGCATATGCAGATCGCCATTGGCATGTGGTGTCTTTGTAAGGCGGCTAGGTATGGCGTCAGGTGCGGCGCCATCTCGGCGATTTGTACTAGATCTCAGTACTAGTCGATCGATTTACCTGTTTGACGTTCAGGGCTTCAGGTACATGCAATCATCACTCACAAACAGCAGAGCGAGGAATGAATCTGGTTCATGTTGTACATTTTTGTTGCGCGCTGCACCTGCAGCTGCTGCCAGTCAAACGTGGACATAGCTGTCATACATCCCAATGGGGGTCATAATCGTGACAAGAAAGTATCCCAAACGCCTTTTTTTACCATGCATCCAACACTACTGCTTGACACCAGAGCTGGGGTCATTCTTTCCAGGGTAACCGTAGTCCTTGCCGGTAGTCTGCTCCAGACCGGAGTGGTTCTTCTGGTCGCGTGTGACAGCATCGTTGGGGATGCCGCTCAGGCCATCCTTTGCCTCGCGGGCAGCACCATTAGCATCACCGGTAGCAGGCTCACGCAGCGACCCGCTGCCTGACGAGATGCCGGCCTCTTGAGCACCTGAGCCACCGTTGACGGTTCGCGCATCCGCAGAGTTGAAGTCTGAAGCAGCAGCGGGCTGCTCGGGGAGAGGTAGGTTTGCCTGGCGCTCATTGACGAGGCCAGAGTCGGCCTTCATGTCGACGTGGGTGTTGGACTGGCCTTGCTGAGAGGAAACCATTGTGACTTTTGTTTTGGTGCTGAATCTAGTTAGCTGTCTGTTCGCTTGAACCAGATCCTGGATCTTCGAGGCTAGCCGGGACAGGCTAAGCTGAGGTTATACTGCATGCACTTACTCGTTCGGTATGATTGAGGAATTGATATGAAGCTGAGTTTGAAATTGGTTGCTGGTTTAGTTGTAAAGCTGCTGTAGAGTATGAAGAGAGGAAAACATCTTCGACGCTGCGCGATGGTTTTAAATGTAGGAAGAACGTTCTTGCCCCACAGCGTGACACGGCGTGACGTCAAACCGATGTCAAAACTCATCGTGATTCTCCTGCGGAAGGGTCATGCGAGCGGGGACCTTTCTACAAATCCAGTCAAGTCCTCCGTTGCAATATCCATGTCTGCGATGATGAATCGCATCTTCCTTGATCGCCAATGGCAGATGGTATTGCTGATAACCCTGCATGCGTGTGGCTCAACAAGTGTGGCTGACCGGTGTGGCGGTGCAATTTATCCTTACCGTCACTCCCTAACTCCAGCAAATGGCGGACTCAACCACGGTTGTTACAGGTCTTGACAAGGCGGGTTCTGCATGGCGTTCGTTCGAAAAGGGCAAGTGTGACATGATTCGTCGAGAAGTACGATGGTGAGGCAAATGAATGAAAATTAAGTAGTATTATACAAAGCCCAGGTGTGTCCACGGGGAGATCCTACTCTAGCGCAATCTGCAATGTAACGATTATAAGAAAACTTGTGGTAGGAAAAGCGGGGTGGGCAATGCGTGTACGGTTGCGGGAAGGGCGATTGGTAGCAAGGCACACGAGACTGCGACTGTGCTTGATACGCTGTGGCGCGACATGGCCGGCTGGGCGGCTGCTGCAAGTCAAGCATGCAGTACAGTTTGTATGGCTGTGCAGCAGATGTATCCATGGGGTGTTTTGATGATTTGTCGTGGGTCCATTTCCTCAGGTAGCTAAGGAATCGAAGCCCAGTTGTGCAAGAACCAATCTCTGAATCTTGTGGTCGCTATGTCTGGGTTGAGCATGTTCAGATAGCCTGGAACGGCAAAGTCGAATCGTCCTTCGGCTGTTGCAACCAGTGGCGATAGCTGCCGGTATCTTATGCCATGACCTGCAGCCTGTGCTTGATTCATTTGATGTTGCAGATCTCCCAGTGTTAGCTTTGACATTAAAGGGGATAAGAGAGCACTCACTCGGTACGTCTTGGTGAACAATGCTATTCCATGGACGATCTAGACACATGTAAGTCTTCCTATATTGTAAAGGGAGGTATTACACTCACTCCGACAAGATCTGACGACCTCCACCAGATCATTAACAGTCATTCTCTCGCCATACATAGACATCTCGGGTTCCCACAGCGGCATGTCGAGTGCCCTCACTACGAATTGCGCAACATCGTATACCGAAGTCAAGCAAATGCAGGCAAGATTGCGCGCAGCATCGTAGGTTGGCGCCACGGCAGTCATACTTCGGGGATTGGCGATGTAGTCTCCTTCGTTACTGTATCCAGTGTTGGCACCTATATGGTGCGAACGCATGCCGTTCACAGAGAAGCGCTCGTATAGTATTCCGCAAACGAAGACGCTGCAACGATTAGCAATGAACATTGTAAGTCTGGGATGTGCCATACGTATATTGTATATGCCCCTGATAGTACTCTAGCAGAGACAAGGCCGCAGACTTGCCACGATCGAGCACAGGGTTTGGCCCGCGCAAGCCTGGCTGACCTTCAAATTCGGCTGGAGCGAATCTCCGAACTCTACACTGTACGGCCGCCTCGATAAGACGAAGCTGAGGAGTGCCAGTAACCGTGGATATAACAGTATCAATACCCATGAGGGCGTGCTGGAGGGAGGCTGGATCACTGTAGTCGACGACCTGGCATTGATAGCCCTGCGAGATCAGGGCCCGATTGATGCTGAATAGGTGAATTAGATAGGGGTATAACGGGAGTAGAGTTGGACTGCTGAGACACATACAGCCCTTGAGAGGATGACGAGTTGGTGGCTGGTCTCATCGTTGATCTCTCGTGCTATCGACAGTGCAAGGCCACAGGTTCCAGCGACCGCGACACGCATGTTCATTTTCGAGGAGGACTAATTAGTTAGAGAAGCTTCATTTGGTCAGGAGAATGCTCATATTTTACCTTCATATTTCGGAGGCGTTAATGTGTTGACAGGAGCTTCGAGAGCGCACACACATACCCCCTTTAACTACTGTCACACAAGACGAATATTGACGTCCGTGAGTCACGGAGGTTGACCTGATTCTGAAGACGGTGAAAGAGCGCACCTGCCTATCCCTCGGCTTGCGACGCTTCTCGAGCCGGAAGACATACACGAACGATTGGACGCTGGGCTTTTGATACACGTTTCGAAAGGTTCATTTGAATTTGTCATGCCAATCGCATCAAGAAGTAGTGTCAGGTGAGTTGCGCTAGCCTCAACGAACGGCAACTGAACGCTAACGAGCTCGAGTACTGGTGAAGTGTGGTGCAACGGCCACCGTCTTTTCCTGCATCCTGGCATCGGCAGTGAGCGACCGACGGAAGAATAGAGTGTTATGGACATTGTCCCGCTGGCACGGCTGCCTTGTTGGACGCCTCTTCCGTTCGTACGGCTCTGCTACACGACATACCACCATCATGATTCGCCACTGTGATGACTGTGAACAAGCACAACCAGCCTGGGCTTTCAAGTCCAGTAGACTGATTAGCAGTGCAAACAAATGCCCGCTCTTGTAGTTGCTGTATGATGCGTATGCGTACTAGCAAAGGCTGTCTCGTATTCCCGACTGTCCATATTGTGAGCAGTCAGATACAAATCAATGAGTATTGCGCCAGCAAATCGACCAAAGTAGGTCGAGGAATGCATAGGCGAGCGGCGGAGATGACCATAATCGATGCCTGGTAGAACTGACCCTAGATCGTTGGAAATGAGCCCGATGGGATGGTCGTGTACTGTGCACGAATAAGACCGCTGGCAACGCCGAATGGCCGTGCACGGTGTATCTAGAGGACTAGTCTATCAGATGGGTTCGGAAGTGATGCAGGACTGGCCAATGGGCAATATACAGGAAGTTCCAACGGTGGGGTCCAGCTCCATCACAGAGGACAATGCGCCGTAATGTACGCCAAAGCTGCATGTGACTTTGCTCTTACATGGCGAATCGCGCCGTGGTAAGTCATAGGGCTACAGCCCTACGGCGTACTTCTAACCGTAGGGCGGGAAGTAGACGCTACAGAGCCTCCTGCTTCCTACGGGGGTTCAGGCCGCAGTATTGGCTGCATGAGGTCGAGCGAGTGGCTGACGTGAAAGATAGTCGCGCAGGGCCAGCAGGATGACTCGCAGCGTAGAGCTGGAGATTGGCTGAGCAAAAGTATCGCCAATCATTCCTCTGGCATTACGATGACAAGATAGGGAAATGGGGCCAAAAACCGGTGTATGTACTAGGGCGTCACAGCATCCACCGTCACTCAAGTGACCGTGTGCACGTGCGCCTACTAGGATGGGAGGACTAGGAAATGAGTGTGCTTGCGGCCGTGAAGAATGAGTCGTACGCGTTTCCCCACGCACATTCTTTCATCCCAGGGTATTACCATGACATGGATGGGTTGACCGGTTCCCCTGCGGCACCAGCGCGGATAGTTGACATCGCATGTGCTCAATTCCGACTCATTCGGTGCTTCTTTGGCAGCTTAAGAGCCGCAAAATCCCAGCTCTTTCATAGGTAACTTCTGCCTTGGACGAGCAGACGTGTGCTCACCGGTAGCGGCGGGGTTTGCTGCAGGTCTGCTCTGAACTTACGTCTCAATTCGCCTGGCATTATGCAGACCGTCAGATGTCCGGCAAGCAGACTTTTGCATAAGCGCGGGGTGTAGCGGTCATCTTAAGGGTGTAGGTTTTCAGCTCATCTCACTGTCGTCGGCGCCGATGATTGCAGATCGACGGCTGGACTTTGTTCTCCGCACTTGGCAAAATCGCTGCCTAGCTGCTGCTTCTTGAGCGTGACGAGATCAGTGGTCGAGGTGGGAGAAAGGTGTAGACCATAACGCGCAAGGTCAATCGAAAGCTCTGAGATGATAGCAGCCCACAGACAGATGCAACACGAATCTGCGGGGAGGTGGTCCATGCAGAGCAAATCAGCGCTTGTCGCAACGGGACTAGGATGGGATCACGTGTTGACGCGTTTGATCACGTGTTGATTGCAATCCCTAAATCCATAACAGCCTTGCAAGTCAACATGGCACGACTATGAGTATGCGCAGAGGCAAGGTCACTAGGCGTTCGAATGCTGATGCACCGATTGCGCGAATAGACTTGGGTGGCGTTAAAGCTCAAAAGATGCTGGTGTCATGCACGTAGCCGCGCGAACGTGGCTGGATAAGTCAATGCTGTCTAGGAGGCGAGCGCGTGCTCGTAACTCTACCTGTGCGGCATCGGGTTGGCGTCAAGTCGCGCTCCATATTGTATTCTCGACGTCCTTTGCGTAGCATAACAACGAATTCATCGATCATCTTACAGAGGAAGTTTGAGAAGTCTGAATCAACTAGACATTCGACAGAGCCATGTACACGTCATACTTCAGCAGCATACACCTGGGCATGTAAGACTCATACATTGACGTGTACAAAGTAGCCAAATTGCACTTCAAACTCGCGGTGTTGCTCTTCGATTGTTCTGTTATGCAATGGCTATATCTGCAAGTTTTCATTAGGTGCCTCACTAAAAGAACTCTCCCGTTTCAAGGAACTGTGCATGGGCCACATGCACGACATTGGTAGCCCGTGCTCCCGTGACCCAAAGGTACGCGACGCGCCTACCGGCCACAATACTTGCGTCCCATATTCTTCCACCTCAGAACCTGGATGTCAATTGTCTTCTGATCTCTACAATACTTCTGGCAACTCGAGGATACGCCCGTCATGTCTAATTCATCGCCTCTTCCTTCATTTACCTCGCCTGCTCAATCCGCGATTGGCAGGCGTGATGTCCCCAGCACCCCAGGCGCTCTTGCATTTCTCGTGCACTCGCAAGAAACCGTGGCAAACAAGATGCCTCCAGACGTGGACAACAAGGCTATTGCTAGACAGAGAAGACGCCGCACGAGGTATGTTGAACTTTGATTATTTTGCCTTTCCATCGCGACCACGTTGATACGGTATGCTCGCGACGCGTTCCTTGTCGATAGCTAGGCCAGCACGTGCCCGGCTCGACTCCGCCAGCACACCCCACCATCCGCATCCCACCCACTGACCACGTCATCACAGCAAAGAAGACGAAGACATCCTCAAAGCGGAATACCTGAAAAATCCGAAGCCTGATAAGGCAGCGCGTCTCGAGATCATCTCCAAAGTCGCGCTTGGAGAGAAAGAAGTTCAGGTATGCAGCGATTTTCCCTGGTCACGAGTGTGCGCGCCAGCACTAACCTTAATGCCCCCATTACAGATCTGGTTTCAGAATCGCAGGCAGAACGACAGACGTCGCTCACGACCACTGGAACCTTCGTCCTCGGCATCTCTCATGTCTTCATCCTCCAATATGTCCGACCCGCCCATGGAAGAAGAGGCTCACGTCCGCGACCTTGAGAACGAGCCGTTAGCGCAGGGCGTGGAAAGTGGCCTCAAGTCGGATCGCCCAGTAACGCCTGAACTCACCTCAGACGAAACCATTCCAGAATCGCGTCCCGAAGACGACCTCGCGCCTACCACCATCGAGTCTCAGGCTGCGACTGAATCGACAGTAGAAGCATCAGTTGATCCAGAAACCACTGCTACTGTGCCGAACGAGGCAAGCAACACACAACAAACAGCACCATCATCACAGGGCGCGTCTCAGGCGCGCACGTCATGGATTTCCAACAGACGCAGTGCCTCATTCGTACGACACAGCGAGGACTACGCGCCTGAAGTAATCACATTCCCGAATGCACCCGCGAAACCTATAGAATCGTCGCCGCTGCCCGCAGCACCTTCTTCAGTCTCATCTGCGCGTCCGCTCAAACGCACCCACTCCTTCGTGCGACTTCGGACAAACGAGGATGGTACTGCGCGCATCGTTACAGACCTCGACAAGACTCCCTCCCCTCCGCACATCAAGACCAGCCCTGCGGCCTTTTCCCGGGCTGCTGCAGGCCTTCGACGAAGCTACAGTGCAGCGGGATTGAACGATCGACTAGCAGCTGCGCGCGGAGAGCCCAGCCCTAAGATACCCCGGACATCGTCGAATATTGGAAGAAGCAGGGATTCACGAGCATGGGAATTTTGGTGTGACCCAGACAGTCGGTCGACAACGAGCCTCACAACACGTGCCGAGCAAGAGGGCAGCGGAAGTGCAGCGGATGCCATTGGCATACTGCGGGCGAACAGGAAGATCCTGGCGCAGAACCAGGCGCGTCAGAACACACCCATCATATCGCGCCACAGTTCCCACAAAGGCCTCAGCAGTTCAGGCGTGAAGAAGTCACGCAGCTCCATACAGCGCGCATCCACCATCAACGGGCGATTCTCGACCAAAGACTATAAGAAGGGAGGCGACGATACCGAATCCGACGAGTTTCCACAGACGGAAAGCGACAAGGAGAACTGGGAACCCGACGTTACTCCATCACAACGCCGTTACCAAATCTCTACACCTCCAGCCGCTCGTCGAGCTCGCCAGATCTTGGGTGAGAACACCGATGTCATGTCGCAGACTGCAAGTTTCGGTGCGCTGTTAGCGCGTGAGAAGGGCAAGGGCATCACCGACCCTGAGCAAGACGACGAGCTGAGGTCGTTTATGGGTGGTGATGATATGAGCGGGCGGAGTTTAGGGTCTGCTGAAGAGGCAGGTTGTGTTGAGGGCTTGCTGAAGCTAAGTCAGGGTCAGTGGAGATAGGCGAAGCACGGATCGTACATTGGGCGCATAGCTTTGGCTACGGTCAGCATGCACGGCGTCACCGGTATCATTACATTCTTGTCGACGCATTTCAGCGGGTTGAGGTTGGTGTTATACAAGGTTAGCCTCAGGGCGTCGAAAACGACATGGTTGGTCTTTGGGCGGGTATTCAACATGGATCAGTACATCCAAATGCATTATGATGATTGAACTTTAGGATTGTCCTTGTTTTATGTTTTGACTGCTTACAGATTGGCCCTGGTACGCTCAGGATTGTACGCGGCGGGATTGTCATGGCTGCTTCCTACGCAGCTCCGAAATGCTGCGAGATCCATAGGCGCGCTCAGTCGAAGGTTCAGGTGAGACGTGACATCGCGATCAACCACATCAATCAGACGCCGTTCATCTGCCGAGTCCGTGATACTCTCGTCATACGCACCAACCTTCGGGCCAGCTCCAAGACTGTGGAGATCGACCCAGGATATGATGGTGTCGAAGTAGTCAGTTGCAAAGCTTTTGCGGTTGTCCCTTAGGAATGATGTGTTCTGGATAGCTGTCTCGATATAGCGTCTCTTCGTAGCGCGCTTTTCATTGGGAGAAATGCCAGTAATTCGATATTCGTATAAGATCGCTACTGGGAGGACTGACACCTGGAAATGATTTGTGAGCACTTCCTTACCCATGCGGGGGTGGAGCATAGAGAGTAGCAGATTGTGTACTTCATGGTGGCCGGAAGAAGCTTATGTCACTGAGACAGCAACCGTTGAAGGGGCGCCCAATTGCACACATCGATTTCCGTGCTCCAAGATAATGAATTTTTTTGAAACAGTTTTATTAGAAAAGAACACAAACAATGGCACATAACAAAAGAAAGTGTCTAGCATATATAAGACACAAACAAGGCAGCTCGAAGAAATTGTGCTTCGGGAAGCTTCCGTGAATCTGGTATGTGTCATCGAGTAATCTATTGCTCATGTGCGCGGTCATATGTGCCACGGCCAATGAGACCGTAGCCACAGCCGCGCTATAGAATGGTACGTTTAAGAAAAAGGTTTTGTCAAAGGGGTTCTTCGATGTTGAGCCATGGCGCGCGTTTTTCACGACGAGTGGAATTGAATGAAAAAGCATCGACCTCTTAAAAAGTCAGAACTAGCAGAAATAACAGACTAAAGCAGGCACAATATCAAGAACACAGGAAGAAAAAAAAGTAAAACAAGAATCGCAGAAGCTCCCCTCCATCATCAGTTCGAAACTCACATCCAGTACATCGTCTTCCGCAGCGCCTCACACTTCTCCTCGCAATAATCTTGCTCCTGACTTCTTGCGTCCAACCTACTCTGCGCGCTGGTCCTCTTCATTTTCCTCAAAATCCCGTCAATTTCCTCCTTGACTTGCTTCACTCTGGCTCTCTCTTGCTCCTTTTGCGAAAAGCTCATGTTATCCATGTCTTTTGGTGGCCGAATACCCTTCGACTTCTCGAATTGACGACGCTGAGCCTCAACTTCCTCGCGCATGGATTGCTGAGGCACGAAGAAGTCGCGCAAGTAGCAGCGGGCCCTTTCGCACAGCCTGTCTGCATAATATGCGGGAGCTGCGTAGGAGACGCCCATTGTTGCGCGGACGTAGGAGAGGCAGAGGTTGTAAGTCTGTTTCGCTGATGTTAGTATGTTCATCGCGACAAGTAGCGGCGAACTCGAGGCACTTACCAGATGCTGCAGATCTGAGACTCCGATTTCCATCTCGTTGACCAGAACGAAGTAATGCGCTGGCTTAGCTGTGCCTTTGATGCCGTTGTGCGATTGCAGGTAGAAGTCGGTGAAGTATGGGTTGGTAACAGATTGTTCTACCAACGTCCCTGCCTTGCAGTTGTTTTGAGCGTTGGTCTGCATATCGGCTGGCTTGTTAGGGTAGAAGCGCGTGTGATGTCTCTTGGTGCACACAACTGCAGTCAACTTTAGAGGCGGTGGGTCCTCGATATCACGTCCAAATGATGCTTTTCGCACCTCCTTGACGAACTGATCATATCCATCGCGAATGTCTACAAGCTCCTTGTTCCTAACTTCTTCGAACTGTGAGTCTCCTACACCATCGCGGTAGTAGAGAATGTTTTTGGGATGCTTGCGCTTGTTGAGGGAGAACCAGTCCCAGAGCCGGTCAACGACCATGGACTTCAAGTCATCAATCATCTGGTGCTGTTAGTGACGAAGAAAGGACTAAGTTGAGCAGCATACCTCTTTGCTGCCTTGATCCTGCAACCTCAACGACCCTAGGAAACAACCGCCAGTGTTGTCCACGGAACCAACAAGGGCCGCCACAGAAGGACATCCAAAAAGACTGCCGTTCGACGGGTGGGTCACATCTGAGCCTAGTACCAAAGTGTTTTCCAGATGATTCTTTATGTTCCCTCTGTCAGACTCCGCAGAGTGGTTGATGCCGCCCAACTTGAGATTAGCTTTCATCATGATGTTTCCAATGTACTGGTCCAATCCAGTAACGTTCCACGCTCCTCCTCTGAAATTACTTGCCGTTACCATGACGATACTGGGAATTCCAAACACACGGTCGGCCAGATATTTGAAATTCGAGTAGACCTCCTGGTCCTTCGACCTGAGCACCAGTATGACCAGGTCAACCTTCTGTTGTTGAGCTTTCCGAAGCCCGGATTGCAGGCCTTTCACATTTGTCGACAGCTGATGTGTACCCAAGTGCGTGGCGTTGCCCACTTTCAACTTCGTGAGCTGTACTTCGAAGTTCTGCCGAATCTGATCAATGTGAGTGGCATCGACGCTTCTTTCGTGCAAAACTGTGTATGAGACAGTGCGCTCGTGGTTTTTAGTACTCAGGAATTGTTTGTCGCCCAAGTTCCACTTCGCATCGGCCGGTTTGATGTTGTAGGATTGGTCTCCGTAGCGGATCTTCGGGTACGGGAGTTGTGAACAATCGACCTTCAGCATGCTCTTGCTAATCGTGAGAGGTAGGTCACGACGCTGCTGCTATTAGTCATGATAAAATAAAATTTTGAATGGGAACTTACTCCAGCGATGGCTGCTCCTGGTTGTAGGAGCAACTTGCTCATACCTTCTCCTTCTATCAGCTCGCGATTGCGACGTGGGCCGTTGCATGCGATTCTGAGCATATCTGATGTCAGTCTGCTAGGGACTGCACGTCGGTAGACCTGATACGGCATGATGACCAGTTTCTCAGGAGCGAACCAAGATGGTCTTTGCTGGCTTCCAAGGTTGACTGCATCCAGTTCGGGATTTCCCAGCTTGATGTCATACTCGCTCTCGAGATAATCCTTGATGGTGATCGACTGCTCTGTTAGATCATTTCCGGCATCATCACGCTTCTTGAGGGAGAAGGTCTGGGTGTTGCAGGGCAGACCAAGCGCACATATTCTCTTAATACGAGACTCTTCGTTGTTGACCGATGATGCCTTTCCGTCCTTCGTTGAGCCTCGTTCGTAGTCAATGTAGACTCGGAGTCCAGTGAGCATGCTTGGGTAGTCTCGGCCAAAAATCGTTTTTCCCGCCATGAGCTCGCTGAGCAGAATCGGTCGAAAGAAAGCGCTCGTACACGCGTTGACGTTCAGGAGAACTTTCCCCATACCAGGTCGTGTCGAGAAGTAGTAGCCCCGGATGGTGCACAGCGGAGACGTGCCCAATGGGCTCCAACCTGGCCTCGACAAAGAACTTGTTTGCGACTGTTCGAACAATTCCTGTGCCAAAACACTTCGATACGACAATGTTCAGAGCATCCATGGTAGTGCTCTCGTTCCAGCCCATAGGATTCCAATCGTCAGAGGGCGGCTCAGACGCGACATAACGTTTCAGACCCTGCAGTGTCAACGACTCGAACATGGCGAAGATATAGATGGGCGACTGCTCCATCGTTGCCATCTTGCACATTGAGGAGGTGCCATCCTTCCCCATCCCCATTACCTGATCCTGCAGCATTGAGATCTTCCCTCAGGTCTTTCCACGCTATGATAGTCTTCACGCTGTCTGTAGCGAAGAAGTCTTGGTTTCCATGCAGTACAGGCGACTTTTCGATAACAGTATCCATGAACATCTTGTTCATTCTCTTGGAACGTCCTTCGGGGATACCGACGACCTGGAACTCATGGAACGTGGCGTGATCATCAATTGTTACCTCGAAGTGGTTGGTGAAGACATTTGTGGTAGTGTTCTGGAAGTCAGTTCGGATGGGAAATTTGGCGCCTTTTGCCTTCCGAGTCTGGTCCAAGTTCGGTCCAACATCCATGATGTCAATCAAGTGTGCTATGCCGTCCGATGCATGAAGAATAGGGCCCGCCGCTGGTGCCATGGCTCGAGAAGTGTCTTCGTTGTTGACAAGTCCCTCGCCCGTGGCATCGCCCTTAACCTGCTCTTCGAGCTCTGTACCGCTCTCATCTTGCTCTTTTAGCTCTGGACCGCTATCATCTCCTTCTCTATCCAAGCTCAGACTCTCTAGATCCGACGCGAGACCTTTCTGCGAATCTTCAGCTGTCGTAGAACGTGGTGACGACATGAGATTGGCATTCCCAGGAGGCGCAAGACGGTTCGGAGCTGTACCTGATGTCATAGCTGGAATAGACCCGATCGATTGCGGTAGAAAGCCTTGCGCTTGCATACCATCGGATACCTGTGGAGTACCAGGCGCGGCGGGAGGAGATGGCTGAGACGCTTCGTGCTGCTGCTTGAGCTCCTCCCAGAATGCATTAGCTGCATCAGTCTGATTTGTACCAACACTATTCTTCCAATACTGCTGCTTAGCATCAACTCTCTTGCTGTAGTAATCGAAATTATGCGTGATGTTGGCCTTTTGTTGCGTCGAGAGTTCACCTGGCGCAGTTTGGTTGCCCTTGGCCTTCTTCTTTCCTCCGCCACCTTTGTTCTTCCCTTTTGGAGCCATTCTGTCGAGAGAAGATGTGATGGTGCTGTCTCTCTGTCCATTCCAGGTTCCTTAATATACGCCTTCGAGTCAAGCTTGCTGTGCATCTAGCTTGATGCCATGTCGAGTCGAACCATATTAAATTGTTAGCAAAGCTTTGCGTACTCGGAAAGTAATATTTTTACTTACGCGAGACTATGGAAAAGCCAATTCTTTGTGAATCCCATGGAAAAAAGACTTGCTGCTTGACGCAAGCCACCAGCTTTACCCAATCAATCCACCAAATCCAATACAATCAATCACATTCAAATTCGCTTGAAAGCAAAGCTTTCCCTCCTCTCCAGCTCAAGTACCAATCAACTCGCCCCATAACAAACTCAAAGATCAAAACACCCACGCAAACCACGCTAACTCGACTCCAACAATCCAATCCGCGAATCGCTTGACCTTGAAACAAACCAAAAAAAGTAATCAAGCATGTAGAGATGGGAAGCACATCAAATCGTAAGCAAAATAACGCCGCAAAACACTGACGACCATATCAGCCATAGAATGCACAGGATGCATAACAACTCAAACCTGTTCAGGGACCTCGAAGACCGGTACCCGGAAAAATTGCAACACCGCCATCTTCAGCTCATCACCCTTCTCGGCCTTCAAATGTACCCTGAGATGGTTAGCAAAACTTTGCTTGATTAAGCTGTAGTCTTCTCGCTCACCTAACACCCCAAGAAAACAGCTTGGACATCGCAAATCCAAACTGTGAACTAATTGACCTTGAAGCGCAATGGTAAACAACGAGAATATCATCCGAACAAGCAGATTGCATCTAACCAGCTACCCTGTCCAATACAATAGCTAAACAACAACTCCACATCCCATACCCCATACCCTGAGCACAAAACAAACGAAAGACCACACCAGCTCCATCCTACATCCAAAACATCGTCCCCGCGACATTCTCATGCCAAGGATTCTTCCTGTCACCACCCTTGTAGAACATCTCCTTCGCCTTGTCAAAAGTCATCTGCTTGAGTGTATCCGCAACAGCTTCCTTGTCCAGCTCCTCCTGAATGTGTTCCAGCTCCGACTTCTGCGTCCAAGTCTTGCCGTTCACGTTCTTGGTGACGCGCTTCGACGTGAACTGTGCTTCGCGCGCGATTCTCTTTTCGCGGGTGAGGTTGGCCTCGAATTGACTGAGCGGATTGTAGGATGGGGGAGGGGCGAAGAATTTGCGGAGATAGCAGCTGTGTGGCATATTAGTTTCTGTCTTTGTGGGTGATGAGTAGATGGACTCACCGGCCTCTATCGCATAGGCGATCTGCATAGAAAGCTGGGGGTGCGTATGACACTCCCATCGATGCTCGGACATACGTGTAGCAGAGCCTGTGGGTCTATATGATCATCAGCCTCGTTCGCTTGCACGATGGTAATGATGCACTTACAAATAGTTGTATCTGCACGTCCGTCAAACCCATCTCATTGACGAGCGGGAAGTAATGCGCCGATCTAGCCGTGCCGATGAGCCCATTGTGCGACTGCATGTAGAAGTCTCCAAAGTAGGGACTTGTGATCCCGCTGTCTACGACAGTACCCGGCCTGCAGTTGCCGTTCTTCGGCGCCGCATCCGCAGCGAGCGGGAACATTCGGACATGATGGCGCTTTGCCACAACGTAGGCCGTCAATTTGAACTTAGGGACCTGCATGAGACCCAACTTCTTCGCGAAAGCGGCAAAGGCTTTGCGGATTTGTGGGAGCTCCCTGTCCTTGACCTGAGAGTATTGACTGTACACAGGGTTAGCCGAGTCTTTACAGGCTCGTGGTAGGTACTTACGTGTCGCTCACACCATCTCTGTAATAGAGAATGTTCTTAGGTAGAGTGCGCTTGTTGGCCATGAACCAGGCCATGAGTCGTTCAACGACCATGCTCTCCACGTCTTGGATGTCTTCGCAAGCGATAAGACGCGGCTGAAGGCGCATAGATCCAAGGAACTTGCCGCCTTTCGCGTCGACAGAACCGACAATGGCTGCGATAGATGGCGTTCCAGCTAGAGAATTTGATTCTGGGTGTGTACAGTCGCTGCGAAATAGATTAGCAGCGATCCTCAAGCGGCGTTGACAACTCACGCTCCAAGCACCAAAGTGTCCTTCATGATCTGCTCCACTCCATCGACGGAATGGTTGATGCCACCAGCTTTGAGGTTCATTTTCATTGCGATATTCCCCCAGTATTGAGGACTGAAGGGTTTCCCTTTGTACACGACGCATAATGAGTGCATCCCATACATGCAATCAGCAAGATACTTGAAGACTGAATACGCTGGCGTATTTTCTTTCTCCAGGAAGAGCATGACGAAGTTGGCGCCCTTGTCCTTCGCTTTTTCCATGGAGATGCGGGCTTCTGCCTCACCCCGGTCAAACTGAGGGTCAGGGCACATGCCCACACATTGAATTGTAGCAGTGGAGTATGATCTTTGCATCACATCCTGGAACCCTTTGAATGTTTCGTGCAAGATTTCTGGGCCCTTTATAGCGCTATGAGATCCATCGGGTATGGCGATCATGAAGACCTTGAATGCGATTTTCGGAAACGTCGTCAAGAATTTGACATCGCGCAAATTCCAACTTCCATTCGACACGCTTGCAGATCCCTTGCCGTACAAAGGCTTTGGGGGATTCAAGGTCGTGGCTGGGACTTGCAGCATTCTTGAGTCAATCTTGATAGCTGGGAACGCAGGCTACCGAGGTCAGTAAGCTTCTTGGGACAATACATGAACTGACTTACGAAAGGCTTTAAGCTCTCTCCCGGCCTAAGGCCCAATTTGGCAAGGCCTTCATGCTCAATAAGTGCCCGAGTAGTGTCCGGATGATGCAGCGCAATGTCGAGCATTTCGGAGGTAAGAGCTTCTGGTACTTTGCGCTTGTGGATCTGGTACGGAAGAATCTGAAGCTTTTCTGGGAGATACCACTTTGGAGCAGTATCAGTACCGCAATTTATTGCAGGCATTTTGGGATTTAGTGGAGGAGATTGGTAGGCTGATATTGTCAGTTCAACATAATGTGGGGGGTGAGGGATGCGCAACTTACTTCGCTCAAAATGCGACTGCACGGTGATTTTTGTGTCTGGCTTTCCATCCCGGCCTTTCAGTGTGAACTTTTGTTCTGACACTGGTAGACCAGTACCTGCGATAGTCTTGATTCGAGCTTCAATCGTCGCTGCCGCCGATCTCGGCTTAGTACCACTGTGGACGGGATCGTACGTCAACTGTACACGCAGGTTGCGGAGCTTGGCCAGACGTTCACTCTGATATTTGAAGGTTGTCGTGTCTTGGAGGAAGTCGCTCACCAAGATGGGCTTGTAGAAGGCGCTGGTGCAGCCGCTCACTTGCAAGAGACATTAGCTCGTGTGTAAGTGTCAGATATGAGATGCGAGACTTACATTCTAGCACGATCTGTCCCATAGCAGGACGGATCGAGTAATAGTACCCGCGTATAGTGCACAACGATGGGCTGAGATTGTTGTGTCCGCCAGTGACGAAGAACTTGTTCGCTTTCAAGGAGAAGGAGCCTCTCGAAAGCGATGTCGAGACGACCATGTTCAGCACCCCGCTGACTCGTTTCACTTCCTCCTCGACTTCCTGTGCTGAGTTTAGCGTCTTGATCTGGATTAAAGAGCGATATACATACTGCTGTCGGCGCCAATTTGCCAGCCGAATACTGTATCAACAAGTCTGTGTTGACCTTACCAAGTCGTTCAAAAGTGACAAGGACAGGATCCCTCCACTCCGATGTACGCGCCGAGCCGTACATTGAGGGAATATCTATGTCAACCCAGGAAACGAGCCTCATGAGCTTGTAGTCGATCACAAACTTGTCCCTGTTGTTTTTCATGCAGTCGATGTCGTCGATCGCCTCAGAGATCAGTTTCCTGGTAGTGCGATTGCCCACCCTTGATGGCAGACCTGTGATGATGTACTCATACAGTGGTGTCACAGGGTCGAGCTTGATGGCGAAGTGATTGGTGTAGACTGTGGTAGTGGGATTGGCGAGGCCCTGACGCAGAGGAAACTCAGCTTGCAGCCCTGAAGCCTTGAGACCCTTTTGTATGTCCTGGAATGCTTTTGGATCGACCTTGTTGCCAGGCATGGGGTTCGGCCTGGGTATATGCACAGGCGAGTCCATGACGAGCGGGCTGCCGTCGACGGCGAGCTTCCCTGTCAGACTCATGCTCTCGAACTGCTGCTCGAGTTGAGGCTGGGGAGGCTTCGGTGCTGGCGTGATGTTAGTATACGTGAAGCATGTTGTGCATTCGACGTACCATGATTGCCATTCGAAGCATTGCCATTTGGCATACCACCTCTGCCGCCTCTCGCACCACCGCGACCTCCGCCACGCTGATTACCTTGACCACGACCAGACATTTTGGACTATGTGTTTGATCTTTGAGGATATTCGGAAACCATGCAAGGAAGCGAGTGTTGTCTGAAGTGAGTTATCAGCGCTCAGCCTCATCTAATATACCCTCCCACCACACTTGGCTTTGTCACAAACACCAAACAACTCGAACAATGTCTGAGACCAAACTCAACACAAACAACTTGCACTGACCTGAATCGGGCAGGCTGGTGTTGAAGTGAACGTGCGTTACGAAGCCAAAGTGAGCGGTGCGTCGAAACTGTGTGAGATAGTGTGATACAGTAATATAATATCTGTCAAAAGTGAGAGAAATGGTGGAGTTGGTATTGGTGGATGTGCGAGTACGTGCAGTCAGGCAGGGATCGAGATGAGGAACAACGGCTATGTTTGTCTTGCATCTGCCTGCACCTGCGCACATCAAACAGCACGTGCTCGGCATCGAACCTGCCTTCCCTAAACATATCAGCCCATCAGAAACAGCATATCGAAGTCAAAAAAAGCGTGTCCAAAAAGCTCATACACATGCATACAATCGTCTAAACCAAATAAAATAAGCTACTCCCCCAAGTTGCGTGCCCCCCTTGTGCTATAAACACAATAGTAGCATGTGCAAAGAAAAAACCCCCCATGCCATCCCATTCCAGCACAAGTAGATCTACACGGGGCCAATGTTACAGTTATAGACAGTCTGAGGGGAGGGGGTATCGCAGCCCAGCGGGACGTGGAAATTGAAGCGAAGAAAAGGAGCACTCGTGGCTCGTTTTATTAGAAGGGAATACGGCGGTAATGTGAAGGGAGGGCATTATAATAGGGAGCCGGGTATATGCAGGAAGCCAGATATGCGCATGCAGTCGTTTCGGTGGAGTGGGAGAGATACGGGATGGGTGGTTTATTTGCTGCCAGCGGGGAGTTTGACGTTGTTGGATAGCCATGCCTGGGGTGTGTTAGCCGTGTGATCAGTCATGTGGTTGATTGGATGACAACATACCAATCCCTCAAAGATGCCCTCGCCTGTTGTCGCGCAGCTGGGCTCGACTTTCCATACATGGTCCTTGGCAATCTTCCCTAACTCGAGGCGGTCTGAGACTTCTTGTGGTCGCATCGCTGGATTGTTGTCAGTTGCATCTCAATGAGAGGGTATCGTTCTCACGCACCTCCGTTCAGATCCTGCTTGTTCGCAAACACCAGCAGAAGCGCATCCTTCATTTCCCTGTCCTGGATGATTCGCGTGAGCTCCGTCTTCGCCTCGTCGATGCGGTCGCGGTCGTTGGAGTCAATGACGAAGATAAGGCCCTGGGTTCCTGCACAAAGTCAATATGAGGTCTCTCGTATAACAACGTCAGGCCAGTATCGGGGTGGGAGCTATCCGCAATGCATCATGCGCACGTGCTCGCCTACCCGGTACCGTGCCGTCGCGACCCAACATACCAGAGAAGTAGTGTCTCCACAGCGGACGGATCTTGTCCTGGCCGCCGACATCCCAGACGTTGAACTTTGTGTTCTTGTAGGTGACGGTCTCGACGTTGAAGCCGACGGTGGGGATAGTGGTGACGTCCTGGTCGAGCTTGAGCTTGTAGAGAATTGCTGGAGGGGACGTTAGCATGGGCGTGCTCACTCGATGAGATCGAGGCACGGCGTACTGGTCTTTCCGGCGGCATCAAGGCCCAGCATCAATAGCCGCATCTCCTTGGATCCGAAGATCTTGTTCATCATCTTGGATATTGAGGCACCCATCGTGTCGAATGTTCGCTAATGGCGCTCAATGGCAGTATTACTCGTCGTCGGTGGTGTTTGTTTCGCAGTCGTCGGCAGGCACGCGGCAATTGGGTGTTTGTAACTCCTGCTATCAGCACTCACGTGAGGCTGGTGGTCGGCGAGGTGGGTCGGGGACTGATGACAACGTGTGATTATTTCGGAAGTGTATATTACAGCACGTTCCTCAGCAGGGCGGTGGGCGTCCGGAGGGTTTTGATTGTCGAAGGCGATATAAGATGGACAACCAAGCGAAATGCGCAAGGAAAGGGTGAAACAACCAGGTCCCAGATCGGCGAACCGTGCACTCCCCTCACTAGTTCTCAAACATGCAAAACGCTCGCTAGGCCATGACAGCTGCATCGCAACTCTCCACAATCTCCCACATGCGCCTTGTCCGCGGTGCCAGAAAAGGGGTTCTCGAGAGAAGGTTTCCAATTTACACGAGATTGGCCTCAGGAATCGCGCATGCGCGTACAGCTGCACGACGTGCTGCACCACTCATGTAGCTAATGCTGTAGTGCACTGGGCTCATGTACCACGGCGATGCAGACCCGCAATCTAACTCGTATGCAGGTACGCGGAGCTACCCTACTCCTGAGCGTGGCAACAAACGTCCCCTTCGCCAATGTGGTAGATGCGGCCAATAGAATTGCTCATCCTCCATCGCCAACCGAGTCCAACCCGGCAAATTGTCCGGAGTGCTTCGCTGTCAAGAACGGAGATTGCTTTTTTCTCTCTTTAGCGCATCCAGTCGTTGTCGCCCTGTCCAAAAAACGTTCATGACGTAGCGGATCTGCTGCAATATTCCTGGCGAGCAGAGCAGGGTTCGCGCGGAGAAACATGTTTGTTGTTTTGTTCCGAACCTAATCGGTCATCGATCATTGGAGATTGGTATCAGGTACGCTTAAACGCGACAAAAGTATTGTACATGGTCATTTGCTGCTGGCAAGGCGTGTAAGCCTACTCGGGCAAACTCCTCATAACGCCTTCGAATGCAACGAGCGCCATAGCGTTGGCCGGGAAGGCTCTCAGGAAACACGGCACAAACCCTCGCCAGTAACCCTTCCACCCATTCTCTCTATACACCGTCCTCGCCGCATCTCTCCACCTTGGGAACCTTCTTTCCGGTCCGAGAGGGTCGGTCATTATACGCTGCTTGATCACGTCTGACGGATAACTCGTAATCCAGAAGATCTGCGCCGACAAACCCCCGGCCCAGAAGTTCACCGCCGGCGTCGAGAGGTTCGTGTGCTTTTGCAATTGCCGTGTGAAGAGGTCGTACGTGCCCCACCAGAAGCAGAAGAACGTGCGGAAAAGGAGTGTGGCGCTGAGGCCGTGGTACACTCCGCGGAAGCCGTGACCCCGATATATCTTCGACAGGCAGTCAATTGGCCCGCTGTACAGTCGCTGCGACTTGTTGGCCGCGTACTGTATTTGCAGGCGTGCCTTGACGTGCTCGACGGGTGCGGCGATGAACGACACTGTCCAGCCCGCGAGTGTTCCTGCTGCAGCGTGCCCGATCACAGGGAGTTTGCCTTGCTCGCCGCGATACGATGTTCGAGGGTTGAAGAAGTTGTCGTTGAGGACGCGGCGGTATACGCTGAGGGAGCCGAGCATGCTGTTGGTTGTTAATCATCTGCCAGCCCACCGCAGCCGTTCTTCCTACATCGAGTCCATGAACATCCATCCCACCAACGGCGGTGAAGCACCCTTGTATAGTCCACTCACTCCCTCCTTCCTGACCGTCTGCAGCAAACAGTCCAATGGCCCTCGAAAATGCGACTTATCGGTCGTCTGTAACCGTACTTTGACTGTATCGAATGGATGGCCGACTGAATTTGTTAGCCAGCGAATCTTTTTCTGACAATTCTCTGCTCACCTGAGAGCTTCGCAATGCCGCTGAACACGCCCGCAACAAATCCTCGGTAGTACTTGGGCTTGTTGTGCGGCTCTGCAGGATCCACGACCGCGCTCGCAGCAGGCTTCTCGCCCGTCTTCATGACCGTAGCAGACATAATTGTCTCCTGTGCTTATCCTTCGACGTCCAAATCATGCCGTCTCGAATCGCGCGAATCGAGGAAGTATCGTGAAAGCTACAGGATAATCTCAGCACAAAACAAAGTCAGAAAATCGACAACCCATGCTGATGCGCGCTCAAACTATGGTCGGAAACGCGCAAGTCTCCGCGAGCGTGGGATGATGACGATCTCGACGTGGAAGCGAAATCGGCCAGGGTCCAGATGGCGTCTTTTTTGCAGGGCAACTTACCCCTCCCATCCTACCTTACCTTACCTGTTGCGCGTAGTCTACCAGGAATAGTACTGGCTCATGTAGTTTTGCGAGCGGAAGGGCCGCAATGGTGCGGTTCACGTTCTTACACCCACATTGACAGGGACAAGAAACCATGGCAGCCACCACCACAGACTCGGGCGCGAAGCCTAAGAGAGGTACTATTCACCCCCACATTGCTCTTCTGAAGCAAGTCGAGATGAAAGCAGCTAACCCTACCTCCAGTATGGACAACCCTCATAACCAACACCGACTACCTCACCGGCCTCCTCACGCTCGACTACTCGCTCAAAAAGCACGGCACCAAGTATCCGCTCATCGCGCTCTACACCGACACCTTCCCCGCCGAGGGCCATGCCGCCCTCGATGCGCGCTCCATCCCCAAGCAACACGTCAAATACCTGCTCCCCAGCGTCTCCAAGGATTACTCCAACGACCCGCGCTTCTACGACTGCTGGTCCAAACTCACGCCCTTTGGCCTGACCGAATATGACCGCGTTGTCCAGCTCGACTCCGACATGCTCGTCCTGCGCAACATGGACGACCTGATGGACCTGCCGCTCGACAGTCCGGAGCTCGCAGGCAAGGGAGAAAGGGTGTTTGCAGCCAGCCATGCATGCGTATGCAATCCGCTGAACAAAGCGCATTATCCGAAAGATTGGGTCCCGAGCAATTGCGGATTTACCAGCCAGCACGACGATCCCGAGAACGCGCAAATCACCGGCGCCCCCTCGGACTTTGGTCTAGGCATGCCCAACGGCGGCCTGCAGGTCGTCAATCCCAGCGCTGCCGTGTACGATTTGATCCTCGCGCGCCTGTCTGATCCGACTGTCATGGCGTACGATTTCGCGGACCAGAGCCTGCTGGGCGATCTGTTTCGCGGTAGGTGGGTCCCGCTGCCGTATACGTACAATGCGCTGAAGACGCTGCGGACGTTCTCGCACAAGGTGCTTTGGCGCGACGAGGAGGTGCGCAATGTGCATTATATCCTGAGTCCGAAGCCGTGGCAGGAGAAGGAGGGGGAGAGGAGCGACGAGGAGACGCATGGGTGGTGGTGGAAGGTTAATGCGGAGAGGCTGGTGGAGGAGAAGAAGGCAGGGATTCAAGATGAATTTTGAAGAGGTATGTATTAGATGGTGAAGGAGTTGGGGAAGATACCAGATAGATGAAGAATATAGATGAGGAGATTCGTAATGGCATCAAGTCATTTTTCTAGGAGATACTTTTTTATATGCCTCCTCGTCCCGACTTACAACTTCTCCTTGCCCTCCTCAATCTCACAAAAAGCTTTAAACGTAACCAGCCCCTCTCCATCATCCGCATCCGTCTCACTCGTAACCACCACCTCGGCTGTCGCGCCCACAAAGAACACATACCCCTCCTCAATGCGCTCCTCTTTATTTCCAACACTGATCGTGCCCTTGCCCTTCGTGCACAGCACGATACTCGGCCCATCAATCGGGTCAAACGTCGCCTTCGCGCCCTCCTTGTTCAACGCCGTCCTTACCACCGCAAACTCAGGAATCGGAGGGTTGTACAACAAGCTACTGGAGCTGGAACTATACGCCTTGGCATTGTGCCTGACATGTGGGTAATCCGTGGGTTCCATTTTCTGCTCTGCGATTGGGGCGTACGAGTACGTCAGCATGTCGGTGAGGGTGTCGACGTCCTTGAACTTGGGCGTGAAGCCTGCGCGCACGACGTTGTCCGACGACGCCATGCATTCGATGATGTCGCCAGAGAGATAGGCGTGGATGTCGTCGGCCTTGAGGAACATGGCCTCGCCGATGTCGAGGGTGACGTAGTTGAGGAAGAACTGGACGAACAGGCCGATGTCGTCTGGGAACTGGGAGTTGAGGCGAGAGGAGTCGAGAGTTCTGGAGAGTTCTTTGCCGGTGTTGGAGGGGCCAGCCGGAGCCGGCGAAGTCTGCGCCCTCGGATTCGGCGAGGCCGCAATGAGGTCTTTGGAGAGCAGAGGCGAGGGCGGACTTGTCTGTGTTCATGACCTTTGTGAAGGCGGACTGGAGGGCTTTCTTGTTGGCCTTGACATCCTCCTCCTTGTCTGAGGTTTCCTTGCCCTTGATGGTGTTTTCGAAGTTGGCGGCTTCTTCTTCGCCGACGAGGGTGCGGAGGGAGGGGACGGTCTTGATGGAAGTGTGCGATCTCGGCGAGGGGACGGAAGCCGCAGAGGCCATCGAAGGGAGTGACCGCGATGGTCATCTCGGGCTTGTGGATTGTCATCTGAACGTGTTGTCAGCCATGTGTCACCCTGCTATGTAGAGAAAGTGTACCTGGGTAGTTCTTGGGGTCCTTCGCATGTAGCTGCTCGGCAAGCTTCTTGTTTGGGTGCGCCTGGATGCTCAGAGCCTTGTTGATGGACAAAACCTTGAACAAGAACGGCAGCCTGTTCTCATACTTCTGGGCGATTTCAGGTGACAGGAGAGCCTGGTTTTCCTGGACGAGATCGAGGAGGCTTCGCTTGGTTTCGAGGTCCTTGGAGGGGAGCGAGGGGTGAGTGCCCATCCATAGCTAAGATGCTCAGCGATGTCACCAATGCAGTCGGACCATGTCATACCTCAGCATACGGCTTCTCCTCTTCAATCGAGAAGTCTGAGGCTGTAGCCGCGTGGAACTTTGCGGCAGCAGAGGTTTTGCCGACTTTGCCTGGGTCGCTTCAGCATTGCGCTGAGACGGATCATAAATCGTGGGGTAGCGCACCCCAGTCGTAGCTGTTCACGCCTGTATACTGTCAATTGAATTCCTCGAATGCGCATTTGAACACTCTTACCGCACTCGAGTCTGATCAGAGGGTTCCTCATCTTGAAATGTGTTCTTCTTTGGTGTTGCGCGAGTAATGCCACTTCTGGGAGGTTGAGGTTTGGAAGTCTATCCCTTGCGTTGATCTAGCGGGGTCTTTCCGCCTCCACTAACGCCAAAGGGTCTTCCGCATGATTGGCTGTTTCGACCTTGTCAAACTTCTTCACCACAGTGCTCATAGCAGTGTAGATTGTCTTGATTTCAGCTCTTGCTCCTTTCTAGATACAAAATACCATGGTTGCAGGTTATCTATCTATGCGCAGGCTAAGAGATAGCATGCCCTAACTCTAATAGAGTTGCACCTTATCGATCATACGACATCTCAAAAACTACATTCGTGCCTGCTGGACGATAGGATTACTTGCAAGGTCAGTACTGTGACATCGACCTTTGGCCACCTTAATCCAACTCTTCGTGATCCTGGAAGGGCCAATGTTCCTCCAACTCCTTCCGCTCGTCCTCCGTCTCCGCAGCTTCCAGCATTTGCTGTTTGATATATCGTTCTTTCTCCCTCGCCTCTTCGTAGAGTTCCGTCGGCATCCATCCGTCAATATTGACTCCAATGAAGTCGCGCAATTGCTGCATTTGTGCATCAGCATTCTTCTACTTTGCGTCAATCTCGAGGCAGTATGTGACATCTGCATCGGGATACTTGACGGGAAAGTTGGCTTCTTTCATTGCTGAAGTAGCAACATCGGGCCAGTAATTCGATGTTTGTACTAGTTCCGCTTTGAGTGATGTGTTGTCGCCTTCCCACGGTCTGCCAGCAGTGTCATAGAGTCGGTTTCGTACAATGAGGTTGTGTTTTCCCATTGCATGAAAATGGGGCTTGTTGTTGGTACTGGTAAATCCCAGGTAGAAATAGTGGAGCTGTCGTCGGCGATAGAGCTCTAACTCATTTGCCTTCTCGCTCTCCTCCAAAGAATCGAAATTCGCAGGCAGCTCTGGACGTCGGAAATTCTCCGAATCGTCATCTCCATAGTTTTGAAAATGCTTAGGGATCTTGGCTTGCAGAAACATCGGAAGTATGGTGCTGTGTTGCCAGTCGATCACTCCAGTAATGTCGCAAGATTCAGAGACGAAGATGTTGTTAGGTGAGAGATCTGGGTGACGGATCGTTGGTTGACATAACTCCGGATCTTCGGGAACAATGTGGGGAGCAACCTTGAGGTAATCATTTAAGCCGTCTATTTGCACTTGCGGGTCGACTTCTTGACGGCCGTAGAATTCTCTATAGAGCGGTTCGCGGGGGAAACGTTGCTTGCCGAACTTTTGCAACCAGGCCAATTCTCTATGACCAACTGCCTCCAACAGCTCCTTGGGCGTTTCCCCTATATTATTCCAGTTAATCAAAGCGAACAGAATACGGAGTAAGGGTTTCTTACAAGGTCCTCGATTGACGGCCAGTTCATCTCGCCTTTGATACCACCAAAGGAATTCCGTGGAAGGCCCAATGCAAAACCTATCCGTTTTGCCACGATTGACAGCCAAGGACAGGTCAATTGCAGTAGTTCGTTTACCCACAGATTCTTTGAAATATATGCTGCCACTGGCAGGAAAGCGTATCGCAAATAACATCCTCTCTATGTCGACAATCTTCCCCACGACAGCCATTCTCTCCTTTGCCGTCATCGTATACCAAGTATGTTCTAATTCCTTACCCTGAACCTTTTCCATGATGATATATTCAGACCGGACTGGATTGTCCGTCGATGAACTCCAGTCGAAGACCTTCGGGATTGGAACACCATGCAGACGTAGATATTCCATTGTAGCGACCTCACTGACAATACCATATTCTCGAGGTACTGTGGAAGGGTATGGAAGTCGCACAATCACATCCATCCTATCTTGAAATGTCGCTTGAAAGACACGGTATGAACCACCTTCAGCAATTTTTGCGAAGGTAGCGATGTCATCAGTGGAACGACCGACAGACTTAGCAGCAGCCTGACAGAGCTCATGGATGTCAAAATAACGTCGCTTTTCAGAGAGACGCAAACGCTCGTTGTACCTGCGGTGGTTTCGACCTATCAATTCAAGTACGGAAATGTCAAGGCTCATTAGCTGCTTACAACCATCTACCAGATGTGTAATTATAGAACGTATGTTCTGGATCGCTGATACTCGATGATACCTTGCCGGCTTGTAATGTTTCTCTCGTCGAATACAGTGCCATTTGCCGAGCGGTGGATAGTTCCTGCTGTAGGCCATAGCAGTCGTGTGAAAGAGAGCGAGGCTTAAGGAGATTAGAACCAAATCGCCTCATGCCAGGAGTAGCTAGTCTTCTATCTAGGATTTAGGTTCTAATACATAACGATGAAATGTAAGGTAATGTTGTTAATAGGCCTTGCCTATTCTACTATTTACTACCCTTAGCCCGCGCATGGTCAGATGGCCTGCTTCCTGCAAAGTACCGCGGCCCAAGAATATGACGTCACCTGTGATCTCCTATTGCGACACGCGCTTACTGTTTACCTCTGCTTTTCCCTGTACCTGTCACAAATTTCAGGCAACACCACAACAAACATGAATCGCGAAAAGACTAAAGCAACGTCTTAACTCTATCGATGAGTATCATCTACAATGTTCGCCCATCCCCTGGCCAAGGTCTCGGGTGTTTTTCCACAACATTGATACCTGCAGGCACGCTCATCTTCAGCGAAACACCTCTCTTCAACGTACGAGAACCCCGGGGCAACGCGGCTGTCATCGTTGCCTTCAACAACGCCACCAAACCCCAACAGGATGATTATCTGGCCCTGTATGCGCAGGACTCAGACTCTCAGGGCGACGCCCGCGTGATCGATATATTTAATTCCAACGCCTGGCAAACCGGACCTCGAACCTCGATCTGTCCGCAAGCTGCGCGCTTCAACCATGCATGTGTTCCAAACGCTAGCTTTGCTTGGAACTCCCGGATATGCCGCATTACAGTCCATGCCATCGTCGACATCCCGGCTGACACTCAGATCTACCTGAGCTACGAGCGACCCTATCAAACAAAAGATGAACGCGCCGAGAAGCTCGCTGCATACGGATTCGCTTGTTCCTGTGCGGCGTGTGGAAGCAATGCTGCGGCTAGTGATGTTCGCAGAGCACGTATGGCGAAGCTGAATGCCAGAATTCGATTTGAAAAGCGACAACTATGGAGGTCTCCGGTACCAAGAGCAGCATTAGAACTAATCAGGCTGCTGAAAGAAGAGGGTCTAGTAGGCGAAGCTCTAGGTCTCGCTTATCACGACGCAGCTGAAGGATGGAGAAGGCATGGTCGGCTAGACATGGCAGTGATCTATGCGGTCAAGGAGCTGGATGTGTCGGTCATGTGTTTTGGGCAGAACTCGCCATGTGTCGATGCTTCGATGGCTTTCTTGCAAGAGCTGAGAAGTCGGTTTGCAATGGAGGTGGAATCCAGAAATGAGCAAGCTTGACGATAATTGTGCCGGTCCGTTGGGGCTAGAGACGAAATTGAGCCGATTCACCAGCTCGAAGAACAACCGGCAAACTCGGCATACCAAGGATGTGCGCTGCAGCAGGTTCTCAGTAGATATTAGGCAGTCCGCACTGCAAGCGGGCCAATGACAGACTGGTCAGCTGATGTGACATATCAAGGCGACTTCTACACAGCCACTTTCTTCACATTACAAACTGTCACCATACACCAACGTACTCAAAGAGGGATAATGAGATGACATTTTAACGAAAAGTTTGATCTTACTCTATCATACCAACAAATTTTCACCACCTTTACCCTCGTTGCACGCCTAAATTTCTTGGCAATTCCTTCACCATCTCATGCTAGAACTATCCATGTCACGGTAGCAACATGGCTTCAAAGTCAGACGTAACTCATGAAACCCCAACGGACACACCAGTCGGACCATACCCAAGCAACCATACGGAAATGAACGACGAGATTCCTCCAATCTACTACGACTCCGAACCCTCATCTCAACCTCCCAAATACCCACATTCCCAACAACCCTCACCTGCCCAACCGCCTCCATCGTCTCCAACATCCTCCTCAAAGCCATTCAACCCCCACCGCAACTCCGCCCCAGCCTCCACCATAGCCGCCATTCTCGCATCACCCCACGAAGATCTCGATGCCCAGCGTCGAGCCGATCGCAAGAAGAAATCGCTCCGCGAAAGGTGGAGAGACTTCAAGGACAGAAATTTTCATGATGATGGGGACGGTGAGTTTAAGGGAGCCAGTGGGGCTAGTGCGGCGGAGTGGAATGTCATGGGCGGAAGGGTGCAGGGAGGGCAGACGAGTCCGTATCGGAAGAAGTAGGCGGGGTTTGATTTTGAAGAGTGGTCATATGTGGTTGTAGGGAACTGACATGGGGAGAAAGAAGGGACCGTAGCTGTATATCGACAGTTACACAGACCCCATGGGCAGCTCGGTTACCAGACTGAAGGGTGTTTAACGGGATACATGGTAGTAACTCGTTCTACAAGACTACACAGTATAAATTGAAGTAGGCGTGCATGCTCATGGCATTTTTACTGTGTTCTCTACTTGGCTCCCTTGACCATATTTTTGGTAAATATCGAAAGAAGCAACTGCAGTACCCATATCATGTCGCAAGTCCCTCGTGCGGCATACAGTGATAGAATCTGGTAGCGCATGGCCAGTGCACGCCACAACATCCGGTCCTTAGCGGGGTTCCCTCGCATCTCCACAAACCACAATGTCCGCAGCTGCATTAAGCTGTGGTCCATACGCACTCACCATCCCTCATTCGCTGTAGTGCGGCTCTCTACCCTGCGTTCCAATGGGTCGCAAAGGGTAGTGCAGTATAGAATCACCGACCTCGCCTCCCCACCTGCACCTTCCACCACCACATCCCCCGCGACTGAAGTTGGACGAACGCAACTTCTTCCAACATGGCGGCGCGCAGTCGCCCTCGTGGCGGCCAGCTCAAGGACGAGTTCGACGAGGAAAGATCGCTGTGGAATCAGATAAGGGCGGATGCAAGGCGGATTGATCAACTCATGGTAAGCTCGCTGCATACATTTCTTCCAAGTCGCATTTCGTCGTATTCTTTTTTGTTTTGTCGGTTGCAGCAAATATGGTCTCCGCAAGAGACCTGGCCAAAGAGCTCAGAGACCCGCAAAGCTCGTCTGGATGGGAGGACGCCGAGTCGACGCGAAGTGCGCGCAGGTCGAATCCAGTGCCAGAGCGGCGTTCGTTGCGAGAGGTGGAGGATGAAGAGGCTGAGTCGTCTGGAGCGTCTGGAGCGTCATCGAGGCGGGGTGCTAGCAGATCAAGTTCAGAGATAGAGCCGGAGCCAGAGCCAGAGCCGCATTCGGTGCAAAAGGAAAAGGATGAAGAGGTGGAAGCTATATGGCGCAATATCAAGAAGGCTGGAGAACATATTGATCGAGTGATGGTAGGCTGATCATGCAGCCATTAATCCCACGCACAGCCGATCTGTCGCCTCCTTACCTTTACAGTGTCCTTTCTATAATTTTCCCGTCTCGCTCACATGATAGACTTGTTGCCGAAGAAGCACATGCTAAATGTTTCCAGAAAGATTCAGACGTCATACAGAAGAAGATCACCGACCTCGCAGCAGACCAGAGCGCTCGCATAAGTTCGTACCAGTCTTATGCAGCATGTTTCTCTTCCACTGTATCTGACCATGCTAGACCGTGGAGATGAGCCCTCATCACGCATCGACGCCGAGATCGACACCCTCTTGAGGGAAAACATCAAGATCACCAACGAGCTCTCAGGCTACGTCAAGCCCTCTGAAGGTGGTAACGACATCTGTAGCCAACTGACTCTTCTCTCCGCCCTCCGCAATGCCGAAGACTCGCAACCATCCGCATCCCGCGCCCCCAGTGTTGGCCACGGCAAATCCGGCCGCGACCGCCATGGCAAGCGAAAAGCGACTAACGACCTCGAAGATCGCGAAAGCATCGTCGCCGACAGTCCGGCCAGCGCAAGTCCCAAGGTCGTCATCAGCCAGAAAGACAGACTCGTCGCCAAGTCGGGGAGTAGTAGAGCGGGCTCGGTGCCTGCGGCTCGGGAAACGAGCGCGAAGTTGGAGGATGACAAGGACGATTCGGGTAAGGGTAAGAAGAAGCGCTCTTCACTCTCTTCTTCTCTCAAGAAAAACAATTCGCGATGATGATGTTTCCTAAGTCTGTTTTCCTGTGGGAGTTGAGTGGCGTTGCACCAAGATCGGGGAAGAAAAGAAAAAAGATGCCGAATGATGAAGGGACTCATGATACCCGCTTTGGATTGTCGCAAAGCATCGGCTTGCTAGTATAGCAGTAATGTGTAACATTTTCCATATTTTTTCCCATGTCTTCATGTCTTCATGTCTTCATATCTGCTTTCTCTCCTTTCATATATCTTCCACCGTCATCCATACACATCGCTAACTCCTCCTCTAGACCCAAGTAAATCCCGCCTCTCCCCCTCGACCGAAGTCCTCTACCGCGACCCCAAGAAACGCACAAACACCGAGGGCGAAGGCATCCTCTGCCGCGTCACCTCCGTCATCGGCGAGGGCAAACAGCGCCGCTACGAAATCATCGACGCCGATCCAGACCCCCCTACGCCCAGCGTGCCCTACCGCGCGTCTGTAAATCATCTGGTGCCGATTCCGCCGCCGAGCTCGAACACGACGTTGCCGGATTTAAACAAGGGCAAGAATGTGCTGGCGTTGTATCCCGGCACGACGACGTTTTACAAGGCGGAGGTTGTGGCCGGGTGGAGGGTAGTCGGAGAGGGGTTAGAGGTTGTGAGGCTCAGGTTTGAAGGGGAGGATGAGGCGGATCGGGAGATGAGTGTGGAGAGGAGGTATGTTTTGCCTGATAAATGAGGGGTGGGGAATGTTGTTGGATGCGATCGCTGTGGGAGCTGGTATTGTTGATTTTTTTTGACGTTTTGAGTATATGGAGTTCTTGTGTTGACTTTGTTGATTTGAATTTGGATAGTTGTTGATATTGAGATTTATTGTGTTTATCATAATGTTGCGCTGTCCGCGATGCGTGTGTGTGATATCTCCCCCGAACGCCTTCGCTATGCAAAACCTCAAATATCAATCGACACCCTCTCCTCACGCCTGATCCTCATCTTCCTCTTCCCTCTCCTCCCACCCACACAACCCCCTCAACACCCTGTTCTCCTCTTTAAGACCCCTAATCTCCCTCCTCAACTCCTCCTCGCTCTCGCCCTGCGTCTTCAGCGCCGTCCTCGCATAATCCGCCACCCTGCCCAGTCCAGCCTGCCACTCCGCGTGTTCGAGGCGCAGCTGCATGCTTACGCCGCGTTCCTCCTCGAGTAAGCGCTGGTAGTGTTTGTGCAGCGCGAGGATCGAAGATGTCTGGTTATACGCATACGGTCGAAGTTTATCCAGAAGCAGGGTGAGCGCGTTCTCGTAGTCTGTGAGCAAGGATTGAAGCGCGCTGTTCGAGGATGTGAGGGACGCGAGGTGATTTTGTGTCTGGGTCAGTTGGGATTGGAGGTGTGCGATTTCGGCGTTGCGTGTTGCCGCTGTTGTATTTGTTAGATGTCGGACTTCAATTCCAGATCGAAGACATACCATCTAGCTCGCCATTGACTTGTCTGAAGGTGCCATTCACAGGTCCTCCTTCTTCCGCGGCCCTGGCCCGCACGGCATTGACGCCGTTCACGATGCCGATTGTTTGTTGCTTGTTGTCTTCCAGGACCTGGCTGAGTTGCTGTACAACTGCCCACAGATGATTCATATCCGTCTGTTGGCCCCCACTGGGTAGTCCATTGACCATGGGTATGCCATTCTGCTGCGCGCCATTGCCGTTGTATTGTGAACCAGCTTGCGACGGTGATGGAGACGGCGGTGCACGCGGCTGCATGTTTTGCTGCATGTTTTGGGGTAGATTTGGATTGTTGGGGTTCGAGTCGGAGGAGAGGAAGCTGTAGTTGTTCATCTTGACAACGGTAGCGGGTTGTGGCTGCGGGCGGCGCGTTTCGTAGTGGAGTTAATCGAGTCGCGGGTCCGCTTACGGTTGGTGGTCGCGAGTGATAATGCAGGGGAGGGGCGCGGTATCTGATGCGACTCCACCTTGTAGCTTTGCAATGTTTACAGAAGACCAATGACGTATTGCAGGCGTCCACACTCAAAGTTCAGCACTTCGCGGAGTGGTGGAGCTCTATTGCGGACGGTCAAGGGTCTCGAAATCGACTTTCACCGTTTGGAACTAGCGGCTTGGCATAGCCATAAACCGCTCTCGACTTGACGTTTCCAAGGTTCGCTAGATCGATAGAACAACTGATGCTGTGAGTTGGGAATGCTAGGAAGATCCGTTCTTTGTTATTCGTCTATTCTAAACGAACTATCCTCGTTGAGATCCCGTTACGCTCGAAGCTGTTCTTCCTCGGTCCATCTATAGCCGATCTCTATGACAGCTCAAGTACACACCTGCGCTATCCCGCTACAGTGATCGGTGTCGACTGTCATTTCTTAGCTCGTGGAATGATCGGATAACCGCTATAAACTGTATTGCGATGTTTCGGTGGATCGGACCCAGGTTAGAGCTCTCCTCGCGGCAGCGGACGAGCTGGTCCAGAGGGCCAGGAATTAATGTCTGTTCGCGTGACGGATCTGTACTGAAAATAGCGATGAAGCCCGTTTCCTCATCTTTCGCCAGAGTAGGTCGCGAGCGGGTGGTGCAATGAAGCGGCCAGTGCGGCGACTAAATAGCATGTATCCTAGAGCGCGCTTTTCGCCAGCCCTGTCTTCGAATGCTGCTGTCATCGTGAATCTTCTGTTAGAGCGATTCGTTCTTTGATGCTCATAGCATAATCCGGTAGTTGAGCCCGATTCATTGTCGTGAACCATAAGCTGACCGCTCTCAAGCTCACCAACTATCAAGCAGCCGATCCACCTTCCCCCTCCCCTCTTCCCTCAAATCCTCCATATCAACATCCTCCTCATCCTCCGCCGTCGCCGGCACTTGTACATCGCCAAACTTCTCACCCACTCTGCCCGCAACACGTATTGCCAGCGTCCGCATCTTTGCCAGCTCCGGTGCAAGCGGCGAGTCCTTCCATACCAAGTTCGGCTGTATGTTTTCCTTCGGCTTGCGGTAGGGTTCGAGTAGCGATAGCAGTGTGCGGTATGTGTTCAGCTTGTTCTGCAGCATTTGCCTGCGCGCAGAGAGGTCTTGTAGGTGCGTGACGGAGGTTAGGTAGTCGTCTTGTGTGATGTCGCGATTGCGCGATGTTGTGGGGTCGGCGGACGTATCCCAGTGCGTAGGGAGCTTTGCGATGTTTGAGTCTTGCGTGAGGTCGTCGTTTTGGAAAATTGTGTTCGCGTCTTCGACAATCTCTGTGCTCGGATCGCTCATTTCGTCGATGTTGTGGGTGCCTGCTTCCCAGTAGAGCATGTCGATTTGCTCGACGACGTGCTCGATCATTTGTCGGCTGTAGACTCTGCGTGAGTGTTGTTTGAGGTCGCGATTGACTAGGTAGCATTAGATCCACCGGTTCGGAGCATATTTATGGGTATTCATACCTTTGTCTAGTACACCCTTCAGTATGCTGAGTTCAATACCTCCATCTTCCGCAATGGTTCGGAGTCGTTCTGATGGTGGTATGCCTCGCGACAATAAGTGTTTTCGCGATAACAGGAACAGCTGCTTTTGTTCGATTACGGTTCCTTGTATTTTTGACATGTTGCTCAGCTGAACGGAGGAATAGCGTCGTGATTGAAGGCGTTGGTGGACTTCGTGACGATATACCGCTCAATATTATGCGGGGTCACTAGCGCGTTTTGGTCTTGACGCGTGGGATCGTGACTTTACTTTCACCGCAGCTGTCTGTCGTACAGGGGCAATACTTCACCACATGTTGTCACATACGACAAAAAGAGACCAGAGTTTCCGAATCTATACGCAGAGCTTCGCGATCGTAACATAAATATATCAATACTGCGATTTCAGATGGACATGACTAAACGCCTCCTAACATATTACTAGCTATCGTTAAACCATAATCCTTAATATCTACGCATCCATCATCTCCCAGGATTCTTCTCCGCTGCCCTCTGCCTCTTCTTCCTCAACACCACAACTAGTGTCAAGCACGCCACAACCCCATCAATCTCCCTGTCATCCACCACAAACGTCCCGCCTGTCCAAACACTGCCCCACCACTTCTGCGCATACTTGCCAATCTCAAATTTCTTCTCCGCGTCCCCAGTCCCCGTGACTTTATATAGCGTCATGTTCTGTGAGTGCCAATGACTGTCCGGCTCCCAAAGGAATGGCTGCGAATTGATCGTGAAAGCCTCAGTCCGCGTATTCCACATCTTGTTCTTGAGACTTATCGGATGCGATGAGTGCGTTGAGTCGGTGGGGAATGTCAGGACTGCTTCTCCAAAGGACGACCATGGGTGCGCCCAGTGTGCGAGCTGCTTGTCTTGGTCGTCCGTGATGTCAAAGTTCATGCTGAACCAGCCATTCCGAGTACAAGTAATCACTGGCGAGTAGGAATGGTCTTGCATTGTCTTCGCGACTTGCGCTTTGTACTCGTCGGTCATGCCAGAGTATTGGACGTCCATGTCTTTTGAGAGATCGAGCACGGTGATCTTGGAGGCGAGGGTACTGTGCGGTGATACCCAGTAGACGGATGTTGGTATGAAAGGGCGTGATTCTAGAGGTAGTTTGGAGGTTTCATCGTCGTGTGGTGTCTCGAGCCATGGGTCTTCAGTTTCGGATAGGGTGTTGGGAGTTGTGTCGGCCTTCACTGTACGGCGACGTATCGCTCCTTTGTCGGTCCCGTCTTGTGTCGGCTTCACATCGTGTAGTCTGATGGCAGTCATATTATTTGGTGATGGTATAGTGTCGTAGAAGGTGATTGATGCAGATCTGCATGGTAATCGAAGCACGCGCGAGCTTGTAGATATGCTTAAGTATACAAGCCTACGCTCACAATTTCAGCCTTACATGTCAATCAGGTTTCATCAGCAAAACAATTCCCCGATGTGGTAACTTTCGAGAAGTTGAAGCCCGTAGTGCCATATGCTGATTGGTCGCTCACTCCGGGCTTCAAACCTGGGATATGCCTTGTGGGGCTGAGTCTTCGCATTGCTCGCTTCGGACGTGGCGATGCGGTTGATGATGAAGTATAGATTGGCACATGTCGCGTGTGACAGTGGAACGTGATGGCAGGAAGCGAGCTGTTGTATTCAGTGGAGGAATAATTGAGGGAGGAAGCACGCAGAGGGTTGTCGGAAGATGCCGATGACCAACGATAAACCCCAACTAGAACACCAAGTTTCTTCCACCCAAATCCTGGCGCTGTGTATTTCAAAGAGCTCGCCGGGACTAATCCGCGGTACGCCACTCGAGTAGAGTTCCATTGAAACCTTATACGTTGGCAGTTGACAGCAGGCTATGGATCTGCTGTCTGTCGAACAACGGCCTGAGTGTGTCACCATGGTTTTACTGTACAAGCGCTTCACCAAGACTCATGACATTTGGTTACAATGATGCATGGGCCTACGCGTGTTATCAACTTGCTCGAGAAGGAGACATCTGTAGGACTGCAATCATCAAAGCAGACGCACGATCGGGAAAAATTGCCGCGGAGAAAATACGGCGGCAATACGGCTCACCTTCCCTGCGCGATGATATCAACGTCAGGGGTCCATGCACCTTCCGCATTCCTTATTGCTCCTCCGTCCCAGAAGCTGGGGATAATCTGACTGACGTAAGACTGCGACACCAAAGGAACCTGAGACTCATTCTCGACGACCAGCAATTGTGTCAGATAACGGCTGCGCATGTACTCACAGCTATAGCTGCCAGCGTTGCGGATAGACGACTGACTCCGCGGTTTGCAATTGGGCCGACGATCAAGCGCTGGTTGGCTGTGAGGTGGCTGTCTGACGGTAGTGGCGCAACTTGGCAAGCTCCCAACCCTGAATTCGTGAGTGAAACACGTCGATGGCGAACCGTTGGCGCCAGTCCACACGTGAATAGATAGCGCCCTTGAATAAACCGTCGCCCTTGGACATTCCCTTGCGCATTCTCTTCAGCGGCCTCGCCTCCCCTCGACGATCCTACATTGCGCCTGCAAACACCAGTGCGCTCCTACTACAACTCCTCCATGGCTGCGAATTGATAGAACTGGATTCTACTGACTGCACCTCACACCGACCATCTATTCGTGCCACTGCACGTGCATAGCACAGCATGGATGGCCCTCAATCATCTGCGACGCCCTCGCCAACACCGGGAAGTGGCACTGGTGCCGCCCAAATCAGGGAGGGTCAGAGCATCGAGAACTTCGCCGCGTCTCTATCAGCTGGAGCTGTCGTCTTCGGCGTGCAGATGCTCGTTTTCCTGATTCTCAGCGGCAACTGGAAGTTCCACGAGACCAAGGCTGCCAATGAGAAGAGTACGCAGCGTCAGGGCCTGTTCCACAAGATCTAGTACGTTGGTCACCCCGTCACAGCAGCACCGCACGTGCTAACAGCTTCAGCTACTACAAGACTGCCTTCGTGCCCAAAGCAAGGCGTATCGCACCTCCCGTCACTGCCATCGAGTCCTTCAAGAATGTCTTCACCATCAGCGACCGCGAGCTCATTCGCATCGCCGGTGTCGATGGCTACCTCTTCCTGCAATACTTGCAGCTCCTGCTCCGCATATTCATACCCATGACCCTCGTCATCCTACCTATTCTCCTGCCGATAAACCGCATTGGCGACGTCGAGTATGTGTCTGGCTTGGATTCGTTCGCCTGGCCGAACGTGGCCACGCCAGAGAAGAACCATCGTTTATGGGCACACTTGGTGCTGGCGATCCTGGTCGTCGTATGGGTGTGCTTCAACTTTTACGCAGCGCTCAGACGATTTGTTCGCCTCAGGCAGACCATCCTCACCATGCCAGAGCATCGCATGCGCGCTTCAGCGACCACCATTCTCGTTCAGAGCATTCCCCGGAAATGGCTCACGGTCCCCGCATTGGATGCCCTTTACGACGTCTTCCCTGGCGGCATTAAGGACATCTGGATCAACCGCAACTTTGATGATTTGGCAGAGAAGGTCAGCAAGAGGACCAAGATTGCGAGAGCACTCGAGGCTGCTGAGACCAATCTCGTCATTGCTTGCACGAAAAAGCACAAGGAGATGGAGGCAAAGAAGGCAAAGAAAGACGGTCAGAAAAAGAAGAGCAGGAAGGAGCGCAAACAGCACGAAGCTATGACAGATGCGCGCATTGCTGCCGACACACATGAAGACGGTGTAGACGCGGGTAATCCCCACGAGATCGAGCAACAACTCCAGCAAGTGCTAGAGGAGCCCGAGTCATCTTCCTCGTCATCGTCCCGGTCGACGTCCCCAAAACGAAAGGGTGGCAACTTGCCCATGCAATTCGTTGGACAAGGCATACATGCGGTTGGCGAGGGCTTTCGCGACGTCGGACAAGGCGTGAACCAGTTCAACAAGAAACTGTTTGGTGGAGTCAAAGGTGCCTTCATCCGAGACAAGCATGGCAATGATCATCCACTTGTCGATCCCAACGAAATGCCCGGATCGTCGCCTTCCTCTGCAAACTTTACCAACAGGGGTGCCAGTAGTGATACCTACACCCGCCTCAATGGTCCAGAGAAGGAAAAGTACGAGTCTGATGTTAGTGATCCTAACTTTCCCAAGGACACGACCGAAGAGGAGAAGAAGGATGATCCCGAGGAGAGCGAGAAACCCAAGAAGACCACAGGCTTCAATCCTTTCCAAAAGCTCAAGTCTGCATACCTCGGTCAGGGTGACTTCGCCAGCCCTCAGCCTTTCCGTAAAGAAGGTGAAATGCCTGTCATGGAGCTCAAAGAAGAGGAGAGGGAGAAAATTACATACAACACGGCAGGACTCTGGAATGATGCTTTCGCGGAAGACGATGAGAACGCTTTGTGGAGACAATACCTCAAGCCTAAGGACCGCGACACTATGCGTCTTCCACTATTCGACAAATCCTGGTGGCCTTCAATCCCACTTATCGGAAGAAAAGTGGACACCATCTACTATTGCCGCAAGGAACTGGCCCGGCTCAATGCAGAGATCGCTGATGATCAGGCTAACGTGGAACGGTTCCCGTTGATGAATTCTGCATTCATTCAGTTCAACCACCAAGTTGCTGCTCACATGGCCTGTCAATCTGTGACTCACCACATTCCAAGACAAATGACGCCCCGAACAGTCGAAGTCAACCCCGCTTATGTTCTCTGGGAAAACTTGAGTATGAAGTGGTGGGAACGATATGTCAGGATGTTCAGTGTCATCGTCCTGATCGTGGCGCTCGTCATCTTCTGGGGTATTCCTGTCTCGGCCACTGGTGCCTTATCCCAAGTTAATACTTTGACCGAGAAGGTACATTTCCTCAGGTTCATCAACGCTTTCCCTACCTGGGCAATCAGTTTTGTTCAGGGTGTTCTGCCGCCACTGTTCCTGGCTATTCTCTTCGCTATACTGCCTATCCTTTTGCGCTTTTTGGCTGGGTTTACCGGTACCACGACAGCTGGAGAGCGTGAACTGCTCGTCCAGAACTTCTACTTTGCTTTCGTCTTCGTCCAATTGTTCTTGGTCGTCTCGATATCGACTGGTCTCACCACTGCCATCCAGAAAATCGTGGATAACCCTATCAGCGTGCCACAAACACTCGCCGAGAACCTGCCAAAGGCCGCCAACTACTTTTTCTCTTACATGATTCTGCAGGCCCTAAGTATCAGTTCTGGAACTCTGTTGCAAATCGGAGCTGTCGTCGTCATTGTCTTTCTTCGTTTCCTGGACACAACGCCGCGAGAGAAGGTGTCCAGGGTGCTCAGTAGACCTGGCATAAACTGGGGTACCATGATTCCTGTCTACACCAACTTTGGTGCAATTGGTAAGATGAGCATCGATTCGCTTGCAGAACTATACTAACAGCAACAGGAATCATTTACTCGGTTGTGTCGCCACTCATCCTGATCATGATGTTGATTACATTCAGCCTTTTCTGGTTCACCTACCGTTACCAAATGATCTACGTCAGCTATGCCAAGGCAGAAACCAATGGTCTGGTCTACCCGAAAGCTATCAACCAGCTATTCACCGGTCTGTACTTTCTGCAGCTTTGCCTCATTGGTCTATTTTTCCTACAGGAAGACGGAGAATGCGTCCCTCACGCCATTATCATGATTGTCACGCTCAGTTTCACCGTGTTGTATCAAATTGTGCTCAACCGAGCTTTCGGACCGCTATTTACGTACCTACCGATCACCTTCGAAGATGAGGCAGTACAGCGAGATGAAGAGTTCCAGCGCGCTCAGGCTGGCCGTTGGGAGAAGGATGATGGAGAGCACCAGTCTCTCATTGCTCAGAACGACGCCAAGATGACAGCAGAGGAGCGTGAACTCGCACATCTTGAGGAGATGAACCGCCAAGATGCTAAGCAGTATGGAGGCTCTGACGGCGCGTACGAGATGACGAACCTCAACACAAGCCAATCCAACGGTCTCTCCCCTGCGCCTGAGCGACGTAGCCGTCGTGGCTCCAACTGGGCCCAGCAATCTCGCAAAAGCTCCACCTCCCGCTCCCGCTCCCGCTCTCATACGACACCGAAGCACAAGCGCAAAGACCCGCTTGACGCTATTACGCATACCCTCAAGCGTGGTCTCGATGATGTTACACGTCCCGTTCGTGATATTGAAGCCCAAGTCCTGCCCACAGCCAACCTTTTCGACGGCATTGACGACGAGCTCGCCGACATTGAGCCTGAAGCCCGCCAGAAGCTCATTAAAAGAAGCTTCCAACACCCGGCAACCCGCGCCATCCAACCGGCCGTCTGGATCCCCCACGACGAGCTGGGTGTCGCTAAGGACGAGATTCAGCGCACGAGTGCATTCACGAGTAGAGTTTGGATCACGAGCGTGAACGCGAGACTGGATGCCAGAGGCAACGTTATGTACAAGGGACTTCCGCCGGATCGGGATCCATTTGAGAACATTGAGGTGTAGAGAGTGTAGATTGATCCTTTCCCTATGAGCACCATAATTATTTCCTTTTAGTTCACATTTTGCATAGCGATGCGAGGAGAGAGAGAGTGTGGGTTTGCATGGTACATAAATCATTCTTCTAGAAGTGTGCGAACGACGATACCCTATTCTTATCATACAGACATAACATACGTAATTCATCAACATAAGCAATCCCCAATGCACATGGCATGAGACAGCTAACCCACAACCAAATATCCAGCACGCAAGCATAAATCACAACACGCGAAACATCATCCTGAAGCACTTCATCTCACACAAACAAACTCAAAGAAACACCACGACGCCGCAAACACCTCCAGCAACACCTAACGCCCAACGCCACGCCACCTCACATGTCAAAGTTAAAGATGGTGCTCGCAAACGCAGTGTACTCCGCGTCCGTCAGCCCCGTGGGCGCGAACACCTCGAGCACGGGGTCAGTGTGCACCGCTGGCCCGAAGCCAGCGAGGAAATCCTCATTGCTCATCGGGGCGTCGACATTGACGTCCGCGGGGGCGGAGGCAGGGACGGAGAAGTCTCCGAAGTCCATCTGGGAGTCCTGAAACTCCTCCCAATCGTGCGGGAGCGGGGACGGGGCGGAGGAAGCAGAGGGAGTGAAGTCCCAATCGTCGTCGAAAATGTTGGCTAGGGGGGCGACGGGCTTGGGAGGAGGGGGAGGAGGAACGGAAGCGGGAAGAGAAAAGTCCATATCCGTCTCCATCTGGAGAGGGAAATCCTGCACAGCGGCAGGGGGAGGAGAGAAGAAAGGAACCTCGTGAGAGGCGGGGAAAGGGTTTTCCGGAAGCCAGAATTGCTCCGGGAGGGCAGGGGTCATGAAGTTGGCCTCGTTTGAGGCAGGAAAGCGCGGGGGAAGAGGCTTCGCGGCAGCGAGCCAGGGATTGACTACCTTGGGGTGAGAAAAGGTCATCGCGCAGTCATTGTTGGAGACGGGCGGGGCGGGAACGGAGGAGGCAGAGGAGGTGAAGAAATTGGCCTCGTCCGAGGCCGTGAAGACATCCTCGCCAGCCTGTTGGCCGGCAGGAGGGAGGGAGAGGGGGGAAGGGCGCCAGCTCCGAGGCGCATTCGCCGGAACAGAACGGTACGTGACCGGACCACCATGTACCACCTCATCCTCGGGCGCCGCAGCGCGCACCGGTTCCCAATGATACTGCCATTGAGGCACAGGAAGCGGAATTGGTGCGTACCGCGGCTTCGTCTCCCTCACCCAAAGAGGGAAGATCCACTTCCCGCTTGGCAGCTGGATGTTCTCGAAGACTACACCGTAGCCCAGGCCCTGGGTGTAGTCGATGCCGGCGTCAACGGCTGCCATTTCCATTTGAGGGGATTGCCTGCGGTGGCCGACCCAGGGCTTTGCAGAGGTCCCCCGATGCGATATTCCGCATTAAGGCCCTTGTTGGTGGCCTTGGAGATGTGCGTGTGGACCCACCCGTAGGGCAGGTTCTCCTCGACGAATTCCTTTCCAGAAAATCACTGTTGCGGACCATGGTGGTGGTTGGGGGAGGGGGGTGAAGGTAAAAATAGTGTAAGGGGAAGAAATGTGAAGGTAAGGTAGTATGAAGAAGAAGTAGTATATAGAGCAGGTAATATAAGGTGTAAGTAGTGTGTGATGGTGAATGTACTTGTACAATGACCTTGTAATGTAAAACTACTTCGAAACTGCTCTGAAGAAAAAAGTCACGAACAGGCAGAGGCAGGCGAGTTTTTATACCTTCAGAGATGCAGAGAGTGTGAAATTCATGTGGGAGGATTGTGTGGTTCGCTACTTGCGGGATATTGGGAAACCTTGGGAGTCGATAGAGGTACGCGGGCATGGTGAGAGATTGGTAGAGCTGCATAGCTTCAGCAAACGATTGATACCATGGCATTTTTGTGCCGTGAACCATGGGCGGCGTATATCTTCAGCATAGTGCATTAGACCCTGGCACCTGAGAAACGTATCCGATTGGACCTGACAAAGGTACTGCTATGGGAGACGTGGAATTTGTGTGCCTGGATAGCTTCATGAAAATTTTGATTGTTTGGGGTGCCGTGAGCCAACATTTTATAGCTTCAGGAAAGTGCATCAGCGCGCCTCGCAGTTGATGTGAAATGTCAATTGCACAGCTATATACGCTGCTGAGCGAGACGTCAGATTGATGTGCCTGTGTACCTTCATAGGCTCGTCAGCGAACGTTTCGTGCAGAATACGTTTGCGCATACCTCCAGGAACGCTGAACAGATAAACACATACCCAATTGCACCCGACACCAATCGAAGGCTCGATCCTCGCATCTACGCCAATCGTGGATGCTTAGGCCACAACCCATGGTACAGCCAAAACCCACGACTATCGAGTTTCCTCCCCAACTGGTTCATTTCCCTGGGCAGAGCCCTGACCCCTTCCTCAACCATGAGTTCGCCGACCCACTTTGAGAATTGCTGGCGCAAAGCGCGGTCCTCAACACTAGCCGCGCGCTCCTGCTCCTCCGTCATGGCGCTAAAACTCATGATCAGATCGTACCAGTCATACACGCGCAGGTCGGCAATGAGCCATCGTTTGCCGGGCGTGAAATTCTTGTGTGTAGCGACAATTGCACGTGCGACGTCTTCGCCGTGCACGAAGTGTACGGCCCCGCGCTTTTTCACGTCGTCTTTGCTTTGGCCGAGACGAGGCAGCCATGTGCGCGGCACCCTCGTGCCGCCGTACAGGCCACAAAGATTGAGACTGCATCCGCCGAATTCGACCATGAGTTCGTCTTCCGCCATGCCGCGCTCGTCGGACTTGTCGTACGGCGAATCCTCTGTGCTCCAGTCGTCCGGAAGCTGGTTCCAGATGGAAGTCACGCCGAGCTGGATCCAGTTGTTTTTGGCTCCGTGGGCATTTCTGTACAGGCCGACGATTGTCATGGACTGGCCCTGGCCCTTGAGAGGGAACGTGACCAGGACGGTTTTGGCAGACGGCAGGCGTTTGTATGGTTCGGGGTCGACAGAGTAGGGGTCGAATTTGAATGGAATCGTATTATCGTGACCAGTTGTGGTTGTCGCGGCATACGTAATTCCTTCTCTTTTCAACTGCGGAATCAGGAAGGTGGACGTCCATCCTGCGCCGAGAATCAAAAGGTCCACCTCTTGCATTTGCTCGCGTAGCATGCTGTGTGTTAAGTCGATAATATGCACTTTCGTGCCTGCCGTACGAGTCGTGTGTGCGTGTGCTACGCGAATTTCGAAAATTGTTTTGATGAGCCGACGTTGGAGAGGTTGGTTTGACAGGTAACGGTACCACGGTAGTGGTGACGTTGAGCGGATATACTATGCCTAGTTAGGGAAGGCACGGTCAACCTTAGAGTGGAAGGTACCAAGTTTACTGGTCAATTCATTGGGCAATGCTGCAGCTCTGAAACCGCACACATGTAAAATGATAAAGACGGATTATTTACAGGCTGCAGAAGGGAGTATGACATCCCTGATTGAGGATGTCAAAATTCGACAATTTCACCACCAAGTTCAATTCGAAAGCACCAACTAGGATGAAATCCTCGGCACAGAAAAGGTAATTATCACTTGCATATTTGTTGGTTCAAAATAGTCAAATCTGGTGATTGAACACATCAGATTACTTGCCCAATTGCTGGTTTAAGATAGTCGCATTCAGATTTTGGAAATATTCCCTCACCTGCACATTCCTGGCTCACCAAATTTGAATCATAATATTCGAAAATTATCGTCATGATTGCTAGCCGCGCATTACTTGAAGTCTGGTCGTACCAAACTTCCATTTTGATAGACCCGTACATAGCCATGTTTCTGGTGCATCCCTAGTCCTACCGTCCCTTAAATACCCCACGCGAAACCCTCGGACACCGCCCTCAGGCTTAAGCGTCAACAACCGCCCACTCCTGATCTTCAGACATCGTCGGGGAAATGCCACCAGCAAGGTCGACGTAGCCCTCATTATCCGATAGGGAGTCCGAATCGGTCTCAGACTGAGCCGGGGACCCCGTCTCGTTTCGAGGGTCCTCTGCCAGATTCTGCGTGTGTGGCTGGTCAACCACAGTTTGCAACTCTGTATGCGACGAGCTTGCAGACAATGTCGGCTCCTGCAATGGCACGCTCGCCTCATCTGGCCGATGCGAAAATTCAGTGTGCTTGCTAATATTGTCATCGCTCTGTGTGCGAGGCATTGGTACGATAGCCTGGATAGTTAGTACATCTGGCTGCGTAGCGATGTCGTAGAGCTCTTTGAGCGCCCTATACATCTGGGGGAATACGGCGACAGTCGTGCCAGATATGAACGAGCGAAGCAGCATCGTCATACTGCACATGATCATAGCAACGAGACGCTCAAGATAGAGCGAGTGTTGCATGTACTCGCTAGCAAGCGCGGCATTGATCTGCGCAAAGATGAAGATTGCAGCGTATTGCTCCTGTGGAGTAAAACGGTGTGTGCGTAGAGCCGTGACAGAGGTGGATACCCAATGGCTTGATGTAGATTGATTGAGATCGAACTCAGAAGCAAATAAGCTGACGACGTAAAGTATCAGGCAGAAGATTTCCAGCAGCATCAGCTCTGCAGCAACGAATTTTGTGGCCCTTCTCACAATGCTGATGTGATGATAGATTCTGAGAAGCTCCTGGAACTTGAGCTTTGTCTCCGTCAAAGCCTCCTTGTCCATCATCGCCTTGTCCTTTGGTGTCTTCGTTAGGTGGACGTAGACAAGTCGGCATGGTGAAGCTTCACCGTCTAGGCGAAATTCTTCGGGCATGTAGAGGCGTGCTGAGAGCATCGCACAGGTAGGAGGCTCCACGATGTTCGGTGTTATGGGCTCTGCCGACTTAAAGAAGCCAGCACCGGTTGCGTTGAACAGCCAATTCTGGAGGGGCTTGACGCGTTGCTCAACCATTATCATGGCCTTCTCTGCGAGACTACGTCCCCGGTAGCTAATTCGAGCCCATCCGTTCAGAACATCTTGCTGTACGCTCGCCTGTTTGGCCTGGGGTACGTGATGAAGTCGTCCGCAATTCTCAACCGTCCAGTCAATCGTCCGATTGCGAAAGGTGGGATATTGGAATCCTCGGTAGCGCATGATCTGGAAGTCGGCCGCGCGGACTCCGCGAGCTAGACAGTCATCATAAGTCTCCATAAACCTGCTGTCAAGCTGCGTATGTTCCAGTTTGTCCATCCGACTCTCAAGCAGGTCCTCCCGCCATGTGATGCTGTCCTGAACTCGCAGCTCATAGCTGACTTCTTGAAGTTGGGTGTCTAGGATTCCCGAGAAGCCCTGGAGGCCAGTGCTGAGCAGCGTACACATGGTGATGAGGTACGCAAGGCTAGCGAGGAGGATAAGAAGGTGAGGAACAGCGAGCTTTGCATTCGATCGCAGTCGGTTCTGCGTGTGCTGCGAAGGTGTCATGCTAGTCACAGCCTGACCAAGATCCGGAATACGCAAATTGCTGAATGGGAACTTCCGGGGAACGTCCTCAGTGTTTGTAGGGCTGGCCATCGTCGCGAAAGTTGCAATAACAGCTTGTGGCGTGGTACTGGCGAGGTTGGTGGCTTCCACCATGTGGAGACAGCCTTCTTCTTGAAGTGAGAGAGCGCGCAGGTTGTGCGGCACGAAGTTGGGTGAGTAGGGAGTTGTACCGAGATGTGAGGGGAGGGGGAGAGGTATCTTATGCCCTGGAGAGAGGATCGGGTGACGCACTTGGCAGGGCAAGCCTAGACGAAGTGACAGACGTTCGGCGTTGCTGGCCAAGTAGGTGGTGTGAAAGGTGCGAGTGAATCAACGCACTCGGCAGGTCGTTTCACTGCACACTGATGCCTAGAAGCTGCTCGGCGGTCTGTTTCAAGACGAGTTGGTGAAGTGAAAAATGATCAGCGAGTCCAGCTGACTTGGTGTGAAAGGTGGTCGTTGTTTGTTTGCTGTGACACAAGGCGGAAGGCGCAGGTGTATGCACGCGCCCGCCAACTTTGACGAGTGCTCCGCCTGAAGCCATCAATCAGCACATGCAAGTCGCAATGCTGCGCGTGAGGAGAGCTATATAAAATCACGGAAGCCATTCAAAAAGTCCGAAATTCAAGAACTTACAAGCTACAAGTCTGTAAGCATCAATCATACAGCACGTCCCGAAAAGGTAACCGTAGCCATGTCAGATTACCTACCTACGTCCTTTTCCTCGTCGTCCGTCTACTTGGTATCCTTCCGATGTCTTCAATGTCCCCAATGGCCCGATCAACATCTTCTGTCTTGACTAAGGTATCTTGTACCTCTTCCCTCTTGACCAAAGCATCCGGTCCATCCTCCGCCTTAACCTCCCCACCCTCAAGAAGCACCTCTTCCTGCTTCACAATGCCCCCACCCTCCACCTCCAGCTTAACCGTTTCCTTCTTCACTTTCATCTTCTTCCCCACCACCGCCGACGGACACAACCCCCTGTCCGCCAGCTTACACTCCCCACACTTCCGCCCCACAGGCAAACAAATCGTCTGCCCATGTCCCACAAGCAAGTTGTTGATATCATGCCATTTATCTCTCGGCAACCAGCTCTCCAGCGCCGCCCTCGTCTGCTCGGGCGTCTGCGTCTTATTCCATCCCCACAGATTCGTAATGCGGTGCACATGTACATCGACACCAATACCTTCATCCTTGCCCCACGCAGCGCTCATTGTCAAGTATGCCATCTTAGGCCCGACGCCGGGCAGGCTGACAAGCCCCTCGATGCTATCCGGTATCTCGCCGTCGAATTTATCACGCAGGATTTCGGCGGTGGCTTTTATGTATTTTGTCTTGAGGTTGTGGAAGCCTACTTTGTTGATCATGGCGTTTAGGTCGGGAGGGGGGAGGGCGAGGACTGATTCGAGGTTAAAACCCTATCGTGGTGTCAGTGTGTGTGAGGGGATGTGAGGGGAGGAGGGGAGATGTACGCCAGGCATGTTCTCCTGCATGTTCCGCATTGCAACGGCTGTGACTGTGTCTTTCGTCTGGCTGCTCAGCATCAGGGCGACGAGCGTTTGGAAGCGCTGATCCCGTGGTGTGCGTTCGCGATCTGCGAGGCTCTCACAGCCCATGGTGTCTACAGGGGCGATGTTCTCGTTGCGCATTTCGCGCGTGAGAGCGTAGATTTCTTCCCAGTTCGCCGGCGGCTCGATTTTGATGGTGCCATCTTCGCCTTTTATTTTCTTCGCAGGAGTTCGACGCGCTTTTTTGGGTTTCTTGGGCGATGCGATTGTTGCGATGGACTCTTCTTTGATTTCGTGTTTGACCGCGACTGGTGCTGTCCTTCGCTTCTTTACAGGCCGTTTTTCTTCCTCTGAGCTTGATTCGGCTGATGCTGCAAGATCCAGATCTGATTCAGATTCTGAGGAAACTCGTTCGGGACTCGATAGGGTATGTTGTCTCTTGCTTCTCTCTTCTGTGACGGCAGTACGTGTCTGACGTAATGTGCGTGTCGCGGCCACGATGCGCGAGGTGTCGCGAGACACACGCGAGGTGCGCATTGATGCTCGGAGTATAACGAAAGCGACTGCTATGGACTGGCGTTAATCGTGACCTTCAATTGCGACTTTCAGATGCGCGTTGCGACTCCTGAGCTACAGTAATGGCGGCACTGCGGTTCGTCCATGTTCCACAGCCAATGAGGTGAGACGGACAATTGACGCGTGGTCACATGACAAAGGACATCAATGACGAGAGCATTTCAGGACGAAATGTCAGTTAATGCGCTCTGTAGGATTTTATACATCTACACTAAGAAGCCACATAACTGCTTAATCTGAACTTGTATAGTTTCAGAGAAATGTAGTAGGAAGACAGCGTGCAATGTGGTACGCGAAGATGTTTGAATCTCGTGGATGTAGGCGTTCCCGACTTCTTCAATGCCGACGGTGTAGCTTTGTCAAGTGCATGATGTCTACTATTGATCTTTCTCAGAAGAGCCAGAAGTTCCAAGAATCTAGTGAACCTTCTTGCAAGGGCGATTTTTTTTAAAAAAAACCCCCCACTCTCATAGTACTTCAACTTCCATTATGCTTAAACGAAATTTCTCTAGCTACACGGATAGCAATATCCTGAACGCCACCCGCTTTTCTAAACCACAGTATATGCTAAACCTACAATTCCTCACACCCAGAACGTATTCTGTCTACTATGCGCTGCGCCTTATCCAATCGTCAAGCCCAAACATCTCCCTGCGTCTTCCAGCTCAGCCAACACCTTGTCTTCCAGCTCGTTCAAGCTTGCGTCGCTGCGGCCCTTCCTGCTCAGCATCTCCACTTCGCGCTCGTCCATTGCAACGATGCGCTCGCGTAGCGCACCCTTGCGGCTGAGCCAGCTCTCAATATCCTCCTTGACATTCTCCTTGTCCCAGTCTAGGGGCGCAACGTCGTTGGCTTGGATGCCGAGCTTCGGGCCCTGTTTGCGCACGTTTTCGATAATAGCGGAGACCAGAGACAGTGAATGTGCTTCTGAGGCGATGGACAATGTTATCTTGGTAGAATGGGCTCGCGATGAGGGGCTGCTGTTGATAGCTTGCGACGCCCGGAGAAGCTGCTCAGGGTACTGGTTGAGGAAGCTCGAAATCTCGCCTGCGATGGGCGGACCAACGGACAGTAGGAGATTCAGACACAATGGTAATATGCCTTTGACCCATATAGAGTACAACCGTGCTGGTGAATCGAAATGGCCCATGCCATTAGGCCGGCGGTAGTAGTTCATCAGGTTGGCAGTGTTGAGTTGCGATAAAACCCCGTCAACGGCCATAGTCTCAGCGAGGGCTGGAATGGTAGAGAGTGAGAGGAGGAAGAGCAGGCTGAGTTCGCCGTAGATAGGGTCGTCTACACCATTGTTGGGGATGGTGAGGCGGTCAGACCATGAGAACAAGCTGGTGGCGTAACGGAGAGTGTTGTTGTTCGCGAAGAGAAGAGCGGCTTGAGACTGCCACATGTTCATCTCAGGAATGGCAATGATCCGTTGCAGTAGTGCGGTCAGGAGAGCAAAGTCGGAAGGTGTAACGGATGCTGGCTCAGCGTGGAGCTGAGTAGCTAAGCTGCGGAATCCTTTCGCAACCGTGTCTGCGAGGATCTCGAGCAAAAGAGTCGATATAGCTTCGGTGAAGTCGTTGTGGCTTTGTGGTACTGTGCCGCGGAAGCTCGAGCGGAAAGTTACATCTTTTTCCTGACTGGAGTCGTCGACGAGGTGAAAGTGAAGCGCCAGGAAGAGTATCCGCAATAGCGATCGATAGTAATGTACCGCGTCGCTAGAGAAGACAGTGTCGAAGTCAGGTATTGAAGCTCGAATCGCGTCCCATACTGGCGTCAAGAGCTGTCGGGTTTCTGTAGTTCGTACCTTCGCCTCGACGAGCTTCTTCAGTAAAGCAAATGCGAGGTCAGCTCGAGTGATCATGAGCTGACCGAAAAGCGCCTCCGGTAGGTTAGATTCAGCATTAGCTTTCATGCATTTCTTGACTACACTGGTCATGAGCCTCGCCACACGGTCGTCCTTGGCAACGACGTAGCTCAGTTCGAGAGCAAGTATCTTCCAACTTTGCAGGAGTTGCACCTGGGATTCTACCAGACCAAGGTTAAAGTTGGCGGTCTCAACTTCATTCGCAAAACCTGTGCCTTGCCGAGGTCCTGTCCAGTTGCTATCAAAGCTTAGAAGTCGATTCGCAAGATCGATGTCGTAGAAGAAGCTTCGCCCAAAAGACCCGGGATACAACGTCGTTCGCTTCAAGTTATCGGGCGTGACACCAGGGAAGTGGGCCTCAACATGCTGCTTCAGGTTGCGGTGTAGCGAGGAGTTGAACGATGGTAACTCTAGCGCATTATCTTCAAGATAAACCAGGCTGGTGACGACTTCCTTGAGCACGGTTATATCGCCAACTTGCCGCGAACCGTGAAGGTACATGGCCAGAATTTCGCAGGTCAGGGACGCGAACCTGTTCTGGTATGAACGCTCTACAAGCTCCGCATTGGTCTTGAGATTCCTCGGTTGCTTCGCCATCCACTTCATGAATGTGAGGAGCTTTTGGATAAAGTCCTTTTCTTTTCGCAAGTCTCCCATGGCCCATGACCAGTTGTTCTGAGCTGATGAGACGAACTCTAACATAGCAGTATACAGATCCCATGGTAGCTTGATCGAGCTTTTCTCCGGTAGAACCATGTTGGTAAGGGCACTGAGGGCTCGCGTGAGCAAGGCTTTGCTCTTCAATGGAGCAGTCGACTCTGACTTAGTCCGCATCGCTTCTCGCGGTGTGCTACCGGTAAGCAAGTAGAGAGAGAACCATTGTTGTTTGCATGTCACCACCGCCGAGAGTAAGTTCCACACGTTAGTCTGAATGTCGAGAACTCTGATGGGTTCGTCAAGCTGAGACAAGACGCTAAGGAAATTCCTCGCAGTACGCGGTCCCAGGTGACCTAGTAAGGAGGGGGGCTCTTGTTGTTCGGTTTGAGCGCGAGCTGCGCCTGTTGAGCCATGTGTATCCATCGCCTCATCTGCTGGAGCCGCGACACGAACAGCACCCCGTACGAGAGTCTCCAGCAAAAGCACGACCTGTGACTTCCATTTGTCACTAGAGCCGTAGAGTCGTGCTAGCAGTGGTGTCGCTTTGAACAGCTGCTGCTCTAGATGTGTCCATGGCTTGTTGAGCAGCATTGCAACTCTCACCAATGCATCGGCAAGAGTCAGAGTGGCCTGCGTTTGTCGCCTCCACAATGTGCCAGAGCTAGTGAGTAAAGCAGTGTCCTCGGGGCTTACTCCTATCACCAATGATGCTAGGATAGGATTCGTGGGCATGTCGCCTTCCGACTTGGTCAAGTATAATTGAGTAATGTACTCAGCTATGGGGGCAATTAACTTGGTGAGCTTCGCGGACAGTTTGGATGCATCGTCGACGCCGTAAGCGAGCTGCAAGATCATCGTAAACACTTCGCATATAGCAATGTTGATCTCCGGCCGATCATCAGGGCGTGAGTACTTCCAGCTCAAAGAGCTCTCATATATGCTCGCCAAGGTCCGGCCGAATGTGAAAAGTGTCGTGCTGATGGTCTTGTCGGATGTGCCGCTCTCCGAAGGGGCTGTGGCATTGAAGCGGCTTATTGCTCTGCTTGGCGTCTTCCGAGCAACAGATCGCTCGACAGCATCTGTGACCAAGACCTTGTACAGCCGAATGCAACCAATCAGGAAGTCATATCTACCGAGAACCATTTCAGTTCCGATGAGAACAGCAGCGAGACTGCCACCGTTGCCGTCGCCTTCGAGCAAGCGGCTTCGAGCCAACCAGGGCCATACTCTCTGCGGAGCGACGGTGGCTAGCACCTCCAGGAAATGAGTGCAGTTGACCAAGAGCTCCAGTGATTCTTCGTTGCCTGGCTGTTCACACAGTCGTAGTAGCTCCTCCTCGAAAATGGCAAATATTGCGCTGACAGTGTCTTGCATCCCACTGACACCTATTGATAATGCCTCTAGCAGCTCAACGGAACAAACGCCCTCGGACAGCTGCAGAGACGACTGCATGAGGTCCGCGAACAGGCCCACAATCTCAGTGACAGTTGTCCGGGCAGCTGGCTCTTGTGTGGAAACTTCGACTGTAGTACTTGCTACAGGATAGGTGGAGAGTAATTGGACAAGGTAAGTCAACGTGGAGTGTTGGAACTTCCATGCAGCGACGTAGGGCGCCTCAGTGTCATCGACTATGATGCCTTCTGTGCCGGCAGGAATTTCTAGGGGCCCATCAGTTGATCCTGACTGGCCTGATGTTAGAAGACGCCGCTGGCCAAGGAAGCTAGACGTGGCTTTGGTGCAGAAAAGTGGAAGAGGGGCAGTGAGTTCAACCCAGTTCTGGTTCTCTTCTTCGCGGGTCAATGCATACTCCCTGAAGCCGACAGGCAAACGTTGCATTAACTCAGCTGAGTTGACAAGCTTTTCCATGAACGTAGGAATGCCATTTCGCGAAGTATTGTCGCCTCGGACTAAGGCACTACACAACTTGAGGAAAGCATCATTCTCGTACGGGTAGCGACGACGTGTTTCGCCCAAGATGGCTGCCCGCAGGACATACTCGTCTTCGAGGAAGAACGAAACCACCGGATCTGGTTGACGAGCCGCATTATCGTCGACCCACGTGCGGAAAGTCCGGTCGCCTGCTAGTAGAGTGTATGTGGTAGCTAGCAATTCGGCACTGTAGACCACAATGTCGTTTCCCACACTGGCTCGGATAATCTGGAGGAAGAGCAGACGAACACGGTCTCGCGACACCTGATCAATGTAGGTCCCGAACGCGGACGATGCGAGCTCTACCATCTGATCAATGATAGGGAGAACACCTGCCTCCGCACTAGCCACGGCAAGGCATCGGTATGGTAAATCACCATCAAAGAGCTCGTGGGACTCGAGCGATGAGACAGCAAGCCCAGCCTCCTCCAGCACAGACAGGCCGGTTTGGGGCGCATCTGGATATTCGAGCATGTTGTCACGCTCCCGCTCGTCAAGGGCTGCCCTTTCGGTGAGCTTCCATGTGACCAGAGCCCAAGCGAACATTGGAGGTGTCGCTGGACTTGGGCCAAACTGTGCTGCTTCTCCAAACATGGTCGTGATATTCGTCAATACCCCAGTGTTTAGGATGTATGATGATCGATCCCAATTCCTGTAGTCTCCCGAGTCGATGTCATTGACGATTAGGTCAATCTTCAAAAGCGAGAGTGCAACGAGTGAGATCAGTAGCTGAACGACAGGAACAACTGGCTCCTGACCCGGGGATACGACGAGGAATTCACGGAAGAAGCCGCGCTGCGAGAAGAACTGAAGCCAGTCCTCAATGGTCGCGGCCGGCACGAAGCCCTTTGTATACACGTCTGCGTGCGTGAGAGAGATGTGCAGGATGTGTAGCAGCTCTGTTGTTTGCGCGACGACCCATTTCTCTGACGCGGCCTCTATGATGGATTCGCTCACGTCCCACCCATAGCCGCCTTCTAGCGATGCGCATCTCTGTTGCGCGGCCTGGAGACACTCGTCAAGTGCCTTGGCGCCAGTAGTAGGGCCCGGTCCTCCAGCCTGGGCTGTTGCGATTGCTTGGCCGAGCTCTTCAATCCAGCCGGCGCCAACAGTGTGATAGTCGTTCCCGTAGATGGTCTGGTTCCGGAGGTGTGGTAGGGAGCCCCACGAGACGAGGAGCTGGCTGATGCGAAGAATTGAGGCGCACGTGGAGTGGTAGATGTCAAGAATGCGCAGCCGTCGCTGGTCCTGCGTATCGAATTGCGAGATTTTTGCGGCGAGCGGTGTGGAAAGGATGGACGAGTTGGGCGCAAACGTCGACGCGCCGAGATTCGCGAGTCCTGCGGCGTCCTGTACACTGAGTGCTTCTTCCTCAGTCAGTCCGCTTAGAAGCTGGACGGCCGGCCTGCTCTGCCATTCTTGGGCAACAAGCTGCAGTGCTGCATATTCTGATATCTGCGCCTGCTTTGAGAGCCAGAGACTGTCTTCCTTGATTTCGTCTATGTTGTAGTGGCTGTTTGATGAGGGCGTGACCTTGATGGGCGCGGTCTTGGCCTCAAACTTGCTCTTCTCTTGCGACGACGGGTCTGGGAATGGTTTCCATGGCCGGCTCAGTATTTGCTTGTTCTCGTTCGCGCTCAAGAAGGCGCGCAGGGGGTCGCTGTTAGTTGCAGTTTCGGGGTCGCAGAGGGCGCGGTAGGCAATGTCCCAGGTTCTAATCATGTTAGCGCTTAGAGCTTTTATGAGGCTCGAAGCCGGTATAAACATACACAAGCTGCTGCTCGCCTGTGAAGCACTTGGTCAGGTCCAGCTCGGGCGATTGGGTGGAGGCCATGTTCGCGCTGCAATGCGCTGGGTATGGTGCAGCTAGCCAAAGGCCATGAAGAGGGCGCAATGGGCGGTGTGGAGGGGAGCGGCGTGTTTGGCGTGGTTGTCTTCAAAGTCGCGTCGGCGAGAGACAAGGGCTAACTTTGGGCTGGTGCTTGCTTGTTGGCGCCACAGCACCAGCCACAGTGGCTCAACCCCGCTACCTCCGAGGCCTCAATTCACCCGCGTCTTAGATTGACTCACCCCACCACGGGCTGGCAAGGTGTTCGCTTTAGACTTTCATTCTACATCGGACCGGTCGCGTCATCTCGGCCTTCATTTCGGCGCATAAACTAGTTTCTGACGCTTGTGGAGGAATACTTGGGAAACAATTGGTCTTGCAGAGCTCCTCTATTGAACATCTTTTTGAGAAAAGGGCGACCCCAAGCTACACGAGAGCTGCACGCGCGAGCCAGACCACGTCCAACTCACCCCACCCACCGCAAAATGCCTTCCCTCGCACTCATCGATAATTCCCCCCGCCATCCCGACCCCTCCCCGCCGATACCCACTGCGTCCAACGTCATTCTCATTGACAACTATGACTCTTTCACCTGGAACGTATACCAGTACCTTGTCTTCGAGGGCGCAAAAGTGACCGTATACCGCAACGACGAGATCACCGTCGACGAATTGATCGCGAAGAACCCTACACAATTGGTCGTCAGTCCAGGTCCCGGTCACCCAGCGAAGGATGCGGGCATAAGCAACGATGCTATCAAGCACTTTGGCGGCAAGATCCCCATTCTGGGTGTGTGCATGGGCGCTCAGTGCATGTACTACAGCAACGGCGGGACTGTCGATGTGACTGGCCAAATCCTGCATGGAAAGACGTCACCACTCAAGCACGATGGCAAGGGAGTGTATGCTGGTGTGGCTCAGAACGTGCCTGTCACCCGATACCACTCCCTCGCGGGTACTTATGGGACCCTCCCAGAGTGCCTCGAGGTGACCTCTACGATCCCCGCCAATCCAGATGGCGACATCAAGGAAGTCATTATGGGCATCCGTCACAAGGAATACGTCATGGAAGGTGTTCAATTCCATCCCGAGAGCATCTTGACAGAGGACGGACGCATCATGATGAGGAACTTTTTGCGCATGCAGGGTGGCACCTGGGCAGAGAATGACAAGCTGCAGAAAGAGGCGCATGCTCAAGCGGTCGCGGCTACCAATGGTGCGACCAACGAGCCGAAGAAAGACAAGCAGACGTCGATATTGCACAAAATCTACGATCACCGTAGGGCAGCTGTCGCCGAACAGAAGAAAATACCTTCTCAAAGACCGAGTGATTTGCAAGCGTCATACGACCTCAATTTAGCACCTCCGCAGATCGACTTTCCGAGCCGTCTCAGGCAATCACCCTACCGCCTCTCTCTCATGGCTGAGATCAAACGCGCCTCGCCTTCAAAAGGCATAATTTCTTTGTCAACTTGTGCACCCGCTCAGGCCAGGACGTATGCGAAAGCTGGCGCAAGCACAATCTCAGTATTGACGGAACCGGAATGGTTCAAAGGCAGCATCGACGATTTGAAGGCCGTAAGGCAGAGCCTCGAAGGCATGCCGAACCGCCCAGCTGTCTTGCGCAAGGAGTTCATTTTCGAAGAATACCAAATTCTGGAGGCCCGGCTTGCTGGCGCGGACACTGTTTTGCTCATCGTCAAGATGCTCGACGAGGCACTGTTGAAGCAGCTCTATGACTACTCTCGATCCCTCGGCATGGAACCTTTGGTTGAGGTACAAAATGTCGAAGAGATGGAGATCGCGGTCAAGCTTGGTTCAAAGGTCATCGGTGTCAACAACCGAAACCTCGTCAGCTTCGAAGTCGATATGGAAACGACCAGCCGTCTCGTAAGCATGGTACCGAAAGACGCCATTCTTTGCGCCTTGAGTGGCATAGCAGGACCCAAGGATGTCGAGCCATATATCCAGGGCGGTGTCGGTGCGGTACTAGTTGGTGAAGCACTGATGCGCGCCTCCAACACAGAGCAGTTTATTGCAGAGCTTCTCGGTGGATCATCTACGAATATTTCGAAAGCAGCAGCAGGCCTCATGGTAAAGATATGTGGTACACGAAGTGCTGAGGCGGCAAAAGCTGCGATCGAGGCTGGCGCAGATCTGATTGGAATGATTCTAGCCCCAGGGTTGAAGCGAACTGTATCAGCAGAGACGGCGTTGGCCATATCCGATGTTGTACACAAGATTAAGAAACCACAAATCTCGAAGTCGGCACTCCTTGCTGATCCGAAGACCGCATCCGACTTCTTCGAGCATGGCGCGTCACGGCTTGCTTCAGCCGATGATCGTGCGCTTCTTGTGGGTGTTTTCCGTAACCAGTCGCTGGAATACGTGCTTGAGCAACAACGACTGCTCAACCTGGACATTGTACAGCTGCACGGTCAGGAGCCAGTTGAGTGGGCTAAGCTTATGCCTGTTCCGGTCCTGAAAGCCTTCAACCCTCGCGACCATGGCATTGGCTCGAGAGGATACCACGCACTGCCACTACTGGATGCAGGCTCAGGAGGCTCCGGTCAACAGCTGGACCTCACTGACGTGAAAGCCGTGTTCGAAAAAGACCAGGGAATCAAGGTCATTCTAGCGGGAGGACTCAACCCAGATAATGTCCAGAGCATGCTGTCTGGCCTTGGGGACTACCAAGATCGCGTCAAGGGTGTCGATGTCAGCAGCGGAGTAGAGGAAGATGACCAACAAAGTCTGGACAAGATACGGGCTTTTATCAAGGCGGCAAAGAGCTAAATGTAGGTGCGATGACTAGGCCTAGATTTCTGACGAGCTCAATACTTCTACTACTTCTCTTCATGCACAATCCAAGTTCAGATCTCTCCATTCCATCAAGTCAACTAGGTCAATCTACACTCCTGCTCCACAGTCGCCTTCGACTCGTTGCTAACGTAGGACTAAATGCCATGTTCGCGCGGACATTTCGATTATTGTGGGTCCCTACCGCTCTCTCACCCTACCGGAGCTGTCCCACGTCCTAACAAAGATCTGTATTACTTCACCTAGTATTGTCAACTATAGAGTGAGTCAACGCGAAATCTGTCGTGTTTGCTCTGCCCGGCACTAGCTATAAAGCCTGCGACTACCTCGCCCGCCAGATCTCAGCACTGCTCCACCACCACACTTTCTTGCCGCATAATTATCGATTAGCTCAATCATTGTTCGCTCAAGTACCACTACTCACAATGGGTGTCTTGTCTGGTGTCGTCATAGCAATAGCTGGCGCCCTCCCAGCCGAGCCCGCCCAAATCAAGAAATGGGTCGATAACAACGGCGGCAAATGGTCTCCTCGCGTCGAGCAAAGAGTCACGCACCTGATCGCCAGCAGACCGGCGTGGAAAGCAGTAACCGACCCGGTTATGAAAGCAGCTGAGCTCAACATCCACATCGTAAGCTTTGACTGGCTCGAGGACTCCCTGCAAGGCAAGAGGAAGCTGCCAGAGAAGAGGTATACCTACGAGGCCATGAAGAAACAAGCAAAGACGAGGAAGGAATTGAAGAAGTATGGCGCAGCGGCCGACAGTAAGAAATTCGTCGAAGGGTGCGAGAAGATCAAGGAGCTGACCGGTTCAGGTACGTCCAAGAAGCTTCCTACCCCACGCAAGCCCAAGCCATCAAAGAGCCACTTCTTCGCGGAAACCATCAACTCGAAGTTCGTATCTGCGAAGGATGCTCTGATGCAGAGAAGGGCAGAGCGGGAAGCTAAAGAGGCTGCGGAGAAGGCAGAGAAGGGAGCGAAGAAGGCATCATCTTCGGGTACGGCACAAGCTCCCATCACAATTGACGATGGAACCCCAGAGCCAGTTGTCACGAGCTCCCTGCCTACACCTCCTCCATCAGCCTCTTCGACAAAGACTGCCTCGAAGCACTCCACATCGCCTTCTCCATCCAACCCTCCTGCCATCACTTCACTGGAAACGCAAGCTAAGAACCCCACGCTCAAAGATCTCTACCACTTCTACCTCGACTCCACAGGCTTCGAATACAAAGTCACCCTCGCCCGCAGCAACTTCTCCGTCAACCAAATCACGCGCTACCAACTTAGCATCCTCGAAAGCCACACCAGGCCCCACACATACTGCACTCTCGTGCAATACAACCCCCCGCCCACACCCGAAGCCTTCGACGCATCCATCCGAAACCCCCTCCTCGCCTTCCTCCGCCCCACGCCCACCCCAAGTACCCTCCCCTCCCCCGCCGAACAAGCCCGCCTACACTCACTCGTCACCCTACCAGCGCCCACGCCCGCAGCTCCTTTCAAGAAACTCATCTGCCCAATGAACTCCCCCTTCACCCCCGCCTGGCGCGCCTTCCGCCACACCTTCCGCACGCTCACACTGCTCGCGTGGGAAGAGCGCTTCGACATCGACGCGTCCAAGGCTCTGCAGACCGCTCGGGCTGTCACACTAGGCATCGAGCCGTACATCTACTCGAAGCCGATGCTGGGCTTGCCGGTGGGCATGTGCGTGCAGGAGGCAGGGCTGTTCCAGGGAAACCGAAGTGATCTTGGTAGCTTAGCTATCGAGGGTGATAAAGCAGATGGATACGTGAGGAATGAATTCGACCTGCCCGGTACGGACGATCAGCCGCTCAGCATGAATGGTGTGGTGGGCAGTGCGATTTGGCGCGCGGAGCAGAAGGTTAAGAAGGCGGAGAGGGAGAGGGAAGAGAGGGAGGAACAGTTGGCGAAGGAAGAGAAGGAGAAGGCTAAGGCTGCGAAGAGGAAGTTTGTCGATCGCCCGCTGTTTAATGGTGTTATGGGTAAGCCGAGAGCAGAGGAGGAGGCGGGGTGGAGGCCGAAGGTGGTGCAGAAGGAGGGCGCGGCGGTGTTTACGGTGTTCAAGAAGGGGAGGGCGTTTCCTTGGGGGAGGGAGAGGTGAGGTGGTGATGGGGAGATGGTGAGAATGGGATTTGGAGGTGGTTAAGTGGACGGACATGAGTATTGGATTTGAGAATTTGGACTTTTTGGATGAAGTCGGCATTTTTGGGATACTTTTTGCCACGCTTTGGCAATTTGGACACGTTATTCTTTGGGCTCGAATATAACTTCACAAATTTCTCTACCAATGTGTTCACTATGGGTGCAGGCTTGTATGAGTCATTTTTATATGCCTCGAGTGAAACACGTGCTACATTCAGTAACAGGGTAGCTTGAATGTGCTGAGTCAATTCTGCAGGTCTAGAAAAGGGGTCACGTATCAATGTACGCAATAACAATTCACGCATAACATTTTTGTATTCGCATCTTCTTAGGGGAGGCAGGTATCGACCCGCAGTCGACAAAGGAAGGGTAGTTTCAATGACTAAATTGCTAGCGATAGGTGTCGGTGAGTTCCTAGGACTAGAGTAGAAGATTATCTAATATACCTTCGCTGTTTACTTCATTATCTCATCACGTGCCCAAGTGCTATACCACAACATCGTTCTCATGACATGGAATTCGTGTGAGCTTAATTGCGATCATCTCCATCCTTTAGTATAGCAATTTCGTTGTAGAATCTTTCAAACAAGCTGAACTCTGTGAACTAACAATTTGCTATCTTGAGAGCGTGGATCGAGTGCTGCGATCTTGGCAAGTATTTGTTGGGTGACAAGTGCAATCATCAACATGGAATGTGCATGGTTTGAGACAGCAAAATGCTTGTGTGTGTATACTCGAATCGCATTTTTCGCGCTTAGAGTCTATTTGCAATGCTGGAAACATAAAGACAAAAGTTTCCTCGAGTCTTGTCGAATTGCTAGATTGTGGGTTTGGCAAAGCGCAAGGTTGCTTGCTCGAGTTTGCTAACATGTCAGTCTGGGGTTTTGACAAATTCCAATATCGTTTGCTAGTTGGACAGGAAATCGTATGTCTAACCTTCCGAGTACCTCCACATCCGATCTGTTCCTCGCAACCCATCGAGTCACTTGTCATTGGATAGAGTGCATTTCGAGAAAGTCGTCATCATGTCTCTCAGAGGTCGAGGATGCTATAATTGCGGCTTCCCTCATGTCCAAGCGAATTGTAGGCAGCCTTGTCGGCAATGCCCCACCTTTGCGAATGGAGGAACTGTCCCCGATCACAGAGGCCAGGAATGCACAATGTACCAACCACGAGGTCGTGGAGTTTCTCCAGGCTACACGACGACTGGATTCAACCCATACACGAATACGGGCTCATCTGGCCCACCGAATGGACCGCCTTTCGTACCCCGAGGTGCAAGTGGCTCTCCGTCTAGAGGTGGAGGAATGCCTATGGGAATTGGAAGAGGAAGAGGAGACTCCCAGGGGCGTGGAAGAGGAGACTCTCAGGGGCGTGGAAGAGGAGACTCTCAAGGACGTGGAAGAGGAGGCTCTACTGACAGAGCTAGAGGTGGTAGGGGTGGTAGGGGTGGTAGGGGTGGTAGGGGTGGTAGGGGTGGTAGGGGTGGAAGGGGCGGAATATTCGGAGGCACTGGAGATGCCGGACAAGAGCAGCCAATACGCAACAATTTGACGGTGGCAGAATTCAACGAGATGGACGTACCTCCATTTTTCAATAACTCGACAACTAGCGCACTGCATTACCCCAAAGAGCGGACATCTGGAAATCCTGCGTCATATGGATCGGGACAGCAATGGCTACTATCAAATGCCATCCGGGATCGAGTCCAAGCACGGAAAAATACCGCCGACATTGAGCATCCAAAATATCCTTTGCGTACGGAATTCAGCAATCTTACGTCGGGATTTGAACAGGGCAAGGGCACCAACGGCCCTCCGGTGACACAAATCTTGACCAACCATTTCAACTACAAGATCTCTGTAGACAAGCTCTGGGAGTACAAGATCACCGGTATCAGCGAGAAGAGGAAAGACAAGATAAAACGCATCTTCCTCATGGCCATTGAGCAGTGGCCATTTCTGAAGGACCATAAAGACTCTTTCGCTACCAACTACCTCGATACAATCGTCTCCTGGAAGAACCTTCATGAACACATCGTCTCAGAGCCGACAGAACACGCCGGCAAGCCTCTTACCCTATGGGAAAAGGCCGTCGTTGATGGGGATCGAACTTTGGACCTGAGTATCAGGCTCAACCGAGAGTACGACATCAGTGATTTCTCTGAATATGCAGCCTCGGAACCAAATCGTGAAGGCGAAGATTTTGAAAGTCTTGCGAGGTGCCTGAATATGGTTGTGTCAAAGTCGTTCAACAAGTCCGAAGTCCATCAGCAATCAGCAAACAAGTTTTTTGTCAAGAATGCCCGGAAGAGTCTCATTTTCAGCAAGAATAGCTATGGGGATCCTGATGTCCGATCTCATACGCTGGAACTCATGCGAGGTTATTTCTACAACGTCAAGCCTGGTATGGGAAGCTTCATCATGAATTTCAGTCTCGCAACGAGCGCTTTCTACCGACCGATACTTGTTAGCGAGTTCTTGGCAGACACGAACACCTTCACAGATGAAGCCAGGCGAAAAGAGGCCCTCAAAGGTCTTCGGGTTTATGTCGAGACTGAGCGCAAGGATATCCCAGGAGAGGACCATACGCGCCTGAACAGTGAGGAGGCACGTATCAAGAGGGTGTTTGCACTTGGAGCTGACATCGGCACGCTCACCTTTGCTAAAAGGGTTCGTGGAGATGATGGCAAGTTCAGGCGAGATGATAATGGCAATTTCGTGACAGAACCAACCAGAACTTCGGTCTCACGATACCTCAACGAGAGTAAGTCTATTGCGAACCACCTACTGTAACTACTCAATGTATACTAACACCCATAGCCTTCGATCCATTCTCACTAAAGACTGGTCAGCCGGCCGTCAATGTCGGGACTATGCGCGATGAGATTTGGTTTGCTCAAGAACAGCTTCGAATTCTTCCATACCAGATCTATAGTCGCCCTTTGCCCGAGTCACTTACTGGCTCTATGGTCCAAGAGGCTGCAAAGACTCCTGCAGACGGAAGAGCGCATATCGAGAAGGAAGGGCTGGGTGCTCTCGGATTCACTCCAGAGCAGACAAAGAATGCCACCTCCACTAACTTCGTAAGCGAGAGGAATCATGGACGGTTAGAGCAACGCTAACTCTTCACAGGCGGGTGTTGGCAGTCCAATTCGTCTCACTCCGACTATGCTCAAACTACCTTGCCGAGTACTCCCACTACCTCAGCCAAAGTTTTCCGGGGCTTCGCCGACAAATGGCAATGGTAAATCCCGCTGGAAAGTGCCAAAACAGAGTTCGTTCTTCAAGACAGAGCCGGCATTACTCAAGTATCGCTTTGTGATCGAGCGACGGTTCAAGGAGGCAAATGCGGAGCTGTACCACGATCAGTTCCAAAAAGAATTGTTGAACAGGTGCAATCTCAAGGCTAATCAACTACAGGACCTAGGTGATGACATCATCGAAAACATCCTTGATCGTGGTAGTGTGAGTGCGAAGATCAGTCAGGCTAAAGCGGAAGGCGCCAATCTTGTCGTATTCCTACTCAACAAGTCGAGCACACCATTCTATGCCCATCTCAAGGACCTGGCTGACCGGACCCATGGGATACATTCTCTTTGCCTTGTCGAGCAATATAAGCTTATCAAGCAATACGGCGAGAGAGCGCACTTGTTCCAAGAGTACATGACAAATGTCGTCATGAAGATTAACTTGAAGATGGGCGGCATCACTCAGTCGGTGACAACAGTGAGCGACTATCTGGCTAAAAACCGCGTCATGGTACTGGGTGCGGATGTAGTCCATGCCGGACCAGGTGCTTACCCTGGAACACCATCCATCGCCGCTATCGTCGGCTCTGTCGACTTTTCGGCTGGAAAGTGCCTGGGCTCAATGCGCCTACAGAGAATCGATACAACGGACCGAGAGGTAGGAACACCCCCATTGTCAACACGTTTCTCGCTGACCATTTAGACAATCGTGGAAGTTGAGGATATGGTCCGAGAACGACTTGAGGCCTGGGCTGCGGCGCGCAAAGCGGAGTCAACCGACCTTGGCATTACAGAAGAGTTGCCACAGAGCATCATCTACTACCGTGATGGCGTAGGGACGGGACAGTACGAAACGATCAAGAAAATAGAAGTTGCGGCAATTCGCGCTGCCTACAACAAGCTGGCTACGCAGTATGGACTGTCGACAGATGTCAAAATACATGCTGTTGTGGTGGTCAAGCGACATCACACCCGTTTCTATCCCATGAACGCGTCGGAAGGAGACAAGTTTGGCAATGAGAACACACTTCCTGGTACCTTTGTCGACAGACTGGTCACGTCCCCGTACTACCAGGACTTCTACTTGCAGTCGCACAGCGGTATCAAGGGAACCGTAAAGCCGACACACTACTTCGTTCTTGAGGCAGAAATACCTGGTCTGACACTGGACAAGTTGCGAGATCTGGTAAGCATATCTTCTTTGCTACCCTTCCTTCACTCGACACATAGATGTATACTGACATCCACAGACTCACCAAATCTGCTACTCATACGCTCGAGCCCTCTGCGCCGTCTCGTACGCCTCACCCACGTTCTACGCTGACCGCCTATGCGATCGTGGGCGAACCTACATCCGCAAGTATTTCGTCAAAGAGGATTCTCAGCTCCAGACTGCGTTAGACAACATTGCAACCGTGCAGAACAACGCCAATTCAGCGAATCGTGACATCAACTTCCGCATCAGACCTGCAATGAGTCTGGATCAAAAAAAGCAGATGGTGAAGGACAAGAAAGAGCAGGAGAAGAAAGATGCAGACGCTGTTCAGAAAAGCCTCCGAGATGAAGTCTATCGACGTGTTGGTAACGACTTCTACATGTTCGAGAAGGAGGGGTGGATGAACCCGTGGAGTCGGGATCTGGCGGACACGATGTTCTGGATGTGAGCTCTTACTGGCAGGTCGCTAGGTGATGTGGCTATGACTGTCTCTTTTGTGTTGCCTGCTTCATGGGTTTTGCATCGGCGCGATCTGTTTATCGGATGGGTTGCAATTTCTATTTGCTTCTTGTTGTTATAGATTTCTTTGCTTTGTATCTCCTACCATAGGTAGCCTTATTCAAACATATCTCGCAACCTTCCACACTCGCCAAATGCATACTGCAATATCCTTTTGCAACAGCCTGGTCCAGGTGTCTATTTCAAATTGTATCACTGTTGCTTGTGCATCGGAGCGCGAGCAGTGCCGATATTTCATAAAGAACCTCGACTCTGATGTCAAAGTTTTAGCTTTTGAATAAGCTTTTCGAAACAATTTTCCGTTGCGCACGATCTTTGTTCAAGTCCAACTCGTGATACCCCAAGCTGGCGATAAAGGAAAAAGACGCTAGCGTTGCGTGAAGTCGCTCCGTGCCCCAACGTCAAATCATAAGTCTTAACTACCCAAAGAAAGAACAAAGAATACAGCAGGAGAATATTGACGCAGGAAATTGGAAGCCACTGTTAAACATCGGACTCTCGTATTGACTATATACATCGTGCCCTCTCTACATTACTCTCGAGCACCACCCCTATTCCAAACTAAAGACTAAATCTGCTCATATAGCGAGCGTATATGGTAAGTAGCATCCTAATTCTCAAACAGTTCCCAATCTCTTCCCCGTCTCAAGATTGCTCAGCAATCCTTCCTATTTAAGTACAACCCTTTCCATTACGTTCACTCTTCCAATTCCGTGGAGCATATTTACTCAGGCTTTCCGAGCAGACCGCGAGCAAAGTGCCTCTTGCGAAGGTTGTACTCAACCGCGCGCTTCTTAGCGGCGGTGGATTGGGTGAAGGCAGCGGAGCCACCGAAGGGGCCAGCAAGAGCCGGGTTCTGCATGCGCACAACACAGACGTTCGTCGCGCCACCAGCTGTGCCCTGGCAGGTCATTCCAGCCGGCATCTGGACTTTTACGGGAAAGTCTTTCACCGCTACGAATTTGTTAGTTTTGGAGTTCTGGAGTGGTGGGGTGGATAGGGGTTGACTTACCAGCGAGCGAAAGACCTCCAATGCCAATTCCGGGCACGTTCTGCATAACCTGAGCGGTCTTGAACGCCGCAGGGTCGGTTCCAGCGGATGTAGCGTCAATCATAGCGGTAAGAGGACCGGCACCGTCCTGGTTGACCTGGTGGAAAGTCATGGTGATGGTGCCATCGTACGGCGGTGGTGGGCAGGCCGGATGAAGCACCTGTACCAGCGGCCGCAGCGACACCAGATTCAGCGGCAGCAGCCTTGCCACCAGCTGCTGCTTTGCCTCCTGCGGCTCCGCCAGCGGCTGCGCCGGCACCGCCGGTCAAGGCATCGAGAAGGCCGCGCTTGGCTCCTCCAGCTGCAGCACCGGCTCCGGCTCCGCCGCCCATGAACATGGAGATAGCAGCAGCGGCATCGATGGCACCGCCGCCCTGGGTACGGCCGAGAGCAGAGGCCTTGCCGCCCATCTCACTGGTGCGGATGATGGCGGTGTCGGCTTCGGAACCGCAGCCGGGAGTGGCGCAGTTACGGGGAGTGCCATCCTGGACTGTGAGATTGTGAGATGCTGTTCATGTACTGGAGATGAAGATGAAGAAGCTTACCAGAGAGACCGGGCATAATCACGCCATTAGCACCCTGGATCTGAGTGAGGACACCGTGGGCGGAAACGGTGGAGGCAACAGCCGCAATGAAGGTGATTGAGTAAAGCATCTTGACTAAGTAAAGTAGGTTGTCGAAAAGGACTGATGAAAGGATGCTGGAATATGAAAGAGAGTAGATTAAACAAGCGACCGGCGCAAGGAAGAATTACTTAGAGAGAGAAGAAGAAGAGGCTGGAAGTGTTGAGCTGATGATTATGCTTCTGGAGGATGATCCAGATACCTTATATACAACATTCGAGGCACCGTCAGAGCTATGGAAAGCTTAGCACTACACAAGCTTTCGCATGTGCTTTCATCCGAGATCCCAACACCAGAGACATTGAAAAGCCCCTTGCCGCCAAGTTGATACCAGGCTCCAAACACGGCGATGGCAATGTGGGTAGCAGTGATGCCGAAGAGGAAGAGCAGATGGGCGGTGATGATACGGTGCTGGTCGGACCATGCGTGAAAAAGGCCCGCAGCATTGATATTCACTGGGATCTCCACAGCGGGAAGATCCTCTTCGGAGCATCGAGTGAAGCTAATTCAGCGGTGAGAAGCCAATGACATCGGAAGAGAGAAATCGCCGAAAAAGCAGATGCATGATTGTTTGGGAAACGCAGAGGTGGAGTCAAGGAAACGTATCAGAAGCCAAGTGTCGCTATACTTGGCATCCAAAACGTCGATTCAGAAATGCATGTTTGACCTAGGTAGCAAACGATGTTTAGATGTTGCAGTGCAGCATGTATGTGTGCTGGCTTCTTGTACAAGTGGATCATGATGGAAATACCAGATATCAAATGAGCAACTATATCGAAAATTATTGTTCCGAGCGTAGTGATGGTATCGCGTGTTCCTTGATCTCCAAATCTTTTCGCAGCTCATCGTGGAGAAGTACATCGATCGTTTCAGTTTCGGTGCTTGAAACTGTTCGGTTTGGTGTTTAGCGCGATGTGGCGCGGATCATCTGTGTATGAACCCCCGACCCTCTCCGAAACGTCATACAAACTTTGTTCCTTATCACACCTTCGGAATGTGTTTTTCTGTTTGATCGCAATATGACGATCTGCACAATGCATGCCTTCGACTTGTAGCTGAGGTTTAGCATTGTTCCTGTCGCAACGCACAGGCCTGATCGCGATGCTTCTCCTGGTCTCTCCGTAGGCACCCGAACATGTGTTTTGAGTGCGGCGGAATCATCATAGTTTGGAACGATATGCAACTGAATCTTTCCAATCTCCCCGTATACACCCGACGTTGTTTTGACTGCACCGCGATCTTCTAGTATGGACGCGATATGTACATCTCTTCCCCTTCTCATCGTTTCAAGCGCCCTACCGCTCAATACCCTCCTCCGCCCAATTCCTAAAGTCCCTAACTTCCTTAATCCATACATACCTCACCGAAATCTCTGCAATCTCATAATACAACGTGTCCATCTCCACCAGCCCCTTGCGTATCAAGCTCTTAATAAACAGCAACAAAAGCAGTATATGCCGGGTTTGCGCCTCTTTGCCATACTCCAGCACCTCTCCATCGTCCGACGGGGCTGGTGGCTTGCCCATGCGCTCGATTGTGCGCAGGGCGTGTTGTATGTATTGTGTTATGATGGGCGCTGGGTCTATGGAGTGGGTTTCGAGGGTGCGGTCGGTGAGGAGCGTGGTGAGGAAGTCGAGGTATGTGAGCGAGATTGGGAGACGGGTGATTTCAAATATAGCTGTGTCTGTATCTAGCTCGAGATTGCGGAGTATGTCGGCTTTGCGCTGCTGGATCAAGTCTTCGGTTGAGTCAATTGTCTTCTTCGCGCTCGTGTGACGGTGAAGAGTGTCTACGCCGTTCTGCGACTGTGTAGGTGCAGCGTGCCCGTTTGTATCGGGTTCGGGCGTCTTCTCGTAGATGCCTTCGTCCTCCAGCATTCGAACATATGGCCTCAAGTCGAATGGCTCACGGAGGCCATCGCTTAAAAGTGAGATACTGGCTTGCTGTGACGTTTGGTCAAGTAGATACTTGACATCCTCGCCTTGTAGGAGCATCTTAATCCACAGTACTCGGGCTGCACTGATCTTATCCGCCGAAAGATCATTCTTCGCAACACCATTGCTCTCGTGCTGCCCTCCCGTAGCGTCGAGTCGTTGGATAGCTTCTACCCAATGACTCAAGAAAGGATTCTGCTTCTGAGGCGTGTCCTTGTTCAAGAGCCAGAGCAGGTATTCGCAGTTCATGAGAACCGCGAGAGCTTGCGCGTTGGGTTCCACCCTTGCGCGCTTCTCGAAAACATCGATGGTATTTTTCAACCTAAAGCTTTTTTCGAAGTCGCTTTCGTTTCTGCTGTTATAGCCAGCCATACTCTGGCTGAAACATCGTATCGCATCGTGTATGGCAAGGTTGCAGTCGCTCAGAGTTCTAATCTCAGCGTCTGTTAGGGTAGCTGTGAAGTCCATTGCACGCGATATTTTACGCGCGGTTTCCGGGGTGCGTGAACGCGACAGTGGACTTGGGTTTGGTCGTCGTACGAGAGCTCCATAGAGGCTATGAAGTTGGTTGTGGGTAGAGTCACGATTCTGTGCGTGAAAGGCAGCAATGCGCACGCGGCAGGCGCCGAGACATGTGTCCGCATGATCCCAGCGCCAATCTTTCATCGTGTTGCGTCATACACGTGACGAGTCGTTAATGGCTGTGCAAATGTACACGCATCGAGCATGAATTAGCAGCAGTCACGATACGTTCACAGGTTCATGGAAAACAAGTTGTGGTTGTAAGATTATTTGATTAAGTCATCATGCTACGCTCAGCTGAGCGCAACAGTCGTCCTCCCAACGCTCGAGACTTGCAAAACTATGCCAAGAACCAAGACGCCTTTCGTGAATGAGTAAACAGAGCTGTAGCCAAGACATCAACCGGATGGACCGAAACACCCAACCATCATATGCGAGGTGTCACTCGTACCGGAAAGCCGGCAGACGAGTCCGGGCCTTGGACGGCCAAAAGAAACAGGGAATGGGTATCGTAGAGAGACATGGTCGTTATGCCTGCATCGTTCGGTTTGATGTGCGACTCCGCTAAAACTTGAATATGATGTACAGAGCGTGGATGATACCCTGGAGAACATGTTAGTGAGATGTTGTCGTTGTTTGTGGGATGTCGTGCAAAACTTACAGGAATGTAACCAAGGACGGTCAAAAGGATGTTGATGAGGAAGTCGGCGTTGCAGCCGCGCTCGAGGAAAACACCAACAGGAGGCAGGATGATGGCAAGAAGGATCTTGCAGATATCGCTGGCGGTGAAAGGCATGATGGATGTGTGGTTGGTGGTTCGAGTTGATTTGTTTGTGTAGTGACTTGAGTGATATTGAAGTCGATGAAGTGAACTGATGTCTAACAAACAAGAGCAGCGGCAGGAAGACTAGTATTTATGGAAGGGCGTGCAGGCAGCTCATGACCAACGCTGCAGTAGCGATGACGTATCACCACTCTCACCCAACCTCACCGAAAACAACCTACAGGGATGCCGCATAGCCGGCGCCACACGTCCGTCAGACAAGCTTCAGCCTGCTTCACGCCCTCGCAATCCAGGCCTTGCAGCCAAGTTCTCAGCCCGCGGTAATTTGCTGTCCAAGATCAAACAGCGTGCGTCACTCGTAGGAATCGTCGCTCCGTGCCAGGGCAAGGCGCTTGGGGAGGCGCAACTGGCCCTCGCAACCGGATGTCGCGGCGTTGTGGCACAGTTATGACGCCACAAGTGGCTGGCGCCACGCAAGCCCGTCGATCCATACATCATCGCGAACCGCCGACAACAACGAGCCTTGTTTGCAGCGCGTTTCGGGCTATGTTTAGACGGCTGTGGCTAGACGTGTGGAGTTTGCGTTCACGGAGGAAGGAAGTGCGAGGCTTGATTCGACCTCGCGGTTGTAGATTCTGACGTTTGGAAGAGCTCGATCCCGGCGGACTTGATCTTCCTTGCGATTCGATGCATCGCCAGCGTGTGACTGCATGCGTTCGGGCCTACTCCGTGCTCAGCATGGACATGCTTGAAAGTTTCTCGAATTGTCCGTGATGTCAAGGACAAAACAAGGCGCTTCGTTGCGTCATATTTGTGCTCCAGCGGCTACGAGATGCTTCACGAGATCTGTTAAATCCTGCCACGGGTATTGGCGAAAGCATCAAGACAGCGGACCGCTACTAGGCCCTGATTCAGGTACAAAGTTCTTTGGGAGAGATACTATGGCTGGCTTCCAGACCCTCGCGAAAACCTGTCACCCATAATGGGAGCTCACTAGAGACTGGCAGATTGCTAGACACTTCCCTTGGCATGCATTGGAGCTTAAGCTACAGATGAATAGCTTCCGCTAGATCCGGTTCGTTAACCAGACGTCGCATAGGTAGGCACCAATTGCATCGCAGTCACATTCAAGAGTGCACTCCGGTGTAGAAGATCGTTCGTTCATTCTGTAATGTCGAGCAAAAGGGTATATCATCCAATCCACCATAAACTATAATCACACTCAGTATCTCCCCTACTGAGGAGCCTGCTTCTGCAGATCCGCCTCAACACCCCGCTGCCTCGCTTTCCCTTCATCATGTTGCTTCTGCGCCTCCGCCTTCTGCGCCTCGTTCCCTGTTAGTCCCGCAACCGCACCCCCCAATAGTCCCACCAACACGATCTGAAATGCCCTTGCCCAGATCATTCATCTGTCCCGCAGCTTCCTGGCCCTTGCCCTCCTGGTTCTGCCTAATACCCTCCTGCTTGAGGCCCTCTGCGCCAACGAAGCCGCCAATGGCTTCCTTCGCGGCGCCGACGTTCTGGTTCCATGAACCGGCGGTGCGGTCTGAGTTGTCTTTTGCGACGCCGCCGGAGGAGCTGACGGCGAAGGGGCCGGCTTTGGCGGTCGCGTGCGAGAGGTCCTTTTCGGCGGCCGGCGACGTCCTTTTTGTTCTCGCCTTGGACTTGATCAGCGGTGCTGCCGGTTAGGGATCCGAGGGCAGATTGGACGGCGCCTGTGGCGGAGTCGACGTAGGACTGCAGGGTGGAGGTTTGGTCTTTGTTGTTGGAAGACATGGTTGTGGTTGTTGGTAAGTTTTGTTGAAGTATTGAGGTTGAGTAGAAGTAGATTTTGGAGTGTGGATTATTTATTTGCTTTCGTGTAGACGGTGATAGCTATATATACTCGCTGGGAAAGTTTATATCGGTTTGTTTTTTCTGCCTTACTGGGCATAACACAAGTGAAGCTGTGACGTCATACCCCACGTTCTGCGCGCGCGAGCGAGCATCCACAACGGGATCTTAACAACGTGGGCCCAAGGCTATTCGCGGGCCTTTAGTTTATTTTAACGGCTGATGACAGTGGCGTGGACATGTGAGAGACAAATATTTGTGCAGGTCATTTTCACGAAATGCAATGACGCAATGTTACAAGATCGCTGTCGCAAAGTCGCATGAATCTGGGTCTCACCACAACCCCAGATTTTTTGCGCACACAACATTCATTTTTCCTGCTTTCTCCTCACGTCACGAAGCTTACCAAATGTACATAATTACTTTGATAGAATGCGATTGTTGCCGTGCCTACTGCACACACCACTACCACACTACCACAAGGACAACATTGAAGCATCGTTCTTCTTCTATGTTGGGACTCTACATCAAAGCTGGTATTTACTTGAACCAAGCGCTAGAGATTTGATTTGGTTGTGTCTCGATGACAGTGTCAATATCAGCAAGGCTGAAGAGGCTTCTACTAGCTGCAGGTATGGTCATCGTCAACCTGCAATAGCTTCTGTGTGGTAGACCAGACACGTGTGTATCTCCGATTCCCAAAATCCTCGAGTGAAGTTCTCAAGGCGTGCGGGGCAAGATGATGGTTGGCTGCAGCGGCTCTACCACACAGCGTCGTCGTTGGTCCGACTGCAGGAGCTCATCAGGCTGCAGATGCTATGCACAGCCGGGTCAGCTCAGCCTTCTCGTGGTCATCGTCCACGACACCTACATCAACGCGCTACTTCTACCCAGAATCCCTGTCAAACGGTCAGAGAGTCCTAAGGGCTAAGCGCAAACATGTCGATATACAAGCCGCTCCGTGACAGCAGAGAACACCCCAAAATACGACTGCTGAGGCTCTTCCGACTGCTGTCTGACCAGCCCGATCGCGCTCAGATACGGCTCCTCAGACTACACCCAGGCGACTTCAACGACCCCATCGATTGCGACATAAAAGTCACCACTTATGCGAAGTCGATTAAAAAATATGAAGCAATCTCATATTGTTGGGGCAATGCTGAAGACACAGTTCCGCTTACCTGCAACGGGGTTCGCACTCTCGTCACACGCAATCTTCATGACGCCTTGCGACGTTTTCGCCCAGCACGAGGAACCGCCGCAAGATTACTATGGGCTGATGCGCTTTGCATAAATCAGAAAGATTATGAAGAGAAAGGAAAGCAAGTTGGCAGAATGGGCGAGGTTTTTGCTAACGCTAGCCGTGTTCTCGTCTGGCTTGGGGGCGATGTAGACGACACGACAGCCACAGATACCTTCGCCATGATTCGTGAGATCAACCAGTATCTTGGCGAGGTCTTTATACAGTGTCGCCAAAATTTAAACGCAATGCCAGTGCTCTCAAAACCTTATCCGATCTGCTTGGAAGAAAACAAGTGGCATGGAGTTGCTGCATTACTCAAATCATCATGGTTCAGTCGCGTGTGGACGATACAGGTAATGGTTTCCATTCTCGGCATATTCAATTACCTAATACATGAGCAGGAGGCAGCTCTGGCTAAGGAATGTACTGTTTTCTGGGGACATGCTGAGATTGAAGCAGCTGATATCATTGAGCTCTGCTTATGGTGTGGTCGAAAGCAGGACTTGGGTCACATACTTGGAGAATTTGCCAAGGCTCCCAGTTTTCCCCAAGTGTATCTAAACTTTCTCACTTACGAACTTTACAGATCAGGCTATTCAGGAAGTGGAAAGTGGTTCGAAAGTCGACCTTTATCTGCAGACTTTGCAAAATACGAGTTAGTAGATCATCCTTGGCTTAGCCTTTTAGACCGATGCTCTTCTCTCAACGCCACAGACGCCCGAGACTACATATATGCTTTTCTGGGATGTCCTGCAGCGATTTCAGATAACAATCATCCGTATCTAGAAGCTGACTATACGATATCCAAAGACGAGCTTTACAAGCGCGTTGCCCGAATACTTCTCCATAGTCCAAAAGAAGGTCCATGGGTGTTACATGCTGTCCGACAGCAAGATAGGGAAGAGCTTATGCGGAGCCGAACAACTTCTTGGGTACCATCCTGGGGTAATGCAAGAAGAGTCCCTTTTTTGACATTGGGTGCCGATTTTTCTCATATGGCTGGAGGCTCAAAAAGTCTGCTCCAAACAGAAGAGCACGATGGCGCCACACTGTCGATCCGCGGTCAACTCTTGGACGAAGTAACGTGGATGTCCGATATCATCGAATCGGAGAGATTCCTAATAGCTCGACAACAGCCCGAACTAGAACCGTACATCGACAAACTGTGGAACCAGCTATCAAGACAGATGGCAGGGATCGACAAAGTGCTTCACCACAAGGACTTCTTTCTCGCATTGCTGCGAGGCTTCTATGGCAGTAGCTCACATGCAGAGAAGCGGTACGGCGAATTTTCCCACGCGTATTTAGAGGCAGTGGGCTCAAAAGTCATTACCGACGCATCAAAAGGGAAGGGTGAAATTGTATAACAAGATGCTCTTCTTACCGAGACCATCCTGAGTCTCAATGGAGACTGCGGAGTGATAGTCACACGCAACGGACATATATTTGTAGCTCCTGCACCATCCACAAGACTTGGCGACACCTTGTGTATCTTCCATGGTATCTCCGTACCCTTTGTTCTTGCGCCAACGACAGATGGTCGCTTCAAGCTTTCAGGCCAGGTGCATATCCACGGAGTAATGGGCGGAAAGCTGGTGGATCAATCCAAAGCGGAAATGATATTGTTGGAGTAATGCCAGCGTCCCACATGGCGAAGGAGGGCACAATTATGTGGGCATGCAATTTTTTACATCAAGCCGGCCGCACTAGGAGCATGTGGTCTTTTGCGCTACGAAGCAATCACACAAGAACACAATCCTATGTTTTACCAAAACAACTGCTCTCGAATTAACGACCCGGATGGCGTATGGAATCCATTGCTAACAAACCTATCCGTACCCCTCGGAAAACCGTTTGTGTCTTTTGATTGCAAGGAGACATATCAGATATCAACGGGGCGTCGGAGGAGTTCATTTGTCGCCTCCAATATGCTGATCATGATTGCTGATTCCTCGTCATCACGCCATGGAGAAAAACAGGGATGTCTCTCCGCTTTCGACATCCACGCCATGACTACTCAACGCCCGCACCCTTTCCTCATCGTAAAATGTGTTTCTGATTTCACTGTCTTCCACAAACGGACTTTCGCCCTCTAATTTCAGACCCGGAGTACACTGGATACCATTACGGGTTTGGGATGGAACAGCGCTTCGATGGAAGAACGTTTGATATGATCTGGGCTCGTCAAATACAAGTCATATCAATACTCTGTTATGCGCCAATGGATATGTGCAACTGGGCCCACATATGTGTACAGTCCACGCCCTCGCCTGCATTTCACTTTATAAAGTCTGCCAAGTTAATGTCAATGATGCCCATAATTTGGCTACACACCTCATCAGTCTCAGCACAGTGCAGCTTCTTGCAAATTACCCCCATACCCAGCTGCTGTTGGTCTTAACATTATCGTACCTACTTAAGCATCTAAAAAACAAATCACAACATCCCAAACAGAGCCTTGTTTCTCAACGCGCCATTACTTGTCGCAGCGGCCTGTATCCGCGCACTCGTAGCTGCACTCTTAAAAGTAGTACTAGCACTACTACTGCTAGCAATGACCGACAAAGTATTCTCCAGCGCCTCAAAGACATTCACCACTTGCTTCCCTCCACAGACCTCCGCCTTGTTCCCCGAACAGGGCAAATTGCAGTCAGAGCTGTTCTTAGCCCACTCACCCGCTACATAGTTGCTGCACCAGCACTGATTACCCTCCTGCGTGCCCGCGAAAGTAAAGGCCTGGAGATAGCAGCTGTTCTTGCATGCTGATATACTCAGAGATGCATCTCCGTTGGGAGACATATTCTGCTCCAGAATAGACCGCTCGGGATTCTGCGCGTAGCAGCCTAAGGGCTCCCAGGCGGTGGGTGAGGGAGCCAGCGAAGAAGCGCTGGTCGCGCTTGTGGTGGTTGTTGTTGTTGGAGTTGAGCTTATTGTTGTTGTAGTTAAACTATCGAGTCGTCTTTGAGTGACGATGCAGTATGATTGCCAGCCCCATGGCGTGCAGTCGAGACTGACTGATGGGTTCCATTCGTGGAATTGCTCTGGGGTGACTGAAGGATGAGTATGGGATCTGCATGAGCGATGTTTATAGATGTCACATACTGGTGAAGTAATTACGAACGTATTCGCACGATTCGCCATCGGCGTTGTTGTACCATTCTACACAATCTTTGACTGTGTCAGGGTCCCATTGTAGAAGTGGCTGGCGAGAACAATGCGCCAGTCCAAAGAGCGCCGCGGAGGAAAGTACGAAGAAAGTCTTCATGGTCATTAGTGGTACGTCGCGAGAAATTCAAGGTCAGGTTGACGTTGCGATAAAACTTTGGGATAGAGCGTTGGACATGGAGGTACACGAAATCGCCAACTTCAAGACTCTGTGAAGAAGATGGTAAAAAATGATCTAGACGTAAATCTATGTCGAGATTATCCCAGTTGGTATGTAAAGTCGAGCCCATCGAGATTAATTGCGGCGCAGTAACAGCGCGAGGCCCGATCGAGCAACCATGTTCCGAAGGTCGCCTACAAGTGACTTGGCGCAAGAGCCGCCTCGGCCCCTTTGTGCCCAGAGTGTATTGGTAGGATGTTGTGGCGTCTTTGTTTCTAAGGCTTGATCAGGAAGGTAGTAATAAATTCCGCGCGTTGCGAGCCAGTCGACTCAGCCTCCTGTTGAGTCACAACAAGAGTTGGATGCAGAAGGGTCAAAGTGGCCCGCGCCCGTTTAACGTTAAGTTACTAAATGAGGACTAGCATTCGGTCTGTCCCTGCATTAGAACATGATCCTCTACTTCGAGCTCGATTCTGCACAGCCGGAATGTAATATACCTACCGGTTTGGAGGCCTGATCCCACCAGAGCAGCCTAGACGCGGCACGTCCGGCTGCGTCAAGAGCGTACTTCACCTTCCGTCTTCGAAGCAGAGGAGACGTCAGAAGCGCCATCTGCCGTATTTGGAGGGTGTGGTGTATGTTATACCTGACGTTGAAAAAAATAGTTACGGTTCGTTCCGGGGATGTACAGCGAAGCGTTATAGAATCAGCTTGTCGAGTCGGAATGAAGGAGTAAAAGGCATGTTCTAGCAGCGTAAATCTGTCTAGTACCCTGCAGAGTAGTATCGTGGACGTTTGCGATTCTCTCGTCTCCAAGCACCCTGTTAGCGCTGATGTTTCCATCAAGCTCAACACCAAGACCAAAGTCTGCTAGAGAAAAACGGCAAGATGCTGTGCCTGAATCTAGAGCCAGATGTACGCTACGACAAGACGACACATCACATCTTCACCCCACGAACTCCACCAAGAAAACTTGAAGCTGGCACATGTAATCGACTAACACTTACCATTTTCCCCGTCACGCCCAAACGATACGCCTTCTTTGCTGCGCCAATCAGGCTTTCAGCTTAGAGCAGTCAGATACTGGCACTACATGTGTCCAACCGGGCGATACTTTAAAGTAATTATGTGAAGCAGCAACATCTGCCCATCGATCCATGAAGATGACGACGCAGCTTCGGTTTAGATTGAATAAAAACAAGGTATCGCTTTATTTTACGGGGAAGAATGCCTTGGCACAGTTTCAGTGGTGTGAGGATATTCGCCTCTTCTCGCCACTGACGGACATCTTGGTCCAAGATTTTTGATGTGGCTGCGTGAACTCCACACGTCTGAGGTGCGAAGATCAGAAAGGACGTTTTGCATAATTTGGGCGTGAATGAAGCGTTGCGAGGAGATGTAAAGGGCTATTTCCTTTGGTTGTCAACAGGAAACTGGCAATTGGGTATTGGAAACGCAAGTGAAAAGAAAAAACTTCAGTCGTTTACTTATGGGTATCGAGAAAACCTCTGTGTGTAGAGGTGGTTTGGGTGGAAATGAATCTCAGAGAATTACCACCATCGATTCCCTTTCCCCAATCCCATTTGCCCATCACCTCCCGTTTCTTAAACGCCTCGTAATCATAATCGTACAAACCACCTCTTCGCACGCTTGCTCATATCTACCAATGACATATCTGTATCACAGTTAGCAAATCTCCCTCTCAAACCATCACAAAGATAGATGTCACTTACCCCACCCTCACTATCATCAACCTTCCACGTGCCTGCCAACCCCACAATCCCTCCTTCCGCCATCTTCCCCCCTTCAAACGCACCAACCCCAATATCCCCTGGTCCGTTATTCAACAACCGCTTCGCCCACGCATCGATCGCCGGCTCGCCCGTCTCATCCCTCGCCTGCTTGAGAAACGGAATGAGCGCCGTACCGCCCGTGCCACGCAATTTCTTACTACCACCCCTGGCAAGCGTGTTCGCGAGGTTGATTTTCGACGATGGGGCGGACTGTGGGGATAGGGAGCGAGTCTGCTCGCGCGACTTGACGATGATGTAGCGTGACACGAGTTGGATGTGTTTATCGCGGAGCGAGCGGAGCATGGCGAGACATGCATCGTACGCGGTCGTCAGCGCGCGGTCGTCTCGGTGCGAGTTAACGAACTCGCGGATATTCGCAACCTGCTCCATGTGGGAGAGGAAGCGGCGGTGGGGGCCGGGCATGTAGCGGCGCATGTCTTGAATGAAGCCGTGGGGCGGCGATTGCACTGCGCCAGAATCATGAGAGGAGGAGGAAGAGGGGTTAGGGGATGGCTTCTCGCCGGTAGGACGGTGCTCGACGCCCAGCACGATGTCGAAGAATTGGATGATGGAGGACTGCGCGTTGCTGCCGCCGCTGAACTGCACGTAGGGTTGGGTGCCGGTACCGTCGTCGAATATGACCCCGCGGGGGAGGCCGGCGTCGGACATGTTTTTGCTGCCGGCGAGGTAGGGGCGGATCCGGTGGTAGAAGACGTGGGGGTCGCAGCTTTCGTACATGCGCTCGAGGAGGGCGCCGAGCTCGTCGAGTCGCTCGGCGAAAGAACGCAGTGCCTTTGTCACGACGTTGATTTCGTTGTGCCGTGCTGCTGCAATGGCGTCAAGCATCAGCGGTACGATGGGTCCTGCTCTTGCTTCAATCGCTACTGAGACTAGGTAAAACCATGACTCGTCCATTGAGCCTGTGAAGGTCATCTGAGTGGAGAGGTTGTCGAGAGTGTCCATTGGTGCGTCCCTGAAGAGAGGTTGCCAGTTCCATAAGCACACACCTGCATATGTGGCGACTGGCGGAAGCTCTAGGTGTCGACATGCTTGAAGAAATGGTACTGAAATGGAAGGAGGGACAATCTACGTTGAACTGTTAGATCTCCTCCTGACTGACCTGATGTCCAATACTTACATCAGCAGGCTTCTCTCCACCCCAAATATAGCCATGGGCCATGAAGCCAAGGATGGAGTATGCTCGCCGCCATTCAGCTTCCGTGAGGAGTAGGTCGGTCTCGAGAATTGGCAGGTTCTCGATGATTTGGCGTAATCGCTTTGCAAGTATCAACTTCTGAAAGTTAAGTACAACGGTCTCCCATGGTCTGTAGTACGCATCGGGAAGAACTTCGAGGGGAATCTCGTCCGGAAGAAAGCCGTTCCGTGGTGAGACATCGTAGTCGCGGAGGACAGGAAGTTGCGGAAGCATTGTGGTTGGTGGGGTGTGCGGCGAGGAATTTATTGAGGTCGAGGATGAACTTCAAAAAGGGTCGGACTGTGGTCGAGGACTTAGGGTTTCAGAGCAACGCTTTCCGTTGTTGTCAGGCAGTTCTGAGGTGCGGAGGTCGTGAAAGGTGTCGCGTGATTGCGCTTGTAGTAGGAGAGCCGTGTAGCTATAGACAAAGCGCCTAAAGAGTCCGATTATCATCAATCAATCGCCAGTACGATCTTTTCGCTTTTCAAAAATGTCCCGCGAAATAACCGGCGGGTCGATTAATCTTAAGGTTATCGTGGGTGCGCGGGACAAAAGGAACGTTCCTTTTAAGCCTTGTAGTGGTGGGTAGAGCGGAGTTAGGTTCCTAGCGGAGACGCGGAAAGGTTAGTACTAGGACCAAATAGCTGAAGCAACCATAGGCCCTTCTGAAACCAAGTAAAAGCAGAGAAGATGATCACGTTCAATGGCAAATAGATCAGGTCATAGACAAGCTATCCGCGGCCGTGTCGCTCTGTCACAAGGCTGTAACCGCAGGGTGAGTACCGAGGAGGCAAATTTCTTCACGCGGATCGGGATCGGTCGAGATTAGTGATTTGAAGTGTTTACGGATCTTCTAGACACGTCTTAGCAATCACTTTACGCGCAAGTCGATGATTCTGGCATCCCCACATGGAGAGTCGCAAGGCCGTCGGCGGACGGTTCCGGCGAACAGAACGGAGTGGTCGAGACCCCTGCGAGGACCCTGCATGCCCTGCATGGTTATGGCGCAACGGGCGAGCAGCCGAAGTCGGGCGATCACTCGCGCCTCCGATCGAGCACATCATGGCCAGGTGAAACCATCGCGGTCACGGGACCGGAATTTGATGCAGTTGAGATACAGTGTCAAAATATGCAAGGTAAGGTTCAAACCAACACTATGAGTAAAAAGCTAGACACAAGAATCTTATTTAGTATGAACGCCTTGATGCATGTCGTTACAATATGGCTCCCATCCTTCGCTTTCCTCCCAGCTATCCAATAGTCGATTCATTACCCACATCAGCTCAGTAACATACGCCAGCATCAGGTCTGCTTTTCGGGGGGTATAAGCGTCGCTAAACAAGTATGAATGCATTCCGAACAATCCGACAGTTCCCCTCCTCGGCACTCCAACAGTATTATAATATCAGTGAAATCGTGTATCTATATTTAAGCCTATCGCCTCGTCGACGATGATAGACTGGCAATGGCAGCTGCGGACGCCAGATCGGGTTTCCCAGACACACTACGCTGGGCAACTCTTGGTAGGCCGCTATTGAGCGGGGCTCCGTTGACTGTACGCTTCACCCCCGCTGGCCCGGGAGCACCTTGCACAGTCGAGTGCCGTCGCTGCGGAGCAGCGCCTTTTACAGGCGAGTTGCTCGACGACACCTCGCGGTTGGTATTGACAGCGGCACCGTTCTTGAAGCTTGTCGCGGGTGGCTCTGGTAGTGGCCGCACGCGGGACTGTGGGGTCTGAGAGGTCGCAACGCGCTTCGCTGGAGACGAAACACCTGACATGCCATTCAACGGCTGTCGTTGACGAGCGGACTGACGGATACCGGTAATAAAGGGGTGTAGCATAGCCTCATCAGGCTTCATGCGGCGTTCTGGATCCCATCGCAGGCAGCGTGCGATGAAGTCAAGGAAATTATCGTCGTCGCACTTCAGCGCTTGCTGCAGTGTCTTGGAGCTGGGTCTTCGTCGGCGTCCTTTTGTCGACACAGTCACTCTTGGCTTCCCAAGCGAGTCGAAGAACAGCTTCTTCCTGCTGCTCTTCTCAATGAGGTGCTTCTCAGGAGGACCGAAGATCTCCATAATGCAAGCAAGCTGCTCCTGTTCGTTCTCTCCTGGGAAGATCGGATATCCGGTAAGCAACTCCGCGAGGATACAACCCAAGCTCCACATATCGATTGCTAGCCCGTAACTCATACCCAAAATGACCTCGGGTGATCGGTAAAAGCGAGACTGGATATAAGTATACACTTTCTCGTTCTCGAAACAGCTGGATCCGAAATCGATGACCTTAATCTCAGAGTGCAGCGGGTGGGCGAGTAGGATATTTTCGGGCTTCAAATCGCAGTGGATAACACGCTGCGTTTTTAGCAGGACCAGCGAAGCAAGCATCTGCTTGCAGAATCGACGGATGAGGCGGAGCGAAAAGCCCTTGAACTCATGCGCCTTGATGAACTCGTAAAGGTTCATACCTAGAAGTTCCGTGGAGATGCAGAGATGACCGCGGAAGTAGAAGCTCTGTGTAAAGTTGATCATGCTGTGCTTGTTATCGGGGTCCTGGCAATTGTTAGTTTCCATGTCAAGCACAGACAATTAGCGACTCACCCATTCGCGCAGCTTCTGAAGGATGTTGACTTCGACCAAAGCTTGCTGATGGAACCTCTTCTTGTTACGGATGATCTTGATAGCAACAAGACCACCAGTTTTGTGATCAACACATCGAACAACTTGACCAAAACTTCCCTTTCCAAGCAGATCGACGACTTCATATCGGTAAGCGAGGTGGTCGCCGAAGACGATGTTGTAGTCGCCCCGATCATCATCGTAGCCAAAGTTTGCTGTCTGTGCATTGAGATCGCCCACATGCTTCTTCGCGCTCTTCGTCCCACAAAAGAAAATCTCTTTGTAGTCAATAATCTCCCCTCTCTCGAAGATGTTCAGGTTGACCATCTGGAGGGCTTGCGCTGGCGACACGCGCTCTTGGGGCTTGGCACGTTTTCGGAGCTCATCTACATCGCGTGCTGCATTCTCAAAGTCTTTGCGCTTTGAGGCAAGCTTCTTCATCTCCTCATCTGCCATCAAGTCATCTTTGTCGAGATTTGGGTCCAAGTTGCGGGACTTGAGCATGTTAGATGAACTCTTCGACCCAAGCATTCGTTGCATAGGGGTCAAGATTGAGGATGCGGACTTGGGTACTCCCTGAGCTCCTGCAGAATCGTTGTATCCTGACAGAGTGCGCATTCCAGCAGTAACCGAGGGCTTGCGAACGCCGGGCTTCTCGAGCTCGGTATCACTCGCAACTGTTGCAGTGGATGTTTTGCGGCGGCCAAAATCAAGCGATGGCCGGGTCCGGTTCGTAGCAGGTGTAGGGCTCGTGCCAAGACTACCTAGTCCACCAGTCCACGTAGCCGAGGCTGGTAAGCGTGGTGGAGGCATGTCGCCATGCTTTGCTGACTGCGGTGCTGCATCGTCTGGTTTCTGGGAGCTTCTGCGGACCGGCGTGTTTTGAGCAGTATGTGTAGCTGCCTTAGACGGAGCTCGTCGCCAGCCGCTCAAGCTGAGCTTTCGCCTCAGTGATGAAGCAGAGGAAGGCGTCTCGGGTTCTGTCGAAGTAGAAGTATGTGCAGAGTCCGACGTATCCTTCTTTTGCAACGGGCGTGCACCGGCAGGCTTGATATGCTGCATTTCGACATCTTTCGCACCTGTGTAATGTTCTCCACTTGGTCGCGACTGTAAGCGGGCGAACTCTCCACTACCCTTTGGCAGCGAGTTTGAAGCAAAGGGCGTGGTTGTTTGTCGCGTTGGGTTCAACGTTGGGATGGGCATTGTTCCGATAGCAGGTGGTCCGCCAAACGGCTCTGCTGCGCGCAAATTGTACGCGGAGCTGCTGCTACGAATCTGTTGTTCAAAGTCATGATTTTTGTGAGGGCCACTCTTGTTAAAGAAGCTAGCCTTGGACGCCGTCATGGGGGTGCTAGGTGTCTTGTTGACAGCGCGCTTCGGCGGAGGCGTGACATTGCGATTCTCAACTTCACCGGAAGGCGCAGGGAATGACGAAATGCGGTTGTTGAAGGGTGTGCTCAGAGGTAGCAAATTCAATGGTGGAAGCCTGATTGGCTGCAAGTTCTTCTTTGTGGACGGCTGCGCAACAGGTGTCCGATCAGGTTCAGATCCGGAGCCAACTGTCAGGCCACGTCGATGTCTGATGGAACCCGTGCTCCCTTTGGACATCTCACTCCTAATAGATTGGTTGTGTGGTGTCTCAGCCTGTGGAGCTGCGTTAGTTCCGCTGTTGCCGGCTGGTGGCGCTGAAGGAGGTGGCGCTGGCATATGCGACTTGAATGACGATGTAGAAAAGCTGAAACTGCTGCGTTCTGGGTCCTTTGGAGATTCGTATGCCTTTGGAATGGCTGGCACTGGAGGTACCTCCTCTGGCTCTTCTCCCCCAGCTGAGCTATGCACGTTTCTAGGCTTTGGTGTAGGTAACCGTGAGCCTGACAATACGGGGTTGGCGCGTGTAGGTATGGCAGAACCTCCTTTGGTCAAAGAATTTAGGCTCGAATTTGAGGAAAGAGATATGCCAGAAGCGTACGACTTGCGATTCTGCTCGGGCGTTGCGCGCGCGGACGATGGGGTCACGCTCTTATCGAAGAGTATAGCTGGCGAGTTACTAAAGGCGCGTTCGTCGAATGACATGTCACCTTGCGGGGTTGGAGGAGCTACTGGACCACCAGGGGCATTAGGGTTCATGGATAGGCGTTTCAGTCTTCGAGCATCCGTTGGGCTGATTGTCCTTGCACCAAGCCCCGAAATGTGGTGTACAGTCGACTGCCGCTTACTGGAAGACGAAGAGGGCGTGTGAGCTCGCTGTGCGAAAAACTTTCCAGGTGAGCGGGTTTGGCCAATGGGAGTAGAGTCGGGATCTGGTACTGAGGAGGCTGATGTCAGATTCCCGGATTGCTGTCTTGACGGTGGCTGGAACGATTTCGCTTTGGCGTTGCGTGTTGCATTTGGGAGTTTAGGCACTCCTGTTGTAAGATTTGGGGGGTTGAAATTCGAAGAGAGCGTTTCCCGTCGAGCGCCCCTATTTAGAGAAGGTGCGCGGCCGATTGGCAATTGTGAGCTATCATTATGCAATCTTGACATTCCATCGGAGCTGTTTGTTGGCAGCATTCCCGGGCCCACACTCTTTCGTGGCGGACGGGCTGCCGGGTTCTGCGGTGCTGGTGCGGGGAACTGACTCTGACGACGCGTGCGGATTGCCATGTTCGAGGCAGGCGGTGGCATGGTCGACGCATCAGAAGCGGTCGAGGCCACGCTTGCCTGTCGGGCGGTCGACTGGCTAAAGCGGCGCACGAACGAGTTGCTGCGTGTCGGTCTTGCGTCTCCCGCTGTGGCTCCTGCGCTCGTCTGCATGTTTGGCGTGCTGTTGCTGACGGGCACGGAGGTCTTGAAGGTGCCCGGTGCGGGAAAGTCACTCAGGTCGGGCTCATAGGAGAGACTGTTTGCAAAGTCATCAAAGTTGACAGCAGGGAGAAAGTCGTATGTTTCGGTGGGTTCGATGACGGGTTCGGAAGGACTGTTGGAGTGTCCCTGTTGGGTAGAGAAGCTGAAGCGGGGATTGGAGGTAGCGGAGCGCGTGGTGGCCTCATTCGAGAGGGTTGGTAGGAAGGAGCGATTCTCAGCAGAAGACACGCTAGTCCCGCTAGTGATCCTGCACGTCCATGTCAGCCCTCGTCCTTTCTTGATTGTGTATACACTCTCACGACAACGTACCTTGGCTTGGAGAAGTCCTGTGGTCGCTCCCCTCGGCCCCCAGTGGATGTTTCACTCGCCCTCGCAGCGCCGGGTTGTTTATGGCGGGCGGGGGTCGCGATGTTGCCGACATGGCATTGGAGGCGCTTGTCTTGCGCAGTCGGCTGCCGTTGTCGGTTGTCCGCTGGAATTTGCGTACTCGGTCCTCTGTCGCAACGGTGTTAGTGTCGTGTTCTCCGCGGGGGTGCCCACATGGCAACGGAATGCATACCTGACGAGCCGCTCGACTCCTCGCCCGATACATTCGACCCGGATCGGGCTGGGAGATCCATGGTATCAGTTGTGCGGGTCCCTATTCGTGTGGACGTGGACATGGCCAACACCTGCACGGCACGTCTTCAACACCCCAATCACAAATGGCGTCGTCCTAACTGTCTCGTGGCTCCAAGGCGCGAAGACGGCTTCCAAGCGTCGAGCTTGGTCTCCGCCCCAGGCTATGCGGACATCTCGTTGGGCTCTCTGTCGGCGGTGAGGACGACGTTGCGGCGTCGTGCAATTGGCAGCAAGGGCGCGGGCAATGCGGAGACGGTGGGAGACGCGTGGGCGCCCGCAGGAAGGGTTCTGTTGTGCAGCAGAAGAAGGCCGCAGGCAGGTTGCCGTCGTGGTTGAAAGGTACAAGCGTTGAAGTGAGCAGCAGCCCGCCAAAAGCAGCCGATGCAGCCACTAGGTTGTCGGGTTGATCCACCCCTGCTACGCGAATCATGGCTTGACCTCGCAGATATCATCAAAAGTATTGCCTGGGAAACGGCGCAATGTCCACCATCACTCAGGAGAAATGTGCGCTGTCAATATAACATTGCCCCGTCCCACCGCGACTTGACCGCGATGCTGTCGCCGCCCACGAGCAGCGCAGACCCTCGCCGTACCACCGCCCACCCGCAGCAGGCACTGCGCGACGCTGTAGCACACGGCGGGCTAGGAGACCCTAGCACTCATAGCATGTGCATTTGACCCTTTGATCGGCATTGGCCACTGGAGAGGCATGGCCCCTGCCTGCGCGACGAAATTTGTTGTTGACCTCAGTGCCTCAGTGAAATGACGGCGGAAGCGGCCAGCTGCCGCTGAACGTGGGCGTGTGCGTCTCCGCAAATGGTGTTTCACTCGCCAACGGTCTGAGGAATGGGCCATGTCCAAGTGCCAATGTGTATGCTGCACCTGTCTTGTTTCGTCTCTAGCTTTTCCCACCGAGCACGGGCTCGCGTGGCTGCCCTCCTCTCAGGCAGGAAGGCGCGAGCCCAGCCAACGCCACACCTAACATCCGTGCAACCCACCATGCCGTCATCCCCACACGGTAGACCTGTCACATGCGGGTCCAGCAAGAGTGAATCCTCCGCGACCTATTCCCATGTGTGCATCGACAGCCTTCAATGTTAGCTTCAACAAAGAGTGTAGCTGCTTAGCCACACGTACTTCGAGCGTAGACAACGTCTGAGCCTGCAGCCTGCAGACGACCATCACGTGGACCTAATGAACTGAAACCTGTTTATCATCAACAACAAATCCTCGTTACCATCTAGCAAGAGTAATAGCTGGAACTCATCTGGAAACGTTTCTCGGACCATCATGGCTTCCGACGAGCAGGATACGTTTGCCAACCGCGAAGCACCTATACCCCTCCTGCAAGTACATCCGGCAGACGACAGCACACCAAAAATATTGACGCCAAGTACTGAGCATGGTCACAGTCGCCGTCTTTCGGCCAGCAAGCTCAAGGACAAGCTGGAGTCTCTTGGCGACAAGAGTGGACGCGATTCAGCTGGCCGGATGGGAGACAAGATGTTCAATCTGTATGTGCACCGCTACCTGCATGTCTTCCCTTCATCGCTTCAGCTACTAATCTCACAAGTCTCCTCTCACAAGTCCTTCCAACCGAGGATTTCTCAGACAATTCAGACAGCAATGATGCATCTTCGTCAACCCGTGTCAAGGACCGACGCTCTCGCACTTATGTTGCGCGCCCCAACTTCTCCATTCCCACCATGTCATCCAACTTCCGACGCTTCAACTCCCGCATAGGCGTCGCATTCATCCTTCAGAACCGACTCATCCATCTGTTCACCTGGGCCGAGCCAACCCAAACGCTTTCTTTCTTGTTTGTCTGGACCTTCCTATGCGTGGACCCGTATCTCTTGCCAGTACTACCGCTAGCCAGCCTGTTGTTCTTCGTCATGGTGCCAAGCTTCCTCACACGACACCCAGAACCCGAAGTCCACGTCGGTGATGCCGACCTCTGGCAAGGCAGTCTCAGTGGCCCACCCCTCGCCAATGCCCGAACCATCAAGCCCGCCCCCGAATTCTCCAAAGACTTCTTCCGCAACATGCGCGACCTGCAAAACTGCATGGAGGACTTCTCCACCATCCACGACGCCGTCCTCGCCTTCCTCACACCCCTAACAAACTTCTCAAACGAGAACCTCAGCTCCATGTTGTACATCCTCCTCCTGCTCCTCTCCTGCACCCTCTTCATCAGCGCGCACCTCCTCCCCTGGCGCCTGATCTTCCTCGCCATCGGCTACACCCTCACCGCCCTCGGCCACCCCACCATCCAAGACCTCCTCGCCACTCCGGAGAACGAAAAACTCCTCTCCGACACCGAGCACGAAGGCCGCTCGTTCCTCCTCACCATCAGCAAGGCCGACATCGAACTCGAGCCCACGCAGGAATCCCGCGAAGTCGAGATCTTCGAGCTCCAGCACCGCGCCCTGCACGATGAGCATGGGGAGTATGAGGGCTTCATGTTTAGCTCCTCGCCGTATTCGCCACTATCCCCAGCACGCATCTCGGGCGATAAACCGCGTGGCACCCCGTTCTTCGAAGACGTACTCCCGCCCCGCGGCTGGCGCTGGGCGGACAAGAAGTGGACGCTTGACCTTCTCTCGCGCGAGTGGGTAGAGGATCGGTGTGTGACGGGCGTAGAGGTGGAGATTGAGGGGGAGCGCTGGGTGACGGATTTACACTACGAGGTTCTGGAGAGTGACGGGGAGAGGGAGAAGGCGAAGAGGGCGAGGTTGCAGAAGAAGCCGGGGAGTAAGGGGAGTAGAGATATCGGGGCAGAGGAGAAGGAGGTGCTCAGACGGGCGTGGGAGAGTCATAGGCCGAGTCGGAAGGGAGAGTGGAGGCGGAGGAGGTGGGTGAGGGGCGTGGAGAGAGTGCCGATTAGGGGAGAGTAGGGATGACGAATACCAACTTTATGCTTGCTGAAGCGAGAGTAGTAGACATTGGTGGAAAGTGACCCCTCATGAACTTGGATCAGCTTCATCATCTGATGCATTTCACATATATATGCATACCACATTGTTGTAGTGGTACCATATATTTAACCCAACATGTCTGTCCCCAACCCATCCCCACTCACGCCCTCCCAACCTTAAAACTCAATATCTGCACCCATTAGCACTCACTCACTCACTCACTCACTCACACACTCTTCCCATCAAAACTTACATCATTCTTCCCCCTAACCACCAAATCATCCTCCGCTACCCTCCGCCCCCCCTCCGTCTCCACATACGCCATCGGCGCATCCCCCATAACTTTGCGATAAACATCGCCCACCGTACTGCCCCTGCCCACGAGCACGCAATCCCGAAACGCCGCCGTCGAACTCGCGCTGCCCGACGTAAAAGTGTGAATATTCCTCACGGGAAAGACAGGCACAAGCCCAAGTAGATCCGCGGCGCGCGACAGGACCTGCACGACACCCGTGCTGCCGAAGCGGTAGAGCACCATATCCTTGAGGTTCTCGATGCGGGTGGAGAGTTTGTCGTCGAGGTCCTTTAGATCGCCGCCGGTAGGGTCGCCGGCATCTATCAAGTCGGCTTTGGTGTCGACGAAGTCGCTGCCTTCTGTGTATTTGACGAAGCCCTGCTTTGCGAGTTTCCTGAGGAACACTTCTGAGATGGCGGAGCACAGGACGATGGAGTTTGGGTCTTGCTGCTTTGCGATTTTGGCAATGTTCTTGTCGGCGTCGGGGTGGTCTATTTTGTTGAGGGCGATGACGGTGGGGAATTTCTCATCTGTGAAGGCATTGACGACGCGTTCGATTGTTTCGTTACTCCAGTCTTGCAGGGGTTCTTTGAGGGCGAGTTTGTCCAGACAGCGCGCGACGACAGCCGTCGTAGATCCATATCCTGAGAATTGGTTTTGCAGGGTTTCCACAGCGGTTGCTTTGACGGCTACATGACGCCGTTTAATACTTCCCCATTTCTCCATTAGGTTGCCTTGGATCCAGCGCACGATTTCGCTGCGCAGCCATACAATGTCTTGCGAGGGGTCGTAGCCGCGGGTGGCTTTCCCTTCGGCATCGGTGGTGCCCGAGACGTCGACGACGTGGACGAGGGCGTCGGCGTGGCGCAGGTCGTCCAGAAAGCGGTTGCCGAGGCCTTTGCCCATGTGTGCGCCTGGGACGAGACCGGCGACGTCGAGGAGTTCGATGGGGACTGAGCGGCGGCCATCGATGCAGGAGCCGTAGTTAGGTTTACATCGGTCTGAGACACCTACGCGGGCGCAGGCGCATTCGATCTGGAGGTAGCCAATGGCTCTTTGCGGGTCGATTGTAGTGAATCTTGGAGAGATCAAGTCAGTGGGTGTACAGTAGCGAATGCGCCGCCAGAGTTGGTGTTGCGATATGTCATGCGATCTTGAGAGCTCGACGTGGGGCATGCGGTCTCGAGGAAGGGAAGACTTACGGAAAGTTGCCTACTCAGCTATCAGCCATTATGCTTCGCCATTCTCCAACATGTAATTACGGACCAACTTTTGACGTGGCATCTGTCAAGCTAATGTCGCAGAGATCAGAGGTGTCTGTCGTAGAGGAGGGGCAGTGCGCACCTGTTGAGCGTTGTGCTCTTGCCTGACGAAGGCTTGCCAACGAGGGCAATCAAAGGATCTCGTGGCATAGTGTAGCAGGAATGCGACCAGGCCGCTGGGTATCAAAGAATGAAAGAGTGTGATGTATGCGACTGTCGCGCGATGTGGTGGCCCAGTTCGCGCAGGAAAATCTTTATCGATAAGCATCGTCAGAACTGAAGTTCGGAAGTGACATCACCTCCTCAAAACAACACCTCAGTGACGCCAAAAAGTGTCGTGGCTCGTGGCGACGAATGCGAACAACATCAATTCACTGTTTTGATAAACCGCCCGTTCGTTTACAGTGAATGCTGCAGCTATCACTGGATATTCGGTTGCGTGACTACCACCGTGATGAAACCGGTGGTGCAGGTAAGCACGCGAGTCTATATGCTTGCTACGTGATCCAACGGCCTCTACTTACCTAGTACTGGTGGGATTCGCCTTGGTGAGCTGTAACTAGCCACACCTTTCTTCCCTCATCTCTATAAGCCACCTTGTCAGATTTCTCGCTTCAAGGTTCTCACACATTTTTTTGTCAGCATGTTGAACATGTTCAAGCATCTGTTCTCCGGAGCCATGCCTGCTGTTGGCCTCGCAGCGTATATTAACACTCTGCATAAGCAAAACAGAACCAGGTTTAATGGATTCGACCAAAAGCTTGATAGCCTTCATGGCCTGGCCGAGAGAAAGATTGTCATGCTTCAGGCTGTTAAGGATACCAAAGGGACTTTGAACGAGACCACCATGGAAGATACCAGCTTGAACGACGCGAGTGAGCGAGTACAGGAGCAAATATCAAATTTGTTGGAATTTGTTCACTCCTGCGCTAGCGCCGACTCGGACTCAAATCGCTAGAGGTCGTCGACATTGTGCACACCCAGTGATCTTACCTCCCGCCGGTGACCAGTTCATCCCCACCCCTTCAATCAGCAGGCTAGGCGGCCATACAGCTCACTTTCCCTCTCCCTCAGTCTTCTTCTCCCTGCGCTGGGCTCTTCCCAATTGCTATTCCTTCTGCCATCAACCAACGACCCTCCGCCACTTCCAGATCAGGATCTTTGGTACCTATCGCCTAGACCATAACAAGTCCACAACCCACGAACATGTCTTCAGACCCAAAGCCGACCAATCGTTACCGAGCTCTTCCTAGCCCGGAGCGAGTTCTTCATGACTGGAGTCCAACCTATTTATCCCCTTCCAGACGAAAACTGCTCAATCTGCGCAGACGCTCTAGAAGAAAACGTCGTCGAGATAATCATGTGTCAACACAGCTTCCACACTATGTGTATCCTCACATGGCTCTCCGCTACAGATGGCATGCGCAACCGTGCGTGTCCAAACTGTAGGATCTGCCTGTTTGACCCCTCAAATCCTGGCCCTTACATTGCTCCTGATCCACGTCCAGGCCTCGAACTAGAACCACCACGGATTATGGGCCCCCGGGAGACATATATACAGGAACAGCGTCAACGGGTAGCAGAGCGAAGAGCTGCTGAACTTCAACATGTTCCAGCCCCGCGACTCAACGCAATTGTGAGAGAACTTGGTAGTCCAATCTCTCAGCGCGAATATGAACTCCAAACACGCCAAGTCGTAGAGGAGCGAGAAGCTGCTGAACAGCTGCTTGCTGCTCCCAACAACACTGTTCCCGACCAGCCCAACCCGGACATAAACGCAGCCTATGATCAAGAACGACTTGAAGCCGAAGCGGCCGAGATTCCTGCATCTGTTGCTCAACCCGAGAGCAGTGCGCGTGGCCCGCCCAATCGTCGAACGCAAGCTAGTCTCGAACCTGCTCGTCAACGGGCTGTCCGTCGTCTTCGAGCAGGCCGTGGCCCTGACAATCCAATCATTGCACCTCGCGATACTCCTCGACCCGTTCGTCGACGAGCCACCCGTCGTAGTCGAGCAGACAGCGTTGACACTCCAGCTATCGCGCCTAGCAACAATTCTCGCGACGATGTTCTAGCCGCAGTCCCCGTTCCCTCGCGAGAGCTAGATTCGCGCGAATTGCGCTTAGTACGTCGGGTTCGACGGCGCGAAGAGGCGGAGGCGGCGGCTGCGCTTCGGCGTCGTGGGTGAGCATGGGGTTTTGTGCTTGACTGGCATACAGAGTATATGATGAACATAAAATCGGAGTGGGATGTGAAGGCCGAACTTAGTTTTTGGAGTAGGCTGTAAAGGATGCACCTGAATGGCTTTGTTTGCGAGATTAGGAGAAAGATAGTTCAGAAATAAAAGATTGAAATGTACCAATGGGACTCGATAGAGATTCAGTGTTGCATTCAATCACCTTCTTTGGATCGGCACCTCCCTTATACTTGCAAATGCCTCGACGACCAGATAGGCCTAAGCAACGACATAACTCACACCATATAAAATACACAGTGTCGTAATGACTATAGTTCCCGCCTAGCTAATTCTACGCTTGTTATAGGCAACCTATATTTTATCGATAAATAGAAACATATGCGCAAGCAGATTTATGACAAGCTAGAAGGCTGCACAGAATATAACCTAGACAGAGCTCATTCGCTAGAAGAGTTATTTAAGAGCTATAGGGAAGAAGTAATTCCATGCTGTAACGTAGGTTCAGTCCTCAAGTAAGCCGACAACGCTGCCCTCTTGGCCGAGAACGCGAATATTGGTAGCTGACATAATCAAGTACGGCTAAAAGTTTTCTCCTCGTGTTATAAGTGATATACATTCAGTCAAGAGCTCTATCAAACTATTTGTCTTTGTCTTCATCTTCATCGTCGTCCTCGTCCTCGTCCTCTTCTTCTCCTTCTTGTTCTTCTCCGTCCTCCTCCTCGAGAGGCTCCTCAACTTTTACAGATCTCTTTGCCCTTCCCTTTCCTCCACTCGGATTTGCAGCCCACACATCTGGTCTCGATCCCTTGACGCCAACTTTCGCAGTCCCCGCCGCCGGATACTGTTTCCTAGCACGCGGTCTCTCTGGATCATATTCATCATACCTCAATTCCGACTCCCTCGCATTTTGGCTGTCATTGCCTCGTAGCGTTTCAATGTATTGCTCAAATTCTTTCGCTGTCTTCGCGATGTTGGCAAAATTGGCCTTCGTCAACTTGATGGAGCGCCACTTCTTCTTGCCTGTCTTCATAGCCTCCTCAGGCGTCATACCTGCTTCGCGAATCTTACCAATTCGTTCATAGTGACCCAGAGCAAGAGCAGTTTGGAAGGCGTTTCGGATTTGGCGACCGTTCCAGGTCACACCCATGCGTTCGCATTGCTCGAAGTGGCGCTGAGCGAACTCGAGCAAAAGCTCCTTATCGAAGATGACTTTGACATCAGCGGTCTTGTTATCAGCTTCTATGCGATTGAGGATATTGGTCCATTGCTTTTTCGTCGAGTCGAGATCGACGCTTGGGTAGCGGAGAGAGATGTGGACACGCGATTTGAAGGCTTCGTCGATGACGCCTGGGCGATTCGTCGTCAAGAAGAGGATACCGGCATAGTATTCGAGCTGGCGGAGGAAGACTGGCATAGTTAGCTGGGCGAGACTGGTAATTCGAAGTACACAGAGCAAGACCTACTGGAAGTGAGAGCGTTACGCTGTAGGTTAGCCCTATAATTGACGCTACATTAGCATTTGTTACAAATACACCTCAAGTAGGGGCCAGTCGTAGTAGGAACGGCGCTCTGACTGACCAATCTCGCTGGACAAGGAAAACGTCCGCTTCGTCCAAAAGCAAGACACACCCCCATTGGTCTGCCCTCCTTGTGTGTTCAAGCAGATTCTTTTCTACTATTTCTGGGTCAGTGCCAATATCGCCGCATGTTATGGAGTACAACGGGCGGCGGGTATAAGCAGCGATGGTTTCTGCAGTGGAAGTCTTGCCAGAACCTGGCGGACCGTGTAGCAAGATGATTAAGCCTTGGCCTTTGCCTCTGACTATATCAATCTGCGTTGGCACCGCTGTCTTTGGAAGCTGCTTGCTCTTCAGCTCTTTACGCTGAAATCCGGATGCATGGCTATCAACAAGAGCTACCAGGAGATTGCGGTAGCGCTTTGGTATTACGAGGTCGTCAAATCCTGCTGCCCGCGCTTCTGCTGATTCATGGTCGATGTCCTCGATCAAGTTGAGGTCCAGAGTGACTAACAACATCAGACAATGATCAATCTTCGACATATAATAACAGTAGGTACTCACACCATTTTCGGAGCTGGAAAGCATACCCTTCGATACAATGTGGCATCAGAGCAAGCATTTCGGAGCTAACATTCGCCTCGTTCGGCACGAATGGCTCCAGACTCAAACGATTCAAGGTCATAAAGTCATCGGAAAACTTGGCATCTATCTCGTTCCCACTCTGGACCCATATCGTGTTCCGAGAAGTCTCTTCCACTTCCGCAGGATTCTGCTTGCTCCGTAGAAGTCTTCCCAGGATGGGTTTCGTAAGCGGGTTATCCTGATTATATGCGTACGAGTCCACGTAGACATCGCTCTGGATCTCGAGTTCGCTGTCCTCTCGTGTCAAAGCGATGGTCTTGCCTTCGTAGCTCTTGTGTCCGCCGTTGAAGAGGTATCTGCGCCCTCTTTCGACCATATCGCGTAACAACTCGTCTTTCTTGGGATGGAAGCGCAAAGGATACATGGCCAATGCAGTTACCTCCTTTGACCCTTCGTACGGCCATATCTTTTGGCAATTTTCGATAGGCCCACAGCGCTCGCCATCGCTCAACATACTGTAGCAGTCAACCTTGAAGGGGGTCCATGTTCCGATGCCGGAACCCTCCTCGCGAAGCATCTTGTCTACTGCCTCTTCTTCACTTACTCCCTGGCCAACTGCAGGCTGCCAGTATCGTACTTTGTCTCGTATGTGGTCGATCTCTGTCACCTCAACGCTGGTACGGGCCCGCTTGAGCGACTGCCCTCCAGAGGTGAAGTACACTTTGTATAGCCGCGGGGAACCATTCTCCGCAGTCGAGTAGACCATGTCTCCCGGTTCAAATAGGTGCCAAAGATCCTCAAAATGGATTTGTTGCAACGTCCCGTCCGTGATTTTGCTTCTCGTACTTAGAACATCACCTAACTCTTCCTTCACAAAGTCATGCAATATTGTCAGATGCTGATACTGCGTTGATGCGAGATCCTTGGCGTCAGTAGCGAGATCGTTGACCCCCAATGGACCTTGTGTCAGCTCAGTGGTATTATCATCAACTTCCGACTCGGCCTCACTGTCAGAATTGTGCTCCTTGACTTCTCCGCTCTTTTCGGGAGCATAAATTCCCGGTGAAACCGCTATCTCGCAATTGTTCGCGTTGTCAGACATTTTTGAGGGTTGCTCGGGGGGAGCTTCTTGCGGCTTCTTGTCGTCGTTCAATTCCTCCGCGTCCATAACAGCTAGCTTCTCTCTAAGTTGCACCAACCGTTTTTCAGCATCTTCAACAAACCGCACGAGGATCTTTAATACCATTAGACACGATGCGCCATAGCTGGAGTATATTTACCTTGTAAGGCGGAGCAATGCTTCAGCGGATTGTTCGTGTTAGCAAATTGTTGACAAAACATAGCGCGGTATCCTACTAACATGATAGGTTCAACTGCTAACGGAACGCCTGTTAGATCCAAGAACTCTTGGAACAGATATTCGGAATGTATCAAGATTCTCTGCAAAGATCTCAGATTGCCTAAGCCCTTAGGCATCATGGAATGCCTCTTCGTGGCTTCTGAGTGGCAGTCCCCGTCTTTCGGTAACTCCGCTGTTGTCTGGGGCATGCGCACATAGAACGCTTCTATAATAGGTCGTGGGTACGTGGTCGATAGCCAATTGCGTTTTCTCCAGACTTGCATTGACGCTCGCTCGACTTCACACGTCCATGTCCTCCTGCTATTAGGTCCTTAGTCAGCTTGTAGACTCAAGAACTAGCATAGCAAGCACTGGTCTAGAGCGTCAATGCAGTATATCTAACACATGACTGTGGCTCTGATCAAGTGCTGAATGTGCATAACGTCGGAACGTGCATTAACGTCTTCTGTAGTGAAGGCTCCGAATTCAGGTAGTGAAACTTACAGAAAGTCTGCAAAAGACTCGCCAGGTCCCCTTTTGCCTGGTGCGAGCGCAGAAGGTTTTGGCGAAGATGTTCCATGAGTTGTGTCGGGGGGTGGCCCATTAGACGCAGCTGCGGACTCTTTATTCCCAATTTCACTAGTTGCCAGACGGTCACTCTTGACATCATTCGCTGACGTTCCTGAATCATCCTTGCCTACTGTATTCTCAGACTGCGTAGCAGCGGTGCGACTGTTCCCAACTTCGTCGTTGACTGGTTTTGCCTCTCGCGTTTCGGCATTGGCCTCCTGTTGGAGATCTGCATTACCGGTAAGTTACTTCCGCCGCTAGCAGGAAGAGCCTCGCTTGTCGAACTCGCCATACCACTAGGAGTTCCATCAACCACATTGCCCTTCGTTTCTGATGTTGAACTCGGCATCGAAATAACTCACTCGAACGAGACAGCCAAAATGATTATATGATGAAGCAGGAAGGAATTTTGACTGGGCGCGTCAGGCTGAGCTTTATGTTTGCACAGCACACGGGTGACACGCAGACCGGTTTCCGCCCCCAAATCCAGAACAACCAATACCGTATCGTACGCCCGCCCAGATAAGCAGCCAAAGGATCATCAACCCCGCTTTCTCTCAGCCTTGTTGAGGTTGCCATTCATGTGCGAGAAAGGGAAGCTTGGTGGAGACTTTTTCACGATCCAAAATATCGTCGCAGCGACCTTGAAACGATCTTGGACAACATGGCAGACTATGAGGTCGCTGAATATATGACGACATCGCTCGCCGGACAACTACATCCAGCCCTATTGGCAACACCAGGCTCTGGTATCGCGTTCGATGGAGTGAGGAAGCGCTGGGTGCCCGAGTCCGACACTGTCGATCGTATCATGTACAGATCTTCGGACGCTTCGCAATAGCTCTGTCCTGACTGCTGCAGACAATACGATGATATCTACAAAGTTGCACTCGATGCCCGAGATCGACTGCTGGCAACAGCAAACAAGTACCGAAAAAAGGCTAAACAGCCGATGCTAGACGTTAGCACCTGTCAAAACTGGACGGATGTAGAACAGTCGGTTCAAGACGCTTGCACAGGACTTGAGAAGCTGGCCGTCAAGGACAAAGATATGTCTGGATCTCTGGGAAAGCTGAGACGTGTATTTCGAGGCCTATGCCGCAATGCTGGCGTCGGACAAACTGCCGCCACTTTGATACCTAACGATTCCTTCGGATTCACTTCTGTGCTTTGTGGCAGTCTCAAAGCAGTCTTTCTCGGTCTACGTATGACCGGCATGTATCGCCGGGAGGTGTATACGATCCTAGAAGACCTGCCAACTCAACTAAAGGATCTAGCAGCAAATGTCGAGTCGCATGATCAAGACGAAGACATCCATCGTCGAGCTGCAGCATTATATGTAGCGGCGTTCAATCTTCTGAACCACATCCTTCATTGGTTCTTGAAGAACAGCTGGAGTCAGTATACGGCCGATACCTTTTAAAGAAGTTGAAGCTGACGTAGCAGTCACCGGTGTCAAGATTTTCGCTGATCCGATGGGTTTTACAGAAAAGCTCAGAGAGTATCAGGCAGAGCTCAAAATGGCATCTCAAAGCTTCGAAACACGTCTCAGTAAGCTCGCACGAGACGACGGGCAGCAGACTGTGCAGCTGCAGTACTGGGCCAATGTACACTCACGCAAGTGCCCAAGCAAGCATCGATAAGCGGCTGGGCACGATCGAAGAAAAGTTGTCCCCGTGTTGATGTGCTGGAGAATATCAGCCCTTTGTTGAACAATATCTTTGGTGCTCTTCAGGATAGAGCGATCGGCAACCTCAACAATCAGCCTCAAAAGACTCTTTCTGCTGTGGACCCGGCACACATCTTAGCGCACTTTCTCTACGATGAGAAGCTTGTAGAGAACGATTGCGCATCTCTGAACAGCAAAGCGGACCGCGCACGGCGACTGAGTCTAGATCCAAGTCGCCTCGCAGTGCTCCAGTCCAGCTCGCGATTACGCGCGTGGCTTACTGTCGATGAGCCATCGCTGCTCATACTCAATGGACGAGCTGAGCCAAGACCAGATTCGGAGACCTCACTGTTCTTGGCGAAAGTCTTCCACCAACTACTTTCAACACCATAGGGCCACCCACGTGAAAGACGACGTCAGTACCTTTTTCATACCCCTGGCGTTTTTCTGCAGCCAACATCGAGATTGGCAAGAGGATGATAACGGTAGTCCAGAAGAGTTGGCTATGAGTCTATTGCTGCAATTGATCGACCGAGGCCATAGAATCCTCGACCCTGCTGTACTACGCTTGTGCTATGATCGCTTGAAGCCAGGAAACATGGAGCCAATCTTCTCCATGTTCGAGTCTCTCGTGGTAAGTCTTGGGCGCAACGTAGTTTTGACCATCATTGTCGATGGACTGCGATTCTTTGCCCAGCCACGAGAGAGAGGCAACGGCTTAAGAGACCTGATTTCCCGTCTTGTCAACCTTTGCAGAGACGAGCTAGCTGCAACGCTCAAGCTCCTTTTTGCAAGTCCTACCAAATGGGAATTCACTGAAGAAATTTTCGAGGACGAGGAACTGCTAGAACTACCACGGGAAATCTCCAGTGCGGTCGCGTTGTCACCTGCGAGACAGCGTGAAGTTTTCCACAGTAGCGTGTAGGTCGTGTTCTGGTCAGATTCCATACTTCAACCTACGCGCAGGTAAAGAATAACATACACACAACCACTAGTAAACATACGAATGGTTTCATCTCAAAATAGTGACAGCACCCTTGCTAATTACCCCAATGGCGCAATACATAACAGCACAACCGCCGTTTCCTCTTCACATGCGCTTTCCCTATTCGCGACGACATCAGGCTAGATACTTTCTGTCGTACCGCAGTTTTCCTCATTTAAATCGGAGTCCGACGTCCTCACATGCAACCCTCCAAGGCTTCCTATACTTAGCTCCTCCATCGAACCCTTCGTAACACGCTCCAGCTGCAACACACCAACTCATAATCCTCAACTTTACGTCTCAGATACGTATATGGAGCCCAGTCCATTTTCACGCTTCCCACGCAGTGAGCGACCGTTTGGGACATTCGGGGAGCAGCCACCTAGTCACCCAGCACCGACTGCCTGGACTGATTTTGGAAGCTTTCGAATGTCACAAGCTTCAGGCGCCGGCCGCGTGATGCCCGCTCATACGCCTCATGTAAACCATGACGTACAGAGCCTCCCACGATCAGCCCCAGCCTCAGCGCTTGCTTTGACTCAGCCTGATATGCCAACTCTCCGATCTCGAAATGAGTTGCTCATAACCGGTGTCATGCCCGTTCCCCCTATGCCTGACTCGAACTGTTCCATCTGCACTGAGCCGCTCGCTTCTGACGTCGTCAAGATGGTAGCATGTGGCCATGCACATCATTGCGTCCGTGTTCTATCGTGGTTCCTGGGAAGCGGGCATAGTAATCGACGGTGTTGCAACTGTAGAGAGCCTCTAAATGACGCCGATCCAGCACCATTTCGCCCAGCGTTCCGTACTACAGAAGCAGAACCCGACCAATGGCCCCTGATACGTATGGGGGAAGACTGGAGTACAACTGCTGGCTCTACGCCCCGGCCAGCATACCCAAGTCGTCTTTCTATCCATCCACGAAGAAGGGATAATGGCGTGGATCCTCTGCAAAATCCGTTCGTATTTCGCCCGAATCGATTGCGCAGCTTTGGCGGCCCGCCAGAGATCTACAACCCGACACTCTCCGCTGGCCAATTTAGTGGCCCGCATCTATCCAACATGCATTTCCCTCGACCCGCTCACGAAATGAACGTTGAAGAGAGTCAAAATAGCGATGCTCAGACTCCGTCGATACTTACACGTCGGCCACCACGCGGACCACCGATGAATGTACGAGGCCCTCCGACACGCAACCTCACTCCTCTTGAAATGTCGATAAGCAGGCTCAATCCTCTTGAGACGTCAAACTCTCTTTCACGGGCTCCGCGGCTCAGCGTGGAAGACAACGATACCTCACGTCGTAGTGGTGGTCGCCCACGGGCTATCCATCCTTTGGAAGGTTTCCGATCCTCCATCGAAGAGCTTTCGAGGACATCTATGTTTCGCGCAGCAGCGCCAGTTGCACCAGGAAGGCGTCTACGAATGTCATATAGCCGGCCTGCACCACCACGCACTATTCTTTGTGCACCTACCCCTGTTTATACTTCGGAGTTTTATGAACTCCACCTCTCCGAGTGGCCTTGAGACTGTGTACAACATGGTCACTTGGGTCATTCCTTTTTGGTGAAGTGAGAGAGGATTCAGCTCTTCTACAGAGTGACTCTTTGGTAGATGGGAGATGAAGATTCGGGAGGTGTTGACTTCTAGCTCGAGACTTAGCGAATGTGCGGAGCGAGGCGCAGCTTACAGTGATAATGTGGAAGTGTCATGATTCTTGAAACTTTGATACATGTGCTTCGCGTTGTGATGATTGTTGAATATATGTGGATGAAAAGAAGGACGTGCCGAGTTCGATGTGTTTGCGAGTGCATTGCACACGATGAGGATGACAAAAGACAGTCATATTGTTATCGCATGACTCGAGCCTGTCATGGTACGGTCATGTAATGGCTATTACCTTCCAATCGTTTTGGATTTAATGAAGTACTGTTACAGAAGGCATCGAGCTTGCGCCAAATGAGATCGCCGTTTTTTAAAAGACGTATCATCCCTCACTGCGTTATGAAAACAGCAACACCGACTTAACATACGTTCAGACCTACCAGGCTCATCGTTCCAGAGCGCAGTACCTTCTTAGAATGTGGTACCTCGGGGTTGACAAAAAGTGCCAAGTATGGCTACACTTTCACTTCAGCGATCCGCCTAGCCCGCTTTACAACCCACTCTCACCGCGGGACGCTAGTATTGCTGTTCCACACTTTTCTCTCGTTCAATCCAACTCTCCGCAAAGGCTTTTGTTTGCTCACTCCAATCTCGTTCGCTCACTCTTCCACCTTCGATCTCCCTGATAAGACTCTTCGTTGCTTACCATCATTTCCACTCCCTCCTCTCTCGATTCTTTCAATACGGCTATCCAAGCTCGCCAATCACCATAATGGCGCCAACAATGCCCGCTCTGCGCTCCCAGATGAGTTCTTCCTCGCTGGCGTCATGGCCACCGGCCCCATCGACGACACCTGCTCCATTTGCACCGAGGCGCTGGAGCATGATGTCGTGAAGTTGATCGGCCCCAAGAGCTGCGGCCACAGTTTCCATACCACCTGTATCGCGACTTGGCTGTCGGGAAATGCCAAATGCTCATGTCCAAACTGTCGCGAAATCCTCTACGAAAACGCACCAGCTACACTACCTGCGCGGATCTCAACTAGATTAGAATACAACGGATACCAGCGACTATCAGCGCCCTTCTTCGGCGTTACCCCAGTCCGTCGATATCTGGACCCGATTTCGCCTGGCCTGAGACCTACGACATCCACTTACACCCCTGCATCTCCTAGATACAGCCCGGCCACTCCCAAAATCCGCTCACCTCGCTTAACGATGCTCGAGGACGGCGCAACATCCCCTAGATACAGTCCCCCAACACCGCACTTCGCACCAAGATCTCCCTCATACGCGCCAGGACTTCCCCCAACGACGCCAACATACAGACCTACGACTCCGACCTTCATAGACTTAACGTATTACTCGCCAACACCGCCGATACTCATGCCTGAGTCTCCGACATACACCCCACCTTCTCCCCGATACTATCCTGCATCATTCGAAATCAACCTTCTCTCTCCAGGATACGCCCCGACGAGCCCCGGAATTCGCTCACCCACCTACGGTGCTCCGTCACCAGATTTAGAGCCAGCATCTTCCTCGCTCTCACTAACGTCACCCACATACACGCCTACATCTCCTCACTTCACGCCTACATCTACTCCATATGTGCGAACATCTCCCTCATTCTATCGACCATCCGGCTCTAGATCTCCCTCATTCTATCGACCATACGGCCCCGCATCGCCCACATATAGCCCCACATCTCCTGTTATCCCGACATCGATAGGTTCACCTCCCATCAACTTCACCCTGGGTAGTCCAACGTACTCGCCACCATCGCCGTCTCGACTTCCTTCGGCTAGGATTCAGGAGAACCGCTTGTTCCGCCGCAGACAGCGTCGCGAGGAGCATGAGATGGAGAGTCACCGACGTCGTTGAGGGAAGGCTGGAGGGATTCGGTTGTCAAGACAAGATTGGTATGGACGGCAAGTTTCGATGCATGCGTCTGGAAGTAGTGAAGGAGCTATCAAGTTCGCCGGAGAAATACTTGAAGATATCCTGGATATTAGTACATGTTAGACAGTCAATGGACATTCACATGGGAAAGGCACAAACATGTATGAAGTGAGAGTGCGCGTGTTAACAATATGCATCAACAAGAGACTGTCCGCCCAGAGCCGAGCCTGGCTCTACAGGGGTATATCATAAAAATCAATAATGACGTGGCGGAGAGAGCCTCCTAGTATGCAAGTTCCGTTTCATGCCAAAGCCATGATCAATGCTGCCTCTATCCAAGGAATCAAACGTATAACAGGAGCCGCACTGGCGTAGTGAGTCGAAGGAGAATTTATACAGAAAAAAACGAAGAAACAGATCGGCCGTGATTTATGGCCTAATCAAACTGCTGAATCGATCTAGACGATGGTAGGATGCCGTTGGTGGTGATGTCATGAGGGCGTCGAGGCGAACAGGAAGTTGTTCGGGTCGTCGTCGAGATGCAGGGCACCGGCGTCGGCCGAGAAGTCGGGAAATGTGCTGGCATCACTGATCTCTGGAACCTCGAGTTGCACACCGTTGTGGCCGCCGTGGGTCAGGCACCCAACGCACTCACAGCCATCGCCACATTGGCAAGTACCAGTAGCATCATTGCATCCAGGTAGTGTCATCTCGTTCCAAAAGTATGATGAAGGAGAGAGTGTGGGCGTATCCTCATCTTTACCGTCACTGGAGCTTTCTGTGATAGGTGATGCTGCAGATTCCTCGGTCTTCAATACGGGCAGTGCTTCAGACGTTGGTGTAGGGACGACATAACTGCTGGGTTCGAAGAATTGTGGCTGGGGCATTGCAGGTGCGGCGACGGGTGGTTGCTGCCATCCGCTTGATGCCGCCATGCGTGTGCCAGACATTGAGCCCATGTGCATGTTAGGAACGAAGCTCATCTGGGTCGGGGTGGGCGTCGAGAACCCGTGGTTCATAGGGTTAAAGCCCATGCCTTGATGCGCCTCTGCTCCAAAGCCAGGATGATGAGGATACGTGGGCATGTCGTAAAGTGGTGGCGACATGGTACCGAAGCCGCCAGTGTACTGGAACTGTGCCATGAGTCGGACATACTCCATCATGGTAGCATTGTTCGGGTGTGCTGCGCATCCAAAGCAGCTACACGACTCTCCGCAGTGGCAGTTATGCTCCGGTGCATGTTGTCCGACGGGTGGTCCAGCCATGTGGGGCGACATAGGACCCATGTTCACTGAGCTTGGTTGATGGTATGCTGCGGCGGCGTGGTTGTATATTGGCGCGCCCAAGCCAAACGGAAATGAAGCAGGGGCTGACGCATGAGGTTGCATGTTCGAATACTGCGGGTTGTGCACTTGAGGCTGCAACTGGAACTGTATTTGTTGTCCATAAACTTGGGCAACGTGAGGCTGGAACTGCGAGTTCTGTGTTGCATTTGCTTGTACCGTCTTCCCTGAGCAACAAGACTTTACCTGTACGGGCTCCTGCATCGTCTTGGCCTTGCTACTGCAACATCCGCCCTGCTGGGCAGTTTGTTGCACAGGCTGCTCGGCTGGCTTCGGTTGGCAACAACTACCCTTCTGGGCAGGAAACAGGCGAGGCGTGGAGCTCGCACTAGAGGGTGGCGATGCTTCATTGCTGCCGCTTCGTTCGGTTGGCGTTTGGGTGTGGGACGACGTGTCTGTCTCGGCATCTTGACCTGCTCGAATAGCTCTCTCGAGTGATGCGGCGTTGACAGCTGTGGATTTTCGCCTAGGCTTTTGGATGCGGCTGTTACCGGTAACAGCAGCCACTGGCTGGGCGCGCTCAGATGGACAGGCGCATTCCGAAGATTTTGGAATCGTGTAGTTGATGACGACGCGCTCACAGCTACATGAGCCAGTCGGATGTGGACAACTGCTCAGTGGTCTTCCAGGCTTCCGGACTTCGACCAGTACACGGTCCCTGTGGTCACATTTGGACGAGCGATGTCCTCGGATGCAAGGGCCACTATCATCTTGTCAATATTGCACAGGTAGGAGTAAACACGGATTGTGTGAAATCTCAGAAGTGTTGGTAGGTATGGGTGACGCTTGTAGCAGTGGACGTTGTTGTTGGCAAGATCACCGAAAAAGTAGTAAAGCAAGGGTAAGAGTGAGTATGAGAGAGATGACATTACATACCATGCGACCTTCTTGCGCTCTCCGTCCACTTCCGCCCACATAGTAGGCTAGGACGAGATAGAAACTTGCTCAAATTGCAGCAAGAGAGTTAGTCGGCGAACCGTATTTCAGTTACGGTTTGGCAGGTACGATGATCGGTTAAGAACGTGTCTCTCCTCGCGACGCACAGCGCACGTGGAGAAGTGCACGGGAGGGGTAGAACTGAAGCGGGCGCACTGCTCGCGGCGTGTGCGACAAAGCAAGTGGCCACAGGCAAATGATCCCGGTAGTATGGCAAACTGATCAACGGGCCTCGATGCGCCCTGCTGTGCCTTCCGACGTGGGAACTGCAGCTCGTGGTGGATTGGGCCGAGCTGTACGGTTTGAGGGTCCAGGTCCCGTATGGCTGGAAATCTCTTGACCCTGGGGCGGCTGGGCGCAGTGCACGTTGTGACGGCGGCGCAGATGATGGTGGTGCAGGGACGACCTGGAATGGAAATTGATTGTTGCGGCCCTTCCAGGCAGCAAAAAGACGGGAATCGACCCTCCACAGATTTGGCGCCGAGTCGGAGAAGTAGTGCGAGCGCTTTCACAGGTGTGTGCCACGTCCAGGCGACTGATCAATCGGTGGAGTACTCCGAGGTGTTGGCCCACGTCGAATGTCTTCAATACTTCGTAATGCAAAGTGCTCCACCCAATCCCTGGAGCGCAAAACAGCGTACGGACCTGTTTCTCGCTTGAGCTTGGTGACTCGGAAGTCAAGGCGAAAATGCGCGGGGTGGTCTTTGGGCGGAAGTAAGAAGTTGAAGGTAAGATGTACAAAGCTGGTCTAGTGAGTGAGCGAGTTTCGCTTAAACAGGCAAAGCGCCTAGGCGGGTGGCGGCGACGGGTGCTTCAATATTGAGACGGAGAATGTTCGTGGTATGAACAATGACGGTGCAGAGGCGATGGAGATGCTTTGAGGGAGGCCGAGGATATTCAAATAGGCAGGTGTCTCTCGAGGCCGTAGACGAAGGATGATGCGCTGTGGAAGCGGCGCTGCCCATTAACCGTGGAAAGCCTCAACGGACCCTGCCAGGCGTGCATAGGGCCGGGATTATTGCAACGCGTGGGGATCTCTTGCGCCGGCGCCAAACGAGAAATCTGATCAGCTGTGCGAGATGCTGCAGGTCAGAGAGCCAACGGTAAAGGTCGGGCTGGCCTTGGGCTGGGTGCAGTCCGTTGTTTGACGTCTTTTCTCGAAGCGCTCCGGCAGCTAGGCGAAACACAATGAGCCACAGGTTCCAAACTTTGACTGGAAAAGCCACAACAAGGCCGAATAGCCTCACAACATTCCAGCATGCCCCATCACCGACCGCAAACAGCTCGACGTCGTCTGGCTTATCGGGTGCGGGGAAAAGTCCGATTCTGAGTACCGTGGTTTTCGATAATTGAGCCACAATGCACTATTTTAGCTTCACGTGATGTGGCTGACACATACCGAGCCTCATCAACCACAAATTCAGTCAGTGTGGAGACGCAACCCGTCACGACCTTCCCCACGCCATGTCCTCAGAGGTCGAAGAGGAGAGCATTGACCTCTTCCAAGAGCCCGCAGATTTCTATGAACCAGAAAAACAGGCTTCTTTCGCATCTCATCAGTTGCTTTCCGGACAGGAACTCACCGTGCGCCTAGTGGGCCACAATCCTTTGTGGGTGAGTAATCTCTAGTCCGCTTGTACATCAACTTTAGACTTCAAGCATTGTCATAAATGCTATTATCAAAGCTTTTCGCATCATTGCCATGGTCTAGAAGACTACAAGAAACTGCAACGCTATGCATGTAGTTCTTAGCTTCATGCTTCAAGTGCATTTCGAGCGTCAGAAAGCTTGGACATCTACTTGCGAAGTCTCTCCTACTATGTCCTTAGCCTACACCGGCTGGGCAGGCCAAGGCCAACTTCCCCATCATAATCGTCACTGTTCCACCCAAAGTCACTGGCAGGCTTCGCTGCAGTCTCTAGAACGCGTCTATCATGCCAATGCCCATGCTAATGCTCCTCATTAGTTGCTTACCAGCGTCCACCAGCCCTAGCACAACGCACTGACACACCCCAGGGCCACCATCTCTGGAATGCCGGACGCACAACCTCCACATACCTAGAGCAACATGCAGCCACCTTAGTCGAAGGAAAGACGGTCCTCGAGCTTGGCGCCGGAGCTGGACTACCTAGCCTCGTCTGTGCCCTCAACGGCGCTTGGCGTGTTGTTGTAACGGACTATCCGGACGCCGAGTTGATCGACAATCTGTGGTACAACATCAATCATTGCGAGCTACTACCTACGCCGCCAAGCATCGTTGCGCAAGGCTATCTGTGGGGCGCGCCTATTCAAGACGTTATCCAGCACTTACCGAATATCGACGAGACGTTCGATGTCCTGATCCTTGCCGATCTGCTGTTTAATCACTCGGAACACGCCAAGCTTGTTAAGACGGTCCAGTTGACGCTGAAGAAGTCACCGGACGCAAAAGCGTACGTATTCTTCACGCCGTATCGGCCGTGGTTGCTGCAGAAGGACTTGGCATTTTTCGATCTGGCTCGCGAAGCGGGATTTGCCGTGGAGAAGACGTTCGAGAAGGTCATGGAGAAGGTCATGTTTGAGGAAGATCCTGGTGTAAGTTTGCCAAGAGCTGATAGTGAGCATGATACTGACATAGTGCAGGATGAATTGCTGCGGCGGACGGTGTACGGATATGAGCTTACTTGGGCGGCTTGACGTAGCAAAATTAGTCGAAACCAGAAGAGACCTTCGAGCACATCTTGGCCCGGTGTCTCTCTTGCTTTTGTCCCCGAACTACGATTCTGAGCAAGACTGAAGAAACCCCTACCTATGCACTCCAGCAAGCCTTTGGAATTATCTTGGCTCGGTCCTTAATCTTACTTTTGTCTCCGAACCATCATTCTCAACAAGGTGTCATAGTTTATCTGAGTGCATCTTCACTCGGTACTTGACCATACATTTGACCCCAAGCCATCGACCGCCAATCATCCAGCTTCAACGTGCTCTACAATATCGGCAACTAAACGTACCGTGAAGACCAGAACAAGACTCGCAGCACTGTAAAGTATGAGAGAGACATTGTACATGCCCTCATACTGTTCAACACATTCACCCTATCACATTCAATCTATCCAGGCACAATGTCTTATGGCTTTCTATCCGAAGGAGATCATATCTTACCATGGGGGTTTCTATCATACAGCTTTTCCACTACATCAACGCAGACACTTCCACGCTATTCTTATGAACAGCACAGCTAACTTCCCACACAATTGACTTATGATACGAGACTACGTTACGCAACATGCCTATTCCGTGTGGCCGTTGCGGCTCCGACTCCCTGGCGGAACCTCGGGTGTACCTGCGACATAGTTTCACTGCTACGTTGGCTGTGATTGAAGAAGAAGAAGAAGAAGAAGAAGTTAACAACAACAGGCAAGACTCGGCATACAGCTCCGACGATCCCGACGGCGACGAGAAATACCCTACTCACCCACCCCGCAAGCAAATCTGGACTCGACCCCTCCAAACCCTCGATCCCAACGAGGGGAGGTTTGAGTTCTCAGACGACGAGGATGATGAGGAGCCCTCGACCGAAGCGCGTATAGATTCACAAGGTCAGTCTATCTTCTTAACCCCAGTAGCTCACTATGAGCAGCTGCTGCACGCCCATGCGCCCTTCGCACACACGGCCCGGGCAGAACTCGCCCTCATCACCCGTTTGCGCGGCGCGCCCGTCACGCTGGCCGACGTGCACGCGCTGTTACACTCGGCGCGCTCTATCATGCCATCAGACCTCGCGCGCACGCCGCCGAAGCTACTGATGGAAAAGCACAAGATCAAGGTGTGGTTCGACAATGCGAACGTCGTGTGTAACCGCAACGTGATGAGCGCGCTGGCGGGGAACATTGCCTACTTTGCAGCTTGGGACGTGATTAGGCCGATAGAGCTAGAAGCCATGCTGACGCATATAGTATCGATTAATCCATCGCTATTTGACGTTGTAAAGCGGCATGCTGAGGCGGAGAAGTTGGTTCGGGAGTGTGGCGCCGTTCCATGTTCGCAGCAGGTCATTTATGACGAGGGCAAGCATTCCGCTACCGTGCCGGCTACAAAGAAGAATAAGAAGCGCAAGGAGAAGCCGATCACCACGCTGCGGCGGGATTGGGAGGAGGAGATGTGTGGGTGGTTTGCGGTTACGCGGTTGCATAATGGGCCGGGGCTGATGGATCGGAAGCCGCCGAGCGTCAAACTGCCCATTCGTATGGAAGATAGGTCTGGGGAGCGGGAGCGGAAGCGGAAGCGGAAAGTGAAGATGGGTAGACCTGGGTCGTCAGATTCGCGAGCCGGATCTGAGATGCGGACTCAGATTCCTTTGGGCTTCGATGGAGGTAGCAAAGTGAAGGTGAGACTTCCACGAGCCCAACATCTTCGGGGATGTGTACGATATGAGAATCTTGCGTAGCGGACGAGCGGTACCTTTGTGTGCTGCTGGTTGGCCTTTGACTTCTTCTGGCGTTGGGAGTTCTGTAATTTTGTATCTTTGCGTATCAAATCCATTTGCTGTCGATTAGTATCTTCAGTAATTTGAGGTGATGTCAGATTGTGCTTTGAAGCTCGCTTCATATCTGACAGTCCATCGCTGGTGCGAAGTAGATGAAATGCCTAGCAACTTTAATTATGTTGTCGAACACCGTGCAGTAGTGAGGCCACACAAAGCCTGGTCGATGTACATATAAGTTCTCGCCTATGGGAAACATTCTTGAGTGGATACAGCCAATGATGTCGGTCTAAATAGTTTCCATTCACTGCAACGTGCGAAGTCGCTTTGCGATAGCATGATGCATCCTTATAGCGAAGCCGGGCGTGAGATGTTCGAGTGATGTTGATCCACGGGTGTGCGATGCATGGTTCCCACGCTATGTGGCGAACGAAGCTAGCGTGGCGAGCTCTGCCCCATTGGATGACGAAGTCGAGCTGGGCGGGTGCGCGATGGTTCAGGGTTTAACCAAGGCAATTTCCCAACCGCGCTCATCACAACAACGAGATTGTCGTCGTATCCACACAAACCCGCTGCATCCGTCCATCTTACTCACATCCCTAGTCCGAAGCAGCAGACCGTCATCCAGCTTTGCGCCCTGTCAGCGCATCTTTCCGCAGCTTCCGCGTCTGCCTACGCACCTCGGCCATTCGAAACACAAACCCCAGCTCTACCACCAAACACCCGCCATGTCGCAAAATTACAACCAGTACGGCGGAAACCCCTACAGCCAGGCCGAGGCTGGCTACGGGCAGTCGAACCCATATGGAGGTGGCGACTATGCGTCCAACCCGTACGGCGGCGGAGGAGTAAGCGATGCCAGCGCGCGAATGCGACACGCCTGACTGCGACTGACACAATTCGTAGTATGACCAACAACCGAATGCACCAGCGCTCCAGCACAACGACTCGGCCTACTCGCAGCCCTCGCAGTACTCCGGAGCCGGCCCCGTCACGTCCAGCGCCCCCAACACCAACCAGAACATTCCTCACACCGACGTGCCTGTCCAGCAAGCATACGGTCAGGCGCCGGCCGAGCAGCATGGCGCGCAACCATTGAGCCGCGAAGACTACCTGTCGCGCATTGCCGGCACCAAGCAGCGCATCGCGCAGCTGACCTCGGACATCCAGTCGATCGCCAGCATCCACCAGCGCATGCTGTCGTCGCCCGACAACCGTTCGTCTTCAGAGCTCGAGGCTATTGTGTCGCAAACACAGATCAGGAACACGCAGATCAAGGATGAGATCAAGTTCCTCGAGCGCGATGCGACACGAGGCGGCAACGACTCGTTCAAGAAGACGCAGGTCGAGTCGCTGAAGCGGCAGTTCAAGACGCAGCTCGAGGACTTCCAAAGGGAGGAAGCCGACTACTCAAAGAGGTATCGCGAGGCTATTGGCCGCCAGTACCGAATCATCAACCCGGAAGCAACAGATGCAGAGGTGCAGGAGGCGACCAACGCGGACTGGGGCGATGAGGGTATCTTCACACAAGCTGTAAGTGCCAAGTGCTATGCCAATGAAACAACTGCTAACACCCCCACAGCTCAAGAGCAACCGTAGCGGCCAGGCGTCCAGCGTGCTCGGCGCCGTCCGTGCTCGCCACAACGACATCCAGCGCATCGAGAAGACCATGTCGGAACTTGCGCTGCTCTTCAACCAGCTCAACGAGATGGTTGTCTACCAGGAGCCCCAGGTTGCGCGCATCGAGGAGCAAACGGTCCAGGTCACCGACGACACTACGCAGGCCAACAAGCAGCTCGACTCGGGCATCGCGTCAGCTCGACGTGCGAGAAAGCTCAAGTGGTGGACTCTGCTTGTCGTCGTCCTCATCGTTGCTATTCTGGCGCTGGCCCTTGGTATCTACTTCGGCACCGGGCAGAACAAGAAATAGAGAGAATATGTTTCGGAATCGAGATCGGAAGCTAAAGTGCTGTTTCATTTTGTCTAGGTAGCCTAATTAGGGCTGTGGTTTCGCAGCCCATGTGTATAGTGTAATGACGGAAACGGTAGGGCGGGATAGAAGTAATTCATCGAGCTTTCAAAGTTAGCCTATTTGAAATTGTCGCTTCCATGTGTAAACAAGTGCCTCAACAGGAAAAGGCTGCTGGCATCTCGATGCACCAATAATTAGACACGAGTGGCGGTGGTCAGTATTTGAAGGGCTGTGCTGCGAAGGTTCAGTCTCCACCGGCGGATGCGACCTCTTTTGTGGAGTCTGGAGCGTGGGTTAAATATTGGTGACGTTGCCACCGCATGCAAAGATCAGTGTCGGACGATGGCAGTAGCGGGCCCCTGTTGCATCGTCATATGCCATTCTTAGGCCGTCGTGCAATCTCGCTCGTCAGTGGCCACGGGTGTTGCACGAGCAGGGTGGTTTGATACAGATCTTCCATACCGCTGTCAGGATCTCAGGCTGTCGCGGCGATGGCGCGTTTCAGCGACCAAGGAGTGAGGCCAAACGCAGGCTTGCCCAGATATGCCGCGCGGCCGTTTCTTGCTTGTGGATGTCAAGAGTCCGCTGGGCCCGCTTGTTGACCCCTTGGCCATGCTTAGAGCCGATCCCTCCCCTGCAGTGGAAGGCGCCCTGGCCAACCACAGTGGACCATGGCAATCCACCAGCACCTTTAGAAGAGACGCGACTGCCCCGAACCTGTTTCCGGCTCCTTACTCTTCTCCTCCACGCCTTCGTTGCTGTGTGACTTTCTTGTTTACCTTATTCTAGGTCTTTCTAATCCACCTTTCACCACACTCGCTACACTGGGCAACGTGCCTTCTTCTTGACCTTTTCTACCATACAATCGCTGATTTCAGGGTTCTGTTTACTTGACCCCTTGCACACAACAACCCAACCACACATATCCTCAAACTTCATCTCGTCACGATGAAGTCTGGTGCCATCGCTGCCGTCCTCGCGGCCACTGTCGCTGCCTCGCCCGCTGCTGTCCAAAAGCGTGCATCCATCACGCCCGTCACTGTCAAGGGAAACGGTGAGACTTGGTTATCTGAATCATGCAGTGAGCCTATACTGACGACATGCAGCTTTCTTCGCAGGCGACAAGCGTTTCTACATCCGCGGTGTCGACTACCAGCCAGGCATGTCCGACCACACGACACTGACATACCCACAACTAACATTCCACAGGTGGTGCTTCCGATGCTAAGGATCCCATCGCCGATACCGCTGGCTGCAAGCGCGACATTGAGGAGTTCAAGAAGCTCGGCATCAACACCGTCCGTGTCTACACCGTCGACAACACTGCCGAGCATGACGAGTGCATGAATGCTCTTGTATGATAATGTCGCCACTCCCTGCTCAATTGATGCTAACCATGTCCAGGCCGACGCTGGTATCTACCTCGCGCTCGACGTCAACACTCCCAAGTACTCACTCAACCGTGCGACCCCACAGCCATCCTACAATGAAGAATACCTTCAGAGTCTCTTCGCTACTGTTGAGAAGTTCGCCAAGTACGACAACACCCTGTTGTACTTCTCGGGTAACGAAGTCATCAACGACGATGCCACCACCAACTGTGCTCCCTACGTCAAGGCCGTCACCCGTGACATCAAGTCTTACATCAACGCCCGTGGTCTCCGCAAGATTCCCGTTGGTTACTCCGCCGCTGATGTTGAGTCTAACCGTCTCGAGATGGCCGCTTACATGAACTGCGGTGACGATGCTGTCCGCAGCGACTTTTTCGCATTCAACGACTACTCTTGGTGCGATCCTTCCGATTTCAAGACCTCCGGATGGGACCAGAAGGTGCAGAAGTTCAAGGACTACAGCATCCCTATCTTGTAAGACAAACCAGAATTCCTCCCTTCAGCGCAACAAACTAACAACCCCAGCCTGTCCGAGTACGGTTGCAACAAGAACAAGCGCCAGTTCAACGAGGTCGCTTCCATCTACGGCACCGACATGTCCGCCGTCTACTCCGGTGGTCTCGTTTACGAATACTCCCAGGAAGACTCCAACTACGGACTCGTCAAGATCGACGGTGGCAAGGTCAGCGAGATGGATGACTTCACCAAGCTCAAGAACGCCTTCGCTAAGACCCCCGCTCCCACCGGCGATGGCGGCTACAAGTCGAACGGCAAGCCCTCTACTTGCCCCGACAAGTCCAACACCTGGAACGTCACCATCGATGCTAACAAGCTCCCCACTTTCCCCAGCAAGGCCGCCGATTTCCTTAAGAAGGGTGCCGGCGCTGGTCCCGGTCTCAAGGGTGCCGGTAGCCAGAGCGCTGGATCTGCCACCACCGACCTCTCTGGTGAGGCTGACGGTGCCGTTACCTCTGGAGGCGCTTCGCCATCTGGTGCTGCTCCCGCCAAGGGAGCTGCCGCATCTATCCGCCCTGAATTCGGCATGCTCACTGGAGCTGTTGTCCTTGTTTCGGCGCTGTTCGGAGGCGCTGCCCTCTTGTAGAGGGGCACGTCAAGTTCGCTGATGAAGGTGTATCGATGTTCTAGATACGTTAATACAAAGACCCAGTGCGGGCGAAAACGTTTGTTCTAGGAAGACAATATCATTTTTTTTCTTGATTCGAGCTCGGTGTTGAAATATCTGTCTCAGGCATATGTAATAGATCAGCTTGTATATAAGTATGAAACGCATGCGAATGACGCAACTTTCTAGATCGTTAATATGCTTTTCTATTCCACCTTGTGAACTTGGCCATCGTCCATAATTCTCAGATCAGGTAGCAAACTCGTAGATCTAGACCGACTTGACTTCACTCACGACACTATCCTACAAAAACCTCATACTCAAACCTCCCCATCACCCCCCACTCACACCTCACATGTTGCATACACAGACTGCTCTTTGTTTGACAGGGGGTATATTCGCGCTCTGGAGTATTACGGCGGGGAGAGGGTGTGTGGGGCTTACGTCTTGAGAGAGCGGACGGCGCGGCGCGTCGTTTTGGGTCTCGACGCGCTGTAAAGATATGCGGGCGCGAAGGTTGAGGGCGTGGTGTTTGTGGAAGTGAAGGGGGAGGTGGGTGCATGGGGTTATGGTTAGGAGGTTGGTGGAGGGGGGTTATGGAGAAGGGGTTTTGACGAGGAAGAGAGTTGGATGGGAAGGTGGTGCATCGAGATTTAGCACGCCACATCACGAGCCATGTGCAAAAACAAGTGTAGGAGCGTAAGGCTTTACATTGAGCCAGTCCCATCAACATCAGTCAGGACCTTCCGACCTCGGAAGCTCCACCATGGAAAGAAAGCCGCAGGTAAAAAATCCGAAAAGGCGCGGGTTCCGCTCATCTCCAACAAGCCCCCCGATCTGATCTGACGCCGTCCATCCGCTATGTGCATAGGAGAAAAAGTAAACTAGCTACAGTGAAGAAAGCCTCCTTTGATGTGAGAGAGATCTGAGACGATGACGCTGAAGTAGACATTCGATATCCGAAACCTCCTCCAAGAAACCGTTGAGATCTGTGTCATATAATGGAAGACTACGTATCCTTGACATGGCGGCTGTATAGACCGTGTAGCTTGTATGTGGGATAGCCGAGTGAAGAAGTTTGTCGTAAGAAGAAGGAGCACAGTAGAGAAATGAAAAGAGTCTCAGGGCGTGAGCCGCGGTCGCGGGCGCCAAGGCTAGTCAGAGAGGACCAGAGTGAGGGTGCTGCCAGACGAGCTACAAGCCTATAAGAGTTCAACGTTAGCCCTATTATCATGGAAGTGAGGGGATGGCTTACAGTGCAACCACGGTTTGGGTCGTCCTTGACAGTCCAGCACGAATCACCTTGGCAGTACTGATCTGTTGACTTCTTGTAGCTGCAAGGTGAAGCAACGCCGTCGCCCTCAAACGAGATGGAGTAGTTGAGCTTAGTCTTTCGGTTGAGCTCATTTTGCTTGAGGCTGGAGTAACCCTTCTGCGACTTTCCGTCGAAGGATGTACCGAAGATCACAGGCGCCCAGTTACCTCGCGCGTCGCCATCCTTGGCCCAGGTGCAGGCTTCATCTTCTGAAATGCCTTGGTCGTTGATGTAGTAATGGGCGGATGTCGCCTTGCCCTCCCACATGTAGTAATTGCCCAGGTCAGGACTCGCAAGATAGCCTTCTTGTCCGGGGCCAAGCGTGAGCGGAAATGTCATAGATTCAGTGCCTAGGAAGAGTTAAAACGACATATAAGCCCAGTGGATTAGCAAAACTTACCAGGGTAATCTGTGCGGCAAATGGATACCGATTTGGACAGCTTGCTAACCACCTTCACAGTCATCTTCTTCGAGCTGGCGCCACACAGTGTGTTACCGAGCTTTCCGTCTGCCATCTCCAACTTGCCCTTCTCATTGCAGTAGAGGCCTCCAACAGACTGACCAGTCACACCCTGCTTCTTCGGGAAAGACAGTTTGAGGTACGGGTTCGGGCAGCCATACGAGCAGAAGCTTCCAGGAGTGCAGCAAGAGCCGTCTTTGCAGGAACCTGATGGAACGGTTGCAATGTCGTTGTAACCATCAGAACCGCTGTAGCCTGCCTTTTGAATCCCAGACCAGCCTCCCAAGCCCTCGTGGGTGATGGGCATGGCGCCATAGCCATAGGGGAATTCTGAACAATCGAACTTGCCATTGGGAAACTCGATGTCGCAGGAAGCACAGTGTCCGTCCTTGTCGACCAGGTCATCAGCCGTCTTCGATGTTGGATCAACCTGTGGCGCGGGTGCCGAGTCTGACGGCTTTGAGGCGGCCGTAGACGTTGGCTGCTGTACCGGCTGCGCGGCAGCTTCACTTGGGCTGGGCTTCTCTGCCCCGGGTTGAGGTTTCTGCTCCGGCTCCGGTAAAGATGAAGGCTGAGGCGCTGGCACTGGTGCAGGTGGCGGGGTAGCAACTGGCTCAGAAGCCTTCGCTGAGGTAGACAGGTTACCGTCAGCGCCCCACTCAAGGGAACCGTTGGCTAGACCGGCGCGCACATCCTCCTCTGAGATGTCATGGCCATCGAGCACATACTTGATGACTGTCTCGATCGTCACAGGCGCGTAAACCACGGCGTCGGGCCGCGCATCACGCTTGACAACCTGATGCGCATGACGGTGGCCGTACACGCGCGGACTGGCTGCAGTCACCGCCGCGACCGCAGCCAGAGTAGCAATACTAGCAATTCTCATGGTGAACCGTTGCTTGTTTCCAGTTACTTTGCAGTGTTTCTACACAATCGCAATGAGCCAGTGACCCAGACAATGGTAACTTGGTAGGGCTACTTACCGGTTCGCTTCTTGAAACAAGGTGCTACCTGAGTGATTTGCTGTCTTAGAGATGATGCCGGGTGTCGTCACTATTTGGCGTGTTTGTTGTGATTGCGGGGTGCTGTTGGAATGCGGAAGGAGCTTCAAGATGGTCGATAGAAGCTAATGAGTGAAGCGGAGACCGGTCTCCAGATGTGGTGAAAAATGAGTGTGAGGGCGTGAGCCACAGGGGATCCGACGTGTTTACTATTCACCTGTGAGTCGCACGACGAGAAAAGGTTATGGGTGAGCAAGTGGTGTTTATGGCGTGGTGCCAAGCCAGGGTCCAGCCAGTGCGGCAGCTGTGTTTGCGCGGGCAGGCGCAGCAGTGAAGAGGAGAATGTGCATACTTAGTCTAGATTGGCCGTGGGTGATCTAGCCACAGGAGGACTTGGTCGAGCAGAGTCCTAATTCCGTACCTAGGGCGAGTTCAATAGCTTGATGATACCAAACTAGCAGCGTTCGCGACTGCAAGGTCTAGTCCGAGTGAGCACAACAAATTCGATGTCAAATGAGTGACAAAGTCGAGAGTTGACAATTGTGAGAAAGACTCGCTTGCATTACAATGACTTGGGGTCAATAAGGAGAGACATCAGAAAGGCCCAGGCGAAGTGGAGATGAACTGCTTCAAGGTTGTGATACTGTTGCTTCCAGCGCAACTAGTAATAGCCCTCAACAAGCTGTGCCACCTGTGTGCATCCATCCATGGCGCATGGCGAGTGGTTCCATATTGAGGCACAGTTGCTCAACACTAAGGGTACCTGACCGAGTGGCACAGCATGAAATCCCAGTGGCGGCCATCCGTCTGCGGGCCTAGTTAACCGTGCGTGGGAAACGCTCCGCTGCCGTGTGACAATCAGTTCCTGGCTAAGCGGAAGTGCCTACATTCCGCGAGCATTCCAAAAATGGCCGCAGCACGGGTCAAGAGAAGCGAAAAGCGGCAGGAAAATCCGAAGGGTGTTTTATATAGAACTCGTGCCTGGAATGAAATGAACATTTATTGTTTTTTTTTTAATTCCTTCGATGCGCGTCTCGGGCCTCAATAGTTATCTCATAGCACTATGCGCAGATGACGCGAAAACGCCGTCCTACCCTTTGCTTTGCATCCAAGCTCTTACATGCCTGCCATCCATGCTGCGTCGTTGATGCGACCTGCATACGATCTACGCAGGGTTGCGGGCGCTTACAGGGCGCGGCGTCAACATCAGCCGCCGCAGGTGGTAAGGTGTATGGCAGGAGACAAATGAGGCCAACATGGCAGAGTCGTAATTGATGATGCGGCGAGCGGTATTGCCAATCTCCCCCTGTGGCACAGCGAAGGATGATCGCTTCCAAACTGGTGGTACCTCCTGTGTTCAATGCAGCACTGCTAGCTGTGTACAGCCGTGGGTCAACGGTCGCTCCATCGGGCAGTCCGGTGGCTGCTGCGATGGTCGGCTGATGCTATGCGATGGCCAACGAGGTGAGTGTGATGAAGAGAAGGAAGGGTTGTGGTTGAGATGAGATGTTGGTCCCTGGCACTAGACCCCACCTGCTCACGCTACGACGCCAGCAAGCCTTATTTTCGCGGGGCTTTAGAACATATCATGCACAGAACGTTCTACAGCAGATACCCCTCGTGTTTGGTGTCTCAGACATGCGTGGACCGACGGAGCTGATAGACGAGAAGGCATGAACAATATACAATTCCTCTCTACTCTCCTATCAATAGTACAACGCCTCTGATGCAATGCGTAGACCCTTACACCAGACTCAACTCCCGAATCATAGCCATGCAAGTGCCCTACACCTGCTGCACGTAGTTGGCTGGTACACTTCTGACGACGCCGTCTCGCTCCACGTCAGCCCATCCGTCTCCCGCCTCCATGTTGATAAGTACAAAGCGGTCTCCTTCCGCCATGGAGTGTTCCGCATCACTCTGTGCTGTATAGTCATACAATGCCTCGACATACTTTAGTTTCTTTGCGCCACGTTTCGGCGCTACAGCTGGACCCTTCTTCTTACCAGCGACAGCAGCATGCAGATTTGTAGTCGATGCCGAAGACGCAGAGTAAGTCGAATCAGGACGAGTGCTTGACGAGAATGTAGATGCGGTGGTCGGCGGCGTTGCTGCCAGAACCTCCACATACGAAGTAGGGACAAGACCCTCTTTGGACCCGGAGCGGACTTTCATCCACCCTGAGCCGTCTGTGTAGTCACGTGTGAGCGAAGCGCCCAAAAGAATTTGAAACATAGGAGACAGGTTGCTCAAGGACCTACCATCGGGTTCTAGTATCGTGACCTCCCTGCCTTCAGGCACTGTCAGCTCGCCTTCTCCATTCTCCTCATAGCCGTACAACATCCGACCCTTGACTTCATTCGACTTTGGTGTAGGCGGTGGCATATCGTCATCATCTTTGATATACTGGGCAGGAGGAGGAGCAATCATCCGATTCCTTCTCGCGCCCGGTACTGGCGCTGGGGCAGGAGCCTTCTTTTCTGCTGGCGGATCCTCTGCGGCGGCTGGTGACATACCGGATACGGATCTATGTGCTGTAGCTGAGTAGCCAGAGCTGAGTGTGTTCATGGAGTTTATGGTGTCACTTCGGCCTAGTTTCGGCAATTCGGCATGTGAACCGGTTGCAGCTCCATTCGTCGAGGTCACAGTATGCGCCGCCTTTTGTCGTTCGTCCTTTAGTTTCTTCTTCTCTTCCTTGGTCTGTTCGCCTGGACAGTCGGCTGGAACCTTCATCTCGCACTTGCTGTGACACGTATAACCACAGTCTTTGCAATCGAATCCTTTGGCAGATAGGCCCCATATCCGGTCGCCACAGAGATCGCAATTCGTGGGTATCTTGAAAGTCTGCGACTTGAAGTTGTGATTTCTTGCGCCAATACTGACATCGCCCACGACTGATGTGATGGTCGAGACCTCAACTTCAGCGCTGACCTTTTGCCGCTCTATCTCATGCATGGCCTCTTGGATGGCGAAGACGGCGCGTACGACATCTACTTCGTCTCTCTTATCTTTCCCTTCGCGAATGTTGCGCCGCACAGCCTTAGCACTTTCAACCTCTTTACGCTTCTTGTCGAGTTCGCGTCGGTGCTCTCCCAGAGAAGCCTTCGTCTTCGTGAGCACATTTCGCAGGAAGGTTGTGGCAGCGTCGTCAACGGCGAGATTACCATCGTCAAGCCAGACCGGACTGGGCTCGAACTGGAAGTCGCCAGGTTCTTGCCATCCACCTGCGTTGTGTCGCACGAACATCATTGAGTCGAGAAGAGGGTTGTTTCGTGGAATCTCGGCGGAGAGGTGCTTGAGGTACTCGGTGCTGCGCGATAGGGTTTGTGTTTCAATGTTTGCTGCTAGTAACCAAATCGAGTTCAACTTGTTAACTCGCGTCTCGGAAAGATCTTGCAGACTCTGAGGTCGTGTCAGCATGACGTCGCCAAGTCAATGGCACAACTTACATCTAGAAGCTCAGGAACATACTCATGGTAGTACATCTCCTTCTGCTTATTTGTGACATTGATGCTTATGAGGTAGGTGTTTTTCACGTTGCGCATCTCGATTTGCTGCTGCTCGAAAGCATTTCGTGCCTTGGCTTTGCCGTGGTCGAATGCGCCGTCGCTTTTCTTGCGGCGGTTTTCTACCTCCTGGCAAACGCTGTCATATTTCCCCTTTTGCTTGCGAAGCTCGGTGTATTGGCTGTCCCGCTCCTTCTCTAGCTTAGCAGCATAGTCGCCATGTAGTTTCCGCAGCTCTTCGTACCGAGTCGCGAGGGTCTTCAGGGGATCGGCGAGCTGCGTGACAAGAGCGCCAGCGAACTGCTCGTGCTCAGTAGCTCGTGATTCTAAGGTGCTTAATTGGACTCCCCATGTCGTCATGGAAGCACTTCAGCCAGCGTCAGTTTGTTGTTGGGCGAGTGAAGAGGAAGACAGTCGTACCTCTCGAGCGAGCCTGGGGTAACCGTAGGGGTATCACCGACACTGAGACTGCTCTGCTTGCGTGCTTTCTTTTCGTAGTACTTCTTGGCTAATGCACTGAGCTTTGCCGAGTATTCCTTCTCGATTGCGCTGCGTTCACGGTAGAACTGTTGTATGTCGTCGAGCCAGGATATGCCGCCGGAGACCTACAACCTCCACAGTCAGTACTCGGGAGTCGCGGAGTAGTCCACATCTGGCTTCTGCAAGTATAGGGTGGGGTGGACGCGTACCCAGGCGTTGACAGACTTGAAGCCATCCTGCGAGATATCCGGATCAGCTCATATTCGACTGTACATGTTGGATGCTGCTACCTTCAATTCCGCGCCGAATTGGGGCGCGATGTCGACTTCCATGGTGGTGTGAAGCGTGTGGGCCGAGTGCTAGTATGAGGGGATCGGCACCCCAGACATACGAGTGCGAGATGCAAGAGTCTTGAAGACAGGTCCAGAGATGCGGGAGGCTGCGCGGACTACCCAGCTGCCCAATTGGTGGGGCTTGAAGGCTGACAGATGGGCTGGGGCGGTGCGCGCCGGGGATGGCAATCCGGGAATTGATCCGTGTCCCGTGTCTTGCGTAATGCGTGATTATGATGTACTCCTAGTGGCGATGTTCACTTCTCGAGGCGCACAAGATGCATCAAGCAGGGCCGTCATTGCTGGCCGCATTCACCTCGGGCGCAACTGCTGTTCATGCACGCCTGTTCCCGATGGGGGATAGCGTGCCCCGCCTAAAGGTACAACACGCTTGAGCTCTCACTCACAATTCCGCGTCGAGTCTGCTTTGTTCACCAAACAACAATTCCCACGAGATAGCTGCAATCGCGCTTTCTTTGAGCCAACCTTCATCAAGTCGGCGCAAATAATCGACCCGGCTTTATCCGCGATTGCGATTTGAGGACATCTATAACCCCACAACTCGCATCCCCCACATCGGTTCGACACCGCTCTGTACACTTTCATAGCTCGCGACAAGCTCTCAGCTCTCACCACCTCACCGTACCCACCACACACACGCATATTCGCCATGTCAGCGACCGAACCCACCAAGGAGCCTGCGAAGGAGGAGGTCGCAGAGCAGTCAACAGTCGCGCAGGCGCAAGTCGATGGCAGCGGTGAGCCCGCCAATGGCTCACCTCTGACCGAGACCGAGTACAAGGTCGAGGTGAAGCTGGCAGACATGCAGGCGGACCCGAACAACCCTCTGTACTCGGCTCAGTCTTTTGAAGAGCTTCAGCTGTAAGTCTATCGCTTGCCCATGCCCAACTATGACTGACTGATCAGGTCCGAGGAACTGCTCAAGGGCGTCCGCAACATGAACTTCCGGAAACCCTCCAAAATTCAAGAGAAGGCCCTACCTCTACTCCTCATGAACCCACCCACGAACATGATTGCGCAGTCGCAGTCCGGAACAGGCAAGACTGCTGCCTTCTCCCTGAACATCCTGTCCCGCATCGACCTCAGCAGAAACGAGCCACAGGCCATCGCTTTGGCTCCCAGCCGAGAACTCGCTCGCCAGATCCTGGGAGTCATCACACACATGGGACAGTTCATGGAGGGCTTGAAGACTATGGCTGCTATTCCAGACCCAACCAAGAGGAACCAGAGGCTCGACGCGCACGTCCTCGTTGGTACACCTGGTACTGTCCAGGAGCAGCTCAAGCGCCGGCTTATCAAGTCCGACAGCATCAAGATCCTTGTGCTCGACGAGGCCGATAACATGCTGGATCAGCAGGGCATGGGCGACCAATGCACTCGTGTCAAGTCGTAAGTGAAGCATTCTCGCTCGGAGACGTCGTGCTAATCCTCGCAGCCTTCTGCCAAAGAACATCCAAACCGTTCTATTCTCCGCGACATTCCCGCCAGCCGTTATAAACTATGCCAACAAGTTTGCGCCCAACTCCAACGTGCTGACCTTGGCGCACGAAGAGCTCACTATTGAGGGCATCAAACAGCTGTACATCGATATCGACAAGGACCAAGACAAATACTCGACTCTTCTCAAGTTCTACGGTCTTATGACACAGGCATCGTCGATCATTTTCGTTAGAGTGAGTATCTCGCACTGAAAGCGCGCCGACCAGTACTGACGACTTGACACAGACCCGAAGGACTGCTGAGGAGCTCGAGAGGCGCATGGTAGCGGAAGGTCACAAGGTCGCTCAACTAAGTGGTGCTCTAGAGGGTCAGGACCGTGATCGCGTTATCGATCAGTTCCGAAGTGGTGAGGCAAAGGTGCTGATCACCACCAACGTGCTTGCTCGTGGTATCGACGTTGAGTCTGTGACTATGGTAATTAACTATGTAAGTCGCATGGTCCTTATAAAAAGTCAGTATACTAACTGCTGACAGGATGTTCCCACCATGGCCGACGGCAGGGAAGCTGACCCTGAGACCTACCTTCACCGCATTGGTCGTACTGGTCGGTTCGGACGTGTCGGTGTCGCCTTGACCTTTGTTCACGACAAGGCTAGCTGGCAGCAACTGCACGACATCGCATCATACTTCAAGACCGACCTCCACCCCATCGACACGTCCGACTGGGACAACGTCGAGGAGATGATTCAGAAGATCATCAAGAGCTCGCGAGCCGGCAAGAGCACCAAGGAGATGACGGAGATGATTACCTCGTAGGAGACGATGCGACGTGCATGATTTCAAGGAAGAGGAACCTTACTGAGGACGAGATTTGTGAAGATTTGGAGGATGGACGAATTATGCGCACGAAGCGCGACGATGTTTGCCATGCTAGCGTCATAGTATGCGAGCTTTTCGATGGGATGATGAACCCACCTCAGCATAGATGGAAAGCGAAAAACAAATGAACACACCGAGATACCCACCAACATGCTCACTTTGTCCTGCATAGCCTGACTCCCTTACTTTTTCAAAATGACCTTCTCAGTTCTCAAACGCCGCCGGCGCCGTAACCAAAATCACAATCAAACTACTCAAAATCAACGCGCCCGCAATCACGCTCACCACCACAATACTGCCCCGACTCGCAGGGAACTTGCCGCGAATCACATAATGCTGCGCCTCGAAGTATCTGTGAAATCCAATGAGCAGCATCACGATGCTTATCCCGATGAACGTTGCGCCGAGCGGTTTGCCCAAGTGGCGCAGGTGAGCTTGTGGGGAGAGCGACGTGTCATATTGGTTTGAGGGAGGGGTGGAGGGAGAGGAAGATGGAGAGGTATGTTGATGTTGATGCGTCTTCTCCAAGCTCGTATTCAATCGGAAAAGCTGCGTTATGGCGATGCCGATGGAGGCGAAGGAGAGCGATGTGCGCAGCCAGGCTAGGAAGGTTCGCTCTGTAACACACATGTCAACTTCCGACTTACACCAGAGTGTGAGGCAGGGAGGAGGGTACCCAGAGCTAAATGATCCCGAGCTACACTGCCCTTGTTCTCAAGCTCCACGCTGCCGTAGCGCTCCCAGACGGCGCGCCATCGAGAGTGCTCGCGCTGCTCGACGGCGACGGCTTCGCGGGACGCGGCTTTGGTGGTGGAGGGCTGATCGCGAGCGGGCGAGATGGAGCCGTAGTCTAGTTGTGGAGTCGACGAGGATGTGGGGGGGTGTTCGGCGGTGCGTTTGCGGGGTGGTTCTTGCTGCATGATTCCCGGCTTGCTCTTCGTGTTGCAGGCAATTGCGAGGAATTGGTGATGTTTCGACCTTTGTGTTTGCTCTAGCGGGGAGTTTCTGAGTACGACTGGTCATTCACATGCAGAGCTGCAGCTGAGGCGCCGGATCGCATGTCCGGGAGAGATAGACTTCGAGTCCCGGGAGCTCGGCTCAGTGCAGGGAACCCTTCGGTATCGTGCATCGCTTGTAGATCAGAGGTCCAATGTCGACAGTATCGGTACGTACGTGCTATCGCGTGGGTCTGACGCAAGACGGGAGGAAAGCAATTGACCTATGAAAGGTCGCAGGGTCCTGGTGGAGGGTGGAGTGGACTCCCGCGGAGGTGGCGCATCCACACTTTCACGAGATCAAGACAGACTTGTATTGAAAGCACGATGAAGACTGAAACAGACTTGTACAATAGTTCTATTTGGATATCCTGAATTTCCGTGCTGGTGCAAACCGTGCCAGCCAGTTCAACTGATGGTAAAGTGCAAAAAAGGCGCTATGTAGTGTACATAACAAGAGATATGATAGCGCCCAATGGCGTTTTTATAATATGATATGATACCGTTCCGATGAAACGCCACTCACTGTCTGCCGGATCGTCGTTCAAAAGTAGATTCTCGTGATCGCCGTGCTGGGTTTCGTGCTTCACTCGTTGTAGTGGAAAACCTGCATCATGGTTAGTAACTATAATCTTCTGCATGAGAGGTTAGATCTTACAAGATAGTTTGGCAGACCCCAGCTCTCCCAGTTCAATCGCGCAGCCATCTTGGCGAATCCCTCCGTCTCAATGAGGTGATAGAAGGCGAACGGTGGGAACATGGCGCCGTCCCGGTGGACCTCAGCCTTCACGAGCAGTGTTGCACCGCCCACGCCATCGAGCTTAGTCTTCGCCATCTTGTCTGCAGAAGGGTCGTACATCTTCGCCATCAAGCTGCGGTATGTGGGCATCTCGGCATAACCCTCGAGCAGGATGTCGTCCTTGCCCATTTTGGCCCCCAGTTCCTGCGCAGTCGGGCTGTCGATCCAGTTGTTGAAGTCGTATTCGCGGATGTCGTTGGCCTTCTTCTCTTCGTTGTAGTATCTCTGGAAGCAGTTGGGCACGATGATGGGGACGTCGTGCTCGGCAAGATCCTGGATGAGGGACGGTGGAGTCTCCACAATGTCAGCATCCATCCAGAGTACCCAGGACGTAGTGGGCCCCATGGTTGTGAAGAGCAGCGAGTTGCGTGCCTTGGCCATAGCCGCGCGCCGCGATTTCTGGTTCTCCATCTTGTGTCGCTCAGACTCAACCTGGCTGTGTAGCGGGTTCTCGGTATCCTGGCGGAGGATCGTCACAGCGGCAAAGCGCTTGCCCTTTGGTCCCGATTGCGTCTTTGCGACTTGGGTCTGCAGCGCTGCGTACGCGGCATTGCCTTCCTTCGTCTTTGGTATTATGAAACCCAGGGAGATGAGGCCATGAGGGTAGGTGAGCTTCGCCAGGTTGTCCCAGTACTCTTGGTAGAATCGTGCCATGGGCGTCAGGATCAGAACGGTTTCCTCGTTCTCGATCGGGGTTTTCGAAGTTGTCAGATTGTTCATGTAGTAGTGTACAACGGGCGGGGCTGCTTGGGGTGCATTTGCTTTCGATTTTCGGAAAGGCAGCGACGGAGGCGATAGCGGATTCGTCGCGGTCTCCCCGGAGCCCTTCTTACCGATGACAGGCGCATCGCCGCCGGAGAAGAAGAAGACGAAGAAGCCTATGCACAGGATCGCAGCGAGCACGATGGTGATGGGATTGGAGCGTCGGAAGGAGCGGGACATGTTGGCGGCTGGACTAAGAAACAAGGCGAACCGCGGTTGCCAGTATTGGGCCGTCTATAAAAGGTGCATCAGAAGGAAAAGTACGGGCTGGTGGTGAGGATGGCGGTCCTGGCGTCGGCGCAAGGAGGTGGGAGACGTGGCCGCAATGGCGCCCGAAAAGTGTCTTCAGCAGGCGCGGATTCGCAGAACAAGCCGGTCGATGGGCAGCGCAGGAGGACGCAAAGAGCACAATTGGCCTCTTGTGCTTGCGGGCGGATGTGAGGAGTGGCTTCTTGTCTGTCATCCATCGCCCTTGCCTGAACCGTTGTTGCGGCTCTCGGCTTAGTCACCCAAAGTTTCATCGACCACTAGTTTCGCGGAGGTGCTGCGGGAGCTCCGAGTGTTGACCTCATGGACAGCCGCAACACCAAATCCAGGAACGGCGCTTGTTTCTCTTGCAGGACCTCACCAGCATGCGCGGCTAGGTATAACACATGACAGAGGACCCTGAAAATTATTCGCGACTCTAGACCTCGCCAGCAGAATACTTGACTTCCATATCCCAACCATACCCAGACTCTTGCATGCCATCCAATTGCTCCCGCTTGTCTGGACTGAGGCTCTACCCTCGAGTCACATCATGGTCGACAAGTCCCCGACCAATATCTTGTGGTTTCACGCCCCAATGGCAGATTCTGAGGAACCTTCACTCTTCTCGCACGTCATGTCGCATACCTCTGTCCACAAAATCTACCCTCTTCGGGACCAGGCGAGGATATGCGGAGACTGCAACGCCTGATAGCACTGCATCGCCACCAATACGGAACCTTAATAGTGCCATCTTGATTCCCAGTTCTTTGAAACACGCTGTGAGTACTGAATACTCGTTCTACTCTCAAGTCACGACTAATTTAGCAGCAACCTGACATCATCGTCAATCACATCCAGCCGCTCCCAAGGCCTGATGTCTACCGAGACTCCCTCTGCGTTTTCCTAGTCACGCCCTCGTTTGCGCCGTGGCTTGTCAACGATGAATTCTTCCTCGCCAAAGCAATTCGCCGGGCGTACAGCAACGCACACAAGGACCTTACGATACAGGCAATATGTGCTGTGGTTGACAAACTGCCTGCTGGTAGGGCCATGGCGTCTGGGATGACGCTTCAAGACGTTGTGAAGCAGCGTTCTACCGAGCCACCAGTAGGGGACACGGGGTTCGAAGGGATTGCCTATGTAATGCTTCCAAGTTCCGCCTCGGTACCTTCAACCGCTCCACGATCACCCGACAAGGGTGCTATTGACTTCATACTATCTGGATACACAGGAGCCAAACGCCCATATAGTGATACCTGGCGACTCCCTCTCGCGAACACCGTGTTCCAGACCGGATCACCTACAACCATGTACTACACGAATTGGACACTGGATGCCAAAGAAAAGACTGTGGCTCTGCAGGAGCGGACGGATGTGACACACCACGGTATTCGAATGGCTGCGTCGGGCACTGAATCAGGCCAAATGTCTTCAGTACTCAGTATACCACTTCTACCACTAACGTTCCCCCGAACAGTGGAAGGAGGTATGGGCAATATCATTCGTCGTATTATTGATGACGAGGGGCAAAGTGTGACTGCTGCTTCGGAGCTCGAGAAGGTCGTTCCTCGGTTCTTCAAAGCACGTGGAGAGCCGGCACAGCCAACGACAGCTTGGGCTTTGGTCATGCGTGGAAGGCAAAAACGGAACAAAGACATCAAAACGAAGCGGATCCTCGGCAAGAACATCCTCAAATCGGAAAAAGGAAAGAACATGCATGAAGCGTTGTGGGATCGTCTATGGCAAAGTAACCCACCTCAGTGGAGCACATATGTGTCGACAGCAATTGCAGAGGGAGCCAGCTTGCATCGAGTTCTCAGTGGAGGAGGCGGCTGGGGAAAAAAGGCAGGTTTATTGTCGCTTGATCCAGTGCCTGTGAGCGAAGAAGTACCCATTCGCATGGAAGATGCAACTAGCGGATTTGAGGGTCCGGGCGATTTCTCCACAGCCCTGACGCCAGTGGTGCGCGACGGTGACGCTATACAATTCTTCATCGCGCCTGCTCCGGCAAGTGAAGTGGACGGAGACAAAGCCTTGGAAAACCTGAAGTCACTACCAAAGCAGAGAGCTCCAGGCTGGGAGCTTGGTGTAATCCCTAGCACGGTCGACTCTTTTCCAGGCGGTTCATGGCAGCACGTTGGAGCTGATTCCGAATACATTGCTGTGTTCAGAAACAGCTTCGGTGCTCTATCCGAAGGTGGCCTGACACTCACTCGGCGCCGTGGTCAGAACCGAAGAGATCCGTTGTATCCTTTTGGAACAACTACAATCGATGCACCATATTCGCGTTTGTGGAGTGTCGAGCTGGCAGATAAGGAGATCTCGAACAATGATGTACGTGGCCAAGACTCGGACAGTCAAGAAATCGCAGTCTCGATATCTGATGCTCCAGTTAGTTAATGTTTAGCTGGCAACACGAATCTAAGGAATTGTTGTATCGCCTAGAGAAGCGGGACCCAAAATTGTCACCTCTAATTCGCAAAATTGCTGATGTGAAAACATCTGAGTCAAGACTGATTTTCGAACGATACACCCAGATCGCTAACGCCATTACGTCGTTGACGCAAGAACAGAAGTCAGTCCTGAGGTCTGTACACGATCACAAACGCCGAGTTGTCCAGCAAGTGAAACTTTTGCGCAAACTTCTGATAGCGGCTGAAAGAGATGTGGAGGACGGTGGCTTCGCTCTCCATCAGCTGCGGATCATGCTAAACAGAATCTCACATCGCATGTGGAAAAGACTTTCAAGAGCGCGTCGTGAACAATCACTTCCAGTTCATCGTTATCCTGTCATGCCCGGAGAGGTGCGGATTCACCTGGTTCCTTAGCAAATCTGGTGATGGAAACGGCCCCGAGATGGAAACTTCAATTGCGGAGAAGCCTGTCGCAAACTTGCAGCAAGAGCAAACAGCCAGAGAAAAGCACCGACCTGGTGTACTCAGGCAACGGCAACGTGTGGTTACTTTCTCCGAGTTCCTGCACAGGACATCGAGTACCATGGATGAAAACAAGCACTTGGCTGATGGAAGCCTTCTAGATGGATCTGGAGTCGTTTTAAGTCTTGAGAGGCAAGTAAACGATTTGGATGCTAGCACATCTGCTCTCCGAAACGATCTGCGGACAGCGCTGGCTGCACTGGACCAGCTCGAATGGATCATACGCGCTGCGAACAAAAATGCATTCCAAATATACAGCATTCATCTTACTCTGCGCCTACGCCTTCTTACGATGGTAAGATCCCGACAGCGAAGAGCAGACAGGCCGGGCAGAGCCCCCTTCTATATGCACATTCCGCTTCTGGAAGCGCACATTGCGCAACTACAAGCCTTTGACGAAGTGCTCTTCGCCCCCGGCACGAATACGACCTCAGAGCAGATTCGCAAGAGCCTCAGTGAACAAGTACATCAGCACCCGGTGCAGCAATACCTCACGAGGCGCGCTTGGCTCCAGACTGCCAGAAACATCACAAACGCTTCCCAGCAAGCCTCCAGCAAGCTCAAGATCCGTCACCACTTGACATATGCCGGTGAAAGCAAAGCACGCAGATCTCCACAGCCTAAAATCCGTTTCCAAAGGCTGAGACAACGTCCTGCCAATCGTGCGCGCATAAGGCGGCACTACGCATCGCGTCTGCGCGTCAAGAAGTACGCGAGTATCCGGCCGCGACAAAGGAACAGCAGTAGACGACGAATATCGACACCGCCCCACAAGCGGGCTAAGAAGGAATTACTCCAGACGGTCAGTTCGTGGCTTGGTGGTGCGACCTCGGTGTCGAAAATGGCCGGGGCAGCGACAAGGGCGGGGCGGTCGCGGCCGTTTGGAAGTAAAGTGTTTGGTAGTGGTGGGGGAGAAGATGGTGAGAAGGGAGGAGGTGATGAGGGGAAGAATTAAAAGGAAGAGGATGATACGCAATGAAGGGGATGCAGTGTTGAAAAACCGGATGGTGACAATCTTCGTGTATGATTATTTTGGAATGTCGAAAAGGTCAAGTCGGAAGCTCATGTCTCGTCACGTCATATTTCCGAGCTTCGGGTCTATGTATAAATACCACCCTTCCTACAGCTTCTCCTGACCTCCTATCATCACCCAAGTTTTGCCGTTTTCTTTTAAAATTAAGGCAAAGACGAGTCATGTCACCAAAACGCTCAACATTCTTGAAATGTTTCTCGACCCTCTGCATCTGTCTAAAAAGCAAAAAACGTGACCTTCATATGCACTTCCTCGAGCGTTGAGCGTTCCGAGAAAGACTTTCGAAGAAGACCTCATGTGCCTAGTCGCTCACTCGATTTTCTCAACCGAAAAACTCTAACAAGGCGCTCCCATGAGTGATTCCTGCCTCCCCCAGTCAACTGACTCTTTCCAAAAGTTCACAGATAAATACGCATGTTTCTCCTGCCTTTTCTCGAGCAGAACTATCGATCTCGAATATACTACGCGCGGGCCTCATGCTCTTCAAGAAACATACGAGAACGGCCTATATCTAATGCTCTGGTTGTTACACAAGAGCGAACCATCCATATCTACTCCTCCAGAACAAAAAAAAACTCCAACTGAAGTTCCATGCCCGGGATCAGGATTTGTGCAGCAACGAAATGGATCGGTGGAGCTGTCCTGGTCAAAACCGGTATAACGTGCTGCCATGACTGCCCTCTGGTTTTGCTGTGCGAAGATAAACGTTTGGTTCGGGGGTCGCATGGAGCTGCGCTGTGTATCAAAACACCATTCGACAAATATAATGTCCGGTTGGCTCGTGGGAATGTGCATAAATACTTCTATCAGCGCTGTTCCGATTCTCTTCTTGTATCACAAACTTTCATCTTCTTGTCCAAAACTATCTGAGTGAGAAGTCGTGTTCTTCCAAAAAAAAGCTGTTGACCGGGATCCATGTTTTCTGCACGCAAAAGAAACTCCAAGCATTATTCGATATGGCTTTTCTGCTCCGTCCGAAATCTTGAAAGGAACAGAAAGAGCTCTGACATCCACCTCTCCGTCCTCTCTGTGAGCTTCTGGATAATACCAACTCTTCCAAAAAATACTGCTGGGGCTTGCATATGTCTTCTGCACCCCTTTCCTGTGTTTGAATACCAAAACCATACCTCACTGAAGCGATGGTGCGCTCCCTCAGAAGTGTTCCACCTGTTTGCAAATCTTGCCAATGAGATCTGATGTCGTGGATCAAAACAACGAAATGCAAGAACCATGTTTCTTCCCAAGGCTGCAAAAAAGAATTCTTACAGTTGCTCGCGACCTCAATCATGTCCGCGATCTGGCGGCTTTGTTAAAAAAACATGGAAGCCACATACTATGTCTGCAATCCGATATCCAACCGAGGTATGTTATCTGTGCTTCTACTGCTCTTGGTGCAGACGTTATGCTTAGCGTTGCGGCGGATTTTGCATAAATACACACTGCGCATATTATCCTCAGTTCGACACTACACGTCTTGTAATCGATCTCTAAAAACGGAAATATGCAGCAATGATCTCATCCAAAAATGATCGACTACATCCGTCATGTCCAGCACGCACTAGATAAAAAAAACGTCCCAGATATGTTCGTATGGTGTAAACGCACTCATCTCGAAGCATTACTTGGTATCGTCTCATGTTCATCTGCTCTTGCGCTGCTTCATCCAGGATATATGATGATCTCAAACTCTGTGGAAATTGAAAACGTGTGATCATTGTGAGTATGTCTAGAGCAGTCGGGCAAGATCAAAATCTACGCAATCAAGTGCGATGGTGTGGGAATCAAAATCCACAAGAAGAGGCTGGATGTGCTTGGACATATTCTACAAACACCTAAAGCTATGGATCTTGCGTTGTCGTGGTATGTACTAAGAGACTATGCCGAAAGAACGTGCAGCATATCTCTGGTCCACTACCGCAAGGGTTGGCGGTATAAATAGTTTGATATGTTCCCCTACCTTCTTCCATTGACACCACGGTATACTTGCCCTTCCAAAACAAAGCCAAACAAGCAGAAGCGTGTTTCAAAACAAGCAAGCCTTTGGTCTTTGTCCTTCTGTTTGCTCTGCGAATATTCGAACAAAATACTCATCAAGACCTTCGCATTACTTCCGGACTTATGAGATTTGGAGACTCGAGTTCCGTCTCATGTTGCAACGGCCATGGTGTGGGTGACATGAAGTCCTATCTAGCACTCGCTCCCACAAGTACCAAAAAGTGCAATTTGAGCCTCGGATCTTCGAGTCTAACCGAAACACTAGATTATTTGCCTGCATAGAGCTTGCACATGTGAAGTTATATTTGACGCTTCAAAATAACCGCTTTCTTCCTCCAACTCTGAGTTATGGTCATATAAAACAACAAGCGCAAAGTAGGCATGCTATGGAGGCAGACTCTTCGAGAAAGACACGACGGAAAAGTTTATGGTGTGCCACGAGAGTCAAAAGATGCTTGAAGATAGCATGTATTCACACGCCGTAAGCTAGGAGATTTAGAGACGAGCTGTCATAACCATATGAGTACTAGCGGGTCATTGAGATTGCCTCGTCTCTGATCGAGGGGTCAAGTGATAGACGTGTGTCCAATGAAAGGAGATCTAATGTTGAGACGAACTTTCGGAAGACGCACAATACTTGCTATCTCGATACTGACTTATTTTGATGTAATGCACCTGTAGATGAAATGTCGAAAGTATGAGCCGATGGTCGCCTGAAGTAGAATCGGTCGATGCATGGATGGGTATTGGGGCGGCGTGAATGGTCTCTGCTCACAAATATCGCAGTCTGGCGGTGATTAAGATATGTCTTCGATTTGATCCGCACATGCTGACGGTGAGGGACTTTGCGGAATAATATGATTTGTTTTCAGCTGCTTCTTTGCAAAAGTACCACTAAGCCCTAAACGTTCCTAGACAGATAATGACCACGCGTTAAGCCCCCTAACAGGCAAAGTTGCACTGGAAAAGGTTGGGAGACAACTTGTTACAGTCCTTCCCTGTGTAACTCTGTCCCTTGTACTGGTAAGTTACCGCATCAAGATTATTGACACCAATATACGCGGCACCCATATACAAGTGCGGACCGTAAGTCGTGGTAAGATCTGCACTGAAGCCCTTGCCCTTTCCGGTGTCGTACTTCGCTTTTGCCCTGATGTCCTTGCAGCTGCCATCCACGACGGTGGCACCCTGGCCATTCATTCCGACAGTAGCCCAGATCATCAATGCACATTTGTGCTCGCCGGGAGGTGAACATTGGGCGTCACGAGCCTGTGATGTAGTCAGAAAAGTATTGGCAAGTGATCCGTACGGTTCACCCCGGGTCCATGATAGCGTGATTGGACCGTATCATAGATGATGCGTTGCATACGGACTGTTGTGCGCTAGACAGATGTCTGGCATTGCCCAAAGTCGTTACAAAATCGATTAGACACGATTTTCAGATTGACCTAGTCCGCTCACGCTACCATAGACCCCATGTGTGCAATGCGGTTGTCGAGAGAGATGACTTACCTCGATGGAAGCAGAACCGCTTCCCACAGTTGGCAAAGCTTCGATGATGCCGGCAAGTGCTGCCAGTCCTACGATACCGGAGAGCTTCATATCGGAGATCGGGAGCTGTGTTGGTTTCAGAATATTGCTGTCAAGTTTGGAAGGTTTCCTACGAACATTTGACGATGGGATTTGCTTACGTGGGCGAATGATCGAGACTGTTGGATTGATGAAGTAGCTGGTGAGGAAATATCAGTGGGATCAGGAGGCCTTCTTATACTTCACATCACTTGCAAAGGGTCATAGTACGGCTACTGATTGCTTTGGCTCACCGTGCTACTATTCAAGTTCAAGATATCCTGCTGAGATAGCCGGCCAGCATGCGAGGTTGAAATCGCAGAGCACACCCATGCAGATCTGAAGAAGAAGCTAGGGGCTGCCCAACGCAATGGCACGATCGGCAGAACACCAAAGCTTTCGCCGATAAATCCAACACGATCTTGACTGCAACATCAACAACTCTGTTGCCGATGGATTTATTGCTAGAAGTAATAATGAAGGTGCTGTGAGAATAAGTATGAGCATGTCGACGAGGAAAGTAGCAACAAGGATGATAGCAACAAGAAAACGGGTGCCATAGAAATTGCGTCCACGTACCGATAGCGTTTCATTCATATCGTGGAGGCTTTCCCCAGACCAAGCCGCAGAACCCTTACTAGCTGCCGTGTAAGCATTTCTATTTTTGCATTTGCCAGGCTTTCTGAAACAGTGCAGATCCGCTAGAAGCCCTGAAATACTTCCATGCGCAAAACGGGCAGTACGAAATAGCTCGTGTTTTTGAGTGCAGCCGCCACCAGGAGCCCATGCATACATGGCAACAACGCAAAGAATTTGCGCGGATTTCTGTCATTCTGCCTTGTTCTGTGCGCAACCTCGAATACGGGTTGGGACTTGTTACTTTCAGCTGCATAGGCCCGATTATTGCTAGCGTGGTTGTGTTCAGGCTGTTGCTGAAGCCAGGAGCTTCACTTCGAGTTCGACGAGCCGTAATTGGCGATTGACACAAGACCGAATCTCGTGAGAGTGGAATGAGCAATGAGGATTAGATGATACCGGAGAACAGGCATATGTTCATGTCTACAAGTTGTGTCATGAGCGAGATCTTTCGACGACATGCGTATTCCATTAATACCTAGGTAGATGGAGACGAGACGAACCTGTAATCAAACCTCGACTAATGCATGAGCCTTGCCTAAGCGGTCCTGATTCACTTTCATGACATGAAGACCCTTTCTGTTTTGGAGAACCCAGCCTTTCCAGACGTAGGCGAATGCTCTTCAGGCATTTTTAAGAGGTTGGGGGAAGAGTCTGTTGATTGAAGGAAAAAGCGGGCATTGAAGTATCTCATATACTACTTGTTCTGTGCTTTAAACATCTCGCCAAAGCATAACCTCTAAACTGAAGCGCGGGCATATCAGCCAAAAGCAACATTTCGTGCAGCTTCTGACATGATACTTTGATCTTATCCGCCATGTCATTCATCTTTCGTACACCTTCTTATCAAATCAGCGGCGAAAATATTCATCAGCTCTTACCGTTTTCTCGGCGCTGCAGGAAATATGGGACCTTACTGAACCCGATTTGGAACCGATGTAGTTTTAAGAACATTGCCAGTGGAGTAGTTAAGATGCAAAGGATAAATTTTAATAGCCCAGTGCTCCAAATGACATAGACGCGAGAAAACGACACGCTGTGTACAAATAGCCAAGAATGACGTCTTCAGGTCATCGGTAATCAATGTATCACTTTAAAATCGCAGCCGAGCACTCAGCACTGTGGCTATCTATCATCAGTCCAGAAGAAAACCTAGCGTGGAAGGGGCTGACAACATCTTGAGACTGCAATCAAGACACCTCTTCCGCGTACTGTTTGGTTACCAAACATGCGTTTAGTTGTTCGTCTTTTTTTTATTAACATCCCCGACAAGTTAGGCAATACGGAGAGCCCCACTACATATTTTCTGTTATGAGCGCACGCTCTTTCGTCTCAGACATGTCCTGACCGGATTTGTTCCTTTGAGCGAAACATGTACAGAAGCCCCAATGTTTTTCTTGAGCACTGGAAAAGTGTTGATGAGAAGAAGAGAAACCCATCGGCAGGTAAAGAGTTTTTATATTCACACCACCCACGACGAGTCATAGCGACAGCCTATTTTGCTTTCATTAAATACGACTTCGACGCATACACCGTAGAATTCATCATGGACTATTTTTGAGACAATGCATTTTTGGTTGAAGGAATGAGACGCCATCGTTCGCTTTCGATCTGTATTTTTCACACTTCTTTTGCCGACATTCATGAACATCAATCGTAGAGGAGTTTTTCAGCTCGAGAACAGCACATGAAGATATCGGCGAAAGATTTTTGAGCTCGTTCAGGGAGCTGTGCCTCTAAATGCTTTCCCTTCTGCTTCGTGGGTTTTTATATTCCAAGTAGGGCGATACCTAGCTGCCGCCCAGACAAGCAGAAAGCATGGCTAGTCGGCAAAAAGAATTTCCGTTATTTTCTATAGGTGTTGAGTCGCGGGAAAATATGAACGCAGCGTAGGCCTTTTGATTGCCGTCATTGCGGTTTGCACTCGAAGGGTTACGGCGTGCAGGCATAGTCCGTGTGTAGCCCATTTTTAGTTCCGCAATTCAGAACTCAGACATCACAAGTTTTGGAAAATCAAAAAAAAGAAAAACTGTGTGTGATGTATAAAGAAAAGACCACAGGTGTGTGAGGGTTTTATATTTAGAAGCGCCCCAGCCGGACCATGTGATTTGTGATCGCTTGTGAGAATTCCAGCAAGTCCTGCCTATGCTGAGCTTGTTTTTTTGAAAGCACAAGGACATGAGTTGAACTTGTGCTTTTTTGATGTGTGTATGCCCAATCTCACGAAATTTCCTCATGCGTAGTTTCAAACAGGACCGACCCCAAAACGCCGCCATCAAATGTGTTGTGACTGACTTTCGGACAAAAACATAACGTCTGGGTGCTGTCAGTTTTTGATGTAGTTGAATAATATTCGTGATGAGCATAGGTGAGTGGTAATGACCAGAATTTTTATGTTGCAGAGCAGTGCACTCACCGGAAGTTATAGCACGTTCGAGCCCAATAGCTGAATGCAATTTCCAGGGGGCTTTTAGGTTTACGAAATCGTAATGGTGAATGGGGAGTGTCTAAATTAGCGCACACGTGTTGCGCGATGCTTAAGCCTGTATAAACTTGACACTTTTGGTTTCGAAGATCGTCTTATACCAAAGTCGATATTAGCATGAGCAACGAGGGGCACGGAGTTAGGATCAGCAAGTTAAGGATATCATTCGTTTCATGCATAAGGTAGTGCTCTACACGTGTATATCATAGAGGCAGATGAAGAGCAGAGCGCCAGACGCCGTCGCCCAAAGATTTATACCCACCTCAATCCATATCCGCATAAGGTTCTGTTTGCTGGCTGGCTCTTTCATTGTCAAAGGTCTCGCCGTACCGGTAGCGAACTCGCACCTACTCAAGCAGACGGGTTAATATGCGTCTTGCTCAAATTAAGAGGCTGTGAGGAGTTCTGTGGGGTGGCTGTGCCCGAACCAGTCTGTGGAGTTCCCATTCCCGGCATGGGACTTACTGCTCCACTAGGGGGTACTGGGATCTGAATGTCCTCTGGGCTTCCTGGCACCATGCTCTGGGGGAGGCCGGGAATCTTAATCCGCTTGGCGACGTTGTTGTAGCTTGAAGGTATGATCTGGTCCACAGTTAGTACGCGCCTTCTTAGCGTGGAGGCAGATGTGCAAACCTCTATTATCTCGTCCCGTGGGAACTGGAGCTTCGGGATGTCGGCTGCATTACATGCCATCAAATACCCATAAAGCACACGCAACACGGACTCGTGCGCGATAATGAGCAGATCATTCTCTTCACGCTCAAGCTCAAGAATGATGGGCTCCATACGCACTGCGAGATCATGGTATGACTACAAACTGTTAGTGGTTCCAGCAAGGGAAATTGAATTTTTAAAGCTCACCTCAGCCCTTGGGTACCGGTGGTGGTACGGATCAGCCTCGTGCTTCTTGACCTCTTCGGGGAACTCTTGCCGGATCTTCGCTTCCGACATCTTCTCGCATACACCGGGGTTCATCTGGCTCATTTGCGATCGTTGTCTGACGCGGTAACCCATATTTGCGAGGTACTCGGACGTTTGCACTGTGCGCCTTCGCGTTGAAGTCCAGATGGTCAGAGGCTTCAGGGCAGCATCTGGCGCGCCTTGATCAACCAGCCTTTGCTTCTCTTCCTCGCGATACTTCATCAGTACTTCGCTCATTTTCTTTGCGTAGTCTCGGCCATCGTCACAAAGGTTGGCATCCGCCTTGTACGAGTCCTCTTCGCTAGTGGTTCCAGCGCGAGCAAAGTACGTTTGTCTTGACTTGATGTGCAAGTTCAGGAGATAGAAGACGATTCGTTGGGACAAGTAGCCGAATGCACAATTATTGACGACGACTCGCTCGCCGGCGTTGATCATCTTGATCCAGTGCAAGTCGGGCTCCTCCATGGTCTCAAAGTGCGGTATCCGTGAGTTGATGCGAGCGAGATAGTCCTGCACAGCATCCTCATCCTTCCAGCCAATGTAGTCGGGAGAGCCGATCTTCACTCGACGCACGTTCTCCTGGATGATGCGCTCATCTGTACAGTGCGACTCGATGAACACGGTCTGGATACCATTCTTCGCGAACTCTTTGGCTAGCGACCGACGACCTTGGGTGATCGCATTGACAGCGTCGTAGATGGCTACTTGGCCCTTGTCGTGCTCGAGAAAGTGGTAGATGTCCTCACGGCACTTCTTCAGGATCTTGTTGCGGAGCAAGACAGACTGTGGTGAGGCGTTCAGGAAGAAGTAGTCGTCGGGCACATCTTTCTCAGGGCCCAGAGTTGCGCGACGATAATCGCCCAGGTGAAACACGTGCGTCTTGACACCAAGCCAGCGCAGGTAGCGCGCTACAGCGACCGAGGTGTGAGTCTTGCCTCGCGCTGGTAATCCGACGGTTGCGATGACAATTCGTCCTGAGTGAAATAGGCGACCAGATTCTGTACTGTAGAGTTGAGCGGGCGCCATTTCCTCTTTCTCCGGGAGATCGTGGATTGCGTCAACAAAGGTGCTCGACCGCCGCCGGAAGCGGGGTGAGTTGGCATATATCTCTGCTGTTCTAGGACCTGTGAGTCACGTGCCCGAGGACGATATGGGTGAACACAGAGCATTCACTGAGTGCCGGATGGGGGAATTATAGCACTTACAAAAGGGTATCCATGGCTAATTAGGTCTATGTTTCTATGGAAAGATGTGGAGAGAAGAAGAGGAAGAATGGGAAAGCGAGTTCACTATGAGACGCTTGTCAAGCGAAGAGCAATTTGGGGGCGTCTGGTAGTGGTTGAGTAACGTCGTGACACTTCCGGATGAGGCTGCGGCGCTGATATAGTTTGCCGAGCACGCCCAACGACAAGGTGCGGGCAGCGGTGTACGGGTGGTTTGAGGGGCCCGATCTGATGCGGATACTGTCGCGGGGAGGTATGCACAGAGGTGGGAGACGCGCAGACAATCCTGAGGTAATTGCGCGGTAGCAAAGTCCCGGCGTACCAAAAAGCAAGGCCCAATGGCCGTCATATCTTATCGCTGAGGTCGGTCGCGCGGTAAATTGTCGGCTTGGGGCTTAGCCTTGTGCATTATGTCATCAAGCTTCCAGAGAAATTTAGGTATCGTCAGGACGCAGACCAACGCATCATCGCGCATCACGTCAAGCTCGTCAAGCCCGCCAAATTCGCCGTCATTTGTGTTTTATCCGTGCAGCTTTGCCCAGAGCCGGAGGAGTGTCACATTAGCATCTGACCATATTGTTTGCCCGCCATGGAGGTCAACCCAACCAAGGAGCAAGCTGTCGCCAGCATCTTCACACCCCCACAGACTGCGCATACCGGTCCCTTTGCACGGGTACTGGATGTGTACACAGCATTCCAAGACCGGAGAGAACTATTAGGATTGGCCAACCCCGGCACCGTTGAGGGAATTGCGAGGGAAGTGCAGCGCGATGTGTTCTTGAACAACTCGAGCTTCTCTGGCCTGCGCGCCGAGCTCACCAAGGCCTTCAGCGCCGCTCCTCTGTTCCAGGTTGCGCACTCGCTGTCTATGGGATCGCAGCTGCAGCCACCCTACTCATACATGGTCCTCTATGGATCACCAAGGGTGTGTTGCCTCGCTTGAATGCCGCCCATCTAAGCTGACCTCTGCCAGGTGTTTATGCAAGGTAGCCTCGACAACGACCTGCAATTCTCTGGTCGCTTCAATTGGCGATGGACATCTGCATTCGTTACCAAGTCTGCTGTGCAGCTCACATCGCAAGGCAACATGGTCTCGCTCGAGAACGACTACACCGGTGCCGACTTCTCCGCCTCGCTCAAGGCTGTGAACCCTTCCCTACTCGATGGTGGCGTAACTGGTATGCTCATGGCTAGCTACCTTCAGGCTGTCACGCCTAAATTGTCGCTCGGCATCGACGCCTTCTGGAGCCGTGCCGCCATGGCATACCCACCAGAGCTCAACGTCTCCTACGCAGCACGATACAAGGCTGCAGACTGGATGGCTTGCGGACAAATCATCCCCGACCGCGGCGTGTTGGAGGCCTCATACTGGCGCAGGATCACAGACAAGGTCGAGACGGGCATCAACTGCAACCTTGCATTTGCCGGAATTGGACCCGGAGGACCAATGGCTGGTCCACAGAAGGAGGGCAATGTCACAATTGGTGCCAAATACGATTTCCGTGCGTCATCGTTCAGGGCGCAAATCGACAACCAGGGCAAGGTCTCGTGCTTGTTGGAGAAGTTGATTGCACCACCTATCAGAGTCACCTACTCTGGTGAGATCGACCACAAGCAGGTATGTATCGAAAATGAGATTAGAATCAAGACACTCGCTAACAGAATTCTTAGAACACCGCCAAGCTCGGTCTTGCCGTCGCGATAGAAGCAGCCGACGAGGCAGTAATGGAGCAACAAGAGCAGTCTGGCGCCGCCATGTCCGCCGGTGCCATCCCCTTCTAAACCTCCAATCGCCTCTCTTACCAACCATAATCTCATGACTTTTCTCTTCCCTGTATTACCACAATTCCTGGGTCTGAGCGAGCGAGCGCACGCTTTTCCGTACCAATGTCACACGATATCCGGCAGCCGTTTGGGCTAGACTCTATATCATCTCGAGCACGTTTGGACGACTGCAAAATGGCGCATTGTTTGGTGACATGTAATGGGACTACGGCTGCGGTAGACATGACGGAGTACAACTGTCGCCAGGTGGGTGCGATAAATCGTCGCACAATTGTATATATTACAGCATAGCAGGCGATCACAAAAAGTCAACTCCACTACGTCAGATACACAAAATCTACTGAAGTGTTCAAGAAAGTGATGTAATGCGCAATACATTATTGAAGAGTCGAGAAATATAGTACAGGTCGTGACCGTTGAGCTATATGCATATGATTGTCATTTTCATAACGCCCCTCCCCATTTCCACACAGCTGATGCATCAAGCTGAGCGCCATTGCCGCCGTGTATCCGTTCGTCATGGTATAGAAAAGCCTTACAAAGCTGGCTTCGCGCCCTGCGGCTGTCCAGGCGTCGGTGTACCAGGTGCCATAAACTGTGCATTCGTTAGCATCCATCTTTCACAACCTTCAAGACATGGCTTACCTCATTCTGCGCCCTCTGCGCCATCAACTCGGCCCTCTCCTGCTCCACAATCATTTGCTCCTCACTATACGCCAGCGCCCATGGCACGCCCAACAGCAACGCACTCGTGCTCACTACCCACAGCGTCTTGCCGCCCATAAACAGTCCCGACTTGAGCCATGACGATGTGGTGTTTACTTTCGAGCTGATGCTGCGTCGTGTGCTGGCGGGGATCATGTCTTGTAGTGCGAGGATGCGCTCGTAGAGAGTTTCGTCGGTGGGCGCAGAGGCGATGGACGAGGTATCTGACTCTGTAATTCGCTGTTAGCACATCATCCCCTCTCCCTGCATAGAGTATAACTGAGGAAAGAGCGAAATGCACGGCGTCATACCCGAATCGGTGTCCCAGTCGTCCTCGTCATGAGGGCCGTCCTGTTCGCGGACGAACTCCTCATCCATGACTTCCTCGAGCTTGACCATTGTGGCGGTGTGTGTGTGTAAGGGTGTTTAAAGGGAGTTTTGGTAGGGCGTGTAGGCGGGCGTGATTGTTGCGAGTGGTGATGGCCCAAAAGTTTGTAAATGTTCATCATTGGGCGCAAGCGTGGACGGGCCGGGGTTTTGCCGATGCGGTCATCGCGTTGCAGACGAGACAACACTATGCACCCGGCGCAAGCAACATGAGAGTTGCACTCTTAATAATATTACTACGAGTATCTGTCAGACGTCCGTTCTTCCAGGCCTGAACCATGTATGATCATTGTGGTCCGCGTATCTGCGGCTGGATGGCTTGCGCCCGTTCACCAACAACCGCGATACAGGGTCACCATTGGTATAGCTGTTGGCTAAGGCTGTCTATCTTCAAACGTTTTTATCAAATCAATCCCAAGTCATGGCATGACCTCAGGGCTGGTTGCTTCACGATACCAAGCATCATGAGACCCGGACAGTGCGAACTGCTTTTGGAGTCTTCGGAACGACAATCTTTGGGACCTTGCAGCACTAATTCACTGACCCGAAGCAGATTTGTCCGCAACATATTTTCACACGTCTTCTTCAATTTCACATTTGTCTTACATCTATACTCTTTTGATAATCCTCATCTTCTGGACAGCCTCTTGCCTGAGTGGGCGTCAACATCTTCTTAATGTCTCGATACCAGTACCCTGAGCACACATTGTCAGACGCAAATCAGACGGCTATCATGCGATTTTGGCACTCTCTTGAACTCCGGAAAAGGATTGCGAACTATCTTTGGCCTGAGAAGAGGGAGCGACAACCAGAAGCGAATGAGCGCGCTGGAGAACTTGAGCTCTGCAATGCTGAGTTCTGCCCAATTTATCAACTGCCGCCAGAACTTCTCCTCGATATCACAAAGCATATATCAAGGGCTGACAGGTTGGCCTTCCAACTGTCTAGCCGAAGATTCGCTTCCTTTATACAGCGGACTAGCAAAGCAACCCCACGTCGGATCGACAAGAAGAGATTGAAAGAACGACTAGGAAGAGACTCATATTCCAAGCTTGCTGAGGCTGAAGCTAGAAATTTAGCAACTCTCCCACAACTTCTCTGTTCCCATTGTCACGAGCCGCATCCTTGGTCACACTTCGACCGCAAGGAAATCCTCGAGTCGGGCCATGTTCGACGTTGCAAAGGAGCGTCGCGCCCTTTCAGAACATGCCGGCACATCACCGTGACACGCGATCAACTCACGAAGCCTAATCGCGTGGGCATGTTCGGCGAGTATTACTATGGACCCCAATGTGCAACCTGCACGACTTCCTATTTTTCCCGGGCCGTTCACTCTTCAACACTGCAATACTTCTGTTCTCAGAAGCTTGGAAAAACTTACGCGAGCAACAGATTACACAGGGTCAGGCTCCAGCAAGGGTTCCGTCAATCAGCATGGCAAGTGTGTCCGCATATGCGTACAGACGATGCAGACTTCCAGGCACGGCTTCTTTTCACCCCGTTGGAGCCTCCGTTGTGGTCTTCTACCGGTCAAAGCGAGCATGTCACTGACGTTTTCGCTGAGCCCTACATGGGCACAGACATGCGCATATACTGCAGGCACAGGCACTGTACTACAAACGTCCGAATCTCGAGGAGGCTTTTCATAGGTGTAGGGTCGACGCCAATATATGTCGAAACATATCGCGAATTGGGTCTCATGAAGTCGGTCCAGGACCCGGCGTGGCTTGCGCAGGTTGGAGATTGAACATTATGACCATGGCCTCCGTATGTTTACCCTCTAGGCCACCATTTCTCGGTATGTCCAAATTACTAAGTCATTCTTCGTGTCACCTCAAGCTAACCAGTCGCTGTGTAGGTGCAGCGCGACTGCGTGATCTCACCACCAACTCAGCAGAGGAATCTAGATCAGAGATAGAATTACATCAGAATGGCTGCATTGCTGGCAGTCGATGTGACTCAGTCCAGGTCGCAACACATGGTCTACCGCGGTGGTTGGCACTAGCGTTCGGGTTGCGCTGTCGGACTCCGAAAATAGGGCATAAGCTCAACCACAAAAGCAACCCACTCTACGCCTCCTGGAAATGGGGCGGCTTACGCGTGCATCACAAAGGGCACATTACGGCTTGCTGTTCGGCCTCGGTCAGACTGGATACCGAGGAGTGATGCTGGAAGACCAGGTACTGTGCGGTTTGGTAGACAGGAGAAATTACTGGAATGCCTGCACATGACGTCATTGACAAATAATGAACAATGCTGATACGATCACAATCTCTCCTCTTAATAAACAAATATGTCTTCATGATGGTCAGGATTGAGAACATTTTTTTGTGTCCGCTCAACGTCGAAATTGAAGATGAAAAAGGGTAGCGCGACACTAAATTAGCCTCCAAGGTTTCGTCTTCTTTGCAACAACCTTGTTGCTCTGTCATCAAACCAACACATTTCGCTCAGCAACGATCCAGGACTCTGGTTCTTCGACGGGGAGTTTCACTTCTTGAGGCAAATTCCCTCTGAACTGAAGTCTCAGCAGGCACACCAGCCCCGGATCGTGCCGGCACTGCACACTACGTGGCGTAAGGATTATCAATGTCTGCAGCATTGCATTGAAGGACCGCCTCCTTTTACGCACAGGTGCCTTCTTCTGCAGCCTTATTTTCTCTCTCGAAGGATCGTTAGGGTGGCTTTGCGTTGCCCAAGGATGCCAACACCAAGAGCATGAACGCTGTCTTACTTTGACATCGACGATGCAAGTAAAGCACGTCAGCCCCAAATATACGGACACTCATAGTATCATATGCGGTGAACGGACCAGTTCGGACGATTGCTTGATCAGCAATTGGCACAGCCCTGTCATCACAACAGCTCAGGACCAACCATGGCTCTGCTCAACAAGGAGTCTGATCTATCAGTGCCCCTAGATCAGGCTGCAACTTGGCCCATGGCTTATCCTGGGACTCCGGTTGTTCTTCAATATTCAGTATAATGGTAACCACCCAACTGGGTCGCCTTTGCCTCCTGTTGACGCCATCACAAACAACAGGCCACAATGAAGACGCTGTGTTACTTCCTATGCAGCATTTTTAGCTCAATGTAGTCATGTCGAATGACCTGCTTTAAGGTTACATCTATGATTGGTGTATACTGCCATGAGGAAATGTCTTGGAGTGTCAAGATTGCAGACCACACCCTTACGGCCACGACCGCGATTTCATCGAACCAAGCCATTCCAGATATACAACTTGTGCAGCGGTAAGTAGGGCCTATCATCTTCCAACTGACGGGTCATGACAAGACCATGTTCGGCCCGCATGGTCGACTGCGATGAGTAAGTGACCTCCTTGCAGTACACTGAACCATGTTACAATAGCACGAGCCTTGCACACCACAAGCAGCCAGACATCCGAAGAAGTCTTCAAACCCGGATAGGCGAGTATCTCACCGTTTACATATATTCCCTTCCAAAAAACATATACCAACACGAGCCCGAACGCGCATAGCCCAATCAGAGACTAGGATGAGCTTAGCGTGCATTTCGGTCTTCGTCCTAGCTTTAGAACTCCGAAGCCTCATTCCTAGTGCTGACGAGTCTCATCAAGGCTACACCAGCTCGAAAGCGAACATTCGCAGGCACCATGTTTGTTGGCAAGGAACAATATGACCTCTTGGCGTTGGTGTAGAAACCCGATACTTGCAAGATAGCCTAACCTTCCTCCGAGAGCCGACCCCGGATCTCGACGCATCTCAGTGCGTCATGCTCAATCACCACAGCCTACATCACTGCCTCGATATGGATTTAGCCCCGTGGCGTAGCCCCAGCGAGCCCAATATGACCAAGGGTCATTCACTCCACTGCAGCATCCTGGCTGCCATGCGCGGTAGCTGCATCTAGTAGCACACGGTCGGATTCAGCAACATGTGAGGGCCGTGCAAAATAATCACCACCACGGCGTACCCGTAAGTAGGCAGCACCATGTGGTCAGTGTGCAGATCCCCGAGATGACGCTCATTACGCCTTTGCCTAAGCTTTAGAACATTCCGCATGGCGTACTAATAGCTGTGTATCTCTTCGAGACCCCATAGTAAATGAGGAGGCATACTCAAATTCTAGACTTGGATCACAGATTATATCATATACACGACGCCATGTTGACAACGCAGTGTTACGCGACAAAGGACGGACGAAAGTCTTCGTCCCAATTTCAGAGACGCTCCGATTTTGATCTTCCAGAGCCAGAGGTATGGTGGCAGAACATACTTGAGAGGACTTCCTAGTCTAACATAGTCTCAGGTTCCCGCACAAGACGTTACAAGTTGTCTTGGACGGGTCAGGAAAGCGCTGGCCTACTGGCGCAAACACACGAAGCTTCCTCGGTCACAAAGCCGCTCAGAGAGCCGGCAAGACGTCGGGCTGAGCTCAATGAGCTCAGGGTCCTCCAGTTTGTCTCGCCGAAAGACACATCGGCGACGTCCTACTGCATTATCTCTAGAACGAGAGGAGAGCTCTAGTTCAGGGAACGATCCTTCTTGTTCGACATACGACGACGATAAAGATCCGTTCATCACATCACCATCATGGCTCAAGGATACATACTTTGAAGGTGAAACGAGACAACAGGAATGGAGAAGTTCGGAACATGCCGTTGCCGACCCTTGAAGAATAGACGGGAGTTCGTACAAGATTTTGACATTCATCTATATACGTTTCATCACCGTCCAAAATGGTCGATGAAAAGAGTATGGCTTCATGCATGCTCTAGCCCATTTGCAGCCTAGGCTTGCATGTTCTGTCTCCACCCCACTTGTACGATCTCCCGTCTTTTGCGATTCAACACCAACATTATGTTATGCGGCTCATTGATGTCAACACTCTTGAGCTACGATCATTCACAGACAATGATACACCGTCATACGCCATTCTCTCCCACACCTGGGGCTCGGACGAAGTCAGCTATCAAGAGCTAGTATGGATCAACAGGATCAAAGCTTTGACGAGATCGTTCGACGAGCCGTCTGTCGAATCATCTACCACCTCGTTGATAAGCCAAGATAGTCAGTCTAGTTTGATGCTTGCAAGCATGGAGATGCTGCTGCGAGGCAATTGGAATCCTGGTATGTCAATTGGCAGCATGACTGAGGAAGACTTAATGAACCGCCCCGGGTATTCGAAGATCGCCAATGCGGCTAGAGAAGTTCAGGCTCTCCGGCTGGAATGGATATGGATCGACACATGTTGCATCGATAAGTCCAGTAGCGCAGAGCTGCAAGAGGCCATCAACTCGATGTATCGGTGGTATCGGAATGCAGAAGTATGTCTTGTATACCTGGGCGACATCGCGCGACCCATATTTAACCAGGCGAGCTCTGCTTCAGACTTCGCAAGGTCCGCCTTCAAGTCGTGTCGTTGGACTAAACGTGGCTGGACGTTACAAGAGCTACTCGCACCATGTACTTGTCGCTTCTATCTGAAAGACTGGAGATATATGGGCGAGAAGATTGAGTTCTTGGAGGAATTGGCTGATGCTACCGGTATTCCAATCTCAATTTTGGAGGATCCGAATCTGGTGCAAGAGGCGTCTGTCGCGCAACGAATGTCTCAAGGCGTGCAAGTCGCGAGACGACACGATCGGAAGACATCGGCTACTGCCTGCTCGTGTCTCTTTGACATACAGATGCCACTACTGTATGGTGAAGGGGAGAAAGCATTTATCCGCCTTCAGGAAGAGATCCTCAAGACAACCGATGATTACTCACTCTTCGCGTGGAGCGCTACTACCTCAGACAAGTCAGTCTACCGCGGCTTACTTGCTCGATCGCCCGCCGAGTTTCGCAACTGCGGCGATGTAGAGCGAGAGAGCGGGCTCTCCACATTCCCAATCAGCTCCACGCCAATCGGCCTGAGAATCCAGCTAGACTTCCTCCCCAACCCAGACGACAAAAGCCGCGCCCTCGCCCTCATACGCTCCTGCAACCCCATGAACCAACGCCTAGCAATCCAACTCAAATGTCTAGACGGCGGCATGCAATACGCACGCGTCAACGCCGGCTCAATTGTCTGCATCGACGACTGGCCCACAGGTCGCACACGCACAATCTACGTGCGCCAAAAACTCTCCATACCAGTAGACTTCGCAACGCCCGAGTTCAGCCGCTTTGAATTCCGCCGCCGCATGGGGAATCACAGCATCCCACATGTGCGCATTATCGGCGCTCCGTCTGAGGGCTGGAATTGGGAGACATACGAATGCGCCATGACTCCGCACATTCTCGAAACCACACTGGTTTTCTTGCTGCGCATTCAATCGCACAAATACGCCCATAGCATGACGTTCCCCGTCGCTGTGGGGTTCAATCGCGGTACGTGTCATTACTGGTGCAAAGCCATATCTGAAATGGCGTCGGAGCGGGACTATGATTTGAACGGCGGGTGGCGCGCTGCTGCGTTGCGGAGAATGCCGAAGGATGTTATGAACCCGATGAGAGGGGCGGATGCGCATCGTGATTTGTTCGTGGTTGGGGATGGGAGTTTGGGGATTAATGTTGAGGTGAGGGCGGGTTTGGTGGGAGATAGTATTGCGTTGCAGGTGCATGTTGACGGGTTAGTTAAGTGGTCTTGAAGTGATGAGGATGGTTTGCATTTGTATCTATCTTTATTCACTGGTCCTTTCATATCGGTTCTTTCCCTCAGGCTGTTCATATTGCGCTATACATCGCGGATCCGGAATGCTTCCGAGACCGCCCATATCCCGCAAAATTTCAATGCTCCATGTACACTTTACTCAAGTCCGATCCTAAGAGCGCTCAAAGCCAGACATATCACTTCTTATTCCTAACGTGCTCATATTCATACTCCAAGTCGCTCAGCTACATGCTCCCGCCCTGGCCCTTGCGTGCTATTCCAGCTGCGCCACCCACTTCAGCTCCTTCACATTCATCAGCCGACCAATTCTCCGCCAAACCTGGAAGATTCTCAGTGACGGCAGAAACTTCCACCCATCATAAATGGAAGCAAGGCTATGTCCAAACATCGTATGACAATCAGATTCTCCACACATACCGAAAAACTCCTTGTCAGCGCTGTACACTTCGTTAACGTCACCTAGATGATATCTTAGATGTATCGCCAGGTTAAGTTTTGGCTTGTTGTGCCATAGATTGAGACTGGACGTTCGGAGATGCGGGGAGATGTACATATTCATTCCGATCAAGGTCTCGAGGACTTGGCGCTTGGTCCAGAGCTCTTTTTTATGGTGGTGTTGGCTGTCACAGGTAGCGGATGGCCAGTCTTCGTTGCTTATGAGGACGCCCCACCGAGTGTGAAGGTCTCCGAAGTCTCCAAGGATGGCTTTGGGGCGTAGGTAGTTGATGTTCATCGCCTATGGGTGGAAGGTTCTGGTGGCCGATCTTCTGGGTATATGTGGAGGAGGTACTTCCTGCAGGTTTTGGAAGGCTGAATGCGATATTCGATGACCTGCGCAGGAGCACAGGAATGCTTGGTCATTGTGTCCAGTCCATGATCGGAGATTGTTTCCAACGAGGCGCTGCAATTGAGAGAAGGTGAGGCTCTTGTGATGGCAGATGCGAAAGGTGCCAACAGCGCCCCTACAAGCTCCTTCGTATGGACCCTGTCTCAGACTTGCTGTACTAAAAGCCTCTCTGTTGTGTGCTTGGAGACAAAAGCTACACAATACCCTGGTGGGGCGCGATTTGACAAGTGGCCAAGCAAGCTCGACTTCGACCATCTTCGCGAAGCGAATGATGTATGACTGGCTAGTGAAAGCATATTTTGCAGCTTGCGTTACTGGTGTCTGGCGTAGTTGCACGAGCGATGTGATTTCAATCCTCATTTTCCGACAACTGGCGCTGAGATTCAGAATGTTTAATCCACTCAAATTATCGATAATCAACGAGTGCAAAGCCACGGGTACGCGGTGTAGTATACTGTTGTTATGGTTATGAGCGGCGAGATCAATCGTCTCTCGCATCTTGTGACGTACTCCCACCCTTGGCGGTTTGGGGTAGTATTCGTCATCGCGCCATGGAATGTCAAGGCGGCAGCCGGTGGAAATGAGACGGAACATAAGGTACCGAAGTGCTTCATAGGAGGGTTTGAATGGAGTAGGTACCTGCAAAAGCTGGAGAGCCTGCTGAGTTACCAATGCAGCTGCCATCGGAACAAAGTATCCACGGTTCGTGATAGTAAAGTGGCAGACGAGAAAGCTATATGCGACATTTTGAGAAGCAAACTCACTCTCTTTCGTAGGATCACCGCAAACTTTGCTACCAATAAGTATTCCACGCATAGCCTCTGCGAGCCGAAAATATAGATAGATCGTCTAAATTGCAAATGAGCAAGAAAATCACAGTCCTGCAAGTAAATAGAATCACCGTGAAAGAAAGGGTGTGGAGACAATGGTAGGACATGGTGTCTGTGCCCACTATGCCATGCAACCACAAAAGGTGCATATTGTCGATGACAATCTAAGATGTATGCAGAATGATAGACACAGACTGAGGACCTTACAAAAAGTAAACACAAGTTCCAGTTTCGAATCAAAGCAAACTTTGCCATCGAAACTCACCCTTTACTTGAGCTCTATGGGTCGACATGACATGAAAGTCAACCGATCGTCTACGATGCGAACGAGCGAGAAGAATGTCATATCACAAGCAGTGCAAAGGAGAAGTATGAGAGCAAGCGAAAGTTCCACTGCTCGATAGGGATGACCTTCCCTCACCAACGACATCTACAGCCCATCCACAATAGCCCATGCTAATCCTAAGCGCCACGTCAGTCCTGCCCGAAGAATAAGATCGCCATATCGTACTCCTCAACCATCTCGACTGGCAGCCGTAAAGATAACCCTCACACCTCATCACTCCTTACCCCACCCCTTGCCAATCGCCCACTCCCACCCTCCCCAACCTGCATGATCCCTCGGCCGTACTCTGAACGGCTCATTCATATACCTCGCACTCGAACCCCACTCCTCCTTCCGCGGCGGCGCCCAGCTATCGCCAAGCGCAATGCCGCCGCCGACCAAACCGTATCGCGTTCCGCTGCGCTGGTCTGGCGAGAGCGAGCGGTCGTCACCAACCAAGTCGAAAGAGTTCAATGTGATGAGGGTTTTGATGCTAGGTTCGGGGAGGTCATGGAGGAGCGAGTGCACGTCGTTGTCTGCGGCGGAGCGGTCGTGGAGCGTGGGCGAGGCGATGATTTCGCGAGGTGTGAAGAGCTGTGGAGGATGAGCAGGTATAGGGACAGGAGCTTTGGGCTCGTTCGTGTATACTTCTGCAGGGGTGGGCCAGCTGACGGGGTCTTCAGGCTGGACGACGGGGGGAGAGGGGATGTATGTTGGAGGGGAGAAGTAGTTCTGTCGGAAGGGCTGCGGGTTGGGTTTGAAGTGGGCGTCGTCGGGGTAGATGTCTGCTGCGGATGGTTCTGGGCCTTGGTCAGTACGCTTGGTGCGCGTGTATCCTCGGGGGCGCTTTCGGTTGGAGGCATGGCGGATGTGACGTGGGTTTGAGGGACCGGTCTGATCTTGGCTAGGGTATTGATGGAAATATCCTGGCGGGGCGACTTGGGCGATATTCTGCTGCATGATGGTTGGACCAGTGGGAATATGCTCATCCTCCACCGTGACCATGCGTGGCTTCTGCATACCGAAACCTGGAAGGCGCAAGCACAACCTTCAATGCAGGAGGCTGCTCATGCTTGGGCGTCCTGTAGACTACGAACGGGTTGTGGTGGTCCTGAGATGCTTTTACTGTCTCCTCCGAGGATTCACTCTGATTCTTCATGTAGTGTGCTAGTGCACTTGCGGTCAGGGGCTTGTTCAAAGCTCGGTCGATGAGCTTACCATATAGCGCATTTGGATCACCTTGCGGAGGACGGGTTTTATGCGTACGCGCAGGATTTTCCTCGGTCCTGGGCTCCTTCTTCGCACTGGGCAAACCGAGACCAGCGCTCAGTTCATCGATGTCTACAAGATTGCGATCAGGTTCTGTGGGTAGCAATGGAAACGTGTAGTTGGGCATCCAGGTGTTTTTAGGACCCGCAACGTCCTGGAAATAGCCTTGTGTGATGTTAGACGGATTCATGAAGCCTTGTGCAGAAGCATGGTGCTGTTCTATTACTGTTAGTGAAGATATTTCTCAGCCTAGCTGCAACTACTGACCTTCTAGAGCCTCCCATCAGCGCTTCCATGGGTATGCCTTGAGCCAGCAAACTCTCTATAGATAAAGTGACAAAACTCGAGTTACCTTCTTTGCCAGAGATCGAGGGCATGCCCTGAGCCGATTCCAAGGTGGCGTCTTCTGCTTCAATATTAGTAACAGTACCCTGAGAGGGCTCTTTGAAATATACCGTCCAGGATGGCTGAGCCTTCCAAGCCCATTTGTACCATCTCATCATGCTTAGACGGCACGGAAAACACTCCTGCTGCTCTAGCGGAAGCTGTCGTTGGGCTAAAGGCAACCGCCTCCGGGTTGAAGGAGATCCTGCGCTCTCTCTTGTCCGGACGCTCCATCTCGTGATAAAATCCAGTTGTTGTAATAAGAGGGACTGTGGGTGTGCTATGAGCTTTTGTGCGGAGGAAAACAATTGTTCAGTATGTCCTAGAAGGCCCGTGCATCACGTGAATGCGACAGTGAATTACGGTCGTACTTCACCTCGAGTCGCTATTGGATGGAAAGAGTAGGTTTCGTGAGACTCGTTCAAGCGTGAATACGGATATGAATTGCGATTATCGGAGATGCAATACTGCTACCTCGGAAAGGAATGTCAGCGCTTTTGAGTCGGAAGCAGGTGACCATGGTGAGGTATGGACATGCCTTTGGTCGGTAGACGAAGGTTGAATACGGTGCCGCTGTCAGGAGGCGACAAGATGTTGTCAAGGTAAAGGCAGCATGTATTGAATGGTGGCGCGCTGGCGCCACCGAGCGTTTGCTCGAGCAGGTGAAGGTGAACTTTCATGTTGTTACGCCGACGGGTGCAGCAACAATCAGATGGCATGATGTTAGGAGCATACCAGCGTCTCTTCAAGATACTCACATCGTGAGTGCGAGGTACAAGGGTGGTATTCGTAAGATATGCCAACCCCCACGTTCTCAGTCAGCAAATGCAACTATTCACAAGCGGGCGGTGCACGGCCATGATGGCCACGACTGCTCGTGTGACTTTCTACTAGATATGCCAATCAGAAGCAAGCTGTGACGCGTTAGCCGACATGTTCAAAACAGTACTGTGCATTCAAATACCTCACATTGCCCGGCTTGCGCGTCTCGCTTCATTCACACTCACTACCAACACAAGGCTGCGCTGTCACACTTTTGTCCGTATTCGCGAACTGTGGTACACTCACAGCACGCGACCCAAACTCACCATGCGCCCGAGCTTTTCCACGAACGCCGACTCCCACATCGATCAACCAGAAATTCGTCACCTTGAAAATGCCCATGATGCTCGACCAATATTTAGCTTTTCCAGATATGCGATCCGAACGACCACTGCAGGGCAACCAAACTTACTACAGCCACCCGAGGCGCCAGGCAACGAAGTGCGGCCATATTATCCACCCTTCTGCTTCTGAACATACGCCTTTGTGTCCGGCTTGTCTCACCTCGCGTGCTAAGTCCTACATGAATGTGGCGCTAAAAGGGCTCATCGCAGAAGGAGGGCCTTCACCTTCGGATTCCATGCGCGACCGACGCTGGCAAAGAGCAAAGCTGCGATACGACATCGCAAAACAACGACAAGCAAAGATTCGAAGCAGGGACCAGTTGCGTGAAGAGCGAGAGCAAACCTGGAACGAGATGCATCAAAGAGCCGGGTCACAGCGCCTCCAGGCAACAACCACTTTCCAGGAGCCGGCTGACTGTACCGTTTGTGAAACCATGATAGCCACATATCCAACGCAGGTATCTGTGCCACAGACAGCAAAAGACACTGCTTGGTGGGAGCGGCCGGGTGGACTCGTCGTTGATGACATCCTGGTACCCCGAACGCCCTTGCGACCTGTTCGGCAAGCGCGCCAGAACGTATGCAAGACACAGGGTACTTCCGTTCTGCGCGGGATGGCCCGCAATTTTCGCAGAGCCATGACTGCGTCGGAGGCCCACAGGGAGATTTGGGAATTCAGGTATCGCACCGAGACAGCAATTCGCCGAAAGCATGGGTTGGGAGAAGGATTCCATTTCGAGCCAGACTTTTGGGACTCTCCAATCTCCGCTCACCTCACTCGGCAGTATTATCAGCAAGCGGAAGAGGAAGCGCGAATGGCTGCCCGGCGAGCCAGGGGGAATACTCCACGCCCAAGACCGCCACGGAGCTCTTTGTCATACTCGGAACGGTCCGATGAGATAGACGTCGACGAGGGTCATCTGGAGCACATCTGGAAGATGGAAGAGCAGAAAATCCAGGACCGACAAGCAAGAAAAGTAGGAGAGGAGATCGGCTATCTCTACTTTGTGGGAGTGGACGGATTGCTGAAATGGAAGGATGACTACTTGAGAAGCGATCGCGGATTGGTGTACAGAAAGAAGAACACGGAGCCTGAGTCTGACGGAGTCATGTCAATGTCCGACTCTGGAGACTCTGACTCTGATGATAGTAGAGAGGATGAATACAAGGATAGGGGCGAGGACGAAGAGGACTATGATGAAATGGACATGGACATGTGAGAGAGCTCATAGGTGGTAGTACAGTAGCATGACAATACCCACGTGGATTGACACATCAACAACTCATCATGCCACGCAAGACGTGGGTGAGGCGGCTTTGGAGCACGAGCATCGTCTGCGTCACTTTCACACGTGTTCCTAGGTCCAGCGACTATTGGCCAGACCTACGGTGTAAAGTCCCGGACCATTCATGCACGGAGGAATGTATTCGCAGCATTTGTGTTGGCCGTAGGGCAGCTGCATCGTCCCATTTGTGCCGAGATGGCTGTCGCGTGCTCTGCTTGAGGCCCGAAAGGTCGCGCCCAAGTCAAGATTGGCCGCGTAGGTAACGTGATCGCTCAAGTGAGAGACAGATGTCGGAGTGGTAGTGGAACGCGTTAGGAAGCTATTCCGAAGCGCGTCATGGCTTGGCGCGCTGAAGTCATCTCGAAACTTTTTGGTTTCGCTGGCGCAACCCTCACCACTACTGGTTCTTTAATTAGCAACACTCGAAAACATGGGAAAGGGAACCGATAAGCTGTACATCACACATTCCGAGTGGTCTTCATCCGACGCTTTCGGCAGCGCGCGCGGCGCAAACACTTCGACTCGGAACTCTGCGACTGGCCTTTCATCGACCTTCAAGCGCCTGCCCTTCAACTACTGCGCCGTCTCGCTCCAACCCTTCACCGACCCTGTCTGCACCGAATCGGGCACCATCTTCGATCTTACGCACATACTCACCTGGCTCTCGAAACACCCCGGCACAAGCCCTATAGACGGATCGAGCTTGAAGCGCGACGACCTTATTACCTTGAACTTCACCAAGAACGAGGACAACGAATATGTCGACCCGGTCACATACAAGGTCTTCACCGACAACACGCATATTGTTGCGCTGAAGAAGAGCGGCAACGTCTTTGCATGGGACACGATCGAAAGATTGAACATCAAGGCGAAGAATTGGCAGGACCTGGTCAGCGATGAAGCCTTCACTCGGAAAGACATCATCACACTGCAAGACCCGCAAAACATCGAGTCACGAGACTTTGGCTCGTTCAAGCATGTCAAGGAGGGAGACACAGTGATGCCAGACTCGGAGAGCAGCGTCAACAAGGAGGCGCTGGGCAACGCGGCCAAGATTCTGAAGGCGAAAGAGGCCGTCGCGAAGGCGCGCGCAGACCGACAAGCCAAAGCACAGGGTGCTCAGTCCTCCAAGGCCCTCACTTCCACGACAAAAAATGGCAAGACAGCAGGCGCGTCCAACGAGCCCAAGAAGCCCGCCTATAATGCCGCGGTATACACTTCTGGCAAGGCCGCCGCATCCTTCACGTCGACAGGTGTCACTCCGCACACATCGAATGCCCTCGCTATCCTTTCCGACGAAGACTACATGCTCAAGCCCAAGCGCGTCAAGATCAAGGGCTACGCTCGCATTTCCACCAATCTCGGCGACCTCAACATCGAGCTCCTCCCCGAATTCGCACCGCGCGCAGTCTGGAACTTTGTCAAGCTGGCACAAAAAGGGTACTACAGAAATACGGTGTTTCACAGGAACATCAAGGGCTTTATGATACAAGGTGGTGATCCGACAGGCACAGGTAGAGGCGGACAGAGTATATGGGGCAAGCCATTCAACGACGAATTCGACGGACCCGAACGACACAGCCAGAGAGGTGTACTCAGCATGGCGAACAAGGGCAAAAACACAAACACGTCACAATTCTTCATCACATACCGCGCAGTCCCGCATCTCGACCGTAAACACACCATCTTCGCAAAAGTCGTCGGAGGACTAGACACAACCCTGAAAGCAATGGAGCTCACGGAGGTCGGCGAGAAAGACAAGCCCGTCGACGACATCGAAATCCAAGACATCGTAGTCTTCGTCGATCCCTTTGAAGAATGGCAGAAAGAGCGCAAAGACAAAGAAGCAAAGGACGTCGAAGCAGAAGAAATCAAGCGACAAGGCGGCACAGCAGACGACAAAACTACTTGGACTGGCAAGCGTATACGCGCCGACGGCACAGTGGATAACAGCAGCGGGGACGGCCTCGGTGTAGGTAAATACCTGCAAGCAGCCAAGCAAGAGGTCCAGGATATGGGAGACGACGAGATTGTAGGATATGTGGATGAAGAGGAGGATGTTGCGCCGGCGAAGAAGAAGATTAAATCGAGCGGGTTTAGCAATTTTGATGCTTGGTGAGATGCGGACGTTGGTGAGAGGCCAGAGGAATAGGCAAATGATACCCCGAGTTGCATCTCTCTTTACCTAGCTGTCCGATCAGCGATTCAGAAGATCACGGGTTCCTCCCGGTTCTACGACACCGTCGCGCGGACGCAATCCCCCCAAGCGCGTTCGCCTCTCTGCAAGCGCACTCGTGTTGTGGATCTGTCTGCTTCAAGCACGCGCGTAGTTAGCATGTCGGCGTCAAGATTTCTGAGAGCTATCCAGATATAGTCGAAAAGCCGAGCAGCATACAGAATTCTCAAAGGAAGCATTGAAAGGTGAATCAAAGCGCCGGGGCGGTAGTATAGAAATTGGTATGGTTGACGTCGACAGCAAACGTCTAATTGTGGTCCATCTTGAAGAGTCTGGAGTGCGAAAATAGGACTTGAATCCATACTACGTCTTCCGCAAAGTTCTGCTTACCTTCATCCTCGTCCATCCACCTTTCACACCCCGAACAAAGTGGTATCCCATCCCCAACCACCACCTTGCCGTGATCATGTCTGATCGTCGTCGCAGCGCCGAATGCGGATGTCATAGGACCGCTTGGTAATGGTTTGGATCCTTTGGGTAAACTACTAATGCTTGCTGGTAGGTCCTTGCAATTCCGCATCATGCATATATCTCTTGAGATCCCATACTGGTGAGGTGATTAGCCGTCGGTGAAGTGCCTCTCAACAACGTCCCGCCGATCATGAAGGGCGCCTCGGTCCATGGCTGGCCCGGTGGCCAGGCGCTCGACATTGAAGAGGCGATTGCATCCGAGCATCAAGCCGTCAAATGCATGATTGAGAAATTACCGCTACATAAAGTGGAGGACGCTGTCAGGCATATGGAAAGCGGAAGGGTGAGGTTTATCAGTGTTAATGTGAAGGATTAGGCGGGAACTTGAGATCGGGGTGTGTCAGATTGGTAGTTCTGTCAAGCTGGAGGCATGGTGGTTCGATTGAAACAATTATGTTCATGCAATGGATGAACTCGGGCTGCTGGGTTTGTGGGCGGGGATGAACGATGGATCTGGTGCAGGTGCGTTACATCAGCTTGAATATTCATCAAGGTCGCTGCTAGAAATGGTGTCTTGAGCATACCATCGTCAAACCTTATGGCAGATGCCGTCTAACCAAAGTGCAGCGCGATTCACGTGAGAGCCGCTGACAGCGGGCTTCGTCGATAAGGCCGGTCCTTTGCGACGGCCGAAAGCCCAGCCCCGCCTCCTCATAAACGCCGTCTGCGAATAGCAGCTACGCGCGCGACCACCACAGTTCTCTAAACATGTTGTCCGACCTCAGCTGAAGCGCGTGCCTGTCTCAGGGATCGTCTCTGCAACGGGTGGCGCGCAGCGGACCAATGCGCGGCCAGCACGCCCTGGTCGGCCCATGACGAGACGGAGCTGTCCGTGTTTCAGCTTCAACATCTTCGGTCCACTTGCTACACGAACAGCGACTCTCTGCATCCTTTCGGAAGAATGGGCATGCGACTGGCTGGGCAGCAATGCGGATGAGGGGTGGTAAGCCCGGGATCTGCCTTAAGACATGCCTGATCCTGTCTGGAATGCCTGTTACGGTTTTTTGTGAGCCTTCGATGTGGCAATGAGCGACTGAATATCACGACTATCACCAACATCCTCCCTTTCCTCTTTCTTATCGAGTTCGTTTCTTTTCTTACGCTGCGCGTTCTTTTTAGACATCTCTCTTCGCGTCCCTTCCGTTCGTTCCGCATAACCTTCCTTGCAGGCCCGGCGCCGAAATCTGTCCTTCGTTGTCTCATATACTTTTTTGCCTTGCAGCATATAGAGTAGTTGTTGCGTGTACAGCAGGTGATCACTGGAAGAGCAATTGGCCAAGTTGCAGAAGAGAAAGTATAGCCGTCATTGTGTCTGCGACATTAGACTTCGTATCAATCTCTGTCTTATACTCTGTCTTATACTCCACCGAAAGTGCGACACCACCGTTGGAAACGCGGGGTTCCGTTTTCACTCCAGTTGATAGAGCAGAAAAAGAGCTGGTACCCACGGCAACGCGCAGCATAAACGGACCATCACATTGGATTTGTGTATGCACCGGCAGCGCAGCATTCCGAAACTTCACACGCACAAACAAGTGACGTCTCACAACCAGCGCCATTACATCATTCTCCATTCAAACGTCCTGCGTCTCATAGCCAGCGCCCGAACTCGATACGGGGTCAGACATTCCTTGACCATCTCCAATCGTTGACATCGAGGCCCACCCTTGAGCAACACTTGTTCACGATCGAAGAAGAAAGCCTCAGGGCACACATACCTATCTGTCATCGAAGGACAAGAGAGCCTTCTCACATATCGTCATGCATACCTCACTACGAGCCATCGCATTCGGCGTCGCGCTCCTCATCTCAGGAACTTCGGCGACCGTCTCCCTCTCCAGCTTTACGCCGCGCATCAACAACATCGGCAACACACAGTGCGAGTCCGCATACAACACCCTCATCAAGGGCTGCCAGGCGAGCGACTTTGGCGGAGATGTCGTCTGCAGCGCCGCATGCATCCGAGGACTACAAGAGATTACACAGCTGGTGCAGAGGTCATGTAGTGGCGTCAGAGTAGACCAATCGAGCATCATTGGCGTCTTCCAGTCCGGCATTGGCATCAAGTCGCTGTGCCCTAAAAACGAAGACGCCGCATCGAGTTCCACAACCGCAGCGAGGACTACAACAGCGGCGCAGAGCACACAAGCTGCGACTTCAAGGGCATCGACATCGGCTACTCCCGCGCCCTCCTCATCTTCGGACACAACTTCCTCTACATTGGATACACAGTCTTCAGCGGCGCAGTCGTCAACATCCTCATCGACAGGCCTGGTTGTGGACCCAAGCCCAACTTCGGTCGCTGGTTCGTCACCGACGGGTGACGCTCAATCACCAGCTTCGTCGACTGGTGCAGGGCGGCCGAACCAGCTACAGCTGTCGAACCAGGACTCCGGAGGTGGATCACCGTTTGACGTCCAATCGACGGGCGATTCTTCACGGACAACGATAGATGTCATGCTGGCATCATTCGTCGGCACCGCGCTACTGTTCGTCGCATGCGCATAGAACGATCCACCTTCTTTCATTTGTTTATCAGCATCACGACATGGCGTTGGAGGAAAGTTTCCTTCGGAGGATATGTATTATACCCATATGAGAGCAGCAATAAGTGCTGAGGACTAGCGGTTGTACAAAACGAAGCAGGAGGAATGAAGAGTACAGTCACAGCCAATTGTACAGATACAAACACGAAGCGTAAAAATAATGAACGAACAATTTGCAAACATCAAACTGTTGGAGCGTGACTTGGTCCCGCATTCCTCTAAACCCTGGTCTTGCTAAGCGAAGGCAGTTGCACCCCAGACGTAATCCCGCTCCCGCTGCGTACTACCACTCGTCGTCAGCGCGGACTTCTGCACATTCCAACATGCTGGAGTGTAGGCGCGCTTGGCCACCATGAGGAAAACGATTGTGCTGTGTTTTATTCATGGCTTCAAGGTACGTGGGGAATCTGTGCGACACGCGACAGCGGCTACGTCATTTTGCGATTGGCGCTGGCTTCAGCTCGAGGCGCGCGCATAGCTTCGAGGTCCGCGGCAGATTTGGGGGACGATGATGCTAACAATAATCTACAGGGCGGGGACGATACATTCGGTATGTCTCAGGTCGGTTGTGCAGAAACATGTAGCTAAGAAAGACGTCCAGGCACCTTCCCGTCACACCTCAAGGCGATCCTCCAACATGCGCTTCCGAAAGTCACCGTCCTCACGATTACATATCCGAAGTACGAGACGCGAGGCGATCTGACTGAATGTGTCTCGCGGTTCAAGGAATGGCTCACCAACAAAGTCATCGACCTCGAGGTCGCGAATTCCACACCTTCGCCGACTGTAGAGCCCTCCGTACATACGATCCTCGTTGGTCATTCTATGGGAGGCATTGTTGCGGCTGAGACACTTCTCTCTATAACCGGCGACCAACCTCTGCATTCGCTCAAGAACTCGCAGATTGGTTCGACGATGCTGCCAGACCACAGCACGCTTATGTTCCCATATATCCAGGGCATACTGGCGTTTGACACGCCATATCTTGGTATTGCGCCAGGAGTAGTAGCACATGGCGCTGAGAAGCACTGGCAAACAGCCAACTCGGCCTACTCAGCATACTCGAACCTCGCCAGCGCCTTTGGCTGGGGCAACAAGGACACAACGCCAGGGGCAGTGGATGCAAGCAAAATGCTACCAGCGCCACCAGCTCAGTCCGTCAGCGACGCGAACGCAGACGCCGCATCAGCGCCACTATGGCAGCGCTACGGCCGTGTCGCCATGTTCGCCGGTGCAGCAGGCGCCATCGCCGCCGGCGGAGCAGCAGCCTACATGAAGCGCGACCAAATCTCCGAAGGCCTCAACTGGGCAACCTCGCATCTCGAATTCATCGGCGCCCTTGCGCGCCCCGAAGAAATGCAAAAGCGCCTCGCAAAAGTCGCCAAGCTCACCAGCACCTCAGACTTCGGCTTCACAAACATGTACACGACGCTCGGCCGCGCGGTCAATCAGCAGCAGCAAACGTCCAAGGAGTCCTGGACGGGCAAGGTTGCGGGGAAAGACCGCACGTTTTGTAATCTGCCGAAAGGCGAGTTGAGGAATTTCTTCATGCCGGCGCCGAACGATAAAGGGACGGCGGAGACGTGGGCGCATATGAACATGTTCGAACCGAAGAATAATCCGGGGTATTACACGCTGAGCGAAACGGCGAAGGAGAAGATCATCGAGTGGGCGGAAAATGAATGGTATGAGGAGAGCGAGGGCCCGCTTGTGGGCGAGGTCGGTGAAGAGGCGGAGATCGTGGAGAGGCAGGAGGTGGATGAGGCGATGCAGAAAGAGGCGGAAGCGAGGGAAAAGGAGGAACAGGCGGATTCTGAGGCCAAAGAGACGGATGACGAGTTTGTGGATTTGAAGAGGGGAGCAGGGACGCCGGTAGATAGTGATGGGGAGAGAAAGAGAAGAGAGCTGTGATATAAGTTCGTATAACGAATGTGTCCATGAGGCTTCGTGCTGGCGAGTACGAGGCCATACAGCACAGAATGTCATGTGAGTAAGGTAATACCCTCTTCCATTGATAACTTACGAATAAACGACACTTTGCACTTGTATCTCTCAACAGCGAAATAAACGCAACTTCTAGATCTAGCTCATCCACCTATGCTAACCTTCATGTTCCGCCACGTCTTTGCAATTCGACATCCGCTTTGCTGTCCAACTTCACTCATCATCGAGTACAAATTCCCCTCTACCATTGCCTTCTTCTTCTCTACACAATCCTCACACTCACTTTCAAACAACTCCAAGTATCAACATATAAGCACACTCACTGCAACAGAACACAACTGACCTTCGACCGGTAATGTCTTACTACGGTGGCTACGGCGGTGGCTATGGAAATCCGTATGGTGGTATGGGAGGTATAGGCGGGGGATATGGCGGTATGAGACCTAGCATGGGCGGAGGCTATGGCGGAATGGGCGGCGGTGTAGGTGGAGGATATGGCGGTATGGGCGGCGGCATGGGGGGTGGAGGATATGGAAATCGCTATGGCGGCATGGGAGGAAGCATGCGCCCTAGTATGGGCATGGGCGGTATGGGCGATCGCTACGCCGCCTCAGAATACGAGGACGACGAAGACTCCCTCTACGACTCCCACTACGCCCACCTTCCCCGCCGCGCTCCACCCCGCCGTCCCCAACCCGGTCGCTACGAATCTTACTCCGCGCCCGGCCACCGCCCCCGCGGCTTCATACACCCCGATTCTCTCCCCGACAACATGGACGACCTCGGCCCCGACTCCGACTACGGCAGCAACGCCGCCGACCCGGGCGACTACCGGTACGGCGCGCCCGACGCTGCGTACTGGGATAGCTTCAACAACGGGGGCAGGAGAGGGCGTCTGACGGAGGAGAATCTGAGACATGTGCCCGAGGCATATTGGGATGCGAATCGTGGGGAGTGGGAGGAAGATGGCCCGAGGGAGAGGATTAGGGCGTTGGGGAGGTATACAAGGTTTGGGGATGGAGAGGAGTAGTCTGTGGGAAATGGAAGGTTTGGGTTGGGATGATATTGGAGGTTCTAGCTAGGCGGGGGTAAGTGGAATTCAGGTGGTGTATGTAGTAGTGGCGGTATTATTGAGACGGGTGAGTAATTTACGTTCAGGTTGTCATGTGCTCGTCTCGATTTTGGTGTCTTTCCCGGTCAAGTAAGTGTCCTTGGTCAGTGTTGGGAAAGCACTTTGAGGGACACGTAATATATAAATCCATTTAGGGTTTTATGATCGTATCTACATGGTCCCGCGCATTTATTCAAAACGTGATAGTAGAGAGCAAAAGGCGCTGGCGATGAGATATAATGGGCAGGCTGCCGCAGAGTCATCAACTAAAGACCGTCTGGATGAGAGGAATCTTAACCGTGTCTAGATCATCATGCTTGAGAAAACCGATTGGCAAACTTTGCGGCACGAATTTCTGATGACGTGATGAAGCAAACCCGAGCAGGCTTACAAAATACAGGAGACGGATTCCAGCTTTTCGACTTGTCGTTTTTCTGGGACACGAACAAGCTTTCTGGTCCGAGACTGCAAACATGGCCAAGCCCTCCTGGAGACAAGACGTTCGACCAGAAGGCATACGACGACAAATCATCCAATAAGGAGCCGTCCACTGAAGAGCCATCCAGCGAGGAAACGGCCCAACAAGGAGTCGCCTAGCAGAGTACCAGATAGCGAGGAGCCAAACAAAGAAGAATTGCCTGAAGAGAAGCCGTGTAAGGATGCAATACCCGAAGAAAATCCAACAGAAGACAAGTTAGCCCGTATTTAAGCAAAACGCGATTGAATTACCGACCAAGACATCTCAGTCCCGACGATGTAGTCACAATGTACAACGTTATCGCAAAAACGATCAAGGCCGCCAAAGAATCTGCCGCTCAGTTCCAGGCAATCAAAGACAACACGACCGCCAAAATGGATGCCCTTCCCATCAATCATTTGCAAATGAAGAATATCAAGGCTGCAAGCCCGCGTCTAGTAAATATTACCACGGCGCTATCGTTGAGCATTGCCCAAGTGATGATGATGCAAGACTTCGAGAAAACTTTCCGCCCGGAATGGAAGCATAAGAAGAAGGAGAGTGTCGCGCTGCGTGAGGTATTCCTGAAGGCAAAGACGAAGGAAATCGAGAAGATCCAACGAGACTACAAGATAGAGACGACGAAGTCATTGGTAGGCGCAAACATGACGATACTTGAACTCGAAGGGACTGCAGGGGCTGGCTAGGGCATTGCCACCCATGGCAAGGGAGTGGCAACAGCTGAAGTATCGATCGAAGGTAGTGCAGCGAATGTGGGCGAGGACACTGCAGGTGAGAAGGAGGCGACTCGGCACGAAGTGGCAAGACCAGCTGTAGAAGGGCTTCAATTCAGGCAGACAATTCATCTGGGCAATACCCAACGAAGTCTGTATGATAAGTAAAGTCGGTGAGAAGGTGGAGAAGCGATCGAGATTTGGCATCTAGACGAAAACGCATTGCGTCATTGCTATAATTTCGTACAAATGGTGGGTCTCCATGATCAAATATCAGTCCAAGTAGAAGAAGCAACAATCTTCGAAGAGTACAACAGATCGTGCACTGTTACACAAATTCCGATCGATGTTTCCGATCGATGTTTCCGAGGGCGACACGGTGGGTCGAGATGCATCTACCCTTGCTTCTTCTGCGTCTGAAAGCGCCGCAGGTAGGACAGTGCTCGAATTACTGTTTCTGGTGAACGTCAACCGCATTTTGCAATACCTGTAGTGTTCATTGGTGCTCGGGCTCTCTCAAATGAAACTCTTTGCTGTGAGCAGCAGCTGTCAGATGCCACAACATCGCATGCGACGCGCAACCAGATGGTCATACGAAAACGTGATGCGACGTAACCTGAGCCAAACCCGCTCGTGAAATGTTGTTCCAAACCACGCGAGAGCACAAAGGCTATAGAGATAATCCCCAAGGAAGTATGCGTTGCAACATTACTTAACTACTTTTGCTATGTCAGCAAGCGCTCTGCGGTGTTGATGAGAAGTGTCGGAAGCAAGGAGCGGCAAAGACCTGACCAGATCGCCTATGTGCCGAGTTACGCTTGAAAGCGCTCACACACTGTCATATCACGAGGTTCCTCTTTTCTTCAATCACGGTTGCGACATGGTTTTTTCTCTCAACTAACGCCGTCGCCTTCTGACGTTTTACTGCACATATCATGCAGCTCTCTATTATGATAGACTACCACCGCGTCCACGTGCCTAGTACAACCTTGAGAAAAGCTAGACACTGCCGATCAGCCATCACGAAGTGGGCTGATGACGAGAATTGCGAAACATGCATACAGATCCTTGCCAGTGGACCCAGCCGAGATTACATATATCAAGTCTGGATACACCAGATACCTGATCCTTGGGTTTTGCACCACGACAAACATTTCCCTTGTTGGGAAAGCTTTTAATACTCCTACGCGCTCAGTCACGTCTCCGAAGATGTGGAATCTCCACCTCATGACCATTTGTAATGATCAGGCCTGCGGAAAAGTTGTGACGATCTATATATGAGGCCCCATGCCACGCTCATACCCCCACTATCATTCGCTTGGGTAACGCCTCCGTCGCTATGCTCTCGATATTCTTACTGTCGCTGAATTTCTTGCTGGGTCTGTGTACTCTTGCTCAATGCTCTTTCATACTCGACTTGAACAATAATACCATACAAAACAGCGGATCTTACACAAGGATGTCAACGTCGGCCGACATCAAGTCGTCCGCACCACTGCCATGGCTAAGCCCGGAATACAAATGGTTCTTCGAATATGCGCTCCCAATACCACCCGTCAAACAGCCGAAGTTGTCAGTGGAACACATCCGGGGCGAACCATCGAAGCTGATAGAAGCTTAGTACCTATACCAACAGCACCAGCGGAGCGGTTTTAGACTACTATGAGATTGACGTGAGAAGACTGGAGAAGCAGATCTACCCTGGTCTTCCATCAACCCAGCTGATCGGTTATGATGGACTACAACCCGGTCCAACGTTCGTGATGCGCAAGGGTCGAGGTAAGCTTTGCCCTTCTGGACTGCCACCTTCTTACCCTCCACAGAAAGTGTTGTCAGATTCTCTAATCACGGTCCAACGAACGTGTCCACTCATGTTCATGGGCAGTATAATCGCGCACCATTTGATGGCTGGGCTGCAGACTACGCGCTGCCTGGTCAATACAAAGACTGTCATTATCCGAACGCACAAGATGCTCGCACGATCTGGTATCATGTCAGTATCTCAGTTAGAAAAGACGTTTTGGCCTGGCTTATATTGACTTCCCAGGATCACACAGAGTATGCTACTGGCATGAACGTATACCTCGGATTGGAGGGCTTCTACTTCCTCACCGATGACGAGGAGCAGGCACTTAAGCTACCAACTGGCAAATACGATGTTCCGCTTGCGCTATCTGCTAAGCAATATAGCACCAATGGCACGCTGGTTTACAACTCGAACGGAAACTATGGCCTTCCAGGAGACGTGATACAAGTGTAAGGCTCCCGTCTCGTACGACAATGTGCTAGTTAACCTAAAATAGGAACGGACAACCTTGGCCACATTTAAAAGTCGAACCACGGAAGTATCGTTTCCGTCTACTCAACGGTGCTCTGAGTCGGAGTAAGCAACCTCGGCCAGACTGCGACTCCTGCTCATCAAGCCTCAGTGTTCACTATTTCACTTCAAGATGACCTAAGTGACAGCCGGCTGGACTTCGATGTTGTTGCTTCAGACTGCGGTATGCCGATATTTCCCCTTGGTTGAAGCGCCGGTTGCTTGATGCTGATCAAGTGTTGAGGCCTATTTGCGCATCCTGTGAAAGCGAACACGCTCGCGTTCTCAATGGGCGAACGCTACGAGATTATCGTCGACTTTGCGAATCACAAAGGCAAAAACATCACGATGAAGAACGCTCGCGGAGTGATCGGAAACCCAGACTTTGCTGCCACGGACTTAGTAATGCGCTTCATCGTGGGCGATACTTTAAGTGACGACTGCAACAACGGTGATGTCCCTTCAACGCTTCGAGTTACAGCGCCGCCCAAAGAAGCAAACATTTCCAGAAGCTTCGACTTTGAGCGCATCGGCGAGCACTGGGTTGTTAATGGGGTCGGTTGGGCCGATATTGAGCACAGGATATTGACAAGGCCCACACTCGGCACAGATGAAACGTGGGAGCTAAAAAACGGGAACGGGGACAGCAATATCACAGGCGTTCATCCAATTCATATCCATCTCGTGGATTTCCAGGTCCTTTCTCGGAGCGGCGGAAGGGGGAAGGTGCTTCCGTACGAGGCAGCAGGGTTGAAAGACGTGGTATGGCTCGCACCAGGGGAAACCATCCGTGTCGCTGCGAAATACGCACCGTGGCCCGGAGTGTAGTGCGTAACAGCTAAAAACTTAAGGTTTTTACACTGACTGACCAAATAGCATGTTTCATTGCCACAATCTGGTGCATGAGGATGACGAGTGAGTTGCACTCCCAGCTGGTTTCTTCTTACTTTGAGGCTCACACTATACAGCATGCTGGTCGCGTTCAATGTCACAAATCTGGCCAAGTGGGGCTACGATGAGACAACCGTCTTCATTGATCCAATGGAGCCAGTTTTCAGACCAAAGGATATTACTCCCCAAGGGTTCACCGACGAGGTGATTCGGCAGAAGTTGGAATGGTTCTGGAGCTTGAACGCTTACCGCCGAAATACCACCCACGTGGCGCCAGACATTTAGGTTACCTATTGCAATCATAGCATGTTAGAACTCTAGCTCAGTGGCGTCAGGTACATTCAACACGCAGCCTACATTACAATCATGATCTTTGCAGATCCCTTTCATGTGTGGTGACTATTGCATCAGCATAATCCACACGGTTGTACACCATTCTGGCTTTATTGATGTCGCAGTCCTCCCATGTGTCCTCCACGGCGAGACACTTCGACTGTTAAGACCCGACCTTCGATGATAGAGTAATATGGAACGGGAGCAATCGCTCACTGTCTATGTATTGGTTTAATGACCGTGGGGCCAGTTCGAGACGTTCGCGCTCACGAAGACTACATCTAGAACCGCGACTTGAGACAGTGCATGACGACCAGCAGACTTTACATTGTAGTTGCTTTGAGCTGAGAGGAGCTGAGAGTGTATGAGAGTGATGAACTTTGCTGGATCAGAACTTGAAGATTGGCTGCTGTGGGAGAGAGTGAACCTCACGCCTCGCGGAGAAAAAGCCGGAAGGGATATCCTTCCTCGCGTGAACTTAAGAAGATTGGCGAAAAAGATCGGTCTGGACTGAGGAGGATTGTAGATTTGGCAAAGGGAAAATAAATGGAATCTATGGGCCAAGGTCCATTGAATGACGTGGTGTGCGGAGGGTGAATAAGAGAAGGCAACTATAGACGAGGATATATTGCTTTCCCAACAAAACAAAACATGCGACATTGCGGCCGCTGAATGCCAAGATCAGTACCGAAGCTCAATGCAGGTACAGCAAGTCACCGTTACGTGCGAAAGTTGTAGGAAGAGTTGTAGAGAGAGTTGAGCTATCACATTCTTCATCACATGTATCTTCACTGCACAGCTCTGCTGCCTTGGGCGGCTATGCGGATGTGCAGTCGAATACATCACCGTGCCACCCAACCACCTTATCTCCCCTCACAAGCTCCTTCCTCTATGAGCACTCACTACCGGATACTTTTGGATATCTTTGGAGTTGGCCATAGAGATGTTCAGAAGCACGAGTGAGTGGTCTAAGCGACGTCTTGACAAAGCCGGACAGCTGCCGAGCGAAGAAGGGCTGTTGTGCGATCGCCAGTTCGCACGAGCACAATTTTCCGTGCCAGGTAGACACGTACCGAGCCTTGATGTTTGGACTTCCGGTCTCTGCCCACGTGTGCTCATCTGATCTGTGCTGAACACTTGAGAAATCCTGCTCATATTGTCGGCGAACTCCAAGCTGCGCATGACAGACTATATACTCGCTACATCTAAGACACCTAGTTCGCATGATTGATCTGATCCAGGCGGGTTCGCGATCGTGTCTGGAATTTGCCATATTCCCACCGAGGCCGAAAGCCTTGAGATCGTTCATCGTATTGTGAGGGGACCGTGCCCCTAGCGCCGCTCCGCCCTTGAAACGCCATGTTCACTTCCGTTCTCCCTGCCACGCCACCATCGTTGCATGTCCCAGTGAGAGACGGCATCAACCCAGGTGGCCGACTCGGTCATTGCGCTGGTGCTTGCCAAATTCCTTGCGGCTTCTCCGCACCATCAACTGGACATAGAGCAAATCTTTGCCTCACTCTAATCTCGGGCCTACCAGGACCAGGGCATCTATGCATCTTGGGTGCCGAAGCGAGGTTACTATAATGGCATCTGTTCCGCAGTTTTCCCGCCAGTACTTTTCTCGATCTGCACCCGCTGGATTCCGGTTGCATTTCGAAAACGAAAGTCCGAACTTCCACGTTTGAAGGAGAATTTGGATCGGGATCTGCTTGTGAGTCGGTGCATCTGTCACGACTCGACAGCGTGGAGCACTGCGACTGTCCGGGCCTTCTGCGTTTCTGTTTGAAATGACAACGGGACCCGAGTCCTTGGGTGGTCCATCCACCATGTCTCGAAGTAGTTTAGAAACCCATGATTTTCCCCAGGAATATATATTCGAATCCCGGCTAGTGCTGCCAGCTGTACTGAATGTGGTTGTGTGGCTGTAAGCGGCCGTTTCAGACTTCCACCAATACCTGGTAGGGACGGGTTCTCCATCATGCCCAGGTCTGGAACAGCACATGTCGGTGATGGAGGGCGGCTGTCTGGGTGGGCCCTTCCCAATAGCCAAACCGGCCCCGCAAGGCTTGATCGTTGTATCCATTTCTCAATCATAAACCTCTGTTCACTCCCTCGGTGCATCCAGTTTCGGTCTGGTTGAACCTGTACATTCTTTCGACATCGCCTCAGTCCATTTGGAGACCTTTTCCTTACGCCTCATGATGGCAAGATGATATTCCCGCGCAAACATAATGGCTCCGGTTCCCCGCATGATTACGTGGACCCTACAGTTCAACTGAATATCGGCTTGTGGACGCTTTTCGCCGGCGCATCTCTCTTTCTCGCACTACGAATCTGGATCAAGATCACTCGACGCCACGGGCTATGGTACGATGATTATATACTTCTCGCTTCTTGGGTATGCGCTCGAACCCTATTGTCTTAGTCACACACTACGAACATCGACTAACAACGTGTAGACGCTCTTAGCCGTCAACAACAGCCTCATATCACTCGAGTTTGCAACTGGTTATGTGACCGATACCTGGGATAATCGCATGCACATTCTCATCACTATTACTTCTTGCGGGACGCTCATCAACCAGGCCCTTAGCAAAACCGCCTTTGCTGTCACTCTGCTCAAGTTGACCAAGAATTGGGCCCATCAAGGGTACCAATGGATCCTATGGTTCTGTATCGTATCAATGAACGCCTACATGATCGTGAAAGTCATCATGCAATGGGGGAAAGTGTGTGGAAAAAAGAATTACGACGTTGAATGGCGACTCGACTTTTGCTTGGAGCCCAAATTCCGGGACAGCTTTAAAGAAGGTGGCAATGGTAAGCTTCAGAACTCAGGCACAGCCCGTGGCATCTGCTAAGACTTTGGATAGTGTACAACATCATCATGGACTTTGTGCTCGCTGCGTTCCCCTGGGTATTGACATGGAACTTGGATATGCGCAAGGCCGAGAAGATTGGGCTCTGCATCACTATGAGTCTCGTAAGTTTACTGTCACAGCTACACTACGACTGATCAACTGACCTTTGACAGGGAATGGTCGTCGCCATTGTGTCCGCAGTCCGCACGAACTGGAAAGATGAAGGAAACGTCAAAGACGCTTGGTACTTCTGGCGCAATGCCCACTCGAACATCTGGTACTCGTCCGAGATCGTCGGCACCATTATCGTGCAATGCATACCCGTCCTGCGACCCCTACTTCGCGACATGCACACTTCCTTGACCTCGAAAAAGCTACCATCAGTAGCTGCGGGCGACAACTCGGATAGCAAACGACCACCGACTTTCGGATCTGCCGGTCATCGAGCACACATCTACTCTGACGCGAGATCCACGACATATAACGATAAAGATGAAACGCCAGACTCATGGGACAATCGGGGCATTTACCACAAGTTTGACTTTGAGCTGAAAACTTTGGACTTGGATAGGAAAAAGGGCATGGACACGACATTCGTTTAGCATTATCTTCACTGTAAATATGAACATGTATCAATGACTATAAGATCAACCTTTGACATCTCTGCATATGCCCCGCGACCAGTCAATCGAAGCAAAGCCGTCCACCGCATGATGTTCTTCTCACGAGCCGTGATATTCACTGGAGACAAATCCTCACTATCTGGGTGACGAGCAGCAGAAGGTCAGCCCTGTTCCAAGACCACCCTCATGAAACGCAGGACAAAGTCTATCCGGGTGCCTGCCACGTGTGGGTGCGGGTACTTCCGATGGGGCTTTTGAGCCATTTCGATCTGTCCTGAATCTCGAAGTGCGCGTGCCGATCATGAGATGCGGCAGTTCAACCTGCCGCGTACACATCTTCCATATGAAGGATCTACACGCACCCATGCGTCGCGCATACACGCTTCCAACACCCAGGTTCATCCATGCATATGAATTGATGTGAAGCAAGGTAAGCCAGAAAACAAGTAGATGAAATTGTGCAGCCGGTCGCGACTTTGCATTGCATCGTGTAGATATGCGCGTACCTGTATCACACATGAATAAGGTTCGAAACAGGTTGTCAAACTGCCGAAGCTAAGCAGTTCGGCGATTTGTAAGTTGTTTGATGTTTTGACGTGCTTCTGGAATCGTGGCCAGGGATTAAAGTTCGAAACATGGCCCTCGGTACGTTCGATGTAAATCGAGAGGCCACGACGTGTGCGGAAAGGATTGCGAATGCCCGCGCACATCGATTCAAGCCGACGGCGCGATCCTCGGCGACCATCTTGAGAAGATTAACGAGCGGATTGATGTGTCCGACAATGGTGGTTCGGGACGATCGCGACGAGCCATGAGTGTTGGAAATGTTGTCATCTATTTCGAGAACGGTTGGTGTGTCACACTTTGGGAGAAAGCTAATTTGCAGATCGAGTAGGTGCGTCCCGAAGAACATCCAGTATGTGTGGGGTGTGATTCCCAGGTGTCGGTCTAGTTCATTCCAACATCAGCCATTCTACTTGATGCTTCTCACCAGCTCTCGTAAATCACCGCCTTCGACCCATTTCTCTTCACCTCCTCCGCCTGCTCCAAGTCCACCTCCAGTACCACCACCACCACTGACGCCCCAGCCTTCACCGACTTCACCGATTACTCTTGCAGGACGTCCACCGACCACAGATCCGGATGCGATGACCATGTTTGCCGGTATAACAGTGTTTGGCAAGATCTTGACGTTCTCCTTGATGATGGCAAACTGGTTGATGGTGACTTTCTCGCCAATGTGCACATGTGACGATATCGAGATGGCTTGGATTGTGCAGCCGGGCCCTAGTAATGTGAGTATGTCTCAATCAATGTCTGGCGAAAGAAACAGTCGCATATCACGCACCAACGAAAACATTATCCCCAATCTTCATGGGATAGTAGTGCACCTGTCCTCTGCTGATTCGGCACGGTGGTTTTATGACGCTTCCGGTTGAGATGACTGTACATCGGCCTATGCTGATGCTGGTCGGTGTGACCTCTTTCCCTGACTGCGATGGTGTAGAACGCGTTGGATGTAAGTCACCGCGTAACTGCACATCTGCCATGATAACTGTGCGGCCACCTAGCGTGATGTTTGCCGTGCCAGTAATCGCTGAACGCCTCGAGACTTTATTTCCCGAATCCTGTTATCTCTATGTCAGTAAAGTTTGTAATCCTATCAAAAAGACCGAAAGTTGCTTATAGTGTCAGAACTTAGTTGCACATCACGTCTAGGACTCTTGGAGTTGATGGAAGGCGAAGGAGCTCACCGTCTCGATGTATTCGCCTTTCGGCGCTGCCTTCCGCGTAGCAGGTCGCGACATTGTGTTTTAACTTAGCGATAGATTCAAGGCTCTAGACCCAACGGCAAGGAATGTCCTCGCTCATCCGATTGAGCTCTGCGCAGAGTAGGAGTGATGGTCCCTGATTGACGATGGAGCTAGACAAGGCCCATGCGCGTCCAATCAACGCATCGCACTAGAGCTAGCTCCTTCTTCCAAATATCTCCTACCTTGTCCACATACCCTACCTCTTCTTACACAATATCTTTCTCACATTCAGCCTGAGCTTGATAAGATGCTCGAATTTTCTCAAAGCTTTCCCCGTTCGTTAGTAGAAGATTCAATGGATTATGATGGTGCATAGCTCTCAGGCGCCGCCCTCGGATCTTTGCCTTCAATTCTTTGCGGATATCTCACCACGTGGTAGAGATAAAAGTACCATGATCAAATTTCGATAGCACAAAATCACGAACCGCGATTCTGCCATTGCCTACTTACAGTAAAGGCACACCCTAATCGGTTCACTGAGCCATACCAAGTCCACACTTCTAACAGATTGAACTATTCACAAATTCTTACTATTCCCATTACCAAAACAACGCAGAAAATACATTTCATCGAGAACTAAATATACTCCAAATCAATCTAAGAGCCTGGTGTTGGCGTGAAAGGCTACAAACGCCCAATCCCATAAGTTTCAAAATCCAATACGCGAATGAATAAATGCTGCAGTAAGTTAACATTGATCGTACTAGACTTTCACACATCACACATACAATCAAAAAAAAGCCACTCAAACTATCGTACTACCCGAAGCCTGTCTGATGACCAAATTTGCGGCGCCTGATCAGGAAGAGTGGACTATGGCATGCACCCCAAGCCCAACGAGCCATTGCAGCAAATCCATGCATGCATGCATTACACAAATACTACCGCCACTTTCCGCAACACTGCAACAGACCCGCTTCAAACTTACTCATCATCATACACCGCCTCATACATCACCCCCCTCCATCGTCTCACCCATCCACCAACCCCAGCAAACCTTCTGCAGAGCCTCCCTCTCTCCATCCTCCCTCCGCGGACCCTTCGGCATCCTCCGAAACACTCCCTCTAGTACACCACAAACCACCCACTTACACCCCCGGCGGACATATCCCCGGCCTCTGCCCATCTTCCAAAGCGGCTCTTCTTGGCTGTGTGGTCACACGCATCTCGACCGCGTGGCAGCGACGCTGACATGCGTGGTGACGAATAGCGTGGCGCGGAGGGGAGTAGGGCCGAATACTGGCCCGGATTGTGGGGGAGGGTAGTGGCCGGAGATCAAAATAGAGTTTGGGTGTGCTTTTGCTGTTGGATTCAGCCCTTGGTAGTGGGGTGGTGCTGGCGTAGTGGAATGGAGTGCAGTACCTATGTTCCGAGACGTATAATGCGAGTTATGTTGAATGTGTATTTCGTCAGGTTAGCAGGAAATAGACCGTGAGGAGCAGAAAAAGGAATGTTAGCAATATTGTGAATAAAGGCCAGTTACATTTTCCAACGAGTCAAGTAGATAGATGGAACGATCTCATTTTCTCTCCCAAAATGTCTGCCTGCCGACAAATTGCTAGAAAAATTGAGTACAACGAGACAAGAAAGCTGATTCGTGACATCGTACTAGCATCCCATCCAACCCATCGTCCCTTTTTTGCAGTCATTACTTGTCTCCAAGACACATTTGATACAGAGTCGTCGAACAAGTAGAAAAGCACAAACAATCAACGCCTTACTGAATCCGACTGGTACGCCATCCGGGCGCCGCAGACAAAAAGAAAAACACGCAGAAGTTGATTTTAAAGCGACTAGTACGGTGGTGATTTTGGTCCGTGTATACTTTGCTGAATCGAAAAAGTGGTGAGAAGATGGATCAACAATTCAAGCGGCCGCGAATTGTGTCGGGGGATTGAAGATGTACAACGGAAAGGTTCGACTTAAGGTGTGATCGAATCCTCGGATTGGTGTGTTTAAGTTGTGAAGCAGGTGTAAGATGTAGCCATTTGCGTCTTGATGGTGGGAAGCCAGCAAATGCTCTATGCATTCTCCACAGTGATGATGATACTGTGTTAAGTGCGGACCGAAATTTTGTACAATGTGTGAAAAGTGTGTATTTACGAAGGATTCAGTGAATTCTCTGCGCGTTGGTTGATGTGGTTGGCATGGGCTTCCAGTGCGCGTACTTGGACGTGGGTACCTGGCTGCACATTAGCATTTCAATTTTGTGGTGGTATATTTATGAAACATACCTGGCCAGACAGCCGCTTTAGAAAGCATGTAAGCGGTCACCATCAGTAGTTTTGTGCCGTATCCACATGGGCCTAGGTTCGAGAGACCACCAAGCATTGGTAGAGCATTCGAAGAGATGTCGTAAGCCAGCTTCATCTCGGCATTGTGGAGGATGTCTGCGACTTTCTGCAGCAACTTGGTGTCCTCTTCTTCGAGAAGCATGATAGCAGGAACCGCAGAATAGTCGATATCATCTTTACCCAACACCCCCAGGAATCGTCCCACGCGGTCTTGAACAGTCGCAACCCACTCTGCCAAAACTTGCGCACAATCAAAAGTACACAGAGCCGAGGAGTTGGGTAGTTCCCTTGCAGTAAAGTCGGTGTAGGTAGCACCAAGCTTGTCAGCCATTGACAATGAGTCGGCCGCATAAAAGGCGGCTTTGCGGAGATGCCGCTCGCGTTTGGTGGACTGGTTTGGACCAGCTCCATCCATGTCGCGCGAGTTCAGCTGCTCTGGTGAGATGGATTTGGTACCATCCAAAGGTAACGTTCTCTCAGGCGAGCCAGCTTGAGCTACAATGTCTACGCCTCGCGCAAATTCGTTAGCCATGCCTTCAAAATCTCTTTGCCACAAAAGCTCCTTAGCTCGTCCAAGGTTCACGAATAGCCTCACGTAGGCGAGATCCAGAAGTGGTATGCAGTCTGCTGAAAGGGGACCAAAAGGACTGGGGCGCTCGATACTGTGGTTGGGGTTGGCTCGCCAGGCTGCTTGCCATGCTTTCAAAGCGGGTTCGACTTGCGAATGCATCGCTTCGGTTTCATGGGAGAACCAAACCCGTCCTGTGTGTCTTTGCCTTGTCTCCCAGATATACACATGTAGAGAGTTGATCAAGACATAGCAGCCAAAGGTACTGGGCCGAATCTCGCTTGCCGGAGCGTCATTAGTCGGTTGGTTGCCACCAAAGGTCTGATTATAAGACTTGTTCGCACGCTCCGCTGCATGGCGGGTGCTGGCTTCGAGCAGATATGACATTGCGGCATGGAACGACAGCCCACGGGTTTGAGCAATCATAGGACCGCCCATTGCCACCCACGCCTGCGGGTTGTCTACTGACCACAGATCTTCCTCACATGGAAGGTCTAGGCGGATTTCAGAGTTTAATATACGTGGAGCATGCGCGTAAGCCGAGACAAGTAGGCTGGACATGGCAAATACAGCAAAGTATGTGCGTTTGCGTTCTTCGATCATCTTCCATTGTATCCACTGAGTGTGTTCGTCAGCAGTCTCCCTGTCGGGGCTCGAATGGAGACCTGTATCATCGATCATTTCTGTGTCGTCACCAACCGGGTGACTAGACGGGCTTCGAGAGGCGCTTTGCGGGTTGTAAGGCTTGTCCAACCCTGATGCCTTTGCCAGGCTCACAAGTGCGGCACAATGGGTACTCGCGGATTCAGCAGCTTGACGATCGCCGCAATTGTGACCGAAGATCAGATTAAGAAGCATAGCCTGAACGAGCCATAATGGAGGCTTGTTGGCGTGGTCATTTGCAGCGGTGGGGCCGTTCACTACAGCGGAGAGACCAGCTCGGCGACGCTCGTCGAGGTAGTAAAGAATCATCTTCTTTGCAGCCTCAAATAGTTCTTTGGCAACGGGGTGCTCGAACTCATACAAGGCACCAATAGCTGCCATGGCAAGAATAAGACAGCCACCACCACCGACCATGCTGTCATGATTGATGCCACCAGGCGTCCGGAGATTGAAGGTGTAGGCGGGAGTATCAAAAGATAAGGTGGGAATGTGCAAAAACGGTAGGTGGGGATGAAACCACTGGATGTAAGCATTCACATAACGCTGGATATCCATGGTGCTGGGTAGCGACGCGGTTTGAGGCTGCTGTTTCCCATTGGAAGCGGGGGATAAAGGAGAGCTGATCGAAGGCTGCGAAAATTTCCTCTGTGGGTGGCCCAGTCCTAGAGCCTGGGATAAGTTGTAGACCAGTGCTTGTCTTGTGGCATCCGTGATAGACTCTGTGGAAACCGATGTGACGGAGCTATGTCTTGCACTGCCATTGTGGGAGGCTGAGGAGATGCTGCCCGTATCAGAATTGAATGTCATGGGAGCTTGGAAGTACTGGTTCGGCATACCAGGTATGCCTGCCGATGGGCTCATGGTCGTCAGTGGGGGCGGCGAAGAAAGGTTGTAAAAGCCGTTTTGCCCCATGTGCTCTCCCATGTCAAAGGGACCAACATTGTTCGCCATTAGCTCTGTGAAAATGGGGGTCATGGCATCGAGCGAGTAAGATGTCGGGTTCACACCGGGATGAGTTGCAAGCGGGTTGTGCCACATGGCTCCTGAAGTGGGCTGGCCTGAACCGTCTAGCATGACTTCATTGAAGGCACCCTGGCTGGCGGAACTAATGGCTGAAGGGGACGAGTGGTCGATGGCCGAGTCGACAGGCCCAGAAAAGCCCATGTTGCTATCCAGGCCTGCACTCCACGTGGCAAAATCGTCCTCTTCAATGGGATTATTTCCCGCAAATGGGTTGGCGAACTGGCGGAACGGCGAGTGCGGGGTGCCCATAGCGCCGTTGAAATGGTGAAGCTGGTTGGGGTTGATTGTCGAGCCAGAGGGCCCACCAAAGAAGTCATTGAGCGCCATGTCGTCGGTCCCTGTCGCTTGTATGGGAGCAGTGCGAAGACCGCCACCGCCCATGCCGAAGCCGAGGTGGGTGTCGAGTCGCGGCAAGCCGTGTCCATGGTTGCCTATGGCGGTTGACATGCCCCTGTAGTCGAACTGGCCGAGCCCTCCGATGCCGGACAAGCTCGCATGGTGTGAATGCCCAGAATGGCCGCCGTTGCCTCTCGATAGTGACGCGCTGTGTGCTGCTGTGAAGCTGTTCAGGGCAGACAGGTCGATGTGGCCGATGGTGTTGGCGCGCGGTCTCATGGGAGGACCGCCCAGCCCGCTCACGTTGCTCGACACCGAGTTCTTGCGGACACGCCCCGAAGGGTTGGGCGGCAAGCCGGTGGTGCTTTCCCTGCGGGCATTGCGGGGTCGTGAGGAAGTCGCGCCCTGCTGGTGCAGCTTCTGTTGGTGTCGCAGCAGCAGGTCACGCCGCGCAAAACACCGCTGGCACTGCGGGCACTCGAACGGCTTCTCTTTGGTATGCGAGCGCTCGTGTCGCTTCAGATGCTCCAGCCGCGCGAACGACCGCGTGCATGTTGTGCAGATGTGCGGCCGTGGCTTGTCGGTTTTTGGAGGGGGAAAGGTCGCGGCCGGGGGCGAGGCTGCAGGCTTCGCTGTTTGCACAGACGCTGCAATTGATGGTGTGGTCAGCCAATGCAGTCCTCATGTGTCGCTGCTACTCACTGTTGCTGCTCCCCGCGCTGGCCGAGTCGTCGCTGGGGATGCTCGCGGTGCGCGCGAGCTTCGCGATATCTGGTTGTGAAGACATGGTGGGCGTTGATCTGGTGCTACCACAATTCCGACCCCGCACAACACAATGACACTGCAAAGAGTCGACGCAGAATCCACGACTTGACAGAGGGTGCCCCAGACGTACCCCAGAATGCGGGTGCTAGCACTCTTTCTGTAACGGCAGGGTGGAGCTGCTTGTAGCTCGCTGGTGCCGCAAGCTCGCCGAGTCAACAAAGGACGTATAAAGACGACAGCACTGCCATCACACACACACGTCAGCAGGCACACCAGAAGGACAGGACTCAAGAAGAATTACCTCGAGAAAGCTTCCAAAGGCTGAGCAGGCGATGCAGAATGCCTAGCAAGGAACGATAACTCCGAGGACCGGCGTTTAGCCTGTTATTCGATACAATGCGAGGTGGTGGTGGTGGTGGTGGCAGTGGGAGTGTTCCAAGCTATTGTGAAGGCGCGCAACTAGGTGTATCGAGTCGAGGAGAGTTGAATGACGGATGGTGGTTTCAACGCATGCAGGAAGCTCGCGAGGACGGGAAGTTCACAGAGCCGCCGCAAGCACCATGGGTGTGGGCTCGGCTGACCAGGCAGAGGACCGAATAGCGGAAGGGGACTTGACTAAGTTCAGTGCGCCCTAATGATGGCGAAGGTTCCGGGTCGTAATGGTGGCTGTAGGTCCCAATGTTGTTAAGCCTAGCACCCGCGAACGCCTGGAGCAATGGGGCTTGAGTAAGTATCCAAGTCCAGCCTTGCCCGGTCGTTTGTCATCAGCGCCTGAGATGGGCGCCGGCAGAAGCTGCTCGGATGCTTTGCTGTAGCTAGAAGGGCTAGAATACAGCGTACAGGCACAGCGTCCGAAGGCGAGCTCTCCAACAGCGCTGCAGCGATTGGTGCAATGGCAGGAGGGCCGTGTCAACTTTGGTAAGGCGCTCCGAGCGTTAAAGTGCGATGCTGTCTACCACAACCGCAAGTTACGTGTACGAGAAATTGTCTCACAACGAAAGACGAGAAGAAGTACGGCGAAGTTTGCACGAGCTGTGAGCTGCGAGCTGTGACGATGGGAGCGGAAGCAAAGGCAGTCGTCCACAACCCAGTGTAAGCAGATCCCCCGGCCAGCATGACACAACGCTCCAGAAGCTAGACCCCAGTCTTGAGCGGCAGCGCCTCTGTGCAGCATTGGAGTGGGCCTATTTCCACAAAAGAGGGTTGGCGTGCTTTAGTCGACGTTTACCATTGCAGGGGCAGTCCGTACAGGGCCCTTCGCTGGCCCCAAGGCCGACATGATTCCGACTCTGAAGGCGGCAACGATGCTCACGGACAACTCTTCGATCAGCAGCGGTCTTCTGCTCCGGGATTTGCGGCAAAGCTTGAACCCTAGCAGACGACGCGATTTGCGTTGCTTTCTTCAACCGCTTGGCCTCTTCCGGGGCACAGAGCAGGCCTCGGCCCATGCCCAAAAGCTCTAGCAGTGCTCGTTTGCAACACGATTGACCTTTATCGTACAGGTCATCTCTATCGCTATGCTAACCGGTCCTATGAATGGGGAGACCTTTTACACTCAATTCCCAGTTCAATATCGTGCTCTGGACGAGTTCAAACTCATCTCGCCTCGGTGGAATAGATTGCCTGCTTCAGTCGCTGCAGGGCCGCATATTAAACAGCGACGGGCATGACCACCATTGAGAGGGCCCCGCGAAATCAAGAGCATGTTCCTGAGCTGTTCGTTACAATTTGCAGAGACTCTTCATGGCATGGCTCGCTTGTCTTCGCGATCGGACAATTTGCTGTCTGAGGAATTAAACTGTATCGAGAAGTTTGCAGTACGTCGCGCCGAGCAGCCATGACGCGGAACCCACTAGGGAGATACCCCAGAGACAAGTCAGGTACGGCGGTTGTGAACACAAGCGCATCGAGCACATAATGCGCATTTTGGTTCGACTGGCATCACTTGAGTACTCGCCCTGTCAGCAGGCGTCTGTGTTGGAAAAAAAATCTGGGGAAGCTGGCCATGAATATCTGGATAAGCCGTGAGCCGTGCCACCCATGATGGGGTGACCTCGTGCACAGACGTTTTCCCCAGACTTTTTTTCGAGAAGCTAAATCTTAGCGGCTCACTTGGCATCATCCACAGCGGCTTGCACTCCCCTTGCACACACTCAACCGCTAATCATTGCCACTTTCGCTCGCCCTACAACTTCGAAACTGATGTACCCGAAGCCGTGAACCGCCAACTGCTTGGGGCGCTTATGCAGCTGCGATGCGAACACATTTGTCACAACGACGAGCAAAAGTGTTGCGCAGGGCCATGCCTCAGTCACAGCAGCTGCGGGATGAATCTGCGTAGTTCGTGCCTAATTCCCTGAATCTCCAATAGGCCGATACGGCCGTTTCGCTTTCGCAGCACCCAACACCTGACCTTCTAGGGCGCGATGCAGGCACTTCCAGCTTCCCGCCCTCCAGGCTAGGGCCAGTCCAGCCATTCAACGCTCGCCGTTGCTGGAGGGTATGGGCGCATTACGTATGGCGACAGATAATCTCGAGAAGCGACTGCGTGTTAGCACGTCGCCATCCTTTCTTCGGTTCCAGCTTCTGGTACTGACAAGCTGGCCCTGCAGCGCAACAGCGAGGCTCGGCAGGGTCCTCGCAGCAAGTCTCATTGGCTCCAAAACGTCTAGACGCCTGTATTGGTGACGTAGATTCTTGTGGCGACAAACGATCCACCACCCGTCGAGCTCGTGGAGGATCGACATGCTACACTTACATGAAGCTATACATGTCCGGTACGCAATCGCAGCCATTGACGTCAATTGGAAGGATGCTAGAAGAATCACCGAACGGCCGAAAAGTTTTGTCTCGAGGCGCTGCGAATCGTCTGGAGTTGAAGTGGCTTAGGATGGAACAAGCCTCATTTTAATGGGCCGTTGCAATGAAATGCGATCTGGAACTGCACAAACCCGCCCTTGTCACCACAGAACCATTAGCCGACAAAGGCGATCGCTCGCCAAATACCTGCCTTCTTGTTGATCTCAACGAAATTGTACGCGAACCATACACAGACAGCTTTCAATTCCCATCTGCACGGTTCAATGCACAGATTTTGCAGGCATTTTCACACAGGACCACCGCCACAGTACCCGTTCGCCATCGGTCCAAGGTAGTCCGGATGATCTTTAGCACACCTAGAAGCTCCAGTGCTGGTCTGGCGGCTGTGCATTTCGCTAATGGTTCCTGCACGTCGAATGTAACCCAAAGGGCTAAAGATATGATGCACGCATGCATCGGATATGTTACGAACATTGCGTCCAGCGCATGGTGCATGACGCGTCGGGTTCGACTCGGATGTTCTCCATAAGCCGCAAGCAAGATGCCTCCCGAAGTTCAACTCGGGAGGCACATGCAGAGTCTCAACGACCAGCTTCTGAGCTTACCGGTCGCTTCAAGCAAAGCCGCCCGATTCACTACGCTAGCTCGACAGGGAAGTCCCGGCGCGACCCATACAGGTACACTGTCTTACAGTTCACTCCACAACACCGCATGGTGTTTTGACCCATCGTCAGGCCGTTATACCCGAGAAGAAACTGAGGGCAGCACTTGCCCGAAATTTTCTCGACTGTGAGAGACTGCGAGTGCCTTACCTACGAGGGCCCACGGGGTAATGTGGTTCGCATACACACACTTGTGGGTTTCACAGCAACCTGCTCGACATCTGAGATGGCGTGCGTATTGCTGCGTGCTTTCGTATAACACGGAAAAGACCGCAAATTTCAATGTTCTTTGGGCACGAGCCTGTGCCCGCAAAGTAACACCCAATTTGCCCGGGATCTAGATGTAAGATCTCAAGGTACGGCCGCACCTCGATTTGCATATACTTTACGAACAGCACCGCGCAACGCAATTTTGCTGACACCTGCATCCATCCTCTTTCATAGACGCTGGACGCCAAGGCGCTTCCCCGATCTGTGACCCTAGGGTGGAGCTAAAGAAGACTCACGTGTACTGGTACGTATACTGGCTGCATCACCCAGCCTATCATACATCGCGACAGAATATCGGCGGATGCAGTCTTTGTACGCTTTCACACGTCATCTGCAGCTGTTCCGTCCTCGTCGTTGGCCCTGGGTACGATGAGCGGTTTCCCATGCAGGCGCGATTTACTCACCCTTGTTGACGTGCAGGGCATCCTTCACATATCATATGGATCCCAAACTCCATGCTCCTTCACTAAGATTGAATGTGGGCTGGTGAGGTGAGTAGACTGCGGCCTTCCGTGGAGCCAAGTCAATGATGTGGAACTTAACCGTACAGTCTATCCACAACGCTTGTAACGGTAACCTGCGGCTCCACGGTCATCGGCTTGTTCTCGGCCGACCACTCTGGCGCTTCCGACGCAACCGCATAGAAGCTGCTCTTCGAATCCTCAGCAATCCATCAACCTGCAGGATCCACTCTCGTTTAGAAGGGATGGACTCTCTCGTTAGTCGGGCGTAGGGGTGGCGCTGATTCAAAAGCCTCGTGTTTGGTCCAGAGACATGCAGCAAAATCCACAATGAATCCCGCTACATGTCAAAGTACTAGCTCCTTGTCAATCGATCAGCTGTCTCACGCCTCAAGGGAGTATCCTGGTTTAGTGGATCCAGCCCTGCAGCTGGCCTTCACGGACCCTGAACCCTACTCTTTATCTCCGGGCTTTCCATTCGCGGGAGGTTTGACCTATGCTGGAATGAGAATGCATGAGCTCGTCGACGGCTCTTTGCGATATTAAGGACCCAGGCCCACCAGAAGTCAAGAAACCGCGTCTAGCTTTTTCAAAGTCCGATTTTCATCGGCAGCGGTACGTATCCACGTTCACGGGAATCACCTGGTGTTGCTCGCCCCGGACTTTTGCCCCGTAGAGGTATCCACCATTCCATGCCTGGACTGGATGATGGCAAACTTAACTTCGGCAATTGACCACCGAATAGCTTGTTGGGATGCATGTCTAGCAAAACCTTCAAGATGGCTACTGCACCGCCCACTGTTATTGCGCCACAATGGTTGAGATCTCACTGATAGGCCCCGAACATTATCCGATGAACCTCACCGTTCAGGCATGCGTGTGTGACATGCGGCATGCTGTGCATGCAATGGCGCGGCGGAGCAGTTTTGCGCAAACGGCACTATGACGATGCAGAAGAGACGGAACACCAGTATACGCGAGGCAAGGTTCTAGGCAACAGAACTACTGTTCGGCATGTTTGGGCGACGGACTTGAAAGACGGCAGCGGCCGCGGAATCCACAGTGAAAGTGCCTAGAGCATTCCTGCGTGATGCTCGCATGGAAAACATGTGGGTAATACACATCCAGACTGCGGCTGTGCTATAAGCAGTATGCCGACCCTCGTTCCACGGAGCCCAAGTTGTTTCACCCTGTTCTGCAAGACACATTTGCCTGCACTTTGACGCATGCTGCAGGACGTTATGTTCGGATGATTGGGTAGCAGTTGAATTGGAGTCTGTTCACTTTGAAAGCGTACACCGAGTTTGCATACTTCAGGTAGAACTGCCCGGTGCTGCTTCCACCGACAGCTAATATTTGCATAGAAGGTTGTGCAATGGTCTTTCCAAACAGTAAATTCAATTTGTCACACTGCGTAATCAGAGCTACACATCCTCTATACTGACACCAACCCCGAATTCATCACAAGCACAAGCCCAAATAGCTACACATCGTCAATTTCTCTCCTTCTCTTCCATGTCCCTTCCAATACCTATCCGTCCCCCATCTCCCTCCCTCACTGCGGCTCCTGACATTCCCCACAAATCATCAACCACTCCCCCATCGTCGCCCAAACGACTTTCCCCCCACACTTCTCGCACGGCTCGTGGCTAGCTTCCACCACCCGTCCCGCGGCGTCTTTCTCGCCCTCATCGTCTGAGTATGAACGATGGAGCGTCGGAGTTTCGGGTGAGAAGGTTGTGGGTGTTTCCTCTAGAGGTACGCGCGATGACACTTCCTCCGACCACGTGCGTATTTCGATAGGGGAGAGCGTGCTGCATGTGGACTGGTTGTTTGTACCCGAGAGGAGGTTTGGGAGGCGGTGGAGAGGGTTGGGTCTGCGTTGAGTGTTGCAGTCGATGCCTCCACGGCACCGTCGAGACTTGAAGTTGGTGCCTCAACAACTACGTCATTCTCGAGTGCGAATCTGACAGTCTTCTTGGGCGTCGGCGTCGGCGTCCTTGGCTCGTCGTCGTCAAGTGCGAGGCGCACAGTTTTCTTGGGGGGTGTGGTGGCTGACATGCCTGCGGGTTGATGGGAACGCCTTGGTGGTGCTGGACTTGAGAAGGGGATAAGGGGGGTTGATGTAGGTCTGCGGAACGAACGAAATACAGTGAAGGGTCGTGGTGACTTCGTTTGTAAGGCAACGCTACGAGCAATCACCCCACCGATACACGGAGGCGGGTTAGGGAGATGACATTTGCAGTATAAAAGCCTGTATTCATCACTGAATGCTGTAGAAGAAGGTTTGCACTCACAAAAGGTATCAAAAATGGGCACGTCGAGTCTACTTCCGTTTATTTCGTTACTCGTTTCATCTCGCTTTCACGTAGCAAATTCTATCATAGTCCATCTCCCTCCCTCTCTCCCTCTCTCCCTAATCCCAAGCCCTACACTCCATAAACTTATTCCCACACCACTCTCCCCCGCCCACCCCTCCATCAACCAGTAATGAAACGGCATATACACCGTACTCGCCCAGAACACAGCGAAAAAAATCCCCGCATTCACGTATGCGACGGAGCCCCAGAACAGCGCTGAGATAGGCTGTAGAAGTGCGTTGGTGGCGCTAGTTGGGCAACAAGCAGTCTTGACATTCGTATAAGCACTATATACGCCTATTAGTAAAGAAGGTGGGAAGGGGACGAAAAGGGATGGCGAAGTACATCAGCCCCCCAAAGCACTCCCGCAATTCCAACACTCGCTGCAATTGCTAGCAGAAGCTTCGTGGGCGTTGGGGATCTGGGTCCAGTCGATGCTGTTGCTGTGAGTCTGTCGTAGGCGCTGGGGGCGCGGCGGTGATAGGATGCTGCTCGGCGCATGGTGGTGTGTTGAAGATGAGGGATGGGTTTCGTGGAAGGTGGGGAGTTGGGGTGGGCGTGAGCGTGGCATTTGTATGTAGTGGTAATGTTTGCTGGGGTGTGTTGGCGTTTGTAGGTAAACGGGGTTGGATTGCGGTGGAGGTAGGAGGTGAGAGGCACGGGCGGCATATAGTGAGCGGGAAATTTGAAGGGAGAATGTACATGGTGGGTAGTGTGACTGCTGAGGATGGTTTTGAGGTGTGGGATTCACTGAGGTGATAGTGAAGCGTGTCTATCTTCTTGATATGCGCTGCTTCATATTGTATGACTCCTGTAAAGACTTCCCATATCACAAAGTGAGTTGGTGAGGGTTGGGGGTAGGCTGATCGATTGTGGCAGAGCTGTTATCGCAAGATTGTATTACTCAAGGAAATGAGCGGCGCTTCCATATTGTCAAAATGCCGGGGTGTTGAAAACTGGTCATGCACCGGTCTAGTATGCATTACTCGAATGCGCTAAACAGGACTCGATGGTTGTGATACTGTGATCATCTGACGCATCACCAAGTTTTCCTGATGCTTGACGAGTAGCAAATGAATGATGCAGCACCAAAGCAGGCCCTTCATAAGTCAAGCTCTTCGTCCTCTATCATTCAACTCCGTCTTATTCATCGCCCGCTCTTGATCATACTGGCGCTATCACCAGGTGCAGCCATCACTGTTCCTAGCCATATACATCCTCGAGTCCAACGTCTTCCTCCTTAAAACACAGCTCAGCAAACTATTTCGCCAACACAACGAACAACTCAGCCAACCACCAAGAACAGCAGTAGGCCTGCCTTATAGAACAGGATGTCCAACAGCACCGTTTCCACTATCCCACTCGTCATCATTCACAAGCCGGCCACGAGGCCACCACTTCCGCAACGCCGAGTAACGTGCTCGTTCCTCGAGCCAATCGAGGGGAGGAAAAGGTCTTCCATGGGAAAGCCATATTCGCCACCAAGAATGAAGAGTCCGGCCCCTGAGAACATGATCAACCGGGCCAACTCCCTACGCAAGCCGATGACAACGAGGACAAACTCGATGCCGGTTCGACCGCGAGCTTTCATGAGACGCGCAATGTCGAAAATCAAGCGCACCAACTCTGGTGCAATTGTCACTAATTCGACGATGGACATTGGGGAAGCCAAGAAGTGGTCGCTGCAGCATAGTGATCCGCCGAGTCCTGTCGGCCGACGTCCCAGATTGCGGAGCCGGAAGATGGAGACATACGGTTAGAGTAATTCTTGGAAAGAAGAAGTCGGAGGGCCGAGTTTGGATGCAGGAGGCCGTTATTCATGGATGGGTAAAGGTGGCAATTTGCTGCAGGCTGGTACTTGAATCAAGCTAAATTGCCATTGATGGTGCGCTGAACATGCAATGTGAACTGTCGTGTGCGCCTTTCCTACTCTTTCAATTCAGCAACGGCAAAGTATCCCTTGTTTTCCACAACTCCTCTGTCTTTGACCACAGCAGTGTATTTGACGACCCACTGAGGCTCAACGTCACCCTTCAGTCCTTCTTCGTTCCCTTCTCCTGCCAACACACCGGAGCCATTGTCTCCGGCTCCGAGTATTTGTCGCAGCGTTCCTCGTGGTAGTATGTTTGTGCAGTCGTTGTGGGTGAGAAGCTCAATCTTCTGCTGCTTTGCGTATATGATGAGGGGCTTCGGCACTACACAGCAGTCGCGTACGTTGATCTGGTTGACGCTTGGCTTGATCTTTGTGTGCTCCAAAAACTTGCTGAGTCGCGTCACGCCGAATTCTGCTATGCCGAGTTTCGATACCAGACCCTCTTCTTGAAGAGTCTCCAATGTCCTCCATGTGGTAATCATTGTTTCGATGTCCTCTGGTGGAACATCTGCGTCCAAGCAGCCTCCGTCGTTGTCTGAAGTCGACTGCGGTGCTGACGGCGGGTCTTCAAAGTCCGAATCCTCATCGTCGGCGTCGAATGATATGCCTGGGAAGCTTACGATAAGCAGATCTATCGACGAGGCGCCAAGTTCCTTCAAGACCAGCTCGATTGCCTCCCGTGTCTGGGCGCATCGCCTATCCGTGGGTATGTTCGGCAGGTAGAACAGCTTGACAGTGATGTCATATGATTCGCGAGGTTCGGTAAGGGGTGAGGGCGTGTGTGTAGGTACGGAAAGTGCCGAATCGTTTTGCGTTGTCCATGACTTGTAGCTGGACTTTGCGGAGTCTTTGCCAGCCGACTGCTGGTGAGCAGTGAAGTTCGCGCGCAGGGAAGAGGTGAGTTCAGTATTGGACTTTTCGAAGAAGGGGCGCCGTATCACGGACGGGCTTCCGGACATGATATTCCTGGCAGTGTTAGTAATGCGCTTGGTATGGGTTGCGACTGGCATACGAGGTGGAGAGTATGAGCTTCATGGCGACGGTGAAAGTTGTGATTGTTAGTAAGACCGCGTATCTATGAGTGTATTCCCCTGGATCTAGTATTTGGAAGTTGGTGTATGGTTGAGGCAGGCACGATGCGACAATTTGTCGAAGATCAGATGTTTGTCAGCCAGACTCTAGTGGGGCCGATGAAGTGGCAGCTAGCGTCTTGCAGTGCGGAAAGAGCGATCACAGGGCTGTGGAAATGCTGTAAATATGGCTCAAAGTTCCGGGAAATGTCTGGAAAGAACAACGTGAGATCCAGCCGTATGTATTCGCGGGTTAGCGGGGTGTCGATGAGGGCGCATTGACGTCCTTTCAAACTCGCGGGGTGGACATTGCCGATCCGACATAATCACATAATCTCCCAGATCACACCTACACCTCTTCTCCCCAGCCACCATGACGATAAAGTGAGTGCAGCATACTGCTACTTGCCATGTCACATAATCGACTACTAACAACACCAGATACCTCATCCTGCTCTCGCGGCAGGGCAAAGTGGTCGGTACCTCACCCTGGATCCCCCATTGCCTTTGCTGAAGCCCGTAGCGCCTAGCCAAATGGTTCACCACCCTCGCGCCCAAAGACAAGGCCAAGATTGTCAAAGACGTCTCGCAGCTCGTCCTCGCCCGCCGCACGCGCATGTGCAACTTCCTAGAGTATAAAGGTCAGTGGGTCCAGCAGGGATAGTGCCTCGCTAGGCTCACATGTTTTCACAGACACCAAGGTCGTCTACCGCCGCTATGCCTCACTCTTCTTCATCGCCGGATGCGACGCGACCGACAATGAGCTGATCACGCTCGAAATCGTCCATCGCTATGTCGAGCAGATGGACAAATACTACGGGAACGTGTGCGAACTCGACATTATCTTCAACTTCCAGAAGGCATACTTCATCCTCGATGAGCTTCTGTTGGCGGGCGAAATGCAAGAGAGTAGCAAAAAGAACGTGCTCCGCTGTATAGGCCAGCAAGACAGCCTTGAGGACATGGAGGTGAGTGAGGCCTAGTATACCGCCAACAGTCGCTTCGTCCCGGCACCATCTGGCTGACGCGCACTTTCCCTGGCCAGGCCGAGGACGACATCGTCACCAAGATCATGTAGCCCGTCTATACCAAGCGCATATCACACATCTCACACCCGTCCTGGCCTCCACTGCGACCATCCGCGATTTCCTAGATCCGCCCTTGACTGAGTCTGACACGGAATGCAGATGGCAGAAGACTTCAAAGGCCGCCTTAAAGACAGCGGCATCATGTAAAGGAGGGATATGGCAGGGCGTCATGGAGTTCAAGGGCCGGCCCTCGGGTTGGCAATGGTATACCAGGTTTCATGCTGTTCGGGCAAAATATGCTAAAACACTTTTCATGGACAGGCGTCGATCAGCGGAACAGATCCGGACGACGCAATGTGGCATAGCCACTGGAGAACGCACTATCTGCCATCTTGCCTTGTAGTGCAGATGGCGATAGCTGTACTCTATACTACGAATCATCATCTCAGGTTGGCGGGCTCTGCCCAGTCCAACTAGGTTTGACACAAGCGGTCTATGAGGCTCGAACGTGATCACAATATCATGCATCGAGACTGTCACCCTATCCATCTTGATCGTCCTTTCTTTTGTCAGTACATCTAACAGAACCAAGATTCTAGGCATAGATCCTGCTCAGGCGTACATCATATTCCGCACTGTGACAGCAACCAGGTTCGGATCACACATTGATCCTTCTACCAGAACCAAAGCATGCATTTCCCAAATGAATCGTTGCCGAACTACATTGTAGTTTATTGCCAGGCAGCCTGTACTGTGTCATCATGTGCTCGGGCGGAATCGGACATGACGTCCCACACCCACACGCCTACTCCGCATTGTCGTATATCACTAACAGCAGGGCGCAACACCACTCAAGCCTGGCCGACTCCCCATTCGGACTTGTCGACACATGTCGTTGGTCGAGGGTGGTCATCATGTCGGTTCAGACGCGACCAATCAGGCAGTCGCATCCACCGCATGCCGCTGACTTAGCTCCGCAGCCCGCCAAGTCGCTCACCCTTCTCCGCAGCCAACGTTACGACAGCGCCAGGACACCTCACACCACTCGCACCATACCGATCTATATGTACTTTGCCTGCTAGACAGCTGTCTGGCCGTGCAGCAGTATCCATCTCTCTCTGCAGCCAGCCTAGAGTTGTGTATATTGGTTGTATCGGCTCGCGCAGGCCATTCCCCACACAACAAAGGAGCCTACCCCCAGCAGCATCGGCTTGCTGAAACGATCACCGCATATTCGGTATCAGGAGCCAGACGCGACAGGAATACTCAGATTTATTCAGACCGAAACATATCGACTCCGGCGCAATGAAGGTACGTGCAGGTCGCGATAAGGCGGTCAGGCGATGATGATGTAGCTAACGTGGACCCGCAGTACCTCGACTTGTGCGCCCTCCACGAGGTCAACCTCGCCCTCAACTTCGATACCCAAGATACTGCCATCATTGGTGGATGCGATTTATGGACTGTAAAAGCAGCTGGCAGCGACAAGAAATTGTACAAGCGCATCGAGAAGACGCTCGAGGAGCGACACAAGGACCTGCTCGCATTTGTCGCGGATCACTCGGCACAGTCAGCCGCGCAATTTGCAGATGAACTCGATGTTGCAAGGGACACGCCATTTGGGAGTTTCAGTGAGTCGTCGAATCGACATACGTTCGCATACCTCATCGCAACCCTCAATGCAACACACATCGACTACGACTTTGCAAACACCCTGAATCCCGATGAGTTCCGCCGCGAGTCGCAAAATAGCTTCAAGCACAGGATCGATCAGACAATGTACTATTTAAGACCACAAGTCTACTCCGCAGGCCTGCCTATCGGCGCAGTCACACCTCTTGGCTCGCCGATTTGGAGCCCTCGATCTTGGCAGCTACTGGACAGCGAAATGGACATGGCCAACTGCGAATACTACGCATGGGAGCCGTCAGATGACCCCTTTGCCGATGACGGCGCAATCTGGAGCCACCACTTCTTTCTCTACAACAAGGACCGCAAACGCGTATGCTACTTCTACCTCCGAGGTATCTCGGCCCTTTCAGACAGCCCCAGCGTTGCCATGTCGCTCATGTCGAAGTTCAAGCAAACGAAATTCGAATCGAGTGCCAACGCGGGATCCAGGAAACGTGCGGAGTACTGGCTTGGCGACCGTGCGAAGAAAGGCCTCGAAGCATACGGCGACTCCGATGAACTGGATAACATGGTCATTGACCATCCCGGTGACGTCGTCGACGCGGACCAAAACGTCTGGGTCCCCGTTAGAGAAATGAGCACCGATGCCGACTACTACGAATCCGACGACGACAGCGATGTTGAGATTCTCGTCGACCGCGAGAGAGGCAAGAGCCGAGTCCGCACGATGAGCGAGGGTGTGATGGATCGCATGGAGTTGTGATCCTCCTTTCGTCTGCCTGGCCAGGCAGCTCGACACCCCATGATGACGGAGCATTTAGAGGCGTTCTACGGTCTGTTTTTCTACACTTGTCCTATTTCCGCGCTGTTCAAACAAACACCAATCTCCTAGAGCTCTTGAGCATGAAAGACGGCCATGATCAGGGCGTTACGGTCGGTGGGAGCGACGCGTTTTACGTCCGTTGGCTTACTGAGTCATGCTTGAGATACCCCCTGTTTTCGTACTATTTTGTTTTGCTTATGTGTTTTTGGTTGGGTAGGGATGGGGAGGGAAGGTGATGATGTGATGAGGGATGATGGAATGTTAGGTATGGATGGTGTATGAATGGTAATTGTTTTACTACCACGTCTAGTTCTCCATTTGGATCTTCTGCTTCGTCGCTCAAATCCAGTACAGCAGTACGACCCATGCTTTTCTTCGAACGCCTGTCACTCCGTGTCTTGGTTGGTATCTGCAATACAGCCGGGAATCATGCGGCGTCAACCCTGATGTCAAACAGACATGTCGAGTTCCTTTATTACTATCCCTTCCTCGATAGGCTTCATCGGCATGGGGCTGTCCTCGACTTGGGCTGGCTCGTGCCACTTTGCATAGCGGCGCATGTTGACTAGGATGTATTTCAGTATGGATACACGGGAGATGGGGAAAGACAATTGCTACCTTGGTGAATGAGCAGACACCAACCAGCATGTATCATGGCGAGCATAACCATGGTCAAGAGTTGAAGGAGTTGGAGGACGTCGGATTTATTCCACATCTTGAGACCCTCGAGTGTTGAGAGGTAGGATATGGTAAAAGACTACTAATGATTGTGGAATGCTACTGTGCTCTGAATATGGACAATATATACTGCTCACGAGGGAATACTTATAGCAAGAGCAGGATATAATACTTTTGCATTCAGTGCTGTTGGCGTCGTAATTGCATGACATCGGTTAACCATCCCCTCCTTCAGTGAAAACACCTGCGTTACACAGAATTGCCTCTGGCCAGTGAAAACGTCGATGAAAACGCCTTGATCTAATGACCCGTCGCGTGAAGTCGCCTCTGGCCAATAATCAGTTGGGAACGTACTGAGCCACGGGAGGCGGTGATGCTTGGCGGCAACTCTCACCGGTTGTAGCAACCCTACCTCGAAATATGCATGTCATCACTCGCGGTGCGCGCTCAACCAACAGAAAACGTGTAACGGTGCTGGCACCTAGTCATGATAGCGAAGATCTAAGGCTATCATCTAGCCTGCCAGTATAAAGACCAATTCAGAAATCGCGCCCAAGTCACGATTGTACCTCATCTAGAGCTACCCTATTCACTGCTAACTGCAAGCGCAAAAGGAGTTATGTAGCATAAGTACTCATCGGAATTAGTGCAGAATGAGCGAGTGAAAACTAGAGGCTAGGAAAGTGAATAGAGAGATCCGCACGAGTGACAAAGCTTCGATGCGTCCCACTAGATCCGGCAAGGTATCATGCGTCATGCAGTGCGCTACCGCGTAGTATGTTAAGGGCAAGTTCAGCCTTGCTTTGACACTCCACTATCATACGTAAGCGTCGGATGACGAATAAAGTTGCTGCTGGGTATGATTTGGTGTGTATCAACCAAGTGATCGAAATATTACATACTATCCTACGATCTCATGTAAAATTCATTGCTACCGACGATGCTCTGGACCTGGCTTGTATCTTTACACCTAAACATATCACTCTCATGTCAAACCGGAACGTCGATTTCCTTGAAGATCTTTGGTACCTCCACAGTCGTCGCCGCAACATCAAATTCCTTTTCGATTGGCCTGGTCAACGCTGCGTACCAGCGCATATTCACTGTTAGGCATGTTAGTACGGGGATGTATCAAGTTGAAAAAAAGTCTCACCTTGGTGAATAAGAAGACACCATGCAGCTTGTACCATAGCAAGAACAATCATGGTCAACAGCTGGAGGAGCTGGAGGACGTCAGATCTGGCCCACATCCTGGAAGGCTCGAGTGTTGGGAGGTAGGATGCTGGAGGTGGTGAAGGACTACGAATAATCGTGTTTTACTGGAATACAAGGCTGAGAAGTTGTGTGCGCCTATTGTGCAGTGAGTATGATTGACGGTTGCTACTCTTTGCAAATGACTGAAGAAAAAAAGCGGAAAGAAGTGAAAACTTATGGCAACATATCTCAGTATGGCGCACGGTTGTTGCTGGCTGCATGAGCCCTGGGGCAACAACCAAGTCACACTTTATTGGTCGTGGAAGCACCTGCAGTACTCAGCCCTCTTCAAACCACAGACTCAACCCTACACTCAACCCTACACTCAACCCCACACTCAATCACACACTCAACCACATATCATGAAATACGCCATACCACATGGGGCGCCGTGCAGATTAAGGAAGGCGACTGCATGGAGCCTAGCGTTCCGAGCGCAATGTAGTAATGCTCGTCATTGGGTGAAGCAACGACTTCTCCACTATAGCATGGGTAACGGGTGAAGCAATGAATTGACCAGCTGTAATGAGTCAAGTCTTGGTTTTCATCATTGCGATCAGTTTAGGATGCGCGTATACAGAGGGTTATCAGGCTGTGGACGAGTCTGGACAAGGCTGTGTTACGCTACTGAGTTTCTGCCTTAGATGAATGAGCTGCACCTAGGCATCGGCGCATCATAAGTTTTCGTGCTGCTGTGTTCAATCAGATTCCAGCACGATCTATAGAGAAAAGCGATCCTCGTAGAACTTAGTCTTTCCAAGGAATTCAATCCTATGGAAGACTAGTTTTGTTTGGTCTGAAGTACTACAAGTTCTAAGTTGAGCCGAAATTGATTTCCGCATATCTGGTATTGGTCTTGGAGGAAGTTTTCTTCAGCCTTGTACAAGACGAATGGGTCCACAGCCAACATAGTCCGGATCGTCGTTGTGCGATTATTAGCAATCGTTGAGGCAAAATGAGTGCGAATGCTGTGGTTTACAGGCTTGTTGGACTTCAAGACTCTGAGAATGTCGCTCCATTAGCAGTACTGTTCCCTGGGTGTGCTAGTGTCATTCTTTGGTGGTGATTCTCTGGGAATAATTTCAGGACCCACTGCAAGAAAGTCAGTGAGAGGTCAGATTATGAAAGGGATGCTGAATTTTGTCGCAGAGGATAGCATCTGGTCGAAACCGAGTCTGCTATGCTGATACGAACCATTACCTCGCATTCGTAAAGTGGCATAGTGAATGTCTAGCGAGAATGACGCGGAAACTTCGCAAGGCTGGGTGACCAGGGTTTAACGGAACTCAATCACCGTTAAACCCTGGTCACTTTAGGCGAGCTATTGTCCTCTTTTCGGCTATCTAATAGGGTCTACCATCATGAAACTGGTTGGAAATCATAAACTAATACTACTTCTCGACATCATTAGCAACACCCATTACTCTGTCTAGACTCTTCTCAGTGCTTTCCCACTCCCTCCTCACCACATCAAGTACCCAATCTCCCCTAGGCTTCAAACGAAACTTGAACGGCCTAGGCTCAGTCATGAAGCCCGCCACCACCATCGCCCACGGATCCACCTCTTCACTCTCGATAGCCTCCACATCAAACGCCCAAAGCAAATGTGCAATGTTCATAAACGTCCCATCAGTAGCCACCCGCTTTCCCTGACATATCCTCCTGCCCTGCCCAAACACCGGCAGCGGCAGATCACCACGAACCTTCCCATCACGCAGCCACCGCTCAGGCACAAAATCCTGCGCATCGCCAAACGACGGATCAAACACTTTCTCATCGCGCCCAATCGCCCATGCATTCGCCATGATAGTAACTCCCTTGGCGATCTTTACGCCGCCAAATTCATCCGCCCGGTCTGCGCGACGTGGAATCGAGCCAGGCGAAATAGGCCGCCAGCGGAAAACTTCGTGTGCAACGGCATCGACGTAAGCAAGGCCGTTGCGGTCTGCGAAACTCGGCAGACGCTCGCGACCAACGACCTTATCCAGCTCTTCGTGCGCGCGCGCCATGAATCCGGGATTCTGCAGCGCCGCGACGAACAGCCAGAGGATTTGGCGTGGTGAGGTTTCCATCCCGCCTTGGATGGACGTTGCGAGCGTGAAGGCGAGGTCGAGATCGGATACTGGGGCGTCTTCAGGAGCGTATTTCTTTGCGGTTACGAAGGCTTGTTTTGTGGCGTTCCAGCCGGGGGCTTCTTGGCCGTGGCGTAAGAGGCGCATGTAGAGATCGACTTGCGAGGCGTATAGCTTGTCGGCGTAGCGCTGCCAGGGAGAAATGAAGGAGGGGAGGTGGCGGAGGAAAGGCATCATATCTGGGAGTTGAGGGTTTGCGGCTAGATGTGTGACTTTTTCTTGGATGTGGATTACTTCATGGAGGATTGGTTCTTCGAATTTGGGAATCCGGATGCCATAGTGGAGGGCGAGGATGACGCTGGATTGAGTTCGCTCGAGAAGAGGGTATACAGTCTTTGTAGAGATTGTGGATCCATCTGTTGATTTGCTTAAGGCTGAGACGAGATCGAAGAGCAGTTGCTTTGCCTCGAGTTCCATGAGCGGTTGATACTGGCTGGCAGCAGGCGCGCCAAGACTTGGAGCCAGAATGCGGTGATGCAGCTTGAGATGGTCGTCATAGTCATGCATCAGCGTAAACCGTGAACGACCTGGCTCAGCCCCTGTGATCATTTCCATGCTCACAGAGGCTGGCCGGTTGCTGTACCATTGACTACGCCGACTGAAGAGTTCAGTGACAGCTTCATACGAATTGAGCACGACGATAGGTACAATGCCAAAGAGCTTGGGCACTGTAATCGGCCCATGTTCTTTGGACCATGCGCTCCAATTGACCAGGGGCTTCTCGATTGGAGAGCTGTGGATATCGCCTATGAGGGGAAGTTTCAGAAGAGGTTTCTCGGTGGCATCTTTGCGGCTGGAATTTGTGATGTAAAGATATAGCGCCGTTATTGCGCCCACGGCCAGAGCGATGGTCACTGTAGTGCTAGACATGGCTGGTGAAGCTCCCCAGGAAGACTGCGGGAGGCGCATTCACTTTAGAGACTCTAAGGACGAATACCAAGCACGGCATTACTCAGGGTCATCCTCCGTAAGCCTCGTCCTGAATAAGGTGGGAAAAACGGCTTTCGGTAGCAACAGGTTAGGTGTCTCAGCGATGCTTGTCGAGCGATCGAAACACTTTTCTCGCGCATTCTCAGCCTCTCATAATTCCGAGGGCAATTTCTGGGCGGCACACTTGGTGAACCTCATCTTCGCAAAACTTGAAAGGAGTTGTTAACCAACTTCCTAAATCAATGGCGGTCCGGATAGAAAAACTTGCCGAAGGCCGTGCCAACTTGGCTGACCCACTTCAGTCGTGCGAGGAACCAATCATTAGGCTTACGAATGTCTTTCCCCTGCTAGCGTCTTGCCAAGGTGGCCTCCTCGTCTGGTGTGACAGCGGCAGCTAACGTGCAGTGTGATATCGGCGCATTCTCGCAACCGTCTACTCGGTTGCTCGGTAGACTTCCCGAGGTCATGAATGAACGTGATCGAGAGCCGGGAAAGCCCTGGACGCATGGAAAGCACGCATAGCATCCGAGAAAGCCGTTATATTGCGCAACACGCAACGGTTCTAGAAGTTCCCGCTGCGCGCCCAAGCACAAGGAGACAGAGTGAGCAAAGTCCGGGAACTTGTGTTGCTCTGACCCCAGAGCTGCAGTTCCAAATCCTTTGGCTGATTCTGGCAAGCTCATGGTCCGTTCGCTCTGGCTTTAGGCAACGGAGGCGGCAGGGTCCCGTACCGGCCCGTTTTGAGAAGACATGATGTGAAATATCGACCGAGATCAAGCAGATCGGCCTGTGATCGTCTGCAACTGGCTGGTCCGCGACCGAATGCAAGGTACAGGCTCGATGAGGGGAAGCGGGTTGCTGAATCACAACCCCGTATCAGGCGTTTTGTTGGGTGCCTGAAGGGTGAGCCAAGGAGCACATCGCCAGAGATTTCTCCAGAAGATCGGGAGATTCCTTCCGCGTTCAGATGTTTTAACGTATCCCTTTGTACACGAAACGATCTTCTACCAGTCAACTCGTCTGTTGCTATAAGCGAGTCTGTGCCATTGCAGGTACGGCAGACCTTACGAATGATAAGTTCTAAGCCGTACGCTCTTTAGTTTGGTTTTTGGATCCGTTTCTTTTCCAGCGTGCCGAGATGGCCAACTTCCCCATCCAGACATACGACCAGAAGGCAGTGCTGGCTGTGGCTTTTACCTTCGCCATACTCGCATTCATCGCGGTCTGCTTGCGCTTGGTTGCTCATCAGATCGCGCACAAGAAATGGATGCCCAGTGACTACTTCATCATCGCTGCCTGTGTAAGCCACCCGCAACTAGCGACTGTCAGCACCACTAAACAAAGCTAGATCTTTGCCGTTGGTCTGCAATCAATTAGTATTACAGGCGTCTTCCAAGCTGGCATAGGCTACGGTCATGTTCTGGATGTCATACAGCAATATGGCCCTGCACCCGTAATCAAGCTATCGCAACTCATCATACCTCTGCAGTTCACCTGGGTTTTGAGTTTGAGCTGTACCAAGATATCGATTCTGTGTCTGTATCTCCACATTTTCCCGTATCGATGGCTTGCATGGAGCTCGTACGTGACCATGGCCATCATCGTCGCCTGGACAATCGGAACTATCCTTGTTGGCTGTCTGATCTGCCAGCCTTTCGCGTTCAATTGGGACAAGACGATTCCCGATGGAAAATGTGGTGATCAGGTCACTTCGTTTACGATTACCGGCATCATCAACCTGGTCACCGACGTAATGGTGCTTCTTATGCCCATGCAGCCGGTGTACCAATTGCAGATGGCAACGTACAAGAAACTGACCCTTGTTGCTGTTTTTGGCTTGGGTATTTTGTAAGTCGGTATCAAACTTTCACCATGTCCTCAGGTCTGACTGAGAACAGCACTTGCGTCATCAGCGCGCTCCGCATCTCCGTCCTCTCCAGCATGGACTTCGCCGACATCACCTTCACGATCCCCAAAGCCAACATCTTCAGCGGCCTAGAACCCTGCATCGCCTGCGTCCTCGCCTGCGTTCCTCTAATGCGCCCACTGCTCGGTCACTCCGTCCAAACACCGTACGGATCGGGCGAGAGACCCGCGAAGTCGCAGTCTAAATCCGCAGGGTCAAAGGAGTCGAAGGGGGTGCGCGATGATGGGTTTGATCAGCTAGACGATGATACCAGCGAACTGTGTCTTCGGCCATTGGGGTTGCAACATCGCGCTGATGCTTCGGCGTTGCGCGAAACTGTGAATGATGATGCCAGCGAGATAGATGTAGAGTCGATTGATAGGGATGGGGGAGGCATAAGAGTGAAGCAGTCGTTTCAAGTTGAAGAGCGAGGAAGAGCGCTCTGATTCAGAAAATAAAATAAAAAGCGACGTTACCTAATACCCACCTCGGTCTTATCGATAGAACCTTTGATCAGATTGATGGACTGACACACCAGCTGCTCAACTGCGACTCGTTGCAACCGAACACTTCTTCGCGGATGGAATTGACAAGATGGGCGTCCTGTAGAACTTCTGGCGCCTCCAATCAGCCACGAAAACGGTGTTTTGGAAGAGTCTCACGAAGCATCGAATGTGTACACCGGCACGACATGGCGGGTAGCATATCACTCAGATGTGCAGGTCTGTCCAGGAACGAAACACTTGTAGTCTCTGAACAAAGGTTCGAAAAAGCAGATCAGCATCTCAAGGATCAGCACGAAGTAAATCCGCGAGTGCGAACGGAGGCTTTTATTTACTTGAGGCATTACTGGACGCGCTCGTACAGATGAGTCTGAGAGATGTATGTACCCCATGTTGCGTACCTCAGGCGACAACTCGCATATTACAAAAGTCGATTTTGCCAGAAGTTTGACGTGTGAAAGCGGTGCATACTTTTGCTATTTCGAATATAGAATGATGAGGCGAGACAGCTAGTAGGGAGCGGCAAGAAGTTACATGCTGAGATGATTGTAGTCGTCTAGCTAGACTTTCAGTAGACGCTGTTGCTAGACAACATCAGTGAAGCCAAACACCAGCCATTTGTGGCAACCGAATATTGACCATTTGTCTATTTCAGCTCCAATTCTTCACACATCCACATACAATTCTCACTCCACTAACACACCTTTTGCTCATCAATACCATTCAATCACTTCTTCCTCTCACCATCTACCTAAATATCAAAAACCCCACCCATCCCAACTCGAATGTCCACGAAATCCGCTCTCCACCCCTTAAATCCAGGCAGCCCCCTCTTAACCTCCCTAACCCTCTCAAGCCTCCTCTTACCCTCCTCCTCCTGCGCCTGTCGAAACGCATCCTCATCAATTTCAAACTCGTCCAAGCTGCCCAGACTCTCCTGTCTCGGCTTAGCATTACTCGCCGCGTCGCTGCGTCGATGTGACGTCTGGCCCGTGAATGCCGAGATACCAGACTGAATGACGTCTTGGAACGAGCTGTGGCGGGGCGGGGGTTGATTGCGCAGGAGATGGGATGAGGGGTTTGACAGATCGATGTCGTCAAAGGCAGAGTCTCCTTCGATGGAGGGTTGCATGGCAGTGCGCTTGTCGCGCCACACGCCGCGGCGCAGCTCGAAGTTTTCTTCCTCGAGGGAGCGGAGCTGGGCGAGGAGTTTGTCGCGTTCTTCGTCGAGGAGCTCTTGTACGCTTGAGTCTTCGATATTGCCCAGGTCGGCCTTGCGGCGGCGTTGTTCGGCTTCGCGGAGGCGCGCGTTCTCGTTGCTGAGACCGGCGATGCGTGTGCGGAGTTCGGCGGCTTCGCGCTCGACTTTTTTGTGCTCTTGAACACGCGTCTGGTTGCGGGCGTCATTGTCGCGGTGGATCTGAGTGAGTGTCTCGATCTTCTTCTCTAGCAACTCAGCGCGCGAGATTGAATCCGAGGCCTTGCGGTTCGCAGCACCAAGCTCAGCCTCTAATTGTGCAACGCGGGTCTGTGCAGTATCGCGATCTGACCCCTCCTTGTCCGCTTGTTCACTTGCTTTGTCCAGATTCGCCTTGAGGTCTGAAAGCTCGGTCTTGGTCGAGCTTGCGTCTTGCTCAGCTTTCTGTAGCGAGGATTCGAGGCTCGAGATTTTGGATTGCAGTTCGTTGCTCTTGGCCGTCTGTTCCGATAGTTGCTTATTGAGGTTTGAAATCTCAAGCTCCAGCGATTCGATCGTAGCAGATTTCGATGCGACTTGCGCGTTCAAGTCGTCAATAGACGAAGATTGACTTGGTGAGGCAGTCGCAGCGCGGCTTTTGTTTTTCGCGCTTTGCGACTGGGCTTGCGATAGTTGCCTCCTGAGCGATTCGACTTCGGCTTTCTGTATGGTGCATTAGCTTCGTCCCCTAACAGCAAAGTACGTCTTCCTACCAGCTTATCCGCCTCCTTGCCTTTCTCAACCGCAAGCGCAACATCTCCCCGACCCTCTCTCAGCTCCTCAAGCTCCTCTTCGCCCTTCTTCCATCTGGTCTGATTCTCTTCGACTTCGCTTGCCAGCCTCTTGTTCTCCCTTTCCAACTCCTCAATCCTCTGCGCTTGCTCCCTGTACACCTCGCTTGTGATTCCGCCTCCAGGTGTTCCAGCACCTGGCGATGTAGGTGTGCCAACAGCCCCCGCTCTGTAGAATGATTCGGAACGCTGGCGCGATTCGACCGCAATAGATGGCTTGCGACCATGGGATGCCTTGGGGGCAGCTAGCTCGGCGGGTTCATCGTCGTCTTCGACGGGTCCTGGAGATGCGCTTGTAGCTTCAACGGGTTCGGGAGCGGTTTCTTCGGGCTTCTCTTCAGTCGTCTCGGGAGCGGTGGAGGCTTCAGCTTCGGCGGGAGCTTCCGTCTTCTCGTCCTTCTTCTTGGAGCCACCGGCCTTCTTCGCTTTCTGCTTCTTCAATTGCTCGTACTAGAGGTGTGTTGTTAGTTCAGAGTTCGGTAGATACTCCTGACACCTTGGAAGACTGTAGCAGCAGCACGTGCTAAGCAGTACTGCTTGTCAAGCCTCCATGGCAAGCTCACGCGGCACCAGGAGGATTACATACACGCTTCTTTGCGGCAGCGACCTTCTCTGCTTTTTCCTTATCTTCGTCGGCCATGTTCACGTAGATTCAATTGTTGTTTTGAGCTGAGGTAGTGTCGCGTGAAGCTGTGTAGCTGTGCTGTGGGGTCGCGAGAGCTCTCTCGGTGATGCCAACTTGCTCCCCGCATACCACGCTAGCACACCACACTAGTCCTGTTCCTATACTAGTGCGCGTCTGAAAGTCAAATCGAGTCGTTTCGAACTCTTCCAGAATCCGTACTTCATGTCAAATGAGGTTCCTGCTGGGGAACACATAGTGGCTTAGCATGCGCTGAGAGCCTGGTGATAACACGTCTGGCATAGTGTAACCAAATTAGATTCCGCATCCAAAATACCCGTTTACATCCACCGTACGTAGACAGCTCTCGAAAACGCAGGAATTCCTCACGTTTCTACCTCTGGAAACTTGGCTATAATATATGTACTTAGCCTACCATCTCAACTTAGACTAGCACGCACTACACCAACCTACCTTTCTCACCTTCCCCATCCAATCCCCCCTCCCTCTCTTGACAACCCAACCCAACCCAACACCGCCCGTCCCATCACCACAGCAACCCAACCGCCCAACCCCACCCCATCCCACCCCCTCATCCACACCCTCGACTCGTGCCCCCGCGCATCTCCATCTCCGCCCTCAATCCGAAACGCGCGCAAACCTGACTCGTTCCCGCACCTGCATATGTCATGTAACCGTCGCGCTTACTTCAGCCGCCGATTGGAATGGCCGTTGTGTAATGAACCATGGTCCTTTGATTAGTTGGAGTGGGAGTACCGAGTTTCAAGTTGGTGGCACGAGGTACGCCAGGTTTGCATGGGGTGAGCGTCGAGAGAAGGCAGGTTAGATTTCAAGTGCAAGGGTAGAGCAGCGTGTATGATGACATTCTGCCGGATTGAACCAAGATTGACGAGGACGGGAAGGAGAGAAGCCGAACGTTGGCATATGGGTGAGATTGGGCATGACGGCAGGGCAGGGATGACTATCACGACTCGCGCCCAAAAGATGATATGTATGATTGTAGATCTTCATTGTTCAAGAGATTGCAGCTGCGATAAGCTGAAACTCGACTATCTAATCGCAAGCTCTTGGTGCTAGATACCAGAGAGATTTTTTACTTGCGTGCCACAAACAGCCGTACTATGCGTGTACGCTAGCCTCTGCAGTAGAGGTTGTAGGAGACGGGGGTTGCTGTAATGTTCAGCTAGTAAAGCAATGGCCGTAACCAAGGCAGAGTCCATGGATGGATCTGCTGATAAACGAGAGAGGGCGTATGTGTGCCGCCACGCAAAAGAGGATCAGTCAAAGTATCCCAGATTTGTCCCACTCGCTTCATGCAATATGCAAGGCAAATCAGAATCCCGTAGATACTCGTCCTCCTAATGCCCTGAGGGATACACAAGGGAAATGTAGATTCAATGAGAGTAAAGAAAATCCGGTTCGCGTTCCAAAATATGCATCGCGGATGTTGCGCCATTAAAACATTCATAGCCTCGCTGTAAACTCCATGTTCATGCCAGATGTGTGAGGATTGGGAAGACCATAATGTCGTGCATCAACATACGATCGCTAAATGCGCAAGTAGTTGGTCGTATTAGGGTGCGTAAAGTGTACGGGTGGGTTTGGTCTGAGCAAACTAAGCTGGTGATGGGGACGAGTCCCTGCTCTTCCAGAACTTGAGCTTGCTGAGTCGTTTGTTCTTCTTCTTGTCTTTCGGCTGCTCCAGACATTCGGACTGAGGGCGCTGCTCAATAGACAGCTTGCTCTTCTCGCCGTAAGAAGAGCTGTTGATGAGCCGAGAAAGACTGGCAATGCTGGAACGCTTGCGGCGACGAATCTCTAGATCGCTAGGGTCGGAGCACAGTGAAGCTGAGCGATCACCTAGTCGGCGAGGACTGGGGAGCGAGTAAGGATTCTGCATAGCGCTTGTCATAGTTGATCTTGATGAGGTCAATGAAGGCACATCATCCACGGAAATGCGAAGCTCGGGTCCAGGTTCGCCAAAACGCGGTGAAGGCATCGTCATCGAAGAAGCAGCGGTGCCAACCCTGGGGGTTTCGAAAGACACCTGGCTAGATCGGTAGTCTGGCGATGAAAATGAGGATGTAAAAGTGTCGGGAGTCATCAGAGTCTGCTGAGGTAGTGGGAGAGCCATGTTCATGACAGGCGCGTGCTCCTTGGATTCATCAGCCGATAGCTGTGGGGTCACAGTCGAATCGGAATCGTGGGCTGAGTGATGATGTTCGGGGCTCTTCGTGATCCTCAACAACCTCTACAGGAGAGTTGTCCAGCGCAATTTCCTCGTCTACCAGACCCTGGGGAACCGCTCGGGGGGACAACGGTTCCTCAGACACGGTCTCTCGGTCATTTTCAATACCAAGACCACCGTTGTTGAAGTTCCAGTTGATTGTCGCGCCCTCGTGCTTTTCATCCACTTCAACGACCTGAATCTTAGGCTCTTCGATGTCTGTAGGCTCCTCGGGAATCGAGTTCGGGTCTGAACCTTTTCGAACCGCAGTCGGGTCCTCTTCGGGTTCCTCCTCTTCGAAGACATCAGCCATCGGGGAAGTGGAGGCGACAGCAGACGACCGCTCGAAAGGGACGAGCTCAGGCGCGCTCTCAGTCCTGCGGTGTTTCATCACAATGCCACTTGCGCTGTGCATTGCGCGTCTGTGGGCTGAAAATCCATGCTGCTGCGATCTCGGGCTCGAACCATTTGGAGTGTTGAATGGTCCAAGGGCCGCGTCCAAATCGATGATCGGACTCATAATGTCGGAATCGACTCGCTGCAGCTGTCGTGGCTGCCAAGACGCATAGTCCGTGTCGATTTTCGGTAGAGGAGTCGCCGATTCCGTGGGAGACACAATGGTAACGGTAGTATCCTCGTCGAAGTTTGGCTCGAAATCCATGTCTTCCGATGCGTCCGTGTCGTCCAGATCAGGACTCAATTCCGCAGGAGGTACCAACGACTTGGCTTTGGACTTCTTGCTGTGCTTACCCTTCCGTGGGATGATGGAATTTGCCCAAGACTTGACTTTGCGAGGCCTGCGACTGGACTTGCGTGTCGAGACCTTGGACTTCTCTGCCTCTTCCATAGACTCTTCGTCGTCAACGCTGGGTGAGGCTAGCCCAACCTCCATCGAGCGCGAAAGCGAAGGATCGGATTTGCTGGTGGGAAGTGTGCGGAACGAATTGTCGCTGCGCTTGGACTCGAGCCGGAAGAAGCCACGTCGCTTGGTAGGTACACGGGCCGAGGTCATGTTGGTGGTGGGAGACGTTGGCGAGACAGCAGACATGGGCCTCTTGCGATCGGACGGCTGGCCTGAAAGTGGGCTGCTCATGAAGTTGTCCAGGATAGCACCAGCAGTGCTGGGTCGTCCTTCGTCTTCGACTGTGCTGAGCGACGGACGTCCCATGCGTGATGGTTGCGGACTCGAGTTGCTGCCGCCCACGATGGACGAAAGGCTATTGGTCGCCGAGTGACCACGGAATGTAGACATGGAAGTCTCTGTTTCTGAAGAAATGGTTGAGAGCGGGCGGATGTACTCGACCCTATCAGAGAATCCGACACGGGCTCTCGAAGGTGGGCGTGCAGCGTCCTCTTCTGTGTTGTTGCTGGTGCGGAGTGACGGCTGTGATATCGATCTGTTGAAGGAGTGTCCGAATACGAAGTCATTGCCTTCCGAGGGCGTCGAAGGTGCGCTGTCTGCACGCGAGGGCGCTGGTGGGTTCATCATCGAGGTAAGGTCGTGGGAGGAGATGGCACCTGAGCGACGGTGGGCGTGGCCGCGGCGACCCGCTGGTGGACCAGGCCGTAGTACAGCGTTTGGTGCAGGCAGAAAACCGTCGCCCTTGGTCGGACTGCTGCTCATCAGTGACATGCCTCCAGGTCGAGCATCGCCGCCAATGAACTCGCTGCCACCTCGCCTGTGACCGCCCACAATTGGCTTTGCGGGTGTTGCGGGTGTTGTAGATGGCGAATGCGGTGGTGATGTGCTAGTGGTTGGCTGAGGTGTGCCGGACGGGTTGAAGGAGAAAGCTGGCAGAGCGCTGACGGACTTCTGGCGCTGGTGAGGCATGGAGCCTCGACGGCCGGTCGGATATGCCTGCAGAGACATTGGCCGCGAGCTCGTTGGCGTGGGCTCTGAAGAAGACGTGTCTGGTCCTCGCATAGGAAACGAGAACTCTGGGTTGGGGATGAGCTCAATGGGGCCGGCGTTTGAAGGCTGTCGGCGCTGGTAGAGCGGTGAGCCTATGCCAGCAGACTGCGACTGTGTTGCCTGGTGTCGTAGCAGAGCAATTTGGGCCATTGCGAGAGATTAGCTGCCCTTGGGGACACAGCGATCTGCGGCCGACAGGCTTGACGAAATTAGGGATGGCACGATCAACAGACGCACAGCAAGTGCTTGGTCGGCAGAGCGAGACTGGCGACGTGCGTTCCAGGGACCAGTAGCCGGATCGGAGAGGCGTCCAGTGGTTGGCTGGGCGGGAGTCGAGGTGCTACGGATCGGTGTACAGCGGAAGTGAGACGAAACAAGCGCTTTCAAAGTACAAAGAGGGCGACGGAGGCTACTACTGCTGCGCGATATAGTGTCAGCACGCAGGCGGAGGGTCGACGGCAGGCGATTATATGGAGGCGAGTGCGTACGGTGGGTGGAGGCTAGTAGCGGATGGATGCGATGGTAGGCTGGCGTGGGCGTGCGGGTTGAGTGAAGCCAGTACACCCAAGATTAAGGAATGACGGGGGAAATGGGAAATGAGCGGACAGATGCCACACGATCGACTCAGTTTGGTGAGTGCGACAATGGGCTCCAGAGAGGTGGAGGAGGGTCGGGAGGAAGGGCGGCGGGGACGAGATGTGGTCGTGGTGGATGGAATAGGCGCACCTGGACGGAAGAGCGAGCAGAACGCTTTTGCACGGCGGGAGGTACGAGGGAAGGCGCGCCAGTCCGTGCGATAGCGTAGGAAAGGAGCATCCCTGCTCACCAGCGACCCCGGTCACCATGGCGTACGCTCCTCTAATCCTCATTTCGCCCTCAGACCCACCGTCAACCAGGGCTCGCTGCAGCTCGACTGTGTACGGGCGAGGATTCCTGAGATTGAGCATTTGCGGCCGCATGCGACAGAATGTCACATTCGCGAACCGCTGTCGCGAGGCGAGCTGTGCAATCTTGGGTGCGGCTGTTCCTGAACCTCCCCTGCCAGGCCATCACGAGGCTGCCCGCCAATTTGCCAGGGCCTGCACCAGATGACTATCCACAGCACTTCCCACTTCCAAGGCACCTGCATTTCTGCGCAACCATCATGTGTAGGTACTAGGCACATGGTCTCGAGTGCTCCTCGGCGCTATCGCTGCAGACCTGGCGTCGGCATTCGCGGTGGCTTCTTATGGCGCTGCACCTCCAACGACTACGCACCAGCTTGGAACCGCCCAGGCGTACGTCGTATTCTTCTTTGTCCGCCGCGAGCGGCTCTCTTGGTGCGAACTCGAGGCCTGGACGGCAGCCGGTCTGCATCACCACTAGCGAGACGGCTTACGGAAGCCTCTCCTCCTTGCGCGCCGTTCTGCCTTCTCACTCGCTGGCGCTTCATGCACGAGATATGCCTCTTCGCTGCTATCTCTCAGATCCTCTTGGCTATCTGCCGCAGACCGGCTACCCCTCTGCATGTGTTCCTGGCGGTTAATCCAACACCCGCTGCCACTCAGGAACTGTTTAATCGGTGCCGTTGGCGGAAAGCCGCGCTTGTCAACTCTTGGGCCCGGCACTCAGCTATCGACGCACCTACTCCGCCCGACTCTTCGGTCTCGAGGATGAAGATGTGCGCGACGTGTTTCACCGTACCGTTCGCGGGCGGGGCCATGCAAAGCCCGGATGAGCATTCCGCCAAGGCCAATTTGATATCCGCTCTAGGCGACGAATGGACGACCTCGCACTAGCTATGCAGGGGCAAGTTTTGGAGCCTTTCCCTTTGCATCAACACATCGAAGCTCGTCCTCGCCACCCATAAATAGGTTATGATAGACGAAATGCGGAGAAGCGGGACAGAAGCAGCAATGATTGCTCGTCGCTTCGAGGTATTGAGTTTGCTGAGGTCGCACACATCCTGCGAGCATCAGAGTTGGGTGTGGTCTTCATCACGAGTTGGCGACAAAGACCCAAGAGAAGGTGTGTCAATAATTGCTGCATCATTGGTGTGTAGTCGAGATAACGGTGCAGCCACATGCTCCTGCAGTATGCTGTGTAGGGCTTCGATTGCATTACAGAAGGGCCATGATCTGGCCTCCCAACGTGCATGACATTCAACACCGTCTGTGTCTCAACATGCCAACGGGCCTGTCTTTAGCGTCTGTACCACCTCCGCTGCAACTCGTCTTTTCGTCCCAGTAGGTCGTGTGCACTTTCCATTCTACTGCCACCCACATCTTCTCACGATAGTAGATTGATCAACACCTTGATCTCACTGCATGTCATTGTATCCCCTAGTCTGCGTTATGACGACGGCGAGGTGCACTGTGGCCACGCTGTGTGCCGTCAGGACATGTTCGGCTCTACTTTCTATCGCCAAATGCACAATGTCTGGGCGAGAGGCCACTATCGTAAAACATAACCACTTCAAGGCAGACGTCATGGCATCCTAGTTCTAAGGTCTGCAGCTCCGATGCTTCGCACATGATCTTCAGGGACCATTCGGCGCTATCGCCCTAATCATCCAGTCTCATTTTGTCATCTCCGCTTTCAATTCTTTTTTTTGCACCTCTGCAGGGACGATGCCGGGCTCCGAGAATTTTGACGAAGATGCACCGAGTACGAAAACAACCATCGCGAGACGTCACACGCATCCAGCGCGCGCACTCGGCCAAGGCATCCAGTGTGGTGGAGTCAAAGGCGCGTGCGACAGCTTCTCTGGTAAAGTTGGAGCCACGATAGTTCGTCCGTCGTCCCTTCCGCGGTTCCACGTTGCGGAGGGACGCTGAGAGAAAGCATGTTCTTGCTTTGAGCTGTACGTGAATGCAAGTGCAACAACGATATCGCTGCATGCATCGGCAGAAACAAAGGCCCTGGACGCCATGGGTCGGCCCAGAGCCACCGCGACCAAACTTTCACAACATTATTAGCACAGCCACCGCATTTCGATTCTTGTCTCCACACAAGCGCAAGCACTCCGTAGAGCATCACTGGCTTCTGTGCGCCCGTAGCGCATCGCATACTCCATCGCTCTGGCACCGGTCGGCGTTACGTGTCAAAGTGTCAAAAAACAAAGTCGTCATTCGCACGGCCCATGCAGCGTCATCCGGCTCCAGGTTCTCCAGGGGCAACTGCAAGATCTGTCGAAACGGCTGTGCATATTGGGAGATGTGCAATCTCGTGAGAACATCTTCCAAGACGCCAACTCATTGCCAATCTCCGTGGAGGGAGGCTGGATGGGGTAATTGGCAATCAGCCACTGTGGCCGATATATCCAATAAGACGCGTACAGCCACACTGGCCCGTCCATTTCCGATCACGACCATGTCGTTGCTCCCAATTCGTGAACGGCTTTCATTCGAGCATGGTCCTCTTTTTTGTTTTGCAAATCGTCATGATCACAGCCTTGCCCGCATAGCTTACCCTGCGAAAGTGCCACGCGACATTCAAAACAAATGTCTCCATAGATTTCTGCATCTCCACATCGGCATGGTATCCATGTTTCGCCGCACGCATTCATCCACCGGTGGCTACACCCATGGTTGCGAACGGCAACCGCAGTGCCTCCAGTTCCTGAATGCAGCTGAACGGTTCGCCTGCTCTCCCAACAATGTTAAATGTCATCTGCCGTGGGCCATTCGCGATGCTCTCCAGCGAACTGCGCTGCCTCGCTTCCGCCGCCATCCGTTCGCTTGGTCCTGATGAGCGCGATTTCTCCGACCACTGGCATCTCGCAATCCCACTCACACCTATCAAGCATGAAACGGAGTATGCTGCCCACACCGGCAGGTCAGAGCGCATGAGCGAGCACAGCTGAACCAGGTTTGATGTGCTGGCACACGCGCGTCTTCTATGCACTGACCTTGCTTATACCACAATTCCACCGCAGCGAGCTCTTGCTTTTTAGCTTTGCGAGATCGTGCTGACCTAAGAGGGGTGAACTTATTTTGTGCAGACTTCGCATCCGATGCCCGATCAAGTCGAGTCTCTTCTTATAATTAGCTACTTGCTAAGAACAGAGCGACAGCCAAGGCCGTATAAGGTCAAAACCTCGGGACATTTCTTTAGTTGCAATGAGCCTCTGAATCTGTCCGGCTCGCGTCTAAGATGACTGTCCGAGTTCGAAGCACTACTAGTTTGTGACCAAGTAAGAACGAACTGTTGCGGTACCTGGTCTTCGTCTCCTTTGTCTTCAATGGCCTCATTGGCGATTGCGCGCCGGCATATGCAGTCCGACTTTCACGTTCAAGCGTACGGTAGCTGAGGTGTGACGGCTGTCATAGCTGGCTAGGCCAGCCATCGATGATACGCCACCTCACGATAGACTTTCACACTCTCCACTATTCCACACGGGGTGCCCGTTCGTTGCCTTATCGAGCCTATCCTTCCCCCGTTGGCTCGTTTCCTCGTTCGTCTAACGGGAGCTCACGAAGCCCCTCAGCACTAGCTGGCGTGCTGTTCGCGCGAGCATTCCATCGAGGACTCGACACGACGACACGCATGAATTGCATGGCGACGCAAGCGAGTGGCATGACCTCAGCTCGGGTCAGACAGCAAGGGCAAGATAAGCTGCTGAAACTGGTTATCGCTGACACCACGTTTCGTGACACCCAAAGTGAGAAGCTTAATCGCACATAACATTCCAGCATTCATCATTTGCAGGCTCGGTAGGCCGCCAACTTCTGCAGAGCGCGGAATGCATGCTCTCTGTTATTCGCGCAGCGTGGTACACAGCGTCTACATGGTGTATTCTCGATGCTGCACCATAGCCTAGCGCATGCGCGTCACTGATCTTCAGGGTGGGCGGACGATCGAAGGCTCGACGGGGCGTCATGGTGCCTTGCATCCGCTCGGAATTGAGACCAATAACGAGCAAGGTGCACGCAAGAACCCCGCCATGCGGGCGCAACTTCAGATTCAAGGCCCTCCACCCGGACTTGGAATTGCAACCCCAGCGGATAACGCGGTACTCGGGAACGACTAAGTTCTGCGGATGCAACCAGCAGTCTTGACGATACCACACTTTCCAGCATCTTTGTGGCGAACGCGAACTCAAAAAACCCGTCCAGCTCCTCAGCACCTCTTCCCACGAAGTCGATTCGCAGCACCAAGAAACGCCACCGCTTGCCCTTACGTCCAGGCTTTCGGCTACACTGCGGCGACACCGTCCACTGGTATACGGCACATCACGAGCGCTGGAAACTTTTCCAGCTGCCGTAGTGCCGGGTTTGCGAGTAGCGTGGGCCTTGCTCGCGATCGGTGAGGAAAGACATGCAGCGCCGTGGCACGGTAGAGTTAGAACTGTCGGGTAAGATGTTGCCTAACTGTAGCAGGAGATGCGGTCCTCGCTTGTGTGACGGACATCGGTGAATGGGGCCCACGGGGCCGCCAGCGGATTGCGTGCAGTTGCTCTGGAGTCTGCGAGGTGCAGGAAATATATGACCAGCGCAGATGGCCTGATGCAGTGCAGCTTACCGGTGAGGCATGGAAGCGCTGGGGATGTTGGTGTGTCCATACAACATCGACCACCAACATATGCTAACTCGACAACTCACAGTGCAGTTGGCCTGGTCGGCCTTGACTGTTCTGACGTCTTACTTGCCTGAATCCTTCGCGCTTAGGGTAGACCTTGCCCCGGCCCCATACTGTACAACAACTCAACTTCGAGGGTCTTTTGACTGGTTGCAGGTCTCCGACATGTGGAAGCGATGCTATATGGCGTGCTTGTTCTCGGGCATTGAAGCTCTCGCGGAATAGCTGAGACGAAGGCCGTGTAGCTTGACTTGTTTCTTCAGACAGGATAACGTACAGCATGATCATGCTAGAGAGCGCGTATAAACCGTTGCGGTACCTTCTAGCGACGTCGTGAGCACGACAGGCTGATGTAAAACATGTAGAAGATGCATTCCCGCACACTGTCAACACAACCGACTGAGTCCATTGAAAACAGAAGCTGGACGTGACTCAATCATCACCAAGTCTGTCGAAAAGCAAACTTCTTGCACGCTGAAGCACTCCTCGCATCAAATTCCTCGTGATAGCTTTTCATATATGTACATGTCGCGACCATGTTTTGCTTTGACATCACGCTCATCGGCGTTGGTGCCTTTCTCCGCCTTCCTTCTGCTCATGACGCATTTGGTGTCAGGGTTTTAGTAGACACCTTGCTGGCAGACAAGTCATATACAGAGACGTGTGATAGGGTTTGGTACTTCGCACATACATAGACCTTGGTAAGTTTTTCATACACGGCATAAATCCCACAGCGTAACATGGAGTATGTTGAAGCTGGTTTTTGGTGGACATGGATGCGCTAGTTGTTGTTTTTGGGATAGATTTTGATTGTAGAGAAGGAGCTGCGAGGAGGAGAAGTAGAAGTGACCTGGGAGACCTCACACATGAAGACGTGTTGGTAATGCTTCGATTCTTCTCTTTGCAACATAAATTGGTTTTGGTTTCCTTTTGAACAACATATCTCGAGTTCTTATCGCTTTCGATTCGCACTTTTTTTTTAATGGGATCGACAAGGTACGGAGAGGAGAAGTTGCACTGAGGTTTTATAGTGAAGTGTGTAGCGCGATCGAGCGATCATGTACCGTTGTCCGGTGTGTTTTGTGTTTGCAGAGTCGACGCTGCCCATAACAAATCCCCGGTTGGTGCTATTTAATACCCAGCAGCAGGACATGAACATGGTTTGGTTCAGTCTCGATCTGCCAGCCAGAATCTGACAGGTCTTGTGTCTCTTGACGTTTTAGCGCGAGCAGCTCAGGCACTCAACATGATTCCTCCACATATTTGAGCATAAACGGTTTTTGAGTGTTTTGATGCAACAAGGACGTGGCGAGAATATACGCACCAGGTTTGGAGGCCGTCCAGTCACAGCTTCGATGGCTTTCGTTTGGCGGTTTCAGATACTTGGTGAGATTTGTAAGAAAATGGCGTGAAGACAAGGGAGCATGCGTAGTCCTGTGGTAAATTTCGAAATCGCTCAGAAACACTCTATCGACTGCTTGGCTCTGCTGTTTCACTCTGGACCGCACAGGAACGGACATGAATCCGCAGACCAAGAGCGGGAACACGTCATGCCAGGTTCTCGATTTTGGTGCGGACATGAATGGTAGTATCTTCGTTTTCTTTTTGAGGCCGGGAGAAGTACAGAACATAGTATTGGAGTGAACAACCTTTTGTTTTCAGAGTAGCGAGCGGCTTGCACAAGGCATATACTTGGCGAACTCAGATTTTGGTCGAAGATAGGGAAGAATACTTTGTGGGGAGGAGGAAGAGAGAGAGATGGAAGAATGGGTAAACTTTATACTTGGAGGAAGCATCAAGAACATATGAGATGTTCTGCATTCCTTGTTCGGCCAATTGCCAAAACTTTGGACGATGTTTAAGACGATATGAATACACCTGACTTCTCCTTCGTTATTCAAGCTCCTATGTATGCACATGCGTTTTATGTGTGCTTTAAAAATCGTGGCCGCCTGCGTATGTTGTTTGTGGACAGGCTCCAAATTTATCAATTGCAATCTCAATTTCTTTTTTGGAACGATTCATGTTATTGCCTTAGCCATATCCGCCAACGTAATATTCAAATTTCACAGTTCTCCACAGGATGCGCAATGCTCAATCAGTCTCGATGATACTACAAATGAAGAAGGCGTACAATACATAGTGTTTCCGAAAGTGAGGAATCATTAGCAAAATGCTGCCTACTTCGATACATGCTACGAATCGCTAGACAGTTCCGAGTAAACAAGATTGTACAACATCGACAAATGTGTCGTTTTGATATAACTCGCGTGCTTCTTCGTTATCACATAATCTTGAGTGAAGCATTCACGCACAGGAATGAGGCGAGGAGCGCATGCCAAATCTAAGGTAAGGCTAACGGCATGGTCTGGAGGCTTTCACGTTTCGTCTCAAATACATTCGATGGTCTGAATCTTCAGCGCGATTCATCGCTTCTTTTTTTCGTTCGAAATGTGATTGTGTTAACGGAAATTTTAAATCCTGTTCCGCTCTTCTCTGAGCTCCCAACACATCTGCATTTTGAGATCTGACCCCAGAGCACCCAAATCCGATTTTGTGACCTGCAAGCACTCTCTATCTAAGTTGTATATGTCTGCTCGTGTCATGTTTCTCATTGAGACAGCTGAATACATTTCATGTTTCATTTTCCAATTATTTTACCTCCATGAATGTCCCCAAAAAATGAGACACAAGAATAGGACGAGAGCCACAATTTCTTTCACATGTTCCAAAAAGCAGCACAAAACTTGGTCATCTGCTTCTTTTCGCTGCAGAAGCGGACTAACTTAGTCAGATAGCATTCAAGCACCCACAGTCTTCCATAGAACGACTGAATCTGTTTTAAGTCGAACTCGCAATGCATATGAGTTGCGCGGATACATACCGAAATCGAGGGTAGACAGTGGACATGTCCTTGTGGACGTCGTCAAATCCCAAATTGAGACCGACATGTGATTTTGGTCCGAGACCGAAGAAATGTGTGTGTAAAGCCTCCTTGCCTTGCCTTCTACAACTTATCAATCACGCTCTCCCCATGTTTCTGGATAAAAATCTGATATTGGGACTACACGTCAGCTGCGTCTGGAGCCTCGAAACCAGCGCAAAATGATGACATGTCTCTTCCTTGGACTCTTGCGTTCTCCAAAAGTCACATGTACTTGCTCATGTGTGCCACCACACCTCAAAATTTACCGAGGATGGTTCATGTACTCGAAAAACAAACGCGGAAGATGGAATTATGAACAAAGCGGATTTCTCCAGAATGCGATTCATATTATAACTGTTGAATAAAAGCAACTCCACAGCCATAGTTAAAGTGGTAAAATGACGTGTTGATAATGACCAGCAAGTGCTCAGTTCCGATGACTGTATAAAACCCGCACACGTTCTGCCTCTCATGACCTCTCACAAATGTCTCATCTTTTTTTCATACTAAAATGCATTCTCGTCCGTACCATGAGGAGAACTCCTTCTCGAGAACGAAGCTAGTAACCGATCTTTTCATGTCTCCTGTCTCTTGCTTTCAGCGCATCTGTATCTCACCAAAACCTATTTTGCAATATCGAAAAGCTTGTCGCCAAAAATATGTGCGCTCGTGAGAGTTGATGGCGTCCAATTACAAACCACTGAAACCAAGAGGCCATGCAGGCAATGCTCTAATCGAAATAGTATCCGGAATGTAGTAGGTCACAAACGGATTGAAGAGTCTATACATGAGAAACCATTCGATATCTTAGTATCGATATTACAAGGAGTGCAAATGCAGTATATGCCTAGCAAGGCAAAGAAAACTCTGCATCTGCGTACGTAAAGAAATAGTAAAAGAACTAGTTAAATAGAGCAGCATGAATAATGTAGACCTGTTTTCTAGCGTCGCCATGAATCGACTCGGCTTGCACGAAACGGGCCGCCTCCACATCGGTGGTACCCTCGGTGCTTGTACCCCAGCTTGGACACTTGGTATCGGCAAGGGTTTGGAAACCGATAGGTATCGAAAGCAGATTAGATTCATAGATTTGGTCTTTGGATCAGGCAAGCTGATGCTGTGATGCTCGTGTCCAGTGATACCACAAGTCGTTCAATATCAGCACCATGCGAGATAAGTCGGGCGCTTCATACTCCCATGAGGCGTTCAACTGAACGACCTCCTGAACAGCAGCTTCCCATCCTATCGGCATTGAGCACGGCACTTGCCTAGAGGCAGCGGCCGCGCTTGCGAATGCTTGGCCTGCCGCAAGCAAGATGAGTGCGCTTCGCGTACAACTGACAATCATTCCAAAAGTACCATGGTGTCGGTGTTGAAATCCAGGACGATTAGTAATGATTCGATCCACATGCTTCTGCAGTCCTTTTGTTGCAAACTCAATAACGGTTGTGTGGGATCGTGAGTAAGCGGATTGTGTATAGCCACAGTCCGGGAAAGGCCAGTAAAGCATCTCATAAACATTGATCAAATGCCCTCTTAGGACAAAGCGACACACCTCATCTTCTTCAGGAGGCGCTTCTAATGACATACTCTGCGGTAATGCATGTACCCAAGCAAGAACTTGTTGCTCGTGCTCGTTGATCATTGTTGCAAGGTTTGGGAGCGAAACGCTGTTGTTTCCCGGCTCGAAATTCTTGATCTCGTTGGCCATGCGTCGCCTCAGTCGTAGCAAGGAGATCTCCGATAGATAGAAGTACCACGACGCCTCCTTGCGACGTTCAGTCTCTGAGGATGCGGCGTCCAAGATTCGCCCTCCATCTCCTGGTGGCGTCGGGAAAGAACGGCGGGTATCCAGTCATGTCAATGTCGGAGAAGAGATAGCCTGGCAGATCCAGATCATAATGAGTCTCTCGCTCGGACTTCCAGGCTGACCAGTAGATGGCCTGTTCAGAGGCAGACGAAACAGACTTTTGGGGTGCTTCAGTGAGTCGATCACCGTAGTCATGTCGAAATGCTTTGAGAGACTCAAAGGTTTGACAGCACGCCAGTGATTGCATGAAGAATCGCCACGCGGATAATCTTTGGAAAGTGCACATGGCATAAACACCAGCCAGGAGCATACATTGAGCCTCAATCAGACTGGAAGATCCTAAAAGCATGCCAAGTCGTCTCCTCGCAGCCCAGAAGAAGGACTCGGCTGTTCGATACATGTCGCTGTCCCGGCCAACATATCCGCAGTCTGAGAATGGTGTCGCGATAGTGCCGAGTGCAAATATTAACAATGTAAGGCATGCTTCAGGTGACCAGTCGAGACCATGTATACACATGCGTGAAACGATTTGTCGAGTGGAAAGCTCGTCCAGAACAGGATTCTTAACATGAACGTAATTGAAGAAGTTGTCGAGCAGAGCTTGTGTATGAAGAGGCACTAGCTCATCACTACCTGATATCGGAGGAGTACTAGCCGCTTGCGTGAAATCGGTAGACGTACAGGGAAAGGCATGCGCGATCGATTGTCGTCGTCCGCGTAAGCGCATCAATGGGTTCCACTCGAGGATATCGTTGATCGAACAAGGACTTAGCCTCGAGCGCTCAAGCTGGTCTTGGTGCAGTACTGATTTGGCGATTTCATGCACAACATCGCCGCCGCTGTCTCGGCCGCGTATGAACGGTTCCAGATCATCTAACCGCCTGAGGATACTCAGACTGGCT